GCATCACAGGTCGACAAGCTCGATGGGCAATACTACTAGCAGACTTCGACTTCATATTGCAGTATCGACCAGGAGACAAAGGTGGTGAACCCGATGCTCTCACCAGAAGGACAGACATGCAACCAGCCGGTGAAGAGCAGGATCACAATGTGAGGCAACTACTGCCTCCTCGAGTGTTCAAGGAGACAGCAGACCATGACTCGCTCCTAGTGGCCCCCATGATCTCGATGGAGTCCATAGCATCAAAAGGTCTCAAAGACCTGGTCAAGATCTTCCAGCCTTTAGACCAAGAGCTACAGGAGATACATAGGAAGAAGCCTTTCGAACTCAAGGATGACCTATGGTACAGTGGAGGAAGGTTGGTTATCCCCAAGGTGATCATGCCAGGGAGGACCAACAACCGACACTCAAGGAGTGCCAAAGAGGTAGATGGACAGTCTCTCTCTGTAGAGCATCTGCGATTCATGGTGATGACCCAATGCCATGATGGTATCACTGCTGGACACGTAGGAAGAGATGCTACCATCAAGGCAGCTCAACGACATTACTGGTGGCCAAACATGACAGCTTGGATTGCAGACTATGTAGCAAGTTGTCCTGTATGTGCTAGGTACAAAGCTCCTCGTCATCGTCCATATGGTTTGCTACAGCCACTAGCAACCCCAGACAGGCCCTGGGGCTCCATATCCCTCGACTTCATTGAAGGACTACCACCATCAAAGAAGTATGACTCCAAGACCTATGACTCTATCCTAGTCATCGTCGACAGGTTAACCAAGTTTGCCATACTAGCTCCAACCCATAAGACAGTCACAGCCAAACAGACTGCAGTATTGCTATATGGACACATGGTTAGACTCTTCGGATATCCAGATCACATGGTCTCGGACCGAGGCAGGCAGTTCATATCAGGAGCATGGAAGGCATTTGCAGAGCAAATGGGTGTGAAGCACTCACTTAGCACGGCCTACCATCCTCAAACTGATGGTCAGACAGAGAGAGTCAATCAGGTCATAGAGCAATATCTCAGGATGTACTGCAACTATGAGCAGAATGACTGGGCCAACCTGCTGGACACTGCGGCCTTTGTATACAACAACACGGTCCACAACAGCATTGGTGTCTCACCATTCTTTGCATGCTATGGATGGAACCCCAAAGCTCATCCTGACATCCCTCAACGACTAGGAGTCAATGATCCAGGTCGCTTCGAGTACCTCATGGATGGAGAGGAGCGTTGCAAGTACCTCCAGGAGCAGATCAGAGAGGCACAACGTAGATCAGTAAACCAGTATAACAGGAAGCACAAGGACATCGAGTTTAAGGTGGCTGATATGGTCTATATCAACCGACGAAACTGGAAGACAAGGAGACCCACACCCAAGTTAGACACCCGGTTCGCAGGACCCTACCCAGTTCAGGAACGGGTAGGACGCCGAGCTTATCGAATCACATTGCCAGCAAACCTTAGGGTGCATGATGTGTTCCATGTCTCCATGCTCGAGCCAGCAAGAACAAGTTCTCTTCCTCAACGTGCTGAACAGCCCACCATACCATCACTTCCAGATGAGGACCTCGATTTCGAAGTCGAAGCACTCATCGACAAGCGTTCACACAATGGGACTACGGAGTACAAGGTGTTGTGGAGAGGGTACTCAGAGGAAGCTGCTTCATGGGAACCAGTAGAGAACCTCAACTGTCCCGACCTCATCCAGGAGTATGAGGTGTCGGAGGGGGGACGAGTGAGTAGACAGAGTGGAGAGAGGAGGAGAGAACAGGAGGAGTAGAGAGAGGAAGAGGAAGGAGGATGACGTTGAGAGAAGGAGGAAGGATGATGTTGGCGATGTTGTCAAGGAGGAGGAGTCAGCATGAACCAGACCAGAGCACGCCTCGACGGAGCTCGGCTCTTAAGAGGGGGGTAGTGTCATGGGCCTGGATGCTCAAGAAGCAGGAGGGTCATGGGTTCATATGGAAGGAGCACAGGTATCGAAGACCTAGTCGACACCAGTAGAGAGCATGGTCGTAGTGCAGTCTCCATGGAGACCATGGACTCCTATGGACTCACATGCAAAGGAGGGCCAAGCACAGCCACGAGGAGGACCAAGCTCAAGGAGCAGGCACAGCCACGAGGAGGACCAAGCTCAAGGAGCAGGCACAGCCACGAAGAGGACCAAGCTCAAGGAGCATGCAGATGGTTACCACTCAGGGGCTCGAGAGACAAGAGCCAAAGGAACTGTCACTGATCAAAGGAGGAGGAGCAGTGTCGAAGGAGTCGACACCAGGTCATGAGGAGGAGGAGCAGTGTCGACAAGAGGCACAGGGGTGCCAAGCAGGAGAGGCCCCTGAGCAGTACTCGATGAAGAAGGTACTCTCTGGAGAGAGAGCAGGAGCAGCATCGCTGGCAATGCTGTGAAGAGGTATATAACCATGCTTTCTCATCATCATAGGTCGAGTGGATCCCCATCCACTCTACTCACCATACAACTAGTCAATACTTTAGAAACACAAGTACTCATTAGTTACAGTCAGCATAGCAGCAATCTATCAAGGTTGCTCCTCATCGTAGTGTGTGTGTTGTATCACCACTACCTGACGTCCGAAGGCGCCCATAGCAGGTTAGCGGTCCGGATATAGATAGAACCGAAGGCAGTAGTCCACTGCGGTCCGGGGATCACTTCAAGCATCAAGTCAACACACTGGACACTCGTGTTGACGCCACCAACCTTATCACCAACACCATCAACCTCATTATCACCGACATCACCAATCTCATCACTAACACCATCAACCTCATCATCATCAACACTCACACCAGACCTTGGTGTCATCATAACATTGATATTGATCGTGCCGAGCTACCCCTGAACGGAGTGTCCACAGAGGTCAGCCGAAACCTACGATAGTATATACAACAAACGCCACCTGCTGTCACTGCACAACTTGATAGTCACCGAGTATCTCGAGACAATAGCTGTCGCACAGTTTGATAGTCACCGAGTATCTCGACAGACCGACCTGGGTTTCAGGCGCGAGACCCCTGACAGTGTTCTTCAACACTTGTGGTCCAGTCCCTTACTGTAGGCAGTGTTCTTCAACACTTGCAGTCCAGTCCCTTGCTGTAGGCAGTGTTCTTCAACACTTGCAGTCCAGTCCCTTGCTGTAGGCGGTGTTGCTTGACACCTGCAGTCCAGTCAGTTATTGTAGGTGGTGAATCACACCTGCAGTCCAGTAACTCCTGTCCTCTGTAGGTGATTAGCATATTGCAGTCCAGATGACATCCAAGAGCATTATCAACAGTACTACAAACACTCATACTGTAGGAGAGGGTGTATCACTCACTCACCAACAACCAGTGTCCATGCCACACAACCTCTGAACAGAGTGTTCAAGGTGGTCAGTCAAGACTTACCAGGTGGCAACATTTGGTTACATTTAGGTGAAACATACTGAGTAGACCTTACTCAATCAAACTCAATATAACACCCCAAAACTAAGTCTCTGGCACGTGACCGCTTACACCTACCTCATTCTCTTCGCATTGTGGAGTCAGTTGTTGGACAGCCTGGTAGTGTCCAAGACTCAAAGGTTTGGACTTCAGGCAGCAACATCCTCAAGAAACCTCAATTGTACTTGGATGATGGTGAGTTTATCTGGGTTGATGGAGGGTATGGTCACTCTGCCTTCACAGTTGGACCTTTCTCACATATAGCTGCTGAGAAAAGCCATGACCTGCATTTCTTCAACCACTCTCTCTCTCAAGTCTGGGTCCAGGTTGAACATGCCATTGCCTACCTCAAGAATCGATTTCAGTGCCTGAATGGGTACAGAGGGAACATGTATCATGTCAAGGATCATATGACAGCAGCAAGGACTATCCAAGCATGCATTGTTGCCCATACATTTGCAAGCCAATATGATGGTCCAGACATGGTTGCTGAACTCCTTTGCCCATCCTTCTCCAAGGAAGTAGTCCATGATGTTGTTCAGACTCTCAGCACCAACCTGAGCCAGAGTGGGAATATGCAGAGTCAACAGCAGACAAATCAAGCTCAGTATGAGGAGGAGAGCATGGCAAGTACACAAAGCATGATGCAGCCTGCCTTGACATGACTTCACAGCTCATTGGCATATGACCTTTGAGAGCAAATGTTTCAGGTGCTGTTCACTTCCACTGGCTGACAGCAGGAGGACACAACTGCATGCTCCAGGTGCCATGAGAGGATGGCTGAGGACTACAATGCAATGTTGGCATGGGGCTGGTTGTCCAGGCAAAGTTGCCAATTGTCAACACCTTCACATCCCTAGCACCTGTTCATTTTCATCCTTAGTGAAATGTTTCCACAAAAGACTTGATTGACTATGACCATCTGTAACAGTGTGAAGCACATGCTAACATGATACTGATGAGCTTCAGTATTAATAACATACATGTTAAAATGAACCAAATGTCACATTTGCTGCAGATGTGTTTTTAGAAACACATGTTTTTTGAATCCTTAAAAGGGGTGTTCAAAAACAGGAAAAAGTCATCAAAAATGAGAAACACGTGTTTCTAAAAACACTCGAAAATTGATACCCCCTATAAGTGAAAACTCAAAAAAATCTTGAGTTTCAGTTGAAGATGCGTCGGCATCTCAAGTAAGATGCACATGTTACGGCCGAGACATTGAGACACGGGAGGCTCACGTAAGCGAGAAGTACAATGAGGTACATAATTGTTGTCATGGTGACAGCACAGTGGCACCCGGTATCATAGCAACACAGGAGTACAAATGAAGAGACACATCCTGCCTCGAATAGGACCAGAGCAGTGAATGGAGTATATATATGTGTTTGTCATTCAGTCTCACATCATGAAAACCAAGCATTACATAGAACATACGGCTGTGGTAAAGGGAGTCTGATCGTGACCCCGATAACACCGTATATTAATTGTTATCTTCATTTGATTAAGAGTCTGAAGAAGCTATCACCGAGCTAACCGAAACTCGCCGACAACCATGGTAGAAAGAATGAACAGGACCCTTGGAGAGAAGATGAGAACGTTGCTAATGCAGAGGAGACTACCGAAGAAGTTCTGGCCATACGCGATCAGAGCTGCGGCGTTCAAAATAAACCTCACTCCGAGCGTTGATAATGAATTCCCTTATCAAGCGATGTTTGGCAAGTCGCCGGAACGAGCTTTAAAGCTCCTACGAGTGTTTGGTTGTCTGGCATGGGTAAACGTACCCAAAGTTAAACGGGACAACAAGAAACTGGACCAGCGAGCCGTCGCATCCATTTTCTTAGGGTACAGTCTAGAAAGGAAGGGCTGGCTCTTCTACAGCCCGGACTACAATCCGAACATCTTCTGGAGCAACTCAGCAAAATTCATGGAATCAAAGTGCTGGTCAGACAGAACAGAGTGGCGACCGGTTGACACAAAGGCACCCCCAATGATGATGACAGAGGAAAATTTCGAAGATCTAGGATACAATAAAGAAAATATATTCGACGAAACAGATGAAGAGCCACTACGAGAATACATGGATATGGAGACAGATTCGGAAGAAAGATTAAGCGAAGGAACAGCGGAGGTGATGGAACAAGGACCAATCGCCGAAACTCAAATTGACAGCGAATTCTATGGACTCGTAGCGACGCGACCGGAATGGAGAAAGAACCTGGACCCAACCATACATGAAGCAATGAGTGGAAAGGACAGAAAACACTGGGAGGAGGCCATGCGAAAGGAGCTGGATGGATTGGAGGCGATGGGCACATGGGAGATAGTCGACCTCCCAAAGGGTGCAAATACTGTCGACACACGTTGGGTACTCAAGATCAAAACCGATGCAAACCTCGTGCCGACAAAGTTCAAAGCCCGGCTCGTGGCACGAGGTTTCACTCAACGCGAGGGCATCGACTATACAGAGGTCTTCGCACCAGTAGCACCCATCCAATCCATTCGAGGGGTGATCGCTGTCGCAGCAGTACGAGATTGGGAAATGGATTCTATCGACGTAAAGCAAGCGTACCTGAACTCCACTATACACCATGATGTATACCTCAAGCCCCCAGTAGGAATCGAAATGCCACCCGGAAAAGTGTTGAAGGTAGTGAAAGGACTGTACGGTCTGAAACAATCGGGCCGAGAATGGAACATTGAGTTAGACTCACATCTCCGGACGATCGGATTCCATTGCATGCTGAGCGCACCATGCCTATACTCAAGAGGGACAGGCGACAAGATCACGATCATCACAGCATACGTGGACGACATGCTGATAACATCACCCAGTCGTGATGAAGTAGATCGCGCAAAGCGAGAGATCATGGACAAATGGGAGACGCAAGACAATGGAAGGGTCAAAGAATTTCTGGGTATCAAGATCACACGTGATAGAAGACGGAGGAGGATATCTCTGGGTCTAACGGCATACATCAAGGAAATGGTGAACAAATGGTTAGGAGGAGCAAACGAGAAATCTTGGGTACCCATGCTGAGTGTAGCGAACGTTGCCGGAGGCGAGCGATGTGAACCTCAGCGAGCAAAGAAGTATCAAGAATTGGTCGGCCAACTATTATGGGTCTCCAACACAGCCCGACCAGATATTGCCTTTGCCGTCGGCGTATTGGCGCGATATATGTCGATCCCGATCGACAGTGCATGGAAGGCAGCCATCCACGTGGTAAAGTACCTGAACCAAACGAACGAATATCAGTTGCACCTAGGAGGGGAGACAAACGAGCACTCGGATACACCGGTAACGACGTATACCGACGCAAACTGGGCATCCGACCCCACAAATGGACGAAGAAGCACCTCGGGGTCGATAACATATGTATATGGGTGTCCAGTGAGTTGGAAATCACACGTTCAGAAGTGTGTGGCATTGTCGGCAGTCGAAGCAGAGTTTGTCGCCGCTTCCGAAGCGGTACGAGAAACCTTATTCTTCTCATATTTGCTCCGGGATTTGGAGACCACGGACGTTCGGCCCGTACTATACACAGATAGCCAGGGGTGCATACAGGTGAGTAAAGATCCAGCCAAACATTGGAAGTTAAAGCACATCGACACACGGTATCATTTCGTTCGCGATCACGTACAAGAGGGCGATGTGGAAATCAAATATGTCGGAACGGCAAACAACGTTGCAGATGTCTTGACAAAACCCTTACAGGGTCTTAACACCTCACGATTGGCTAGGATGATAGGACTGGAGATCCCGCCGAAGGGGGGAGTTGAAGATGCGTCGGCATCTCAAGTAAGATGCACATGTTACGGCCGAGACATTGAGACACGGGAGGCTCACGTAAGCGAGAAGTACAATGAGGTACGTAATTGTTGTCATGGTGACAGCACAGTGGCACCCGGTATCATAGCAACACAGGAGTACAAATGAAGAGACACATCCTGCCTCGAATAGGACCAGAGCAGTGAATGGAGTATATATATGTGTTTGTCATTCAGTCTCACATCATGAAAACCAAGCATTACATAGAACATACGGCTGTGGTAAAGGGAGTCTGATCGTGACCCCGATAACGCCGTATATTAATTGTTATCTTCATTTGTTTCCGAGAAAAGAAAAAAAAGAAGAAAAAAATAATCTGAAACCCCCTAATGGGTTCTCGAGACACAGCATCACTAAGAGATTAGATATCGAAGAGAATGCTAGAGACAGGAGAGATCCATGGTAACGTTGTCCATGGAGCACTTGGTATCATCGAATGCCCAAGCCATTCGGTCAGACTTGACATCATCGAAGCTGTAGAACTGCTGGTCAGGGCCCCAAATGTACACACAATCCCAAATGAAAACCTTTTTCTTCAAGACACTATTCTTGAAGTAAACGACTGACATCGCAGGGCTGACGTTGTCGTAATTCTTGACGTTCCAAGGACTATTGATGCAAACCGCCGCATGAGCTTTAGCAGGACGGTTTTGCCACATTGTAGCGATGTTGTGGATGCCAAATTCCTCCATTGTCACTGGCGTCTGGGGCCAATCGGAGGACGAAGTGTCAATTATATAGGCAGTGAGCCAGAAGTCAAGTGCAGAGCTAGAGCTAGAGCGGCTTCTACCGGCAGAGCTAGAGCGGCTTCTACCAGCAGAGCTAGAGCGGCTTCTACCAGCAGAGCTAGAGCGGCTTCTACCGGCAGAGCTCGGTGATTTAGAGCTTTTGGCGGCGGCAGCGATGCCGTAGACGGAAAGGACAGCAAAGAGGAGATACTGAGGCAAAAGTATCTTGGCGCAAGTCTTGAAGAAGCGTCGGGACGTTCTTACAGCGAAGCACCGATGATGAGATGTGAGAAGAGATCACGTCCGTATCATTCATGTTTATAGTGTGAAAGGACCGACATATAGGGGGTATCAAATTTCGAGTGTGCAGGATCGTTTTGTGCATCGGTAGCAGCCCACAATTCTGCCACAGATGAATGTCTTGGCTGATACTGTCCAGTGATCAACGAACCTGTATCGATCAACGCATTAGGTGGGTACGCCCAGGAAGGCCTCGCAATTGTACTTGCTCAGTTGCCTGCAAGCAAATAAGTCACAGTCTGAGGCACCCACAAGTCACTTGCGAGAGCCTATCATGGTACATGGAAAAGACGACGAACAATCGCCACCAGAGGGAACTCAATTCTTGAGCAGTGCATTGACAACATGATGAACACGAAGCTGTCGGAGATCAGTGTACGTCTGACCGGTACCTAGGAAGTAGATTGGCAGTCCGGTAGCCGAGGTAGTCGTGAGAGCCGTTCCAACCTTGTCGTCAACGGTGTCCCACTTGGTCAGCAGACTGCCGTCGAGCCCACGTGGGTTGCTGACACCACTGAAATCTTTCATAGCTCGGTCGAACTTTGTGATCTGGTCAACGGCCTCGTTTCCCACCAACGCTTCGCCCACAAAGATGATCTTGTCTGGTCGGTTGACCGAAACAAGCTTGGCGAGGGCACGCATGAGTGGCTCGTTGTCCTGCATGCGACCGGCGGTGTCGATGAGCACGACATCGTAACCTTCTGCCTTAGCATATGTGAGAGCATCTTTGGCGATACCGGCAGCATCCTTGCCGTACCCACGCTCGTACAGCTCGACTCGGCCCTTTTGTTCATCCAGGGCAACGCCGTCTACGCGCAGCTGGCCAAGATTGCGAACGTGAACGCGGAGCTGTTCGACGGCACCGGCACGAAAGGTGTCGCAAGCGGCGATGAGAACGCGCAAACGGTTTTGAAGCAGCCAGAAGCAGACCTTGGCGAGGTTGGTGGATTTACCGACGCCATTGACTCCAACGAAGCTGATCGAATAAGGATCGGGCTTGCTGGCCAGCTCCTTGTCCTTTGCATTGGTGGCAAGCGCGAGGGATGAGGCAGCAGCGGAACGCTGACGCTTGGTGGCAATCTCCAAGAGGATGTCGGTGCTAGACTTGGGAGTAAGGATGCGGGTGATAGCCTCTTCCAGGGCTTTCTTGACTTCTGCCTTGACGGAGCCGAAGCTGCCGAGATTCTTGCCTACCAAGTTGCGTTCAACACTGTCGCACAGACGTTGTGCAACGTCAACAGCAACGTTTTTGCTTTGAAGATGGGAGGCCATAGCGGACAGCGCAGGCGCGAGGTCTTCCTTGGTGAGTGTCTTGGCTCCTGTGAGTCGGGAAAAGAACGAAGCACCAGATGAGGAGGCAGATCCGATGCGTGAAAGGAAACCAGCCGACTTTCCGGAAGCTGCAGTATCTCCGTCTTTAGTGTCATCCTCCTCCTCGTCGTCCTCCTCTTCTTCATCGTCGTCTTCGTCCTCTTCCAGAACGTCGGCGATCTCGTAGACACCATCAGATCGCTTTTTGCCCATGCTCTTCTCGTCAATCCAACTGTCAAGATCAGCACCAGCCTCTGCATCCTTCTCTGTGGCTCCGCTAAAGTCGAGTGCTGCGACTTGTTGTGTGCTAACACTGCGGCTACCGTCCCACTTGCGCATTTCCTTCGTGGCCTTGCCCTTCTTTCCACCTGGTGATTCTGTGCCGCTTGCATGGCCTGGTGTTCCCGGAACGCTGCCACCGTTTGAAGCAGAGAGACCTGGGGTGCTCTTCTTTCCATGCACAGCTCGTCTGCCTGCTGGACTGGCTTCGAGCTTGAGACGGCTCTTGAGAGCTTCAACACTATTTGCAATGTCTGCAGATTCTTTGACATCTTTGATCGAGTTGGGGGTGTTCTGACCACTTTCCTTGTCGGAGCCCGCCGCAGCCTGTGCCTGGTTGGTGACGCCCTTCTTTTCGCCGAGAAGTCCTTTACGCTTGGACTGCGCTGCCGCCTTCTCAAGGTTTCGCAAGGTTTTGGTGAAGATGTCGCCCCATTCCTTGAGTGCAGCGCTGAACTCGAGCCGCGCGCTTTCAGACAATGTGGCAGCCTTGGAGGTTCCGGATGCGAGCGCGCTCTTGGAGGAAAGAGCAAGTGTTCGAACAAAGGGAGCGAAGAGGTCGGTGAAGAGAGAGCGGACAGTGTCGAGAAGCTCGTAAATGTAGGAAAGCTGCAAGATGCGTTGGTATACGACGACGAAGGTCAAGTCGAGCTCGTTGGCAAACGTCCATCGAAGTGTGTACCCATCTTTGTCAAACTTCTGGTCAGCTGTACGCTGCTCGAGGAATGCCTGCTTGATGAGTGAGTTGACTGGGTTGGTAGCTGCATCTGCGCTATTGAGAGCTGGACTGAATGTCTTGGACCAAAGAACGAAGCCATCTGCAAAAGAAGAAATCGTACGAGAAACAGTCAGCGACGAGAGTCGAGCGATGCACTGAAGAACGTGGAACTAGTGTGACTTACTCTTTGTGAAGATGGTGAAGTGGTCCAGCATGGTGTGCGAAGGTCGATCACAAGGATGCTGGTGTGTGGCGTGTTGACCTGGAAGGTGTGGCAGCGGTTACAAGAAGGATGGAAGAAGAGCGGGGGTTTGCAGCTGGCTCGGGCGGCGTCTCTGTGGAGAGAGTCTGAGAGTGGAGTCTGAGAGATGAAGACCGAATCAGCTCCGTCGGTCAAGACTGCGGATCGGGATCAGAACAATCCATAACTGCCGATCCAGTTTACTCCACTTTCGAGCTCTGTTGGGAATTTGTTCGGATCCCAGCTACAGCTCAGAGGAAATTTGGCCAACCCTTGCTGTCAATCATGGATTGTGCAGCATTCTTCCGAACCTCAACTCAGCCTCAACTTCCATCAGGTGTATGGGGGACGTTCGAAAGCCTCTACGAGAGCAAGTAAGATGGGTCGTTACGCCATTCTGGTCTCTGGGCCGGCAGGTTCCGGCAAGTCAACATTCTGCTCTGCCCTCATCGCGCACGCACAGTCTCTAGGTCGAAATGTGCACCTCTTCAACTTGGATCCCGCAGCGGAACGATTCGAGTATCAGCCAAGCATCGACATCAAGGAGCTTATTTCTCTGGAAGACGTCATGGAAGAGATGAACCTCGGACCTAATGGTGGCCTCATCTACTGCTTCGAATACCTTCTGGATAACCTCGACTGGCTGGACGACGAGCTAGGCCAATACAACGACGACTACATCATTATTGACTGCCCAGGTCAAATTGAGCTCTACACACACTTCCCAATCATGTCGCGGCTAGTCAACATCCTCTCACAACAGTACCACTTCCGCATCTGCGCCACCTACCTGCTTGAGTCGCAGTTCATAGACGACAAGACCAAATACTTTGCCGGAGTGCTAAGTGCGATGAGTGCGATGATCAACCTCGAAGTACCGCACATCAACCTGCTCAGCAAGATGGATCTGGTAGAAAAAGGGGAAATTGGATCAGAAGCAAAGAAGGGGCGTAGGAGAGAAATGGAGCGATATTTTGACCCAGATCCGCTGCTTCTCATGGATGAGGTCAACTCACGGACAAACCCGAAATTCCACTCTTTGAATCAAGCTTTGGTTCAGCTAGTAAGTGCTTTGTAACACCGAAGGCTACTGCATAGCGAAATGTACTGACGTATAACCTCGGCTTGTCTTTCTCTTCTCAGATTGACGACTTCAGCATGGTCTCGTTCATGCCTCTTGACAGCACTGATGAAGATTCTGTTGGCACCATTCTCTCTCACATTGACAATGCTGTTCAATACGGAGAAGACGAAGAACCCAAGGAGCCAAAAGACATGGACGAAGGTGACTTTGCCGCATAGCAGCCGACTCTCGCTCTTCCTTGTATCCGCGTCGACGTGTCCTAACACTACCCTATGCGCAACTACCAACCCCTGTACTTGTACCTTCCCTGCATCAATGTCCAGTCACGCTGACATTCATTCCTCCATAATGCGAACTATTTGGCCTTGCAAGAATCATGACTATCCGAAGTCAGTCAGATGGTGCGGCAGGCCCTGCTGCAGAATGACACTGATAGGATGGTGTGAAAAGGACAGACTATGTTATGCTGAAAATAGACAATCCAACATGGTAATGTAAGCAGACATGAGACGATGCGAGAGAGATCGGTCGTAGCAGATCTGATCGGAGATTATATAAAGACGATCTCGCCAGGGATCGGGTACAACCTGGTCCCTCTCGTTGTCAGACATCATCATTAAGTAGATTGCACCCACACTCGCTATGAACCTCAGAGATGTATATATTTAGCTCGAGAACACTAGGTTCTTGCCATGTTCACTTAGTCAATTGAGTATATATGTTTCTGTCTTTTAGCAGCAGTGACATCCTACTCAGACGCTCCCCGATCACCAGCTATCGGGACTAAAACTTCTTTATATTTCAACATGTTAGGGCAGTGGCAGCTTCACAATTTGGAGTTTGGCAGATCTTTGCTCGCGTGAGGTGGAAGGGAACCTGCTGAGTCGCTTCGAAAAAAAAGGCTGTGTGTGAGCGCTGCGCGCTTTGGCGGCGAAAATAGATGCAGGGTAGACCTCGACTGTTGCCGTGCAGCTTTCAGTCGAGAAGCGGCACTTGGTCAGTTTTGCTGCCACTTCTCCACACGGACAGCATTCTTGAAACTGTGAGACAAATTTTGGCCACCCTCGCTTGATCACATTCCACTACATCATCCATCACCACGTCCCTGTTTCCATTCGGCGAATTGCCATCAACGTCGGAAGGACTCGTAGTCAAGCTCAGCATCTGCACATCTAGCATCAGACAAAGCAGCTGGGCTTATTATCCAGACGAAGATCTCTTATCACTCTCCACCTTCCGCCTACATACCCTCCCTACTTTCAACTCTGTTTTCGTACAACTTTTAGACCTTCGTCATGTCGCGTAGGACAAGGCAGCGCCGACGTCCTGCAGTTTCACTGCACCGTGTTGCCACCCTTTCACTTGTAGCTTTGGCAGTAACGATCCCTTCCGTGCATGCATCGACCTCTGGGACTCAGTCTGCGCCATCTCCCCAGTCTAGCCTCAACCCGACCACCTCTATCGCCCAAGCTGTGCAGAGAACACGCAGACCATGGCTCACTGCTGCCAAAGACCACTTTTTCGACACTGTCTCTCGCTTCCTGTCACACGCTCTGCCCGACCCTCGTTACTTCTCTTACGATTTAGACCAATTCGACGATGACCACTTGCCGCCTCTTGAAGATCTACCTCTGGACTCCGGTAGCATTATCGACGGCCCAGGTCTCAATTGGGGAGGCAGCACGCTCGAAGTTGTCCGTTCTCAAGCTATCTTCCTCACCCGATCTGCCGCTTTCGGACCCCGCGTCACAGATGATGAAGGTCTAAAAGGATTCTTGCTACCCATCTCCGACTTTTACAAGGTACCCAAAAATGCACGCTTCTTCACATCCGACGCGAGCGGCGATCCGATCCACGCATGCCCATACAAGGGTGGTCCCGGATCAAGACGTGACGCCCTGCCCAGCAAGTATGAAGACGAGGACGATCGAAAGCTCTACTCTGCGCTCATCAACGAAGGTTCGACACAGGCACCGTTCACTTGGACCCACGAACCTGAGCACAACGGTGACGCTGCTCCCAAGCCTCCTCACAACTGGATCGCCCTTGTTGAGCGCGGTGGCGGATGCGGGTTCGCCGACAAGGCCCGTGTTGCTCAGGATCTCGGAGCTGTAGCCGTCGTTGTTGGAGACGCGCCAAGTCCTGGCTGGCACGACGGTCGCTCGGGTGATCCGAACGAAGAAGGCGATCCTGGTTTGAGCGGCAAGCGTCTCATCACCATGTTTGCTCCTGGCGACACGAGCGATGTTTACATTCCCTCCACCTTCGTCACTCGTCCCAGCTACCTTGATCTCAAGCGTCTCATTCAAGAAACAGAGAAGGACCAGGAAGACTGGCAGAGGCAGCACCCATCTGGTCACGATGGCGAGGGTGCACCCATGACCCGCGGACTGGAGATTGTCATCGGCAAGGACGACCTTGTTTGGGAATGGCCGTTGATCGACTTTGGTATCCTGCTCTTGCTCTTGCCCAGCTTCATGACAGTGATTACCATCATTGTGCATCGTATCCGTATGGTTCGACAGAGACGCAAGGAGCGTGCTCCCGAACTCGTTGTACTTGGACTACCTTGTCTCATCTGGAGGGGCAACGGTCAGCCATGGGAGAAAGTCGAGGGTCCTGATGTTGACCCCGGACCGGGCAATGGCTCCTCTTCCTCTGACAATGCCTCGCAGCCCCAACCTTACGTCTCAGACGATTTGGAAGCGGGTCGAGCTGGCGAAACCATTCCTCTCCTCGCCGAAGACGAAAACGGTGCCGGCCCATCACAGCGATCCCACACCTCTGTGAAGATCCCAGACGAAGCTGCACCAGCAACAAAGCCCGTCAACCCTGCATCCTTCCTTCCACCTGGTCGAACATATTTCAGCACCGACGAGTGCGCCATCTGTCTCTGCGACTTTGTCGATGGTGATCGAGTGCGTATCTTGCCCTGTGGTCATATCTTCCATAGACAGGAAGTGGATGATTGGTTAGTCAGGGTCAAGAAGCTCTGTCCGATCTGCAAGAGGGATATCACGGTGCCTATTCCTCCGGCGCCTCCTGTCGGCGTTTCGGCTTCTGCGGCCGCCTCGCCAACGGCGGCAGAAGGTGTTTCGGATGCTGCGATACAAGCTGAAGCAGTGGCTCCAGCAGCACAGGAGGAGGCAGGAGATGTTAGTCAGGATCTCACTCAGAACTTGTCACGATGACCGATCGGATGGTCGACAGGTGTAATTCTGCGCCCAAAAGTCAACACCACCACTCAAGTCTATGTATCTTCTTTCACTCTTGGTTCCAAGCTGTATACTATTCGTTTCTCTTAGGCATGGCAAATTCTCGTTTCATGGACCCGTAATCGTTCAAGTTGCCTGGCTGCAATTCGTCTATGGAAACGTCGCTTTGGTCACAAACTCGCAGCCAAGGCACAGTCCAGAAGCATGGCTAAGCGAAAGAAGCTTTTGAGCATTGACCACGGGTGCCGCTACAACGGCACAATACGCGCTTAGAGAAGAGTCTCGAGAACAGCCACCACCTGATCACCAACGTCCTTCGATCCATGCTTACCGCCCAAATCAGCAGTCCTCAACTCGAGACCATCAATATCCTTTGCATCCAACACCTTCCTAACTGCAGCCTCGACCTTATCAGCGATCTCACCCTGGTTGAGCGAGTACCGGAGCAGCATAGCAGCTGACAAAATGGTTCCGACAGGGTTAGCAATACCCTTACCCGCAATATCAGGTGCAGAACCGTGAATGGGCTCATACAGACCGTTGCACTTTCCGTTTCCATCTGGGAGTCCTGAAAGCGAGGCGGAGGGGAGCAAGCCAAGTGCACCAGGAATAACAGAAGATTCATCGGAGAGAATGTCACCGAACATGTTCTCCGTCAACACAATACCATTCAGCTTGCGTGGGTTAGAAACCATCACCATCGACGCAGAGTCGACGAGCGAGTGGTCTACGGTGATACCCTTATCAGCGAACTCGGTGTCGACTGTGTCTTGGACAACCTTACGCCAAAGACGGGAGGTGGCGAGAACGTTGGCTTTGTCGATGGAGTGGAGAGGTGCAGGTGGATTGGATTGGAGAGCGAGGTAAGAGGCGAGTTTGGTGATTCGTTGAACGTCGAATTTGTTGTAAACCATTGTGTCGTATGCTGCGCCATCGGATGAGGGGTCGTCGAGGTTGGCTTCTTGACGATCACCGAAGTAGAGACCTTTGACTAGCTCGCGGACGACGATGAAGGAAACTCCCTTTGCGACTTCAGGCTTGAGGGGGGAGTGAGAGAGGAGGGATTCGGAAGGGAAGAGGCAGGGACGGATATTGGCGTAGAGGTCGAGCTCTTTGCGAAGAGCAAGAAGCCCTTGTTCTGGTCGCACTTTGCCGACTCCCCATTTGGGACCACCGACGGAGCCTAGAACAAGTTAACACAGCAATAAGGCAAGAAGGAGTCAGTATATGGAGTAGCAGAGTGGCTGGGAGCAAACTAGGGGGGAGTAGGAGCTTACCCATGAGAATAGCGTCGGCATTCTTGCAAGCTTCGAGGGTGTCATCGGGCAGAGGCTTGCCAGCCGAGTCGATGGCAGCACCACCAAAGTCGTACGACTTGAGGTTGATCGAGAAGAAATTGCTCTTCTCCGAAACGAGGTTGAGCACCCGAGTGGCCTGCTCGACAACCTCGGGACCGATACCGTCACCGGGGAGAACGACGACGTTGTATGTCTGCTTGCTCATGTTGATGTTACGGAAAGGAATGGATGAAGTGGTGGTTGCGAGAAGAAAAGAAGAGACGACACGTCTGTGCTACTGTTGATGTGGGGTCAGTTGGTCAGTCTGTGTGGAGCTTCCGCTTGAGAAGAAGTGGGACCGTCCGTGAGTCAGAGACAGAAGAGAGCAAGAAGAAGCGCAGTGTTCTGGTTGGCTCGGCCCTTTCGCAGGTCTGTCCGAAATCTAATCACAATAATAATATCAAAAAAACACTTTTCTGCAGACCTCTTTATCTGTGCGGTCCCACTTGTGATTGCAGAGAGGAAGTGAAGGGTCCACTCTATAGATGTCACATTTCTTCCACTCGTGCGTGAACTGCTGTTCTTAAAATCGGGCACGATCCTGTTAGAAGATTTAACTCTTATCGACACTTATCGGGAGATATCAGTCTAGGTACGGTGTTCAAGTTTTTGAGCTAAAACACTATACTATATTGACATTGGGGAAGAACGTAGCGGTAGCCTCGAGCTCTCCGCTCATTATCCATATACAGTTGTGGTACTTGGCTGAATGTGGGAGCATTCCACCTAATGACGAAGTATGTCAACGAGCGGGACCAGTAGTCCTCGATCTCCTTCATATCGGCCCGCCCGATCTCCGATCAGATCGACAGTCCCCGATTCGTCATCAGATCGTGTCCCGGATCGTTACTTTCAGCAGATCCATCTCGATAATCGTTGGCGCTTCAAGTGGAGCAACGCTGGGGGAAGTTGAGATCTGCGTCGGTCAATTTGCTATTCCAACCCTTCAGCCTTCTCTCCAACCTTTCCGCAACCCTTGATTCCGCAGAACTCAGCACCATCGGACTTTAAGCTTCAGCTTTGACGTTAGCATCTCTTACTACCTGACCTTCGAACAAGCCTCCCTAGCAGACGAACAAGTCGGAGGCCCCTCAACACAATGTCCAGCTCGGCAAAGAAGGAGACTGTCCTCCGCCGATTCCGCGAACTCACCAATGCAACTCCACAAGACGCACATCGTATCCTCAAAGCACACGGCTACCGCATAGAATCAGCCACTAACGCTTTTTTCAACGACGAACAAGCTCAGATCAATGCTTCCGCCTCCTCCTCCACCCATGATAAGAAGACCGAGAGAGAAGTCAAGGAACGACTCAATGCCCTTTTCGATCGATTCCGGGACAGCGGGAATGCAGCAGACTCTGATGACGAGAATGAAGAGAGCGGACCAGCAGCACCAGAAGACTCAGACACAATGAGCATCGCTGGAGCGCTCAAGATGTGTGAGGCGCTCGAGGTATCTCCCGAAGATGTTGTCTTCCTGCCGCTTTCCTACTATCTCAAATCGCCCTCTATCGGTACATTTACCCGCAACGACTACATCAATGGGTGGAAGATGCTCGATCTTTCCGACACCATCAATAAGCAACAAAAGACACTCGAAAAGCTCCGACAAGAGCTGTTCGAAAACAAACCACTTCGTCTCGAACGTATGGCCGAAGAAAAGTCCAACCCTGCTACTGCGTCTTCAGCGAACAAGGGTCTCTACGAGAAAGTATACGAGTACACATACGGGTTCGCGAGGAAAGAAGGACAGAAGAGTCTGGCACTAGAAAACGCACTAGCATTCTGGGACTTGATCTTGCCTGCATCACCAACCTTCCAGCGAGAGGGCGGGTCAGGAACGTTCACACAACAACACTTGGATCAATGGAAGAAGTTCCTAAGCGAGCAGACGGGCGGTAGAGCAGTGAGCAAAGATACTTGGGTTCAGTTCCTGGACTTTACCAAGGAGATTAACCAGGATTTCAGTAATCATGACTTTGATGGTAAGCTACACCACCCTTAATTAGCTGATGAAGGCTGAATTGACAAAGATGTACTGACACTCTGCTATGTTCTTTTGCTACAGCTGCTTGGCCATCGGTGATTGACGACTTTGTTATGTGGGCAAAAGAGAACTTGCCTTCTGATGGCATGGACACGAGCTAAAGCGTCACCCACGTGTTTCAATAACACTCAGCAATTCAATAGTCAACGCACAGCTTTAGTTTGGCTTGAATGCGGAGCACCCTGAGGCGATCTATATGCTCTACATTGCAGACTGACTCAAGTCCCGGAACCGTGATCTGATACGATACGCCTGGCTGATTGTGACTTGCGATTGTTGCACTGTTACAAATGATGTCTGTCTACTGAGTACAAGCGGCTCCTTACATATCACCTCTGCGAACAAAGGGAACGCCCATTCCCGACAGCAATGCCCTCGCCTTTTCGGTCGCCTTCCTTCCCCTTTGGTTTGTGATGCAGTCAATCTGGAAACCAAGTGGTCTGTTGGGGTACTGATCCAGATTGATCTCGATCTGAGGGAACAATGGGATAGCTTCAGGGTGCATACCCAAGCTCACCACGCCCGACATCGCAGCTGGACTCGCCGGAGGCTGAGATGCAGGAGGCAACGGGAATCCATTGAAACTCCTCAATCTTGGCAGGACAAAGGTTGTCAATACCTCCAAAAACTCATGTGCGACAGGACCAGGTAGAATAGCCTTCACACCAACAGGCATACCTGGGCGAAGCTTGAATGATGCAACACCAGACTTGGCACGGATGATCTCGATATGACCCCTGTTCGGGCTGCCTGAAGATGAGGGTGAGGGTGCGGCGAGTAGGGAAGGGTCCGAGAGACTGCCTTCGACGGAAAGACCAGTGATGGCACGGATCTGAGCGATGAGTGGCACCAAAGCGTGCTTGTTGGCGATGGCGTCCTTGGAGAAGCAGGTTAGGATGATTTTGTCGAGTTTAGGGATTTCGTTGATCGTGTTGGTGGGAGAGAGAGGTTTGGTGAGGGGTTGGAGGCGACGGTTACCTCGTGCAGGACGTTGGGGTCGGTTGGTGGTGTATGGATCGGTTGTGTCCCATGATCTTTGACGATCTTCAATGTCTTCTGAGGAAGCGGGGTTAGTAGGGTTGGTTGGGGAGGCGGAGGAGGAGGGTGGAAGTGCAGGGTCAAGGTTGACTGCTGGGTCAAAGGTCATGTAGAGAAGATCGGTGGAGAGGGTATTGCGGTAGTGCTCTTGGTATCGGTTGAGTTGGGTAGGACCAATGACGACGGGATGAGGACGCAGTGTGGTACGTGCCGATCTGGCTGCTGTCGACAGAGCGCGGGATGAGGATGCAAACGAGGAGGAAGAGGAAGCCGAGGCGGATGCCCGAGCGGCGGTCTGAATAGAGCGAGATGCTTGACGCAGCATGTTGACCGTGGTCACTGTTGTTGAGGTATTCATAGTGGCCAATCTAGGGCGTCTTTGAGAACGCTAACGAGTTGTGTAGGAGGTGATGATGAACTGAGATGATGCTGTTGACGACGTTCTGTCAATTCTTCATGTCTCGTCGGAACAGAAAAAGAAGAAAAGGTAGCTCTTTTCTCGCTTTCCCGATTTCCTGACCAAAGAAAGCTCGCACGAGTGGCCTTTGCAGTAAGCATTTCTTCTCAATTTTCCATCTTCACGAAGCGCGTAATCTCACACGCACGAAAGAAGCGACCTCCATCTCTTGATGTCGAGGAGCTTGGTCCACACTCAACACCAACATCATCTCGACTCCTTGCAGCTACCAGCAACACTCTCAACCCAATATTTCGTCTTCCTCACAACCTACTTCTCAAGGACGCCCAGACAGTCCTGGTGCTTCGAAACTAATCGACCAAAGCAGGCAATCAAGCAAAGAACGACAGCACCGCAACTCGAGGAATAGAATTGACAATGGCAGAAGTCGAACAAACATCTTCAGCAGCAGCGGCATCAGGGCCAGCACCAGTAGGATCCGTCACCGAACCCTTCGATCTTATTAGACTATCGATCTCAGAACGTGTCTATGTCAAGTTGCGAGGCGATCGAGAGTTAAGAGGTACCCTCCACGTAAGTAATATGCAAAGAACCGACGATCCAGCGGCCCTCCTGTCTGGCTCTGACAGTGCACAAGTGCCTTTGCTGACATGACTACTTTATCGTCTTCTACAAACGATTTGATATATGGATATGCTGTAGGCATACGACGGACACATGAACCTGATTCTTGGTGATGTTGAGGAGACCATCTACGTTGTTGACATTAATGAGGAGACTGGGAAAGAGACTGTCCGAGTAAGTACAACCACAGACAGTGGCACGCTATGGTAACCATCACATTCCAGGCAAGCTGTGCAACTTGATCTTGCCATGAAGATGTGGACACAATCGCATGACGATTGGCGTATCCGACTTCCTAAGTTCAATCGGCTGACATAATTTGCTCCTCTCAAACTTTCCTCCGTAACCCTCGCAATAACAGGTTGTAAAGCGACAAAGCGAGATGCTCTTCGTTCGAGGTGACAGTGTCATTCTTGTTTCGCCTCCATCCAGCACCTAACCTAATGCACAATACCCAACAACGCACCAACCCACACATCTCCACAGATCTTCAATAGCAGGTTCTTGCTGATCACATGTATTACTATCAATCAACAGGCCGCCTCCTCTTCGCCTGGTCAATAGCGTGTCTCGTAACGAGAATCATGGATCGCAGACCTTGCCATAGTAGCACCTGCATAGCTCTATAGACCGTATGCTGTCAGACGATCGCTTACAGGTAGTTCGTGTCTGCATCTCAATCTTGCAAGAGATCGCCGGACCCCGCCTCCCATTTCCACTCCCAGAAGCACTTTTTCGAAAATTTCACAGCCACATCAAACACAAAGCACAGCAAGATAGGGGTTTGAAACCGTAGATTTGACAAATGTCGTAAGGAAGTCAAATGTATGCCTAAGTGTACAAAGTTGGAATGCGAGGAGTGTTAAAGGCGCCCCGCCGCGCTACATCAAATCCAGGTATATAGATAAAGGTGACCGAAACCGTGACCAATGCAATAAGAGAGAAAAATAGCCGGAGCTGTGTTAAGTGCGGCCCCGCGCGCTAGTACAAGTTGTGAAAAGAAACGATGCAGAATGGATATAGAGGGGCTGTGTTAAGTGCGGCCCTACGCGCAGTGATGCATTAGTACAGTTGTGTGTGTGAGAGACGGGAATGCGAATCGATGCAGATGCAAGAAACGAGAAGAGAGAGAGAGAGAGAGAGAGAGAGAGAGAGAGAGAGAGAGCAGTTGAGATGCTAGTCAGAGGCGCAAGGAGGGGAAGGGATGAAAGCAAGAGAAAGAGATCCCAATGCGGGTATATTGTGTTGGTGTTCGTGATGGAGCCGCCAACCGACCCTTCTCAATCTACGCCTTGACCAGCAACTCATTGTGTGAGATGCTTGAAACCAAGAGTAATTTACTCGAGGTTGCTGGGGTAGATGTGGGTGTCAGGGTCGATGGTGGTCTCCTTGATGGTGCGGGCCGAAACAAATCGGTAGAAGATGGAGATGGAACCGGCCTTGTCGTTGGTACCCGAAGCACGAGCACCACCGAAGGGCTGCTGACCAACGACGGCACCAGTGCACTTGTCGTTGAAGTACATCATACCGGAAGCGTTGCGGAGCAAGTTGCTCGCACGGATAAGAGCGTATCGGTCAGCGGAGAAGATGGAACCGGTAAGAGCGTACTCGGTAGTGGTGTCGATGAGCTCGCAAGTCTGCTCGAACTCGTCGTCGGGGTAAACGTAGACGGTGATGACGGGGCCGAAGATCTCGTTGACCATGGTGACCGACTTGGGGTCCTTGGTCTCGATCACGGTGGGCTGAACGTACCAACCCTTCGAATCGTCACCCTGACCACCGCAGAGGACCTGACCGCCCTCCTTCTTGGCAGCCTCGATAAGACCCATGATCTTCTCGAACGAGTGCTTGGCAATGACGGGGCCCATGAAGTGCTTGAACTGCTCAACAGGGCCAACCGAGATGGAAGCGATCTGGTCGAGCAACTTCTGCTTGAACTCACCCTCCCACATCGACTTGGGCACATAGAGTCGCGAGAGAGCAGAGCACTTCTGACCTTGGTACTCGAAAGCGGCACGTATGGACTGGGTGACGGCAGCGCCGACGTTGGCGGACTTGTGGACCATGTGGAAGTTCTTACCACCGGTCTCACCGACGATGCGGGGGTAGCCTCGGTACTTGTCGAGGTTGTTACCGATCTGCTTCCAGAGGTGACGGAAGACGTGGGTGGAACCAGTGAAGTGGAGACCAGCAAACTCGCGGTGGTTGATGGCGGCACCAACGATCTCCTCAGCAGGACCAGGAAGGAACTGGATGACACCAGCGGGAAGACCAGCCTCCATGAGGATCTCGTAAGCGACGTAGTTGGAGTAGATGGACATGGGCGAGGGCTTCCAGACAACAACGTTACCAGTCATGGCAGGGGCACAGATAAGGTTACCAGCAGCAATGGCAAGGAAGTTGAAGGGGGAGACGGCAAGCACGAAGCCCTCGAGAGGACGGTACTCGGTTCGGTTCCAGGTGTTGGGAGAGCACTCAGGGGGCTGGGAAGAGTAGAGCTCCTGGATGTACTTGGCGCTGAAACGGTAGAAATCGCAAAGCTCGGCAGCAGCGTCAATCTCGGCCTGCCAGACATTCTTACCCTGACCAAGCATGGTAGCGGCGAGCACCTTGTAGCGGTACTTGCTGGCAATGAGGTCGGCTGCCTTGAGGAAGATAGCAGCACGGTCGTTCCAGGGCATGTTCTCCCAAGCGGCCTTGGCCTTGAGGGAGCCCTCGATAGCCTTCTGGACAAGCGACTGGTCAGCCTGGTGATAGTTGCAGAGGATGTGAGAGTGGTTGGAAGGGTTGGGCTGCTTGCCGACCTTGCCAGTCTTGATCTTTTCGCCATTGATGACGACGGGAACCTCAAAGGGACCAGCGGCGATCATCTGGTCGACAGCTTTCTGGAGCTTGACGCGGTCATCGCTCTTGGGTTCGTAGTTGCGCATAGGCTCATTCTTAATGGGTGGCAACGAGAAGAGGCCGAATTGCGGCGCCTGAGGTAGGGAAGCCATTTTGATATGTGTACGTGGGGATGGGAAGATAGGAAGGAGATGGGTCTCTTACGATGAAGCTGAATGAAGCAGCAAAGGAGACGAGAGATAACAAGGAACCGGAACAAAAGCGCAGGCGAAACAAGCAAGGAGTTGGTTGGTGAGAAGGAAGAAGGGAGACGTTTCTCGGACGTGGATAAGGGAGGCCAATATATGGAGGTCCAGAGCGGGAACGAATGAGAAAAGAGAACTAAACTAGCAAGTGGGCTCGAGTTGAGTAAGTGAGTGTTGGCTTTCCAAAACAAAGGCAAAGCAAGGTCACCAGGTCACCATACCCGAGAAATCAAACCAAAAACTCAACCAAGTGAACCCAAGCGCGGCTCAACTCTCAATCAATATTATTGTTGAGCACAACACGAGTCAGAAGAAGGAAGCGAAATTTTCCTCTACAATATCTCTGCGTCTGAGTGTCTTTGCTGTTCAGATTTCCGCGGGTGGGGCACAATTTCCACTCATTTTCTTCGTTTCATCCGAAATCTGGAGATTGAGAATTCAGCGGGACTCTTCCTTGGCCTCGCTGCCTTGGCTCTTTTTCGCGGTTGCACTGTATCTCTTATCACTTGCAACTCTGACAATGAACCCATTGCCATTGTTCTTCGCGAGCAGGAGCGAATGATTGTAAAAAGCCGGTCAAGTTGCCAGAGTCACCATTCTGCCTTCAAAATTGATTTGCCGAAGGAAGTGATCCAATATGATGATATATGCTGACATAAGCCTGTACGGAGAGCCTATTCGGAGATCTGGCAGAACCGATCTGACCAGAGATCGGGTACAACACAGTCCCGCTCGTTGTCAAGCTTGATCATTAAGTAGGCTACTCTCACATTCGGCATGTGCCACCCAGATGTATATATATCAAGCCGAGAGCACGAGGCTCTCACCATGTTCCTTTAGTCAATTGAGTATATATGTTTCTGTCCTAAACAGCAGTGACATCGTGCTCCGACTCTCACCGATCGTTGATCATCGGGACCCGTTCTCGTCACTGTTTCCTAGGGCCTTCCAGTACGTTAGAAGGGAAGCTTGGAATTAAGACGTGAAGGGGGGGCTATATATACCTTACATGTCTGGCTGTGTCCTAGCTGTGTTCTGCTGAGCGCCCGAGGGGCGCTCCTAAATACAAAGGGGAGCAATAGTGATCAAAGGGAGGCGATGGTGATCAAAGGGTGATAACGAACAAAAGGTAGTGAGGATTCGTGCGAGAGAAATAAAAGGGTCCGTAAGGGGGCTTCCGATACGTGCTCAGACAGGCCGTCTGGAACATCACTTTTTATCAGATTTTCCCTTCCGTGCGTCATGGCGGGAAATCAAAGCGCCATTTCCATAGTCAGGCTTTCTGCCTTTCATGTCATTCTCTATAGAGATTGAGGTCAAGCTGATCGTTGAAAGTGTGTTCGCATTGCCAGAAATCTACAAAGTGTCCCTCAGCAGCTGGCTAGGCTATCGACGCGAACGACCAAAGAACATGCTCTGCGTTCGGTATTGACGGACAATCTTCTCCGAGTCCGTCTTTGGTCCTCTCTCAAATTGACCATCTGCGCGGGTGCCTCTGCCAAAAAAGGAAGAGAATCTCTTACGTCCAGCGTCCTGGCGATTTGCCGTGTTGCGAGGTCTCGCATAGTCATCATGCCCGACTTGTGATCCCGGTGGTAGCATATCTGGTGCTGGGTAAGGAGCTGGTGGACCAGACTGTACCTGCATCCTGGAAGTGACACAGCGAGCTACGAGCTCACTTTCGACTTCCTCTTCGCCACCATCTTCATCGGTAGTGTCCGAAAGCACTGACTCGGTGTCTCTCGCAAACCCGGGACGAGGCATTGCCAGCATCACCTCTTCTCTATCCCGTGTCTCTTGCCTTTGTTGCTCCAACACTCTGCGAAGAGGGTCTGACGAGGGCTCGAATGCTGCCGACACCTTCTGATGGCCGCCTCGGGCACCGAAAACGGCCATCAAACTGATCAAAGCCAGGTTGATGTCAAAGATGCCAGCCGGTACAGTAGCTGCTTCGTACTTGAACGTCCCGATCCGTTTATCTGCATCCGGGATGTAGCCCATACCACTGCCAACAGGATCCGAACGTGTGGAAGAGCGAGGCAATGCCTTCCTGAATTCGGCGACTTTGACATCGCTGTCTTCACGATACAGCGCCAACGCTTGCTTGTTCATCCTCCACACGTATCGCGAGCCATCCTTTACCATGATGTGCCAGTCATGCTTGAATAGTCGATGCCCAGCATGCATGGTAGCAAGGATCCCTGATCCTCGCCTGAAATCGTAACTGTTCTTCATTCCTTCCTGGCGCACCTGCCAACCCTGCTTGTCAAGCACCTTGCTCGCGCGGCGTGCTTGCTTGACCGACTCTGCCGCATTGAAAGCTGCAGCATCAAAGCCGATGGCATCCATGAGTACTGCCTTCCAGCCGACCATCTGGCGTGGGATGCGTACTGCCATAGCTGAAGAGCTTGACGATCCACGTTTCCATACCAGATAGCCCGGCAGGCGGTCATCCTCGTAGAGGTCCAGCAACTCGCCATATCCATTCCATTCTTCATCTGCCAGCTCCATCAGCCCAGGGACAAGCGGTGGAGCGGGCTGGCTAGTGGTGCTGGCATTGGTGTTTGGATCAAATTCAGCCGGAGCTGGGGATGAATGCGACAGTGTTGATAGGGGTCGTCTTGGGGAGCCATGTGCTTCCAATGATACGTGCGTGGGAACACAGTCAGATAAATCAGTCGCTGGATGAACTGGGCTGCTAATGAGTTCACTCGGAGGCTGCGGGCTTGAAGATAGGCCAGTAATTTCATCCCTCATCTCAAAGCTGCGTCTGAGAGGGTGATCTGCAGGGTAGTAGTCAGCATCACAGAGGGAGACGCGGCCACCGGCGGGTGCATCCGCGTGGCCAGCACTTGATGATGAGCCTTGAGGAGCACCAAGATTTGCTGTACCTCCATCTGGGATCGAGTGGCTGAGAACGGAAGCAGGCGTCAGATCAGATGATGTTGCTGGTGGTTCGAACACCTGCCCGATCGATGCTTGCACAGAAGACCTCGGAAGTCGTATTGTCGCCTTTCGTTGGAAAGCTGCGAGGTAGTCTTCATGATCAGCAGGACTCGTTCCTGCATTGATGCCAGTCGTGCCGGCATTTGATGATGCCAATACTGAGCTGCTCCTCGCTCTCCCTTCTGCCTGTTGGATCCATGGGAAGAAGTTACTGAACTCTGATGCGCCTGAGATGATCACGGGGTCAAGGCTGACTTGCGGCGGTGTGCTAGGTGTCTCTCTTCCTAGACTTTCAGCTGAGTTGGATCCGCTCGTGTTCGCTTGGTTCCCGAAGCTTGTCTGACCGTTGTCGAATCGCACATGCGGCTGTCCTTCCAACATCATGTCCGGGCTCCTTGAAATCTCTCCGCTTTCGTGAAACCGTCGATCGGGATAGATGTGAATGTATGCGCTCGAGTAGATAGTCGCAAATGCGATATTGCGTGCTAGAAGTTTTTAGTATTTGATGGTGAGACGAAAAGCTCTTGATAAGGATAGAAGCGAGGATGCAGACCTCGAAGAAGATAGATGAAGGGCCTGGCAAGCTTGGGCGCAGATCGAACGAGGCGGTACTGTGGCTCAAGCTGTGCACAACAGTACCTGTGACTGACGCAGACGAAACAATGGCCAACCTTGCAAGGTGGGGCGGTGCAGCCTACTTCATCACTTCGAGGATGACGCTGGCATCCAGCTTGTACATAGTCGCCGGCGTTGGCATCTTGCTGAAGAGAGTCTTTGGCCGAATCAGCTGCACGTTTGGACCTCCTCCATGCATACAACGTTGCCTCGCAACTGCGACGGACGAGCATGTAACCATCTTCACAACATGCTCAGAACAAGCGGAGCTCGAAACCATGTCGTAATGGTTTAGCTGTTAACCCACGCCAAGGCACACGAAACGGTTCGGATACGCTTGATTTCAGCTCGGCAGGGTCGGCATATTTTTGGCAGAACTTCCATCTCTCTGCGTCATAGACCAACCACACTCTAATTCGCCGGCGTCGCAGCGTGTTGGGTGTTGAGCTCCTCTGCAGCAGCATGGACAGCAGCGAGCTGTTGGGAGGTGCAAAGCCTCGTGTCAAGAAAAAGAGTATCTTTGGAGGCGAGAAATATGCACACCGCAACCATGCAACGGCACAGCCTGACGATGGCTTGGATACAGCCTCTTGCCAGCGCAGAGAATTATTGACCAACCCCACAAAGCATCCGAAGACACACAAAGTGTCTGAAGCTTGCATCTGCCGGCAGGAAGCGAGCTTTTGACAGAGACTTAACTCTGCACGCCCTGACCTTGATGTCCGTGTCGCTGGTGTCCATGTGGCATGGAGGCTTCTGACTGCGCACCAAAGTCTCACAGGAATGGCTCTGTTCTGTCTGTCTCCTTCCAAGCTGGCGGGCTAGTCTTGTTCACTTGGACGCGCAGACCCACAATCGAATGAGACAGGCGATGCGGCAGTTGGAAGTCGTACAGTATGCATTGAAATCGATCGCAGATGTGTGAAACTAGAAAACCATATGAGTGCAGAGTGTACTGCATAGTATGAACAGATGAAAGAAGAGTAACAATGACAGCTTAACGCGACCTCGAAGTACCCTTGCCACGCTTGCCAGCAAAGAGCCACTTTGGCTTGGTCTCCTTGACAGCACGATCCGACTCTCCGGCCTTGGCGTGCCAGTTGCCCTCTCGCATGGCAAGTTCGCGCAGCTTTCTTGCCTTTTCGAGCTGTTCCGAGTTCTTGAGACCAGCCAACTGTCGGTCGGATGCGGCGACACGCGCTGGACCCGCACGCGCACTGATGTGACCACCAGCACGGTTGACTGGCGCTTGTGTCGATGAAAGCAGACGGCCACTAACGTTGCTCTTGCGAGCCTTTCTTGAGAGACTGATGTCGGCCTCCTCAGTGTCCATCTCCACGTCATCTTCCCAAACGGCCTCCTCCTCGTCATCCTCGTCCATCTCCTCGTCCTCATCGTCGCCATCGCCCGATCGCTTGCGCTTGCCACCGGCGAGACCCTTGGCCTTGGCGAGCATCTCGGCACGAGCGGTGACGCTGCTTGGGTCGACACCGATCTCGCGCATTCGCTCGGCCATCTGTGACAAGGTGCGCTCCTGGAACTTGCGTGGCACACGAGCCTGGTTTTTGACCATGCTTCGGTCCTGTGCCGCAAGCTTGGCCTTGAGCTGACGCTCACGGATAGCAGCAGCAGCGCTGCGGATAGCCGCCTCTTCCTCGTCGAGCATGGAGCCCTCATCGCCGCTATCGTTGTAGAAGCCATCTGCCTCAAGCTTCTCCTCCTCGCGCTCGAGAGCATCGAGCTTGTCGAGAATGTCGGGGTCGACAAAGTCAGCAATGTTCTTGCCCTCGTAGATTTCGGGGACGTGGTCGTGCTTCCAGTCGTCGTTGGCGAGCATGTAATCGCGTTTGATGTCGATGTTGAAGACACCGGCACCTCCATTCTCTTCCTGCTCGTCCCGGAGCGTCTTGCGTCGCTCGGGGTCCTTGGCGTCATACTTCTTGGCAGAACCATTAGCGATAGCCTCGGGAATGTAGGCAGTTCTCTTGACGTCATCTCGTGACTTGGGTTGGGCGACGTGGAGGCGGTTGAGGACGGCGTTGATCTTGCTACCCTTCATCTTAGTCTCGACACGCGATGCGAGCAGGACGTCACAGGCGAGGTTTCGTGTCTCCATGACACCCTCGTCGGTATATGTGCTGAGCTCGGCGAGCTTGACCTTGCCGTCAGATTCGTCAATGATGCTCTGCACCAAAGCAGCACGCTCGGGCTCGAGGTCTGAGAGTCGTTTGGCATCAGTTTTGTTGATAGCAAGAATGCAAGGCTTGTTTGCAAAGAGAGGCTTGATGCTGTTGAAGAGCTGAACCTGGGCCTCGACGGTGTAGCCACACTGCTCTGAGAGGTCCATGAAATAGAGAACGGCGGCTCGAAGATGAGCAAGAGCAGTGATGGACTGCATCTCAATGGTGTTCATCTCTTCGAGTGGGTGGTCGAGGATTCCCGGGGTATCAACGACCTGCCATCGAAGGTACTTGTAGTCCATGTGACCGACAAAGAGCGACTTGGTGGTGAAAGCGTAGGGTTTGACATCGACATCAGATCGGGTGACCTTGTTGATGAAGCTGGACTTGCCAACGTTGGGGTATCCGCAAATGAGAAGAGTTCTTGTGCTTGGGTCGATGGGTGGGAGACGTGACATGTGCTGTCGGACCTGCTCAAGGTAGGCTAGAGGGTCCTTCTGGCGCTTCATGATGGTGGCCATACGACCGAGAGCTGCACGCTTGAGCTGCTTGCATCGGTAAAGCGAGTCACCGAACTTAATGAGACGAATGTAGTCCTTGGAGACCTGCTCGATGAGGTGCTTGGCAGTGTTGAGCTGACCGAGCGCAAGCTTGTAGTGGTTCTTGTCGTACAGAACATTGAGGAGCGAGGAGACGAAGGGGTGAAGGTTGTCCATAATGGGGAACTCCTTAAGAATAGCATCAAGCTTCTCAGCGAAAGCATCCTTGGTGAACATGACCTTGCGCATGTAGAAGGAACGGATACGCGTGATCTTCCATCCTGGGTGAACGACGGTAGGCGTCTTTCGCTGTGTCTTGGAGAGAACAATGTCCAAGAAGTCGGTAGCGGTCGGAACGGGGGCAATCTGAGCTTTGAGAGTCGCCATCTTTGCTATCTATGCAGTCCCACCGTGCGGTCGAAATGGAGGATTGGGGTGATTGAATACGGTGTGGCAATCGACTGCGCCGTTATACGGAGGCGAGCAAATGAAAGGCAAGAACCCTTCGATCAACGAGATGCGATTGGTCCTGTCGCAACGTCTTGAAGAGGAAGGGGCAGGGGATGGAGCCGTGTATGGGTAATAGAAGAAACGATGTCTCCTTGTTGGCGCCTTTTGGGGATCTTCAGCGTGTAGAGGCTGAGGGATGATCAGGGTGGGAAGGATGTAGGAGCATCTCGCCGGTCTGGAAGGCAGCAAGACAGCTCGAGAGTCAAACCTCGCCTTCGCCTCAGCAAAGAGGGGGGGGAAGAAAAAAAAGGAATTCAGGGTCAGCCTTCTTTCAAAGCTGCAAGTCTGCTGCGTGCAGTCTAAAATTTCTCAAAAATTTCCAACAGCAAACGGCAGCCGGCCAAGAAAACGAAAATTCCTGTGGGTAAGAAGTCGCAAAAGCAACGAAAAAAAAATATTCTGAGAATTGAACCCTTTGTCGGATTTCGGGATTGACCGAGAAGACCTAACATCTTTGCGAAATCAAGCGCCAGTGAACACAGAGCAACGTCTGTCTCTCGTGCGTATCAAACTTGATTTGAGCTGTCAAGAGGTTTTGCTCGCGTGTTTGCCGAGACTCTCGTGGCGTGCCCTTCTGCTTTACAGTGTGAGTCGTTGAGCGGTCTCACAGTCAGGCACAGAGATTCGCTGCCAGAACAGCATTCGTTATGAAGATGAAGCAACAAACAATCCATAGACATGAAGCGATGTCACCGGCCCTCCGCGCCGACGATGTGTTGTTTGCGTTATCATGCGTGATGAAGGCAGAGCATGGGCTGCTATCGCGCAGGGGACAGGGGCGAAAGTGACGCCAAAAGAGCTCTCTCTCTCTCTCTCTCTCTCTCTTTTTTTTTTTTTTTTTTTTTTTTTTTTTTCTCTTTCTCCATTTCTCTTTCTCTGTTCCCGTCTGCCAGCCGCAAAGAGCATGGAATCATTCGCCAGCAGAATGACGGAGCAGGGAGATGGGCAGAAATATCAACATTATTCTTCACTCGAAAGGGCCACTTGAGCAGTCAAAGTCTCGCATTAAACCCTGACCACCGCTACCAAGAAAAAAATTCAGAAGACGGTCATCCCGCTTGGACTCAATCGCACGAAACATGACCGAAATTGTATATACATAACACGAAAAAACTAAGTGGATTGCAGACAAGCAGGCTCCCGGCCCGCCGTAACAGGCGGTCGAGCGCAGAAACGAGCGGCAAGGGAGGGCAAATAACAACGAACCAGGCTGCTAATAGTACGCCTGGCTTTGGTGAAGATGATGTAGTGAAAAGAGGAGAGGAGAAGCGTAGCAGTTGATTGTTGAGTCCAACCCCAGACGCGCACGCCTTCCTGACGATCACGTGATGCAGAAACGAGGAAGATCCGAGTTCGTTTCTCCTTTAAAGTGCTCAAGGGCCCACTCTCGGCTAGCGCCGAAAAAGACAATTTTTCCTTTCTGTTGGTGTGTGTGTGTGTGTTTGATTGAAGTGCACCCGCGCACTGTCACGCAGCCTATGTGGTCAACAGGAACACATAGACACAGTCGTTTCACTGAGCTCTGTCACTTAGCACAATCGCCTATCAAAGAAAAAGAAAAAGAAAAAGAAAAAAGAAAAAGAAAAAGAAAAAAGAAAAAGAAAAAAGAAAAAGAAAAAGAAAAAAAGAAAAAAAAGAAAAAGTCTTCCAAAAGTTGACAATTTCACACAGATTCCCAGAAGACTGAGCTAGAAGCACCATCCAGCATTGCTATCTTTCCAACACCATCCCCATTTCATCCATCTTCACATCCTATCCGGTATCAACTCTTCACCCTACAATCGACAAAAGACAATCCCAGCAACGCATGAAGCTTGCTCGTTATACCTCTCGATATATCTAAAATCGCATCCTCGTCTTGACCGCCTAAACAAGACAAGCAACCCAACTCGAGGTTCAGCATCGTTCACATCGGCCTTAAAACCTCATCCTTCATCGATCAATTCAGCTCTCAGTCATCTGAAGCTGTCTTTTCCATTCGATACCTTACCGCTGCTTGACTCCATCATCGTCAAGCAACAGCGCTAGAGAGTGGGACATTTTTCCACCTGATCATCGCTCTCACCTAGAACATGTTCAGTGCTACCCACCGCTCCCTCCCGCCTCTTCCCAACTCTTCGCATACTTTTGGCTTCTTCTATCACTGTACTAGTCTTTCGCCTCATCCAAATAGTTCTGCTGGCGCACCGTAATCGGCGCATACAGATATCCACCCGCCGACTTGCTGCGCGTCAGCGCGGTCTCGATTGACTCAACTCGCTGCGAGCATCCCAAACTCGAACAAAACCCGCAATAGCACACGACATATTTGTCATAGCCATCGTCTCTTCCTAATCTGCTTCAACGCACACGAGCGACACACCGCTCGACCAACACTCACTTCATGTCTCGACAACTCAGCGCAGGTAAATGTAAGTTTCTCCTCAGCAGGTGCCGGACACGGATCTGCTGATCGGAAGGTTACCTGTATGAACCCTGACTGATCAACATGCCTCTCTCTATCGTCCATATCAAACTGGCACCTCTGTTCTTCTCGACTCTTCGCACTCTCAGACCGTTCCGCTAGAAGAGCAGACTCCGTTCACCCTTTGAACCATCGCAAAAGCCTTCAGGCCAAGTTACAAACAAGCCCAGCCCGCTCCAGCCCTTATCATCGGGCCGGCTCATTCAAATCCGGCCCTCCTTCTTCGCGCTCCGCCTCGAGCGTCGGAGGATCGCCCCGTCCCTTGTTCCAATCCGACGACGATCTCTCCAGCTCGGGAGACGACAACAACGACCTTGGTTCTAAGCACATACCAGGCATCAAACTGCCCATACCAACTCTCGCAATGTCATCCAGAAAGATGGCAAGATCACTCAACGGCAAGAAGCCCACCAAGGTTTACTCTAGCAAGAAGGATCGACCTCGTGCCGAGCGCAAGGCAAGCGTCCGCAAGGAGCGCTTCGAAGAGCTCGACACCGACTCCGATCTCACCGATCCCCCCTCCGACAACTATGCCGAAGGCGCTGCTTCCACCGCCGGCCGATCCTACTCGGCTCGTGAAAAGGGCAAAGCTAGGAGCTTAGACAGCGATGACCTCGAATCAGACTCGGACACCGAGATGGAACGCAAGCTTGCTGAGGCTGGCGATGGCGAATCTCTTCTCGGCAGCGGTGCCTCCGGCGATGACACAGAAGAGGAGGAAGAACGTTTCATCATTCAGGACGCTCTGCACAGGCAGTCCAAAGCTAAAGCCCGTCTTCAACACCGCGATCCATCAGTTCGTAGATGCACAGGTGGCGATCGCGACTCGGCTAGCAGAAGTGATCTACAACACCGCGCTCGTTCTATCACAATAGGAGACGGCGCTGCTGCCGAAGAAGCAGAAGCCGACGCAGAGGACGACGATGAAGACGATGAAGACGATGATGAAGATGATGACGCAGATGCCGACCTTCTCTCCATGTCACCTGACACCCTCCGCATGTATGGTCTTCCGGTCATCGAGGACGAGCTCTTCGAAGAACAAGAGGCTTTCAACTCTTCTTCCGAGCCATCCTTCACCGACTTCTTCGAGACGTCTACCGACAGCGAAATGGATATAGCCGATGCGCAAAACGAAAATGGAGACGACGACGATGAATTCACCACTGACTCGGACGAAGACAGAGACATCAGCGATCTTGAAGGTGGCCTCCTCGACGCTCCTCTGATCGCACACATCGGTACTGCTCCTGAAGGTGATCGGAACGCTGCTGTAACCGATGCAGCTGCAGATGGCACACTGCAACCCAAGCCTGAGATGCCCTTGCTCGTCATCGAAGACCTCGACGGCCGACTTATCTATGCCAGAGCTGGTGACGGAGAAGCTGTCTTCGGTTCTGATGGCGAGTTCGAGTTTGTCGATGACAGTGATGATGACAGCGCCGATTGGGAGTTTGATCAAGGCGGCAACAGGCTTTGGTCCGGATCTGGCGGTCACAGTGGCCTGCTTGGAGCTCCCGAGGACGACGGCGACACCACGGATGAGCTTGCAGACGAAGACATGCCATACCCCAGACTTCTCGTCGGCTCCGTGGCTCCTCGTGGCGGTCGCAACGCTAGACGCGCAAGGGCCATGGCCACGAACTCGCGTCGTCTCTCACCAGCAGCTCCCAGCTCTTTGTCCTCCCCTTCGATGCCACACACTGCACAAGCAGTGCCAGCATCTGACTCTAGCGTCAACGGCAAGCTGTCCAGCAGTGGTTCCGGAGGCTCGCCCGTCTCTTCGGATGAACAGGCCGCTGCCAACGAAGTCGGAATCACCATTTCGACCGAAGAGCTTGCCCGCGATCCTGAAGGCACCTTGAAGGCCGCCGCTGCTGCTCTCGGTGTTACGATGGAAGAGGCTGCTTCACTTATCGCTGGTGTCCAGATTCCTGCCATAACTGGCGAGGGCAACAGCGCAAGTGGCAGCGCCAACACCAGCATTAGCGGTCATGCCAGTGGAACCAGCTCCACCAACAATACCATGGCTGCGCCCAAGGCGCCAGAGCAGCAGCGCGTCACCAACGTCGCCAAACCGCAAATGGGCAGTTTCATGCCCACATCCGCCAAGTCAGTCCACCGTGCCGTTATTGATGGATCTCGCAAAGCACCTTCGCCCTTCTCGGGCAAGAGAAGTCTGGAGAAGAAGGGGCTTGCCAAGAAGCGCAGTGCTGGTCGTCGTAGCTCGCTCATGGAAGAGGGATTCTCTGCCAAGCGTCTCCGTCGATTCTCTTCGGCCAATGACGCTGCTTCCGCTTTGGATGAGTACAGCGAGATGGCACCATCGTCACCCGAACCCGTGGCTGAGGTCGACCCGATGGAGCTTGATGACGTTGTCGACTCAAGTATGATCTGGCGTGGCACTGGCTCCAAGTCACCTTCACCTGAACCCGAAGTTGGCGAGGGACAGGATGGGGGACGACGCTCATCTATTCGCTCTGCCCGCAAGACATCTTCGGCCCCCGGACTCAACCTCAACGCCTTTTCTCGATGGAACAAGATCCCAATGGGCTCCTTCCGTGATTCTCAAGCAGCGCCAGCACCATCGCAGAATGCCTTTCAACAACAGCAGCATCAGCACCAACAGCCGCTTGGCACCTTCTTGCTCACTCGGTCCCAAGGACAGTCAGGGCAGAAACGCACCAGCTCGCCTTTTCGATCTAGCTCGCACGCGGTGCGTCACCCAGAGATGTTCTCAATCAGCCCTCTGCGCCAGCGGCACGAAGACAAGAGCAACGAAGTTGGTGGTTCGAACGACAGCACGTTGGGACGACGACGTTCGTTCATCATCTCGCCTGTCCTCTTTCCTACACGAGGCGGCGAGATTCCACCACCTTCCTCTAGCTCGTACGCTGCTGCCCAGAAGATGCCCACGTACAGTCAGGTTGCTGGCATGTGTCTCGGTGGCAGCAGCAGTGGCGCTGGCGACGCCGCAAGCGTAGCTTCTGGCAACAGCGCTGGCCCCGGCCGTATCACTCGCCGAGAGAAGAGGGAGAGGCGCCTCAAGCGGGCCGCTATGCTGGCTTCGCAAGCCGAGGATGGTGCTGGGAACTCTCGACAGACAGCTGAAGATGGAAGACGCTCGTCAACTTCTCCCATGCCCACTACGCCTCTTTCGCAGCTTTCCGGTTTGCAAGAAGGCGCCGTCGGCTACGAAGAGGGCGACTCTCCCGCTACGGCCTTCCCTCGGATGCGCATCACTGACGCAACGCCCACACCACGAGGCTCGCCTGGTCCTCATGGTTTCAATGGCCCACCTGTAGTGGGCAAGGATTTGCTTGAGCCTGTCTCGAGCTTCAATCCTCAGAGCCACCTCACTCCAACCAAGAGCAACGGCACTGCTGGGCAAATGGCTTCAAGCGAGACCTTAGCCAGCGAGTCGGTGCCCAGCAGGGTTACCAAGGAGCCCAATGTCGAAGGTCAGGATCAGGATGGTTCGGGTACGGCCTCCATGTCAGGTGCTCTACCCTCGTCAGCCTGCAAGACACCTCTTCACTCGCCGTTGTTCGGTGGCATCTTGGGCGGCGCGCTCAACTACGATTTGGAGGACAAAGAGGCCGAGCATCTGCGTATCTAAGCGACTGGCTTTCTTCTGAACCGTGTACATTCTTCAAGCTTTCTGAGTTGTGTCAATTTCAACCTAGCATCTGCACATGGCTCTACGACGACGCTTGGCTTTCAAAAAGGATCAATGTCACCTAGTCTATCAATATCTCTCAAGTTTACTAATGTGCATATTCCTTGACATTCAATGATCACGGTTCTTTCTCTTTTGCACGTAGGCTTGATGCGATGAGCTTCTGGGATGGTGAAATGCAATGCTGTTAGGCTGGTAAAGCTGTACGGTGATGCTGGAACCAGACATTTGGCAGCACGTGGCGGTAATTCATTCACTATTATCCTTCCGACGGTGAGCCAAGAGGATCTTGCACACAAATTCCAAGAGAGTAAAAGCAAAAGGGTCGTCCTGCAGGGTCTGACTAGATCCCCCACTAGCCTAAGCGCCACTTCCATCGCTTATGTGCGCTAACTTGACGAGTTACGCTCGTAATGAATCCATTGTCCACGCGCATCGACGAGTGTGAGTGTGTGTGGAATGATTTATTGTGTATTGTTGTGGCTGGAAGGAGGCGTGATTCTGGAAAAATAAAACTGAACTTGGAAGCCTAGAATTCCGAGGCGAAGTTCAAGAGGTGGCATGAAGAGATGCTGGAATATGCTGCTTCCGATCGCTGTGCTCCAGGTCGCGACGATCGACGAGCATGGGCGGTGGAGTGGAATTTCTGGACCCTTGTCGTTGCAAGCTGCCAGGCAGCTCGGAAGCAGACCCATGTTCATGTTCAGTTCCTCAGCCTTTGATTTTGGCACTGCCGCCTGACCTAAGAAGCTGTACAAACAGCATTCTATCAGTCGACAACCTCAAACTAGCCTGTACACCTGTAGTAGGGAGCCATTGTACCTTGTTGATGATAAACGCCGGACTAGTTGTAAGCTCGATGCGGCGAGTCTGAAGGGAAAGGGACACGGTTGCTTCATACCGTCCAAGCCAGCTAGTGGCAACGATTGCGACGCTCCTGCCGCCAAGGGCAAAACAGAGTGACATAAGGTTCCCTGTTTGCATGGCTCGCTCCGTCCGTTGTCAACTCAGCCGCTCGGTGTGCGAGCGTAAGTGGCATAACTGCTTGATTGCGGGAAAGGAGAGGCAACTCTAGGCTCCAAGGCTCCTGTCCTGCCACACCCAGCCCAAGCAGTTGTGCAGCAAGTACCAGTTTGGGCAAGTGAGCTGGGTGCCAAGTTGGTGGCCTAAAGTCCATAGGGTGTCTCCTAACTCCCTAATTGTGCAGCGAGAGAGCCGAAAACAAATGACAATGACAAGTGGCTCTTCTATGCAGTCAGCTTGTCAATGTAGCACTTGAAGCAATAAGAGGACCAGCAGCCAAGGGTCTGGACAACTGAGTTGGGGGTGCCCATGAAAGAGGCCCAGGAAGTGGCACCGTGCCTGAACAAGTGGCCAGTGTACTCATTGGCTGGCAAGCCCATGCAGGCAAGGAGGAGGTGGAGAACTGTGAGAAACCAGGTGCAGGAGAAAGGGGTGAAGCCATTGCCAAGGCCAAAGAGGGGTGCCGAGGCTGGGTGGCCAGTGCAGAGGACTCAAAGGGCTGCATACAGGCATACAGGCGACCTGGTGTGCAGGACAACAAGGTCAACTCCCTGTCCAAAGGGGTTGGTTTTGGAGCGAGGTGTAAGCAGTTGCACACCTGAAACCAGATTGGGTGTTTCCAATTGATTTTGGTGCAGTCAATTGAGTAAGATCTACTTGGTATGTTTCAACTGAAAGTGATCAGACAGTTTCATTCTGGTAGGTTTTGGCTGACTGCCTTGAACACTCCATTCAGAGGTTATGTGGCATGTTTGTTACTCCCTGGGGTGAGAGTGTTACACTCTCCTATACAGCATGAGTGTTTGTAGTACTGTTGTTTGATGCTCTTCAATGTTGCCTGGACCACAATAAGCCTATTGCCTACAGATGACAGGAGTTACTGGACTGCAGGTGTTTAGACACTGCCTACAATAACTGACTGGACCACAGGTGCTGAGCAACACTGCCTACAGTGATGAACTGGACCACAGGTGTTGAGAGAACACCACCTACAGTTTGATGTCTGACAGTGATACAACACACATGTTTGAGATGTTGTTGCAAAGGCTTCTTGCTATTGCAATGATACATAATGAAGTAAGAGTAAGTAAGGTAAAGAGTAGGGTGGATGAGGATCCACTCATTTGCTATGGTGAAGTAGTAGTAGTATTTATGTGTTTAGAGGTGCTGCCTGTGGCACTGTCCCTACTCCTCTGGAGGAGTGTTCCCATCCTCCTCCTACACCTCCTCTCCTTGGGCTGTGTGTTGAATCTTCTCGACACTGCCCCATCTTCCTCATGGTACCAATACTGATCCTCTCAGTCTGACTCCCTCTCCTCTCAATCCATGGCCATTCCTTGGCCCCTACCTGATGGCCCTCTCTGACCAAGTGACCATCCTTATTGTCCTGTTCTCATCCATGTGGTCTACCTTGTGACTAGTTCTTATGTGATCAAGAGCACATCCCCCTATGTGGTAACCTGCTGTGTGCTCCTGAGCTTGGTCCTCTTCTTGGCTAAACTTGGACCCCCTTTAGCATGTGAGACCCTTCCTTGTGCCCTATCCTACCTTTGACAATGGAGGCCTTTCCTATCAAGTCTCCCATTGCCTCCTTGTGTCCTGTTGGTCCATTCTGTACCAATGGGGCTTTGTGTGATGTGTTTTGGTGAAATCAACCTGATGAGCATGTTCTGCTCAAGTTGATGTCACATTTCATGTGCCTTTTTTTGGGCACACCACATCTTCATCTTCATCTTGGATCTTCCTGCACCAACCCAATCTCCTGCGCAGGTCCTGTGACAGCGGGGCTGAAGAGGTGGAGCCAGGCGTGGCTCCAGGAAGGAGTTAGCCGGGTGTGGCAGGGTAGACAAGTGAGTCTGTTGGCAGCCAGAAGCATGGCTGGGGGAAGACACTAGGTGGGGAGGCTGTGGTGCACCTAGTGTGGCCTGTGTCATTACACTTTGCCTCCCACATTGCTGATGGTCTTAGCATTGGAAGAAGGGGCCAAGGCAAGCTGGGAGGCTGAAGGGCAGGCTTTTTCCACATGTTTACCATGGCATGTGGTGCAGATGTGTTGATACTTGCAGTTTGTGCTGGTGCAAGTGGTGTTCTTCTAGCACCAGCATGTGTCACCACACTTAGGCTTGAGTTGGGCAGCATGAGGCTTCTTAGGAGGTGCAAGGCTGAGGTGGTCTTGGAATGCCTCAGTGTCACACACAGCCCATGCAAGTGTGTCTGTGTGACCAAACCATTTCTGGCAGATGGTCAGCACATACTCTGTGATGTTCACACAAGGATAGTTCCTATCCAGGTCAATAACATGGACCAGGAAATGGTTAAGTGCAGGTCCTAGAGCCAGGTCAAAACTTGCAGCAGTCCTGAGTGAAACATAGACCACCCAGACCTGGCAGAAAGTTGTAATGTCCAGGATGGCCTTGAAAAATGCTTTCAGTGGTCTGGTGGAGGAGGTGCTGGTGATGTTGATCTGGATGCCCTGGACTGTGAGCATGGTGGGTGTCTCTTTGCTGACTGTAGAGCTGGCAGGATTGCACAGCTTGATAAGGTCAACAATGGTGAGATGGTCAAGGGAGATTGTGTTGGCAATCTCTGAGGAGACCCAGGGGAAGAGACGGAAGAGAGACCACTCACCTGGGTTTAGCAAGCTTGAGGGGAGAGGAAGGGAGCAGGACAATGCCGGTTGGGCAGCCAGGCCCGAAAGAGCGGTTTGGGGTTGTGTGTGAGGCTGCGAGCGTTGAACCTTGTCTAGCTCAGTCGCGAAGGATCGGACCTGTGCCTGCAGCGGTGCGAGCCACTCTTGAACCTTGACTTCCACCTTCTGCACCCAGGCGTCTAGGTATTGCTTGAGTGTCGCGCCATCAGAAGGCTGCTGACTCGGGTGAGACGGGTTCTGGGAAGGGGCCGAGAAGGGAAGGGTTGCACAGGCGGTGGGCTTGGGGAGGCTGCGAGTATGTACCGTCGACATTGCTGAGACGGGTGGTGTTCTAGTCCGAGGTGACAGCTGAGGCAACAGAAAGGCTGCGAGCTACGCGTCTCGTGCTGCATTGCTTGTTGATGCGGTTGCGATTGCGGCAGCGGAGGCAGTTCTTGGTGATTACGCCTAGCATAGAACGAGATTCGTAGGTCACGACAGGTTGCATCTGCTTGCAGGTGTTGCATCGGAGGTTTGGGGCCGCGTTGAGAGGTTGGTTCGACAAGGGTGGTTCGTCGAGAAAGCTGGGTCGGTTGCTGGGGCCAGGTTGAGGAAGGTAGGCGAAAGGGCGGTGCGCAGATGACCAAGGAGGTTGCTGGGCGTCGGGTCCATGTCTGCTATGGCCAGCGCGGGCTGGCACTAGCCCACCGTTGTCGGGGAGGTTGTAGAGGGCTGTTGTGCTGAACAATAAAACATGCACCGAGCGGCTAAGCGAGGCCAAGGCACGATGATGAGGGAAGTGAGACAGAGTCGGAGTGAGAAGACGAGAAGAAGAGAATTGCAGCGAATTTTCCTTCACGGATGTGTCCTGGTGCAGTTACTTGCGGAAGAGACAATCATTTGCACCTTGGACATGCTGACCAGTCACCTTGAACGGTCGTTGGTGCTTGGTGGCGAGGAAGACCGACGCCGGATGATGTCAAGGCTTTGAGAGGAGGTGGTGCGGAGAAGGGTAATTTCAGAATTTCACCTAGGCTGGAGGGAGGGAAGAGGACGCGTACGCTTCTCTGCTCTGGTAGTGACGTGAGATGGGTGGAATAGAGCTCGGTTCTTGCGCTTGGACCCCTGCGTTGGTGCTGTGCTGTGCTGCGGGATGAGTTTTTGAGTTAGAATTGTGCAGTAGAAAAGGGTCCAGGTCAGGGTCGTTTTGTTTGGCTGCAGTCTGGTCTCTGGTCCTCAAACACGACAGCCGGCTCCGCTTTTAAGATAATGAGGGGTAGATCGTCGGAGGCAAAGAAGCCCTTTAGGGTATCAAAGTTTTTGCGTCCTTAAAAACCCGGGTTTTTTTTTTTTTTTTTTTTTTTGTTCTTTTTTTTTTTTTTCTTTTGAAAAGCGCGTTTTTAGAGGAAATTTGAAACCCCCTGGGTTTTTAAAAACACAAAACTTTGATAACCCCTTTTGCCTGGTGGCTTATCTGCCGGCATTGGTTGCTGGGTCATGTGCAGATGTCGAGACCGTGACCGGTTTTTGTCTTTCTTTTTTTTCTTCTTTTTTTTTTTTTTCCCTTTCTGAGAGGTTCCATGCACGCCGCATCAACAAGCAGCTCAGATTTGAACTGAATTGAAGGGATCAACACTGCTTCTTATAAGCAATGCATTGGTCGCCTTCGCTGCTTCTAACTCTCCAGACCAAATGCTGTAGAGAAGAGGGCGGTGCGGTGGCAAAACGCAATTTGATTGGATCTAATTGGGTTTCAAGTGGAAGACAGCAGTCACGGAGACGAGTAAGGAAGAACAATTTTACATGGAGCGTTTGGTATTTGTAATGATGGCCTGCACCTTGCTGCCAGTCAGGCAATCACAAGCGCTTCTCTGGAGAGCTTCCAATTCGCTCAGGCTCGCTCTGTCGAGCAGAGTGACAACCTTAACTAACTTGTCTAGGCGCTTGCCCGAAAAATGGACAGTCAATCCAAGCCTGCCTGAGATGCTTCCTTGCCCCACCGCCAAGGAAGCCGTGCCGAAACTGGGGTCAAGAGAGGCTTTCACCCTTTTCTCAACCCACCTTTTCTGCTTCGATCCTGCAGTAGCCTGCGTTTGCTGCCCACGCCAACCTCGTTGTCTTTTGAGAACGAGATTGTGCATGTCTTCCCACCCACCTTGCTTTCGGCGACATGAGGCCTAAAGATGACAGTCGGCTCTTCCGTCGTTAAGGAATTGGCATCGTCTCCGACATGGGCAGCGGGAGAAGCCGTTGGGATCGACCGTCTCTACCGATCCTGGCTGCACTCGAGGTTTCGAAATTTGCAGCGAGCAGAAAGAAGGAAAAGAGCAAGAAGGAAAAGAGCAAGAAGAAGAGCAAGAAGAAGAAGAGCAAGAACTTGGGTGCACTGCTATTCTGCCTTCGACGTGGCTCTGGTCCTTTTGACCGATCTCCCTGTCAATCAGAGAAGCGATCGTGACCCTGCTTTTTTTTTTTCTTTTTTTTTTCTTCTTTTTTTCTGCTTTGCCTTTGACGCTGTGCCAAATAATAATAATAACAACAATAATAATAAATCTTTCTTATTTCTTCTTCTCGCTGTGATTCGCTGTTGTCCACACTTTGGCAGCGGCTGATCCTGAGGGAAGCGAGGCAGGTCGAACCCTGAATCAAGTTTTCACCAACGAACCCTGAGAGAGTTGCAAATCCTAATTTCAACCTCGCCTCTGTCCTCAAGCCCGAAATGAATGCTGATTCAAACCCTTTTCTCAAATCTAGACTGGTGTGCTGCTGCATCATCCCCATCAGATGCCAGCCCAGAAGAACAAAAAGCAAGCCAGCATCCTCATCATTGTCATATCATCATCATCATCATCATCATCATTATCGTCACCGGCGAACGCACCCTCCCTGTCTCGCTTGCTCCGGTTGAATTCCCAATTCTCCTCTTCCTTCTTTCGCCCAGAGCCTGTTCTTTCTCCCTTTCTTCTTTCGCCTTCCTTAAGCCTAAATTGGAGTGTATGGCTGCATCATAGAGGCATCCTCCTCTCCTCCTCTCCTCCTCTCTTCCTCACTTCCTCTCCCCTTCCTCCTCCTCCTCCTCCTCCTAACCTCCTGGGTCTCCCTAACGCTCTCTTCCCGCCCATCCCCGAAGGGTCTGTTTGCGTGCCTCACCCAACTCTCCCTTCCCATCAAGCCTTTGCTCGGCAACAAGGCTCTTTTTCATCTTTTTTTTTTCCCCCTTTTTTGCTTCCCTTTTGAATGCCATCCTCGATTGCTTCCGCTTCAACTCCAGTTACCCACTACTCGCCCTCGGGTAACAACAACAACAACAGTAGAGATCCGCCCAATCAAAGGTCGTGGCTCGGAGCAAGACCCTTCCTCAACCCCTTGCAAAGGGCCCTCTTCTCAAGCCACAGCTAGACCCTTACTCTCCCCTTCCTCACTTCCTTTCTTTCCGTCAGTCGTCCTCTTTCGTCATCAATCGATCCCATCCTTCCTCTTCACCCTTCTGCATCTGTCGCCTTCCCCCTCCCTCAGCTGCAGTCCAGTCGATCCATCGACCGCATCCAGCTCTCTCGTCTGTACCTTGACGGCATAGTCTAATTTGCGCTCCTCATCCACCACCAAACATCCCCTTCCCTCCGCACATCCACCACCGCCACCGCCACCACCACCACAACAACAACACAGAGTTCGACCGCCAGCACCGTCTTTCCATCGCCTTGTCTCGCTTCCAAACTCCTCCTGCGACATTCAAGCTACTTGCCGCTGTCCCTCCTGCCATCGTCTACTGCTCCACGATCTGTGTAACCTTAGCTGCCGTCATCCATCTTGCTTGCCTTTCCTCCACCATCTCGTACGACGATCAAGACAACTACCAACAGGTATCTACCTATCAGTCAGAATCACGACCATTGTCAGCTCAACTCGACGCTCTACAACAGACGCTCTCGCCACCGATTCCGCCATTTTGCACTCAAGTACTCGACGCAGACCTTCATACAAGCTCGTCAATTCCGATCGCCATATCTTTCAACAACAACAGTTTGACTCTGCTTTACACATGTCCAAGTAGATCGTTCACAACCCAACTCATCACCCTCGACACAGATCATAGATCGACCTGACTTTATAGACCCATCTCGCAGTCTTATAGACTTGTCCATCTTCTTAACTTCTTCTTACGCCTAGCACTCGACCGACCCCCTGTCAAATACACGGTCTCTCATCGCATCGCTGCTTTCGAGAGAAGACAGGTTCTACATTCGTTGGTTCGTAACAGCCCAATTAATAAGCTGCTACACTTGCAACAAAGCGTTGCTTCTACTCTTTTCCTCCTTTCTCGGTATTCATCGCGTTCCATCGCTTCTTTATGCCGTTTTCCCTACCATCTGCCGGAGGCATCGTTTCTTTGCTCAACGACCCTGCTCTACCGCCGCAGTACAAACCCGAGCTTCCACACTCGTTCTCGGACCACCAGTACAGCCGCCCCTACCAACACTCTTCATCAGGAATGTCCCATTCTGCCTTTGATTCAACCTCATCTTCAGAATCTCTTTTACCCAGTGGCGACCGTTCCACTGCTTCAACTTCTCCACCAACCTCGTTAGACTATTCTTACGAGAATCGGTCGTCCAAGCACAAAGCCTACGGCGACTCTATCCGATTGCCGCGCATCCAAGTGCCGGGTGATTTCTCAGAACCCCATCGTGGTCTCCAGGGACACAAGGTCCTTGGCGGCAATCACATTTCTTCTTCTCCCCAGAGCCTTGGTATGCGATCGGGCGAACCTCTTCCACCCTCAGCCTCTGCCATCTTTCCACCAGCTCACTGGGACCGATCGGGAGCCTACCTCGACCCCAACGACTACAGTCGACGTTCGTCTTCCAGCAGCTCCGATAGTAGCATGCACCCTTTTGACCGTAGCATGGCATACGCTGACATTAACGGAATGACTAAACGTCCAGGCAAAGACGGTGGCTCCGGCGCCATCACCATTGGCGGCAAGAAGCGTTACCCATGCCAACACCCTGGCTGTGACAAGACCTTCTCCACCAGCGGTCACGCAGCGCGTCACAACCGCATCCACACTGGTCAGAAGCCCTACCGCTGCACCTTCCCCGGCTGCAAGGCTCGCTTCTCTCGCCAGGACAACAGCCTGCAACACTACCGCACCCACATCCTGCACCCAAAGGGCCGTGCATCGCAATCCGCACAAGCTCGCGATGCAGCCGCCCAGCTCGAGCTCGACCACCTCGACCTCGACGCCGCCGATGCTGAAGCAGAAGCCAAGGCTGAGCTTGGTCGTCGTGCCCTCGAGGACGGTACCGCCATTGCTGTCGTTCACGAGGTCAAGGACCAGCATGGCCGCAAGAAAGGCGAGACCATCGAGAGGATGGTGGGTATGCCCCGCAGCCGACGCGAGTCTCTTCGTGGTGGTGCTCTCGACGATGACCGCAGCACCTCACCTTCCTCGATAGATGACCCTCGCATGAACAGAGAGTCCAGCCTTCCAGGTGTCGGCCTTGATCCAGCCCACTACGAGACACCCGGTGACTACTGGTCATCGCAGATGGCCAAGCAGGGTCGCCTCTCGTTGCCCCACCAGGCCATGGCCTACGATCCCCGCTATCGTGACCCCGCCCCGCCTGCGCCTTATGGTCGTGAAGTGGCACCTGGTGTCAACGGTGCTTACCCTGGCACTGTCCCTCCTGCCGCCTGGGCCCAGGCTCAGCCCGCTTACATTGACCCTCGCTTTGCACCAGGCTACTCTCGCTCCACCGCCGTCTCGGTGTCGCCTCATTGCCAGAGCGTGTACGAGCCTTCGTCGCGTATGGCATCGGCTTCGTTGGACCCTGAGTTAGCGGGATCCATGGGCCGATCGGAGGATGCTGACTACCACCGTCGTAGCAACTCAACCAGCAGCAGTCAGCGTGACCGAGTTCCGCCCAGCGTCGCAAATTTGCCTCCACCGCTGCCTCCCGCATCACGCGCCGCTCATGCAGCATCGGCTCCCGTCTCCGGTGTTCCCTCAGCACGATCATCGCAGAGCCCCAAGTCCAGCCCTACCTCCAGCGCTTACTCGGTGCCCGAAGGTATCGCTGCATCAGCTCTTGACAAGCTCAGCGCAGCTGCTGCATCTAGCAGCCCAGCTACAGCCTTGTCTGCACGAGGACGACTCAGCGGTGCCTCTTCCATGTCAACACCAGCCTACCAGCACCCATACAGCTCGGACCGCTCCACCAACTACGCCTCTTCCTCGCTACCTCCCATCTCATCTGCACGGGACCGTAGCAGCGAAGACACAATGGATCTTGACCGCAAGACCATGTCTTCTAGTTTGCGAAGCTGTCTCGCAGCGGACCCCAAAATTACCTTGCCGCCTCTCAATCCTCCCGCTGCTCGTCGGCGGTGATTGATCGACCTCCTCTATGTTTTTCCCTATGCTGTCCATAATGATTCGGACCAACAACCCCCCTCACCCGAGATTCTGTCACCGATTGTACTCTGTAGTAGCAAATTGTTGTAATGGTTCTTGTCATCTCTCTCTCTCTCTCTTCCTTTCTTCCTTTTCTTTGTCCTCTACACCTTCCGACCCTGATCACTTGTATGCCGTAGCTTCGACAGTTCGTTTCTGGATCAATGCATGTTCCATTACGTGACATGGTCCTGCTTCGAGTCTCCGGCGTGAGTGTCTGACAGGTGGTAGTGCGTGAGAAGAACACTATAAATTGTTGTGTGGTTCACGGAGGGCAAATAAGCCGGCGGTCAAGTGTGCATGTGGCTGATGACTGAGAAGCACGCGGCAATGTAAATTGACACAAGCCAACAAAACTCGGAAGGGAGCATTCCGCAAGCACGGTCCTTCCAACATCTTCATCCTCTTCACTACCTTCCTCTTTCCCCCTTCTTCTCCTCTCCATCAAACCATCACCACTCGACCTGGACCGATAGAGAACACTCGCTGCAAAGATGAACTCCACAACTGCCACCCTATCACCCACGGAATTGCAGCACATTCGCTCGCAATTCCCAGCCCTCGTCTCCGCAGACTCCCAAAATGACCCACTCTCCGGCTACGTATTCGCCGAAAACGCAGGTGGATCACAAGTCCTTTCCTCCGTCGCCGACTCTATCTCATCCTACCTCCTCACCTCCAACGTTCAAATGGCAGCTTACCCACTCGCCAAGCAAGCCGAATCTCGCGTCTCACTCGGTTCTTACGCTGCAGCTGCTCTCCTAGGCGCACCTACTCCGGAGGATGTAATGATCGGTCAATCCGCAACTTCTCTCGTCGCTAGTCTTGGATTTATGATTGAAGCTCGGGTCCTATCTGATCGTGCAGAAGGGAAGGAGACGTGGCAGGAGGGAGATGAGATTGTTCTTAGTGATGCTGATCATGAGACTAATCGTGGTGCTTGGACTAGAATGGCGGATAGGTTGGGGTTGAAGATTGAACAATGGGCTGTAACTCCTACGCCTACTGCCGGGGAGAATGCGTTTGCGGTCACGCTCGATCCTAAAGTGCTAGCTGGGCTGGTGACGCCAAAGACGAAGTTGGTGGCCTTCACAGCATGCTCCAACCTCCTCGGCGCATTTACGGACATCCCTGAGGCTGTTGCTGCAGTACGGGCGATTGCACCAGAAGCCATCGTTGCGGTTGACTGTGTAGCTTTCGCTCCTCATCGTCGAGTCGAACCTGTCAAGTGGGGTGTAGATGTAGCCTTTTTCAGCCTGTACAAGACTTACGGGGCTCATGTGGGAGCTATGTACGTCAAACCCCGCATCAAACAAACCGCTCTCAAACGGCTCAACCACTTCTTCCTCCAGCCGCCAACATCCGAGATTCCGGGAATGTACCCCTTCCAAACGAGCTCGGTTCAGTATGAGCTGAATCATTCAATCGCTCCGGTGGCTGATTATTTGGTTTCGCTTGGATTGGGAAAGGAGGTGCGGGTGGATTGGAATGGTGTTTTCTCCCGGCCGACCAGCGTTTTCTCGCCTGCGAATTTGGTAGAGATGACGAGGGAGGAGGTGGATAGTGCGATGGATAAAGCCTTTGGCAAGATCGCTGGTCATGAACAGACTTTGCTCTCCCAGTTCATCCCCCCTCTTCTCCGCTACACATCCAAAGGAATTAAAATTGTAGGTCCGGAAGAAAGCGACTCAACCACGCGCGCCCCGACAGTCGCTTTCGCAGTCATCGACCCAAACACCGGCAAACCCAGGGTGGGAACAAGCAAGACAATCCACACAAAGCTGGTGCAAGATGGCAAAGTAGGCGCACAGCAGGGTCATATGTACGCCCACAAGTTGGTTCAGAGTTTGCGTCTGGACTTGGCGGATGGTGTGGTCAGGTTGAGTTTTGTCCATTACAATACCGAAGAGGAGGTGCAAAGGGTGGTTGGGTTGTTGGAGAAAGTGTTCGATGATGTACTCTAGAACAGGACGCTGCTTGTGTACTTGCTTGCAACTCGAACCCTTTTCAATTTTCTGCTGTTGAGAGTGTGGTTGTGAGTGTGAGTGCTTGTGTGTGAGTGCTTGTGTGTGATTGTTCGTGGCCCTGCTTGATGTTGTTCATATGCTATCGAGGGCATCATCCCCCATCGCTGAAATGCAGCCTCACACTGTGAGCGTGATCCAATCTCCATTCGACCAACACCTCGCATTCGTCTGCTTGTATCTGTATCAAAAGTCTATCGCATCATCAACCTCGCCCTCTTACGCCGTAAAAGAGCTCTCCGGAGGAACCGTCTCCTTCGGATGTTTGTTCTCGAAGTGTTCCTTCAGCACTTTGTAGTTCTGTTCAATCCTCCATTCCACCAAATGCAACCTCTTTCAATCAGCGCTCTTCCTTAAATATATATATATATATATATATCCTGTGTAGGTTTCACTTACAGGAGACTGCCCTTTGCAAGTCGGGCAAGTAAATTTGAGACCCTTTTGTCTTGCTTCTCCGAGCTGAGACTTGCCTGTTCCAGCACCACCAGCAGCTTTCTTCTTGGCCGCTTCTTGGGCTGCTTGTTTGGCGTGGCCGCGAACCTGCACCACCCACGGAAAGCAGAACATAGGTTGTGAGCAAGACACAAATTCATCGCAAGATAAGGAGCAATATTTGGAGTGCTCACCATGCTGTGGAAAGGCGCTGCAGGGCGAGGTGGTGACAGGGAGCGTAAGATGGAAGTGATGGGCGTGGGTTGCGTTGAGGGTTGCAAGAATCAGTAAACCAGGTGTCTTCCGACATCCGACGCGCTCTTTGACAAGGACCAATTTCGCAGCCTCATTTTTTCCCCATTTTCAGGGAGAAAGCAACCCAGCAACACACCGCGAGTACAGATCCCCCAACAGGTTACAGGACAGCATAACGAGGTATATTGGCAAGAATCCTTGAGAAGTACATCAAAGTCTGAAGGAATCTACATTGTCAAACATTGATGAGAGGTGTTCTTCCACTTTCATCTATCCCAATCAACCTCCACTCTTCACCCCGCCACCAGCCGCACCCGCCGTCCCAGTAGTCCTAGCCATCGTATCCCTCAACAACGTCACCAAATTCAACACCGCATTTGCACCAACCTGCAAGGACCAAAGACTGACATTCTTCAGTCTCTCCCTACTAGCATTCTGACTTACCACATGGTTTGCCAGCGCTTCGTAGATCTTCTCGCTCACAACCGGCAGTAAACCTGTCTGGGCGAGATCGAGGGAGCCATCGAATTCGATGAGATCCATTACGATTCGACAACGGATGGGGATGAGCGTTTTGTTCGCGTTCATAAAGGCAACTATCGGACGGACGAAGGCGTTGGTGGAATAGGAGATGTCGTTGGTGAAGAGGGGGACGGCAGCTTTGATGTCTTTGAATCGGACGTCCATGTCGATTACTACGGTTGGTGGGGGGATGGAGGATTTGTTCTTTTCTTTTTGATGCTCTGCGTTGTCCGAGGTGTCAGTGGTTTTTGCAGAGTCGGAAGAGGCGGAGGCAGCAGCAACTGCAGCTTTGCGTTCAGCCCGTACAGCAGGTTCTCTGCCCTGTCTTCTGGCTTCCTCGTTCTCCTTTCTAATCCTTTCCGCAGTCGCCCCAACAGCAGAAACAGGTGCTTCGATCGCAGGCCCACTTAACCGATGCTGTCCTGGAATAGGCCCATCATCTTGATCCCGATTAGGCTCTCCTGACAATGCCGCTGTAAGATTATCCAGCACCTCGATAATGATAGTATTGATGTCCGCCTCATCATCCAAATCCCTTGGGAACTTGATATCCGCCACGACATCAAACTTGCCTGACAGAATCCACGAAATCGGCCCTGTCAAATCGGACTGATTCTGAATATGGTCAAAGTTAACACCGTCGACTCGCATACGAGACATAGTCTTCCACTTTGAATGAATCATTTCCCTATCCTGCTCCACAGTTCGGCTGATGCTCTGCGGCTTGTGCAAGCTGAACAAACATCCGTCCACCTGACCTGTGATAGACTCCGCGCTTAGTAGATCATAGAAGAGCCACTGTTTGCGGAGCTTCGGAATGTGCGCGCTGAAAATACTGAAGTTGAATGGTCGGAAGTCATTCGGTTGATATACAGTAACCAGGAAATCTTGGACCACAACCGACTCCATCTCGAAGTCTCCGTGTCGAGGTTGTCTACGTGCGGCTCGCGGATCGTAAGGCTTGATTGGGTCCCGGAAAACATTGCGTCTATCCACAATACCCCTCACACCCCTTACAACGGCATCTTCGATCAAACCCTTGCCGTCGAACCAGCGCTGAAGACTGAGCGTAACATCAATCGAGTCCACCTGGAGGTCGAACATGGTATAGTTGGTGTTGACTGTATCGTCTTCCGCCAGATCCTCCCCACGAGCTTCGTCACTCATGGGTGGAGCTACTTCTTCTACCTCTTCATAGTGCGTTCCTTCCCACGCCATACCGTCTCCTGCTGTGACAGCAGTTCGACGCTTGACCTTGTTCGGTCGATCAGCCCCGCCGTTCTTTGCTTTTCGCCTCCTTTCCTCGAGTAGCGAGTCCATGTCTCCATGTGCTCGACGAGAAATGAAAACATTCTTGAAACTGATCTTGCTCTCCTTCCACTTTGGCACGATCGCACTCTCGAACACCACCGTGACCCCCGTCTCTGCCGTCAGGTAGTCTGCAATCTTTCTCGCGATCCATTCCTGCAGGTTAAGAGCATTGAGCGCTGCGAAGATGAGCGAGAAGAATGTAGTGGTACCGACGATGATAAAGACGGCAGTGGTGAAGCCACCCAAAGTGAAGAAGGCACTGATGTCGTCTGCGTTGAATCGACGAAATCCACGAATGGTAAACCACTTGAAACGAATACGAAGTCGGGTCCAAAAACCTTGTGCGAATCGGAGCAAGTCTTCTTTGGAGGGTCGGTATCGGTAGTGTTCGTGTGATAGGGCTTCGTTGCCTGTGTCTGATGAAGGGCGAGATTGGCCGCTTTGGGTCGACGCAGGCACGGCTCGTATTGCTAAGCGCTGGAGGGATCGAGGGTAGTTAGCGAAATGCTGGTAGGCACGTTCTGCTGTTGTGAGCTCTGTGCTGGATGAGGCCGGCCTGCCGACCGGATCTTCTTTTGGCTCTGATTGCGTTGGCTTGTGAGCCTCGCCTTCTGCTGACTTGCCCTCGTGTGACGTCGATGAGGGCTGAGAACCACTTCCCGGCTTTGGATCGGCCGGCTTTGATCGCCCATTGTCTTCGGCTCGGGCAGCTCGAGCTGCGTGGAAGGCTCGAGCTTGGCTTGCGATGGACGTAGTCTGCGATCCCTTGGAGTGCGATGCTAGAAACAGACGGGAGGATCGTGCTGTCTGAGCAAGAGACCGTGTATTCGCTGTATGTAGCTGAGTCGACCTTGCAAGGCGCGTGAAGAAGGACTGAACCGCGAGGAAGCTCCGGTCAGCATCTGAAGTTGACGATCTGAGAGACTGAGACTGCACCTTGACCGCATCTGATTTTCGAGCTGAGCTCAGGGGTGATCGAGAGGAAGATGCTGCGGCATTGCTCAGCTCTGCTTTGCTTGACAGAGCCTTAGATGAAGTTGGTGACAAGGTGCTTCTCGGCCTCAAGCTCTGTGCTCTCGAGGAAGAACTCGAGGCTGCGCCGAGCCTCAGCCCGCTTCGTGATGACATGATAGGACGTCGTCGAGCTGTTGAGATTGCTTCGGCGGCGATGAGTTGGGTCCGGAACGACCGATACCTTCAGTTAGTCATGTTGTCTGAGAGAAAGAGGCTGGCAGGATGGTGGGATATGCGCCTCGGAGGATGCTAGGGAGATGGTCGTCAATAGCGAAAGTTCTAGAGAAGGAAGGGTCTGTGGAGAAGGGATCTTTTGACAGCTCAAAAGAAGATATTCCGTTTGTCAGCTTGGTAGCAAAGGCTGCTGAAGAAAACGATCCGACAAGGCACGAGAGGTGATATAGCGAGAGATCGAGCAGATCGGGTAAAACAGATCTGACGATGAATTAGGCAAAGATGATCTGATTGTAGTTAGTCTGGAGCCGATGTAACAAGGATCGGGGACAACTGAGTCCCACTCGTTGTCACAGCTTGTCATTAAGTAGATGCTCCCACTCAAGGGATGTGCCGGCACTTTGTATATAAGGGGGTATCAAAGTTTTTGCATTTTTAAAAACCCGGGTTTTTTCAAGAGCATGTTTTTCAAAAAAACGCAAAAGCTTACATAAGCTCTGCAAAGGGAAAAAAAACCGCATTTTCAAAAACGCAGCTCAAGAGGCACATTTGCAAAAATGCGGTTTTTTTATCACTCCACATCTTCTCTCCTTTCCTCACTCTCATCACACTTTTGCTCACTCCCTCTTCCTTGCACTCATTCAACATGACCTCCTCCACTGATGATTCTGGTGACATCTCTGCAGAGTTGTTATGCCAGTCCACTACACCTACAAGCTCTGCAACTCAGACCAAAAGTGTGCCTGTGCTGTCTCAATCTGGTTCTACAAGTGCTCCTGACATCTACACTTCCTGTCCAACTCAAGCCTCTAGATCTGCCACAGGCAAGAAGAACTTGACATGGTCGGGTGCCAATGTTCTTCACCTTGTCATGATCCTCTACAACAATGACTCCTACCAGCACACTCTGCTGCCATCTCGAGAATCGGCTGAGAGCAATCCAGCCCTCAAACTTCACAAACATCCCATTTTTCAGGATATCTCCAAGATGATTTTCCCAGGTGCATCTGTTGATCCCAATTGCATCAAGTGCAAGCTGAGGTGGCTGCTAGAGACATACTACAGGGAGAAGAAGAAGCTTTCACCCACTGGAGCTGGTACACTGCTGGAGGACATGGATGCATCCAACCTGGTAAGTTTTGGTGATCTTCATTGCTTGCAATAGTATGCTTGGATGCTGATTCATACTTTCAATTTTAAACAGTCCTACATATCTTGCATTGCCCTGTCAACAAAGTATGCTTGGTTTGAAAGGATGCATGAGATGATGAATGGCTGATTCAATGCTGATCCCACAGCACTTATCACAACTCCCAGTCTTGACTTCACCAGCAATGATGAGCCTGACATGCCTTTGAATGGCTCAGCTGACATACCCATGGATATTTGTGGCAGCGAGCTGTATGATCACAGTGCTCATGGCCGTGGTTTGCCTCCTATTCTTGACTTGATCGAACCCACCAACCCCCTGGCTGCTGTTGCATCCACTTCTGGTGCATCCTTTGCTGGCACTGGTGATGATGACATCTTTAACACACCTTCACCTCCACCTTTGCAGGCTCGACCACCTTCCTCCACTGCTGGTGGTTTGGATGTCTCTGATTCCACCTTTTCTCAATCTTCAGCCCAGCTCTCTCCCAGCACCAAGCACAAGCAAGGTGCCCTTGATCACAAGTGCGACACACTTGCTGAAGCTTTCTATTGTTCTTCCATTGATACCCTTCAGATCCACCTGCAGCTTGAACAGGAATGCACCAGACATGAGAAAATACTGGAGGCTGAGCATACCAAGTGTGAGGAGATGCACCTGCATCATGAGAGGGAGGAGAAAGAGCACGATGAACATGTTTGCATGTGTGATCATGAAATGGTGATGGAGATGGTGTGCCTCCTTGCTTCTCAGGCCAGCATTGAACAGGATGCTCATCAGAACACCAGCAACAACAACAACATGGACTCTTCATTCAATCTTCCTGTCTTGTAGCATTACATGTACTATCATCTGGTCTCAATGCAAAGTCATTTCTGAGTGTTTTTCTGTAGAGTACAAGTATGAGGTGAATAAAAATGATGTGCAGCACAGTCACATAATGAGCTCAAAAGCATTTAAACAAAAATTTTCACTCTCACACCTCTTCCATTACTACCACCACTCCACTCTGCAACCTTTCAGCATTGCTCTTGCTGCCATCCCCCCTCTCCATCCCCCCTCTCCATGCTCCCTCTCCATGCTCCCTCTCCAACTCCCTTCCTCTTTCCAGCCATGGTGTGCTACAGTGACAAGCAAGTAATTCTCAATGACATTGTCCACACTCTCAAGCTCTCTATACCTGTGGAGGTCATCCAAAACACCAACAGAGTGCAGCACTCCTGCAGCACTGACATTGACAACTTGGATGACGATGGCAACCCAATTCCACTCTCACAACACCTTGTCTGCTTGTACACTTTCATATGCAAGCAAAGGTACACAATCACATGTTGCACTCCTCTTGGCTGCACCAATAAGCTTATCCACCTTCTCAACAGGTATGAATCAAGCAATCATAGGATGTATCATGGACTTGTTCATATGTCACCTGAAGCATTCAACAATCTCGCCATCTGACTCCAGCAAACAGAGGCTCTCCAGTGGAACTACAGCAGCTCAGGTGTGATGTCTCTCAACAAAGTGCAAGAGATTCTTTCAGTGGCTCTGTACAGACTCAGCTGTTCTGGAAATGGAGGTGGTGAATGTGACGCTGCTTTGCAATGTGGTTGCAGTGTTGGGAGCATTGTTGGATACACCAATCACACAGTTGCTGGCCTCCTCAAGCTAAACAACAAGGTCATGCAGTTTGCTTCAGAGGGAGAGAGACAACATGCTTCTGCCTGGGTGTGCAATACAACTGGGGTTGAAGAGTGGGGTAAGGGCTGGCTTGTGGTGGATGGCACACACATCCCTCTTGCCTGGAAGCCAGGAGTGCTCAGTTGAGAGCACTTCTGCTACAAAGGCTTCCACAGCATCAATGTAGTGCTGGTGATCCTGCCACACTCACTGCAGATTGTTGAATCAGTTGTTGGACAGCCTGGCAGTGTTCAGGATTCGAAGGTTTGGGCCTCAGGCAGCAACATCCTGAAGAAGCCTCACCTGTACCTTGACAAAGGTGAGTTCATCTGGGTTGATGGTGGATATGGCCATTCTGCCTTCACAGTTGGACCATTCTCTCACATTGCTGCTGACAAGAGTCAAGACCTTTGACACTTCAACTACATGCTCTCTCAAGTCCAAGTACAAGTTGAACATGCCATTGCATACCTGAAGAACTGCTTCCAGTGCCTTACAGGCTATCATGGTAACATCTACCATTTCAAGGACCACATCACTGCTGCCAAGATGATCCAAGCCTGCATTGTTGCCCACATCTTTGCAAGTCAATATGACCATCCTGCTGATATTGCCAACCTGCTGTTGCCCTCTTTCTCTGAGGATGAGGTGAGCGAGGTTGTTCAAAGCCTCCAACTTGATGCCAGTGATACACAAGAGCTCAGGAGGACAAGATGCACAAATCAGCAGGAATACAAACTGGATCTTGCCACTGCAACACAAGGAATGTCACAGTATGCAGTGTCAAGACTTCAAAGTTCTGCTGCACATGATCTTTGAGAGGGTTTGTTCCAGGTGCTGTTCAGATCCACTGGGCACAATGAGGAAGACACTACTGCATTGTCTTGATGTCATGAGAGGACTACTGTGGACTACATTGCCATGACTCAAAGCACATCAGCTTGGAGACAGGAGCAAGTCTTGACACAACCATTCTCAATCTGACAGGCACTCTCTCTTCTTCTGTTCAATACAATTCTTCTCACCACCATATGAAACATTACATTGAGTGCATTGTGTGAAGAGGAAAGCAAGATATAAGCAAGCAATGGGTAATAGCGATGAGAGTGACAAGTAACATGACCACTGTTAGGTTACATATTTTATCGGCCATATGATTTCAATGTGTGTTTTTGGAAACCTGCTTTTCCTTGGGGGGGGTTCAAATTCCCTCCAAAAATGCGCTCTCGAAAAAACCCGTGTTTTTAAAATCGCAAAAACTTTGATACCCCCTATAGATCAAACGGAGAGCTCGAGGCTCTTGCCACACTCTTCTCTAAGGTCAATATAGTATAGTGTTTTAGCTCAAATAGCGTGAACACTGTGCTTAGATTGACATCGCCCGATAAACGTCGACAAAGAGCCAAATTCTTCAACAAAGGCATGTGCACGCGCGTAGACTGCCGAAGGTAACGACCCAATATGATGATATATGCTGACATAAGCCTGTACTGAGGAGAACCTATTCGGAGATCTGGCAGAACCGAACTGACCAGAGATCGGGTACAACACAGTCCCGCTCGTTGTCAAGCTTGATCATTAAGTAGGCTACTCCCACATTCGGCATGTGCCACCCAGTGTATATATATCAAGCCGAAAGCACTAGGCTCTCACCATGTTCCTTTAGTCAATTGAGTATATGTGTCTCTGTCCTAAACAGGAGTGACATCGTGCTCCGACTCTCACCGATCGTTGATCATCGGGACCCGTTCACCTCACTTTTTATCATAGACTGGTGAAGCTGAGTCTGAAAGGAAACCACCTTGAAAAATAAAAAGGCAACAAGAATATCTATTTTCTGCCCATTTCACACCTGTTGCAACAGCACACTGCTTTGATCTGCCGCTGATAAGGCTCGAATGCTCTCCATTTCTCGCAATGGGCACACACTGAAAGCACCTCTGCGGCTCACATTCAACTATCGCTGCTCACCACACGCAACCGCACGCAGAACATAGAAAGAATCCGTACAAAGCCTGTGTGCATCTAGAGAAAGTACATGCAATCGGAGAAGGAAGAAAAGTGAAGAAAGGCAAGAGAATCCATGGAGGATGAATGAATCTAGGCAGCAGAAACAGACTTGTTGCTGACCTTCAAAATCTGGCGAGTCCAGACCTCAAAGTAGTCACGGAAGTAGAAGAGCAATGCCTGAGCGAGCACAGCCTTGGTGATTTGAGCCTGCATACCCTGGTACCAACCACTGATACCCTTCTCCTTTGCGATCTGCTTGAGGCAGTCGATAGCGCCCTTGTATTGCGTGTTCTTGGCTTGCAGACGGATCTTGCTCAAGATGTAAGGGAAGGTGACCACGGTGGCGAGGGTCTTGGAAAGAGCACCGACCAAGAATGACTTGCCGGGAGTCATCTTTCCGTCGACCGAAGTGGCGAGGATGATGGTCTTGACACGCTCGAACACACCGTATGTGATAGCAGGGTTGACGGTGAGAACGAGCGAAGGCTTAAGACCCCGCCAGAGACCGGCGACACCATCTTGCTTGAGGATGTCCTTGGCGACACCGATGAAGCTCTCATCGGCGGGCTTGCCGTCCTTGGTTGTCTCGGGTGTGGCGAGCTGCTGTCGGGTAGCAATAACGCTGACAGGGATGGTGAAGATCTGTGCAAGGGCACCAGCGATAGCGCCAAGGACAAGCTCAGCAGCAGTGGTCATGATAGCAACACCGGAAGCACTTCGCTTAGCCAGACGATTCTGGTAGAGTGTTCGGACGACCGAGTACCAGTAGAAGTAGGCAAAGCCGGTGGAGAAGGTGTTGACCATGCTGGCACCGAAACCCTTGTACAAGCCCAAAGGTCCTTCTTTGCTTCGGATGATGTGGAGAATGCCCTTGATCATGCCGGCATTCTTGGGTACAGTGACGATGGTTTTGGTGGGATCCTTAGGGTCTCGCACCTCTTTGCCCGCAGTGACGGCGGTGTTGTTGCCCGCTTGGATTCGTGTCTTGACTGTGTCGAGCGGGTAGATGACTGCATTGGAGAAGACACCTCCGAGAGCACCGGCGAGCGCCTGGCCGAACGGTGTGAGTGGTTCCTCTGCCATTTTGTGTATGTGTGTATATGCTCGAGACCTAGAGCGGTCGCGAAGGGGGAAGCAAGAAAGGGTGGGGTTGTATCACACGGGGCGTGAAGATGTGCGAGGTCGCGGAGGGACTTTCACCAAAGCTTGCGGATGCTACAGGAGGACCTATTCGATGCAGCTGAGCCGAGAAAAGCGAGATGTAGCGATTAGAGCGCCCAGATGAGATTGTCTCGATGAGATACAAGCAAGAGTGGTGGCTGTCCGAGATCCTATGCGGAAAGTTAGTTGCCCAATGTGCGTAAGGCGTATAGCTTGAAGCGAGGAGCGTAATCAACGTCGGCGTGACCTGCAGTGATGACCGGATGAGGGAGCGAATGGCACAACGAGTCGGTTGTCGGGTATGGTGGACGCAGGAAGGAGGAAGGAGGGAGATGGTGCGCACTGTGCGTTCACAATCAGTAAAGTGACTCTCGATAGGCGCGAAGATTCCGGTCATTCGGAGCAGACAGAAAGCGGAGACAGAAGAGACAGAGCCGTCATCATGGATGCAGTCAAATCCACGCGCGTCCGTTGCATCGTCACTCGCTTTCTCAACTTTTGCGGGTCCCCTCTCACAGTTACGGTGTGTGCTACGACTCCAGTGCGGGTTATGAACACAGATAGAATTCCTTCAAGAGTCAAGACCCGGCTGAATCACAACTTCTCGCCTGTCTTGGCCCTCTCTTCCAAGCCAAACGTGTGTGGTCCAACGTCTGCCTGATTTTCTGTTTCCAATTTCCCCCGCCAGCGGCTCTCTCTTTCTCCACTTTTCCGGCTATTTCGCACAACTCAATAGCCGGCTTGCGAAACGGCAGAACTCACAATGCACACACCAGCGACAGCTCGAACATCTCAAGCGAGCATCATCGTCTGGTTTTAAGTCTATGAGAGGTGGACCATCCTGATCAGAGTTTGAGATAGGCAAGTAGCACGTTCTATCATGTCCAGCACAGCAAGTTGTGGCCTCGGTTGCGACAGTTGGAAGCAGAGCGACCGGATCGTGAAAAAGCGAAACAAGGCGCTTTTCCGGTGAAAATGACAGAAGCGAGCCAAGATACCGTGCGAAGTGTCCTGTCTCAGTCTAATTCTTATCGGCCGACACCATTCCACACCATCTCTGTCAATTGCAACTTCACTGTGATATGGTTGTTGCTTCCTTTCGCCCCTCAAGGAAGGCCCGAGGAAGCGCAGATGCGAGGCAGAGACATGCAACCACTCACTTCAAGGTGATACTGAAAAGCTATAGTTCAATTGAATGCGAATGCGAAGGCCGTCGAATGCTACGTCTACGTGCGTGTGGAGCGCACAATCTATGAAAAACAAAGGAAAGAACAAGATGCTGTTGCGAGCTAGTAGCCCTGACCGTGTGCTTGGCGGTACGAGTCTTGCTGACCGTGCTGATTATATTCGTCGACATTGTAACCTTGTGCCTCGTCCTGGCGCGGCCATTGCCCAGCATAATCGTCGTGGGATTGCTGCTGTTGGTGCTGCTGCTGATGGTGCGGCTCATTGCTGTAGCCGTGATGCTGATCGTAGCCCCTCTGATCTTCGCCGTGGTACTGCTGTTGATAATGATCTGCGTGGCCGTCAGCAGGGTAGTCACTCATCATGTAGCTGTTGACACTATGGCGCTGGTCTGGGTTGATGATGGGCGAGTGGTTATGCGAGTTGAGGTAGGCATCGTACACGTCATCTAGACCACCAACACTGGTGGTCGGGCTGTGTGAAGATGAGTTGGCTCCTGATCTGACACCACCATTGCTGTTGCTGTATCGATTAGGATGCAGCTCTCGGCCGAAACCATCCGTTCCGTACCCAGCCGCAAGATGGCTGTTCGCACCCGAATCAGCCGTGCTTGACGATGCCACGGACACCTCCACTGCTGGCGGGAACTGCTCGTGTGTACCATGTCCATCGTATGGCACGTACGACGAAACATCGGGTGGTGGGTAGTCGAGGCCATCAACGCCGTGAGTATTTTGAGGCGGTGGGTAGTCGAGACCTCGCGCGGCGTAAGGCGAGTCTCTGGGCTGACTTGGCGAACCTCTATCTGTCTGTGGGTAGGGACTTTGCCTTCCATAGCCCGAGTTCATCTCGTATGCCTCACCAGGCCCACCCATATGATGTGGCATGCCTCCGTTGCTACCGTCCAGCAGCGTTCGAGAGCCTGACCTTTGCAAGTTGTATGGATCACCCGTTTGCGATTGTGGTGGCGCAGGTGAGATCCTGCCTTGTCCATCACCACCGCCAACACGCTGCGCGAAGAGCATCGGACTTGTTCCGATGGGGCCCATGCGATCTGCCATAGCGTCAAAAGTTGCGGGTGGCATGCCACCATACTCGGCCCCGGCAGGTCCAGCGTTGTGGACCAAGTTGGCCGTGCTGGCATATTCCTTGTCATTGTAGCCGCCAAGACTATGCGTCGATGGCGCATTGACGCCATAGAAGTGCGATGGGCCAAAGCCGGGGGACTTGTAGCCTGGAGCGCCGTTGCCATAGTATCCACCGCCGTTGCCGTGTACGGCAGTAGAGCTTCCAACACTGTTGTTTCGCTGCAAAGGTCCTGGTTTGCCTGGCTTCTCATCATTGAGAAGATCGACGTCAACAGTCGGCAACGTGGGTTGAGGGATGGCAGTACCGATCATCTGACCCTTTTTGTTCATGAGATGCGAAAAGTCGCCGGCAGCTTCCCTGCGAGCAATCTCTGAGATTTTAGCTAAACGTTGCTTCTTCTTGCGTTGGACGAGTTCGGTGACACGCTTGTCGACCTTGTGACAGCAGTATTCCTTGAGGTTGCCCTTGATGTAGCACAGTAGCGGTATATACGCAACGGCAGCGATAATGAGCAAAATGATGGAACCGGCAAAGACTGCCACAGTAAAAAGCATGGACAGAATCATGATGCCTGTGAAGATGTTACCGTCATAGTAGTCGTAGGGGTTTGTGCTCCATTTGGCAAACGAGCCAAGACCGTAGAGCGTGAAAAAGTTGATCACCTGACGAGGACCGTCGGCGACGAGCAAACGCTTCCAACCTTTGAAAGTGAAGAAGATGAAGAAAGCAAGCTCGTCCTTCTTCTTCTTGCTGTCATTGATGTGGTCGAAGAAGCAAAAGTGATCGTAGCTTCGCAGAGAGTAGTAGTTGTTGGCCATGACATTGGTGAAGGCGTAACTGATGTCGCGGCTTTTTACGATCGCTCTGGACTTGTGTGCTTCGTAAGCAAGTAGAAGGAAGGAAAAGATGATACAGCCAGTAAAGATCCAACGACCGTAGGAGATCGGGACGCGAAAGTTGTTCTGGGGATCGTTTTGGACTTTGTCGTAAAGACTGCCGCTAAAGTGACCGAAAGCAAGCAATGTGACGGCCGTGTAGATGTCGGCGACGTATACTGCCAAGGACTTGACGACCATGATAAAAAGGAAAGCATACTTGAGTTGCTGAAAGCAGCCATTATTGCGAAAGTCACGAACGTCGATGAAGTCGAACTTGTGATCTGGGACCTCCTCACGCTTCCAGCTAGCGTTTCCGCAACACATGATGGGCGAAGCTGCGGTTGTTGGCGGTGGTCTGAATGCAGGTCAGACAGTATAGACGATGCGGGATAGGAAGAGGGAGGGTGATAGAGCCGCGTAAGAGAGCGTTGGCCTGTAGGTGTGGGGAGGGAAGTGAAGAATCGAGGGAGGCGAAGCAAGGTGCGATTTGACGGCTTGTTGATGAAGGCAAGCGTTGGAGCAGCAACGATGCGCTTTCACGAAGAGCAAGCGGAAAAGAAGCTAGAAGAGAATCGTTTGAGATTCCTGCACGACGAGGCAGGCGTCGGTAGGTTGATGAGAAACGGTTCTTTTGAGGCTCGTAGGATAGACGGGGTCGAATAGTTCAACGCAGCATAGCTAAGTGCGGTGACGATTCCGGATGTTGTCGCGTACGAATATGATGGACCGAGTCGTCTGCAGTCGTCGGCGAAATGAAGGAGACGGATGAAGTTGCTGATGCAGGCAGAAAGAGCGGGTGAATGTGATTGCAAAGTGGGGTTCGAGCGAGATGGATGGAATAGCCGGAGAGTGAAAAGCGAAAGGAAAGTCTTGAGCGAGGCAGCTTGAACCTCTAAAACCTGGAAGAAGGATCGTAGAGCGAGTGCTGTGGTGAGAGGAGCGATATGCTGAGCAGAAGGATGGTTGGAAAGAAAGGCAAGTGTTCAAGGTGTAGTGACCCCTGCCAAGCTTTTCACTGTTGCTCTGTCGTTTCTCTGCAGGCTCTCGGTGAGTTAGGATCGACGGCCGCTTGCAATCCTCAAGCTTTATTGGCCGCAACCTCACTCGCATCGACACAGCATTCTGCACACACGCCCTCGGCGTTGATCTTTTCCGAGATTGGTGATTGTGTGTTGAGGCCCGAGCCTGACCCGTCTTGTGTGACCGCGGGTTGCGTTGGTGTATGTGTGTGTGTTCTTGAGCCACGAGCTGGCGTTGCCATTGTCATGCGTGAGCTTAGATCGTGCGGGTCGCTGAATTTGAGGTTGGATCTCGGCTGTTAGGCCGACATAACACTTTTCAAATATGCACGCTGACATAAACGCAATCGGCGATCAGATGGAACAGATCTGTCTGGGGATCGGGTGCAACGTAGCCCCGCTCGTTGTCAAGCTAACTCATAGTTGTATATATATCAAGCTGAGGACACTAGGTCCTCACCATGTTCTTTAGTCATTTGAGTATACATGTTTCTGTCTTCTGGAAGTAGTGACATCGTGCTCTGACTCTCGCCGATTGCAAGTATCGGGACCAAAACTTCTTATCACCCTCTTGGCTTCAATCGGTTCCGTTGCGGTTCTTCTGCGGTGCTTGAAGCGACCACGTTTTCCTGCGCAGGCAGCCTACAACACAGCACCTTCTTTGACGCTTGCCCTCAAACAAATGTCGTGCATCAACGAGTCTGTGGCGGCTGCACATGCTCTCGCTTCGACCAAGTGGCAGACACTTGCAAACATGTTCGGGGTATGATGGGCAAGATGCAGCTTCTCTCCCACGTTTTGCCATCCGAGACCTTGCAATTGACGAGTTGGCATCTGCAATTCCGGTCCCCGCTCCATTGCCGTTCTCTTTTGTTTCTCGCCTTCAGTATGCGAGGCTGCAGATCCCTTTGGCACAACGTCTACTTCGCCGCCTGCAAGACCTGCAGCGATCCTGCAGCAGCCACACACTCTATCCACAGCCAGCAGCAGAAGAATCCCTCTTCCTTGTCGCTGTCGCAGTCTACAGTAGTCTCATCATGAGTTGAGCTGATATTCAAGCTGTTCCGAGCAACACACTTGAAAAGGTCACACCCTCCTTCTTCAACCACTTTCAGAGGGGATTCGGCTCTATACTTCCCCCTCCCTTTTACTCTTCTCTCACCTCATTGGCACTTGAACCTTATTGATAAGCCAGATAGGCTCTGATTTCGACAATGGGAGAGTGCAACTCGAGCTTATTTGAAAAGCTGACGCTTGACGTCTCCGTCTTCTGCAAGAGCACTTGCCCAAGTAGCAGCAGTTCCTGACAAGTCCTTCTACGCCGTCGCTCGTGGTTGGAAGAAGGGCATCTATACTATCAAAGAGGAGGCTGAACGTCAGATTCGAAACGTAAGTACAAATCAAACCAAAGCTTCTGCATTCCTAGCGCATGCACTGACAGTTAGCGCACCACTTCACAACCTTGCATTTCCCTGGATCTCTGCTTCAAATCTTCCGCGACCGAGCGGCAGCCGAGGACTTTCTTGCCAACTCTGGCCGCTTTACACAACAGTTTTCCATCCAGGACGAGGCAGACGATGAGCTGCTAGAGCGAACAAGGATCTTCAACGGACTCGATCCCAACAGCGAACCTGCCCTGCGCAGGACGTTGGGCATGTCGGCAGAGCGCAAAGAAGCGCGGCGCAGGTCACGCCTCCTCATCACCTCGCAGGCTGCTACACGTCAAGAAGCTGCTGCTCCCGCTGTGCACTCCCCGCCACTATCTCTCAAGTGCATGTCTTCTGATGCTCCACCGATCTCGCCCTTCGAAGAGATCAATGGTTTCGCTAGCTTCCCATCCTCGGTGCCTTTGCAGAGCATGTCGTTGCTGTCAGTCAAGCATCTGGCCAACTCGGTTGCTTTCTATGCCAAAGTCTTGGGCTTCAATTGTGTCTCGCAAGTACCACACATTCAAGCTGTAATGAGCAGCTCATCCGCCACCATCTGCCTGCGCACCACAGACCGTGCCCCTCCGCTGCCCACCGGAGCCACCGTCTCGCGTACGAGCATGATTCGCGCCTCATCTCTCAACGGCGCTACAAGATCCGATCCGCTCACTCACGCAAGACCAGCTTTGCCGACCATGTCCGAAGAACAAAGCGAGGACACTCTCTCCCTTCCACCGGCCCCCGAATCCGTCAGTCTCTCCTGCACGGACGCAGAACCTCTCGATCTTCCCTTGACCACCCTCCCTCTACGCTCCTCTGCCACTTCTACGCTTTCTGGCCAAACTGTCCGGATCGAGTACAGCGGCGCACTCGAATCCATGCATACCCTTCTCTCAGCCAAACTCAACGAATGGAGGCTCGAGCACACCAAAGCTGCTGCTGCTGCTTCTACGCAAGCTTCACAGACAAATGGAACTCGGCCCTCACAACCGGACATGGGCCAGGATCCTCAGCGACGTTCAGTAGACGCCTTGGGACGCACAGGAGCTGCACCTTTGCGATCTGGACGGTCACCGCATCATTTGTACCACTCCCTTTGCCCGAGCTTAACCTAGAGATCACCTCGACCGCACTGTCGAATATACCCACACAATGCATTCTTTGCGCAAACAGAAAGATCAGTCTATCATATGTGATTGATTCGCTGTGAGTGAGAGTCGCTATAAGCGCAGTTATCCGAATCTGTCGCCACCGGCATCCCTCCTACCTTCATGCCGCTTTGATTCTCCGTCTGTTTTGCGCACCATCTTGACTCACCATGTACGGCTCACCAGACGACGTCAGCACGGTCAGTCAGAACACCAATCCTACTATAGTATCGGGCATGCAATCCACCATCTCTGATAGCGATGTCCTCCGCGATGCAAAGCACGTACACTGGCAACCTCTCCCCTTCATCCCTGATACCGCTCACACCTCACTCCCTTCCCGCAGCAAAGACAGTCTCATTGATGCTGATGTTTCCTCCTCAACCAAGTCCAAGAGAGGATTCGGGAATGTCAAAGCAAAAATTAAAGCTGTGGCTAGGTTCTTAGGCTCAAAGGATAGACATGAGGAGGATGCAGGGTTCAGTGGATTCACCGCGAAAGGAGTTCCGATTGCTGGGCTCCATCCACAGTCGATCTTGTTGAAAGATGGAGGCGACGAACGCGAAGAGATGCGTAGCGATGGAAAAGTGCAGAGCGACTACGCAGAGACCAAGAAGTCGGAGGTGCTGCCTGCGATTGAGACGTTGCGAGAACGATTGAGCTCTGAGGAGGAAGTGTGCAAAAAGCCTCCTCCACCACCTCAGCCTCAGATCTATCGACCACCATCTCCCAGGCTTCTGGCCCCGGCAGCATTGCGTGCTAAATGCAGACGAGCAATTGGGTCAGAAACACCTCTACTCTTCTCGCATGCTGCTGAGCCGCCTCATACTCGCTCTGGCACACCTCGACCTGCATTACCACCTGCTGTCCGCGTCGTCAGTCGTCCCTTGCCTCCCACACCAGCACACAATCCTCGAGCTCCAGGAGCAGAGCCACAGTTGCGTTCCTACAGCCCCACAGATGACTACATCGCACGTCTTTCCGCTGCTGGTCAGAACCCTCCTACTCCAGGCTCCTCCCCTGGCCTCGGTCTGTCTCAGCTCGACAGAATCCCCACGCCTCCAACTGCTAACCTCAACACGCATGACGACACTCCCGCACCTCCTCTCCTCGCTCAACCGTTTCCATCTATCCGCCGCGCCAAGAACACCCTGGACGCCACTCTCCTGGCCGCAGAACTCGAAAGTCTCTCCTCCTTCACCACCTCTTCAACACGCTTTGCTGACAGCAGCCGTGAAGCTGTCTGTCATTGGAGACCTCAAGACGAGACCCCCACCTCTGTTCTTCCTCCTCTACCTACTCCTCACCAGATCCCTCGAAAACGACCTCCTCCAAGCACCCCAACCTCACTCCAGGTGGAGGAGAGTCAAGATGAATCTATCCAGCGTATTCAACGCTGGCGAGTGCAAATCACCGCACCGCCCCCAGTGGTTTTGGGTTCGCAGGTCGCTTCCGCTCATTCGAGATTCCAAGAGGAGCAGGCTGAAGAGATGTCGAGTCATCTGACTAGTGTCAGTCGAAGTCCGCTTTCCAAGCCTAACAGCGCAAAGAGTTTGGTGGAGGATTTGGTGGATATGGAGAAGACTCCTACTCTTCAAGCTAAGCGTGTATTGGGTAGGGAGAGCGCTAGGAGCTACAAAAGTCCTCCTCGACCTAATTGCCATGAGAGGGAGGAGGGAACAAGTCACATAGCTCGACTCTCAGATTCTCAGTTCAATCGTCTTGCTCTCGCCACCGAATCCGTACTTCCGCCTCCGTCTGCTCCCATACCCGCCGAGAGCAACAACTCTCGTCTCCGCCCCAAAGCCGCCATCAACAAAGCAGAGGAACGTGATGAAGGAAAACCATCATCTTTAGATGCAACCGGCACGACTCTTTCGGTGCTGGAACGCAAAGCCTCAACCCACATCAATACTCTCGACTCGATGATTCGCAAACATCCAGATAAGATGTATGAGATTTTCAAGAACCGACCTGGTTTGATGCTGGTTGTTATGCTCAGGTGCAAGGTCGAGGATCGCATCTCGGAAGTTCAGGCCACGCCTTCAGTCTTGGTCGATCTCGCACCTAGTACTTCAGGTAGAGGCAAGGAGAAAGATGGAATTGATTTGCTGGAAGAGAGCCTTATTGATCTTCACTTTGACGAAGAAGCTACATCAGCGCTGCAGGAACCTCGGGGAATGCCAAGTATCGTTGTTTCTCAGCACCACACCGGCGATAGCGGCGCAGCGAGAAGCCGTACAGCCGCTACCTCGGTGAACCCTCTCACTGAGCCCTACATTGAGGGAGGGATGGGCAGGGTGCAAAGCGTGGTAGAGGCAAAGATTGAAAGAAGAAGTGAGGGGAAGCTGCTAGAGATAGTGCAGAGGCTCGAAGAAGCTGGAGAATTATGCTCGATGCAACAGGTGTTGATGTCGCTTCAGGAGCGACTCATGACTACGAAAGGGGAGTGTAGTCGCTTGAGTGAGCGGCTAAGTGTTGTAAGTATCTTCGTCGAGGCGAACGTAGGGAAGAGAGGGTATCTGCTGACCAACTTTCAGCTTCCTTGTTGTCTCTGCATAGCTTGAGCAAGCTGTCTTCTCGCCCAACACCGCCAATACCACAGCTTCATCCTTTCACAGATAGTCCGGAAAATGCCGAAACACAACAAGTCGAGCTCAAGACCATGGAGGACCACTGACCCATCGAACACACTCATGCAATACAAAGACCGACACCGCACCTTCACAATCGCTGGCGTGACTGAGCATTACGGAAAATATTGATACATGGTACAAACCCTGATGAAGATTCCAGCAACCTCTTGGATCAAGGATCGATCTCGCCCAGCAACAAGGTCATATCTGTGGAACAAGAAACCACTATAGGCTCTCTCGGATGAAACACCGCAGCCGTACACGTTCCCTTATGCCCTGGCAACTTGTACAGGATCGTCGACGATTCCACATCCCAAATCGTACAGGTCCTATCCGCACCTCCCGCAACCACCTTCTCCCCATCCGCACTCCAGCCTGCTTTGATCAATAGGTTCTCAAACCCGCCAAAAGTTGTCCCTCTGAGTGTTCTATAGAGTCTCGGATTTGCTGTGTTTGCATTTGGATCTGCTGGGTTGGGTTCTGGTGCGAATGGGCGCACATCCCAAATCCTCAAGGTGTCGTCGAATGCGGTTGACAATAGGTGAGATCCGGAGGGGCTGAGGGATACGGATGTGATTGTATCCATATGCCCACGTAGCGAAAGAATGATAGATTTGCGAGTAAGGTCGTAGATATGAATTTGATTGTCGATGCCTCCGACATAGATCTGACTGGAGTCATCGGAGAATGCGACTGCGGTGACTGGGTATTCCACTTCCAGAATGTCAAGCGGCTCCTTTGCTTCCGGATCCCAAATCATCACTCTCCCATCATCTGACGCAGAGACTATCAGCTCCGGCCCTGAACAAGTGGCAGAAACGCAGTTGACAATCGCACGGTGAGCCCTCAATCTCCTCTGCTTCTCACCCGTCGTGATACTCCATACGATGATCGTACCGTCTGCAGAACCTGAATAGAGCGTATCTGAAATGTTGCTACTGAATGCAAGACATGAGACTGCCTTGGAATGCCCTTTGAGCTGACCGATGTTGGCACAATCACCGTAGACGCTCCAGATCGAGATGGTTCGGTCGGCTGATGCTGCAGCAATGCGAGAGCCGTCGCGGGAGAACTTGACATCAAGGATTTCGGAGGTGTGTGCTCCTGTCAAGCCAAGGATGGGATGTGAGAGGGATGAAGTGCGCTTAACGGAACGGATGAGACCTTTGTCCCGGCCATCTTTGGAGGAAGCGATTGCGATTTGTTGCGAGTTTGGGACATCGTCGTCCTGTCGTTGACGTTTGACTAGGGATGCCTCGCGGTATGAGATAGGAGGTGAGGTCTTGCGCTTCTCCGCCATAATGAAAAGATTCGTGAGGGATAGGAACGCGAGGGGATCGAATGTTGGTGATGATAGACGATGTGATCGCGGGAAGGGAAAGGACGAAGGAAGGGTCGAGCGAGAACAAGGTACCAAAACAGCGAACCGAGAGTGGAGAAATCCGACTTCCGCTTCCGTGTGTTTCTAGAATCGAAATTTGCCCGATGATTGAAATGCAGATCCGAAGGCAATCGGGGCTTCTCTCCTCCACACGTTTTCTACAGCAGCTTTTTGGCTTTTCTTCCAGCAGCAGCAACAAGAAGAGCAACTCGGTTGGATTTCTAGCCGACTCAGCAACAGCTCTCCTTCTTTCTTCCACCACAATTGACCTTGCAGCTTCTACATCCAGTAGCAGCATCGCCGCACGCTCAAGATGGCCTCCGATGGCAAGCGATTCAGCTCGCACAATGTGCGCTGCTGCACATTGATAGGTCACGTTGACCACGGCAAGTCTTCCTTTGCCGACTCGCTTCTTGCCGCCAACAACATCATCTCGGCTCGTATGGCCGGTCAAATCCGATATCTCGACTCAAGAGAAGATGAACAGGAACGAGGTATTACCATGGAAGCTTCGGCAGTATCGCTCTCGGTCAAGATGCGTGTTCACGATCCAACAAAGGGATGGGACCCAGATAATCTTCCACCAATCCAAGATTTTATGATCAACCTCATCGACACCCCTGGCCACGTCGATTTCTCTTCGGAGGTTTCCACCGCATCAAGACTTTGTGATGGCGCTCTGCTTATCGTTGATGTCGTCGAAGGCGTCTGTGCGCAGACTGTTACGGTGTTGCGACAGGCATGGCAGGATGGGCTCGAGCCGATCCTCGTTCTCAACAAGGTAGATCGACTTATTACCGAGCTGAAGCTCTCCCCAAATGAGGCTTACCACCATTTGATCCAGGTCATCGAGCAAGTCAACGCCGTAGTAGGGTCCTTCTTTGCTTCGGCGCGTATGGATGATGACGAACGATGGCACGAGGAGCGTGAGAAGCGTATTGCTGCACGGAAGCAAGCCAAGGACGACTCTATCGCCGCCGCTGCTGGTGATGATGCAGCTGATGACGACAACGACGACCAAAATCGTGAAGAGCGAGACGACGAAGATATCTACTTCGACCCATCAAAAGGAAATGTCATCTTTGCTTCCGCCATGGACAACTGGGCCTTCCGTCTCGAACGTTTCGCCATGCTTTACGCCAAAAAGATGGGCATTCAAGAATCAAAGCTCCGCAAAGTCCTCTGGGGCGACTTCTACTTTGATCCCAAGACAAAGCGTGTTCTCAGTCAAAAGCAGAAGGAGAGAGAAAAACGACCTCTCAAACCCATGTTCGTCCAATTTGTCCTCGAAAACATCTGGTCCGTCTACGACGCTGTCATCGAGAGCCGAGACCAGGAGAAGATCGAGAAGATCGTCAACTCGCTCAATCTGAAAGTGCATCCACGCGATCTTAGATCGAAAGATCCAGCTACACTCATCAAGGCTATTGTCAGTCAGTGGTTGCCGCTTGCGAGCTGTGCGTTTGCTGCGATCGTCTATGTTATTCCACCGACGAGTAAAGCGCAGGCAAAGAGGATTCCGATGATGCTCAATCCGGATATGAGTTATTTCGACAGAGGTAATTACAAGGCTAAGACACCGCTGGAGGAGCATCTGATGAATGCCGAGATCGGGCCTAAATCGAATCGAGTCGCGTATGTCAGTAAGATGTTTGCGGTCAAGAAGGAAGATCTGCCTGAGGCGAAGAAGGCACCGATGACGGCGGAGCAGATGAGGGAGAGGGCGAAGGAGAGTAGGGAGCGTCAGGCTGCTGTCAAGGCAGCGTTGGCTGCTACTGGTGCTACGATGGAGGGTGGCGTGGGCGATGCGACTGGTGAAGCGAATGGAACTAGTCTGGGAGAGGCTGAGGCGCAGCGTGCTGCACGAGTCCAACGGGAGAATGAGGCTCAGGCGGAGAAGGAGAAAGCAGAGGAAGAGGAAGAGGAAGATGACGGAGCCGATGAAGTTGTGCTCGGTTTCGCACGGCTCTATTCGGGAACACTTCGTGCAGGTCAATGGATGTACGCCCTCCTCCCCAAGTACAACACCTCTCTCGCTCCATCGCATCCATCCAACGTCAAGCACATCAAAGCGATCCAACTCGAATCCCTCTACATGATCATGGGTCGCGATCTTCTCGCTGTCAACGAAGTCCCCGCGGGCAATGTCTTCGCTATCCGAGGTATGGAAGGTAAAGTTCTTCGCAATGCTACACTTTGCTCCCCCTCCCTCATCCAATCCTACCCCATCGAACGCCACCAGGATCCGACGACGATCGACCCAGCCCTCGCATCATCCACATTCGTCAACTTGGCAGGTATCAACATGCTCTCCGCCCCCATAGTGCGTGTTGCATTGGAGCCAGTCAACCCTCAAGACATGCCAAAGCTTATTGAAGGACTCAAACTGCTCAATCAGGCCGATCCTTGCGTCGAGTCGCTTGTCCAGGATACAGGTGAACACGTCATTCTTACCGCTGGAGAACTGCACCTGGAACGATGTCTGAAGGATCTCCGAGAAAGATTTGCCAGGTGCGAGATTCAGGTCAGTCCTCCCCTTGTGCCTTTCCGAGAAACATGTGTGCGTGCTCCGGAAATGCCTCCCCCGAAAGCAGAAGGTGCGCCGAGAGGTACAATGGACGGTAGCGTTGCCAACGGGGTTGTATCTTACCGGGTTCGAGCTGTACCCCTGCCGAAGCCGGTGGTAGAGTTCTTGCTGGCAAACACACAGACGTTGACAAGGTTGCAGAATCGTAGTACCGCCCATGGAGTTGCCGAAGCGGAAGAAGAGGCGGGATCGGTAGATGCAGCGGGTTCACAAGCAAGTAAGACTGTTCGTGCGGATAAGTTTTGGCAGACTCTTCAGACGGTGCTGGAGAAGTGCGGGCAGGATAGAACGGGTGAAGATTGGAGGGAGGTTGTGGAGAAGATTGTCTCGTTTGGGCCTAGGAGAGTTGGTGCCAATATATTGGTCGATAGGACGGTTAGTGGACGTTCCAGTTTGAGGAATAGAACGGATCCGAGCCGAGCTGCTACACGTCGATCTACAGGTATCGCCACCCCGGCTCATGCTAATGCGGGAGAGGCTCATGAGGCAAAAGAACTCTCTGAAGCCCTTCACAAGATGTCTGTCTCCGATGACACTTGCTCAACGTCTCGGGGTGTGAATATTTCTTCGCTCAACGAAAGCATCGATTCCGGCTTTCAAATGGCTACCTCGGCAGGACCCTTGTGCGCAGAACCAATGCAAGGTTTGGCGTTCTTCCTCGAATCAATCGCCCTCAATGCCTCTTCCACGGCATCAACTTCAGTCTCTTCAGTTACAGGCCCGCTGATGTCGACATTCCGAGAAAGCTGCAAACAGGGGTTGTTGGACTGGTCCCCTCGTTTAATGCTAGCTATGTACTCGTGTGATATTCAAGCTTCTACCGAAGTTCTTGGCAAGGTCCATGCAGTCTTGGCTAAACGAAGAGGTAAGATCATCAGCGAGGAGATGAAGGAAGGAACAAGTTTCTTCACCGTCGGCTCCCTCCTTCCCGTCGTGGAAAGTTTCGGATTTGCGGACGAAATCAGAAAGAGGACATCAGGCGCAGCTAGTCCACAGTTGATCTTCAAAGGGTTTGAATTGTTCGATTTGGATCCGTTCTGGGTTCCAAGGACAGAAGAAGAGCTGGAAGATTTGGGTGAAAAGGGTGATAGAGAGAATGTTGCGAAGAAGTATATGGATGGTGTGAGGAAGAGGAAGGGCATGTTCGTAACCGAGAGGATTGTGGAGGCTGCGGAGAAGCAGAGGACTTTGAAGTCCAACTGATGCAGCCACTTAAGCATCATGGAATCACAATTGCATTCACATTTCCCAATCGCCATTGACTAGTGACAGATTGTGTTGGCAGCAGCGTGAAATGTGATTGAGCATGAATGAGGCATCGGCATGTTTTTACTGATGATGATTGTGGAAGTGAACGTATCAAAGATAGCAAAGTCTGCTCAACAAAGAGAGCTCAGAGGTGAGTCTCGAGACCCCGCTCCATTTTTAGGATGAGGCACGGTTGCGGTTTACGGATCAGGTCCGGAGCCGGGTCGTGGACCTCGACCTACTTTCAGTATGGTGTGATGCCCAACTTCCTAGCATAGAGCTTGAACGATCGTTCCTCAGGCTCCAAGTACGGCACGAGTATATACGTTTATGTTCTAAAACAGCAGCAATACTGTGCTCCGACTATCACCGATCGTTGATCATCGGGACCTGTCCTCCTCACTTTTTTAACAATGGATGGTTCTTTTTACAGGGACTATTAACTAAGTGTCACTTCTTATATATCTACAGCAGTGGACGAAGCACAACGGGAAACTACCTTCTCCCTCCTCGAACATCTACTTAGCCGGTATGTCCGAGCCTTATCGGGTCACCGGTCTCAACGAGCCGATATTCCCGTTACCTCCTAACATCTTTTCGATATCCGTGACTGGAGAGAGAGCTGGAGAGAGAGCGACGGAGCTTCTTGCCACCGAAGAGACCTTTCAGCACTCCTCTCTTTTTGATTCGATGACATGCTTTGGCTACGCTAGGGTTCATGGCGAGGACCATTGGCAACGAAGCAGTCTGCAAGAAAACCCCCATGATGTCAGCCGCACTGGTAGTCACAGCGTGATAGTGGAGGATCGGATAGAAAAGCCCAAAGGAGATGGCCTTGACGGCGTTCCTACTAATAACCTGGCGTCCACTAGGTTTCTCTTCGGCAGGAGCTAGATTGCGAGCTTCTGTCGCGTCTTGCAGCATTTCGGAGAGAGTGACACGCAGCCAATCTCGCAGCTCTGTGACGACACTCATGGCCCTGGAAAACATGGAAGGATCTTTGGACACCTTAAATGGCTGCTGAGCCTCGAGTAATGATCTCATCTCTCGCAAAAGTTCATCTTGAGCCTTATTGTTGAGTGAGAGACGCTTGAGCTCGGCCAAGATGATCCACTGCTGAGCCTCAAGCTGGGCCAGTCGTTGAGCTTGTTGCTGTTGCGCTAGCGTCCCACGTCGCTTGTTGACGCGATGATGAGCGAGGTTTTGAGACCTTGAGACGCCTTGCCCGGCTGGACGATGTTTGGGGATTATATTCAGACCCTCTCTGAGAATCCGATCTTCCTGGTGCTTCCACAAGTTCGTCCTCTCGAGCTGTTGTTGGAGAAAGTTGAAGTCTTTTCCCTTGATTTGATTGGTCGAACGTCTGGAACGAGGCTCTTTGATATCTTGCCAGTGGTTTTCCTCCTCTTGCATGGCTGCGATGTTGTCGAAGAATTTGGCAACGTGCTTGTGACTGTTACTGGTGACTCGAGGATGTGGGTCCAACAGGCGGGATCTTGAGCGATGCAGGCGGGATGCTGAAGCTGTGTTGTTGAGTTTGCTGCCGCTTCTGATACGTAAGGGGACCAACCTGATCTCGCGTCTTCCCTCTAGCACGCTGTACATGCGGTAAGCGCCAGGGGATCGTGACTGTTGGATGAGGACATTGTGACCGGAAGGCAGTCGCTGCGATGCGAACAGACTCATGGCGATGGATGTGATGATGTGGACAGGAGGGAACGGAAGAGGTGGACTGGGAGGATGGGGGTGGTGGCGCGGACCTGAGAGGAGACTTGATCCGGGACTTTATAGCATTCGGGTCCTGGCTTGCGTCCAACAGACTGGACAAGTCAAAATCAAGTATGGGAGGAGGCTGTAGGTGACTCTGCAGCTGAGTCGCTCGAACAATGGAGGGTAGCAAATGTGATTAGAAGGTTGGCAGGTCTGATAAACTTTCGCAAGTGGTCCGAGCTGGATGGCTGGAGGCTGGAGGCGGAGATACGTGGCGACAATCACAAGTGCGTGATTGTGATAGTGTGTTTGCTGCCTCCTTTTTCGAGCCCTCGCAAACACGGTTGGGTGTGGGCCCTTTGTTGGGATGACAAGGCTGCATTCGCATGAAATAACCCAAGAGCACACTGTGATGAGTGTATCGGCACATACTCGGATATCGGGCTGAAGCGATCTGTTACAAGCTCATCGTCGATGCCACGCTCGAGGGCCTGAGGAGGTTTGACTATGACCAGCTCCCCTCAATAGCTCTTCCACTCGCAGGATGTCCGTTGGATCGGATTCATCTCGTCGTCGAGCACTTGGTCTTGCCTTCTCTGAGTCTCTATTGAGGCACTGCCTGTCAAACAGTGCCATCTTCAGTCTCGATTCAAGATGGCCCGATGCGCCACCAGTGCTTGAGAATCTCAGTGCGATTTTTGTGACCTCAATTTTCGCAACCTTTTTCCTGAATTTTGATTAACAATTCTTCAGAGATAATCCCTGAACGATGACAAGCAGATCAATGAGACCAAGCAATTTTAGGTTAAGTCAAGGGTCGCAGTCAGGGACCTGTGAGAATGAACGGTTTGAGGCGCAGCAAGGCGCAGCAAGGCGCAGCAAGACTGGCAGACGGGGATACAGCAGAGAGAAAGGGCAGGCAAAGGTTGGATTCCGACTCTTTAAAAGTCATGCAGAGTGAGCGCATCATCAAACACAAAGATCAGCGCGAGGCACAGGCCAGGGGTCGCTGTCGAGTACGAGGCACAATCAGGAAACAAGGGCCGAGATCGAGGGCCCTTGAGAAGAGCCCTCCTTAGTGGCTGGCTCGCTTGGGATCAGATGAAATCACACCTCCAAAAATACACTCTCATCCTCATCCCTTGTCTCAGGTCATGTCGAATGAGGAAAAACTAACTAAACACAAGCCGTCGGACAATCGGTTTCGGACTGCCACTTTGGACCTTCCCAGCGCAACGGTTTGAGTTCCTCTAACACCCATCCAAAGCTGGCCGGCTCTCTTCCCTCTGTGCGACTCTACGTCAACAGCAAAGTCAGAGAGAGAGAGAGAGAGAGAGAGAGAGAGAGAGAGAGAGGTGAGTTAGTTCATCTGGCTTTTGACGGAAAAACACTTTGCAAACGACCTCAGACGTTTTAGATTTGTCTTATTTTTCCGTCGTCTTTTCTGGGATCATCTGTTGGCTTGTCCTGTCTTGGTTCGGCGTTCATGCTGCTATTGCTGTGCGAGGGGACACGGACAAATGGATCGCCGTTGCGCCATAGAAATTGTGTTCTTTTGCTGTTCTGTTGCAGCATCCATCCATCCATCCATCCATCCATCCATCCATCCATCCATCCATCCATCCATCCATCCACAATTCCATCCACATTTAACTGCACACAGCGACTTTTGACCGGGTCTCCTTTTAACTTTTACTATTTATTTTCATGACTTTTTACGCATCATATCGTCGGCGTGCGAAGCGAAACGACATTGATCAGCTCGATCCCTTGAACCTGTCACTTGCGGTCACCGTCTGGCTTCCAGCTTACTCTTCCTCCTCTCTCCTCACACTACTCACACACTCTGGAAGCTCTCTTCTTCCTTGACTGGACTCAGCTCGCCTTTATTGACCCCTCGTTCACGCACTCCGGTTTGCTCAGCTTCTCTTACACTCTTTACCCCACTCTCTTCTCAGTGAAACCCAACCGCCCAAGCAAATACCGCTTATGCTCTCAATCTCGTGATCTCAATAGCTACGCTGCTTCCTTTATAGCACCTGGCAAACGACGCTTCTCGCGCCTTGAGACGTCCATCGCCCTCTGACGCCTCCAGTCGCATCATCTCCAACACTCACATCTGGATCCGCTGACAGCGAGACTCGCTTTAATATCTCAAAATGACGAAAACGAGCTTCATGGACGCCATCCTCAACCGGCCCTCACAGAGGTATACCGAGCCGGTTGCAGCAAAGCCTCCAAGGAGTGCGCGCTACCAAGCACCCCCGGACCTTCCCAATGCACCCGATAAACCCGACTCCATTCTGGCCGGCAACATGTTTCAGGCAAATCGAGCACTCACCTTGGCAGGTGGTGTCTACAGTCAAGCACCTTCAGTCATGTCCGCAAAGAGCAATACCAGCCGTTTCAGCCTCTTTCGCAGCAAGAACAAGTCTCGTGCGCCATCCATTTCAGGTGGCAGCATCTACCATGACGGCGAGAGTAGCATTGCTCCCACAGACGTGAGTGCTAGCCCAAGGAAAGGTCGTTGGTGGGAAGCCGGCAGCCTCCCTCGCAACAGGTACTCTTCTCGGCCACCAAGCCTTGCCGGCAGTGTCTTTTCCGAACCTCATATCGCAGCTCCACCTGGCTTCCCACGCATTTCCGACTCCATCAAAGCCTCTACCCAGCCTCATGGCGCCAGAAGCGATCACCGCGGCCCAACATCCAGCAGCAGAATACGAACCTCTTCCAATCCAGCTCCACCACCTGTGCCTTTGCTGCCCAACAAGAGCTCCACCTCCCTCATGAGGCGCCACTCTGGCGTCGCTCCTCTGGGGCAGCAAGCTCCCAATCTCATGCGCCAGCCTTCCACCGTCTCACTAGCGCGCTCCAATGCCATGTCGGAGTCCAATCTCGACCTAGCACGCCCTGTCAGCCCCGCTGCCTCCATGGGTCGCACTCGTAGCACAAGCAGCCGTGTTGCCGCTCAGGGCGGCTCCTCCGACTGGAACAACTTTGTCAAGTCCATGTCCGGCACAGAGACTGCAAAGGTGTGGGAGACCATGCCAACATTGGCTCCCAAGCCTCCCCGCAACAGCGAAAAGCGCAGCAGCATGGTAGCAAAACGTATCAAGAAAGAGCTCCAACAGGATGCACAGTTCCAGCAGGTCCAACGTGATCCAGGTGTGGTACAGCAGGATCTCCTTGCCCGCGCTGCGTCGCAAGTCATTGGAGACATGTCACCAACACCCATCTCAATGCTTTCCGAGCCACAAGTTGCCGCAGTCCACTTGCAGCCTGCTCAGGTGGTGACACCCATCTCCCCCGTCTACTCTCCAGTTGCTTCTACATCTTCCATCAACGTGGCACAGTATCCTTCCTCCATGTCGTTGCAAGCATCAACCCTCGTGTCGGGTGCAGGTGCATCGGCACCTGTCCTGATTCCCCAAGCAACGGTGCCGGTCACGATGATCCATGACCCTCAGCAGCTCCAACAGCAGCAAGTATACCAACAGCAGCAGTATCCACAGCAACTAGTGCATCCCCAGGCTGTCGCGTACCAGTACGTTGACCCCTCATTGCCAGTTACACCGCAGCAACAAGTCGTGCCCGCTGCGCCAGCATCGCCGCCGACCGTCGCCCCTTCAAGTCCGCCAGCACAGACCTATGCACCAGTCGCACTCGCAGCACCACGAGCAACCACGCAACAGCCATCAACAGCACAATACGTCGCACCGTCTCCACCTCTACCGGCCCAGCCACCAACTCAGACTATGACAACAGCTGCTGAAGCTAGCCCGGCGGCACCTGTTGCACCGCCAACTACTGCACAGTTACTCGCTGATCGCCTCGAGGAGCAAGAGTCAGCAGAAGAGAATGCAGTCTCAGAAGAAGAGGAGGAGCAGGCCACCCCTGAGGACTCGGATGAAGAATCCGAAATGTCTTCCGATGACGGTCTTGTCACTGGCGGCCAACCCACCTTGGATGTTGTCGCTGAGGAAGACGAGGAGGCGTCCAGTGTCGGCCACAACTATCATCAGGAGATGCGTGCGCACAAGTCGATCAAAGGCAAAGGTCCGAGTCGCACGTACGGCGAGTACGAAGCTCGCCTTCACTCTAGACAAGCTTCAGCACAGAGTCAGCAGGACGCCAGCGTTGACCAAGTGACTCCCATCGCTCCTTCTGGCGTGCAGATCCACATCATTGAGCCATCTGCAACGACCGCTCGGCAGGAGTCGCCAGCCCCAGCCGCCGTACCCGTCCTCGAACAGGCCGTGGCCGCACCAGAGCTTGCCACTACCCTTGACAGGCCTCAGCTCGTATCTCGCGCTTCCGAAGTCAGCGACTACAAATCTGCCACAAGCGGTCGAAGCACGCCCACGGCAAAAGACGACGCTGAAGAGGCAGACGAGGAAGCTGCTGCGGTGGCAGCGCTCCTACAAGCTCGCATACGCACGAAGCCATCTGAAGAAAGTGTCTCGGCTGACACTGCTTCCATTGCTCCCTCGCAACGACCAAGTATTCGCACCTCTCGATCCTCTCGACCGGGCACCGCTCAGCGACGCATCAGCGACATCAGCCTTGGCACCTCTTTCGCCGTCAGCGGCATTCTCGGTCGACCTGAATCGTCCAAGCGCCGCCATGGCGATGCCGACTCTGGCTCGGATGCCGAGCTTTCCGATGATGATGCTGACCTTAGGGCAAAGTCGCATGCTGAGCAGGATCGTCTCCGCAAGATGAATGTCGGTGAAGACTTTTTCGGTCCATCTATCTCGAACATGCTCGACAAGTTTGACCGCTTCGGTCAATCGGATGCCACCATCAACAAGAGTTTGCACGACTCTGAGCAGCCTTCGCGTGCAGCCGCCGATATCGCCTCAGATGTGGTCCCTGCCACGACTGCCGATCAGGATGCCGACGCTGAGGCGCAAAGGGCCATGAACGAGGTCCGACAGAAGCGCGTTGAAGCTGCTGCTGCCAATGGCGTCAATGGCGACAAGCACAATAGCACCGACACCGGTCTTGCACATAGCTTTGCCGCTGTCTGGCTCCTGAACCAATCACAAGGAGGCGAAAGCCCTCCTGCCGGATGTCAGACTCTCGAGGAGGCAGATGACGAGACTATCACGGCTGCAACTCTGCCCAAGGCAGGTCCCAATGGCGTAGCTCTTGCTCCAAACGGAGCTGGCCCAGAGCAGCCGAAGGTGTCACTTCTCAACCGTCCACGTCCTAAGTCGAAGAAGCCCGCCGAGATGGGTGGTCTTGCGATCTCTGAGGGCAAGCTCGAAGCCAAGAGCCCTCAACCCCAGAACCCAGTGGAGGACACTCGCAGCACTTTGTTCGTGTCTCTGTCCCAAAACAGCGTCCCCAGCGCACCCTCATCTGCAGGCATGTCGCCAAGCAAGCAGGCAGCGACACCTGTCGCCAGCAAGGACAAGCCTGCGCCTGCAAAGTCGGCTTTGAAGCCCAAAGCTTCTCGATCGTTGGCAGACACGCTCTTCGGCATCCAGTTTCGTTCTCCAAGCAAAGAGAAGAAAGAAAAAAAGAAGAAAGACAAGAGCAAGCACAAGCGCAAGGCGTCGGTTGACTCCGTTGGCTCTGCATCCAACAAGAGCGATCGATCCTCCATCGTTGAGGCTGCCAAGCTTCCCACCAGCAATAGCTCGTCTTCTATCTCGGCGTCTCCAGCACCCGTCGCTGCCGAAGCATCTGTGCCCGCACCTGCTTCTCCATCCGCAAAGGCTCTTGGTAAGCAGCGCGCGACTGACGACGTCAGCAGCTCCCCAGTCGCCGTGTCGGAGCAAGCAACAGCGCCACCCGCAATGGCGCAGTCCGAGACAGTCAACCAGTTCACCACTCCTTCGCAGAGCACGGCTGACATCCAGACCGCTGCAGGTGCCGAGACCTCGCCGCAGAAGTTCTACACTGCGCACGATCTCAATGCTCTTGCCGACACGACGTTCCCTGTCTATCCCACGGTGTTGGCTGCTACGGCAGCGCCGGCTCAAAACGTCGATGTCGCAGCTTCTGTCGATGCTCGTCCCGAACACCAGCGGACTCTCTCCGAGCAGATGAAGTCGATGGATGGATTCAGCTCGTTCGCGCTGCCCAAGCTCGAGTCTCCTCAAGTTGTCGCGCCAGTCGCCGAGGTCAACAAGTCAGAGGCTGTCGCTCATGCTCAGGCCGCACCAGTGGTTCAGCCATCCATCAAGCCTGAAGCGGCTACCCACTCCTCTTCACTCCCGGTCCCAGTGCGCGAGGAAGTTGTCGACGACGCTTTGAGCGCGGAACACAGTGGTATCCCGACATCATCTGAAGCCAGCGTTGCTAGCACCGCTCTCACATCCCCCGAGGCTGAGATGACCACCAAGCAGCCGGAGGTGGAGAAGGCTGTGGCGACCGAGTCTGCAGCTTCCGAGCCAGCTTCGGCTATTCCAGCAGCACTCGAGAACTCAGAGAAGAAGCTTCCCATGCCACCGCCCCCAGCAATGACTGAAGTCATGGCTGTGTCTCACGACGATCGCACTCCCATGGGCAAGCCTCAGATGGTTCCCGGAGTTGGCATCAATCTGATACCTCCCACGCCGCCTGCGCTTGAATCGCGCAACTCCTTTACTTCGTCGCAAGTGCCTGGCACGCCCACCATCGCTGAGCACGACGACGGCTCTGCGCCTCAGCGTCCTCCTCTCATGTCGAGGTCGTCGAGCCAGCGCACGGCCACGCGATCGAACTCGAAGGCGAATGCCTCCAGCGACATCCTCTCGAGATCCAAATCGATGGCACCAGGAAAGAAGGGCATCTGGAAGGAATACAAAGGCAAGGGTCTCAGCTTGCCTCCTGGTCTTGTTGCCACCACAATCGACTCTTCGCAGTTGCGCCGTACGTGTGCTCAGGAGAAGAAGACTCAGCTTGCTCCAGCAACAGCTTCGGCACCGGCGCCAGTTCCAGCTCCAGCATCAGCACCAGCTCCAATCTTTGCATCTGCTCCCGCCGCCGTCCCAGTGCAGGCCTTGCAGGTGACTCCCGTTGTTGGTCAAGTCGTTCCTCTCGCCTCTGGTTCAGTGCTAGCATCTCCGCCTCGCCCAGTGCGCACCACTCAGCCGGCCAGCCCCAACTCGAAGCGACGCAGCGCCTCGCCTGGTCCTATCCCACATTCGGCATCGCTGAGCAGGATCATGGCCGATGCACCCCCTGTGCCGCAGATTCCAACACCTTATCAGGGAGCCGCATCGATCTCGAGCTCATCGTCCCAACTCTACGCCTACAGTGCTGCATCCGCATCCTCGGATCACGCCTTGGGTAGTCGCTCCGTCTCCCCAGCTCCTAATGCTGTGCCAAGTCAGTCTGGTCGATCAGTCGGCTCTCACGTGTCTTCGAGCGTCCACTCAGCTTCGTTCCGCAGCAGCCCACGACCCGAGTACACTTATGTCAACCACCACGAGCTTTCGCCGTACGCCAAGAAGATGTGTGCCTTGTCTCCTAGCCCCGCTGTCCCTACGCTGGCTCAGACAGGCAATCGACACTCGCTAATGTCCGCCATCAACGAATGGGAAAGCCAAGTACCTGGTGAGAACGAAGAAGTCGTCGGCTTGTCGCCCTACCCATCTCGACCGGTCTCGCCAAGCCCTTACCCACCTCTTCCTGCTTCGACGCTGTCGCGTGGCAGCTCTGTTATCAGTGCAATTAGCTCGCCAGCGGTTGTGCGCAATGCACCACTTGGGGCTTCGACCAACCAGTACCTGCACCCGCCCATTGCTCGTTCTCGCATGTCGGCCGACGAGCTGGCTCCTGTGAGCGAGTCAGCTATCGAGTCGCTCAGCCCTCCGTCGGTAATTGGTGCCCCCTCGGTCGTTGGTCGAGGCTCAGGCGCTTCGTCTGGCAGTGACGACTCTTCTCCTTCGGCTTCGCAGTCGGCTTTGAGTCTCTCGAGCACCATCCCCACCTCGATGCCCACGGTGCCAACCAGCTACCGACCCAACAAAGATCCCAAGCGTTTCAGCAGCAACGTCGATGACCTGCTCAACAGCCGCACCACTATGCAGTCTGTTGCCGTCACCAGCGGCGCTTTCGCCAGCAAGAACAGGTCGGTAGTCAAGCGCAAGAAGAGCGTCGACCTCAATGGTGATCGCAAAAACTCGTCGGACCTTCCTGAGCACCTTCAGGATGAGTTGTCGTTGACGACGCTGTCCATCACTGCACACACGCCTCCACCTCGCAAGATTGGCTCGCACCAGGTCTTGGTCCAGGTGATCGCCGTTGCTATTGACGAGACGGACAAATTGCTTCTCCGCGAAAAGTTTCGAAGTGACAATGCATTTGGCTTCGTTCCTGGACGTAGCTTCTGTGGACGCATCGTCGAGTGCGGCTACGAAGTCAAGAAGATGCGTAAAGGTGATGTCGTCTTCGGCCTGCAGGACAGCCGCAAGTCCGGTGCTCTTGCTGAGTTCATGGTCGTTGACCACCTCCGCATCTGCCATGCACCTAGCGACTGCCTGACGACCGAACAGATCGCCGCTTTGCCTTCAGCGGGAGTTATGGCTCACCAACTCGTCCAGAACCACTGCAACCAACTCGAGCGAGGCGCTCGTGTTCTCATACTCAATGCACACGATGGTGTCGGTCTCCTCACCATGCAAGAGTCCGTTGGTCTCGGTCTGGTCATCGTCGCCCAATGTCCTCCGTCCGTCTCTGATGGCGTAGCAGTATGCCAAGCCAACGGGGCGCACGAAGTCGTCATCGGCGAACCACTCTGGGCCATCAACTCTCTCCACGAATCCTCCTTCGATCTCATCGTAGACACCGTCGGTGGACGTAAGATCTACGATGCTTCTCGTCGTATTCTCGCCTTCGATGGGCAATACTGCACCTGCTTCGGTGACAAACATGGTACGGCTAACCCCAACCTCAAGTCTCACTTCAGAAGCTTGAGGAGGGCCTTCTTTAAGAAGGACAGGAAGAATATAGGATACGAATGGGTCGGTGTGGACACGGGCGAGGATTGCAAAGAAGCACTGGAGGCGGTGAAGAGGGCAGCGGAGAGTGGAGATATTTGTCCGAGATTGAGGAGTGTACTGCCATTCGCAGATGCTCCTAGAGCGTTTGATCCGACGACGAGGAATGTTAAGGACGAGCCGGGAGCAATTGTCGTTCGAGTCTCGTAGAGGAGCTTTACTCAACCACCTGTCATTCTGCTTAGCTTGTTACCAGCACCCACGCTCGCTTTCCTCATTCTTCATCTTTGGAGCGTCTCCGTTACTTGATAATCACATACGAACAATCGTTTGGAAAAGGGTATCCTCTCACAGCCTGTGTTTTGTGTGACCATTTCCTCTTTTCCAAGATTTGACATTGAGCAGCATGATGATACGAAGGACGTGTTCAGGCACTACTTCATCCCAATCCTCCTGACCCCCTTGCCCACCGCCCCGCCCATTTTCTGCTTATGACTCTTCCTATCCTCTTTCGCACTAATTGCCAACATTCTATCCTTTCTCGCCCCAATCTCCACGGGATTCACCACATCAGCCGCTTTCTTCAACCTACATGGCCTAGAGCCGATATATTTCCCATCCATCTCCTTCCACGCCCTCAAAAAGTCTTCTGGATCAGCAAAGGCAACAAACCCATAGCCTTTCCCTTTGCCATCTTTCTTCCTCACCACTCTTGCTTTCGAGAACGAAGGATACTTGTCAAACGCAGCGGTGAGGGTTTCGTCCGAAACGTCATTACCCAAGTCACCGACAAAGAGGCGTTTGTGGGAAGGATCCCATTCGAGAAGGGTTTGATCCTCCCAAATCTTGCCAGCTGCTCGACGGAGGACGGTTGGACGAGTTTCGCCTTTGCGGAGCTTGCCGGGGATGATGCGTCCGTGTTCGTCGTATCGCGTTTCTTCTTTAGTGGTAGAGGTGGTGGGGGTGGAGGCAAAAGGGTCGATGATGGGTGCGGAAAAGTCGTAGGTGGGAGCGGAAGAGGAGGGTTGGCTGTAGTAGTAAGGGTTCCTTGCGTCTGCGGAGGTTGGGTATGCTCCTACAGCAGCTGTTGAAGACGATGCGCCGTCTCCGTTAGAAGCTGTGTAGTAGTCGGCAGAGTAGCCATATGTGGCGTAGTAAGAGTTGTAGTCAAACGCCCAATTGTTTGCAGTTGTGTCCCAATAGTAAAAAGGTGCATACGGGTCTTCGCTGGAGCCAGAAGCTGCCGAGCTTGAAGCTGGGTAGCTGGCCATGTTGACAGATCTAGCTCTCTAAGCTTGAACGGTGAAGTCCGTATGTGAGAATGTCGGTGTGCAGATGTGATGGTTGTGTGAAGGGAAGGTGAATGAAAGTGATGGAAAGGTGTTGAAAATGTCGGATATCGGAACAACTCCACTTTTATTTTTTTGTGTTTCTCTCGCGATTATGCATTTGAGACCTCGAGTGTTGTTGTTGCTCTCGTCCTTCCTTCTCTCACAAATGCTCCATCGAACTCACCCGTACCCACCACTGACGCCATCACTGCAGCGATACAGGCAGTGCAGCGGTGAACATGGACGTGGACAAACTCTTCAAGCTCCCCTCTCTCCCCTCCGCAGCAGTCAACAAACGCAACTGGACAGCTCCAAAACCCGATGACCCCTCCCCAGCCTCCTCATCATCTACCCAACCCACGCCATCATCAGACGACCCTACCGCTCGCCCAGCGAAAGCCGCCCGAGTAGCTGACGAGGAAGGTGAAGGCCAAGATGCTCCAAATGAAGAGGACGAAACATACTTCTTTTCAGATGACGACCAAGAAGATGGCCGATTCTTCGGCGGCGGACTTACCGCTGAACAGAAACAAATCCTCGACATCATGGATTCCAACAACGACCCTTCCGGCTCCTCCTCCTCCACTGATCCATCTGCCACCTCTAACCTTCCCTCCCTGCGCAAGCAGCTACTGCGCTTCGAAAGAGCAATCAACAAAAACGCCGAAATGAGAACCAAATACTCCTCCGACCCCACGCGCTTTATCGACTCTGAAGCGGATCTCGACGCTGAACTCAAGTCTCTCCTCGTTCTTACTACCCAACCGATACTCTTCTATCCCGAATTCGTAAAGCTAGGTGGAGCGTCCAGTTTAGCAGGTCTACTAAGTCACGAGAATGCAGATATCGCAGCTAGCGCAATACAGGTGATTGAAGAGTTGACGGATGATGATGTTCTCGATTCCGCCAATCCTGATGCGGAGGAGGGTGAGGGGGAGAGTGGGCTGGAAGCGATGAATGTGTTGGTGGAGGCGTTCTTGCAGCAGAGTCTCTTGGATTTGTTGGTGTCGAATCTTGGAAGGTTTGACGATTGGCTCGATCCGGATCTGCCACCGGAAGAAGCAACCGGGAGGGCAGTGGAAGTAGAGAATGATGCCCAGGCGATATATCATACTTTGGGAGCGATAGAGAATCTTGTTTCGTCTCGACCGGCGTTATCGGAGCTACTGGTAAAATCAACCAGCTTTTTACAATGGACGTTAACAAGGTTAGCTACAAAGAGGGAGACGGTGGATCAGAACGCAAGTTATGCAGCCGAGCTTTTAGCTATTTTGTTGCAGTCTTCCCCGCCAAATCAAGCCGCACTTGGTGCAACGAAGTCAGACAGAAAGGTCGGAGGCGAGAATGGCATCGACGTCCTTCTCACCATCCTCTCCCGCTACCGCCGAAGAAATCCAGAAGGAGGGGAAGAGGAAGAATTTGTCGAAAACATCTTCGATTCTCTCTGTCTCTCCCTCTTCCATCCTCCCAACAAGACCTTATTGCTTGTAGGAGAAGGAGTGGAATTGATGGTGATCCTCATGAAAGAGAAGAAATCTTTCGGTCGAGTTCGCGCGGTCAAAGTCCTCGATCACGCCTCGTCAGGTCCCGCAGGTGGAGCTGCATGCGAACGGATCGTCGAAGCAGGCGGTCTCTCACCCCTGTACAGCATCTTCATGGACTGCAACACTTCAAGTAAACGAGGTCGAACAACAGTGACACTTGCTGACGCAGAACACATCCTCGGCATCCTGGTATCCATGTTCACCCATCTAGCTTCCGAGAGTATGCCTCGGATCCGATTGCTGGCCAAGTTCGTTAGTGAGGGTTACCAAAAAGTGGATCAACTATTGGATCTTCGCGATGCACTCACTTCCCGCTTGGACTCGATTGCAAGAACGACAGAGGAGGAGGAGGATGGAGAAGAGTTTTACCTGGCAAAGCTAGAACAAGGTTTGTTCAGTCTGCAACTGCTAGATACCGTGTTGGCTTGGGTGGTGATGGAAGATGATGCGGTGAAAGATCATGTCAGTGTGTTGCTGAGAAGAAAGGGGCTTGGGTGGAAGGATGTGGGAGGGGTGTTGAGGGAATATAGAGAGAATATTGGTGATGATGAGGTTTCAGTTGATGCGACAGGAGAAGCTAGTCTGAAGACGAAAGATATTCTTTCTGCGCTCATAGATTATCTTGAAGCATTGTAGATTACATGACATCCTCACAATTCAATACACCACAAAGCGGCACACAATCATACTGTATGATGGCCATGGTTCAAAGGGTATATTGTATTCCAGCCAAAATTTCGCCCTAAGACTGCGCCTGCGTATCATGCACAGCCTCCTTCTTCAACTCGTCCAACTCAGCATCACCATCTCTCAACCCCTTCTCCTCCTCCAACTCCTGCCTTCTCTCTTCCGCCTCCTCCTGCGCATGCAATTGATCTCCAAACCTTGTCTCATTGTCCAGACACATCGCTATCAACCCATTCGTCTTCAAGCCTAGATCAAAATACCTCGGATTGTTCTTCGCAGAGAACATACTAATATGCGCATCCACCTCATCTGTTGCCTTGATATTGTCCGTCGCCTCAAAGCTTCCCGCACATCGGGCTGAACGAGGAGGAAGGATTATGAATGTTCTATCCCTTGCCTGTCCTGCATTGGTGGGGTTTGCAGCGCGCGAAGAAGCTGGTAATCGAGTATAATAGCAATGGAACAAGATCTGCGGTTGGTCAACTAACCGGTCTAATCGGGCACGGAGGGCGTTGTCGTCCCAAAGATTGGAGACGAAAGCGAGATGGTCGGAAACCCAACCGTAGGCACCGTTGATTTTGTCTTTGTTGAAGTAAGCTGCGGAGGCAGCAGCACCAGAAGCGAGGGCGACTGCTCCGGTGGCCATGAGGGCTGTCCGCCAGTTTGAAGAGGCACTTGCGGAGGCTGCGGCGTCGTTATTGTTGCTGTTGCTGTTGCTACTGGAGGGAGTAGCTCTAGTGCTGTTATTTGACCTAGAAGCCTGTGTTGGACCCTGCGATTGACGTTCAGAGTTCCACCTAGCCGCAAGGCCGACACCGATCGGTGCGAGAAAAGTGCCGATGTTCTGCGCGGCCTGCAAGTAAGCGGCATACTTGTTGATCCCATGCTTAAAGACTCCTGGATGTACGCCATAGTACGGAGTGTCGAACGCTAGCACGCCGACTACTCTGGGCCAGAGTTTTAAGCTGGATCGCTTCTCGTTCGGTATCCTCTGCTGTTGTTCAGCGCTGTTCTGTGCAATCGCGAGCGCAGCATCAACAGCTACCAAACCACCCATAGAATGCCCCGCTAGAACAATCTTGACACTGCCCATCCCACCACCTTTCCCGGAATCGGGCAGGATGTCTCCTGTGCTCGCATCGATCTCTGGCTTCGACTCCAGCTTCACCGTTTGCTCTGTCAGCCATTCGACAAACAAATCGACAGCTGCAGCGAGACTGCCACGAGTGTCGTAGGTTGGATATACGACGGATTTGACATGTAAGCCAGGGTAGGTTTCTTGAAGGTTGTATGTGAGACGGGAGGGAAAATCTTCGAAAGTTGTTTCGGAGGATCCTTTGAAGCCGTGAATAAAGACGAAGAGGAGAAGCTGGTCTCGACCTTCCATGCCGGTGGATTTGACATGTGTGCCAGCTCCATCGATGTTGCTGGTGGAGACTTGTGGCTGGTGGAAACCTCGACGCGGGGGAACGGAGTACGGCGGAGGTGGAGCATCTTCTGGTGGTTCGTCGAGGATGATAGCGTTGTTGGCTGACGAACCGGGTTGCGATGGCTCGGCAGCCCAAGGGTCGAGCTCTTCTGGATCAGCAAAGTTTGACATTTCCGGGAGGTGATGGTGGAGTGGAAGATGGTGGCGAGCACAATCTCAGCTATGAAACTTGTCGTGCTGAGTTGCAAGATGGATCCCACGATTCAGCAACGCAGGGTCCAACCGCGCTGAAAAGGCAGGCTTCCACTTGGAAGCCTCTACACTCCGCTGACAGTACTGTCGCACGAGTGCCCTGAAATCAGTCAACGCTGAGTTATCGCTCTTGCCAACGCGTGAAAATTGGAGAGAGAGACCGAAAATTGAAAGAAAGAAAGAAAGAAAGCATGTTAAATTGCCTAACTGGAGCGAGTCGCTTGCGAGCTCCCGGCCGTGACCGTAAGGGGCAACAGTCGGTCGAGCGTCGCGTGTAAGCGAGGCAGAATGCGCGCGAGAACGAAATACAAGAAAAGCTGTATAAGAAACAACAAGGGAGGGGAGGGAGAAGAAGGAAGAGAGGAGAGCGAGCGAAATGGCTCAAAGCGTTGCGACGAAATGGAGTGATGCGCGTTGGTCACGTGCCCCTTGGCTCACCGTTGAAAAGTGCGCATCTATCCATTCGCACGATAAGTTTTGGAAGCCAGGACCGAAATCGACAACGCAAAGGGAAAAGAGAAATGAAGCAGAAAAGAAAGAGAGAAATGAAATTAATGCAAAAGCCACCTTGCACAGACTCACGACGCTTGTCCTACCAACTCTGATATCGCTTGTGATGGCAACGTCAGGTGCTTGCAACCAAGGGGTCGGAGCTTGATGAGAACGGATTGTGTTTGGCTATGTGAAAAAGGTCACTGAGGCTCGGTTGGTGGCTTGCTTTGCTGCTGGTGTCAACGTTTGTGCTCTTCACTGTCCGGAATCGTCTTAACAGCGCATTGCCGATCCCCCCGAAGTATAGTCAACTGCATATTCTGATTCCTTTTCATCCAAGTCGTGCCGCTTTGGCTCCTTTCTCCCTTTCTTCATCGTTGTGACTCTGTCTTCACCTTCATCTTCGCGACTCTCTCTAAACCTCCTTCCGTCGCCCAGCTGTGCCATTGATGCTGTATACAGCCGCAGCCACCGCATAAGTCTCGCCCATACCGGACCGGAACCACCGTTGCCCTTGCACGGCCATCTCTCTTTCAGCGTCTTCGACTCAGACACCTGCGACACCAAAGCATGCTCTAATCGTTAACTGTCGCAGTATCTTCTAAATCTTTAAGTCGCCCCACTGCTCCATCTCTTTGGCCGCTATCACTCGCCACCACGTCTATCCTACCTTTGCCATCAACGCATCCGCAAGCTCGACTAGACTCTATTGGATCACTCTGCTCATGTCGCAACCACGTCTTTTCTTGCGCTAGCCACCAAACGCTCTCTCTTTGCCGTAGATACAACTGAATACCTATGGTATCACAGTTTTCAAAGATCCAAAGCATTCATCCACCACATCTCGGATCAATCCTGAACCACCTTCGGCCACAAAGAAGTACGCACAAGGTCGACTACATTTAGCGGGCGCACCAAGCTCCACCATACGCATTGTTCCCCAACATTCTTCGAGTCGAACGCAAAGTCAGCTCATACTAGCGAGGTGGATCAGCTGGGACGACTTTGCTCAGCACGCCTCCACCCAGCCTTGACGACATCATCGCATTCGGTGCTACAATAGGCACAGGTTCAAAGATCAAAGCAGGAGAGCGCCTGTCTAGGAACGACTTGAACGAGCGCATCAACCCTGCATTCGACGCACCCGGATAATGCTCGCAAAGATGGCGAAAACAAAGACACCCGTCATAGACCTCGAGCAGGATGAAGATGGCTGGATTGGCGGTGGGGCTAGCCAGAGCATCTACGCTCCCAAGCCCAACGCCAATCCTACCTCTCACATGTCTCCTCCTCCTGCGCCAAAAGCCACCGCCAAACCATCACCCAAAACACCAGCCCGAGACAAATCCTCCCGATCTTTACGAGGACGCATGGATATGGCGCAGACTCCCCCACCCAAATCGCGCAATGCTAATCACAACAGTGCAGCAGAGGCCTCCCCATCATCCACCACCACACCTTCGCCCTCCAATCAGCAAGAATCTACATCACCCTTCCGTACAACCCCCTCACAAGGCATTCGCAGACCCAGCGCAAAGATCCCCTCTCCTCTACCACTCACCAGTCCTGCACGCAACAATGGCCCAGTCTCACCACTCAACACTCGCACACCACTAAGCGCTTCCCACCCTATCCCGGAAACTCCGCTTAAGCTATCGCAGCGTGGTGGACCCCAAACTCCCGCAACACCTCATTATCCTATCTATCCTCGCCACTCGCATTCGAATAGTCAAGATGATGATGCAGCACGTGCAAGCGGTCTCGGTTTGGGTTTGACGCCGCTGAAACAGTCAGTACCCCTTGCACCGAGTCCAGACAATGTCAGGAGTGCATTGGACGATGCATTGCATTTGCGCGGTAGAGCGGCGTCTAACGCTTCAATCGGGTCCCCGCTCAAGTCGGGTAGGAGTGATTTACATGGTGAACCGCTCGCACTCGGCAGCTCGCAGGGAGGAGGAGGGAATGGTCAGATCGACTCAATGCTGGATCGTCTTGGTAACGCTCGTTCGGGGTTGGGGACCAGTGCGAGTATGTGGGCTCCAAAACCAGCACCTAGCCACAACAGTGCAAATACCTCGTCATCTAGCTCCAATATGTCGCATACGATCGGATCGGGATTCTCAGCAAGCAACCTACTCGGAGTGCAAACCGGTCTTGATCGCAAACGACCCAGTCATCGCCCGAACGGCTTGCAATTGAGCTTGGGACAAGAAATCAGCGTTATGCAAAAACTGGCAGAGGGTGCGGAAGAAGAGTACCCCACATCTAACGTTTCCTTCGCTACTGTTGGGAAGACTTTCAAAATCGATCCTCCAGCAGATGGCGACCAAGATGGGTGGCAAGGAATTGTAGTTCCCCCAACCCCGTCCCTCGGATGCGACTCACCTGATTCTGAGGACGGTGCCAAAGCGCCCCCCTCTCGCAGCCTGGATGCGTTTGGTTGGGGAAACTCCGAACCGCGCAAATCTTCTCTCTTCTCCAAACTGCCATCCTCCTCAACCCTCGAAGCGAATTGGAGTGGAGACGATGACGACGATCGTAAAGACGATGTCGAAGTATTCGAAGATATCCAACGAGCCGCAAGAACCTCGAAAGACAAACGCCATTCTCCACTCCCCCCGCCATCTTCGATCAAATATGGGAAATCGAGAACTCCCTCACCCACGCATCTTGGTCTACTAGCAAAATCGCCTCAGCTTGAAGATAAGGGTCGGACTTCACCTTTGCCTACTCCAGCCGGGGTAGAGGGAGGGATGAAGCGATTGTCGCCAGCTTCGGGGAGGTTGCAGTTGCCCTTGACGCAAGATTCAGATGGGGACGATGCGGATGTTGAGACTGAAAACCTCTTTTCGGAAGGGAGGGAGAGGAAAGGTAAAGCGCAAGAAGGAGCGGATAGTTTGCAGGTAAACGCCGGAGGGTTAGAGAAGAAACGTTCTTTGAAAAGAGATAAATCTGAGAGGATAAGGGGTAGAAGAGCTAGTCAGAGTAAGGAGAAGGATGTGAAATTGACGACCACCAATCCTGTACAGGGTAGTGCTACAGTTTCACTTCCCACCTCGAACTTTGCTTCTAAAAGTGGTGGTGAGGATTTGGTGCAGAGTATCGAGAAGGTTAGCTTGAACGATGAAGCTAAGCCTCAGCTAGCAGCAATTGCATCGAAGACCGAAACACCGGTGGCGCAGAGGGTGCAAACTATCCCAACAGTAAAAGATGATCTGTTCTCCTCGCCCGCTGAGCCAAAGGACGACCTGCCCTGCACTGAGGTCAAGGCAGAGGAGCCTACGCCACCAACGTCTACTTCAGCAACACCAGCACCAGCAGAACCATCACAGCACAAGGAAACGAACAAAGAGGCAAAGGAGGAGGAAATGAAGAAAGATGAAGAGAAAACACCCGAACCAACCTCCAGGAAACAAATGTCATTCGATTGGGCAGCAGACGACGAACTCGGTGATGAACTTCCAGATCTTGATGACTGGGGGGTGACCCTTACTCCTGTCAAGCCAATCACATCTTCTGCTGCTCATACCGAAACTGAATCGGTGCCTAAGACTTCTACCCAGAATCAAAACAAGGGTGGGGGGAGAAATGGGAAGAGTAAGCCTGAAGAAGGAGTTTGGAGACGAGGAGGGATGCTTGATGCCCCGCCCAAAGGCAAAGCTTCAGGAGACAGGAAATCAAGTGGAAAAACAGGCCGAGTAGGGAGCAAGACCCGTGCTGGAGTGGGGATCCGAATTGCAGGTAGAGCCAAATGCGGCTCACTCTCCCCAGAGCCAGAATCAGTTGCACCTCCTGCTAGCACTCCCTACGGTCGTTGGAAAACCACTCTTTCTAACACTGCAGCGAAAGAAGATCAAGGACTATCGATCAAAGGTATCGCCTCTACAAATCGCAAGCCTGCCACCACCGGGCCCATAAAAGACGTCAGACCGCGTATTGCAGCAGACCGAGGCGCACTAACGAAACTTATCGCCCCCGATGCAGGCCAACCACAACAACCCAAAGTTGGCGGAGGGGAGAGAGGGTCAAGGAAGAATTCGCCCGCAGTGGACAAGGGAGCGGAATGGAAAAAGGGAGCTAGTGTTAAGTATAGTACTCATGCACCACCTAGTGGAGCATCTACTAGGAAGAGAGGCGGTTTCGGGGCAAAGAAATAAACCTCTCCATTCCACAATACACTTGGACGATTCAAGGAAGGACTCGATCATTGTATCCTACACATCGCATTCTTACCAATGTCGGTTGATTTGCATCGCTAAAAGCCGTCGATTGGATGTGTGATGTTGAGAATCATGGGCGCCTTTTTTGCTTAGCTGAAGCACTTGTCTCCGAAATAGAAAGGTCTATGCACCCAGTCTCTCGTCGAGATGTTTAGCACTGATTTCTCCGTCTCTTACGTCGATAACCTTGCCGATGTCTGCTTTTGCTGCAAAGTTGCTCAGAGCAGAAGCATAAAGTGTGCTTTGTTCTAGAGAAGAGGTTTGTGGGGCCCAGTATAGCAAGAACAGCGGCTGTTGTTGCGAGCGGGATGAACGCGATCAGTTCGGACAAAGTGGGTCATTGTTCCAGATCAGCGTGACGACGATATTACAGTGTCAGTCAGAAGTAACTTATAGTTGTCTAAGAGGAATCAGGGGGGGGGGGGGGTGGGTAAACGTACGTAAGACACTCTTCCATCATGATGCTGCAATTTGTAATTTACGATGAGGAATCGGGGAGAGTTTTCTGGAAGTTGCTCTACGAGATCCTCAACTGAGCTCAAGCCGGTGCTCAGTGTTTCTTCGAGTTGCAAAGTGAGGCTCTTTTTGTCGATTTTGAAGATTTGAGCGCTGATAGGGACTTTAGAGGGGGTCAGACGAAATTTTCGAACCGATTGGAGAAGGGTGGAGGGTATGTCGATGGTGCTACTCGATGCCATCTTGTCCAAATCCTTGAAGGATGTGAGGAGAGGGTGGATGATAGGATATGAAAGCCTTTCAGATGTCGACGTCGATGGTGATGGTGGTAGTGGTGGTGGTTGAGACCAAGGATGAGGAGGAAGGGTTCTCAGATGTGGAGTTGAAGCGCGAATCGTAGATTTGGTGCACTTTTGAGACTCGGACATGTTGGAAGATGCTAGCTATCCAACACTGCCCTTTGCTCGTCATCCTCAATCCGCACAACACACCTTCTGAGTGGTATCTTGCTCTCAAGGGCATGTTTTGACTCGTCATAGACTTACACACACATACACTGCTGACCCTTTCTGTCTCTGCTTGATTCATCTCGTGTTTCAAATTGCGTTCGTGTTGGATATGTACAATAGTCTTTTCCTAAGCCATCGCTGGGAAGGCTTAGTTAGCAGACTTCTTTGCACTCTTCTCACTTGCCTCCCTGATCGCCCACGTAAGCGCATAGGTCTTAACCGCATCATCGTAACTCGACAAAATTGGTGCACTACCCTTGCCCTTCTCGATGTTATCAATCAAGTTACTAACCTCCGAGAAGAAGGGATCATCATTCTGATACCTTACTACTTCCTCATGATCATCACCTGGCCTTCTAAAGTACAATGCTGGAGCATTATACGGATCCACCAACCTCAAACTGTAACCATCCGCCAAAACATCAATCTCGGTATTGTAGTTGAATCCCTGCAACGCCACCGCGTGAGTCAAAGACCCGACTGCACCCGTCTCGTACTTCCAAGTAGCACAAGTAATCCTTGGAATTCGGTTATCGGGTGCAACCTTGCTCTCGTCCACAGGGATCTTGCTGAGCTCACCCGCAGGCTCGAACCACTCCAGCGAGTGGGCAGCGACAGTGCTGAGATCGACTTCACCGCCAAAGTATCGGGAAAGATCGCAGAAGTGGGTAGCTTGCTCGACAATGGGACCGCAAGTTTGAGACTTGTCCCACCAGTCTAGCTTGGCGGTGTGTTCGTAAGCCATGATGTACCTAGCGTTGGTAGCCATAACTTTCAGGTTGTTCTCCTCCAAGATCTGCTTCATCTTCTGGACGACTTTGAGGTATCGAAGCATGTAACCGACCGATACGAGGTTTTGTCCCTTTTCGAGCATCTGTGCGATCTTGAGCGCATCGTCCACTGAACCAGTGGAAACGGGTTTCTCGATAAAGATACCAACATCGGGGAACGCCTCAACTAACTTCTTCTCCAAGTCACGACCTGGCTGTTCACGACCACGGAAAGCAGGTGGACTACCAACCCAGATGGCATGAGGCCTCTTATCAGGCGTCACGTTCGCCACATAGTCCGCAAAAGTAGGATACACAACCGTATCCTTGTAAGCGGAGAGGACGAAGGAGCTACGCTTCACAGTGAGAGCAGCTTCAGCTCGAGCAGCAGAGGGGTCGATGAGAGCTACGACCTTAAGACGAGGACCGAGCTTGTGTTCCAGACGGAAGGAGTGGTTCCATGGACCTTCGTCCGAGCCGAAGTTGATGTTTCCAGCACCGATGATGACGACGTTGAAATCAGCACCTGGCTTGGGAGGCTCCATCTTGTCCATCGAAGTAGGGGCTTGAAGGTCAACTGCGGCGGTCGATTCGGAGGCCATACCGCGAGCGCCGCTGGGGAGGCGCAGAGCACCGGCATCGCGCTTAACAGTGGTAATGCTACGAGGGATGGTAGCGATGCTAGGAGCAGCAAAGCTGCGAGCACCAGCGAGGATGGAAGAGCGGGAAGCCGAAATGGCGACTTGCCTAAGGGCGAAAGTGGAACGCATCCTGTTCGAAGTCTAGTCTAGTTCTGAGGACAGAGCTAGGAGATGGGAGAAGGGGATGTGTAGGAGTAGGTGGTGGCCAGAACGAAAGAAGAAAAAAATGCTTTGGTTTGGGTGTTGGTTCGAGATAAACCTCGGCGATGAGATCAAGAGAAAGCGGAACGCTGAAGTTCTCCGTTCGGAAGGGCGAGGAGGAAGGGGGGGCACGGATAAGATGCAGCTGTGACGCAAAGGCCAGTCTGTTACAGTGTTGGAATCAGAAAAAGTTGAGGGAGACGCGTCGATACTCCAATGGGATTCACAGGGTCCACAGAGTGTCATGGGGCCCATGGAAGATAAGCAAGTCATCAATGAGGCAAAGACACATATAGGTGGCAACACATGTGGGATGCATAAGCATTGTCACACTAACATGCAGGAAGTGACAATGCAGGAGTGACACAACAAGTGGCTCAACACAGGCTAGCACATGTGGAAGAGATTACCAAGTATATATATATGATAATGTACATAGAAGCTAGTAGATAGAATTAACAACACACAACTGCATAAGCAAAAATTCCTCAACTGATTAAGAGTCTGAAGCTTGGCAACTTCAAGGCACTTTGCCATCAAGATGCCACCCAGAGTAGACAGTGTAGCCCTGCTTGAATGCACCATGCAAGTGATCAGAGAAGTCCACACTGACTGGAACAAAGACCAAATCTTGGAGCATGCCTTCTCTATGATGAACCTCCAACCAAATACCAGCCAAGTCGAAAAGATTCCTAAGTCAGTACTCAGCATTGTATTGCAGATCATCAAGCTCAACAAGAACAACTGGGCTATCTGGGAGCCCATGTTTATGGACTGCATACAGCCCATCAAGAATGCAAAGCAGATCCTTACCAGGGAAATATCTAGCAGCCACACAGACTATGATAAAGAACTAAATAGTCACCTGTTAGGCCTCATCCTGTCGTCATGTGACCACAGTCCTGAAAGCAGTATTCATACATACACTGTTCGAGAACAAGGTGAAGAGGAACAACTCAGCTCTACACTGTACAAGAAGCTCAAAACAGTGCTCACAATCAATGATAAAGTTAAACTTTCTGCCATTCACGACTGAGTGCATGAGATCAAGTTAGTCCACCAAAATGTCATCAACCTTGGAAAGGAACTAGATCAAATTTGGAATGATGCTGCGAGGCTGGGCAGTCACATGGATGAAAAGCTCAAGAAGTCCACCCTCTACCACTGCATCAAGGACAACTGGCTATACACCCAAACTGTAGACTCCCTCAAGGCCACTCAACCCAGTTGCAACTATGAATATGCATATCATGCACTAGCCAAGAAGTACCAAGAAGCCAAGCTCTCAGGTCATATCCAAGCTGCAGCCAGAGTCACAAGCAACAGAAGTTCAACAGGCCAAGCTGGCAAGCATAGGCAGGTTCTCAACCAAGAGGGCTACAATAGGGGTAGGCACAACCCCACAAACCCTAATGAACCAGCCAAGTGCTATAAGTGTAGGCAACCCAGGCACATTGCAATCAATTGCACCAGCAGTCAGGAGTGAACTCCTACTCAGCAGGGATAGGGATTTGGGTGCACCCTTTTCGTAAGCAACACTGGCAACTGTAACCAAGACAGTATGTGGATTCTCGACTCTGGAGCTACACATCACATGGTATGTGATGAGGATAAGCTCATTGCTCCAATGCTGAAGCAAGGATCCATAGATACTGCAGGGCATGAATGGTTGTGAGTGCAGGCAATAGGAGATGCAACTTTGCAAGTTGGAGATGTTAAAATACCCCTCACAGATGTACTTTACATTCCCAACCTTAGCAAAAATCTATTGTCTGTTCCAGCATTAACTGAAGATGGTGCATGAGTGATATTTGAAGAGTCTGGAGCTACAATCCTCCAACATGACAGAAGCATGGTCAAGAGTAAGACCAACCAATGCCAGAAAAGATGGGAAGTTCATGGCAACTCCCTAGCAGCACAGCTCAATGACCCCCTTGAGGGCATTGATGATAACATGACACCAGCAAGGCCCACAAGCCACACGATAAGCAAACTATGGCATGAACGATTTGGCCATCCTGGCAGAAACAAAACCCAGCAAATCCAAGCTCACTACTTAGGAAGAGAAACACAGCTTGAGCACAACTCAAAGGACTGCAATAGTTGCAGTCAGGCAAAGCAAACATGTGCAAGAATGGCAAGCAGCAAGACAGAATGAGTGCAAGCACCATTAGAATTAATACACATTGACCTAATGACAGATTTACAAGGCCACCCCAACTACCATCACATGCTGGTAGTTGTAGATGATGCCTCATCATATGTATTCATGAGACCACTCCTCAGCAAAGCAGAAGCATTCCCCACCTTGAAAGCATGGATCAAAAGGGCAGAAGTAATGATGGTTCGCATGCTAAAGTGCATCTGCAGTGACAATGGAATGGAATGGTCAAGCTTGGCAGCAGAGGAATGGAAGAAGGAGGTGGGGTTTAAATGGCAGAAAACCACCCCATACATCAGCATGCAAAATGGAAGAGCAGAGCACACCATCAGATCGCTACAAGAAAAGATGTGAGCAATGCTCATCCAAAGATTGGTGCCAAAAGGTTTATGGCCCTATGCCATCATGGCTGCCAGACATGTACTTAATTTGACACCATCAGCAAATGCCAACAGAATTCTGTACAAAGACTTTCATCACACAATGGCTCACAGCTTGGCAAAACAATTGCATGTCTTTGGCTGTCTCACATGGGTTCACCTCCCAAGGAAAGATCATGCAGGCAAGCATGGTGCAAGAGCCATACCAGGAATCATGATTGGTTATGACGATGAGCATAAGGGATGGAAATTCCACACTCCAGAACACATGCCATCTATCCAATGGAGTAACTCAGCTACATTTCCTGAAGATAAAAGCTGGCATGATCAACCCAAAGAAAGGAGCCCACTGCAAATCAGATTTGAAAGTCTAGAGGCAGAGGGTACCAGATCAGAGACCATCGACCATGAGCCCATATTGGAACCAGAGGAGATCAACATACAAGACCCATCCTCACATGCCTCCACTATGCAACCCATTGACACCATCAAAGACAACCAATCAGAAATTGCCATTGAAGACATTATTGGGGAGGCCAATATGACCACCATGAACCTTACACCAACTTTGAGGGAAGCACTTGACAGTGATGAGGCACAGCAATGGCAAGAAGCCATACACAAGGAGTTAGATGGGCTCGAAGCCATGGGGACTTGGGAAATCATGGATGTACTGCCAAACACCAAACTCATCAACTCTAAAATTGTCCTCTGCCTCAAGCTGGATGCTGATGGGTTACCTGTCCAACATAAAGCAAGACTCATTGCATGAGGGTTCACACAACAAGAGGGCATAGACTTTGAAGAAACTTTTGCACTGGTGGCACCACTCAGTGCAATAAGAGCCCTGTTGTCACTGGCAGTGGAGCAGGACTGGGAGGTCCATCAACTTGACATCATGATGGCCTACCTCAACTCCACACTCAAGCATGTTATCTATATGAAACCACTGGAAGGGGCAAAAGTACCAAAAGGAAAAGCTTATCGGGTAGTAAAAGGGCTATATGGACTCAAGCAATCAGGATGGGAGTGGAACATGGACTTTGACAAGTTCCTGCAGTGCTCAAACTTCCATAGACTTGATTGCATGCCATGTATTTACACCAGAGGAAAGGGGGACAACTTTGCAATAGTGATTATCTATGTTGATGATACATTGATTATATCTCCAAAACTGACAATGGTCAAGCACATTAAGAGGGAGATAGGCAAGAAGTGGAAGATGGAGGACAGCAGTAATGTATCCCATTTTCTCGGGATCAAGATCTCCAGAGACCACAAGGCAAAGACTATGGACCTCATGCAAACCAGCTATGTCAAGCAGCTACTAAACGAGCATTTAGATAAACATAGAAGAAAATCCAGCATACCACTCCAGGATATCCCAGTACCAGAGACGACAGCAAGCATAGCCAAGCAAAAGGAATACCCACAAATCATTGGCAAACTCCTATGGCTGTCAAATGGAACACATCTGGACATCAGCCAAGCTGTGGGTGTCCTTGCACGTTACATGACACAACCATCGAAGGAACATTACAATGCAGCACAGAGAGTGCTCCAATACTTGGATGGCACCCAGGACATCCACTTGCAATACAGTAGCGACAAGCAACAAGATTTTCTGGTGGCACATAGTGATGCGAATTGGGCAAGTGACACCATGGCACAATGTAAGAGCTCATCAGGGTCAGCAGTTTTCATACACAGAAACCTGGTAGCATGGAAGTCGGCACTACAGCACTGCACTGCCTTATCAGCAGTAGAAGCAGAATTTGTGGCAGTGACCAAAGCTGCATGAGAAATTCTCTTCTTTGGACACCTCTTCAAGGCTATCAGGGTTGATGTTGGTACCCCCATAATTTTCTCAGATAACACAGGCACCATCCAGGTAAGCAAAGACCCTGCACAACATTGGAAGTTGAAGCACATCGATACCAAATACCATTTTATAAGAGACAATGTACAAGATGGAAAGGTCAAAATCAAGTACATTGGCACTGAAGACAACTTAGCAGACATCTTCACCAAACCAGTAGGCAAGGAGGCATTGCGACATGCATGACAAGGGCTAGGACTGATACCACAGCAAGGTACAGTGGCTCAGCAGCCTACTGCCTTGCCGCTGAGGGAGACAGTTGAGGGAGATGCATTGATACTCCAATGGGATTCACAGGGTCCATGGAGTGTCATGGGGCCCATGGAAGATAAGCAAGTCATCAATGAGGCAAAGACACATATAGGTGGCAACACATGTGGGATGCATAAGCATTGTCACACTAACATGCAGGAAGTGACAATGCAGGAGCAACACAATGAGTGGCTCAACACAGGCTAGCACATGTGGAAGAGATTACCAAGTATATATATATGATAATGTACATAGAAGCTAGTAGATAGAATTAACAACACACAACTGCATAAGCGAAAATTCCTCAACTGAAAAGCACGAATTTTACCAGGCAGCTGTCACAAAGCATCTTGGCGAACGGGCCAGCCATGATCTTGTTGGAATTCGCCGTTGGTTGAAAAGGAAACGCAGGCGATGACGCCGTTCCACCAGCCACAGACGCTCAATGCCATCATTGAGAGTAGATCAGGGTCCTACCGCCATCGCAGAAGCTACTGTATATCGATTGCATTCCTATCTACCTCGGTTCTGTCTGGCAGATCAAGGTAAAGAGCTATTGATTGTGAACTCGAGTAGGAAGCAAGAAGACCAAACATTACACTCTTTCTGTGTGGGTCGGTGACTGGGGTACGGTGAATTTAATCGCCTCCACCGCCGAGCGCACAAAAATTCGCCGCAGAACCGACACCATGCAGTTGACTCGCATGTTGCTTCTATTGCTCCTCATGATTCTTCTCCTTCTTGCCTGCCATTGCCTCTTCCTTACTTTCAAAGACATCTCTTCCGTCTCTTTGCGTTTGTGCATTCGGTGGATCTTCTCATGCACCTTTCTGTCGGTGCGAGCTACAAGGTCGGAATTGGCTCGCTTACTGTCGTCGCAACCAGCGAACAGCCCTCTTGTCATTCTTGATGAGAGGCATGAGCACCTTTCGCACATCAGAGTTGTGTTCCTTCAACCAGCGTGCCTCGGCATAAGAGAGCAGGCTGAAGTCGACCAAGTTGGTGGCGATGGGGACCTGAGTGATACGCTCGAAGCCGTACCAGGGTATACCGCCGAAGTTGCGGTGCGTGTCGATGCGTTTCACTGCCATGAGTGATTCGGTGCGGATACCGAAATGTCCTTCTTCGTAGAAACCAGGTTCAATTGTAAGCACCATGTTCTCCTGCAATGGAACTGGCTTCTTAGATCCTCCAGACATGCTCGAGAACCCTTGTGGTCCTTCGTGAACGTCCATGAAATGACCAACACCGTGACCTGTTCCGTGACGATAGTCGAGACCGTCTTCCCACAGAGCATGACGAGCAATCGGATCTAGATGCTGCCCGGTTGTACCAGCCGGGAACTTGACCTGGCTCAATCGAATATGACCCTGCAACACTCTCGTGTACGCACGCTTGTGCTCAGCACTAGGTCTACCGAAGTGCACCGTCCTCGTGCAGTCGATTGTTCCATCGTGATACTGAGCGCCCGAGTCGTTAAGGTAAGGTGTCTCTGTATCAATGACACGAGAAGCCTCCTTAGGAGTCTCGTAATGCGGCAGAGCAGCATTGGGACCTGAAGCAGAGATGGCATCGTAACTGTCGCCAGCATACAGATGCTGCTTTTTGCGAATTTCTTGAAACTTGACCGCTGCCTCGCATTCATCTATCTTCTCGCGCCTCACCTTGACGTGGTCCTCGAGCCAGGCAGCCCACTTGACCCAGGCAGCACCATCACGAATGTGACTATCCCTAAAGCCCTGAAGCTCGACATGGTTCTTGATCGCTTTACGTAGCGCAACGGGAGAGGGATCGATGAGGTGCAAGTTTTCATCTCCCACAGCATTTGCTACTGCATACGAGAGCTTTTCGCCAGACACAAGTTTGCGACCATGCGAAGCTTGAGCGACCCAGCGACGAAGGTAGTGCCAAATCGAATCGTAAGATTGCACATCCAATTTCAGTGTCTCGCGAATATACTTGTCTGCTTCTCCACCTTCAGGTAGCAGCTCGCGGCGGATGAAAAGCACCGACTGCTGCTCAGAGACTAGGATGTAGGCAGGGAAGACAGGATGACCTGGGATGGAGGCTCCACGGAGGTTGAGTAGCCAAGCCACCTCGTCTAGGGCTGAGACAAAGTAAGCAGATCCTTTGGGCTTCGATTCGAGATCTTTTCGGACATCTTGGAGCTTGGCTTGAGCAGGTTTGCCAGCGTATTTGAGCTCGTGTTCGTACACGGGCGAGGTGATGGGTTCTGGACGATCATTACCCCATGCAACATCAACAAGGTTGCGAGAAGGGAAGACGGCGGAACCACCTGCCTCGTTGAGCGTGACGACTAGCGACTTGCCCAGAGTATAGCTTATCAGCGCAGGATCCATACCGACCTTGGTAGTCTCGTTCGCCTGCTTGACGATCCACTCGGACCAATCGAGCACGCCGCTGACACCCACCTTGTGCAGAGTCCAGTTGTCATCGAGCTGTTCTGCAGCTTGGACGTGGTATCGTCCATCAGCAAAGAGGTGGGCTGAGTCCTTACCGACAATAGCCGTTCCAGCAGATCCAGTGAAACCCGAGATCCAAACGCGTCTCTGGTCTGAAGGAGCAGTGTACTCGGTCGCATGCGCATCGTCGGTGGGGACAAGATAGAAGTCGACTGCTTCTTCGGCCATCAACTTGCGCAGAGCAGAGAGACGAGGACCGGTGAGGTCAGGCTTGAGCTTGCTCTTGAGGAAGATCTGCTTGCGTGCCTTTTCAGAATCGAAGGCAGGGGAGTCGACTAGGGTGGAGTCGGTCTTGATGGAGGCGGCATCGTGGCCTTTGTTCCTGTTGAGGAAGGGGAAGCAGCCCATGTTTTCGAAGTTACAATTATAAGACCGTAGGAATAGAATTGTGACGACGGTGATGGTGGTGGTAGTGATAGTGGTAGTTGCTGCTGCCGAAGGATGGGAGAGATGTGCGAGAAGAGGATCCGTACGAAGAGTGGGTTGGCGTCGGAGCATCAGGGTCCGATCGGCAACCTTTGTGGAGTTGCACGCGGTTATGGTTGCAATAGGCGATAAGCAGCAACTGATATGCAGGCACGCAGTAAAAGTATAAGCATGTGAATTCTAGTCCGATCTCACATCGACACCAGCTTTGCTCACTCGATTTCGTACTATGCTGTCCCCGCAAATTGGAACCGATGGAGATCAGTCGGCCGATACAGAAATCGAGAGAGAAGTCATGTTAGATTTTGGATGTGCACGCCATGTCACGTGCAGCAAAGAAACCGAAAGTTGCATATGAAAGCTCACCGCGCCGCCCAACTTGACGGGGATCGACTGTCGCGACAGGCATCGGCATATCGGCTATCAGATATCCGACATAGTTTCCCCGTCAGGTTTTCAGCCTTATCATCCCTGTATCATCCACGTATACACAGAGTGCTGGGAGACAGACATATATACTATTCACAGTCTTGTACTTAGTTCTTACATACTATCGCAATCGATACTATCAACGTCATTTGCCGCACGTCCTTCAACAAACGCCGATCCGGCTTCTTCGCCGGTTCCATATTCCACCAGAGCTTTTTTTTTCTTTTTCTTTTTTCTTTTTTCTTTTTTCTTTTTTTTCTTTTTTTCTTTTTTTTCTTTTTTCTTTTTCTTTTTTCTTTTTCTTTTTACCGACTTGTGCGAATACATCGCTGTAACATGCTCCTGAGGGCAGTTTCGACACGACACTCTGAACCTCTTGCCGACGTTTGGCAGAGACACGGCCCTTGGATGCCTGCGAGAAAAGCTGGATGCTTTGACAAAGCCAGCTGATATTCTCGCCATGACTGCAGACACCAAATCTACAGTAGACATCTCGAGGAACAAAGGGAAGCTACATAGACTTCATTTCGACCCTGCATTTTGGCGGTTCCAAGTCTATTTTGGCCGTATCCGAGAAGAGGTTGACCGAGAACAATAATGCTTTCAACTTCACTGAGCGAGAGAGAACAGTGAACGGCAGCTGAGAGAGCCGAAATTGACAGGGTTGAAAACAGAAGAAGAAACATTTACAAGTGTCGCTGGGGTCGTTTTGTATTGAGATTTGAAACGCGTCTTGTACTTTCATTTACGGGACGCGCAGATTTGCATTTCTAAGCAGAAGTCAGGGCTTTTTTTTTTTTTTTGCTTTTTTTTTTTTTCTTCCCTTTTTGAGTTTCTTGGCCTTCCATGCTGGCTACGCCCAAGCTCGCACATGAACCTCGCTTTGTTTCATCTCTATACCTGTTCTGTGACGACCACCCCGCCGTTTCCTCTCCTTCCTACACCACTTCAGACAGGCACGACACGATACACGCCATACCTTCGTTTGGCTTCAGCTTCAAGCGCAGTCTCTCACCTTCCTTACTTCTCAGCCTCGAATCACGTAGCATCTAGAGCCTCTTGTCTCGGCATATCCTCTCCTATACTATACCATCCGCAAACGATACGTGGTCTCAGCACAGCAAACCAAACCAACACGTCGGTGTACAACAGAAAGTCTCTCGCCTGTCCTTGCATACTAAGCTCTTTCCCCCGTATACCTTCTACTCGCCAATCGACATTCAGAGTTGTACCTCCTTGCTCGGTCTTTTTTAAGGCACCTTTATAATTGCAACACACATCAGCGCTTGTCGAGGACTAGCGTCCTTTCATCCTCTCCGTGCGCCTCTCACGCTCTGGACAACACCATTTTCCATCCGCATGCTTCATCGCAACAGCAATTTTCCCACGCTCTCCTTCACTTCGCACCTGGCTTTCGATTCACACGGACTTTAAAGCATTCACGTCCTGCTCACATCGCGCCACTTTCGTCTGCCTCGACTTCATCATCTTTCTCGCACCGAATCTTCTTGACACCACTTTCACCCCACCTCGGCACCTCAGGAACCCAATTTTGATCCTCGACATCTCTGGATCCCACTTTCGACCACAATCGCAGCTTGCAATCAGAGCAGCCCGAGCCTCTCAGGACACACGTACATACCTCGGAAACAAGGTGCTGGATCCGCAGCAGCACCCTGTCTCCTCCCTGGATCTGAACACGGCATCCGTGACTGTCGCGCCATCCCCATCGAGGCGACCAAGCATGTCGGCAGGTGGCCCATCTCAGAGCATGCCCCCGTTCAATCTGTCGCAGTACCCATCCGACGATTCTCACCGTGCTCCAGGAACTCGACCCTTCCAGTTCTCACGCAACATGTCTTCAGACGACCGTCACGCTACAGTCAACCTTCCGCAGAGCACCGCAGGTCCATTTGGCCAGTCGAATCACGATGCCATGAGCAACAGCATCTCGAGCCTGCACAGCAATGACACCGGTCCAAATTATGGCGCCAACGCATCTATCGGCAGGCAAGGACAAGGCTACGACCAGGCAAGTCGGTTGCGTCAGAATTTCAACATTGGACGCAGCTCTTCGCCTCTATCAAGACCCCCTCTCTTCAGCCCCAACTTGCTTCATGAGGTAGAAAGGTCCTCGCAGCATCATCAAGTGAAATCGCCATCAGGTTCTCATTCTGCATCCTCGCCGCCTCCACGGAGCAACGTCGCCTCTCCGCGCTACTTTAACGATCCTCATCATGCATCCCACACATACCAGCAACTTCAACAGCAGCAACACTCGCATCAGCACCATCTTTCGCACCAGCAACAGCATCAAAACTCCGACAATCATCAACAATCTCATCAGCAGCAGCATCAACAGCATCAACAGCATCAACAGCAGCAACAGCATCAACAGCATCTCAACCAACAACACTCTTCCAACGCCGGACCATACCCACCTTCGCACCTGCCATCGCATCAACATGGCCACCCTCAGCAGCCTTGGCCGGCTCGCAACGGTGGCATGGGCCCGCTCGACTTTCCTCCGTCGCTCAACCCTGCCGACCGCCCGCATTCGTCCATGTCGGAACGCTCTTCTCGCATCCATGACAACCTCGTCTCGCGTGGCACTCCCGGCATTGGCAACTCGCAAAGCCCAGTGCACAGCTTGAACAAGGAGTCCGAGTTCAGCATCTTCGTCGGTGACTTGAGTCCTGACCTGCGTGAGGAAGACCTCGTCCAGCAGTTTCTTCACCCGCCAGCATGGTCACACAACCACCCCTTCGCCTCGGCACTCATTCACGCTCAGCAGGCACAAGGCATCTACCAGCCAGGTGCACACATCGGTCCAGCACCTTTCCACTCGACCAAGTCGGCCAAGATCATGACTGACCCTGTCGCTGGTGTTTCGAAGGGCTATGGCTTTGTACGATTCGCACTGGAAGCTGACTGCAACCGAGCGTTAGTGGAGATGCAAGGCGTTGTTGTCTCGCCAGCGAATGGGCTCTCACCAGGTCGACCTCTGCGTGTCAGCACAGCTACACCAAAGAACAGAGGCATGGTTCCTCCACCGCCCAACATGCCAGGCGATCCCAACCAGCAGCACTTGCAGATGCCTCGTCCTCACAACCCTGCTCAGAACAGCAGCGCTTCGTTCCTATATGGAGGTGCTGCTACTGGTGTAGCTGGACCTGGTGGTGCACCGTCTGAAGTGGTTTCGCCGCACCCTTTGTCACATGTGCGACAGCAGTCAAGCCCAAGCAACTCTTCCTCGCTGATCTCGCCTATCCCACCCGCATCGCCGTACGAAGGTCCTGGCAGCAGTGGCGTTAATATACCAAACTCTTTCGGTCCACTGTACGGTGGGTTCCCCGGTCACGTTGTTGGCGTTGGAGGAGATGGAACACGTAATTCTTCTCCGGCAGCAATGATGCGTTCGCAAACACCATCATCAGCACCTCCGCCACCTCTTCAACAGCAAGGTGGCGGCGGTGGCGGTGGCGGTGGCGGAAATTCAAACGACAGCGCCGCAGACCCGAACAACACCACCGTCTTTGTCGGCGGTCTATCCTCTCTCATTTCCGAACAAACCCTGCGCAGGTACTTTGAACACTTTGGCGAAATCACCTACGTCAAGATCCCTCCCGGAAAAGGCTGCGGGTTTGTGCAATACGTTCGTAAACAAGATGCCGAAAATGCCATTCACCGCATGAATGGGTTCCCCATCCTCAACTCCAAGATCCGCCTCAGCTGGGGTAGAAGTCAAGGGGATAAAGCGGCGGCAGCAGCAGCACAGACTATGGCTCAATACGCTCAGTTGGGTCAACTCGCCGGGTTAGCAGGGTTGAGCACTTTGAGTCCAAGTCAGCTAGCGCAATTGGCTGGGTTGGGGAGCGCGTTGAGTGCGGCTCAGGCTCAAGTTCAGGCGCAGACACAGAGAGGTCCTGCTGCTGGGTTTGGAGGTGGGGCTAACGACCCACTTTCGACTTTGGCAAGACAACTTGCTGCTGTGAATCTCGGTGGTGCTCCTTCGCCATCCTCGGCTACATTCAACTCGGGTGGGATGGGCCAACAGCGTCCTCCACTACCATCGTTCCTCCAACAACACCAACAACCTCTTTCACCTCAGCATCAGCAATTTCTGGGCGGATTACCAGGTCTGTCCCCCAACGGCTACAACTCTAACGCACCATTCGACTTTCCCCCTCCCCACACTTGCTCCCGTATGCACCCCGAAAACGGCGGAGGGGGAATATCAGAATCAGACCTGATCAACGCATTCTCTAACCTGGAATTCGATGAAACCACTCGCACCGCTCTCGCTCAACGTTTGCAAGCCCTCCAATCGCAACCCCAATCGGGAAGAGGGAGAGTGGATCCATTCGCACATAACAGAGATCCAAACGGGTTTATGTTCTCCCCTTTCTCACCCTCCGACTCGCCCTTAGTGGGGGCCAAGGCTGACCTCCCGCAATCTCAGTCTAGTGCTAGCTCGCTACACCTCTCTCACACTAGAGCTGATGAGGATGGAGGCGCCGAGTGATGACACCACCACTCCAAAACCACATCTGTTAAGATATCTCGGAAACTGTCCTTTGTATTCGCTTAGACTTTCTATTGCTCTTCTATTGCTTGTAGTTGCACACACTCTCTTGTTCTTTTCTGCCTTTCTGTTATAGTAGATTCTCTCTCTCTCTCTCTCTCTTCTTTGTTTTAGATCAAAATGTAAAACAACTCTGTCGTTATTCTCCCGTATCTCATCCGTTCCCAACGCGTGTGTTGCACAGTTTGGAGTGATTAGAGAACGAAGCGGGGACACATTTGTGGTGCATTGCATTGGGAAGACAAAGAGTTAGATAGATGGTAGTGGGGAGCAAAGTTGACTTTCGACTTCTGAAAGGATATGTTTTGCTGCTTTGAATTCCTCCGTCTCGTTTACTTCAGTGTCATTCTCTAGTCCTTCCTGTAGCCACGTTCGAATGGAAACCAAGGGGAGGGTATAGTGTTGGTCGGTGATCTCTTTGATTCTTTGAGACTGTTTGTTTTATTTAGTTCGAAATGGGCAACTTACCAAATGAACCCGTAAATCATCCACCCCAATCTCTAGCCTTTTTCTACAGTCAGGAACCATCTTCAAGCTATCTTCCAGCACTTTTCTTTGTTGTTTGATATCATACTCGTCTCTACCGGCGTCGATGAAGGAGGTTATGCGAGCTTGTTGTTCTTTGGCTTCAGTCAGGTATGATGATTCTTCCTTAGCCAGTCTATGAAAGGTTGCCGTTATCGGGTGGTTGGCAGAAGATCAGAACGAATGAGCTAAAAGTCACAAGCTAGGAGGGTGGTGTGGCTTGTGCGTTGCGGGTTGCGGGTTGGAGGTATGCTTACCGTTTAACAACGCCAGTCTTGATCGTTAGCTGTCGTTTGGTTGTTGATGCGTTTGCGAATGACATCTTTGCCTTTCTTGCTAGATAAGGATGATGATAGATGGAGGATGAGGAGAGAGTTATAAAGATATCAGCTCTTGGTTTGTGCACTTCTGGCTCGTGTTGCACTCAACCAACAAATCGCCAACTTGTCTTCCGATTTCCCACCTCTCACCCGTTTCAGCGACACTTTCTTCTCAGCCCTGATCAGGGTCCACAACTCAAGAACTATCTGCACGCTTCACTCTTCAACAAACACAGCCTCAGGCATAGGATAGGATGATACTAAGACCCAAAAAGAAGCATCTATGAATTGCAATGCTAAACGGTAGCAGAGATAGAATTTAGTGTGAGAACCGAGGCTTCATCCTGCCCGCAAACCCACCAAGTGCTGAGATAGCCTTCTGGTCCTTTTTGCTCTTCTTCTTCTGCTCTTTCGCCCCTCCCATCCCCGTTAGCGCACTAGCATAGGGTGAGCTAGGGATGCCCCGACTGGATTTGGCAGAGAGGATGGCCTGTGCCGCTTTCTTCTGTTTCCTCTTTTCCTTTTTGCTTAAGGCGGTGAATGAGTCGGGCTCTGACTCTGATTCTAACTCTGGGTCTGGGTTGCAGTTGGATTTGGTTGGAGATGAGGGAGTGGAGGAAGAGAGGGTAGCGGGGCCGACGAGGGATTCGTATTCATCCCTCTCGATCGGAGTTCCTAGTTCTTCCTCTGCAGCGGAGGCCATGGTGAATGGATTCGAAACTCGAGAAGCAGCACCGCCATAAAAACTAGCTGCTGATTTAGGTTTCGACGCTAGCATAGCGTCCAATTTCGAACTTGCGCTTTTAGTCGGAGCTTCGTCTGAATCGCTCTCGTCCACTGCCGCTTTCTTCTCTGCCTTCCTACGCTTCAGCAAAGCTTGATACGCTTCCACATTATCAAAGTCGTCCCCTTTCTCCTCCTCCTCGCTTTCTTCCGAAGCGGAACGCTCCTCCTCCGCCTCTTCAGCCTTTCGCTTCAACAAAGGAGCTTGAGAAGGAGCAACAGCCTTGATCGCCTTCTCCAATCCATCATTCTCCCGCAAATAAAACAGAATGTAAGCACTTTGATCATTCACCGGCCCCCCTCTTCCTATTTCGCTAACATGACTATCGTCCATCCTAGTCCACTTGCCACAGGGAGCTTTGACACTTGCTACATAATGCCCACTATTTGGGCCTGAACCGTAGTGATGAACTGCTGCGTAGAGCTTGTACCTCACCGGTCCCCTATTCTCGGATAAGTAGGGAGCGATGTTGAGAGACTCGTCAAAGGAGATTTGACGGGAGATTTTCCCACCGAAGGCCGTAAACCTCTTCAAATGCACGGTAAGAGCGGGTGGGCAGGATTCGATGGTGAACTGTTTGGTGGCATCGACTTTGCGCTTGCATTTATCGCATTTGTACTTTTCTGATCCTGTGAGGTGGTCTTTTGCGACAAAAGCGCGGAATGCATCAGTGAGAGAGTTGATCCCTTTCCGAACGTCGAGTGAGAGATCCATAAATGGATCAAAGGTGTCTGAGTTATGACTGCAGTTGTGGCAGGTTACCCTGCTCCTCAATTTCCCCCCAAACATCTTTTGAACAAACGTCGTGCGTCGAATCGGATCGTCGGGCTTTAACGACTTTGGTGCTCGTGAAAGACAAGCCTGTTGTAGGGCCTCCAACAGAAAGCGCAGATACTCGTGTGCATCTTCTTGTCGACCCTGACGCAAAGGCTTGGCAAAAGCTTTTAGGTTCCGGTTGAACTCCTGTGGGGCGTTGGTTGGGCGAGTACCTTGAAGGGAGCGTTTGGCAAAGTTCTGCATTGCAATCACGGCGTCAAAGTTGACGTTTGGTTTACCTCCCCATTCGCCATGCAACGTCTCCAAGTCTTGAGTCAGCAAAGCGAATGCAAGCGGGGGAGTGTGGATGAGGGACTGCATGACACTGTTCATGTAACACGTATTGCCGTAGTTGGACAAGCCGGTTGCGATGGATCGAACTTTGCCAGGAAAACGCAACGAGATCTTTTGAGGATAGAGATCTCCGCCACCGCTCGCCTTGCTCTTCTTGCTTGGTGAAGAAGGCTCTTGCTCCTCTATCGCCGCCAAAGTGCCATTGATCTTTGGTGTATCGGAAAGCAAGGAAAGCGAATGCTGTTTTTGCTCCTGCTTCCTCTTCTGCGCAGCTGCAAAGTTGGGATCATTTACCGGGGTCAATCCCAATGTCGTGTAATCCTGACCTTGCTTCTGGTTGGATTTGATAAACTTGACCGGGTCGGAGAGGAGAGCGTGAAGCATACCTCGCTGCTTGAGTGTTGCTCGAAGTTGGTCGGAGCCATTGGCGAAGATCTCTTTGGCAAGCTTCTTTCGCTCTTCTTTCGAGGGAGAGTTGGGGAGGGAAGATGCCTTTTTGTAATGATGGTGGCCATTTGCTGACTTTTTGCTTGGTTTGCTGCTTGAAGAGAACGAGTGGGATCGATTCAAGTCTTTCACTTGTGGTGATTGGCTGAACGACCGCGAAGAGGAGGGGGAGGAGGAGGACCCGTTACGCTCATCTTGCGATGGCGGCCGTCTCACCACTTCGGCCATCATGAAGCGGTTTGCTTGAGTGATCGAGCGACAAGCCGAGGCTAGACGGAGGGTCGTAATCTTCTGTAAAGGCAGTTATTAGGGGGAAAGTCGTTGTCGATGGCTACTGAATCCTCTCGAACGTCGCTGAACCGAAAGAAAGGCTGAATCTCGTTGTGTCGGATGTGATCCGAAGTTTCGTCAATACCCGTGGGAAACGAATGTGATTTATGATGCTGAAAGGGAACGGATGAGCCGATGCTGTGCTAATGCTGCGGTGATACCGAGCAGAGGCTGGTCTTGATTGAGATGCTGGGTGGGACGCTGTCGGACGATCCGAGCAAGAATGGGAGAGGTCGGCAGCAGCGACACATGAAACAGCCAAAACGACATTACACGAAATTTTTTAGGCTTTTCTTCTTTTCTTTTTTCTTTTTTCTTTTTTCTTTTTTCTTTTTTCTTTTTTAATTTTTTGATCCAGGAGACTATTATTTTTGTTATCGGTGAAATTTTTTCGCGCCTTAGCAGCGCCCTTTCTCTCACAGCGCCAAAAATATCAAGGTGGCAGACGCGTGTGGCAGTCGCAGCAACAGCCTGCGCAGTCACAGAGAAGCAGAGAAGCAGAGAAGCAGAGAAGCAGAGAAGCAGAGAAGCAGAGAAGCAGAGAAGGATAACGCGTGCTGAACCGAGAATTTTACTCCACATCGCATCTTCGCATCTTCCGACGAGTGCGAGTGACGGTGCCAGAATAGTTACAAGGCAGCGGAAGGGAAGAATCCGACAGGACAAAAGAACAAGAGTGTGAGAGAGGACCCTGTTCAGGAGACTGCAGCAAGCAAGCAACACGCATGGAGACTTGGTCAAAGCTCAGCTGTTTCTCCCCTTTTCCTCCATCAGCATCCCTTCATCCGTGCCTATTAGCATCGACATTGCCTCACCCATCCTTTTTCGGCTGCTAATCTGCGCTTACCCAAGCAGCGACAGGCTGTAGCCCGCAAAGATGGACGCAACCCTTCAAAAGGCGCTCCTCGATCGCGTCTACGACAAACGCAAAGCAGCTACCCTCGATCTCGAACGTCAAGTCCGCGAATGTCTCGCCAAGGGTGATCGAGCACGAGTCAACCTCATCGTCCAACAGCTTTGCTCCTTCCTCACCGCCTCGCCCCAAAACGTTAACGCTCGCAATGGCGGTCTCATCGGTCTTGCAGGTATCGCCATCGCTCTCGGTGTAGAGATTGCACCTTTCTTGGAGCAGATTGCCAAGCCGGTGCTGGCTTGCTTCAACGATCCAGATAGCAAGATTCGCTACTTTGCATGCGAGAGCTTCTACAACATCGCCAAAGTCTGCAAGGGGGAGATTCTTGTCTACTTTAACGAGACTTTTGATGCTCTGTCTAAGCTAGCCGCTGATTCGGAGCTTAGTGTCAAGAACGGCGCCGAGCTGCTAGATCGCTTGTTGAAGGATATCGTTTGCGAAGCGGCACCTCGCTACGTCTCCCAGTTCCAGCATATCTCGCTTATCCGTGCTCACCAGGATTCACACGATGGAGTAACAGGTGGCCTTGCAGAACTCGACGTTGCCCGCGAAAAGGCGCACCAGATAGATCAAGAGGGGACAGCAAGTAATAAGGTCTTCTCCTTGGCACGCTTCATCCCACTGCTGGCTGAGCGCATGTACGTCTTGAGCCCATTCACACGCAACTACCTCGTCAGTTGGATTACCGTGCTTGCGTCCGTGCCGGAGCTCGAGCTGGTCAGCTACCTTCCCTCTTTCCTCGACGGCCTGCTCAAGTACCTCAGCGATCCCAACACCGACGTGAGGGTAGCTACTGCAAATGTTCTTGCTGACTTTCTCCGCGAGATTCGACACGCTGCAGAGCTGGCTGCGAGACGACAGGCGTTTGAGCAACGCCGTGCTGAACGTCAGGAGCATAAGAAAAGGAAGGGCAAGCAACACAGTAACAATACAGCTCTCATTGATGCCCACTCTACCAAGGTGGAGAATGACGACCAGGCTTCAGCACAGCAACAAGCCCAAGTGCAGCCCGGAAGCGCAAGTCCAAACAAGTTTCCAAGAACGCCACTTCAAGCTCCAACAAAGCCAAGGTCGGAAGGAGGAACTTCGCCTCTACCGCCCCAAACTGCCGATCAGGACTCTACAGCCCTCGTCGCTGCAAAAAAAGACGCCGCCGCCGATGTTGATGAGAATGAAGACGAAGACGACCAAGAAGAGGATATTTGGGTCGAAGGCACCGAAGTCCGAATCGACTATGCTTCCATCATGGAGATTCTCATCAATCACATTGGCTATCCGGATGAAGAGATTCAAGCTACCACTTTACAATGGATCGCCGACTTCCTGCTGGTGGTCAAGGATGTTGTAGTGCCTTTCACGCCACGTCTCATCTCTGCTATACTTCCAAGCTTGGCGCATCACAGCCCTGCCATTGCCAGTGCAGCACATGCTACCAACATCAACCTCTACCGTGTGATTCAGGATATACCTGCGCCTTCTACACCGCCAAGTACTCGACCTGCGGTGGCATCTGCAGCTCCGTTCCAAGGACACCGAACTACAGGTTCTACATCGTCGGCTCGCGATCGAGGCAATGCAGGTAGCCCGACACAGCATGGAAATTTGAGCAGACATGCTTCCTTGTCGAGGCCTTCAGGGTCTGCTCCATCTGGTGCACTATCACCCAGGCCGCGCGCGGGCACTATCAGTGGAGAGCCAGCGTCAAGCATTGCAGCCATCAGTCTCTCCGACAATGCTGCCACTCACGACGAACGCATGGCTTCACCTAGCATCAACGGCGTCGATGCCACCCCACCCGAAGCTGACCCCTTCGACTATCAAACCACCGTGAACGCGCTCACTCTGCAACTTCTCGACGAGCACGAAGAAACTCGTGTCACTGCTCTGGAATGGCTTCTCATGCTTCATCGCAAGATCCTCTCCATGGACGACGGCACATTCCCCGCACTCCTCAAGACGCTTTCTGATCCATCCGAGGAAGTCATTCGTTGCGATCTGCGACTGCTTGCTCAGATCAGTTCCGCGTCCGAAGACTCCTATTTCCACGCATTCATGGCCAATCTTCTCTCCCTCTTCAGCACCGACCGTCGCTTGCTCGAAACCCGTGGTTCCCTCATCATCCGTCAACTCTGTGCATCACTCCACACTGAACGAATTTTCCGCACCCTAGCAGAAATCTTGGAGAAAGACGAAGACCTCGAATTTGCCTCGATCATGGTCCAAAACCTCGCCATAATCCTCATCACTTCCCCCGAACTCTCCGATTTCCGCAAGAAACTGCGCAACCTCGATTCACGAGAAGGTCAATTCCTCTTTGCCTCCATCTACCGATGTTGGTGTCACAACGCTGTTGCTGCTTTCTCCCTCTGCCTCCTTGCCCAGGCGTACGAGCATGCGAGTAATCTCTTAACCATATTTGCGGAGTTGGAGATCACAGTGTCATTGTTGATACAGATTGATAAACTGGTGCAGTTGTTGGAAAGTCCGATTTTCACGGCATTGAGATTGCAATTGTTGGAACCGGAAAGGTATCCGTACCTGTTCAAGTGTTTGTATGGCGTCTTGATGTTGTTGCCTCAGAGTTCGGCTTTTGTGACGTTGAGGAACAGGTTGAATGCGGTGAATGGGTTGGGGTTTTTGCACAGTGTTCCGAGGTCGAGTTATGGAGGTAGTGGGAGGGGGACGAAGGGGGTGGGCGGGGCTGGAGGTGGATCTTCGACGGGAGCGGGAGGAGGTGCAGGAGGGGGAGGAGGAGCAGCGGCAATGTCAGAAATCAAATGGAACGATTTGTTGCACCATTTCAGAGTGGTACAGAACAAACATGAGAGGGCGAGAAGACAAACTGCGATGGGAGGCACGATGGTGAATGGAGGAACGCAGATTGCGCCTGATTATGCCGCACCACGTGTTACTTCTGCTGCTTCCTCTACGGCTGTTGGAGGAGGGCGGAGAAGGGTGAGTCAAACAGCTACACCTCTCGCTGGAGCCGGAGCTGGGGGTGGCACGACTGGATCTCTCACACCTTCAGGTTCAACGTCAGGCAGGTTTGGGTTGGGGCTTAGCTCAACTGCTACTTCAAGGGCTGGTGCAGGAGCGGGAAGCACCTCAGCTCCAAATACAGGCACAAGCAGTTTCTTTGGAATTCATCTTCCTTCATCAGCCACACCCACAGCTTCGGGTGCAACTGCTTCCGCAACTCGCACTTCTAGCCCTTCCACAGTTCGTAGACAGGGATTGGGGCAACAAGCAGCTGCTGGCGGGGCAGCCAACACTTCTGCTCCTGGATCTAGAAACCCGAGTAAAGGTTCTTCCTTGCGATGAAACTGCTATTCTACCTCCAATCAATCCTATCACTCCCTCCCAAGTCGCAGAAACAGGCTGTGTGATGAAATCGAGAACTGTCTGTAAATTACTTTAGCACACCTTCTTATACAATCTTGTCAGCAAGTTCTGGCAACTGATCACCAGGAACAAAATGTCGCTCCACGCCATCTTCTGTAATATCCACCAATCGAATCGTACCACCACTCGAACCATCCCTTCTCATCGCCAACGCCAAAGCATTCTTCACAAATTCGATCGTCTTCTCCTTTCCCCACCCAGCTTTCCAAGTCGCATCACAATAACCATAGATATACGTACTTCCACTACCTCCAATTGCCCATGGCTGTTCAAATACTCCTCCCCCCAATGGAACATTGAACACTCTCCCGCCATCTTTCTTATCCCACCCTGCAACGATGATTCCTGCGCTCAGGCGATCCTTGTTCTGGTATACGATTTCTTGGAAGAGGTTTGCTGCAACTTTGGTTTGGGGTGGAGCGCCGGATTCGACGGCGTACATGTCGAGATAGTAGGTGACGATGTCTGCGATGGCTTGGGTGTCAGCTGCGGAGCCGGAACGACAGCAGTAGATTCGATCAGAGAGATGGGTGAGTTTGTCGGTTACCCGGTTGGCGATGTAGGAGCCCATAGTTGTGCGAGAGTCGGCGCCGAGGATGACACCTTTATCGTAGGCGACGGCCATGATGGATGTGCCGAGGTTTACTTCGCCCTTTTTGAGGTGGGTGGTGATGTCCATGCCGTTGACTGCCATGATGGGCAACAATTGACGGGATGGGAAGGTGTGAGAGAGCGGCTTGAGAGGTGTTGCGGTCGGTCGACACTGAAGGTTCGCTGGCAGTGCGCGTAGAGTCTGTCTTGGAAGTTGAGTGCGCTGTGGATTGTGCGATAAGAGCTTGGATATGATGACGAGAAGGTGAGGTGGAAGTGATTGCGAAGCTGAGCAAGGTTGGATGAGGTGTTGCTATGAACCTTTCGTTGTCTCTCGACGTTGGTCTAAGCGGCGCCAGAAAAGTGGAGTCTCAAAATCCACGCAACGCCATCTGCTGCCTCAATTTTATCTCTCTAGCTTCAAGGCCGCGTAGGCGCGATCACCACGCTTTCGCCCGCAAGATTCTTCCTTCCTCTGTACCCTCTGTACGGTCTTACATCGTTTCACAAATTCATGGTCTTGAGACTGGAACCAACACTTACTTCCCTTGCTGCGACAGTTGTGCTCGCCCACACGCGGCAATCACCAGCACACTCACACAGGCGCGCGCACCAGCCGCTGCCACGAAAGTTGCAAGCTCGTTGAGCTTTGATCTTTCGAGATTGCTTTCCCCGGTTCAAGAAAGACACTTTTCTCATCCTACCATCCCCAAGCACACCACCTTAGCTAGTTACCATCAAGCACTTCGACATCCTTCCCTCTTCCCACAGCATCCTCTCCCCTTCGGCTCTCGTCTTCGGTTCTCGTCTTCGCATCTATCCTCCCACGAGCTGGTCTCTTCTCCCTCGCACACCTGGCTTGGCTCCAAACCCCACCCCTCACCTCTCCCAATACTCGGCAAAGATGGGTCAACAAGGCTCAGCACTGCTATCCGAAATCGAACAAACCTCGAACTTCAACAGCAAAGAAATTCAACGACTCAAAAAACGATTCATGAAACTCGATCAAGATGGTTCCGGCTCCATCGACAAAGATGAATTCCTGCAAATCCCGCAGATCGCAAACAACCCTCTGGCCCTCCGCTTGATCGCTATCTTTGACGAAGACGGTGGTGGAACGGTCGACTTTCAAGAATTCGTCGCTGGTCTTTCCGCTTTTTCCAACCAAGGCTCACGAGAGGAGAAGCTAAAGTTCGCATTCAAAGTATATGACATGGATAGGGATGGATTGATTAGCAATGGAGAATTGTTTTTAGTACTGAAGATGATGGTTGGGAATAATTTGAAAGATCAACAGTTGCAACAGATTGTAGATAAGACAATTATGGAGGCCGATACAAATGGAGATGGCAAGTTGGATTTCGAAGAGTTCCAAGCGATGGTGGCGAATACGGATGTTGCTAAACAGTTGACTTTGGAGGATTTGTTCTGATTACCAGTTTTGTCCTGCTGTCGAGCAAGGTGTCGCCCATGCTCAACCATCTCGCAACCATCTTGTCAACTCGACTTCTCACAAGAGTCCCACCTTGGTCCTCTCTTCCTTTGCATCTCGTCTCTTTCTCGTCACTTTTAATCTTCTGCACCACAAACTGTATCGTATCCTTTTTCTCGTACAACTCAACTCCAAGTTCAAAACACTTGTCTGTTGCTTACAGAGTCTGTGCAGCTTGGGAATAGCAGTAGCTTGGGTTCTCTACTGACATGACGTCCGACACTGCTGCAAGTCAGCCCAATCAGGCCGCATACTGACAAACGAGCGTTCTGTAGCATCACACGTGAGAAGCACACATCTGAAGCCCGAAGCTTCCTTTAAAAAAAAAAACAGCTTGTTTTAGTTCAAATCTTTGCAAAGTAATGCTACATCTACATCAATTCACCAAACCTCTTCCTAGCCAAAGGCGCCAATAATTGCAGCAACGAAACCTCGCACTTCGACTGCATCCCAGTAGCTTGGGTTGCGAACCCTTTCCTCTCTAACCGATTCAACTTCTTGGCAGTACGAGCGTTTGTACTTGTCCTCTGACCCCTAACCGGCAAGTGACTTGCGTGTCTTCTGCCCCTATAACTGCCTACGTTGCGGTGATGGTTGATGTTTGCGTGTAAGACTCTTTTAAGGTCTGCTTCGATTTTGATCTGTCTCAAAGGGTCGTTGTTTGAGTTTGCTTCCATTGAGGGACGCCCAACAGAAGTCTCGTCCGCGCTTGTCGAGGCGGTCGCTTTACTGGAAGCAGAGGATGACGGTGTCGGGTTTAAAAGTTGAGAAGTGGTGGTTGTGGGTTGAGGTTTTCGAGCAGGAATAGAACCAGGAGAAGAAAGGTACGCTGACAATTGGGTAATTTGGCTTTCTGTGAGGGAGGCTACTGTTGCTCTATCGTGCAAAGATAGACGAGCGCATAGTCGATTTGCTGTGTCGTAAGAGATTCCGTAGAAATTCGTCAACGCAATCTGCGATCAAAACAAGGAAAGAAGAAGCACTTATCAGTACAGATGTTCGAAGCGTTCGATGATGAAAAGTGGTAGGAAGGGTGAACGCAGGTGGACTTACTCTGACCAGTTTGTGATCTGCTAGGTGAACTCCTAGAAGATACATCTTGAAGTTGCTTTCTGGTCGACGATCGGAGCTCCCAGATGTAACGTGAGTGCGGTGATAGCGACTATAGATGAGATCCAAAACGTGCGGTAAATGGTCGGGCGATGATGGTGTTGGTCGCGATCAAAAGCCATCACGGTTGGACTTCAAAATTGGCTCTTCCGAGAAAGCAGCTTCTTCTCAATCCAGCGACTTCCGAAAAAATGCCGTTGCTGACACGTGATTTACTCAGCAAACCTTCCGAAACCTAACACCTAGAACAACTCGCACTTGACCTTGCAGCGCTCACACTCACCACAACACGGGGACAACCAAGGTGCACGCGGCAAAGCAGACCAAGACAAGACATTGATGTGAGAAATTGGGAATGATATTCAAAGCCGGTGACTGCGAACAAAGAGGATGCATGTGTGTAAGGGAAAAGTATCGGGAGACATGCTCAAAGGACAAAAAAGGGGGACGCTGAAACCGTGAGCATTGCGAGAAGTGGAAAGGGGTGTGAAGTGTAAGATGAAAGATGACGCTGCTTGTTCAGCAGTCGGGGATTTTGAGCGAGCGAGGTATGCAGAGGACGACCATGATCAAGTGCCCACTGGAATCCCAGGTAGCTTTGAGATGACCGTGTGCTTAGGATCCATCCTGACCACCAGTACCCGAACCAAACAAGTTACCAAAGTTACTATCCCATCCATCTCCACCCAGTCCTTGTCCACCCGTACCATCCGTCGACAGATCGAAATCAAAGATATCATTCATCGACCCACCGAAGCCGAACATGCTGAAGTCTTCCGCGCCGCCTGTACCGCTTCCTCCAGCTCCATTGCCATCGCCGCTGCTGCCGCCATCCATCCCCGAGGGCCCGTTCGCGTTGGTATTGTTGCCGTTGTTGTTATCGGCACCACCGAAGTTATTCGGATCGGACGAGTTGGCAGGTGGACCAGCAGGTGGTGGCATAGCAGAGTCGATAGATTGGGAGGTAGACTGGGGACCAGAACCAGATGCGGGACCGTTGCTGTCGTTCTTGCTAATAGCGTCTTGAGCTGGCGTGGCGGCGCTGGTGCTGACCGGTGTAGCAGTGTTGGCTGCAGCAGGAGTGGTTGGGCCTGCGCCACCGTTGCTGCTCGCAGCTGCAGCGCTGGACGAAGAGGTGTTGGAGCCAGGTACGGAGGCTGCAGTGAGAACTGGCGTCTTGGTGGTGGCCTTCGAGTTCTTGCGCGCTCGCGCGTTGCCCTTCTTGCCTTTCTCTGCTGATCCCAGCTTGGGTGTGTTCAGAACGTTCGAAGGAGCAGGTGACCCGCCCTGGTTGGCGTTGTTGTTGTTGCCGCCTGACTGTTGCTGCTGCAGGTTCATAGCAGTGATGCGCGGGGAGGGTGATGAGATGGAGGCAGCTCCAGGTGGGCCCATTCCACCTGCGTTTGTGCCCATCTGCGAAGTGCCACGCTGCATACCAGGACGCTGGATATTAGCAGGCGAAGAACCCATCTGGACCGACGAAAAGTGACTCGTATGCGGGTCTTCCGGTCGATCTTGAGCAGATGGAGGTCGAGCAGGACCTTGCTGCTGCTGTTGCTGTTGAGGCTGCTGCGGTTGCTGGAAGCCGCCCTGACCAGGCTGGCATGGCTGCTGCTGCTGCTGTTGTTGTTGACCTGGACCGCCTTGCTGACCCGGCTGGTTGGGACGGGGTCCTGTACCATTTGGCATACTGTTAGGACCCATCATACCAGCCATGAGACCTGGATCGTGCGTCGCCATCAGTGGCGTGATCCTTCCAGCCGCAGCCTGAGCGTTTGCAATGTGTGCAGCTCTCTGCTGTGGTGTCATGTTGGCCATGCTAGCTGGACTACCTGATGCAGCCGGCCCGGGAAGACCTGCACCACCAATGGCGGGAGGTCGTGCCTGCGGTGATGGGCCGGGCTGTCCAGGCATGCCTGGTTGAGCACCATTGCCAGGCGCTCCGACGCCAGCACCGCCCTGGTAGTTGGCCTGTGCTCGCAACAGGCTCTGCAGACCCTGGGCCTTGGCCTGGTATGCCTGCACGTTGGCGTAAAAGTCGGCCGCAGTGGTCTGGTTGGGTGCATTCTGTGCCTTCATCCACTCTTCGCGCATAGCTGCTTGGACACTTTGGAACTGGTTCATGACCATCTGCTGTTGGTGAGGGTTGAGCTGTGGGTGCTGTTGCTGTGGTGGCTGTCCAGGCTGACCACCTTGAGGCTGCTGTTGCTGTTGCTGTGGAGGCTGCGAGCCGCCTGGTGTCGGTGGTTGCGGTGCTTGAGACTGAGGGTTGCCAGCAGCAAGAACGCCTGGCGGCACCGCCATGTGATCCGGTCGGTTGCCTTCTGCACCAGGACCAACAGATCGTCTGCCATCCATGGTGCCTCCTGGTGTGGGTGGCGCTGGCGATCCACCTGCGCCTGACATCTGCTGTGGGCCCATAGGTGGTCTGATCTGCACGGCGTTTGCCATAGGTGGTGCGCCAGGCATTGGGCCTTGTCCACCAGCCTGTCTCTGCTGTTGCATCATGCGGTGGACTGCTTGCTGCTGCTGGAGACGAGCCTGGAGCTGCTGTTCCATCATCTGGTTGTTCATGCCAGGACGAACGGCCTGAGCATTGGCAGGGTTGTTGGGATTCATCGAGTTGATGAGGGCCGTCCTCGAAGCTGGTGTGAGGTTCTTTATCTCGTGAAGTGGGATGTTCTGACGCTGGGCAGCTTGGATGAGCAGCTGCTGCTGCTGCGCCTGTGGGAGCGCAGCTGGGTTCCATGCACCTGGAGCAGCTGCACGACCGTTCGGGCCGGCAGCAGCGACACCAGCACCTGCAATACCAACTGCAGAGCTGGGATCCGAGTTCATTCCAGAAACGACAATGTTGGGAAATCTGCCACCGTTCTCGGGAGGCTGATACTGTGCTTCGAGCGCCTCCGTTTTGCGGTTGGCCTCGGTGAGGCGCTGCATGTTGCGCGACTCCTGATACTCAAAGTAGGCAGCAGCTTCACTTCCCCCTCGCCCTGAGCGAGCAGCAAAGACATCCCAGAAGATGGCCCAGTACTCGAAAAGTAGACCCTGCGGCGTTTTGAGCGGTACCTCTGGAGGTTCCGTCATACCGGCTTCGTTCATGAGAGCCTTGGCTGCCGAGCTGAAGCCTCTGCGGCTGAGATAGTCCCAGACGTAGACGTCGAGCTTCGTCGCCTCCTCTCCCCAGACACGACCGTCAGAAACAGATCCAGAATGGCCCAGAATGCCGTCAGCGCCCTTGTTGTCACCTGGGACACCATCTTCAGGCCGCGAGCGCTTGTCCTTGCTCTCGAACTCGGGACTCTTACTGGCAGTGCGCTTCTTGGACATCATGACCGAGTGACTGTTGGGTGTGTTGGGTTTACCAGAGGCGTTGTTGGGCGACGAAGTGTGGCTCGGGTTGGTGAAAGCAGGAGGGTTACCGTAAGGCTGTGGGGGGTAGACGGTAGCTTTGGCCTGATTTGACTGTCCACCTTGGTGCTGCTGCTGAAGTTGGAAGTGAGTGTTCTGCTGCTGCTGCTGTGGAGTGCCAAACTGATGCTGCTGCTGCTGATGATGTTGCTGCTGGAGCTGTTGGTGCTGTTGGTGCTGCTGGTGTTGCTGGAGCTGTGGATGCTGCGGGTGCATGGGTTGCATCTGCGGATGCTGATGATGGTGTTGCTGTTGCTGTTGCTGTTGCTGATGTTGATGATTGAGCTGCTGCGTCTGCGGTGTAAACATGGCGGACGAAACGAGAGCAGGGGAAGCGGCTGAGGCAGCAGAGTAGGAAGGAGGTCGACTTGGACCAGCGACGTTGGCAGCTGGGGAAGAGTGATTAAAGCCAGATGGCCAGCCCCAAGCGTTGACTTGAGCACGGGCGCCCGGGTTGGCAGCAAGGAATGGGTCGTTGGAAGTGGGAGCTGGGCTGGGAGAAGGCCCCTGAGAAGGTGGATTGGGAGCAATGTAGTTCTGACCCGCAGCAGCAGTTGCAGAGCCGTTCATGCTAGGTGACAAGAGACGATAAGGGAGTGGCGCGGTCGCAGCGGATCCAAGCTTCTTGAGGTCGAGTCGACGAGAAGAAGCAGGACTTGGAGCTGAGGAACGAAACAGTCGGAAGACCGGAGGGAAGAGTACGGAGCTGATCACGCCCTGGTATGTCGGAGCACGGGTATTGAAAGCAAGTCTGTGCGGAAGGAGAAAGAGGTTGCCGCGATGTCGAAGCTGATGAGGGCTGAGATCGGATCTGGAAACAGTCGTGACGGCCACGTGCTATAAGATCAGCACATTGATGGATGGTGGGCTCGAAAGATGCCGGCGAGGCGGAGATCGTCGGTTGCGAGGCGGAGATAGTCGGTTGACAGCTTCCGCTGAACGAGGGGAGAAGACGGAGGCGAGCGGAATCGTCGTGATCGCATGTACTGAGCCTGGATCAAAAGTGCGACCGAGGTCAGGATGTGTTGGGAAATAGACGAGCGCTTGCACTTGGTCAAAGCGCGACTGATGGATCCAGCGTGATGCTCACGAGATACCGAGAGCTGATGAGCGGAATGATCGATAGAGACGGTCCAAATGGTGTGTGGGTGGACAGACGCGCGAAAGGATAAGAACGAAGATCGCGATCTGGAAGTTTCAAGATGCGCAAATAAGAAAGGTAGCGCCGTGAGTAGCCACCAGTGGCAGAAGATGAAATGGGTTGGTATTGCAGGGAGAAAGGCGAGAGAGAGAGAGAGAGAGAGAGAGAGAAATGTAGGAAGAAGGTGGGGGTGGAGACGGGAAAGGGTCGTCGGTCAAAGGAAAGAAGGAAGGAAGTAAGTAAGTAGGGAATGCTGCGAATGAAGGATGCCAAGTGCCAACGAATTGAATGAGAATCGAATTGAGGAAGGAGAGATGGCGGAGGCGCAATCGGAGCAATAGTGAGCGAGCAGCAGCAGCAGTAGCAACAGCAGTCAAAGAAGCGCTAAAATGAGCCAAACGTGGAAATCGGCGCGAAATGGGCAGGCAATGGAAGCAGAGACCGAGAGACACTGGTAGGCTATGGGGAGTAGAGGCAGCTATTGAGGCAGATTCGGGCGAGATGAAGGTGCAAAGCCGTCTGCGATGCGATATTCGAGGCAGCAGGCAGAAGCTGAGAGCGGGAGAGGCCAAGGGGCAGAGCAAGAGAGATCTGTTGCCGATCGATTTTTGACAGACCGAGACACTGACTGACAGTTCAGAATGGGAACGCAGAGGCCTGAGTTCAAGTTGAATTCTCAGTTGCAATTTCACTCGATGAGTTCAAGGTGGGGCCGCAAAAGGGAGAGAGGGAGAGAGAGAGGGAGAGAGAGAGAGAGAGAGGGTGTCATGCCCGCGTCTCTGCTTCTTTTTGCCCTGAATTTCGAGGCGAATGAAATGCGCTCTTTCTCTCTTTCTCTCCCTCTCTCTCCCCTCTCGTTTCCGCCTCTTCTTGAAATGAAACGCGACGCCCAGGCCAACGCTAACGAACCCGAGGCTGAATTGACTGTACAACTTGCTGTCCTGAACTTGGACAAAGAATTTATGAATTTTGCTGCTCCATCATCAAAGAGGCAGCAGAGAACGAGGAATGATTAGAGCTGCAACTCCGCTGAATGCTGCTCTTTTGTGAGAAGTTGGCAGATGACGACGCGGCTGTCTAATGGCAGCCTTCGTCCATAGGCCTTGACTTGAAGACGCCGCGGATACGATGACGATGATGATCATCATGTTGACACCTTACCCGCGTCCGTTTGACTGATGACGCCTCAACCTGTTTCGTCCATTCAGATATCAGAACGACCAGCCGTCCAAATCCTCGCTTGGCTTTCGAACCAAGTGGCGGATATCCTTCTGTAAGTTATCTCCTTGTCTGCCTCCAAGCACGGCAACTTGCATGCGATCCAAATTTGTGTCTGCTGGACTGCTTTACGCTTAGCTGCTCGACGTAACCATTGCAGGGGAGACAGCGCCGTCGTGTTTGCCCAGGCTCCTGCAACTGCTCGCCAGCTACTTGTGCGATAACCTCCGTCTAAGTTAACTCCAGAGGACGACAACGACGACAGCGTTCGGCAATGGACTGTGGAGCCGATGAACAGTGTCAGATCGACAGTTCACACACTCTGACCAGAAAATCCTTCAAAAGAATGCTGCCGAAGAATTGGAGAACCCAACAACCGCGCGTGCAACAGAAAGAGCACACACACACACACACACACACACACACAACCCTTTCTTCCAGCTTCAAGAGCAGGTCTTTCCGCGCGACTGAAATTGACTTTGTTGTTCTGAATGTCGCGCTGAGCTGTGATGAGCTGCGCTTTGCTTTTCTTCTGATCATCACTTTTTGGTGTGCTTTGTGTGTCTATCGCGCTGTTCGTTGCTTTGGGCAACTCTGTTCTCAATCAACCTTACTTCTCTTCAAGCATCATCTGCGTCTTCTTCCAACCACGTCGCAGGCTTCGCACCACCACCACGTCTATATCGTCCAAGGACATCTATTGGGTCTCTCTCGATACAGCTACTGCATTCGACAAGGTTTGCACCAGCAACCAAAAGAGCAACAAGAATCGTCAGCTTCGAGGTCTGGCACTGCGAATCGTCTTGACACCTTTTCGTTCGTAATACATAACAGCCATGGCTCAGCTCTTTCAGAAAGATCCCCGCAATACCGGTCTCTTCATCGGTGGTGAGCGTCTCTCCGGCGCCGAGATCCGCAACCAGAATGTCCTAGCAGCTCAGTCGATTGCCAACATCGTCAAGTCCTCGCTCGGTCCCGTCGGTCTCGACAAGATGTTGGTCGACGACATTGGCGATGTCACCATCTCCAACGACGGCGCTACCATCCTCTCGCTCCTCGAAGTCGACCAGCCTGCAGGACGCATTCTTGTAGAGTTAGCACAGCAGCAGGATAAGGAGGTCGGTGATGGCACAACCTCAGTCGTCATCATTGCTGCAGAACTCCTTCGCAGAGCTAACGAGCTTGTGAAGAACAAGATCCACCCTACCACCATCATCACCGGTTACCGTCTCGCATGTCGAGAGGCTTGCAAGTACCTCCAAGGTCAGCTTTCCACCAAGGTCGAGACGCTCGGCAAGGAATCGCTCATCAACGTCGCCAAGACCTCCATGTCGAGCAAGATCATCGGCGCCGATGACGACTTTTTTGCAAAGATTGCCGTCGATGCTATGCTTGCAGTCAAGACCATCAATCCTCGTGGCGAGACAAAATACCCCGTCAAGGCGGTCAACGTTCTCAAAGCACACGGCAAGTCGGCACGAGAGTCGCTTTACATCCAAGGATATGCGCTCAACTGCACCGTTGCCTCGCAAGCCATGAAGACACACATCAAAAACGCCAAGATTGCCCTGCTCGACATCAACCTCGTTAAGCAACGCATGCACCTCGGCGTTCACATTACCATCGACGACCCTGACCAACTCGAAAAGATCCGTGCTCGCGAGAGTGAGATCGTTCTCGAGCGTGTTCGCAAGATCCTTGCTACCGGTGCCAATGTCATTTTGACCACCAAAGGTATCGACGATCTTTGCTTGAAGGAGTTTGTCGAGGCAGGTGCAATGGCCGTGAGACGATGCCGCAAGGAGGACCTCCGCAGAATCGCCAAGGCTACTGGTGGTCAGCTTGTCAGCAGCTTGAGCAACCTCGAAGGTGAAGAGACCTTCGAGGCAAGCAGTCTCGGAACTGCCGATACAGTCTCCCAGGAGCGCATCAGCGATGACGAACTGATCATCATCAAGGGTACCAAGACCGTCAGCTCGAGCTCGATCGTCCTTCGTGGTGCCAACGACTACCTTCTCGACGAGATGGAGCGTGCGCTGCACGACAGTCTTTGCGTTATCAAGCGTACACTCGAGAGTGGTTCCGTTGTTCCTGGTGGAGGTGCTGTCGAGTCCGCTCTCAGCATTTACCTCGACAACTTTGCCACTACCTTGGGCAGCCGAGAGCAGCTCGCCATCGCCGAGTTCGCCCAGGCTCTTCTTGTCATCCCCAAGACTCTTGCTGTCAACGCTGCCAAGGACAGCACCGATTTGGTCGCCAAGCTTCGTGCCTACCACAATGCAGCACAGAACGCCAACACCGGCGACCCCAAGAAGGCACTCCGTTTCTACGGTCTCGACTTGCTCAACGGTCAGGTGAGGGACAACTTGAAAGCAGGTGTGCTCGAACCAACAATCAGCAAAGTCAGGAGTTTCAAGTCGGCTCTGGAAGCAGCTACTAGCTTGTTGAGAATCGACGATGCTATTACCATTGCACCTGAGCAGCCTCCTGAGGATCCTCATGCGCACATGTAAAGTGGTAGAAGCAATCGCCAAAAAACGCAAGTCGGATATCATACGTGTAACAAAAGCTTGTCTAAATGGGAAAGCACTTTCTCAGCTCACTACGTGAGTGTGTGTGTGTGTGTGTGTGTGTGTGTGTGTGTGTGTGTGACCGAACCTGAGCTGTGTGGTGCGCTGACAGAGCTGGCTGCAACGTGAATGCTAGACATGCAGACGAGCAGAGTGTGACGACGATGTCATAAGTTGGATTGCGCATACTAATACAAGTAAAGTGAGAGTCTTTTCTCGAGCACAGCAATGCTCCGGCATGCTGGACTGCGGTAACGCAGAACACTCGGTGTCGAGAATGTTTTTGGGTGCATAGGATCATGCCGATTCATCCGGCAACTCTCTCAAATAAAGAACATTGTTACAACGAATGAAGACTTCGCCGAGCATACCGTTAGATTTGCCCTCCTGCAACTCTTCGGTGTTGGCCAGTTGTAAGTTCATGTAGCTATCTGTGCTGACGAGGAAACCTTTGTACTCCATGCCCCACTTCAAGCGCACTAGGACAGGCTTGCCTGTTTGCAGCTGAAGGAATGGTTTTGGGTTGACTGGCTGGAACTGTGTCATTCGAGTGGAGACGTCGTATCGATGTGGATCGTGGCAAGAGGGAGACGTCGTATAGATGTGGATCGTGACAAGAGAGAGAGGTGGTGTCAGTAGAAGTGTTCCGGTGAACGACTCAAACATCATCCGGGTGAATGGGCGACTGCACTTACGCTTGACATTGTGATGGGAAGCTATTAGCGAGTCCGATTGATTGACTCAGTGACGACCTCGACAGGAGTATATGCAGCTCTCTGTCTTTCTTTGTGACGGTCGGGTTCCACGGATAAAGTTCGAGCGACCAAGAAGGAGGATGAATGAAAAGTCCGGGGAGAAGCAACAGGACTTGCTCGTGACCTGGATGTCTGGTGGAAGTCGGACCTGAAAGTGCGTGGTGCGATTTGAGAATGGCCTTCTGCCTCTGGCTGAAGCTTCTCTGCGATACTGCGTCAACTAGGTCGGTACGGGGAGATCGAGAGGGTTCATAGAGACCATGCAAGAAGTGACGAGGTAGAGGTTCGGATGTGAGAAAAGGGTCGAGCTCCACAACTTCTTCCAGAGCTTCAGAGCGTGTCGCACGGGAAAGCCAATCGAAAAATCCAAATCTTAAGACGAAATGCCGCTCTAACAATCTTAGACGATGGCACGAATTGTGTTCAGCGGCTGTGCCAGCATGCGTGCTTTTTCGAGGTTGTGAGAGTTGAAGATACATCGGTATTTCCAAGGATCGACATGTTAGATCGGAGCATTAAGGGCCGGGAGGCCAAGTGTAAACAGAGATGAGGTGGATGCGAAGCTCGAGGGAGCATATGCAGCCTACCCTCGAGGTTTGACACCAAGGCATGCAGGAGGTATGATGATATGACAATGGTTATGAAGTGTTGTCATGGCTACAGTTATGAATCGTTGACAAGGCAACGGTTAGGAGGTGTTGACAAGGCAACGGATATGAAGGCAACCCACTGGACGACGGCTCAAGGTGTGACTCGAAGGGCGAGCCTAGTCAGCTGTTAAGGTATATATACTCATGTTCTGTAGCTTCTCCCATCTCGAAATAACAAGTCTTCTCACTTAGACACACCCGACTGTAAAGAGCGCCTGACTGTGGCCTCAGGAGCGGTGTATCTAGTTTCAACTGTGAGTGTTGGCCTCTTCTGGCGGTCTCAAGGCTTCACTCAGCTCGGGCCAACAGCTGCAGAAAGCCGCGACACTCTCTCTACTGTGTATGCTGTGTGATGTGTGTTCAAAAGGCTCCGATGGCAGTGGCCTGTATGCTACCTGTTGAGCTGACCTTTCTCGACACAGTCAGAAGAAAGAGTGCAAGCCGCAAAGTTGCACACACACATGGCAATTGAGCTTTCCGGGATGGTTTGAGCAGGTGCCAAATAACATCGAGCTCTATCTCATTCTTTAGAGTGTGCTGGCGCATTTCCGGACTCGATCATCATTCCCACCATCTTGTTGCCTCGATACCTGTTCGACCTGGCTCGCTGCCCTCTGGATCCCCTCAAATTATTGCAGAACCTTTGCCTCGAACCTCTCCCTCACGCTCTACATTGATGAAGTAAGCTGGCAACCGGTTCATGGTGACACGATCCATCTGCATTCATTCCGATATTGCTTCTTTCGCTGGACCTTAACCTCCCCTCTGACAGTCATTAAGCTCCAGGCTTTTCCGCATACATATACAATTTCCTAGCTATGGTTGGTGTTTCCGCGACAACATCACGGGCGACAAGTCGAGGGCATCGGCTCGTCGGTGAACCGCATATTTACGCCCCTCCACCATTGCAACTGCCACTCTTGACACTGGGCGTACTCGGAGCACAAACGGTATGGTCGATCGACATGGCCTTTGCGCCGCCCTACCTGCTCGACCTGGGCCTCTCAAAGTCTGCCATGGCAGCCGTCTTCATCGCTGGGCCTCTATCCGGTCTCATTGTCCAACCACTCATCGGCAATCTTGCTGACAACAGCACATCAAAGTACGGACGCCGTCGGCCATTTCTCGCAGTCTCAACTGGCATCTGTGCCCTCAGTATCCTACTGCTTGGTTTCGCGAGCGAGCTCGCCGGCTGCTTTACGACGACGGACACCAAAGCACATCGCCATTTGGCCATCATGATTGGCGTGTTGTCGGTCTACCTCATGGACTTTTCCGTCAACGCTGTCACTGCACTCGACCGCGCACTTATGATCGATGTAGCTGCAACCGAAGACCAAGCCGAAGCCAACGCATGGGCTGCTCGTCTTTCTGGAGTCGGCTCCGTGCTCAGCTTTCTGATCGGCAATCTCGAACTCCCCAGCATCTTCCCACGCTTTCTGGGCACAAGCCAGATTCAGATCGTGTCGGTGCTTGTCTGTATCATTCTTGTGGTTACGCATGCCCTCGTTGTGCTTCGCGTGGATGAACAAGTGCTTGTCGCAGTTCGTAGTGCCACTTCAAGGGCGTCCAAGAAGGCGCAAGGATCTGGTCTTTCGGCTGTCTTTGCTGACCTTTCTAGACAAGCACGTATCCTGCCGCAACCTATCCTTGAGATCTTCAAGATCCAATTCTTTGCCCAGATCGGCTGGTTCCCCTTCCTCTTCTATAGCACCGTATGGGTCGGCGAGATCTACAAGGCAGATGCCCGACTGAACGGCAGCAAGCAAAGCGACCACGAGCTGTTCGAGAAGGCGACTCGTGCAGGAAGCCATGCCTTCTTCTGGCATGCCATCCTCTCGCTCATTACCTCGATCCTGCTTCCGTTGGTCGTTCCCAACCCTGTGCACAAGACACACGGCCATCCTGTCTGGTTCGCGAACTCACAAATAGTGGGCATACTAAGGAGCCTACGCGATCGCTGCCCAGAACTGCCATTCTGGTGGATCTGTGGACACTTGATCTTCTTTGTCTCGATGATGGGCACATACTTCGCTGGGCTTACACAAAGCGTCTTTCTCGCCACCTGGATCGTGTCGGCAGTGGGATTTTGCTCTTCCCCTCAGAGCTGGGTACCTTTTGTGCTTTTAAGCATCCTTATCCAGACGCAGCAGGCGAAACAAGTGGTTGACTCGACGCATGCTGCCAGCAGCGCACCCAGTCGGCATACTACTCGGATTGGCGATGATTGCCAGCAGTCAGATGAAATGACAATGGCTCTGCTTGGCGACAGTTTGCGGGATGAGGAGAACAATGGCAGACCATTGAGTCGCACATCATCGTATGACTCTGCTCCTATCTCGAACAACCGATCACGGCCGCAGTCTCGCATCGATGGCGATCCAGACTCGGACGACGAAGACCAGCTGAACGGTACGCTCTCCTTCGGAGCGCCAAGTCTTCAGGAAGAAAGGTCACGACGGAGCTCAAACTACGATGCGGATGATGACGTGGAAAGAGCTAACGATGGTCTGGAAGGTCATGACGATGCTGGCGCAATTACGTTACAAGCAGGCAGCGTGTTGGGATTGCACAATGTCGCAGTGGTGATACCACAATTCCTCGTCACAGCACTCTCATCGCTCATCTTTGCCATCATGGAGCCAAGCAGCAATGACGATCAGAAGACTCCGAGTCAGGATGACAGTGCTGGACAAGTAGAAGCTAGCAATGGGGATGCGCTCGGGCTCATCTTCCGGCTGGGAGGATGCTGCGCTCTGGTCGCAGGCATCCTTGCTGTACGACTGGTTCGCAGACATGGTCACGATCTTCGTGGATACTGAAGCTTAAACGCTTTCCGCGGATGCGGCGCAAGTTTGGCTATATGGACGTCAGGAACAAAAGATCCCTCGCTCCTGTTGCTCCTATTGTCACACACGGACAAATGATCTTACAAAGGTAACTCAAATGCAATTTTCAGACTTGTGTCTTTCTAGCTCATCGCATCGCAGATTCGCGGCCTTGACGAATCGCCCATCGTCCTTAGAGGCAAGACGGGATGCTATGATGTGATATGAAGTGCAGGAGGACTCTGTATTTGCTGTTTGTGTACCTGAGCATCATGCAGGGACAAGAAAGCGACACAGTACTTGAACAAGCTTCACACCCAGGCCATCTCCCAGCCACGTAGCTCCAGCTCGATGAATGGTGAAAGAACAAAAGCAAAGTCCTTCCGTAAGAGCCGATGTAGCCCTTGATGATAGAAGATCCCTTTGTCTCGATCTTGCAAGAGCGTGTGAGCGTGAGGTTGAGGTAGAGCTCTTCTTTTTGTTCTAGTAGGAAATGAGCCTAAATTAATCAGGCAGTTTTTTAGCGGGGGAAATTAAAGCTCAATTTTGGCAGCTCATGGTCTTGCTGCGCTGCTTTTCTCCTTAGCTTTTGCCCAGAAAAGAGTAGAATAAAAAGAAGAAAGGCAGGCGCAGACCGTCCCTTTCAGTTGAAGAATGTCGTCAATGTCAATCAAATGTGTGTCAAAGTTGATGATCACAAGTGTCAATTGTGATGATGTGACATACTAAGTACAGGATGATTCAAGTGCTTTATATAAGTCATGATACCTCTTGCATGCATGTATGATGCTTGGGCAGTGAATCTGAAGCATGATTGTGAAACTATGGAGGAAGGACACCAGCTATCAATTGACCAGTGTCTTGATGCTCAACAATTGGCCTGGGCAATGTGCTAAGCCCAAGTGAGCAAAGTTGGTGATTGGATGTGGGCTTGACAAAGACTGCATTTGTATGCTTCAATTGCCAAGGCACCACATGCTTCAACTCCCCCCTTGCCAACTGAGCTATGGTGTGATCCAAGGTTAACCATTCCCAATTGTTTTTGTGTGTGTGCTAAGAGGTTCTTGGAGACCAGCTTGGTGAGGAAATCTACAATGTTATTATCAGTATTAACATACCTTATCAAGATATCCCCTTCTTGTATGTGATCTCAGATGAGGTGGTATTTTGTATCAACATGTTTGAGTTTTGAATGTAGAGTGGGGTCATTTGCTACCTGAATACATCCAGTGTTGTCAATGAGTACAACAGGCATGTGGTCCCCAAATCCATGGCCCAAGAGTAGATGCTTGTGAAATAGTGCTTCTTGTCATGGGCCCAGATGCGCAGGAAGCAGGAAGACCTGTCAAGTCATATGAAGGGAGTGTGGGAATCAAGGGATTGGGCAAATCATAGGACTTGTGGTGGAGTTCACCAAGATCTGTAGAAGAAATGGCTCTATGACAGATCTTGCCTAGATTGGCACAAGCAACAATGGTATCATGAATCCTGCCAGGATCTGTAGCAAACAGGATTGTATGACATGTTCTGCAGAGATCAGTAGCAAGGATGATCATATGACAGCTCCAGTAGGGATTAGGGGCAAGGACAGTTGAGGTTGCCACCAGATGAGGTAGGGGCCTTACACAATGATGAAATCAGCACAAGAAGATGGGTGCCAAAGTCAGGAGGTAGATGAAGGAGAGGGGTGTGCAGTGTCATTAGGATGAAGTGGGGTGACCCCTATCAGCAATGAGATGATGCTGACTCCCCTTGTCTCAGGAGCAGGAGAAGCAGGGCTCAGCAAGGGGAAGAAGCATCAGTAGAGACCTCTACTATAGTACTTGACAAAGAAGGTACCCTCTGGAGAGAGAGCTGGAACAGAGTTGCAGGTGACACTGCAAAGATGAAAATAAATCATGCCTTCTCATCATCAGTGGTTGAGTGGATGCCCATCCACTCTACACCATAAACTAGTTATCACTTCACATAAGTATACATTAGTTTCCAGTCAGCAAAGTCACAATCAAGTAGATTGCCTCCATTGTAGTGCATGTGTTGTATCACTGCTCACTGACATCCAAAGGCAGTTCATAGAACCAGTGGTCTGGATAACGATTGACACTGAAGGCAGTTCATAGCAACCTGTGGTCTGGCTCGCAATCATAGAACCAAAGGCAGTTGTCCACTGCAGTCTGGGGATCACTCAAGCACTCAGTTGACACACTGGACACTTGTGTCGACAACAGCAATCACAAACACACCAGACCTTGGTGTTAATATCAGTTCATAGCAGTTATTGATTGTGCCAAGCTACCTCTGGATGGAGTGTCCACAGTGGTTAGTCAAAACCTGCAATAGCAAAACCATTACTACCTCTTCAGGTGAGAAAAGTAATAGAGGTGTCTCTATTGCATATCTCATCAAGAATCATAATACACAAGATGTTACCACATATCTCGACAGGATTTGTAATAAATGTGTCCCTGTCACAGATATCAGGTTTTGGGCATGCGACCTCTGACAAGCATGTTTTAGAGAGTGTTGATGTTCATCTTGTTGATATTGTTGAGGTCAAGTAAAGGTTCATTTGGTTCACTGTCATCACTGTCTGACTTGTTAGGAGGGAATGTCATGTTCAGCAATCCCCTGATGTTCTGCAGGTACAGGGATCATTTTGGCCTGATCATTGGATGAGTCATCAAGGGTGGGGCCATTGGCAGTGTGTGGATTATTGGATTGTGGAAGCATGGTGTTGAAGGCTGTACAGCAAGAGCATTCAGACTCTTAATCAGTTGAAGAATGTTGTTGATGTCAATCAAATGCATGTCAAAGTCAATGATCACAAGTGTCAATTGTGATGATGTGACATACTAAGTACAGGATGATTCAAGTGCTTTATATAAGTCATGATACCTCTTGCATGCATGTATGATGCTTGGGCAGTGAATCTGAAGCATGATTGTGAAACTATGGAGGAAGGACACCAGCTATCAATTGACCAGTGTCTTGATGCTCAACAATTGGCCTGGGCAATGTGCTAAGCCCAAGTGAGCAAAGTTGGTGATTGGATGTGGGCTTGGCAAAGACTGCATTTGTATGCTTCAATTGCCAAGGCACCACATGCTTCAACTCTTTCTGCTGGCAAGTTCCAAGTTAAGCAAGACCCTGAAGCCGTGTGAGTGTGGTACGCGCCTGTTTGTCTCTTTGGGAAGAGAGAGGAAATTCAACCGTGTCTCTCGCAGACCGACACAGACACGCACACACGCACGCGCGGTTGCAAACAAGACACACACAAGAGAAGAAGCACAAGCGCAACCACAAGCGCAACCACAAGCGCACGCACACGCACATGCTCAACGCTCAACGCTCAACGCTCAACACTCAACACTCAACACTCAACACTCAACGTTCACGCCTCTTTTGTTGCTGCTGTTAGACAAAAGGCTAAGCGGCACCGATAGGTCCGTTTATTGCTATCAGCAGTCACAAGTATTCCTTTCGCTTCAGGAATGGTCATTTCTCAGGAAGATATCTAACTTATCTGTCTCTTGGACCTTCTGAATCGCTTGCCTCGAATCCCTTCTACCTCATTACCTTTCCAAGGCTCGGCACCCCTCTCCCTCTTGTCCCCTCTCACACACCCTCTCTTCGCAGCCGTTCCATCCGTCGTTTCGGGACTCAACGCACAAAGAGAAGGAGGAGACGCTGAGATCGACATCAGCAGAAACAGAGACAGTGAACAACTGCCAACTGCCAATCATCTGCTCGGGCCTCCCCCAACCCTACTGGATCACACTCGTCGGGCTAGCTTTTCCGATCGCTCGATTCCACGCTGCTGCTGCTAATTCTCCTCCTAAGGCCAAATCGCACCCAAACATCCCGCATCAGCTCGACCGATTTGTGCTGCTCTCTCGTCATCTTAACGCTTACCACAGCATCTAAGGACCTATCTGCAAAGCGCAACGGCAAAACCCATCCGAAGCAACTCTACCAGCATCGCCATTAGCTTTCGATTCTGATGAAGCCTTGATCTTATCATCAGCCATCGTATCTTTCATCGGTAGCAGCACACACCAGCCAAACGTCCGTGCCCCACTCGAGCATCCGACTCATGGCTAATCCATTCAACACCATTCCAGCTTCCTTTGGCGCTGGCAGAAGCGGGTCTGCCAGCACACACGCCAGCATGGACGGGCACACTTCTACTGCTTCCGCCGCTGGCGCATCGTCGTCTGCAGCAGCAGCAGCCACCACTGCTACATCGATACAGACGCCAGATACCCGTCGACATGGGCTCGGACTGATCAACGGAGAGTCATATGCTTCGTCTCCGTCGCAGTCGTCTTCCCCATCTTACCACCAATATCAATCTACCCGCCAAGCTGCAGGTCAGCAATACCAACAGCAACAACAGCAGCCGCAACATCACCACTATCACCATCATGCTGCGACTCACTCCATTGGCAGCTCATCAGGCTTCCGTCAGGACTCGACTGATAGCGCTCTCACACCGACCTTTTCGACGAGCAACATCATGCACAGCAGCCCCAATCTCACAAATGACCCGTTAGATCCTGCGTCTCAGCCCAATCACGCCACGAATGCCGTTGCGGCCAACGCTTCTAGTCAGATCTTGATTGCTAGTATCGTGCAGAGGCTCGTCAACAAGGTAGGTTCGAATTTTCTTTCATAAGAATGACCCTTAGCCAAAGCGCCTCAACTGATGCTTACCAATCTTTCTTATTCTTGTCTTACGTGTCCAGCTACCATGCAACTCCGGCTGGAGGCTCCAACTTGTCGAGGAGGACCACCTCGTCCGTTCTTGCGTCGTCAATCTGATCAACCTCAGTTGCTTTCAGCTCGGCGTTGTCGTCAGAGAACTGCTCGGAGCAATCGAGCTTCTCGTTAAGCAGGCCTCTCAACAGCATCTTGAACAACAGGCTAGCATCGGCATGCTTCATTCGCAGCTCTTCATCCTCAAAATCCTCGTTTCATGTCTGAACCACCAATGGCGCATCGCATCTGGACATGCCAGAAGCCCACGCCCTGGACTTGACCCTCTTCCTTTCACTTCAAACTCGAGCAACACGAACCAAGATGAATTTCCTACTTCCTCATCGACATCAGCGACCGGCTGGACGGACCCACCCGCCATGGATGACACCCAGGCCAAGCACGTTCTCAGCGTCATGACGCTGCTCATCAAGCAGAATGTAGCGAGGGAAGACTTCAACTTTTCTTCCATACATGAAGGTGTCGAGGCACGCTCATCCTCCAAGAATGATTCCTCGGCCGCCCAAGGTCTATCCGGACGAACAGCAGCCGCCTCAGAACGATCATTGCGAGACCTGAGCCTGCGCGAGACCGCCGCCAACTTATCCGGCTCAAGGACTTTAGGTCATTCTAGCTCGAAGCTTGGGCGTGAAGAAGCCGATTCGCGTGAAGACACAGGCGTTCCAGGTGTCAGTGACAAGTTCCCTGAGACCTTCATGCCGAGCTCCCTCTGCCTTGCTGCTTCCACCAGTCTCTTCATCCTCTACCCCTGCTTTCCTCCAACACGATCGCCCTTCGACACTCCGCCGACCATTGACCACGTCGACTTGGCCAAGGCAGCGTCGGCCTCGCCGAACACTGGCTTCGCTTCAGCAAAGCCAGACGCAAAGGAGATCAAACCAGACTTGACAGGTGTCAGCTCGTCAGCTAGATTCAATTCCTCATCTTGGACCACCACTGCTTTCAGTCAAGATGTAGAGGGCTTCGACGTTCCAAACCACCTCCAGACCCGCATCTATCGTCTCGCCAGCCAAGTCGTCTTCTACCTCAGCTCGAGCAATTGGGTCGTCGTCAGTGCTCGTCTCCGCAACCGTCTCTACTATCTCAGCTCGACCATCGAAGAAGCTCCCAGCACTGCTGAGTTGCGTCTGCTCGAATGCTCCAACTTTCAGCGTGCCCGCCTTGCAGGTATGCTCCAAGAAGTCAGCACATCCTTCCCGCAGCTCAAGCGCACTGCGCAGTACGCGATCGCTTTGGTGCTCCGTCGCGCTATCTGGTCATGGGTACAGTATCATCCGTCCGAATTCGCAAACCTTGCGACATCCAATCGACGTTTTGAAGGCAGCCCAGACGTAGTCTTCGACCAAGTCTACTCGCTTGCTGATACCACTAAGCGCAAGATTGCCTTCTGGCCCATGCTCACCTCGCTCCTCATCTTGTGCCCAGACTTGGTCGGCAAGGCTGCTGTAGGAGAGAACCGCAAGGCCAGCGGCAGTCTCGCTAAGAAGCTCTCCTTCATCGACGGTCTCCGCAAGCTACCTCGCAACAATGCGCTCATCGATGCTGCAACATTGTGCTGCGTCGACCTCTTCAAGGCTGCAGCATCCGTGCCACGGTCCGAGAATGGTCTGAGACTCATCGTTCACGACCTCGAAGCCGAGCTCAAAGAGCGTCTCTTCGACCCCACGCGCCCACAACGTCCACTCGCAGGTAGCAACAGGCCCATCGAGTTGATGCTGATGATCGACTTCTTTGCCTCGTTGTTCCGACTGGACCCGCAACGCACCATTCGCGAGCTGGTGCCCATCTGCATGTCGGACTCAAGCCCGATTCACTTCAAGATCGCCCTCGTCAAAGCATGCGTGCTGCTGGCCAGCGAGAGGCATCGACTTCCGTGGGCGCCGGATGTCAGTCTGCTGTATCCTCACATCTCGCGTCCGCTTCGTGCCTTCTTCCGGGAGACGACCTATCGTCTACCTCGCTTTGTCAATCGTGAAATGGCTCGCAAGCGTGCGGCTTCACATGCAGCTTCCTCCAGTCAATTTCGCAACGTCTCGCTTTCGGGCTCCGCAGCAGCTGCTGCTGCCAGTATCGACGAGCTTGGCCGCTTGGACTTGCTCCAGTCCATCATTCAGCTTTACACGCTTGACGTTGCTGCGCTTGCGCATGGCGTCGACTTAGACCGACCTAAGGACTTCGCATCCATCTCGGGAGGCGGTACCATCATCGATCGTGAGAAAGTCCTGCGCAACTCAGTATCTACCGACAGCTTGCTCGCTTTCACCACATCCCTCTGCTCGCTCTTTGCCACGCCTCCGGAGTTTGCGTCCTTCCGCGAGATCTGCGCCGCATTGCTTGCTCGCATCTACCACTCGGGCTTGCTGGATCCAAAGCTGGCCGAGTTCTGCGAGCATCAGCGTCATGTGGGACTCTCGTCTTTGCCCTTCTTCTTCACCATCATCACCGAGCAGCTCCTGTTGGCCGAGTCGTCCGAGATGCAGCGTCACTACCTTGAACTCTTGCGACGCTCTCAGCAGCGGCGAGGCTTCTTCATCAGCCAAGAACGAGATTGGAGCAGCACAGTCGCAGCGCCTTACTATCCGCCAGAACATGCACGCAGGCTTGAGTACGTCTGGGTTCAGCTCGTGACACTGCTGATGATGTGTTCGAGTAACACCGAAGTCTGCTCGCGGGCCATGCAGGTGGGACACGGACACGCCCAGCTCACGATAGCCATTAGCGACTACTACGATCCGCTCTCGAATGAGTGGTTGAAGCTCTACACCGACCTGGCCGACCCCAGTTTCTTGCATACCGGCCGTATTGCACAACAGAAGCGCATCCGAGCACTCTTGCGAGACATTGAAGCACCGTCGGCGGCCAGTTGGCTCGCTTGGAAAGAAGCGTATTCACGCTGGGCAAATCTGACGCAACTCGTGGCACGTCCTATCGCTGAAGACACCTTGACGGCGCAAGATAAAGCAGCTCAGTGGCATAACTATGCAGGCTTCTTGTGTGCCTTCGGCGGCGCATGCTTCTCGGCCTCTGATGCCATCACTTCGGACATCGAGCCCAGCATCGCCGAAATCTTGCCGCAGTTCTCCGACCTCGATGAAAAGCCTGCTGCTTTGATTGAACGCTTCGTTCAGGAGATGGTCGACTTGCTCGTCTCGGACTCGCTCTGGGTCAGAGAGAAAGCCAAAGAGACTCTCGGTGTCGATCTCGGTCCACGTCTGATCGGCATTCTCTTCCGTCAGATTCATGCCGTGCTCAGTGACTTTTTCGACAAAGAGACAGGCTATCCCAAGACAAGTGATATGTACACAGTCTTCGTTGAGCAGAGCATCGGCGTCGCAACGATGGTGCTTCAGCGTCTAAACGAAACGAAGCCGTCGCCGGCGACGTCCAAGGTTGACATCGGATCGTTGATGGTGCTGTCTGTCGAGTATGTCAATTCGCTTGGACGTGACGAGCAGGCGTTGCGCATCAAAACGGCCATGTGTCAATTGTGCGAGGCAATGATGCGCAAAAAGGCGGCTTTCTGCTTCTCGAACGAGCTGCGAGTCCGTAATCGCCTGTTCCAAGCCCTGACAACCTGGACATCGGATGGTTCAGAGGATGGCTTCCATTCGAACACTGTTGATGCGCCCGACCGTCTTCACCGTGATCTCGACGTTGCTTGCCTCAAGTGCATCTCGATTTTGCTGGATAAGCTCCCTTTGCTGCTCGCCGATGATGCTTTGCTACTCGATGACAAAGTGGAAGGTGCCAAGACGAGGCATTTTGCCGTGTACTTTGGCTACTTCATCAAGATCCTCAATCGCACTCGCCATTCCGAGACAGCTGCTGCTGCACGTTCCCGAGCTCTCAATGACGCAAAGTTGCTGGCGGGCGCTAAGAGCATCAAGGTGGACTCTGGTCGAGACTATGCTCCTTTGCGAGAGTCGGCCATTCTGGCGCTTTCAAATCTTCTGGCTTCCAATATCGACAGCGGTCTGCACAACTCGCTGCCATTAGCCTACCATGAGGACCCACGCATCCGCACCGCCTTCATGCAGATCACGACCAACGTGCTCAATCAGGGCACTGCCTTTGACGAGTTGGAGCGCATCGGTGGAGCTCGCAAGTCGAATCGTCTGGTCGACTTGGTTTGCCAGGAAGACCTGCAGCTAGCGCTCTCGATCTGTCAAGTCTGCCCTGGACGTGATGTGGAGCCGATGAGCGTGTTACTGCTCAGCATGTTTGATGCCAAGGGTGGCCTCATTCGCTTCCTCAAAGCGGCTGTCGAAGAAGAGATTCAGCGAACAGCTACAGAAGAGATGGTCTTCCGCAGCAATTCCTTCTGTACCACGCTACTCTCGACGTTCGCACGCGCGCACGGCTACGACTACTTGCGCTCGATCATGGCTCCGCTTATCACCGAGTTTGCACGCAAACCTGCTGGTTTCTCGGTCGAGATGGACCCATCGAGAGTCGAGCCTGGCGGAAGCGCACTCAAGAACCAGAATGCGCTCGAGGAGATCGCCCAAGCTTTCATCGACGCCATTTGCTCGTCAGCTCATCGTGTTCCCGCAGTTCTGCGCGAACTTTGCCGTCACATTCGCAACGTTCTTGATGCTCGCTTCCCCGCCTCCCGCTACCAGGGTGTAGGTGGTCTGATGTTCCTGCGCTTCATCAGTCCAGCTGTCGTGTCGCCGCACATGATCGACATCAATCTCACTGGACCTAGCAAGGATCTTCGCCGAGGCTTGGTGTTGATCAGTAAGATCCTCATCACGCTTGCGAGTAACAACCTCTTCTCGAGTCACAAGGAGCCCTTCATGACCGGTCTCAATGACTTCCTTAAGAGCAATGTCTGGAAGGTAACGGCGTTCCTGGACCAAGTTTCTGACGCACGCACCGATCCTGACCGCCTCTATGCGGCAGACCAACCACTCGGTTTTGGCATCCATCCCAACGTTTACGGCGTCGACGATCGTGACCAGAGGATGCTGCACAGATTCCTCTTCGAGAATGTCGAAAAGCTCGGTAAGAGTCTGGCAGACCGTACTTCGAAAACATCAGGTGCTGCTGACAGGGGTTTCATCTACGGCGACGAGTCGAACAATCGACAGGCAGGAGCCGCAAAGTATGTCTATGATGACTTGTGTGATGCTCTTGCCGCTGCAGGAGAGCCTAAGGGCGACGATCTGCCTGAGCCAATCTTTGGCGCTGGCAACTTCCAGGACTTCCTTCGTCGTCATGCTGGACGCAACATTGACGAGGAGAGCTACAGGTCGATCTTCTACGAAGGTCCTACTTCTCGCCGCGGTCGACCGGTCCTATACTACGCCATGCACAACCAGAAGGCCGACACGATCGACTTTGAAGGTCTCATCCTCTACATCTTGCAGACACTTGAGAGCTTCGCGTACCGTCAGTTTGATGTTGTTTTCGACATCACTGCATGTCAGCCGTCCAGTGTCACGCCGAGCCAGTGGCTGCTGTACTTCAGCTCGCTGATTCCGGCATCGATCCTGGCCAACGTGGTCAACGTCTTCTTCCTCAACCCGAATACTACGGCTAGAGTGGAGCTGCAGTTCTGGAACAACACAACTTACGGCGACTCGACACTGAAGCATGAGATTGCTGACAAGATGATCTCTTTGCAGAATGTCGTCAGCTGTTCGACACTCCCGGAGATCGAGATGTGGATCGAGCCGCGCAATCTCGCATTGGACCAGACGACCATGTCTATCTTGGGCTCGTCAGCCGAGGTGCGCTTTGATCAGATCACTATGGTCTGGTACTACCGCACTTTGACGCCAGTCACGTTCAGCATCGGTGGCGAGTATCTGCAGATTACGGGTCTCAAGCAGCAGGAATGGTTGCCCAACGTTCCTGTCCAGCTCAACGACATCTTTCACCTCTCAGACATTGATGACGTACGCTCCATCTCGATCCGCGGCGACGACAACACTTTCTTTCTCTCGTGCCGCAACGGGTCGATCAACTTTGTCTTCAACAGCCGCGAGCGGTCCGATGTCGTACAGGCACTAAGGCAGGCAAAAGCTCGCGTGTCCAAGTTCCGGGCCAACGCCGTCGACCGCGTCCTTCGTCCCAACGACGTGCCTGGCACGTTGCTGAACATGGCCATGCTCAACATCACCAGCAACGACTCGTCGTTGAGGCTGAGTGCTTATAATCTGCTGTGCGCGCTGAGCACCTCATTCAATTTTGGTGCAAGCAGCGCCCAGAAGCGACTGCTCAGCTCGCGTGGACTTGCGCTGCCTGCAAATACGATGGCCTTCGTCACGGATCTTAGCAAAGACTTTGCAGTAGCTGCGCCCGGCGTCACCCTCGAGTTCTTGCTCTCCTTCTTTGACGGCTTCGAGCGCGCAGCACCGAGTCAGAAGACGGTATGTTTGCACTACCTGTCTCCATGGCTTTCGAATCTGGTCATGTTCGTACACACTTCGAGGGAGCAGCAGGGCGAGTATCACCGTCGAATCAAGGAGATCCTGAATCAACTCATCAGCATCACCACCAAGCAGCCGGACATGTATGCCATCATGCAGCGCTGCGTTTGGTCGCAGTTGAGCCGACTTGATGACTTGATACCGACGTTCTTGGATGTATTTGCGGAGGCAGCAATGGATTCGGGTCTGCACACGGAGCGGTTTGAGGCGGTGCTAGATACGATGGTGTCGTTTGCATCGATCAATTTGCGAGGTAAGCTGTTGTCGAGGCTGCGCAAGGTGATTGCAAAGACGGCTCAGAATCCGGTCGTATCTCAGTTGCATCTGAATGCTTCCTGGAAGGAGATCGCGACGTTGGTGCGAATGAACATGGTGCTGTCATTCACCAATCGGGTGGAAGCGCTATTGTACCTTCCCGAGCTGTTGCATGTCATCTTGCTACTTGCCGGCAACGGCGTCGATGCAACGCGTCATGCGATGTACGGCAGTGCTATCAACCTCGTCCACTCGCTTTGCACGGAGGATCCTCGAGAGGCAAGGAAGCCAGAGGAGGCGACGCCACGTAGCGCCGATGAAGTGGCCAAGCTGCGAGTGTTGCTGGAGCAGCTCGCTGAGCCCGAGTCGCTCAAGCTGTTTGGTCTGCCTGTAGCAACACAAGGCAGCATTGCCAATGCTGCTTTTGCGACGTCGCAGGATATCGTGCGGGATACGCCCGATAATGCCCTCATTGAACGACTGGCGACGCTGATGTACGAGGTGGCGGACGTCGCAGCACCCAACGTCGATGCGGCCAACAGCTGGCGTGCGCGATTGGCGAGTCTGGTGACCAGCACTGCTTTCCAGTACAACCCAATCATTCAGTCGCGTGCATTCGTCCTGCTCGGTTGTCTGGCGCAGGGCGAGATCGACGACGATCTCCTGTACCAGATCCTTGTATCGTTGCGAGGTTCGATCTCAGAATGGGCAAGCAGCAGCTCAGACATGCCCATGATCAGCATCGTCACATGTCTCAGCAAGGTGGTCAAGATTCTGCCGACTCGATCTCGATACCTGCCTCAGATGTTCTGGCTAGGGATAGCGATGGTGCAATGCGGACACGTCCCACTGTTCAAGGCGGGTGTAGAGTTGATGCATTCAACAGTGCAGACTATTTGGGAGCGAGACATTGCAGCGAGCGAAGGGAGTGATTTGATCACATACCTGATCGATGCTCGATTTGAGTTCCGCGAGCTAGCGTGCAAGTTGGATGACGAGACGGGAGTAGACTTCGATATCAACTTCTCTTTCGGTATGGCCGCACTCCTGGTGAAAGGTCTGCGTCATCCTTCGACAAAGGAAGTGACGATCAAGCTGATGCAAGCTATGCTACACCACTGTGGCGTGGATGCGCAGGGCGAGCGACGATCACGGGATGGTCGCATCTCGGAGAAGCAGCTCGGGTTCTTTGTTGGTCTGCTCCCCACCGCCACACGACCAGAAGCGTTTGGCCATCTGCTATCATTAGCAGGCGTAGAGCCAAGCTTGTGCGAAGGAGCCGTGAAATCACGCCGGTCTGGGTACAAGGGTCTGCAAGAGTATCTCGATGAACTCAACAACCGCATTGCCCTCCTTCTCGTCACATTGGTCACCTCTTTGCTACAACATGCCGAATCCGACGCCGAGCGACTCATGCTGTACGGATTCCTCAACGAAGCAGCCCGAGAAGTACCCGCTATCGTCAGCATCCTCTACGACAGCCTTGCACCCAGCATGAAGGATATATTCCTCAACTGCTCCAACGGGGCCATCCTCGACGCTGTACATGGGATCGCTCAAACAGCCGTCAGCCAACCGTTGTTTGCAGCTCAAGCTCGTGAGACAGCTAAAAGAGGCGGACCGACAGCGTACTTGGCCGAGTCAGGGTACGGAAGTTTGTTGGGTTGTGGTGCTTTCGTGCCACTGATGGAAGGAAGGAGACATGTGCTTTGCAAGTTGAGCATTCAGTTGGTACTTGGCTTGACGGATGTTGGGACTACCTAGAATTACCGGTGATGAAAAGCTCTGGTTTGGTGAAGCGATTCCCCGTCTCATTGTACTATGTATTCTTGGACGACTTGTTGGTCATTGTTAATCAGTACAGTACTCCTCTTGTATCGTATCGGAGAGATTCACTCTGAAGATGCCACCCGCCTTGAAGTATAGCAGCAGAGTGATGTTCAAGCTCGTGTAGAAGGCTAGCACAAGGGGGGGGGGGGGGGGGCCAGGAAGTGTTAGCACGCTGCTTCTGACAGGCTGTTCAGAAGGCAAACACGTGCGGTGCTAAGGGGTCAAGCAGACAGATTGTAAGCAGTCATGCGTTTTTACTTGAACCTCCGACGATTTGCTTCATCGGGTTGAGAAGGGGTTCCTTGGCTGAACCTCCCTGAACGCATTCGGCTTTTCGCCTCTCGCTCTGCACAAAACGAGAGCTTTTGAGGCTCAAAGGCAAGATGGGGGTTCCAGGTCAAGGGCCTAGCGATTGCAATTTCAGTTCAAGTCCTTCTAATCCCTTGAATTCAAACCCTCGTATGTGAAATGAAGACTTGAATCAAGCGCGTCTGCGTGTGGGCGTGTTGTGTGTTTTGTCCCTTTTTCTTCTTTTTTTTTTTTTTTCTTTTTTCTTTTTTCTTTTTTCTTTTTTCTTTTTTCGTTTTCTTCCAGAAACACTCTTTTTTTTTCTTTTTTTTTTTTTTTTTTTTTTTTTTTTTTCTTTTTGAATTTCAGAGAAGGTGCCTGGGCGTGGCGAGAAGGGTTCGAATTATGATAGGGTTGGCCAGCAGCATTCTGGCTAGCCTATGGGTCGAAGGAGAGTCTTGTTCGCGACCAAGTCAGCAACTCTTCCTTCTGGAAAACCATTACCTTATCGGTATCAATACCCCTATACACATTCGCCCATCATGAAGGTAAGATTTCCACACTCAAGTTGATAGCGACAGCCCACGATCGCAGGATCAAGGCGACACAAGACCCCATTTCTCTTGCCGCGAAAGATATTCGAGAACGGATTGCAGTCGAAAACTCAGCGAGTCAGCAGAAGGTCGACAAACAACTTTTCGCGGATCCAGTTCTGCTGCTCAATGCTCTGAACGGGGCCCGCATTGCTCAGTCACAAGTGAACAATTAGCTGCCTTTTTCTAACTAGGCTCGTTTGCGGGAGGCAAAATCTTGGACGGTGGATGGCTAAGGCTCAACAGCAGATCACGCAGATCGCAAACAGGGCTTGAAAGGTTCTGCAGCCAGTAACTGTTCTGCGCGAATGGTTCTCCACTCTGCGCTTCCACGCGGCACGCCGCATCAGATTGAGCTGTGCAGCTACAGTCCCAGTGACGACGAATTCGAACTCGTCAGTTAGCTTACAATGGCGTCAAACAGCATGTTCTGCATGCTGAGAGGCCTTTTGCAAAACTGTATCTCCAAGGAGTCCTCCCCGCCGTCTCTCCTCTTGACCGGAACCCTGCAATCGCGGGCGTGTGCTATCCTAGCGTTCCTCCTTCCTTCTCCCAACTTTATACTGACTTGCTTTGCAATCATCCCCCTTATTCTTTCCCTATGACAGCTCTACACTGACGTCATTTCCAACGACGAGATGTGCTCGGACGGTTACGAGATGAAGCTCGTCGATGACATCGTATACGAAGTCGATGCCGCCAAAATTGTCGTCTCGGACGGTGATGTCGATATCGGAGCCAACCCTTCCGCCGAAGAAACCGCCGAAGCGCTCGAAAACGGTGCCGAACAAGTGATCAACATTGTCCACTCCTTCCGTCTCCAGTCGACCCAGTTCGACAAGAAGTCTTACCTTGGTTACCTCAAAGGTTACATGAAGGCGGTTAAGGCCAAGCTTGCCGAGACCAACCCTGACCGTGTTCCCGCGTTCGAAAAGGGTGCTGCTGCTTTCGCTAAGAAGATCGTCGGTAACTTCAATGATTGGGAGTTCTATACCGGTGAAAGCATGGACCCTGAGGGAATGGTCGCTATGTTGAACTACAGGGAGGACGGAGTTACTCCTTACCTTGTCTTTTGGAAGGATGGTTTGCGCGAGACTAAGATCTAAAGCAAGCCGATCTACGGCAATGGATGCTCAGAAGGCTGAGTGGAAGTTGTAGTTGCTTTGTACCACCAAAATTTACCTATCTATCTCGTCTTGATTGATGCTTTCTCAATTTGATCGGGATTTGTTACTATCTCACACGCAGGCTGTGCTTGGATGATGCTTATGTGAGATGTGAAGACGAAGGTGAAGGCGCTTCTGGCAAGCTGTAAAGGACAGCGACCGTGAAAGAATCAGCCATTCGCTGTAACAACCTCATTCCATTCCTGTTGTTGCTTGCAGATGATCGACCCATCCTGCACATTGTCGGATTGCATCTGCATCACAGTTGACTTCGAACGAGACGAAACGAAGATCTTAGCACGGGCATACAACGTAAAAAGATCAACTCTTTCTAACAGGATCGGCACGAATGCTATCAAACAAACCTGTTCATCTATATAAAAAATAAAAAAAATAAAAAAAAATAAAAAAAAGGGTTTGGCAGAGGAAAAAAAAAGGAAGGGAAAAAGAAGGCGCAAAAAATTAAGACGACCCCTGGCGGGCTCGAACCGCCGACCTCAGCATTAACAGTGCTACGCTCTAACCAACTGAGCTAAGGAGCCCTTGATGTCGCTGAATGGTCCAGTATGCATTATTAATAGTTGACATATTTGATTGTGACGAAAGGCTGTGCAGCACAGGCCACGTTGATGTGCGCTGGCTCGTGAAAAGTGCTTGTGTGTGTGTGTGTGTGTGAAGCTTCACATACCACCTTTCTCTTGCTTCTTCCAACACCTTCTTGCTGGAATATCCGTATCCACCTATCACTCGCCACACTCATCTCTACACGCACACACTAGCAGAATCCTAGGCTTGCTAACGGTAGAGCACGAGCCATCGAAGCCACACCTTCAGACATCAACTCCGGTAAAACAACAAACAATGGCTGGCTTCCTCAGAGGCGGCGGATCCGGTGGTGCTGGCTATGGCAGGATCAGTGGTGGCGCAGGAGGCAATAATCCATATGGTGACGGAGGTTCGGATCCGTACCGAGATGGACGCAACCCATACAATTCTTCGACCGCATCGGGTGGGCGGCCGGCTGCTGCAGGTTACGGTGGAGGAGGAGCAGGATTCACCGGTGGTGCTGGCTTCGGTGGTGGTGGTGGTGGAGGAGGAGGAGCTGGTTTTTCAGGTAGCGGAGCAGGTCGTGCACCCTCTGGCGCAGGCTTCCGCAGTGGAGGCGCAGGCTTTGCCGGTGGTGCAGGTGGAGCTGGTTATAGCTCAGAGAAGGCCAGCTCTCAGCGTGCACCCAGTGGTGGTCATCTCATCGTCAAGTGTCCCGACCAGCTCACTCATTCCAACTGCATCATCGTCAATGGCCAAGAATGGGGCTCGACACAATACGTGCTTGTCGATGGCATGTACGTCTTCACTGCCAAGGCCGATACCACAGGACAAATCGAGCCCGGTACCCTCGGTACAGCTCTACTGCAACGCAAGTGGGCAGGTCTTTCTGTTCAGGGTCAGGTGGTGCAGGCCGAGAGCTATGATCCATTCGCCTTTGGCAACAGCGTTTACCTCGGCAGCATCGATATCGAGGTGGCTTATTTCCGCAAGGGTGAAACCGCACCTCAAGCTTATGACACCGAGGAAATGGCCAAGACTTTCACACGCGCATTCGAGAACCACATCTTTACGGTTGGCCAGAGACTCGTCCTTGAATTCAAGGGCATGTTGATGGTGGCTACCATCACGGGCGTTGAGGTGGTCGAACTGCATGAGATCCAAGAACGTGGAAGGAATGCACCGACTGACAATCACGGTGGTTCTCGCCCAAGTCGTTCCGATCGAGGTATTTTGATCGCTCAGACCCAAGTCAACTTCTCCGCTGCTCAGGATGGCGGTGTCAAACTCAAGGCTTCCGGCAACCGTCCTCCTCCCAATGCGATCTTGCAGCCCAACTTCAAGTTCGAAGATATGGGCGTCGGTGGTCTTGACAAAGAATTCGCCAACATTTTTCGTCGTGCTTTCGCTTCACGTATCTTCCCTCCTGCGTTGGTGGAAAAGCTCGGTATTCAGCACGTCAAAGGTATGGTACTCTACGGTCCTCCTGGTACGGGTAAGACGTTGCTAGCTCGTCAAATCGGAAAGATGCTCAATGCGCGTGAGCCGAAAATCGTCAACGGTCCCGAAGTGTTCAACAAATATGTCGGTGGAAGTGAAGAGAATGTTCGCAAGCTTTTCGCTGACGCGGAGGCGGAGCAGAAGGCCAAGGGTGACGAGTCGCAGTTACACATTATTATTTTGGATGAGCTCGATGCGATGGTTAGGCAGCGTGGTTCGGGTGGTGCTGGTGCTACTTCGGCTGGCGACAATGTGGTCAACACTTTGCTTGCGAAGCTCGATGGTGTCGAGCAGCTCAACAATATTCTCGTGATTGGTATGACCAACAGGCTCGACATGATTGATGAGGCGCTGTTGCGTCCTGGTCGTCTCGAGGTGCATGTTGAGGTCAGCTTGCCGGACGAGTTTGGTCGTCGACAGATTCTCAACATTCACACCAACAAGATGAAGAGCAATGGTGTCATGGATAGCGATGTCAACATCAACGAGCTTGCTGCTCTCACCAAGAACTTCTCGGGTGCCGAAATCGCCGGTCTGATCAAGTCGGCCACTTCGTTCGCCTTCAACCGTCACGTCAAGGTTGGAACGATGGCTGGTATTTCGAACGATGTGGAGGACATGAAGGTTTCGCACCAGGACTTCTTGAATGCGCTCGAGGAAGTCAAGCCCGCTTTCGGTGTTGCTGAAGAAGAGCTTTCGCAGGTGGTTCAAAACGGTATTATGCATTTCGCTCCTCACATTGATGTCATTCTTCGCGATGGTCATCTTCGTGTCGAGCAAGTGCGCACTTCGACGCGCACCCCGCTCGTCACCGTTCTCCTACACGGTCCTCCAGGTTCAGGCAAGACCGCTCTCGCAGCCACCATAGCTATCGCCTCCGACTATCCGTTCATCAAACTTATCTCGCCCGAAAGCATGATCGGCATGGGCGACGCACAAAGAATCAATTACCTCAACAAAGTCTTTAACGACGCTTACAAATCTCCACTTTCGATCATCGTCATTGACAACATCGAGAAGATTGTCGAATGGGTTCGTATCGGTCCTCGATTCTCCAACTCTGTCCTCCAAGCCCTTGCGGTGTTGTTGGGTAAACGTCCACCCAAAGACAAGCGATTGTTGGTGTTGGCTACGACGTCGAACAGGAGAATGCTGCATGAGATGGAGATGTTGAATGCGTTCATTGCTGAAATCCGCGTTCCTAGCATCACCTCGCTAAGGAGTGTCGATCATGTGGTCAGACAGATGCAGTTGTTCGAGGATGAAAACGACGCACAGAGATGTTTGCAGCTCTTGGCTCAAGCAGGGTTGGGCGAGGAGGGCAAGTTGAATATTGGGATTAAGATGTTGTTGTCCGAGATAGAGATGGCTAGGTTGGATAACGATCCGGCGGATAGATTGGCTTCGAGTTTGTCGAGTGTTCAGAATACGGCGATCGATGTTGATATTGATGTTGAGCTCAACTAGACACGTCTCTCTGCGCAATCAACAGTGGTTTGCAGCAATGCAATTGTTCGTTTCTTTTCTATGATTTTCTATGGTGTGTGTGTGTGTGTGTGTGTGTGTGTGTGTATGTTTCTCGAGCGGGGATGTTAGCGGCCCATTTCTTGAAGATATTGTGAACGTCTTTTCTCCATTCCAGCTGCTTTTCGGCTTCTGAGATAGAGAAAGCTTGTCGTTGGCGTTCCTGTGATTCTGGCCAGTTGTCTTTGATTCCGTCTTCCGCTATCAGGACTTCGTGACCTGTGTACCGAGCGCGTGGAACAAAACCCGGCTGCTTGGCGTCGGAAGCGGGGCTCTTCTTGTGCGGTTTTGGATCGTCTTCTGCCAGCAGTGCAGGGGTCGCGCGTGATATTGAGCCCGAGCTTGAGGGCCGCGCTTCTACGACCAGACCAGCTTCCTCCCAGAGCTCACGTACGGCTGCTTGTTGAGATGTCTCGCCTGGCTCTACACCACCTTTTGGAAGGACGAACTTTCCGGCATGCTTGCGTGACGAGACCAGGTAGATTCGCAGATTGTCTATTGTAGCTGCTTGGGCGGAGGCGGTAGATGGTATGACTTGGACCGGTATGGCTACTGCCACTTCCCTTGGTGCGACTGCATGCATGGTGAGCTGGAGATTGAGCTGATGGACAAGAGGCAAGGCATCATGTGTTGCTCGAAGTCGGGCTGGAGTTGAGCTTCTTGTGGACCCTGCGGTGACCTCCACTGCGAACAAAATTTCCGCGCATGTTAGTTGTTTCCTCGTAACAATTGTTTTTTTCCCTTCTTTTTTTGGCCGCTGCAATTTGGCGGAAGGAGACGGACGGACGGACCACATCTTCGGATCGAAGATTGAATTAATGAAGGACATTTTTAGCGCAGCGTGGCAGCTCTGCTTCTCAGCTTTGCACGTCATACTGCAACTTTGACTCCATCGGCGCATCAATCGCCTTCAATCGCCTTGCCTTGCGCTACCATCCAGCACAGAACATATCGGATCGCTCTCGGCCAGGCTGACTCAAGTCCTGAAAGCCTGGTGCGAACATTCTCACACTTTTGGTGGCCTTCCGAAAAACTGGAACTCCTGATCGAAGGAGCTGGCAAATAACGCTCCACTTGGGCGCATACGTCCATGGTCGGAGCTCATCGCTTGTTCCCGAAGAGCGCTTTGAGCGTCTCTCGCTGTTGGCAGTCCTCTACTGTTGCCACATCCGCAACGACAGCAACAACATGTTCAGTGCTAGCGCATCAGCACTCTCATAGACGAGCGGCTCGTCCGGATCAATTGCAATCCTCGGCCTTCTCGACCGCGTCGGCACCCGTTCGCTCTCCAACGTCGTCTCGTCCGACGACTGGACCATCTACTGGATCCACATCGTCTGCTTCTTCATCGTCCGGCTCGTCTCAGTGGAAGCCTCCTCCGCCTCCACCGTCAGGGCCCACTGCCGCATACCGCAAACAGTCTCGTAAAGAGTGGCTCCTCGTAGGCGTCGCTGGTTCTGCTGCAGCTGTAGGCTCTTGGTATTACTGGTCCAATATTCGACCTCGTCATCAAGCTAACAAGGCTGCCGCAGCTGCTCTCGCCGCCAACTCTGCCCCTTTCTCGATCACGGCAGAGCAAAGAACCTCCTTCTCTATCCCAACCCGCCAAGCTCAGGCTGGCGGCCCGACCAACAAAGTGGTCAACACGCTCACCAACGCAGAGGTCGATCGGCGGCTAACAGAGAACCAGCGCAGTACCCGCGTTGATCGACCCAAAGGAGCTTGTCTTGTCGCTCGCTATGACACCAACTCCGTCGCGAGTAACGATCCTATTGAGGACAAGCGCGCAGAAGTGATTGTCGAGCGAGACCGAGCTATCGTCGACAGTCGACCCACTTCTTCCGCTACTGATCCTATCTCGCCAACGCCTAACACAGCTGCCGGTAGCGCTAATGGCGATCTCTGCTTCTTCGCTGTCATGGACGGTCATGCTGGTTTCCACACCAGTACGTTGCTTAGTCAGAAGCTGATCGCGTTCGTCGCCCTTGAGCTTGACAAGGTCTTCAGAGAAGCTGGCGAGTATGGAGAAATTGCAAAAGCCAAGAGCGCTATGCCCAGCAAGCTTTGGCGTGCCATTGTAGGTGGTGGGCCAGGTGTCAATGCTACTGTTGGTTCGAGTACTGGCCTGGACGGAGATCCCGACATCGTCAAGAGAGCCATCGCCAAAGCTTTCCGCGGCCTTGACAAGGAGATCGTCAACACACCTGTCGAGCTGCTCAAGGAGTATGAGCTTAGTCTTGCTTCCACTTCTTCCAGCTCGGTCGCACCTGAGGGAGGCGCAGGCAACACGCCAAGCCTGAGCTCGCTTGCTCACAGCATCTTCCCCAGCTCCACCAATGCCACCTTCACTGCCACTCAGAAGAGTGCCTACGAGAGCATCCTCCCTGCTTTGTCTGGTAGCTGTGCATTACTCACTTACATTGACTCGGCACGACAGGACGTCTATGTTGCCTGCACAGGTGACTCGCGAGCTGTAGCTGGTTACTGGGATGAAGACACGGGTAAGTGGGAGGTAGAAGCCCTTTCAGTTGATCAGACTGGTCGCAATCCAGATGAGGTGCGAAGGATGCGCTCCGAGCACCCGGCTTCCGAGTCGGAGAATGTCATCCAGCGCGGTCGTGTGCTTGGTGGACTTGAGCCCACACGCGCCTTCGGAGATGCAAGATACAAGTGGGATCGTGAACTTCAGGGACGCCTGTATGATGCTTTCCTTCCCGGCGGTCGGGCCTCGACGCGTGGCCCACCTCGAGGCTTGGAAACGCCTCCTTACGTCACCGCAACACCCGAGGTCGAATGGCGTCGAGTCGGCGAGACGAGCGCAAGACCCAACCGGGAGCTCCGCTTCATCATTATGGCCACCGATGGTCTTTGGGATATGATGAGCAACGAAGAGGCAGTCAGCCTGGTCGCTGGTCATCTAGCTGGTATCAAGGGCACCATTCGTTCATCAGAGCTGCAGAAACACACTTTCCAGCCGATCGACAAGCTTCACTCTTTGCCTTCAACATCCTCCGCTCATGTATCTTGTCCCTCTGGCACTCCGGCACGAGGAGGAGCTACGACTGACGGTCAGACAGTCTCGTCACCGGTGCGAGCTGCTTCTTCAGGCGAGCAGAGAGAGCTGGCTGTGTCTAAGCAGCACCCCTTGTCAAAAGGACCTGAGCCACTCAGAACATTCCAGTTCCAGGACGACAACCTTTCGACCCATCTCATCCGCAATGCCCTTGGTGGTGCCAATCAGCAGCGTGTAGCAGGTCTGCTTGCGATTCCAGCCCCGGAGAGCCGAAGGTATAGGGACGACATTACAGTCAACGTCATCCTCTTCAACTCGCCCACTTGCATTCCTGCGCAGCCACCGGCGGCTAAGCTTTGAGAGACAAGCTTTGGCTTTGGCTTCATGTATAAATGCATCCACTTTCGTCATATGCGGCTGCAATACACAACACGATAAAAAAAACAGCGTTTGATCCGCGATCTTGCCAGAGTTAAGGTCCTTTGACTGTGAAAGGTCCTGTTAAACTCATATCTCATACTTTGTCAATCTGTATCAAGGATTTGTGTCTTGAGCATGTTTTTGATCAAGCTCAAACTCGAACCGAAACTCGACTTTGACTCTATCTTCGGGTCGGCTCTTACCTTGTCATGTTGCAACATCAAGAAGTGGGGCGTTCCCGTTGCGCGTGTGTAAGCGCGGAAATGATCGTGGGTTTTATGCGGCATACAATGAGGGACCTCGTTTCTCGCGGCGCGCGTGGCGACGGCTCGATGCGCAGCGATAGTATATGAAGTGTATGAACAACGAGTAAGCAAGGTCGAAAGCCCACTCAAAGCCTGCCCGACGGTACCGAATCGCATCCATGTGCTTTCCATTGTTCGCCAAAAGGGTGAAGATGGTGGTCCCTCAACATCCACTCCATCAACCTTTCCTCACATGGCATTTCACCGAGAAGAAAGCTGAAAGCGTTGTTCAACCTTGATGGCTTTATTACCGTCAAACACCGAGTCCCTCGAAGTTGACGTTCCCACCGTTTGGCGCCACGCCGTCAACTTTTGCGATGGGAAGGTTAGGCTTGCGAAAGCTTCACATTAACATGCAGCGCCCTCGACTTTACACAAGGTCTTCATCGGAGATCGTCCTTGCCGAAATCGCTCGCAAAGAGTTGCCGAGCTCTTCAGTGATGAAGAAAGAGCGGCTGATGAGAAATCGTGGAAAAGAGCATGTCAGCTTTGTTGCGTTTCAAGACGGAATGAGCGCGATGGGCCTAGGCTCCTGAGCAGCTTTCGGTCAGATCACAATGGGCGACTGCCCAGTCACGGCTATGCCACTTGGGCGTCCATTGTGATGGTAATCATTGTGCTTTGTCATGGCGCGGATAAGAAGGTGGGCTAAGCGGCGGTTGTCTTCCTTCGCTTTTTTGCACACCCCCACCTTACACTTGCCTCTGCTTCTTCATCAAGCCACCCACTCCGGTTCCTCCAATCACGTCAAAACTCGCTGTTTAGTGATTTGGTGGGTTGCCTCTCTTCCCTTTCCGTCCCTTCTCCCACTGCCACGCAAAATGAATTGAGGCATCAAGACAACGTTCAGATGAAGTTGCTGCTCCTGTTGCCCAGGCCAATGCGTCTAAGTCAAAACTTTGTTCTACTTTCGGGTTCCGAAACCGAATTAGTTCATATCTTGACGCACACTCAATCACGTACACGCACATAAATCAAGCTTGTCGCCAGTCGGCGTCCGGTAAAACTATACTGATTGTGTCAACGCTTCAAAAAGTGGGACTCAGCTGGAGTCACGAACGAAGGCTTAGCCTTGCAACGGGCCAACCAGGTTGACTGGCAGAGTCATCCTATCCGGAGTGACACCCTTCCACCATCTAGAGCACTCTGTCCTTCGATTTGTTGACTGTTCGTGGCTCACAGCTGGTCTTTCGCTCTCTTTCCTTCTGCACCTTCCTAGTACTCTCATCTCTAGTTTTAATCAGTTCCTCTCGATCATTATGTCGGACCCAGGGGCTCGAAGTGCGTTGGGAAGCCATGCGAATGGTCGTGGCACGCTGCTGCCTTCTTTCAAGGACCTGCTGTGCTTCAGCAAGAGTGACACGCATGAGGATCCTTCGTTGCCATCCAAATTAATCCGACGTGGAGAAGACCTTCGTGCTACCCATGCTGCTCAGCCGGGCTCAGCTCGTCACTCTTCCAAGGATACTGTCGAGTCGAAGCATACTCCTCACATCGATCCGCGCTATTCAAACTCACAGAATCACCAGATTCTCCAAGCTCCACTCCATCACGGCCGCAGCGATCCCGTCACGGCTAGATACCCAATACCTTCTCGAAGCGCTAAAGCACCTCCTAACGCTGACTCTATTTTCTGTCCTCTTCCGTCAAGAGACTTGGGACCCTCCGCCCGAGATGAGTCTTTCAACATGAGGGCGAAAAGTGACATGGAAATTAGACAAGCTGTCCACTCAACGATGACCGCTATCGACACGTCACGCCAAAACAAAGAAACCCTGGTAGATCGACCCACTTCGCACCCTATGGCCAGAGTCTCAAAGGAATATCGTCCGCGTGAAGAGCGTCCGTCGGTCCATCAATCTGACCAAACTCGCCTGATGCCAGCGAACAACCGAATTCATTCTTACTATGAGAATGAGCGTCCCTTGCCAACTCAGCCCATCCCTAGTCAGGGCTCACATCTCATGCAGCAGCATCAGCAGCAGAAGCTTCAGCGTCATCACCCTCGAGTGGACGTCAGACACACAGCTCAAGACGACGGATCTCTGATCGTCAGACAACATCATCCTACCCACCCTCAAATGCTTCCTGTAGCAAGGCCTCGAATGCAACCGCCTCCCTCGCCACGAGCTCACGTTGGCGACCGACAACGACAGAGATCTTCGCCGCCATCCTCTCGCTTCATCGAAAGGCAAGACGGTATCACACATCAATCAGCTCATTCTCACGACATATCTCCAAGACTGCCGCTCCATCGAAGCCGGGAGACAACTTTCGACTACTCCTGCGCAAAGCTTCCTTCAGACAGAAGCATGTCATCTCCAGCGATGCCAAATGCTGCAGCTCCTTTAGGAGAGGTAGCAACACCAAGTCGCTCGAGAACATACATCCCGGCTAACGAAGCTTCAGAAGTCCAAGCTGCTTCCCGTCAGGGGCTTTCGTCTAACACTCATGCCGTTCTCGTCGATGCTCAGAGGGTTCACGACCGCCCGTATCTTCCGACGCACTCCCGAGACCACATGCAGGTTGCCAATCGTGGTGAAAGCGCAGCATTGCGATACGAACAAGACTACGTAAGGATGTCAAACGGTCAACTGATGCGTCGGTCGACTGCATCGGTGAAACCTCAACAGAGAGACTTTTCTTCCTATCAGCATGAAGTTCAGCCTCAAGCTTCAGTCACGCGTCGCCAAACAAGCGCTACTGCTGCAAGTCAAACCTACTCCATGCAACCACCGCTTTCTGCTCCCGTATCTTCGAAGAACACAGTTTCCGGTACTCCACAGCTTGATTCGAGAGCAACCGGGGCGCAACGATCATGGAATGATGTCCAGAGACCTTCAGATTCATATGCCGAGCATCGACAGGACAAGCTCATGTCAGGTATGCCTCATCGCACCTCGCCTCAAGACCTACTAGACCAGCAGCAAGCTCGTCCCAGAGGTCAGGAGAGACACTCAAGGGCAGAGCACGATGCTGACCGCTTCCAATTAGCGTCCAAAGGGCAAGAGCCGCAGCGAAAGGAACGATACGAAGTTCGCGAGGCTGTCTTGAATGAAGGAATGCGACGGGATTACCAGCATGGTTTCGTTGCACCCTCGATACCTTCTCAGGAACGAAGTGCAGCCTCAGAGAGATCCTTCAGATATCGTCAGGAAGGAATCGCTGCTGAGCGCGCTCACTCTTCGCAGATCGATCCGAGGTACGCTTTGAGACCTCAACTTCCTTCTCCACGCTCTGAGCCTGCGCGCTCGGCCCAGTTCGACGCATCATTCAACCGTCGTCAAGAGTACGTCGCTCAGGATGACTATCGAACAACTCCATCCCTCGACCGTCGGCAGCTCCCAGAAGTGTCAATCAGGGATCCAAGAATGTCTCACCGTCAAGAATCAGATCGCATTCTGGTCGACCGTCGCATTCAACAGACACATCCGCCAGCTGTCGACCAAGCCAGAAGGTCGACTGAGCGAGAAGTGCCAGCCATAGATAAGCCTGCAGCTGGTCCGCCGTCTCAGCATGAGTACAGACTCCCGAAGAATGCAGAGTCTCAGAGATATCGAGATTTGGAGTCACCGAATGCAGGCACAAGCGACACACGACGTCGGCGGTATCCTCCTGACGAGAGCCGCGCGTCTTTAGTCGATCCACGTTCGATGGAAAGAGCTCGAGCACATCCTCCGATCATAGCCTCGCAGCACACCATCTCTCGCACTCCTCCACAGGGTGTCGCTGATCGAGGCCACGGAGGATCAATGTCGCCGCTGCTAAGACCACTCAAGCGACCTCGTGCAGGCTCAGACACTTCACTTGTGCTCAAAGCTTCTCGCTTCACTGTCGGAGGCGAAGGGGAGATGGGAAGTAATGGCCACGCCTCTGTCACACTTCCTTCTCCTTTGCCTGCGCATCGTGGGCGACAGCTCGTCGGGCAGCGGCCGTTGGAACAAACAGGTACTCCCGAAATCTCGCGTGACTACCGTGACGCTGGGAAGCCGGTTGCAGTTCCGCAATGGCGGCTTCGTCCAGCTACCGGCTCAGCGCCCATCACACCTCCTCTGTCCTCAAATTGAAACACAACCAGACACTCTTCTGTAAATAGTTCGCATGCGAATAGCCACAGTTCTCGAGAATGCGATGAAATCGCGATAAGATGCTATGAGACTTGTGACTACGACAGAATGTGATCGTGTGAGGAAAATCAGATAACAAGACCATAATGCTGAAATACACGATCCAATGACGACGCTAAGAGGTGACGCAAAGACGACGAGATCGGAGTTCGGGGACGACCGATCCTTAACAGGATCGGGTACAACCAAGTCCCGCTCGTTGACAGGCTGGGTCATTAACTATAGAGACTCCCACGTTTGGCATGTGCCACACTTTTTGTATATATATCAAGCTGGGAGCGCTAGGCTCTCGCCATGTTCACTTAGTCAATTGAGTATATTTGTTTCTGTCTATAACAGCAGTGACATCGTACTCAGACTCTCCCCGATCACCAGTATCGGGACTCAAATCGTCTTCACTTTTCAACACATAAGGGGGTATCAAACTTTTTGCGTTTTTAAAAACCTGGGTTTTTCGAAGAGCGCGTTTTTCAAAATAACGCAAAAGCTTACATAAGCTGCGCCAAGGTAAAAAAACGCATCTCAGGAGGCGATATTGTGAAAACGCGGTTTTTTGTTCACTCCACAACAGTGAAAGTTTGTGAGCACTAGTTCGATCTCACACCTTTGCCGCCTTTCCTCACTCGGATCCGTAGCATGTTGTCGAGGCCTGTGCGGCTTATCGGCTTGCGTGAGGCCCGATCATCGCAATCGGCATTGGCATCGGCTATCCGGGTATCCAATACCCGAGATAGAGAAGATAGGTGCCACGTCATGTTTCATATGCTTACTGTTAGGTTCCGTCTCTTATCGGCCGTATGACTTTATCGCGTTTTTGGAAACCTGCATTTCCTTAAGGGTGGCTTTTATGATCGATGTCCCTGACGAAATGACTGATGTCTTCATCAGGATGGCCAAGTCCTTTTGGCCTACCTGACGATCGAGGCAAGCCACACATCTCGGCCCCTCCAATGATCGTATCAGTGAGACATGAGGGCAGTAGAAGGAGAGGGTCAAGGAGAAGATAAGAGACTGGACTCTGTCATTGTGGAGCTCTCCTGCACTGCCTCATCACAATTCAGACTCCTCTTCCGCATCAACATGTCACTGAATCATACTCAAGCCAAGATGTATGAAAACACTCAAGTTAGTTAGTTCGTCCCCGTTTCATCATCCATCAATTTGTACATACTGTTCAACGTCAATACACAAAATACAACTGTGCCCTACCTTCGAAGTCCATCATCGCTCCAACATAGACAACTCCCACCGCAGCACCATTCGGCGAAATCACCACTGTCTCCCCTTTTTCATCCCCCGCGCCGTCTTCGCCGACACCGGACTGCCTCCATTTCCCTTGTCCCCTCTGTCATTACCGCTGTGAGATTTAGACGACAAAAAAGCGAACAGAATCTCGAACTTTTCCGCCGGTCCCGCAACACTTGGCTTGACCGGCGTAACAACCGCAGCTGACTGAGGTGTGTTCGGCTGTCTGTCGAATACTAGCGATGGTAAGCCCGTCAACAGGGGGTGAGCAGGCTGCTGTCGTAGAGCTCTGCTGTTATCGTTGGGGAAACAATACATTTCTCACCACTTTCTCTTGCTCGTTGAGGAGAAAGTGGATTCTGACCTCGACTCTGGCTCAAACCATGCCCTTGAACATGTTTCTGGCTAGAAGGGGGAGCGAGAGGAGAAACAGGCGTAGAACTCGATCGGATGAAGCTTCGTTTTGAAACCAAACCTCTCTTCGCCACAGCATGGGCGCTTGCCAGGGAAGCAGATTTCGATGGAGCCGGAAGATCAGGTAACGGAGTTGCTGGAGGAGGACACGGAGGAGGAGAATGTATTGTTGTTGGAGAGAGGAAATTTCTACTGCTGGGCTTCTTCTTTACCCCTCCAGAGGTTGAGGTTGAAAGAGCAATACGAATAGGTGGTTTAGCACGACGTTCTCTTAATCTTCCACCATTCACCACCACTCCCTCCTCCCCGCCTAGTATTGGATTCGAAAACATATGCCTTAACCCTCTCCTACTCCCCCCTTCCCCTCCTTCTTCTTCTGCAGCCTTAACGTTAAAGTTGGAGAAAAGTTGACCTTTAATTCGCATCGCACCATACCTCTGAACGAACCCTTCATCCAGCGCTTCTGCCTTCACCCTCGCTTCTTTCCTTCTCCCATCCTTTTCCTCCACAGCTCGCTTTTCTTGTTCCGAAGGCTCCCTCACCCTCACCCTATCTCTGGACATTCGTTTCGTCGAAAAGTCAAGCGGAAGATGCGGATCAGAAATGGGCGGAGCAAACTGACGAATATGATTCCGCTGTTGAATCTGCTGCTGCAACAATAGTAATGAAGCTAGACTGGTTTCGGAGTTGCTTCGAGAGCAAGGGGAGGTGGTGGAACTGAGGCTGTCCCATCCTCTAAAGTTGGCCGAGGTGGAAAGGTGGAGGGAGGAGGTCATGTCTCGTTCTCGACGCTGCTGGTTGTGGCGATGGTGTGATGGAGGTGGCTGTGAGGTGAAAGAGGGTTGAGAGGGTGGAGTTGGAGCAAGAAGGACTTCCACTGTCTCTACCTCAGTGAGAAGTTGTTTCGGGTTGGAGAGGAATGAGGAACGCATTTTTCCTGTTGCTGGTTTTGTGACTCTCCTCAATACCTGATCTTGCTTCGATTCAGATGGGAGGACTGGAGAGGTGTGGATTGAGGGTGCGCTTCCACTTCTTACCCAACCCCTGTTAGCGTCTTCCTTATCACCCCCGCTACTATTGCTGGAGCTGCTATCGATGATCTCCTTCAGAGAGTTGGACTCTGAAAGCTTAACCTTCCTGCTGTCCAAGTGGGATTGAGAATCAGAAATGGACCTTGTTGTTCTCCTCAACCCTCATTGCTGGTGCTTCGGTGGCAACCCACAACCTTTGTTCGGCTTAAAGTTGGTGGGACTACCACTAATCTGGAACTTCGCAACAGGGTATGTACAACCCTAACAAATTTCCCCTTCAAAAATTACAATCTTGCCCACTGTAAAGCTTGGGAGTGGAGATGTCTGGAACAGACAAACTCCTCTGCTTTTCTACTTGCGCCTCTAAAAGGAGAAAGATGGGGATCGGCTTGCGTTTGAGGGCCTTCTTCTTTGTTATTAGTGGGAGAGGCTCTTCTGGCTGAAATCGAGCTTCGAGGTCCAGTTGTCGTCTGGCTCGGGGTGGAGGAGAGGGATGCAGTCGTCGAGTATAAGGTAGTGATGTTTTTTCGGATGCGCTCCTATTCCTGCTTTTGCTTCGTTTGAGGAGGAATGGTTGGGGAGCACGAGAGCCGTTTTGAAGCTTTGAGTTGGGAGAGCGGTGAGTTGGTGGGTGATTCTGGGAACTGCTCTTTTTGTTCTGGGTGGGATCTGGGCGGCCCGTAGCCAAGCTTTACGCCAATAGTACCCTTTGGGATGTGGGTGGTGAGCTTGGTCCGTGGAAGAAGAGATGGAGGGATGGGTAGCCTGCGAGATGGCCTCCTACCGAGTTTCCCCTGGTGCTGATCAAGGTTTGTGGTGTTGGAAGTGTCTTTTCTTGGTTCGCTGGGGGATAGGGGCGTTACGAGCAGTCGTAGCGACTGATGTGTTGTTGGATGTAAAGTGAAGGAGTGATGAGGGGTGGATGGTCTCTTCTGACGTTGAGAGCAAAATTTCCGTCAGCACCCGAAACAGGCGTAGAAGAGAGTGTGGTGATGGTGGTAGGCAAGACAAGGCAGATAAGAATTGGACGATGGAGCAACAGTTAGTAAATAAGTGCAAAGGTTTGGGCAGATGCAAGCAAAAGAGAGATGGTGTCTTGGTGACTATGGAGGATCGATATTCGGACTGAGACCTCCGAAGTTAATGAGCACGGCTCTCTAGACGAGTTTGTCCTGAGGTGGAGCCTCTAGAGAAATCTACAGTCTGGTAAGATTTGTCATTTGGCGGGAGTACGATCGGCACCAGCACCCATCTTTACCATCCCAAATGTACCGGATCGCTAACTCTGACCTCATCCGCCTCAACTCTTTCTTTGCAGAAGCGGTAATCTTTGAGTACTTACCGGATCAAAGAGCTGCTGATGCAATGACTGTGGGGTATTGTTGAGGAAGAAATGTCTTACCTAGCCCCAGCTGCTCTTCTTGGACCTCGTTAAGCGTCTTCCTACGCCTGCTGTACTGTCTCGAAGTGTTGGCCGCTTCGCTGCGTTGTACCGAAAGCAGCAGGAAGACCCCGAATTAGGGATCAAAGGACCGGCTTTAGTGAAGGAGGAGGGAAAGAAGGAAAGCTTCCGCTTGCGTCTCCAAGAGGGTGCGAAACCAGTTGAAGATAAAATCCCCACTTCGTTGAGGCCACGATGAGGCTCCCTTCGGACAGGTGTGTAGCAACTATAATGCTTATTTTATTCGAGGAGACTAAGGCTACAAACATGTGCATATATATATCTTGACAATGTCTCTGATAACATTGAGCTGAGAACATCGAGCAGCCTTGGATGAGTCGAGTATCTCTCCTGCAGAGCTCCTGAATCATTGCCATGGCAACCTTCATGCATTTCACTCTGTCGGCTTCCCGGATAAACCCTGGGAATTCTGATGTATCATCAACTAAACCTTACCTTCTCGAACGCAGATGCCAGTTTATGTCTCTCAGCAAAGCACAACCAAACTAATATGGCGAAGATGTCACCCTTGCTAGTTTCAACCGCTCACCGGCCATATGTGGCCTCAACAGGCTATTGCGAGTGTGAAAGCGGCAAAACGGAATGAAAAGAGAGAGCAGGGACACAGGACGGGATCCGGAGCATTGGTACGAGCTTCTATACTGTCACTGGGCGCTTAGAAGGCTCTCTGAATTCGAAATGGATAGCTCGCTAGCGGATAAAGCTTTGAGCGGGAGCTAGCTGGAGTATGAAGAAGGGAGCACAAGGGAATGGGAGGGAAGTCTAGAGAAGGGGAGGGAAGAGGCAGAAATGCAGCCTGCATAACTCGACAGATTTCTCCGGCATGTCAACTGCATCATCTTTCGGAAAAATAATTGGACCCCGATCTCAGGGCTCCCGATTTCACCCCACACCCTTCACCACACAGCCGAGCCACAGAAGTGTCCAAAGAGAATGCAAAAGAGTGTTTAGAGAAAGACTATCGATACAGTAAGGGTGCCATGCCCAGTGTGCATGCTCGGCGGACCCCTTCGAGACTTGTGTAAAATAGTGAAAGTTCTAGATGTATTTCGCCCCCGCACCAGGTGTAGTCGGAGCAAGCTTCTGAATAGTAAGCACGACAATTGCCGCTACTTCCTCTTCGCCACCGACATTCATAGAAGCATTCGAAGCATTAGAGCCGTTTCTAGCATGTCCATAGCTCGTTCTCGTGTGAAACTTAGTCGGGCTGGAATTAGGGCTGGGACTAGGTGGCGCTCCCGCACCACCACTACCAATCGGTCTCGCCAAGATTGCAAGCTTCAAATTGAGCGGTGTGGGACCGAACTTAGGTGGAACTGTACCTGACAGCTCCTGCATTCGGTCATCCCATTGCAACCAGTGAAGGAACTCGGGCCAGGTGTTGTAGTACTCAAAGTACCTTTCGTCCTGTAGGACAGGGTGGTAGCTGAGCTTGCGTCCAGATCGTTTGCCGGGGGAACCGGGAGCTCCGCCTACCATGGGTGGGGCAGCGGTTCCGGCAAGCGCAGAGACGCGGATTAGCTCGCCTGGCCGGACTGTTACGTTGTGCGAGCGGATACGTGACCAGGGTGTGGAGCCGCCCATGGGGGGTTCGCCGGAGCGTGTGGACGAGTCGCTGCGGCGGTGAGAGATGGAGGAGGAAGGGTTGTGGGTAGGACAGGCGCGTGAGGGTGTGGTGGTCGATTGAGGGGTTTGGAAGGCGTTGCCTCCACGAGAGGCCGTGGAGGTAGCAGACCAGGGTCGGCTAGCAGCAATTGAGGTGGTACCAGCATCGCCGGAGCCTGCGACTGCTGATGTTCTGTTGCATCGAACAGGTGTGCCGGGGTTGTCGCTGCCTGCGACAGAGGCCATGCGGCTAGGGGCACCAGGAACAACGGGAGTAGCAGGTGCAGGACCTGTCGACTGTCTCACTTCTCACACGGTGGGTTGTCCCTCATCGTCATCGCTGTTCCTGCGGATAGCCTCCACAGCTCGACTTGGCGTATCCGCTGTTGCAGCGGCAGGCTTCATCGATCTTCGTTTACTATCAGTGTATCGAACAGCTGACGCCTCTGCACCGGCAAGGGCAGGCACGTAACTAGCGGCAAAGTTTCTCTTTGTATCCCCCACCGTAGCACGCATGACCTCAGCGACAGAGGGGTCATCTTTAGCATCTTCGAACGGGTCGTCCTCATCTGCTGCGTGAGATGCAGAGCCGCTTGCGTTGGTGTTCATGGAACCGCCTCGTACCGATTGGTGCATGTAGTTCCCCAGATGCTGCGAAAGATTTCGCTGTCCTTGCTGGATGCTCACCTTCTGCGGAGGAGGCATGGTACCGGAAGCCTCGACGCTGACCTTGCGAGCGTAGCCAACAACTGCATCATCAAAGTCGACCGACCCACCAGCTCCCTGGCGGGTGCGGCTATGGTCCAAGCTTGCAGTAGCATTCGAGTGTCGAGGATCCCTCAGTGGGTTCCTTGCTGGTTCACTATCACGCTCAGGAGAGCTTTCGAAGCCAGTAGTGAGGTCGAAGGCGGGTGATGTGCTGATGTGTGCGTTCCTGTGACGCATCGGCGCAGAGATGAGCGTTCGGCGAACGGGAACTTCGAGAGGGGAATCAAGGCTCAAGGTCTCGGTTCGCAGTGCGGCGGCGCTGCGGGTTCGTTCAGGAGTGGTGGGCTCGGCTCCTGTGCTGATGCCTCGTTCCATTGTGTCGTCGTAGAAGAGGTTAGACGCCCAGCTGCTGCGAGCTGCGAGACTCTTGGAGGTAGTCATTTGCGACATGTCACGTCCTCCCAACATGCCTTGAAGCCCGAGACCGATCGAGACTGGGCGAGCGATGTCTGTCTGTGCTTCAAGCATGTCTTTTCCATAATGAATGCCTTGCTCGCTGTTCCCGCACTGGTATGGCTGAGTAGCGGGCCCAGCATTCGCAAGACTGTTGATGGAGCGATTCCATTTCGTGGCCTTCGGCGTCCTGCTGAACAGGTTGAGCACAGAGCTGCGCCTCGGCTTCTCTGCGGCCATCGGAGAAGGGTTGGTGATCGTGAAAGCCGGCTCAGGGGCAAAGGCAGGTGCGTTTCTGGAAGCAATGTCTGCCATCGTTGTGACTACCTGACGCAGGTTGGCGTCCAAAAAGTGATGTCCATGCCCTTCATCTGAGGGTGCCAACGTCATAGCGTCCGAGAAGGGGGATCGATCAGCCGAGTAAGCCGCATCTCCACCGACAGCAGTGTAGGGGTCCAGGTAAGGACTGTGTTCGTCCGCTTCCTTCTTGCCCTTACCCAGCTTCTTATTATCTGGTCCAAGGCTGGCCCATCCGAATCTTGGAGATCGCTCGTCGGCCAGAGTTCGATCGTCATCGCCTGCATGCGACTTTTCGCAGACTAAAAGACAGTCATCTGGATGAGCACCACGGAAGTGAAGGTCTTCTGCGGCACAGTAGCGTCGACAGCAAACCATGAGCAGAATCAGCATGATGAGACCACCTACGCCACCTAAGGACGCTGCAAGCGCAAACTTGGCTTTGCTGCTCAGCCCTCCTGCGCCTGAGCCTGAGGGAGCATCGGCCGAAGCGAGGCCTGCTGTTGGTGATGCAGAGGCTGAAGAGATATTGCTGTGTGGGGAACTGCCACGCCCTGGGGCTGGAAGTGGTGTAGGAGAAGTCGAGGAGGATAAGAGAGCGACCACAAAGCTTCGCGTTGACTGACTGCGGTAACTACCCTGCCCGCTTGATTCTAACGAGAGCTGCACTTGCATACGCTCCGCGCCCTTCTTGGGTGGGTTGCCCGACAGGATCATAGTAGTCGGATCAAACTGAATCCACTCGCTTGCAGAAGGTGGATCGAGAGTGATTGAGGGGAAAGACTGGCCCATTCGAATGTATTGGCCAAGTTCGATCTGAAACATATTGCCAGGCGCCGCCTGCACCTCATGCAATGAAGAAACCGAGAAGGACGAAGGGAAGACGGCCAAGCTGGCTGACGCAGGTACGGGTACAGCGTCTCGATTACTTGCGTTCGTCAAGGTGATTGGCACCGTGAATGGAAGGATCTGATCAGCGGTCAGCTCGAAGGGAGGCGTGCCTAAAAAGGTCCTTGATGATTCGTCAAACGAGAGCCAAGTACCAACGGAGCTTGTATTGGCCGCTACAAGCAGCTGCGAGGTGTTCACGGGCTGACCCCTGGAGTCCAAGATTCTGTCCAACGGCAACAGTGCCTGGAATGGCTGTCCGGCTGTCGCGTTTAAGGTGGGGAATGGAGCAGCCTGAATCAGGGGTGCGCCACTAACGACCATCTGCACTGAGCTGTTGACTCCTGCATAGCCCGCAACATCGCTAGCAGTTACGACCACAGTGTAGAAGCTACCAGCGGTACGAACATCAGTAGGGGCCAGCCCCCAAAGAGTGACCGTCTGGTCCAGGTGCATCCAGTTGGGCAAGGAAGAGCCATCTTCAAGAGCTGCCGAGAGGTATACGCGATGACTGTCCGAGGTGAACGTGTCACCAGGAAAGCCTAGCGAGAAAGACCATCCTAGAGGCAGTCGTTGAGCGCCGGAAGGTAGAATGGATCTCGCTCCAAGTGTTGTGACGTTCGGTAGTTGTTCAGCGAGTGGCTTGTTGACGACTGGCCCAGTACCACCCATGGACACGAGCTGGTACTGTGTGGACGCCGTGCTTCCTGTTTCAGGGTTCTCCGCTGTGAATGTAACATTGTTGTTAATACGTGCTGAATCGGAAGACGGAGGAGGGGGTGTGCCTGAGATTGATCGACTTGAAGGGTCAAAGCTAGCCCATGGAGGCAATCCTGTTGCGTTGTAGCGGAGCGGCGCCGTCAACTCGGAGTCCACGAAAGTGTTAGGAGCGAAAGCCCACGAGTAAGGTTGTCCGAAGCGAGCGATGGTAGGAAGCTGAGTTCCAATGGGACACTGGACGCGTACTGCTGCTTCTGTCAGCGTAGCCAGAAGGACCAGGACAACGAGCCAAGCAGCTGCAGGCCATCGGCCTCGACGCGATTGCATTTTCACAGCTGACACGGAAAGGATACCGGTTTCGCTGGAGCTGAGCAGATCGGTGTTGCAATCAAAGCAGGGGAGGAAGCTGGGGGCTATGTAGTTGTGACTGATGTAAAGTCTGCCGGTGTTCAGTGGGGGTGAAGCGCGAGAGCTTATAGCCGTGATCAGCAGGCTCGGTGTTCCCCCAGAAAGGCAAGAGAGCGAGCAGGATTGATCTTTCGATAGCTGTTAATACATGAAATGGTCGATACGAATGATGAGACGTTGTGTAATGAATGAGGGTGAAATGAGTGTGACGAAGTTGGCCAACGTGGAGTGTCGTCGGGCAGATGCGAACAGTACAAAGGCGATGAAGGGGAAGGGGGACGTGGAGAGGGCACGAAGGGTAGGGATGGTGATGGTAAGCTCGAAGGAGTCGATGAAACAACCAGCTTGTAGTGAACGTGAGATGCTGTCCTTGGGCAACTTCGATCTCGGAAAGGATGACAGGAAGAGGGAAGACAGGCAGAACGACCGATCAGTCTGCTCGGCGCGGTCAGAACAGGTACGAAACCACACGGCTGTGGCCAGTGCCTGGATCGTCTCGTACTCCAGAGGAATGACCAACGCGAATGTCCAGCACATGTTGGCAACCATTCTAGTTCCGCACTGGTGTCCCAAGCTCGAAGAAGTCGTGGCCATGTCGGGATAGGGACTTAGTATCTGCAGCGATTACTCAGGAATGGCGGAAGTCGGTTACAGGAGGATCTACAAGGCAAGGAGTCGGCGTGAGCTTGGAATTAGCTCTGGAAGATCTTCGCGCTTTGCCGCTGCTGATACCTTGTCCTACCAGATGCTACGCGATTAGGTGCTCCGTGCTAAACGCGGGTTCCCTTCCTTTTTTGGCAAGAGACAAAGGACCAGCAACAACGATGGAAGTTCGGCCCACAAGCTGGTGTTCAGCGCCAAGATAGATCGTCGAGACTCGTCACGATGCAGACAGCGGAATGAGCGAGGCGCTACGGCATGCTGAGACGAATCTGTCGAAAGCTTTATGCAGGGTTGGGCATGCAGCAGAGCGTTCAAGGGCCCAGCGCCGGGCGCGTATCAGCAAATCAGGCTTGCAAGTGTCAGAAGCGGTCGATTGTGCCGTTCAAGGTGTGGAGCACGTATGACAATGATGAAGTGGGGAAGAGCAGCGGAAAGCGTTGGTATGCGCGTTCTTTGTCCCTTGCATACGTCGAAGAATGCGCAGCAAGAAAACGCCGTTGCCGCGTGGCACAAAAAAATCCCGAGTGTTAGGGTTGTTTGCTAACAGAGAAAAAAAATTGGCCACGGATCGGGTCGAACGAACGCAAAATGCCGATATTCGGTTGTTCCACATTTGAGGCCGCAGATTGACACGGACCGACCGCTTTTTGCGCTTGCATGTGAGCTTTCCAACCCTTTTTCCTGCACTCTCACCCCCCTTGGAGTTGCACATATCTTCCTCCAGCACCGTCTGGCAAGATTATCATCGTCGCTTGAACTCAAAAGACACAGCACGGAAGGTACTTGTCTCCGTTTCCTTCGATCGACCAGAGTGCAGGATGTCGACGAAGCAGTACAAGCAAGCGGGCGAGGATGTATGGAAGAACCGGACGGAGAAGATTGTAAGTAGCCATGACGCTGACAACTTGGCATCAGATTGGAGCTATGGACAAACAGCGTGCTGACGAAATTTCTCGCGGCTGCGCAATGCATCTACGCTCTCCTGCGCCGACTCGATAGAATGCGGAGCTCTTCACATTGACATATGGAGCACTGGTGATCCAGCTGATCAAGGATTACGAGGACTACACAGAAGTCAACAAGCAGCTCGAAAAGATGTAAGTTCGCTGGTAAGGATCATCCATTTCTCTTGCCCGGCCCATCTGACACTCTCATATATACTCTCGGACTTCCTTCTCACCTACAGGGGATACAACATCGGCACTCGATTGATAGAAGACTTTCTTGCGCGAACCAACCTTTCGAAATGCTCCGACTTCCGCGAGGTAGGCGAAGTTGTCAGCAAAGTCGGGTTCAAGATGTTCCTCAACATCACACCGAATGTGATTCACCATCAGCAAGACGACGGTGCCTCTTCATCAGCAACAGGATCAGCAGCTACGACAGCACAAGGAGCAACCTCAGGGCAGGGATGGGGAGCAACTTGGATCGGAACAAGAGAGTTCAGTTTGATCTTGGACGAAAACCCATTGGCCGAGTTTGTTGAGTTACCTCGAGATGCAAGAGCAGGTGGGTTATGGTTCAGCAACGTACTTGCCGGTGTGCTGCGAGGCGCACTCGAGATGGTCCAGATGCAAACCGAATGCTACTTTGTAGCGGATACGCTCAGAGGAGACGAAACGACAGAGCTGCGCGTCCGACTAATCAAGCATCTCGACGAAGAGGCTCCTATCGCAGACGACTGAGAGCGTCCCTGGGCTCGTCAGATGAAAGCCCACTTCTCACCCACTCGTCATCATTGTCCGCTCCACGCTCGACGCTCGACGCTCGATGCTCCTTTTGCTCGGACGCAATGTTCGACCATGTACTTGTATGAACTCATCGCAACCCAGTATTCCAAGAAATACCCACTTGATGGTGGCTCTCGAGGGCTAGAAGGTCCCAAGTCAGCCCCAGCAACAGCTTCACGCAAGCTTGGCGGCAGCGTCGATCCGCATCTTTAGCAATCGCTGCAATTCAGGCGTAAATGTGAAAGGAGCGGCGCATCATTGCAACTCTGTCTGCAATTCTGCTTTGATGCGTCTCACACCAGATGTCGAGGAGGGCGTGAATTTCGTGCGTCGCTTGCCGTCGCGTTCTTTCAGTACTTGAGTATTCTCTTTGTCGGTAGCTTTCGCACTTTGCACCACAGCACTTTCGTACCTTGATGTCTCGGTGTCTAAATGCACCAAGCCAAGTTTGCAATTGCACCCTACCAACTTGGCATTTCATAACTTCATTTGCAGTGCTGTGTCAAATTGTTGCCTGTGCTTTGTGGCGACCATCATCATGCCTCGTGCCAAGTGCAAGGCGACTACTGTAACCGCAGAAATGGCCAAAGGCTGGATAAGAGAAGTCAACAGGAACCTGCTTCGGGCCATCCAGGGTGAAGCGCTAGGCCAAGAGCAGCACTACAACATGAGTGAAGATGACCAAGACCTCTCAATGCAGCTTCCAAATGACCTTGCCAACCTGCAGGCGCTGGCTTGAACTTTGTTATGATTGCAAGAAAAGCAAAATGAAATGGTACAATGACGAGATTGATCTGGCGCAGTTGCCAACTTGAGTTGGTGCATTTAGACACTGAGACATCAAGGTACGAAAGTGCTGTGGTGCAAAGTGAGAAAGCTACCGACAGAGAAAGTACCAGGGAAAGCGTGTGATAGTCTCACCGTCAGTCGACGCACTTTCTGTAGGTGCTCTGTGTTCCTGACCGGCGACAAGCATGGCAACGTTCCGATGAAGGTCTGCAAGCCTTGAGCGTAGTCAGAGCAGGGATGAGTCATTCAGTGGGCCAAGCCGATGCTGTGGGCCAAGCCGATGCTGTGGGCAAAGTGCAGAAACCGCACCTTCTGCAGGTGTGACCATTCTCACCTTCATCAACTTGCCGAACCTTGCCGCAACTCTTTCACATCAACACAGCGCAAGATCGAAGGCATGACCAGACTACGTAACAACCTCAGCCCTTGCCGCCATCACGCAAAATGGAAGCAAGCGCCTGCTCAAAGCTATTTGAACAATCAAACAATCCAAACCATAAGCAGGTACCGTGGCTTTAGTGTAGTCGAAAAGTCATTCTTCCCTCCACTGCATGCCACGAGCAAGCAAAGCTGATAGAGGTGCATAATCAACTTTGCACGCTGGACGCTTGCTTGAGTCGAGCAATAAAGAGAGAGAGAGCATTTGACTGGAGCGTTGAGTTAAGATCGGTGGGAACAAGCTTAAACCTTGTTCGAAGAACACTTTCTCACGCTTCATTCGACAACTCAGCTTCCTTCTTCGTCCTCGACAACGCTTCTCATTAACTAGCCAAGTATCACATCGGAATATCCGGACTGTGTCTGGGTTGCACATTTGCTCTCCTCTCTCTCTCTCTCTCTCTCTCTCTCTCTCTCTCTCTCTCTTCCTCTCTTCCTCTCTTTCAAAGCGCTAATCGGCCATTCCGAATCGAGCTCAACTTGCAGATGAATCATTAGGTCCCACGCCAAGCTATAATACACTCTCACAGAACTTTAATCCTGACTTGCATCTGTTCACAGCACAAGATCACAGCCATTGTGGCTGCTGATCCTATTCGGCTCAGTCTCAGTCTGATAAGACGCTCCCATGCGGATGCGGAAACGTACGCAAATGTAACTCAGTCCGCTGCACAGGCGGGTTGGTCAGTACTATCTTCCTTTCGACATGTCCTTGCTGCTGGTCCCCTCTTGCGCTGCTTCAGTTCAGAGCACACTACCGCCATCAACTTTTGCACCAGCATCATCGTCGATAGCAATTTCCGCATCGCTCTCTTCACAACCTTCAATTTGCCACAAAATATAAGCGACAAGCGCGATGCCCACCGATGAGGGGCCACAGACTCCACCTCTCTCCTCTAACAATGACAAGGTGATGTCCTCTCCCACAGCCCATTCCGACAAGGGGGATCCTCAAGATGTCTCGAACCCTCAGTCTATCTTGTCTCCACTCACCCTTGGTGAGCTCGGCCTGAATCCTCCAAGCAGTCCTGGTGCCCTACTCGACATTACCACGCCAGTCAGCCTTGACCATGAAGAGCCGAGCGGAATCGTGCAATTGGTCAGTCAACAGCTTCAACATGCTGATAGCGGCGGAAAAGGTAACAGCTCACAAACGGTCATCGCAGCGAACAGAAGATCAGAGCTGGATGCTAAGGCTGACAACTTCTTGAGTGGTCGGCTGTCCTCAGCGCTTGAACCTGCATCAATAGCTTCTCCAGCAGGATTTCAGGATCCATTCCTCACTTCCTTCCTCGAAAGCCTATCCGAGGATCCGTTCAAGACGCAAGACCAGAGCACAAATCATCCTACCGCTGTAACGACAGCCGCTCCCATGAACTGTACGTTCAATAGTACGGATAATCAGTCTGAATCTGCATTCGGCCATACTGCGACATTAATTCGAGCTGATCAGGCTACTGCCGGTACCAGCTCCCCAGACATGACTTCTGCTGTTGCGTGCAAACCCCCGCTTGTAGGCGTGTCTGGTGCTGAGATGCCTCAAATGACCAGTCAAGCTACAGAAAGTGTCCAAAATCAGCCCTTGCCGGCTTCGACGACGGCAAGTGACTACTGCCATCCCTATTGGATCACCTCGCAGCAGCCACCGCCGAGCCTACTGTCATCTCAATCGCTCTCCTTTTCCATAGGGCAGCATAGCACCTCTGCTCCACTTGAGTCTCAAGAAGCTACAACGCGGAATCCATTTCTACCTTTAGTACCCGAAAACTTTCTCGTCACTTCCACGACCTTACAACAGGCTCGACTTGGCAACGTCGCGGATCCTCGCCGAGGTGAGAACGCACAACCTATCTCGGCAGCTCCTGTCAGCCTCAGCGTGGAGACCTCCACGACCTCAAGCACCTTTACAAAGACAAAAGGGCGTCTCGACCTTGCCAACATCGCCGACTACTCGTTACCACCAGCTCCACCTTTGCAGGTCGAGCTTGCTCGAAAAGACTGTCGGTACAGATTAGAGTCCGAAGAGGATGGCAAGAGCTCGAGTCGCAATAGGAACAATGTAGGTTGTGACTCGAAAGACGGTCGAGCTGTGTTCTCAGGGGTCTCATCTGACAGATGGCGAGGCAAACCTAGTGCTGAAAAGCTGCCTGGATCGGTGGCTACGGCATTGTCGCAACTCAGCGGGACTGGAGTGAGAGGAGCGAGCGATACGCTAGGAGTTACTCGCACACCGCTTCAAAAGGTGCCACTGTCCAGTGTTGTCCGTCCACGAAGCTGGTCAAACGCTTCACAAACAGCTGCAAGTCATCCTCAAGCAACAGCGTGGTTCTCTCGTTCCATGGAAGTAATCAAGGAACTCGAATCCGCTCGGCCCGCAACTTGCGCTCAAACGACTCAATTTGAGCAGTCCGAGACAGACAAGTCCTCAGGGTGCTCTACCACCAACTCTTTCCCTGCTCTGACTCCCAGTACTCCCGCCTCGCAAACTTTCACAGCCGTTCAATCGAGTCGCGAAGCATCACATGATTTCACACGGCAAGCACTGCTCGACTTCATAAAGCGCACCAATCTTGGGATGGTAAGTAGCAAAGCAGCGGGACTGGATGCTACCCCGCCCAACCCCAACACGCTAGCCACCTCGCCAAAGATTTCAACAGGACGCGAAGCTTTGGGGAAAGTCAGCTGGGAACATCCCTCAGCTTGGTTTTCGAGAGTTTCGGTAGAGCCACGAGCCGATACGGAGTCCTGGCAGCATCGGCGCAAACGTCAAAAAGTAAGAGGGGATGCCGATGGAGAGACCGGGACAGGAAAAACATCCTCCATGTCGATAAACTGCACTTCATCGGCTGATGTACCCTCCATTGATGTCAAGGATGGGACGTCCGGGCAGCCACCTCGACTGAACAAGCGTAGTGCGACACTGAGCGAGCAAGAACAAAAGTCAAAGAAGCAGGCGCAATATCAACGTCTTCTGCAGCAGCTCCAGGCACAGATGCGCCTAAAAATGCAGATGCAAAAGCAAAAGCAGAGAGAGATGCAAGAACAGATGGAAAGATCAGATGCTTCCGAACAGATGGACAAGAATAAAGATCGGGCTGAAGCGCTTCAATCATCACCTCCATCTAAGACAGCAAGAGCAGGTTGCAGCGAAACGACTGGTAGCAGCGGACAAGGCTCAGCTTCGACAGAAGGCGTGACGCATAACGATGATGACTCGGTTTTCGTCAAGCCGAGCGCAGTGACCAGATCCGGCAAACGTAACGATGACCGTACCAAAGCACACGGATCTCATTCCAGCAGCCACACGAAGCGAAGAGGCTCTAGAGAAGATTCATCGCAGTGGAAGTCTGGCTCAACACCACGTGCAGCGACCTGTAATATTCCTGGGTCTCAGGCGGCAGACTCATCTCCGGCAACGTACTCGGCGTCGGATACAATTTTCAGGGAACCAAGCCCCATCAAAGCAGCGCGTGCGGCCCCACAATGCCCGACGTACGAAAAGAGCTTCTGGCCGGCTACGATGCCTTCCGGCCTGGTCGCCGCTAATCCTGCCTCAATGTGGAAGAGTGGCCAGCATTCCTGGTGCAATAACATTGGTGTCGCCGGGCAAGCCAACTTCGGTTCCGTGCCAAGACCATCTCCAGCTACCTGCCTGCCGAGTTGGCTTGATCCCTCCAGCACGAGCATTGCAACGGATCTGATAACGAAGCATTTAAACTGGCTACGTGCCATGGACACGCCCAGCTTCGTCCCGATCGTCTCTCCACCCATCAACTTCGTACACAACTCGCGGCCGCCTCATATGAGAGACGCCTCCCCCCTCTCTATATCAGCGGCAAGTGGACTCACTGCAGCCAGCACCAATGACTCGCAGTCGAGAAGGACCAGCAATGGCATGCGAATGAACGCAGCGGAGGGACCGCGGATCAAGCGGCCATTCTCCCCAGGAGAAGAAGTGGTATTCTGGGCAGTGAAGGGAGAGCACTCAGTGAGGCTTGTGGGTACAGTCGAAAGTGTGAGTCTAGTTCCTCACCCTGTCTTCAGAACAAGTTCTGAATTTGCAAGATCTTCCTCTGACGCGCTGAGTGCTGTGCCGACATCAACCAAGCTTTCCTCTTACCTTCCTGACATCTGCTGACATTCTTAATCCCCGTTCCTGAAACAGATGACGAGCAGCACAGCCAACATTGCTGTTCCACTGAACCGCAAAAGGAAGCGAGGTACTGAGCAGGAGGTCGCCGGCTCACAGTTTCCGCCTTGCGGAACTGCTCCCCCTGAGCAGCAAGAGCAGCCGAACGAGAGCGTGAGTACCAACCCCTCTTTCTCAACTCCTTTCTCGGTACTGTCTTTTTTTTTTTTTGGGTCGTGAACGAGGATGGCTGACGACGCTTCTGCCTACTCTGTGTTCGGTTTCGATGAAAGAGCAGGAGAGTTACCATAACATTTCATTCGGCAACATTCTTCCGATGGACCATGCCATTGTCCTTGGCTTTGCTTAGAAAGCGGTGGCTGAGGGCCTTAATGCATCGTGCCATTTGTATTCGTCTACTGTATGCGTTGTCTGACAGCCAGAGAGCATCCGAACACTGATAAAAGGAGAGTGACACTTGGCGATGACGAAGATCGGGAGATATCAGTCTGAGGACGGTGTTCAAGCTAAAGAGCAAAACACTATACTATATTGACATCAGAAAAGAATGCGACGGGAGCCTCGAGCTCCCTGCTAGATATATATACAAGTGTGCGGCACCTACCCGAGTGTGGGTGCATCCTATCTAATGACGATGTGCAACAACGAGTGGGACGTCGCTCCCTCTCTCGTATCGGCACTGCCCGATATTTGACCGGATCGACCTTGCCCGATCCCCGATTGGATCTATCTTGCCTGTTCCCAGATTCGATCTGTTCTGCCCGATCATCTTCAGGGTCGTGCTGGATCGTCCTCTTTAGCAAACACTACTTCGTCTGATTGCCCTCGCCTCTCCAACGCTTCTCTGTAAAGGTTTTCCGAAATTTTGTTAGGTCTATATTGTTCACAAATTTTTGTTAAGGATCGCGACGTCGGAACGCGGAACTGGAGGTTGTGAGAGGACGCGCGTATCTCAGCCTTCAGGGCAGCTTTGCGAGAGAGCGCTTTGACTTTCGAGTGATCTAGCTCCACTTCTCTTGCAATTCAACCAACACACGCCAACTCTCATTCCCACCTCCTCCTCTTTCCAACCCGATACATTGCATTATACTCGATCACCGCATCATACTCGCACTTCCATCTTACGATCCACTCGGATCGTCTTCAAGCTCGTATATTACACCAAGTCTGCATCCTCGTTGATTCAGTGAACGTCAAAATGGACGTCAACTCCCTGCACAAACAGCTGGTCGCAGCATTCGGCTCCCCCAAATCCAAACCAGAAGAAGTTCGATCTCTCCTCACCAAACTCAAGATCGCCCTCACCGAACACAACCTCCTGGTCCCATCCGCCGCCGTCTCCTCCACCTCCTCATCCGACCTTCTTCTAGCACGAGAAGTGCTCACGATCGGCGCATTCTACTCCGTCCGAATTGGAGACATTTCCGCCTTCGATCGATACATTTCCCTCCTGACTCCTTTCTACAACGCTTCTCTTCCCGCATCCTCCCACTATGAACCTCTCCTCGGACTTCGATTGCTGCGTCTGTTGAGCTCAAACCAGATCTCCGCATTCCATACACTCATCGAAACGCTGCCTTCCAACCTCGTTAACGAATCAAAATTCCTCCAACACCCTGTTAGTTTGGAGAGATGGTTGATGGAAGGCTCATATTCCAAAGTCTGGCGTTTGAGTCGTGAGACTCCACCTCAGGATGAGTACAGGTTCTTTGTGGATCTCTTGATGGACATGATCAGGAACGAGATTGCTAGTTGCGAAGAGAAGGCGTATGATAGTTTGGCATTGCACGACGCGGCTACGTTGTTGTTCTTTGACAGCTTGGATCAGGTGCTAAGCTTTGCTCAAACCGTAAGTTCGCTCCTCGATGCTCCGAATAGATGTGAGGAAGGATGATTACTGACAAAACAATCTCCTCTTGATTGTGGCGCCATTACAGAGAGGATGGCAAGTGAACCCGACAACACAAGTGGTTTCATTCACTGCAGCAAACGCAAACGCAAACTCTGCTACAGTCATTCCAAAGAAAGCTACCATTGCAAGCAATTTGATCTTTGCTAAAGAGCTCGAGTCTATTGTCTAAGCCCGCTCGCAATCTTACAACTGAATCATTGCAATGCAAGACATGAAACCATGACTGTTGTTTCCGACTGTACAGCTGAACGGCTGTGACCTCCTGCACCGATTTCACACCATGTTGAGTCGCTGTTGCGCTCAAGGTTCCGCTCATGGCTTTCAGCGCGAACAGGCGGCACAGATTGAGCCCAGTGACAAGCTGAGAAAGAACGCAAGAGAAAAGGAGAATCGTGTGTATGTGATTGCAAAAACCTGCACTACTGTAATGCTATCAGAAAGAATGTCCATAACCAAAAGAAATCTCCCAAACCCCCCTCCCCCCACCTCAACCTAACCGAACCTTGGCTGCTGTTGTTGCGCCGCCAGATGATTCCCTGATTGAAGTTGTGGCGATAAACTATCTCTGCTTCTCAACGCATATCCACCACCCGTCTGTCCTGTGGGAGTAGCTGAATCTCTCCCTGATCCACCTGGAGGTTGTGGTGAAAATCCATTAACGTAGTTCCTCGACGATTCGATTTCCCCTGCTCCTAATCCTGCTGCGTATTGTTGCTGTTGATGTTGCGGCGGAGAAGTAGCTAGATTTGGCGATAACGGTCCTTGTCCGTGTGTTTGATGGGGACTAATAGATTGTCGTTCCGACTCAGCCTGTAGCTGTCGAGCTAACGCAGAAGTCTCCACCGGTGTCTGCTGTGGTGTGTTTGCCGGAGCGGCTGCAAATCCAGTCCCGAAGTTAGAGCTGGACGAAGATTGGGATCCCCATGAACCTGGGCCCCCGAAAAACTGCCCTCCTCCTCCTGCGGTTTGATGTGACTGTGCTCCCCATCCATACTGTTGTTGATGATGAGCAGAGGAGGAAGAGGAGAGCATTGCTACATCTGCATCCAACGAACTCCCTCCTCCTTGATAGTGATTTGAATACGACGGTGGATGATGAGAGCGTCGGGAATGAGGTGGTGGTGGTTGAGTGGATGGTCCGGCAACGGCGGATTGTTGTTGACCGAGAGACAATTTAAGTTGATCTCGAATTTCGTTGAGATCGTTTCCTCGATGACCTGCGTGAAAGCCATGTTGCATTGACCCGATCAGGTCTTCCATGTTTAACGCCATCGCGAGAGACTGTGTGAAGCGCTTACGAAAGCTTCGATGGGGCTGAATGCAAGGTACGGATGACGGTGAATGTTGGATGAAAGACAGTTGCACTTGTGGTTCCGTTTCGAGATGCTCTGTTGCAGAGCTTGAATTCAGTGCTGTCGGAGCCAGGCAGCTACTGGAGCATGAGACCCACTTCTGTCCAATGTATTCTCCAAACGCCTGATCCTAATGTTTAATACCGTCGGTAGAAAGAGAGCAACAGCCGTGCCAATAAATCCACCTCCTGCTATTAATACACCTTTGCCTGTCTGAATCCTGCCAATCCGTTAATGTTCGCTGTGCTTGGTGTCTAGATCTGCTAATGACACCTGCAGTAGTCGATCTCCAGAGAGACCAGTGAAGAAGAGTAAGGATGAATAAGATGTGAGCGACAAGGAGTGGAGTGGGGGGTGGAGTGTGGATGGTGATGAAAGGATCCCCCTCCCACAAACTGCGCGTGAATTGTGGCAGTAGCCGGTTGCCTCTGTGCTCTGTGTGTGCTTTGTGTGTGAGTGCGGGCGCGGTTTAATGAGCTGAGGGATGCGAATTAGGATGCGGCGTGTTGCCCGAAACAGCTCACTTTTTTTGACAGGCACAGGGTCAGAGAGAGAAGAAGAAAAAGAAGGAAAAAAAGAAAAAAAAAAAAAAAAAAAAAAAAAGAAAAAAAAAAAGTAGACCACACGTCTCTCTCCGGATGCCGGTAAACTTGTTTAACCTGCCGCTTCTTCCAATTTGGGCTTTTTTTTTTTTTTTTTTTTCTTTTTTTTTTTTTTAACTGCGCCAGCCGAGTTTGTTCGTGTTTGAACTCTAACAAAGCACTGTTTCACCCAGGAAGCTAAAGTGACGAAGGAACAGGCAAAATCGATCTGGAATGCAATCGGAGAAAGCAGATCTGATCGTAGATCAGGCGGAACCGATATTGCAGGGATCGGGGACAACTGGGTCCCGCTCGTTGACACACTTCGACATTAGATGGTATGCTCCCACTTGAGTTCATGTATCGATACTGTACAGTATATAGACATTTAGCGGAGAGCTCAAGGCTACCGCTATGTTCTCTCCTCTCGTCGATATAGTATAGTGTTTAGCTCAATAGCCTGAACACTGTGCTTGAATTGACATCGCCCGATAATCGTAGATAAGAGTCAAATCTTTCAACACTTACGAGGCAGTTCAGCGGGAAAAAGGTAGCGATCAAGTACTATACATTAGAAAGTACAAATACAAATTGTTAGAGATTTGAGATGGGGAGTGGCTAACTATGTGTGGTCCTGGAGCTGATGAAATCGTCGATGAGCATCCAGCATGAAAGGTTTGATGGCTTCCTGGCATTGTTCGCACCGGACCGTGTCGGCTTCCACTTCTTTCTCTGACAGGTCGTCCCCGTCTGCAGAGGATGCATAAGAAGAGGGTGTACGAGACAATGCGAGCGTCGGAAGCGATGGCAATCCAGAGACTGGGTACAGTTCATGATCGTGTTGCATCCAAACTTGCATCTCTTCTCCGCAGACATTGCATGCTAGCCCCTCTGCTGTTGTAGCTTTGGCGTTGCCTTTGCCATTTGTTTCAGCTTGCTCCACGAAGCCGCCCTTTGGAGGAACATCAGATACTATATCGATCCCGTACTCTCTAGCAATCTCCTCCCTCAACTCAGGAGGAAGACTCGCAAGAAAGCTTTCATCAATCTCTTCCTTCTCTTCCCCCTGATCGACCTTGGTCACCTTCTCCTTCCCAGTAAAGAAGCTACCCAACGCCCTCTGCGGCCGCTTCTCACTCAACTCCAGCGCAGCGATATTGATCAGATTCATCCCATCCCCCACCACATCATCACCACCGATCAGCGCCCTCAACAGACCCCTACACGTCTTTGCAATCGCAGCAGCCCTAACCTCCCGGCTCTGCTGCAGATCAAAGATCTCAACCGGCATCTTTGTCTGCTTTGACACCCTGTTACTCCATCCCTGCCGAACGCTAAGCCTGAGCTTTAGCGGATATCGCAACCAGCTTTCCCCTTTCTGCGACCCAGCCGGTGCTGGATCCTCCTTGTAATCGCGGATGGTCACATGCTCGTTCTTAATAACCTTTTCCTGACTGAGCGGCACCGCCTGTTCCTTCATTAGAGCAAGCTGTGTCGTCAGCTCCAACTCCAGCCTCCTTAGCAGCGAAAGCGACAATCTACAGATCTCATTATGTATAGCCTGACCCCGCAAGCTCGGATACGGATACGTATCCTCAATCGAAAGCTGTAACGGAAAGTCCGGTGCAGGAATCACCAGCTCAATATCGCGTCCACAAGCCAGCGCCCACAGCTTCGGACCTATCAGCTCCCCGAACAGCCCTACCATATCTTCCAGCGAAAGCATCTTTCGCGCTTGCCCGACGGTGATGCGGACCTTCTTGCTCTCGCTTTCTTCATCAGAGATGCTGGCTGGGTCCATGAAGTTCGACAGCACTTTTTGTTTAGAGGATAGTTCAGGTTGCGGATGGAGATGGTCACGGATTTTGTCGACGACTACACGACCGAAACCGGCGAGTTTGCGGAGGTCGAGTGGGTCCAGGAAGGTGTTGATGTGATGGAGGAGGCGGTTTTCTTCTGTTTTTGGTCCGTTTGGGATGCTAAGGATAGGGGAGGCGATGGGTGGGGCAAAGGTGGTTTGTTGATTGGGCTTGTTCAGTGCACCAACGAGCTTGGCTAAGGATTTGGTCGGAGCGATGCCGGCTGAGCATGTCAGACCAACCTCGTTTGAGATTCTTTGCCGAATGTAAGATGCGAGTTGTGCAGCTGCGAGCATTCGTTCTTGCCATGCGTCGGGCTTGTTCTTTGCTAGCCAGCCTGCGGCTTCGTTGGGATGAACATGGCCCGGAGCATCTTTAGGCCAGGCTTCATACCGGAAGCCATATGAGCTATCCTTTTCACCGTCACCGGGAGCATTGAGGTCGAACCACTTTCCACCTTCCCTTCCTGGCTGAAGTGAGCTAAGGTGAGAATCCACCATCTCGGTCACATCACAATACAGTTCGTCCATGCCCAGCTTCTCTACCTTTTTCCCCCACACTATCGATCTTACTTGCTTCCACACCTGCACCGAGACCTGTCTAAAGTATGTCAAATCCTCCCCATTGACCAGAATCATATCAGGACGCTTCTTCATCGCCTCTTTGATGCTATCCAACTTATTTACACCTGCTTCGCGAGCTTCGTAGCTGATGGTAGCTACGAGCGCTTTCTGCTGAATGCCAATGGGTATGCCGATGAGAGATGGGTCACGTTTGCGACAGGCTGAGACATAGAATGCGTCGAGATCGAGTGCGATGATCACTCGAGAGGCGAAGTCGGGGACGGTAAAAGTGTCCGAGTTAAGGTGGGAAGAGGTGCGTGGTCGTTTGGCACCATTCTTAGTGAGACGCTTCGAAGGTGAAGTCGAGGGACTACGCCCTGTCATGGTACCCTGTCGCTCCAATGTGCCATGATCAGCTCATAGGTCACGATAGAGGAGGAACAGTGTCGAATGAATCGTTGAGCGAATGTGTTTGGGGGTGGAAATGAGTGTCGCTGAGAAGGTCTCAAGAACTCAGCCATGAGCGTGCAGCGTCTGTACTCAATTCCTCCACTTTCGGAACGCGGGCCGAAACGCACGACGGTCTCTCACAAAAAAACACAATCCCAGCCTGACTCACACGGCCGTAAGATGAGGTCGGTCGGTTGATGCAGAAGACAATATGGAGGTCCTGTTAGATTGCGGGTCAGCGAGGTGGCTCGCTGGCTCAAAGGCTCCCAGCCCGCCGTAAGGGGGCCGATCGAGCGCAGAGAAGAGCGGGTCGTACAGGCGGAACGTAAGGGAGGAAATTGGGTGGGAAAAGAAAGATTAGCAAGGTCGATGTTGAGCGACACTTGCAAGGAGAGGAGATGGTGGTAGGAGGGAGAGATGAGTGCGTACTGTACAAAACAGAGCTTATATATATACCGACTGAGCGGGTTGCGACAGTGCGGAGCAAGACAAAGCTTCTAAACCGACTGAGCAGGTTGCGACACGTGTGGTCCAGCTCAGATGCGCACGCCAAGTCACGTACAGCATCTGTTCAGCCTCGCCCGCGCCTGTGTTGAGGCCCTTTTCCAGCAAGCAGAAAGCCAGCATAGAACAGTCTCAAAAGTAGCAAAGCTTGTGAGTGCTGCTGCTGTAGAAGCAGAACGTTGCAGGGTCATCCATCTTTGAGGCAAAAGTACGTAATTTATCAAAGCAGAAAAGATGTGTATACAAAATGGGAAGCAAATGCGTTTACGAAACGTACTTGTACGCAAGGTAGGCACCGAGGATCATGAGAGGAATGAACATGAAGACAGGGCTGTCAAAGGCAAGAAGAAGGTGAGAAGAGGTCGAGCGTCAGACACGGCTCCTGTCGAACATTTGTTTCGCTCCGCTTTTGTACCTAATCAAGCTGCAAGGTGATGCGTCACATGACGGATTGCGGCATTGCGGTAAGCGTGGTTGAGCTGGAATGGATACGTACTGGCTGTTGACGTTAGTGTTGTTCTCGTTGGTAACGGCACCGCTGGTGGTCTTGATCTTTTGAGTCTGTGAGGGGGGGGGGGGGGGGGAAAGAGAAAGTGGGGTTGCTTGTCAGCTCCCGGCTCTGATCGATGTGGTGGTAAGGCAGCATCTTCCGCCCCAACTGCATGATGCCGGCTTGCGACGGTCCCGCGACGAGGGCGGTGTACCTCGCGCAATCTGGAGCTTCCGGAACAGCTGAATTGTATGAATCTTGCTGGTCGTTAATGTCATGGTACTTACGCCACCCTCGATTTCACCAACAAGCATGGGACCAAGGAGCGCACGGGCATCCTCGGAGTGTCCAACATCCTCGAAAGCCTCGGTAGCGTCCTTGCCGGCCTCTGTGACAAGAACCTCGTCACCACCCGGGTGCTGTTTGGGTCGAGTCGAAAATTAGGATGCAGGAACAAAGCGGCAAAGCATCGTTTTGCGTATGCGAGCATTCGGAAGTGGTCGAAGAGAGGTTGAGAATGCGTTGATGAGCCCGAGTCAAGTGCGTGTATAGATGTGCGGGAAGAGCGATGCGAGACAGAAGAGCAAAGGAAGTCAGCGATTGTTCCACAACGCCAAGCTGGAGGACTGAACGATCTGATCGACCAGCCAGCACCGCTTACAGCGGTCACGCTTTGGCCACTGCTGTGCGGACCATCTGTCTGCTTGGCAGAAACGTACCTCGTCGAGGAACTTGCTGACGTTGTAGACTGTTGAGGTATAAGCGGGTCGTGAAGGGGGGAGGGGGGCCAAAGAAGGGGTGTCAGTCAACTTTGCGAATCCAAGTTTCACCGGCTCGAAGCTGAACGATGCTTTTGCTATCAAGTGAGCATCGTCGCCGCCGCCACCGCCGCACCAATAGCGAACCTACCCTTGCCGTCGATGAGGAGCCAGAGATCTTCGTGGGAGTTGTGCTGCTTGAGCTCCTCCATGGAGATCTTCTTCTCGTTAGAGTCGGAGATGGACTTGGAATCGGCCTCGGACATTTTGACGAATAGGTATTGTTTGGAGAAGTGGTAGGAGACTTCTTCTGAGATGAAGGTGGTTGTGCGGAGAAAAGTGAGATAGTGACGACGTTTGGAAGGTTTGCAATTGAAAATGTGAGAGCCGCATGGCGCATGTCGCTCGGCTTCCGCTGACACCAAAGTATAGCATCACCTGCACAAACTCACACCATAACCACAAAGAGCGTAGCATCCGCCCTCGTTACACACACTCTTTCTCTCTCTTTCTTGGCTACGGCCCACGCTACAATTTTCCGAATATGGCTACTGTAAACGCGCGTGAGCGAGTCGCAACCTGGAAAGCTTTCAGTCGGCGAGTCCAACAAGGAAGAGACAGAAAAGAGAAAAGTGCGTGAAACTGTGCTGCCTTCTTTTCCGAAGCTATGGAAATTTGGGCCGTGAAATCCATTCTTGCCTTGTTCGCTTCCACAGAGTAGCGTGGAGTTGCGTTCACGGCTTCCTCACAAGCTGCTCGGCTTCCAGACATGGCCGATTACAAATGGGCACCTTTCCGCTTGTTCGCTGTCTCAAATTTGGCTGGCTAGGACTTAGCCCTTCCTGTCTCCACGTAGCCACACTACACTCTACTCTGAAAATCAAACGTCACGATCGGCCAACTCCATTCCACTCTACCTTCACCGAAGCAGTTCGGCCCCAGCTTCTGAATTCTGGCTTCATGTTGTATCTGAAGTGACCGTGGCAATCGCAAGACACCACCAATTTTGAAAAAGGAATTGTGGTCTCAATAATAAAGACGACTAGCGATAAATAAAAAACATAAAACATAAAAAGTATCGAGACCTGAGCGACCCCTGGCGGGCTCGAACCGCCGACCTCAGCATTAACAGTGCTACGCTCTAACCAACTGAGCTAAGGGGCCCTCGTTGTCTACCTGGGTTTATGTAGCCTATATAATAGTGAAAAACATTGAGACAGAGGAACTCGAAAATGAAAGATGTGATTGTGGAGAGAGAACAACGACGCAGGGTCCCTCTCGGCTCGTCCGGGAGGATACACCCGCCATCGTCATTTGGCCACCCGTGGCAAGAAGAAATCTCTTCTGTTTGCGGATTCTCTTGCTAATGTGTTGGGATGATAGAATCTAACAGCGCAACACCAACCAACACTGATAGAACCTTTCTTGGAAATGAAGTTTGTCTGTTGCTTAGTTCTCATCACACACCGTTGACCATCGCACCAATGTCTGACGCCTGTCCTTCGCACAACCCATAGCGGACAGGGCTGCGATCACCGGCCAACACCGAACAGCGACGGTGTCAAGGACCCATCCACGATTCAACGGGCATACATCCTTCTCACACGGGCTCGGCCTTAAGGCGCTCCCAGAAACGTTGAACGGTGGATTGGCTCGGTCGATCGTGCCATCGACGACTGTCAAGCACAAGTTGACCAACCTCATGGCCGAGCCCGATCAAGATGGGATTGATCAATCTGGTGCTCAAGTCGTTCATCCTCGTCCTCGACTTACGTGACACCTACGACGCCCTTGACGCGGTTAAGCTTAAAGAGATCGGATGCAATCAGCGACAAGTACTCGTTCGTAATGCTCAAGATGGCACCAAGCATATCACTACACAGCGCCGTGTCGGCACATCTAAGCGCAAAGCGGCTGTCAAATCGGCACTCACTACAGTTCTAGTCTGGAACCTCTTCCACAAAGTCGAGCCCGTGTGCGACCGAACCATCGCCTGGTTTGTGCCATTCTACGACTCGTTCAAGACGCTCTTTCTCGTATGGATGCTCTCCACTCGCAGCTACGGTGCAGCGATCCTTCTGCATCGCTTCCTGGCTCCCATAATCCGGCCATACGAGTCCATCATCGAGGGCACATTCGATGTCACGTTGGCGCTCGTTGGCTGGCTTGCCATCCTTTTGGCTCCAGTGCTGGACAAATTTGCACCATTATGGCAAGTGGCTTCATCCTTCGCTCGCATCGCTTCGCACTCGGCATCAGCACACGCAGAATCAACATCGCCTCCATCACGTTTTCAGCCCACATCAAAAGTATCGACAGCAGAAAAGGCGATGAAAAAGCCTCGACCACCGCCGGATGCTTCATCAGGGTCTATCAAGGCTCCTCCAGCCTCTGTACCTTTCATGGCAAGAGCTGTTGCCGAACCTCAGCCTCGCCTTGTCCCGACGAAATCACGGCAGGCGCTTGCCAAGAAAGCTTCACAGAGCAACTTGGCTGCGACACGGCGGGTGCTGCAGGAATTGCCGGTACCTCGGCACGCGTTTGAACCAGTTGCAAGCTCTTCTACGAACGCACCAAAATCAACTTCAACGACACAGAGCACAGCTGCCCCGCCCGCTACAGCCCCCATCGTATCGGTTAGTCGCAATGGGACACCCGTGATCAAAGCAAAGCCATCGGACCCCACACTGGGACCGCGAAGTATCGCACCGTCCGGCCCTGCTGTCAGTGTTCCACTTACTCCGACCACGGCTGCCAGTTTGGGGCCGCCTCCAACACCGCCAACAGGTCTTCGAAACTATGCATTCATTCCAGGAATGACACCACAGCGAGCTGGTCGGTCTTCAGTGATCTCTCCAACACCACGTTTTCCCGGCGGTTTCTCATTCTCTTTCGCGGCACCTCAAGCGTCCACCTCTAGCAACACAAACCCGTTCCAGTCTCAAGCAAGGGTGCCAGCTACGACACAGATGGCGCCTCTGTCGCTATCATCTCAGACGCAGGCGTTGGCCGGACCGTCGAGTACGCTCGGAGGCAACAACATCGATGCCAACAGCATGACGACGTACGAGAGTGTGCCCGCAGCACAGTACGACCGCATAGTCCCTCCACCGAACGGAACAGCGAGAATGCGGAAAGCATCGTCTCTGCGGTCTCTCAAGAGTGCTGCCGCGTCGGACGCAAAACGCGCAGCATCGAAGACGTTGACTGCCTCTACCAGCAAGAAGCGCAGTCGACCCGATGAGGCCACTGAAGGGAGCGTCAGTGTAGAAGGTCAACCCGCCGCAGCCACCACATCACCGCGAAAGCGTCCCAAAGCTGCACCGAGCAAGACCTCATCCAGCAAAACAACAGCTTCAGCCTCAGCAAAAACACGACCGACGGCAAAGGTAGGAAGCGTCAATGCACAGGCTGCTACCAGCGCAGCTAAACGTGCTGCGACGCGAAAGAAAGCCACAGCGAACGGTGGACAGCGCACTGCCAAGAAATTTGCACCTTCTCAGGCCACCGCTGAAACCACAGAAGAGAGCATGTCACTTTCGAATAGCGGTGACAAGGAAAAGCGAAAAGCTGCAAGCTCTCCGCGTAAGAAAGCAACGTCGACCTTTGGCGAGACAGGTGCGGCATCGAGAAAGCCAAGCGCTCAGCGAACAGCAACCAAGAAGAGCTCCTTAGCGAGCGCTTCCCGTAGCACATCCGTCGAGGCTTCCGAAGCATCAGAGCCTCCGCAAAGATTGACCCGTAGCCGCACCAAACAAAACCTCGCCGGCTGATGTTCTGTTCTCACAACCATACCGTTCTGCTCTCACTTTGTAACATCAATTATTGGTTCTCACCTCATCTTCCATACCTTTTTACCACTGTGGCCAGCATATCGAAACATGATCACAGCTATGAGCACATGGCCTTTTCATCCGAGCTGAACGAGAAGCTGCGTCTTCGCGAGCGTGCTTTACCGGCCGTGAATTTTCCTACCTCAACCTCCATGCGGGTCTGCAACAGGAAAAGCAAAAGCAAAAAAAAAGCAAACAAAAAAGTCAAAAAATTCCTCCTGACCAGAAGCGAGAAAAAAAAAAAAAGAAAAAAAGAAAAAAAGGAAAAAAAAAATTCTTAAAAGAGGACGTACGGTCAACTTTTTGTTCGAGGTTTGTTTCTGCGAGACCCTTCTCGTCTTCCTTTTACCTCTTCTCACCTCAACTTGTACGACATCGGAAGCTTCCTTGCCAGCATTGGAAGGATTTTGCTGCCTCTGTGAATCGTCGGAGCTGGTTTCTGATGCTTCTCTCACCAACATGAACCGCTCCATCACCGGCGCCTGGGCCAACCAGCGGAACAAGATCTCTCTCAACAGTCCACTTCCACCGTCCGTAGGCTCTTCATTATCCTCGGCTGCATCCAGTATACCCGTTCCACCTCCGCCAGGATCAGCAGCCGCAGCCGCTCTCGCAAGGCAGCAAGCAGCGCAATCACAACAGGATGGCGAATCGTTGCCATGTGCGGCTGCTGAACAGAGTGATGCTAATGCAGCAGCCTCGCCAGTAGCAAGCGGATCTGCGCCAAGGACACGGCAGAGCTCGCCAACTCCCGCTGTCCTTGCATCCACCTCTTCGCCCATCAAGCGAAAGTCCCGTTCTTCTCGCGTCGACGGCAGCGTTGCCGCCTCTGGATCCTCCTCCTCAAAACGACCAAAAGGTCTCATCTCCAAGCTCATGAACACCGCCGAGAAATATACCCCTCCAGCAACTCGTCTGGCTGATCTTGGCGGCATTTCTAACGCCATCGAGAAGATTCTTGAGCTTATCGCTATGCCTCTCTGCCATCCAGAGATCTACGCACACACTGGTGTCAAACCACCACGCGGTGTGCTCTTGCACGGTCCACCAGGATGCGGTAAGACCATGCTCGCCGGCGCTGTAGCTGGCGAGCTTGGCGTGCCCTTCCTTTCCATCTCGGCTCCCTCCGTCGTTTCCGGCACCTCAGGAGAGTCAGAGAAGACAATCCGAGATACTTTCGACGAAGCGGCCTCCATTGCTCCTTGCATTCTTTTCATCGACGAAATCGACGCCATCACTCCAAAGCGAGAGACAGCTCAGCGAGAGATGGAGAGGAGGATCGTTGCACAACTTCTCACATCACTTGACGATCTGAGTTGGGAGAAGACCGACGGCAAACCAGTCATGATCATTGGAGCGACAAATCGACCCGACAGTCTCGATTCAGCATTACGTAGAGCTGGACGTTTCGACCACGAAATCGTAATGGGTGTGCCAGACGAAGACGGACGCGAACAGTAAGTACTAGCTATCCGACACCATAGCATGTCTGTTGTAGTCAAGGTTGTGATTCACATGATGCAGAACATACACAGCGCTAGTGGCAATGGGCCACTCTGTGCATCTTGGCCTTCGGGCCTCCCATTCAAGTCCCTGATTCCACAATCTTGATTGCAGCAGCAGTGACTTGTCTCGACTTCCAAGCGTATCTCCACGCTCGCTCATTCCAGAGAGAGTATTGACCAGTTACTTGTCGTTTCACTATGTTGCTGATCAATAGAATTTTGCGAGTCCTTGCTCAAAAGCTTCGACTTTCCGGTGACTTCGACTTCCGCGCCTTGGCCAAAGCAACACCTGGCTACGTCGGTGCCGATTTGACCGCGCTCACTTCAGCAGCTGGTATCGTTGCAGTCAAACGCATCTTCCAGCAGCTGAGCGAGATGGATTCCCTATCCTCGGACTTTTCAGCGGAGCGCATCTCACAGGCTATTGGCCTGCACGCTAGTGAGAATCAGTCAGGGAACAAACAAGAAGATTCGACGTCTGCAGACGTCGAGATGGGTGATTCTGACACAACAGCGGTAGCTGCAACAGAGCAAGCTGGCGAACCGACGCCTGTAGTTCCTCCTGCAGTATCGGCGGTGGCAGCAACAGAAGCGAACGCAGATTCGCCTGCAGCATCCTCAGGAGCAGTCACATCGACTGCAGGTGCAGAAGACGGCAGGCAAACTCCAGTCGCTGCTCCTACCGTGGCGCAGTCCAACGTTCGCCCATCTGAAACATTCTTCGACGCCCTTCCCAAGCACATTCGCGATTCGTCCATCGCCTCTTTCTTGAAGAATCACCCTTCGCCGCTCACCGATGCGCAGCTTGCACCTCTTTCCATCACCAACGCAGATTTCCTCGTTGCGCTTCCGTCGGTTCAGCCCTCCTCTAAGCGAGAAGGGTTCGCTACCGTCCCTGACGTCTCATGGGCGGATGTTGGTGCCCTTCACTCGACTCGAGACGAGCTTTCCATGGCGATTGTCGAGCCCATCAAGCGTCCCGAGCTCTTCCGCTCCGTCGGTGTCTCTGCTTCCTCGGGTGTTCTTCTTTGGGGTCCACCTGGTTGTGGTAAGACCCTGCTCGCCAAAGCGGTCGCAAACGAGTCTCGTGCCAACTTCATCTCAGTCAAAGGCCCCGAGCTGCTCAACAAGTACGTTGGTGAATCTGAAAAGGCTGTACGTCAAGTCTTTGCCCGTGCACGCACATCCTCGCCATGCGTTATCTTCTTCGACGAGCTCGACGCACTGGTTCCCCGCAGAGACGACTCGCTATCCGAAAGCTCGAGCAGAGTCGTCAACACTCTGCTTACCGAATTGGACGGCTTGGAAACCAGAGTGCAGACCTACGTCATTGCAGCTACCAACAGACCAGACATGATCGATCCTGCCATGTGTCGTCCCGGTCGTCTCGATAAGCTTCTTTACGTCGACTTGCCAAAACCCGATGAACGACTTGAGATTCTCAAAACTATCACCTCCAAAACTCCTCTCAGCGACGAAGTGGACCTCCAGTCGATCGCTTACGACGCCAAACTCGAAGGTTTCTCCGGTGCAGATCTTGCTGCACTTGTTCGCGAAGCTGCTGTCTTGGCATTGCGAGAGAGGATTCTCTTCCACAACTCCCAGCCTGCTACTACGGCAGTCCCAGTGAAGAGGGAAAAGAAGAAAGGGGCAGAAGAGGAGGGGGTGAAGGTGACAGTGATGCATCTGCATTTTGTGGCGGCATTGTCGAAGATTCAGCCTTCCGTGTCGGCTCAGCAGCGACGCAAATACTCGTCGCTCCGACAGAAGCTGCAGGGTTCCGTACCTATCGACGGCGGTTCTGCGACGAATAAGCGCGAAGGTAGATTCGAAGGTGATGGTGACGACACCCCTACTCCTGCCACATAGGGGCAGAGACTATTTGCACTTGTATCTCACGCTAATAGATCACACATCACAGCATTGACGAACAGTGCGGGAGAAGTGACATTCACGTGAGAGGATCATTCAAGACATGAAATAGATGAGGCATGGTAGGAGGCTTCAAAGCCGTAGCGTTGAGCACGACTGCCTGGATCAACAGCTCAAAGCTTAATGGGATCATCTTGGTGAGGGCACCAAGTTTCCTCCAACTGCTTACTCCACTTGGGCAAGTGGTAGATGAGGACCCTAGAGCAGCCAATGTCCCTCTGGTCGGCATGTTTAGCCTCCTCCACATGAATCTCCAGCTCCTCATTTAGCGTCACGATCTGACCAGCATACAGAACCATGTTGGTTTCCGAACCGTCGATGTAGCCCTGCAGAGTTTCAGGGTTGGGAGCTGAGAGTTTGTTTTTGAGAATAAGTTCGGTGTCAAAGCAAGCTCGAGGGCGGTGGTCGTGGCTAGGTTTGAGAGGGTAACGATCGCAGAGTGTGTGGTACTTGACAGGGTCGCACTTAAGACCCCATAGACCAGTGGGGTTGTGGGGCTGACCGAGACCGTAACCTGGCTGGGAAGGTGCGGGAGAGGCAAGGACGCCACTGCCGGCTAGGGCTAGAGCAATGAGGATGGTGGAGAAGGTGGTCTTCATGGTGTTTCAGTGTAGCGCCGATAGGAGAGAAGTTGGGTTGAGAGATGTGGAAGGAGAGAGAGATGGTGTACGGTGTTGTGTTTATATACCTTCGAGGTTGGTGAGAGGCTGTTGTTGGAGAGCACGTAGCTACGCAGACAAAGACAGAGACCCGTATCATCACCACGCCACTCACACTGTCCGCCTGCTTCACGCTTGTACAAATCGCCATCCGTCGCTGGTCCTCCGAGGCAAACTCCGACCTCCACCATGGCCCGCTCCGAAGCTGACATCATGTCTCCACTCGCCATTAATGATGCTGAACGCACAGACGAGGTCATGTCCAATATGCAATTTCGGAGATTTGACCGCCCGCCGACATGCTTTTGGTGGTCCAAGCAACGCTGGGTCCGGCTCCCCACATCAAACGCGTGTCGACCACCCGTTGCGTTCTCGAACCTTCAGTGTAGCTTCAGCCATGCTTCATATGTGACGGACCCACAGTTACGGAGCTCCAACGCTGTGCTGTGCTTCTTGGCGGAATAGAGCTTGGCCCCGACAAAGCCAATTCTCCATCTGTTGTGCAATAATTTGCTGATTTCAATCGAAGTCACCGCCCACTGCATACATCACATTCAAGCTTTGTGACGCTCGAGTAGCTCACGCCTCTCAAGCTGAAGCATGTTGGCAGATGTCACATGAGGCACAGCCCCTTAGGTGGGTCTTACACTTCAAATGGATAAGGGACAAGCTTGAGTTCGCTCGGAGATGGATGTGCCGTTGAGTGACAAGCTTGGCGAAGTCACGAGAAGCTTCGAAGATAAAACCCCATCAACGAGAACCCCTGCGGGCCACCTCACAGATTGAACCGCCTTAGGGAAGCAGAGGAAGCACAATAGCCCTATTCTTCCTAGGATCCCAGACTTGATCCACCACTGGTCTGTCAGCTGAGCCGTTCAGCCTCCAGATCTTGACCTGTGAGCAAGCTGTTCCAGCGTGACTGTCTTTCGTAGCAGCCGCCTGAATGCCGAACCCATCAATCTTCACCGTTGCGGGGGCGAATAGTGCCCTACTTGGCACAATCAAAATAGGCTCACAGTCAGCCGAGATGTTTCCGTTGAAAGCTCCACAAAATTTGAGTACATACCTGCGTTATTGTAGCATCATCGATGTATCCAGAAACAATGCCGTTGCGCATTTTGAGATCCGTGATAATATTGGATTTGGCTACACAGCAGGCGACAGGCTTTGTGTTTGAGATGCTGGGATCGGCATCGCAGACCGCTCGAGCGTGTAGACCGTCGACGTGCAGGCCATAGGGCGGGTCGAAGGGAGCGGCAGGTATGACGAAGGCTGCCGTGCTGGTCAGGTGATGATGGAGGCAATCATCTCGCTTGTGCTTCAAAGTCGAACTGGGATTCGAAGGTTTGTGGTAGAGGGAACGGAAGTGTGAAGCCCGGGGGAAGACTTATTGACTCTATTGACCAGGCAAGGGGAACAAGAACGATTCGTGGTTAGGCCACTGGACTGTTCTTGGTAGATGAGAAGCCTCTCTGCCAACTGACAGCGTCTTAATCCACTGAACTACCACTCCCTGGAGTATGGACATACCATAAGGCCCATCCTCAGGGAGAAAGTCTTGCAGGGTAGTTTGACGGGGCTTAAGCATTCGCCAAGAACCACCAATGTGCTGAAGACGGCAGCGACAGCAAGTGACGACTCACCTTCTCGAGCCTTTGCTCTCACCTCACTCATTTTCGCACAAGTGAATCTGCTACTTGCTCTTATCGAGATTAATAAGGAGAGCACTGACAACAAGAGGCACGTCGAGTGGTGAAGAAGAGAGTTGGGGCCAGCGACTGGTTCACGCTCTCCCAGGCAAAATTCAACGGCTGCGATACGGGATGCTGACTTAAAGCTAAGTTAGTTGTACCAACAGTCGCGGGCCAGCCCATGCCTTGAACTTTGTCACAGGGTTTGATGGCTCAGCCTCACATTCAGCTGCTTCACACCGACTTGCGGTTCAAAGCAGACAGCAAAGACCCGGACGGTTGGTTCAACGGCCTCATAAATATTTAACGAACGGGTGTTCTAAGAAGATAAGTGTACGGGGTTCACGAATACAAAACATACTCGAGCCTGTCATGAGCACCGGAAGCATTTGGCATCTGTTTGTGACGCTCAGAAGTACTCGACCGGAATATCAAGACCGGGGCAATATCTTCGGTCGAGTCCTTTTACACCGTCAGGATAGGAATACGTCTGGATCTGTGCACAATTCGTCTTAACCTTCGTACGTCGATCAGGTTCTTCATTTGTGACCAGGATCAGAGTGCGCTTGTTGAAGATGATACCCGCATTCGCAAGCAGCCCAAATTCTATACAAGCCACAGTAAGAGAGAGCATTAGGTCAGAAAACCACCTCCGTCTTCATCTTCTGTGCAGTGAGACCGAAAAGACTTACTTCTGCCGCTTGAATCGACGAACCCGTCTACGATCTCACCCTCGGGGATTTTGATGACTGAGAGGGCCTCGTGCGAATCTTTGAAACAGGCGCGAGCTCGAAGATCGCTACCGGAGCTTTCGCAAAGCTCTCTGTATTTCTTGTCGTCTCGAACGATAGCAGCCCGGACTGGGACGGAGGCGACAGCGAGGAGCGCGAAAGTGAGGATGATCGATGTCTTCATCATGTTGGTAAAGTTCTTGGCAGATAGTAGTTCAAGAAGAAACCACAGGAACACGTCAACCACTTTTATAGGGCTATAAAGACACCACAGAGAATTGGTAAAAGCCACTGAGACACTTCAGAGAGCGTTCTGGTGCTTTGAAGATGGAAACACCATAAAGGAATGATTCGCCAAGAAGGGGTTCGAGATGGGTCTTCTTCCTTCACAGCGCCTTACCTCCCACTTCCCGTTCACGTCGGCCTTGAACGAGAGGTGAAGTTTTGGTGCCATCTCTACAAGCCCACTTAAAGGCTTCATAAACCCACAAAAGGCTGAAGTTCGCTTGCTTGACAACTTCCAATGTTGCGTTGCTTGGAGGCGCCACCGGCACACTTCATTCGGCAGCTTTTGTCCTTGAGCGGTGGGTTCAGACGACACACTTGCACTGCCACCGATGATATTTAGAGCTTGAGCTTTCTCTCACTCTTCCACCGATAGCATACAGTACTTCCCACAACCGTTGACCATGCATGCTCCTTTGATATTGACTTCGCTGCTCAACTTGCTCGTCTTGACGCCCTTGGCGATGTCGGCAAATTCGGCACCTGCCCTATTTGACAGCTCGCCAAAAGGTCAAGGCGAATGGAAGCGCTTTTGCTCTCCCTCGTCTGCTACATCAGCGACCGAGTTGCCTCCATTCGCATGCTTCACCATCTACGACGACATCACGACCTCTGCCCACTCAGGGACGAATCAAAAGCTCGGCTACGCATCTGCTTCGGGACAAGGTGAGTTTCTGCTCTACCGCCCATTTGCCGCCATCGTGATTGAAACTGACATACTCTGTTTCCTGTCCAGACTGTGTCGTGGTGTCTCCAAAGAGGGGCGAGGATAGCAAGGTCGAGTTTTCCGCCAGCGGCTTCTGGTTTCAGATCTTGTTCTCAGATAGTACTAGATGTGCCAAGGTGGCGGTGTGGGCTCCGGTGAGGGCAGCGACTAGGAGTAAGAAGGAGGGAGAAGAGACAGCGCTAGAGCCTTTCATGCGGGGTGTCAATTGCCGGACTGGGCAGGGAGAGGAGCCTCAGATCTTTCGAATCACCATTTGAGAGGGATTTAGCAGTGTAACAGCAACCAGTACCGCCTTTTCGTGCCATCTGACCTGAACAATCATAAAGCGGCGCTCAAGATGCCCTGAGACATACTTGAATGTTAATTTTTGGCTCGATGAACCAAGTCAGAGCGTGAAAACGGGTCAGTTGGCGTAAGAAGAGCTGTCGGCGAGGACGGATGGCTGACAATCTCCAGAAAAATCCAGTCAGAGAGGCACAGATGAGATCTACTGAGGTGGGATATCGAAACGAAGGGTGAGATCGCCATGATTCATCGACTTTCGGCATCTGAGCAACCGTCCCTTCGGCAGCTGCCTGGCCGTATTGGCCATGTCTGCTTCAAGGGCTCCGACAAGAGCCTCGAGCATCCTATCAGGAAGTCCAACTTCAGCTATCTGAAGTCTACGGACGGAAAGAGTAGGTTTCAATTGAAGATAACAATTAATATACGGCGTTATCGGGGTCACGATCAGACTCCCTTTGCCACAGCCGTATGTTCTATGTAATGCTTAGTTTTCATAGTGTGAGACTAAATGACAAACACATATATATACTCCATTCACTGCTCTGATCCCATCCGAGGCAGGGTGTGTTCCTTCATTTGTACCCCTGTGTTGCTATGATACCGGGTGCCACTGTGCTGTCACTATGACAACAATTGCGTACCTCATTGTGCTCCTCGCTTATGTGAGCCTCCCGTATCTCAATGTCTCGGCCGTAACACGTGCACCTTGCTTGAGATGCCGACGCATCTTCAACTGTTTCCAAACTGCATTTTCTCCCGTGGCTTGGCTGTCAGGCGGAACTATGACTCAAATCTCATCATCCCGTACATGGCACTGACTTTGTTGTTATTCAGCAAGGCAGGAATGATGCTATGCTAGAAGCTGCAAACCTTCATATTTGGGTGACATTCCAGAAAGTGTCGGAAGAAATGGGAGTGTGCGCTTCGGTCGGTGTTGATGGCGAGGGCGTCCAGAACGGCGCATACTACTATTGCTACAATAGTAAGCCTGTTCCTTTCACAAAGTAAATGGTGGTCCTTTTCGGCAGAAGGGGCTACTGTATCTCAGGGCGTTCAACTCGATGGCACCAGGCGAGATCGTCGGTGACGTGGAGGGAGGACCGAAACAAGTTAAGTTCATCATAGGAGTGCACCGTCAACATCATTCCACCTCATTGCGAGAAGAATAGAATTGATTGTATTGCAAAAGAGAGTTTGTCTTGACCCCTGAGAACGCGCAATGCCACATGCCACCGTGTGGGCTGTGCGGACCGATGAAAAGATGTTTGAACAATGGCCGCACGCCTGTACAGCGAGGTGTTGGCTTCGCGTTCTTCCGGACAGAGATATAAGGAGAGGCTTGACTCACTTCCCTGTTTGCTTCTACACTCCCTCACACCTATTGCAAAGGAGAAAAGGCAACCTTACCACATGAAGGCTCAAGCTTCCTACATCCTCTTTACCGCTGCCCTGCTTGGCTTCGCCAAGGCGGGCTGGGAAGTTTCGACAAGGACTTTGAACTACGACGCTTTTTGCGGACGGAGACCTCATCCGCCAGCACGTGTTGGATATGTTTGCTTCCAGACCAAGTTCAATGCAGAGGGCTTCACTAGGGAATCAGACTTCAGAGGCTTCCTCCAATCTGGTAAACAAAGTGAGTAGATTGCGGCTGAAGAGCTCGTCGTTGGCTTTCAATTTGATGCTCTTGTGCTGACAAAGCTGCGTCATGTTCACAACACCTTTCACCTTTTCATTTACAGACTTCGTTCTATACGATGGTAATCCAACCACCAAGACAGCGGTCTGGGAGAGCAACAATGCTCGCATCACTGTCATGTTCCAGCCTGGTTCGACCTGCGCAGCTGTGGACGTCCAAGACAGGCACGGGAATGATCTTCGTAATAGCATGTATTGCGGAAAGGGGGGCCCGATTTCCATCGACCCTTGAGAGGTGGCAGGCCAGAGGCTGATGTTTTCTCGAAGCACAATTTCACAGCAGCGATCATCGACGTATAACAAGCTGGTGTCACCACCCGTCCTCATTGTGACTGATACTATTCGTGGCACTCAGTGAGCCTCTTGACACATTCGCACAAAAAATGAAAGACTGCGCTGGAGAGATGAGAGCTTGTCAAGCAGCATTTGACAAGAATCGGGCAGTGAACTGAGCTATGATCACAGAGGGAGGTGAGCGATCACTTCTCTACGATCGCATCACGCCAAAGATTCAAATTGATTGAGCTTCTCGGACAAATTGACCGTGTTGGCGTTCGCGTCTGCGCGAGCTGCGCGAGCTGCGCAGCGAAATGAATCTTCTCAATCAAATGATCTGCGCATCCAAGCCTGACTCACACGGCCGTACAGATGAGGATCAATCGGACAATACAGAAAACGATACAGAAGCCATGTTAGATTGCGGATCAGAGAGGTGACTCGCTGGCTCAAAGGCTCCCAGCCTGCCGTAAGGGGGCCGATCGAGCGCAGAGAAGAGCAGGTCGTACAGGCGGAACGTAAGGGAGGGAATCGGGTGGGAAAGAAAGATTGGCAAGGTCGATCTTGAAGCGACACTTGCCGAAATGAGAAGATGATGGTGGCAAGATGAGAGGAGTGAGGAGCAAACAAAGCCGATTGAGCGGGGGGGGCGACGCGTGTGGTCCAGCTCAGATGCGCATGCCAAGTCACGTGCAGCACATGTACGAGAGGTGATCCTTCATCCCAATGAAAAGTCAAATGATCCGCTGGGTCGTCGGAGTTGGAGGGAAACAAACCTTTCTTGACTAAGCCGAGAAGCCGACAAGGGGGATTATGTCAGCTTCGGTCAAGTCGAGGCGAGTCGAGTCCTTCTCAGTTCGAAAGACTCGCAAGTGCGATCAGACCTGCTTTGGCCCCCCAGAAAGGATTGCAGCAACTCACTGTCATAAGGTTCCCGATTTCAAGAGCCGATACGCTTGAGATCGTGCACCTTCTGCAGCCGCAGAATCTTGTGTGCACGCATAAGGGCGAGAACGAACTGTACGCGAGTAACGTATCGCCCCCAGCGATGCGTCCACAATATACTACAGATGGCTGGCTCTTGCAGATTGTCAATCTACACCTCTTATATCACTGTATTGACATCGCTACTACTCGACTTCTTTCTCGCCTTCCCAATCTCAGATCGATTCGACTTGACACTTACACCTGTTTCCACTCGTCGTGTGACGGAGTGATTGAATGCATCGATGTCATCCTCGGAGAAGGCCACACCCGCGAGAACCTTGGTATCACAGACACACCAGTGTTTGCATAATGCCAGCCAGACGTCTGCTGTTTGACTGCGACAAGACTTGATGTGGGGAGCGTGCGAAAGCCGTCACCAAGAGCTGCCTTCCTACACGGCGTTGATCGGTTCCCACCACCTATCAGAATCGCCTCCCATTCTCGATCTAACACCTGTCCTCATCCCCTCTCACACAGTCCCATCATCCACGCTCACCGTATTCGTATCGCCGCTACCACACGCACACACGTGTCAGCAACTGGGACTGCCATTGGCTTGCAACAAAGGACTGCATTGCTTCTCGATCAACGTCCCTGACGTGATCACGGTTCCATCTCGGACCCCTTCGTTGCCCCCACAATGACCGCTTTACCCGAAGACCCTGCCCAATCAGTCAACAGCAACTCCAACCTGACCGTGGCAGCCTTCACATATGGCTTGTCCTGCTGCAGCCACCCAGCCTTCTTCCCTTGCAGCCCATCCCTTAATAGCAGCTCAAAGACTTTCCTCATCTGCTTACCATACAGCTTCAGTGCATATGTACCCGCAATCTCGATGAATACTGCCCAGGTGGACGGACACATTGGGTGGTCTAGGAACGCCACACCAGCCATTGAAGGTGTGAGAGCGCGAACGCTCCACCGCCAAAGCGTTGTAGAGCGGAGATGGACTGGGATGCGCTCCAAATCGAGGGTACTCGCCCCAGGTGGAGCACTTGGAACCGTTTGAAGGATGGCAAAGTAGAATGCTGAGATGCCGTTCATCCGGTTCGAGTAATTTTCGGTGGTTTCGTCGGCAGACTTGTATCCCATGACCTTCCGGTATGTCGCTTCATCCATCTCCTTCGTCCGGCCTGGCCAGGCGGGAATGATCCAGGGACACTTCTTGCATAACCTAGCCATCAACACATCTCCCAGTTCTACGTGGCCTAGCAACATGAGCCAAACTACGACTCGGGCGAGAGGATAGGCGGTATCTTGCTTTGCTGCTACTTCTTGCTCCGCTTGCCTGATCAAACACTTGGACAGATGATTCAGGATCCAAGTATAGACGTCTCCACTGCCACTCGCAGCAGCCTGCTTAGCCGCGTCGAGAACACTGGCTATCGCCTGTGTAATTCTTGTAATCTCCTGCCTCGAGTTCGTCAACTGCCCCACTTTTGGCGTGATCTGCCGCTTAGCCGCAAAGCATTGCTTCCTGAGTTCTGGATTGGACGATATCGCGGGAAGCACGTTCGTCTTGATATTTCGAATCTTTTCCATCCATCCCACGTACTCTCTGAGTGCTGTTTTTCGAATATCGTCGCCAGTTCCAACCATCGCTGCGGCTTTGGCCGGTTCTGCTTCGCTCTGTTTCTGCTGCTCTGCTTGCGCTTCTGCTTCCTGCTTCTTGCGTTCGGCTTTGGCTGCAGCTGCCTTCTTTTCGGCCTCCATGCGTTCTTGTTCAGCTTGCCTTGCTTGTGCCGCTTTGCGTTCGGCTTCTTGCGTCTTGCGCGCGGCTTCGAGACGTGCTGCCTCCGCGGCCGCGGCTTTGCGTGCCTCAGTCTCAGCAGCGAGGATAGATGCGTCGATGCCGGACCATAGATCTTTGTTACGCGCTTCGAAAGCTCGCTTCACCTCGGCGTCTTCCTCGGCCCGACGCATGTTGAGGGACGAGAGTAAGGCTTGTACCTCATCAACGTCTGCGGAGAAGGACGCGGCGGTGGTAGAACGAGAACGAGGCGCGGGAGCAAGAGAGTCGCGTTTGGATGTGCGAGCACGCTGCCAGGCAAGTTGTGCAGCGTTACGGTTCCATTCTTCCCAGTCGTCGCCTACAATGGATGCCAGCTTGACTGCAGAGGTGGGTCTGCGTCGAGAAGATGAGCCAGGACGACGTGTGCGAGAAGATAGAGGGTATGCTTCTTCTTCACTGTCGGTGGTCTCTTCTTGATCGTAAGGTGAGGTTTGTGGTGAAGACCAGCCATCGGAAGCATCACCTGCAACATCGTCTGGATCAGAATTGGATGCGTCGAGGAGCCGGCTGTCATCATCCTCGTCAGAGGAAGAGAGAGCTGCATTGTCTTCGTCTGAAGAGTCAAAGTCGTAGGCCTTGAGAGTACTGCGTGGGATGCGACTGGAAGATGAGTGCATCCATGGTGGTACCGTTGAGGATGGTCTCTGTACGGGTCTGCCCGGTGCATCTAGCCGGGAAGTCGAAGGGGAGCGAGAGCTGGAAGCAACGCCAACAAGCTCGAAAGCAGGAGTGATACTTCGCCTTCGCTGATGCTGTTGCTGAAAAGGTAGGGAAGAGGACGTCTGAACACTGCGACGGCGTGGTGTCGTGTCCTGCTGGCTGGATTGCTCCAGCTGCGGCTGATCCACGTCTTCTCTATCGTGAAATCGTTGTTGTCGCTGTGTGCTCGGTGTTGTTGATGATCCATAAGATGAAGTGTGTCGAAGGATTCCCTTCCGCGTCGGTGTTTGTGATGAGGAAGTCGAGGCGTAGTTCTGCTGAACCTTCTGCAAGGATGTGTGTTGTTGCGGGAGCGACTTTCGAACGACAGTCGGTGAAGGCTGTTCGTCTCCAGAGACCTCTGAGGCCGAGTCGAGATTGAACTTCATCCTGGGGTTCGCTTCACGGTACGAGACTCTCCATCCGATATCTCCGGACCAGTGTAAGCTGTTTCCTGGTGGTGAGATATGGTGGGAGGAAGAGATGAATGCGTCGATGAAAGACGTGGGCCCCTGCTGAACATCGTTAGTTGGAGAAAGTCGCATCGGCCAAAACCTCAAAATCGCGAATCCGAGCTGCTAGAAGTACGCGATCTAACATTGCTAAAAATACACCGACAACCGACTTCCGCCGGTTATCTGCTTTCGCCACACCTAAACTTCTGCAAAGCGGTTATCCAATGCTCAACTCGATTCCCCGCTCCAAACGCTTCACTTCTTCTCGAGGCCGGCTAGACCAGGCTCATATTCTTCATTTCTAGTGTCCTTCACATATGCGAAGCTTGCTGCCGTTGCTTCGTTCCATTCGTGCCCTTCGTCCGACTCTCCACCCTTTTGTTCCTGCTCAGCGTCTTGCCATCCTGACTGCGGTCGACTCTTTCACAGCTATCTCACCGCGAGCCTCGCTTTGGAACAGGCAACATAGCACCATGTCCACGAAGCTCGACAAGCACGACTCATTCACGAAGGACGACCCGAACGATGCTGACTTCTTCGGCCCTCGGCCGCCACCGGGCTATGCCACACTCCGAGCAGCTCCTTCGCAGATCTTGCTCCCTCTGACAGTCTCCAATAAATGCGGCCAAGCATTTCGGTGGCGAGGCAACAAAGTCTGGGTCCTACGTAACGAGGGTAGTGGCACTCAAATCTACGAAGGACAGATCGAATGGTCGCTATGCCTGTCCGATCGAGTTGTGCTCTTGCAACAAGACGAGCATCAAGGCTTCCTCTATCACAAGACTCTGCTTCCCTCAACGCGAGGTCGCGACAGCATGGAAGTGGCAGCAATCAACAAAGAGACAGAGAGATGGCTTAACGACTATCTCAACCTAGATGTGCCACTCGAAGCTTTGTATGCCGAATGGGAAGCCAAGGACCCGGTGTTTGCCCGCTTCGCCACTCGTTTCACTGGCCTACGCATGCTGCGACAAGATCCATGGGAGTGTCTCTGTGCATTTGTTTGCAGCTCGAACAACAACATTGCTAGGATCGGACAGATGGTGCAGAATCTTTGCACGCACTTCTCATCGCCTCTTTTGGAGCATGTCTATCTTCCTCCACCGGAGTCTGTCAAAGCAGAAGGAGGAGATGCTGATGCAGTAGGGAAGGATGTGGAGCAAGGCGAGGTGAGGATTGCATACCATCCCTTCCCACCTCCAGAGGCTCTCGCCAAGCCAGGAGTGGAGGAGAAGTTGCGAGAGCTCGGCTTTGGTTACAGAGCAAAGTACCTGGCTAGGACTGCGCAGATGCTATGTGCGAAGCATGGTCAGAAGGAGTCAAATGTAGGTTTCGGTGCAACGAAGAAGGCAGAGCATCTGAATGAGTCTCACTGGCTGTATGGAATCAAAGCGGAGGATGATGACACCTTCACTCTGGCTCAACAGTCGATCACTGCTTCGCTGACCTTGGTAGCCGATGAAGGAAGGCCTGCGAAGAAACGCGCTCGTGGTTCTCGTACAAGTCGCACCTCGTCAACCGCCTCCACTCGCACCAGCTCCTCGACACACTCTGCTACTACGCCAACTACTTCCAGCGCCACATCCGAAGAGCCAGAGCAGACCTTTGGCTCTGTCCGGTCGTACCTACAACACCTCCGCACGACCTCGTACCGCCATGCACGCTCCGAACTGATGCAATTCCCAGGTGTAGGACCCAAAGTAGCCGACTGCATCCTTCTTATGTCTCTCGATCAAGCCTCGAGCATCCCGGTCGATCGACATGTCTTTCAATTTGCAGAGAAATGGTACAAGTTGCGGACAAAGAAGTACGAAGAGATCGCGGATCACTTCAGAGACTTGTGGGGAGAGTATGCTGGCTGGGCTCACAGCGTGCTGTTCACTGCTGACTTGAGGTCGTTTGCAAACTACGGTGTGGCGAGCAAGAGGGAGGAGAAAGTTGAAGCAGGAGTTGATGGCGGTAGTGAATTCTGGGGTGAAGGAGCGAATGGATATCCTACACCGCCGTCCAGTCAGAGTGTGATTGTGAAGGAGGAAGGAGAAGAGAAGTTGCAAGCTGTTCATTCGCCTCCAAGGGTTGCCATTCCTGAGTTGGTGCCACAGTCGTTGAACTCAGGAAATTTGATGGAGAAGGCGGAAAGTGACCCTGGAGCGACATTGGCCGAGAGGATCAAGAGTCGGCCTAAGCGCAAGAGCCGTCTCAGCTCCGTATACTACTGTGTATAGACAGACTCACTGTCAGGTCTCAATCAGAACACCCTCTGTGGGGCATAAACATTGTGTGATGCACAAATGAATGTATTGCTGTGTGACAGGTGTCGAAGGAACCGAGCAGAATTCTACTTGCGAGTACGACGGTTGGCATTTGGGTTCTTCCTCCCGTGTCCGATGACCGGCAAGTTGCTCTTATCTCTCGACGCAAACTGACTACCCAGAAAAATGTCTCCTGTATCCCAGGCCTCTTCATACCTAACCGACAAGGAATCCTTACCAGCGCGCATTGCCTTGTCCAGTGCTCTCTCCTCCTTCCTCTTCCTACTAGCCTCCTTTGCCAACGCTCTCTGCCACTCCAACTGATCCTCCCTCAAGATCAACCCTGAGCCACCAGTCTTACCACCTGAAGCAGAACCAGGCTTAGGCGCAGGGATCGAGTACTTGGTACCACGCAAATTGAACCTGTAGTTCTTCTTGAGATGCAACTGGAACCCGCCTTTCGCAGTGTCGTCAACAGTAACGGCGACTTTGGTGAGCGAAGCATTGCCGCAGACTGGACAGAACTTCTTCTCCATATCCTTGCAGACCTTCATACAAGCGTGGCAACGGAGAACGAAGGATTTGACCGCGCGAACACGCGAGCCGTGAACACCGACCAAGGAGAGACCCATCTGAAGGAGAACGTTCTGAACGGCAAAATCACCAGTAATGCATGCGACAGTCATGTGACCTTCTTTGGAGGTGTTGCCCATTGCATCCCATGTGAGCGAAGGTCGGGACTGAATGGAAGGGTCGTTGAAGTCGCGGGATAGGTGACCTTTGTTTGAGACCTGCTGCTGCTTGGCTTTGGCTTTGCTGGATGATTCGACACGCGACCAACCTTCTTCGAGAGGCTCTTCAGGTGTGAGGAGTTCAGCGGGCTCTGGAAGGTTGTCCTTGGACTCTTCGACGTACTTCCAGCCTGGCATACGACTGTCGGAAACGAAGCCCATGCTGAGGTTCTTGGCTTTTTGGACATTGTCAGGTGTGATCCACGCTCCATCACCTTCCCCGTCGGATTCTTGGTCGGTGTAGTCTGCGTCGCCGACCCATCCTTGTTCGGGACCTGCCTCGGCGTGAAAGGTAGACGCTTGCCCTTGGGAGTCCTCTTCCGCTTGTTCGGACGCTTGCTGTGCTGGCTCTGGTTCGGCAGCAGCAGCCTCCTTGGCCTGCTTCTTGGCAGCCTTCTTCTCTCGGTTCTCCTTGATGCGTCTCGCTACAAGCTGGTCGACAGTAAGACCTTCTGCAGCGGCATCCTCCTCAAGCTGCTTCTGCTTTGCCTCGGCTTTCTGTTGGCGCTTCTTCTCGATCGCTGCCCGGCGAGCTGCCTTCGCATCAGCTGACGATGATCGCGAAGTGGAAGCTTGTCCTTCCTCATCCTCCTTCTTAACAGAGGTTGAAGTAGACGCAGCAGCCTCTCCCCTCTTTCCATCTGGACTGCTTCTAATACGCTTGTGGCCATGTCTGCTGACCTCCCTCTCATATGTGAGAGCAATGACCTCCAAATCCTGCGTCGACAACACTCCGATATCACCTGTCTTCTTAGCGAACTGCGAAACAGCCACCATACTAGCAGTACCAGGCTGAATAACATGGAGCTTGAAGTCGGGTCGGAGTCGCAGAGACTCGAGATACTCGCGTGCTGAAGCGTGCTTGATCTCCTCGACGACTCTCGGTGGGATATAGTATTCGGAAGCAAGACCGTCGAGTGGCGCACGCATGATGAGAGCACCAGCGTCAAGGATGAGGGTGTCGATACGCGGCTTCTTGGTTCTCACGCCAGATTGCGAGGCTGTGTCGTCGGCAGAGGCTGATGTTGAAGCGGGTGCGTTGGTCGAGTCGAATGCTTCTGTTGTAAATTGGTCATCCTTCGGAGCGGCTTCCGACGCCTTTGCAGCGCCGGCTGCGGCCATTGCAGCCCAAGTCGACATGGCCGTGGTACTTTAAGGCCGCTGCTTGTGCTGGATAGAAAGATGGAGTATGTGATTTGTAGTTAGAATGGTGGTGTGAGGTTGTTGTGCAACAGACCAAAGACCAATGAAGCAGCGCTGCAGCTTTCTTCGCTTTCTCAAAAAATTCGAAAACTTGACTTTTTTTTTTTTTTTTTTTTTTTTTTTTTTTGCCGGCCGATAGGCTCCCCCCCGCTTTTAAGAAGCATGATGTGGAGGTTTTTGTGTGCCGCAACGCTGCTGTTGCCTTCAGAAGCAGCCGATGGTGACACACGAAGCACCTCTCCTTCTCCTCATCACATCGAACCACAGCTCTAGATTGAGTAAACACCTCAATCGACTCTCCCCGAGCCTCAAGTCCCAGCCACGGCCACGGCATGGTCTTTCTCACCAAGGTCCCGAAACCTGACTCGACTGAGCTGAGAAAAGCTCGGCAGACGGCTCAGCATGGCCGTTATACTGCCAGATGAGGTCATCTACCACATTTTTTCATACCTAGATCCTCGATCACTCGGCATCGCCTTGCAATGCAGCAACACTTTCTATCGAATAGCCACATCATCCGCTTTATGGGAGCAACCCTACTTTCTACGATGGACCTCTGGAGACCCGAAACGAGAGGAGCAACGAGGCACCAACCAGTGGCGGCGTCAGAAGAAATTACGGCGGCTCGAAGAGCACGCGCGGCGAGCAGCAACAGAGAAACAACTGCCGCTCGCTTCAGAGACGGAGTCGCCGTTTCGCTACCTGCAGCTTGTCGATCGGTTAACGACGCAGCCAAGTGATGGGTCACTTCCAGCTCCTGCCAAGATAGACTTTTATCGACTTTTTGTTGAGAGGATACAAATCGACCAGGAGGTCATCGACACGCTCTACCAACAAGTCGAGGCAACCCACGGAAGGATTCCAGCCATCACGTCACTGGCTCTGCGCTTTGCTAATGACACGACGGATGTGCTGACAGCCATAGTTGAGGCTCAGTCCAGCTGCCCTTCCTGGAGCCCCAGTGGACTCACTTCTTCATCAAGGAGCGCTGCTTCGAATGAAAACTCAGGCAAGGACGCCCTGGCATATGATTCGACAGGGTACCGTCTGAAAGCATATCACGCGCATCTTCCCACGACCCTTCGCTCCGACACTCACCATCTGGTCATTCTTCACCATGCCAGGGAAATGCTCGAGCATCAACAGCGACGAGAAGCTATGCAGATCATGAAAAAGCTCTCCGTTGATGCAGCAGAAGACAACCAACCAGGATCGTTAGACCACTTCGAACCATCAGCCACGGAGAAAGCAGTATCGATGCTCACGATGTTCCGTGGAGGTGAAGCAAAATATGTCGAAGCACAAATCGATCTTCTCGCAGCAGCTTGCGACCTCTACCTCCAGCAGCGCCTCCCCATACTAGCGGAACAAGAGACTCAAAGGGCTAGCACCCTTGACAAGGCCAAAGAGATGACGACGGCAATCTGCGACTTCCTTGCCGACCACGGCTTCCGTGGTGCACAAGGCGACCTTTTCTCAGACCTCGACAACCATTTCCTCCATCGCTGCTTCACCACCAATCGCGAGACCTTACCTCTCAGTCTAACACTGATCTTCTGCGGCGTTGCTAATCGTCTTGGTCTCCAAGCATCGCTGTGCAACTTCCCGATGCGGATCCTTGCTTTCGTTTGTGCCAATCCTACGGGTCCTTGGCCCGGGCCAGAAGATTCTCTGACATCAGCACCGCACGGACTGTTCTGGCTGGACGTATGCGAGTACACTACCGTCGCATACGATGCTCACGAACCAACTCCAACAGACCCCTTCGCAAGACGCCCATCTTGGCTGCAACAGCGACCACCCATCTTGGACAGAGCTGACCTGACAGAGTGGATCGGTCGAATGGGGATTCCTCCCACAGACGATTTCTGGTGTCCAGCGGCACCGAGTAGTATGGTTCAACGAGCAGCAAGGAATATCTTGAGCAGTGTGCAACGGGCTCAGATCTTGCCAAGAACTATGCAGCTTGGAGGGCAGGCAAGAAGTGCAATCCGCAATATGGAGCTCAATCGTCGATCTTCTCGTTTGGAACAGCAATGGTCTCAGCTTGTACGAGTTGATCATTCCTTCCTCAGCTCTTTGCATGGGCGGACGGATGCGGCCGAACATGAGGCTATGACCTCTCGAGTAGCAGCAGCACTCGAATCAGAGGCAGATATCGCTGAAGACGAGACAGTATGGAACATTGTTCGAAGCTGGAGATCCGAGTCAATGCGCAGCCTTACTTCAGCTCCTGATTCCTGGATCAAACTAGCAAACACACCATCGGAGCTGTTTAGGGAATGGATGCAGCACCGAGCAGCAGACAACGATTGGACTCGGGTACGCGATCACCTGCATCGCAGAGCGGATCATTGGTCAGAACACGAACAGCAGGCAGCAAAGTATGCGGCTGTGAATGCGTTTTTGAGGCTGAGTACGCAGGTGAATGCGAGAGAGGTGGATTGGATTGCTGGATTTCTGCAGAGTTATTTCATGTTGGATGTTGAGGTGATTGAGACGGATTTCCTCGGTGCTTCACAAGCAGATTCGACGAACAGCATGGACGAGGATGGCGCGGATAGCGAGGGGAGTGAGAGTAGCGTCGAAGGAGGGTTTTCCATCAGAGAAGCTAGAGAAGGAACTCCGAGAGAGGGGTTGGTGACGAATCCAAGCGCAAGAATCGTGCTTGCTAGGATGCTGCAAGCTGTAAGAGCGAAGGATAGCGAAGTGCCTAGAGTGAACCGACGATCTGGACCTGAGTCTAGGCGGCAGCGACAATGCCGAGCCTCAGTCACTTCACCCACAGAGCAGCAAGAAGATGATACAGGCGAAGAGGAAGATCTGATAAGTTATCGAGTTGGAACGATCTTTCGCCACCGCACGTATCATTACGCGGGAGCAATTCTTGGGTGGGACCCCTACTGTGCAGCCCCAGAAGATTGGATTGTCAATATGGGTGTTGATCGTCTCCCCGCTTCATCTGGTGCTAGGAGAGGAGGTCGACATCAACCATTCTATCATTCGCAAGTAGCTGATGGTACACGACGCTACGTTGCTGAAGTTAATGTAGAGCCTGTTAGTGGTCCGATCTGGATATATGGTACTCCCTCCACCACCACTTCAGGAGATAAAGGGGAGGTGCCAGAAGAAAGCCGGGCGTTGGGTGCATCTTTGCATGCAATGTTACAATTGCGAGGATTGGGAGAGTATTTCAGATGCTTTGATCAGGAGAGGGGAAGGTTGAGGAGGAACAGAGATGCGAGGGTGATGTTTCCTGATGATTGGTCTGACGATGACTTCGACGATGAAGATGAGGAGAAGGCGGAAGAGAGGGAAGTAGAGGGAGAGATGGAGTTAGAGAGATTGAGCGAGGATGGAAGTTGGTAGTCTCTCTCACACACACAGCAATATACACTTGCAACACACTGTAAGAACTGACAGGGTGTACTTTGATTGATTCGCCGAGAGTGTTCACCCCAGTCCAGCCCCTCTATACCATCTCAATCTACCATCTTCGCTAGCAGTCACAAATCTCGTCATGGAACCTGTTGTCTTTTCTCGCTTCTTCGGATCCTCATGGTCCTCCATCTTCGGTAGAGGCTGGAATGAAAACGCTCGAATTTGATTGACCTCACTACCATTCCAAACCGGCGTGTTCTTCGTAGCAGATCCCAAATCCCAAAACTTGATACTCTTATCCGCACTTATGCTTGCAAATACACCTTGCGCACCTGGAACACCTTCCAAGCCCAAGATCCATCCTTTATGAGCCGTGAGAGATGCAACGGTACTAACCGACATCGAATCTGTTGATTCGTACCGTGCATCATCGACAACAGGTTTAATATCGTGAACGGTGATCGTTCTGTTGTCGGATCCAACGAGCAGTAGATTATCCGTGAAAGCAAGGCTACGGATCGGTGATGCATGGTCTGCTATCACTGTCACGAGACTGAGAATGTTAGCGTTTGCTGATGAGCGATAGAGCAGAACATGACCACTGTTCGTGCCCACGGCAATTAGGCCATAGCCAGAAAAGGCGAGGGAGAGGCCGAAGAGATCTTTTAGCTCAGCAAGGTAGCTTGGCATTTCGCCTTCATCATCCCCTACTCCAAACGTTTGGTGGTCGATCAAGTGGCCCGACACTCTTGCACCTGCGCCTGTAGCAGCAAAATGGTAGTCATATGGGGCGAGGACTGTTTTCCATGCTTCGGACGGCTTGAACTTTTCTTTTAGCGAATCGAGTTTTGAGACGATCAACGATTCCGTATCTTCTACTGGCAAGGACAATAGTGGTGGATCGACGTTCCCTACTGTTCCCTCATTTTCGCCTTCTCCAGCTGATGGAGCAGGAGACTGATAGAAAGGCTTGATGTCCCAGAGTGCGATCGAGCCGTCAATTGCGGAAGAGAGGACCATTGTGCCTTTCGCATCAGTGGAGAGACAGTGTACTGCGTTGGAATGTGCTGTTGGAAGATTGCGATAGGCCAGACCAGAGCCAGCATCAAAGACTTTGATACTGCCCTTCAGGTCACCGGCGAAGATGAGCCCTTGCGACGAATTTGAGGGTGCCGTCCAGCATACTGAGACGATCGGTGACGTTGAGGATTGTGAAGGGAGGCTTTCTTTGTCGCTCAAAAATTGCAGCGACTACAAGCGCGATGGGGCAAAGAAGAGCACGTCAGAGGAACCGGTCATACAAGTATGCTTCGGCCGTGAGCGCATGCTTACCATCTTGTCAACAAGTACGCAAAGGCGGGAGATGAATGAGTAGGATCAGAAGAAGTTAGGAAGGAATCTTCGAAAGTCAAAGTGGAGTGGAGGCAGCAGCTCGGAAATCGGCCTTCTTTCGCGCTTCGCCAACGCCCCGACTTCCGAGTTACAGCTGTCCATCAAACCCTCTTTCCAACCAACACTCTTCCAACCAACACTCTTCCAACCAACCCTCTTCCAACCAACACTTCCCTCAAATCATTCCGACATCGGTCTGGCAAACATTGCAATCTGGACCTGCCGGCTGTCCAGCTTTCGATACCCCTTTCATGGCTGCACTCAAAACATTCACCTACACGCGTCCCACATAGCCGGCTCACGATGGTGGTCTGCAAATTCTTCCTCCAGAACCGATGCGCATACGGTAACAACTGCAAGTTCGAACACCCACAGGGCGGCGCTGGTGGAGGACCAGGTCGCAGTGGCTTTGGTCAGAGCGCCTTTGCTCCACCATCTGCGTTTGGTGGAGCAGGCAGTGGTGGAGGCAGTGCATTCGGTCAACCCAGTGCTTTTGGCTCGACCTCCGCTTTTGGCAGTAGTGCAACAGGAGGAAGCGCGTTCGGCAGCGCAGCAAAGCCAGGAGGAAGTGCATTTGGAACAGCAGCACCAAGTGCTTTTGGCGGACAGAGTGCGTTTGGCACTTCAGCAGGGGGTGGAAGGTCTGCTTTTGGAGCTAGTGCTGCGTCAGCGTTTGGAGGAGGAGCTGCAGCACCAAGCGCGTTTGGCTCCACTTCAACACCAACTTCGGCTTTTGGAGGGGTGAACAAACCAGGCTCAGCATTCGGATCGACGAGTGGCCCAACATCAGCATTTGGCGCACCAACGGGGCCTTCGGCTTTCGGCTCTACGTCGACTCCTTCTGCCTTTGGGTCAACTTCCACACCTTCTGCGTTCGGCTCAGCGGCAAAACCTTCAGCGTTTGGATCTACGTCTACACCAACATCTGCATTCGGCGCTCCTACTGCTCCGTCAGCATTTAGCACAACTACAGCACCTGCCTCGGCGTTCGGCTCTTCTTCAACACCTTCTGCATTCGGCTCTTCGTCCGCGTTCGGCTCGCAGGCCCGGCCCTCCACGTTCGGTTCCACGCCTCCCACAGGTCCCGCTGCCTCGAATCCAACGCCTTCAACTTCCGCTTCCGCTTCCGCTTCATCAGCAATTCCGTCAACCCTTGTTAAACTCAACCCAACCTCCCCATTCTCCTCCAAAACCAACCAATACGGCGACTCTAACCTCCCCGAAGTATCTCTCACAGCCGCCTCTATCGCCGAAGACATGGGCACACACGGTCGACCACTATGGAAGCTCTCCGCATATGGACCTGCTCGAGGGGAACCGAATTTGATAGCAGGCAAAGATGTCAGTCAGGATGAGCTTAGAGTCATGGCGTATCAAGCGCGGGCGGCCGGGCAGGACACGCAATATGCGGCACATGAACAGAAGCTTTTCAGTGAAGCTGATGGAGAGTACAGGCGTTTGGCCGGGAATAGTAATGCTGCGATGCAGCAAGCGGAAAGGAATAGAAGTGAGAAGAAGAGGCAGCAGCAACAAGGCGTAGCGGCACCGGGGTCAGGGACAGCGAGTGCTTTTGGTGGTGGACAAGCGAGTGCTTTCGGTGGACAGCAGCAGCAACCAGCATCAGCGTTCGGAGGAAATGCGTTTGGAGCCAAACCACCCGCGCAAGGATCTGCTTTTGGTGCACCAGCTGCGGCTACAGGAAGTGCATTTGGCCAAGCTTCAGCTTTCGGCCCGACAACACCTGCAGCGACAGGTAGTGCGTTTGGTAGCACCTCAACCTTCGGTCAACCTGCATCGACGGGCATCGCATTCGGCAGCACAACAACACCATCCGCTTTCGGATCCACTTCCGCGCAACAAGCTTCTGCTTTTGGTAGCACTTCTACTTTGGGCTCCACCCCCAGCACCAACACCGCAACTCCAGCTCCAGGGACAGGAGGAAGCGCGTTTGGGTCCACAGCTGCACCAAGTGCCTTTGGTAGCACAACTTTAGCGTTTGGCGGGTCTGCTTTCGGTGGTGCAACAGGCGCGTTTGGCGGAGCTCCAACGACAGCAGCAGGTGGTCCTAAGGTAGAAGACCCATACAAGAACTCAGTGCCGAAGGAAGATCTGACGAAAGAAGTATTGGCTGCATTCGAAGCGGAAAATTTCGAGTGGGGGATGGTGCCCCTTATCGTACCACCTATCGATGTTCGTTAGCCTCACACCCTCCTTCACATGCGGATCACATCGATCACATCGAGTACACAGACTTGAACAGATGTGCGAACGAATGTGATTCCTGCAGAAATCTAAGAATGTGATCTAAGAACCGCAACATCAACTCTCCCACCACAACCAGCCCATTCTTCCCTCGCCTCACCTTGTTCCGCTACTTCACCTACAATCCTCGCTCCTGCATCTCCTCCCACAACCGCCACAGGTGCTTGAGCAGGACTCAGATCCACCCTCCCCGCCGCGAACCTCGCTGCGGGTGTACTCGGACTCAAAAACTTTGCTCCCGCGGTTGCATCCTTATCACCTAACCTCGGCAGCTGTTGCCCCCTCGCTATATTCGCGTGATACGTCGTCGACCGAGTCCTTTCGATCTTAGTTAAGGTGTTATAGACCCAATTGATGTCTGTTAGGGGTGACAGATCGTGTGGTTTATAGAGTGGAAGATGGGATCGGACGAGCGAATAGGATGCTTCGCTGCCGGAACATTCGCGGATTAGGCGCGGGATGTAGCCTTCTTCCTCGTCTGAGGTGGTATCGTTGGTGATGGTGGACATGGTGACGTCGTTATCCTTTGGCTTTATGGCGGTGCGTGGTGTTCCGAGTAAGAGTTGGTTTAGGTTTGTTGGAAGGGTGGAAGGGATTGGTTGTGAGATGTGTTTGGGTACAGGAGGAGGTGGGAATGCGCAGTACAACCGAGTGTCGAATACTCGAAACAACACGTCGTCAACACGTAGAAAGAATCGTTGCAGTACCAAGAATCCACTGGGCATAACTCTTACTTTAACGTTAACTATACTGCTTCCATTGTCTGCCAGCTCGTCTTCATACAGCACTATGTCATCGTAAAATAGAATAGGTTCTCCACTCGAGGGGCCCAGTCTCTCCACTGGAATTCTGTCTCTTGCTGGATCTGAGCCAGGTTCGTACCATTCCTCCTTCCCATCGCTTGGCGACTCGAGCGGTTTCAGCCCAGCTGCGAGACTTGGTGTTGTTTGCGTAGGCAACATCGGTTGAGGAGAGGTAGAATTGAGTGCACCAGCCCAGGTAGAGCTGTAAGTCCAATCGTAATCTTTTGCTGCGGTGATGTCTGCTGTGTTGCTGCCGAAGTGCGATCCCCCTTCTTCCTTTCCACCTTCCGCAGAGGTGGTTGAGGATGAGACGAACTCGTTCCGGCTCTTCCCCCATTCTTTAGCGTATGCGACTTTGATCGATCCGCCAGAAGACTTTGCCTTTGGCTTTGCGCCTAGCCCACTAGACCCTTTGGAAGTTGACGGGGTTTCACGGCAGTCGACACCGTAAAGCCTGTTCTGAGGCTGGACGCCTTCGATGGAACGCAGAGTGCGGACTGCGTCGAGACATAAACTGAAGCCAGAGTCGGAGTGTTGCAGGACAAGAGAGTTGTGAGGAAATGCCATTTCAGGTGGTGGAATTCCTAAGAGATCGGACAGAGCGTCCATCTCGGCAGAAGAGCCAATAGGACCGGAGGTGACACGGACAGACCAGCCGCCCAGATCGATGCCTCGAGTTGTGGGTTGCAGTGAAGGGGCGGTTGAGGAGGGTATGTTGGGGGTGTTGGAGGAAGAGGCGGTCGAAGGTGGTGGGCGGGAGGTCGAGTGCGACCAAGTTGTTGGTGGAACTGACATTTTGACCGATGTGAGCTCTTCGGTAGAGCTTCCAGGTTTGATTCCGATGAGGAGCTTGTATCAGGTGCTGAGCAGGGTCGCTGCTGCTGCACAAAGCGTCAATGGGAGAGTCGGTGACGCAGAAGGTGTGGCAAGAAGGCAAGAAAGAAGCATCCGCGGTCGGTGGAGTTGCTTCGTGCGCGCGCCAGAAGGCTCGAAATGTGTTTTTCCACTAGTGACCTCCATCGCGAGCTGGACCCTGAAAGCTTTCTTCTGCTGTTCACCCCACTCAACCTCCTTCACACCTCGTCATCTCTCGCTCACAGAACACCTGCATGTCTCGACAAATCTCACAACCCACACATTGGTCTACGAACCAATGCAGTGAACAAACTTCCGCATGTATGTGTATGTGTGTGTGGTAGTGTACAAGTGATGAATATTAAATGCCAAAGAAAACCCGAATGCTCACTTCTTGCCCGCACGTCTCTTGATGTTGGCCTTTGCCCTCTCCAATTGCTTCTGCTCGCTTCTCTCCACCTGCAACGTCGACATGATCTTGTCCATCTTCTTCTTGTAACTCTGATCTTCCTCTGCCTGATCCTGTCTCCGGACCTCTGCAATGAACTGGTTGTCTCTGCGCAACTCGCGAATCGCGCCCTTGCGCTCCTTCTTGATGAGCGCCTTCATCTTTTGCATCTGGACACGCTCGGCATCGGGGTCGAGGGCAGACTTGCGGTCTGGATTGTAACCCTGTTGGTCGAACTTGGGGACGTGAGAGGCGATGGCGATTGCTCGGTGGGCCTGCAATCTCAAGTAGCGGCGGGAGGAGGAGGCGTTCTTGAGATTGCGGTCCAGGCTGGTAGAGAGGGCGGAGGAAGAAGTCGAAAGTGAGAGCGAAAGGAGGGTAGAGAAGGGAGTGAAGAGCTCGACGTAGGATGTAGAGCCGTTGTAGAGCTCGCTGAAGTTAGAAATGAGGGAAAGCGCGACGGGAAGGAGGGTTGAGGATTGTTGCTGCTGCAAGGCGGAGTCGTCGGTTGATTTGGAGGTGATCAAGCTCGGAAGGTCGACCGCTTCCTGTGCTTGCTCGACCGAGTCCTCGCCGGAAAGACGGAGGTGGCGAGTATGATGTGCATTGACGTCAGGAGTTGGGATACCGTACTCTTCCGCTACAGCACGGACCTTTGCCAAACCTTGGCGCTGCTTCTTCTCTCCACCCAACGGTGCCAAGATAGCGACCGCCGAGAAGAGGAAGTTGAGCGCTTCAGGGAACAGTCTCTTGCTTTCCTTCTCGTTCGACACCACCAGCGAACACAAGAAGAGACCCGAAGCCAAGTCGCTTACCGACCTGATCCTTGCGTGGCCCAAATACTGAGCGATCAACAATGCCAACGGTGTTGTCACATTGTGCTGCTTATCGGATGTCGGCCAAACCGAGCCCACCAACCTCAACATTGTCAACTCGGGCAACCTTGGCCACGTCCTTGCATCAGCCTCGATGGGACCCTTGGCGAGACCTCGAGAAAGGTTGCGCTGCATGAGAGCGAGCTTGCCCACAAAGTGTTCTGCTGAGGCTGCAGGGTAGTTCTGCGAGAGACTGAAGATGTGTGGGATGACCGAGTTGACGATAGCGAATGCTAGCTTGTGCTTCTCGCCTGTCTTTGATTGGTGGAGTTGTGCTTGACCAGCCCAATGCAGAGCGTGATCGATGAGGACGCCGATGAGCGCTTGCAGGCGGTACTTGTTGTCTTCGGCCAGACTGGGGTGGTGGAGTGTGCGGATACGCTTGATGACGGTGGGGATATGCTTGGGCTCGATCGAGTGAGCTTCAAGGAGCGACAGAAGCTCGTCGTGGGTTGCGGGGCAAGGGAAGGTGAAGGGCAGCTTGGTTTCGGTGACAGGTGTCGATTTTGCTTTTGACGCGCCTGCTTTGCCACCTTGGCTGGATGAACCAGCTTTAGAGGAGCTGCCTGTGAGCGCTTCATGGTCACCTTCTTGCTCCGACTCTTGGTCTTCGCCAATCTGAATTGCATCGTCTGCGTCAGCCAGATCGGCGAAGTCGTCCTCGTCATCCTCTTCCTCATCTTCCCCACCTTCTGAGCCCTCGCCACCTTCCTCCTTATCCTCGTCCTCTTCCTCTTCGCCGTCCTCATCCTGTTCCTCGTCGTCGCCCTCATCGACAGCACCACTCTCAGCAAGACCCGCACCAAGACCGTACACCTCACCAGCAGTCATACCATCCAGCTCGAAATCATCGTCAAGGTCGTCGGCCTGTGCTGCACGCTTGGTTCCTGATGAAGGGCCAGTACCCTTCTTGCGCTTGCGACGTCCTCCCTCTTCCTCTTCCTCTTCCTCGCCTTCGTCATCACTGTCGCCACGCATTCGCTTCAAGCGTGCCTTCTCTGCCTTCATCAATCTCTGTGCCTCCTCAGCGGCCAGCTCCTCCTCGCTCTTGAGTCGGTCTTGCGGCTTTGCTCTGCGCTCGAACGCCAACTCGCGGACAAACGTATCATAGGAGCTGGCAGGCTTCTCCTCAGCACCTTCTTGTGACTCCATCTTGGCGTTACCGACGATGGCAGTTGCATTGGCACCAGTAGCGGCTGGACCGGGAAAGACATTGATCTTTGCTTTGGCCTTCGGGTCTGGTGCTGGCGCTGGTGTTGGGACAGGAGCTTGATCGTAGAGAAGTCCACGTATGTCTGCGAGTTCGTCATCTAGCTGCTCTCGAAGTTCGTCGTCGGCGTCTTTCATCTTTTGGCGTTCGAGCTTGTGGTATTTGGACTTGGCAATAACTTCGCGCATGACGTCGGCCTTGGACTTGTCGCCATCTTCATTCTCGCCGAAGCCGCCGAAGTGACCTTGTGCGGTGAGTCGGCCAGTATCTACAGCAGAAACAGAATGTCAATGAGCTAATGTCAGTACAAAATTCTCCTTGCAAGCGTGTCATTGCAGCTTTCGGGAGAGTGGAGAGACCAGCATAAGAAGCAGCCTCGAAGGATCCATCAGAAATCTCCAGTAGAATCTTTTGACCGTCACGGGTTGGCGCTTTTCAGCGTACTTGTGTGTTGTCCGGATCGTTTGTGTCGCCAGTAGCAGATCATCATATGGATGCCTCGAAAAGCTGCTTCCTTCAATCTCAAACCTCCTCTGCCGTATGTGTGAATGGTGAACTTACCCTCTTCGTCATCGTCATCTCCCGGAAGTCGAATATCAGCTAGATCATCCAACCCGCTGAGCGACTGTCCGTAATGTGTGAGCAACTCGTCATCATCGTTGAGGTTGAAAGCAGCACCCTTTGCTGCTCTCCTTTGCTTTTCGGTGGCGTATCGTTCCAACATTTTCTCCTCTGGTGTCATGTTGGCATCGTTCTCACCGAAACGTCGGTCGACGAAGGTGCCCGAGCGGTTGCGTGCCTGCCATTCTGGAAGCAGTGTCTCTCTTCGTTGTGCGAGACCACTTGCTTTAGCAGCACCAGGACGGCCAACAGCGCCCTTGATCTTACGTCCAAGCACTTCATGCTTTGGCTTGGTGACCTTTGTGTCGAATGGGTTGAGACCAGAGACGATCGAGTTGATCTTGTTCAAGCGGGATGCGGCGGCATCTTTCTCGTCTTGCCCACCCTTGCGAGAGCGAGACTTTTTGGATAGTTGCCGACGGTCTGTGACGCCTGAGCTATGAAGTTTGGACTTGAGCTGGGACAGCTGCGAACCACCGCCCTTTGCCATGGTTGCAGATGTATGAGAGGTGGAAGAGGCGTAGTTTCGATCAACGCACCCAATTCCAGAGGGTCCAAGTCCGAGGCGATTTGATCGACCTGCTGGTACAAATGGCTGCTCGGCGACTAGTTTGATGTGGCTAAGGTTGTCGTTGAAAGGGGGTATATAATGATTGAAGCTGATGATTGTTGATGGCGAGAAAGGCTGGACAGAACCGAAAAAGTGTTTCAAGGGTCGTCAAAATTTCGCTGAGCCACACCAAAGCAGCAGAGCACAATTTCCAGGTTTCCTACTTGTCCAACTTTTTCTTCTTTTTTGTATTTTTTTTTGTATTTTTTGTATTTTTTTTTTTTTTTTTTTTTGGGCGTTGGAATTTCGGGAGTCGGCGGTGGTGATGGAGGAGATCAGATCTCCCGATTTGAGTTGGAGTCGGTTCCGAGTTGGAACTGGCCGGACTGCAACGCGCTGTCTGAGAGGCAACTCTAGCTCCAACTATCGAAATCGCTGATGGTGAAACCTTCCTTCTCCGCATCACACTGATCAACTTCACCACACAAGATATACGCAATCATGAGCGGTGCAGGTAAGTAGCCGACACACCAACATGCCCAAAATGCTTAGAGAAGCAGCACAAACAGCAAGTCTCACAATCAGCATCGAAGAGCCGGCCACTGACAGCTTCCAACACATATTCTCTATCGACGTCCAATCAATCTCGCATCATCAACCGTCTACCTCGGAAATTCTTATGCAACAATGCACATAACATATCCTGCTACGAATCTGCTGCAATCGTGCTCCCGGCATCGATAGTCCCATTCCGACAGTGAGTGTCAATGCCCGAACAGTATGAACAGCAGCCCTGCTATACTTTCAGATGATGCAGCTCTGGCTTCTACAAAGCAGCATCCTGACATTGCGAACACACCGGCATCACTTTCTCTGCTCCTCTGCTGCTCAACAGGGATCTTCCTCCTTCTGGAGGCTACCAGCCCATCCGATACAAGCGTAACTTGCCAGGCAAGAACCTTTCTGGTCTTACCATGTTTGGCGGTGTCATTGCCATTTGCGCATACGGTTTCTACAAGGTCGGCCTCGGAAACCTCGAAAAACGGTAAGCTTCCACCCTGCCTACAATATCTCTCCCTGCAATTTTGTTCCGAATGAGATACTCATGCATGCTTTCTTTGCATTGCCTCCGATGCTGGGACGAACAGAGAGCTCAAGAGGGAACGTGCGTGGTCGCGAATCCACCTGATTCCTTTGCTCATGGCCGAGTCGGACCGAGACGCTTACCGACGAAACGAAGCACAGATTGCACGAGAGAAGGAGATCATGAAGGACGTTCCAGGATGGGAGGCCGGCAAGTCGGTTTACAACACAAAGAAGTACACCGCACCTAACTTCATCGTACTCTGATGTACCTTCGTTTCCGGAGCTTTAAACAGGCTTGCAATCGAGTATAGCAGATTCTAAACAAATTCTGGGTAGCGCGTGATATGATGGTTGTGCTGTAGTACCTAAGGCCGGTGGGAGGCGGTCAATCGGCACAGAAGGGGTCTGAAATATCTCAAAAGGAGAAGTCCACAGCTGCTGCACAAGCTTGGTCTGACTGTACACATGACTAGCTTCGAGAGAAGGTAGACGGCCTTCGTGGCAGCAGGCGTACGTGCTGCAGATGGCGGAGCTTGACAGGCGTCAAGAACCATCATCTCCAAAGGGTTTAAACACCATTACTCGTCCATTTTCTGATCGATCTTGTTCGAAAATTGGAGAGCGTGTTTCCCTCAGAATTACACGTTCATGGTGGTCAAAAAATTGACCATAGAAAAAAAGAATGGTGACAAGAGTGGGATTCGAACCCACGCCCGAAGATAGCAGGTCTTCCTAGATCAATCCAGGATATCTTCCTTAATGCTACGCCTTAGACCACTCGGCCATCTTGCCTTAGATGTTAGACTTTTCTCAGGTTTGATTATATATATATATAGAAGTGTCAACCTCGGGCATAAATGCACGGATCGCCCTCCACTTGCGTGCTCTGCAAACACACTTTCGCTTCCGTGACATTTCAGGGTCATGCATCCTATCCATCATCACCACCCACAACTCGCTATTCTGCTTGTAGAGCTTGCCAGGCCACGCCATAACTCCACTCTTCGACGCGGAACAACAGTCATCCTCCGGATCGGACACTGGACAGCATTCAGGACACTCCGTCACCCGTGGAAACTACCAGCACCCGCTTACTGTCGCTTCAAATTTGCATCAGTCTCGCATGCCAACCTCATAGCATCAGTAGGACCCTTCCAAAAGTAGCAGTGAGTGGCTTCATCTCATCGAAGCTGCACGAAGGGAACAGTGTCGGACTCAGCCACGATGTCCTCGCCGCAAGACACGGTCAAGCTTGCCGACGAGATCAGGCAGAGGCAAGCTGCCGATCGTCACTTCCCCACCTTTGCTACGCGTGGCTTTGGTCGTCGTGAGCGGCCATTTCTTCAAACACACTCCTCGCAGCAGACGGACCTGTCGACCGAAGACTATCCGGCCACAAATCCGAGAGCTGGCGCGGACGACGAAGATGAGGATCAAACGAAAGACCACACATCGGCCGGTACAGTAGGGGACGCGGGAACCCAACCTGTGACGCTACCAGATGACGACGACGAAGAAGCTGGACAGCTTGAAATGGACTACGCCCCACCAGAAGAGACTGCAGAGCCTACAGATGCAACGGATGCACTGGACGCAGCGCAAAACAAGCAAGATGGTGGAGAAGGACCATCTTTGGCAGCTGAGATATTAGCCGCTGCAGCATCATCGACACCGACTTCGCCGAGGAAGAGGGCCCATAAGCGAAGACCAGACTCGTTGCGGAGAACTGAGAGCAGCTCTTCGGCAGGACGCGCAAGTGTGAGCTCCGTTGATTCTTTGCCGACCTCGCCAGGGCCCAGACGGAAAAGGTTGTCGGTGTCAAGGGGCGAAACGAGTAGAGACTCGCAATTTGAGGGGGAAAGGAAGAAAAGAATGACGGTGCTGCTTGAGGGGGAGATTCCGGAGGGAGACGGTGCCGCCAACGGAGAAGAGGATATGGAAGAAGAAGAGAAGTCTAGAGCCAGCAAAGATCACGAAACGTCAATAGAAAATGATGAAGACGAGAAGGTAGCGAAACCTCCAGCGTCTGATACAAAACCGACACATGATACTTTTGAAGCCGATGCTGAAGCCGATGAAGAGGCGGAAGAAAGCGAAGAGGAAGAGGACAAAGACGAGGAGGAGGCCAGCGAAAGCGAGGAGGAAGAGGAGGAAGAGGAGGAAGACGAAGTCGAGCCATCACTCAAGTACTCGCGCGTCAAAGGCGGAGTCAGCGACGTTCTCAAAAAGGATACCGCATCAGCCTTCGCCCTCTCTTCCCGCTTCATGGCACTTGGCACCCACGCCGGCATGATCTACATCCTCGACATCGACGGCAACCTCGTCAAAGGCTTCCGTCTTCACACTGCCTCAATCCTCGATCTTGTCATCGACAATGCATCCGACTTCGTCGCTGCGGCTTCCATGGACGGTCTCGTCTCGATCTCTGCCCTTGCTACAGCCGAGCAGTACGTGTTCGACTTCAAGCGTCCCATGCGCTGTATCTCGCTCGAGCCGAACTTCGGACGCAAGTCTTCCCGTGCCTTTGTATGCGGTGGGATGGCTGGGTCCCTTACACATCGGGAAAAGGGTTGGCTTGGGCACAAAGAGACAGTGCTGCATTCAGGCGAAGGGCCGATCTGGACGACGAGGTGGAGGGGCAACATGATCGCTTGGGCAAGTGACAAGGGTGTCAGGGTGTACGATACAGATGCAAGACAGAGGATCAGCTTTATTTCAGCGCCAAGCAAGAATGTGAGAGGTGACTTGCATCGGTGTACACTGTACTGGCAGGATGATAGGACGCTGCTGATTGCTTGGGCGGACCATATTAAGGTGGCGAAGATCAAAGAAAAGCAAAGTGGAGGTGCGACAGCGTCTTCAAGGGCGAGTATTGCTTCGAACTCGACACAGAATGCCGCTTCTGCACTGAGCAAGGTCGGTGTGCCGGGTGCAGGAGCAGGTCATCCGCAATACTTCATCGAGATCACTGCCATCTTTCAGCTCGACTGTATGATCTCCGGCATCGCACCTTATGGCTTGGACTATCTAGTGCTAGCCTACGTCACCGAGGAGCCGGAAGAGTCAGACGATGAAGATGCCGAGGAAGAGCAAGACGGCGCCTCAGTGCACCGTGCGTTCAAACGAGGCGAAGCGCTTCGACCGGAACTCCGCATCATCAGCCGTGCCGGCGAAGAACTCAGCTCCGACGTTCTCAGTCTCAACGACTACTTCCGTTTCCAGTGCAACGACTATCTCCTCGTCCCATCCATCGAAGCACATGCCTACTCCGCAGCGCTACTAGCTGGGCGCAAAGTCAGAACTGACATCACCGAAGCTTCCCAATTTTACGTCGTCAGTCCTCGAGACATTGTCGTCTCCAAACCACGCGACGAGAAGGACCATGTAGAATGGCTCCTCGAGCGCCAACGGTTCCAAGAAGCCCTTGTCAAGATTGAAGGTATGGGTCGAACAGCAGCGCTTCAGAACGGATTTGATGCTGAAGAAATCGGCAAGAAATATCTCAATTGGCTTGTTGAAGAAGATCGTTACTCGGAAGCAGCGCGTGTGGCTAGTAAGATCCTCGGACGAAACGTACAAGCGTGGGAGGATTGGATCTTCTTGTTCGTTGAGAAGGGCAAACTTGGGTTGGCTATCCCTTTTATCCCGACGTCGGATCCCACGCTGAGCGAGATGATCTATGATATGATTTTGGCGCATTTTCTACAGCACGATCTGAAGAAGTTGCTAGAAACAATACAGGAGTGGCCGCCTGAGATTTACTCGACTCCCGCGGTTGTTTTGGCTATCGAGGATAGGCTCAAGTCTGGCAGTTGTGAGGCGGGGAAGGAGAAGTTGCTCATGGAGTGCTTGGCCGAAATTTACATTCGGAATAGGCAGCCAGGGAAGGCGTTACAGTACTTCCTGCGCTTACGACGAGCAAACGTGTTCGATCTCATTCGAGAGAACAACCTGTTCACGGCTGTCCAAGATGAAGCATTGCTGCTGATCGAGTTCGAGGAAGATCTCAAGATGCGTCGACCTGCGGAGCAGCAAGTATCGAAACACGGCGCAGCGATTGATCTACTCGTCGACCACACCTACTCCATTCCCATCGGAAGAGTGATCGCACAACTCGAATCGCATCCAAGATACCTCTACATGTATTTGGATGCATTGTTTGACCGCGATTCACAGCAAGTCACGCCATTCTGCGACCTTCAAGTGAAACTGTACGCTGAATACGACGCCCCACGACTCATGTCCTACCTTCGGGCAATGTCTAGCTTTTATAGCTTCGAAAAAGCATTTTCGATCTGCGAAAGTCACGATTATGTTCCAGAGATGGTCTTCCTTCTTGGTCGGGTAGGTGATAACAAACGGGCGCTATCCCTCATCATCGAGCGACTAGGTGATGTCGAACGAGCGATCGACTTTGCGAAAGAGCAGAATGATGATGATCTTTGGGAAGACCTCTTACTCTACTCGGAATCAAGACCGGCATTCATCAGAGGCTTGTTGGAGAATGTAGGAGCAGAGATCGATCCGATTAGGCTGATTAGGAGGATTAAGAACGGGTTGGAAATTCCAGGGTTGAAATCGGCACTGATGAAGATCTTGAGTGATTTCACATTGCAGATCAGTTTGTTGCAGGGATGTGAGAGGATTTTGGGCAGAGATGTGAAGGTGTTGGCCGAGGAATTGGGAAGATCCTTGAGGTATGGTGGCTATGTGGATGAGGAAAGTGTTTGTTCTAGCTGCGAGAATGGCCTGTTTGCGAAGGGGGGTAAGGAAGATGCGTGGCAGAAAGCTAGACAGAGCAAAGTGGTCGTTTATCTTTGTGGACATGTTCATCATTTGACTTGTCTTCTTCCTCCAGCCAATATCCCAGTCGTTAAAGGAGTCGTGGCAAGTGGAGCGGGAGGTCAAGTGAAATGTACAACAACACAAGCATTCGCCAGCACTGCAAACATCAAACAACGGTGGAACTACTTAGAACATCGTCACGAAAAAGTCGTAGGAGAAGGGAAGCATATCTCTGCATCATCGACAGTCGAATTGACTAAATACGGTCCTCTTCAGCGTGCCGAGGATGGAGTAAGGCAGTTTCAGAATGCGCTCAAGTATGAAGCGAGATTACGATCGACTTTGGTGGGTAAGAAAGGTTGCCCTACGTGTCGGAAGGAAGGTCTAGTTTCTAATGCCTAGCACAGTAGTCAGGAGGATGGAATGTCATCTCTAATTTTTACCAGTCTTTTGCGAGTGGTGACTGTGTGTTGTACAAAGTTGAGCATGTGAGATGGTTGAACGTCTATGGACGTACAGCTCCTTGGGCAGAAGCTTGAGCAGCAGGCGTGGGTAGACCTTGCCACATTGCTCTTTCCCTATCGCCTTCTGGACCGGGTGGTGGGTTTGGAGTGAAGAACTTGCATCTCGACTTGAACTCATCTAAACTTCGAGCCCTAATAATGCTTTCCACTTTCAACTCGTTATGTAACTGTCTAGCTAGGGTCTCTGCACTATTTTCTGCTCGACTCCATCTTTGTTCGCCTGCGTTCACCACACTTGCTGGTGCCGAGGAAGGATGGTAATCTGCGTCGAGTAATCTATCCTTACTGCTGCCTGGTGCTGTATTGTTCTGAGTAGAGCTTGAAGGGTTGTTTTGATCGGCAACTTTGATGCAGAATCGAACGACTTCTTCTCTGCCGATCCAAACGTCGACTAGTTGTCTCCAGAATGCAGCACAGGCTCCAGGTGCAGGAGTAGCGTATGTGCTCGTGCCCAAGTCTGAGGAGCTAGCTGAGTTCATACTGGAAGAGGAGAGGAGGGAAGGAGAGGCGGATTGACCGAGAGCTCGGGAGCGGGCGAAACTGCGATTGAGACGGGTGGATATTCCATCGTCCAGTTGACGGTATTGGCGGAGAAGTTCTTTGAACTCGCCTATGGCGATACAGGTTGAGGGGGTGAGGTTGGATACGGATGGTGGCGTGAGTGGTTTGAGGACGAAAGATGAGCCGAGAGTGATGGGTTCGTACTGTGGTGCATAGGCTGAGGGTTCGGTGGAGGAATCGGAGGAGGATGAAGAGGAGGAAGAGGAGGAAGAGGAGGACGAGGAGGAAGAGGAGGAAGAGGAGGTAGAGGGCTTGTTGAACCTCGAGAGTGAGGGCGAGACCCACGTTGACATTGTTGCTGCAGTGCCAGTGAGGGAGGAAGATGTGAGTAAGTGTGTGTTATAGCTGAAGATGCGGCGAGTTGGAGAGAACAAGGAAGGAAGGAGGTGTTGGTCGAGACCAAGGCGACTTTGCACTGTTGCGGAAGACGGTAAGCCTGTCTGGCTGCTTAGTCGAATCAAGCTTGTCAGCCAGAAAGTGACGTGCAAGCGGCGAATTTTCAAAGATCAAAAGTGGAGCAACACACGCCTTCTGTCCGATTTCCGAGATCTACAAACTGAGTTGGCTGAGTTGGTTGCGACAGCGCCGAGCAAAACAAAGCGTCTGGCCCTTGCTCAGATGCGCACCCCAAGTCACGTGCAAGACACACGCCTTCTGTCCGATTTCCGAGCTTGGTGCTCACCGATACTCTTCCGAACACACTCAAGCTTGGTGTCGTGCCATGCCACTATCGCTCAGAAAATGCAGACACTAACATCAAAGAGCACAGTTGTGAACAGGGCAAGCGTCACTATGAATGGCAATGCTACTCTGTATTTACACCTGAATGTACTTATAAGGATTCAAAATACCCTTGGGATCGAACAAATCCTTGATCTTCTTCATGTACTCGATGCTTTCCGGTGTCTTGCTGTAACCGATCTTTGTCGCCTTCATCAGTCCCAATCCGTGTTCTGCACTGACACTGCCCTTAACATCCGAAGTCCACTCGTAGATAAAAGGCTCGATGATCTTCTCGATCTTCCCATCGTATGACTTGGCCACAATGTTGATATGCAAGTTTCCATCACCAATGTGACCGTATCCGCAAACGGCGCCTACATCCTTGCCTTCACCGTGAACACCGTGTTCGTCGAGCCTCTTGCGCATGTCCAGCACAAGCTCGTACATCTTGTTAATAGGCATCGAAAGATCGTACTTGAACACTTTACCCATCTTTCCTGCTGCTTCGGGGATGCTTTCACGGAGAGCCCAGAGACCTTGGAGTTGAGTCTCATCCTGCGCGAGAACTCCGTCTTGGATCATGCCTTCTTCCATGAGATGCTCGAGGAGAAATTGAAGCTTCTCGTCGTCGTGGTCTTTGTTTGAACCGCTGGTCTCGATGAGGACGTAGAAGGGATGGCGAGCTTCGAAAGGGTCACGTACGTGAGCTGTAGCATGCTTCTGGACAACGTCGAAGGAGGTCTGGTCGAAGAATTCAAACGCAGAGAGAATCTCACCGCAGTGCTTCTTGACTTGGCCGAAGACTTGCTGGACTGCCTCATAGGAGTCGAGGGCGAAGACAGCAACGTTCATAGCCAAAGGTCGGCGTGGTGTGACGATAGAAACGCCAGTGATGAGACCGATGGTACCTTCAGAACCGATGAAGAGCTGCTTGAGGTCGAAACCAGTGTTATCCTTGCGAAGTGTAGAGAGGTTGTCCATGATAGTGCCGTCGGGAAGAACCACTTCGAGACCAAGAACGTTACCGTGCAAGCTACCGTATCTGAGGAAGCGAAGACCACCTGCGTTGGTCGCAACGTTGCCACCAATGTGGCAAGAACCCTTGGCACCGAGATCAAGCGGCATCATATATCCCTTTTCGGCGATGTGGTTGTCAAGAGCCTCAAGAATGCAGCCTGCATCGCAGACGAGCGTGCCAGCCACCTGGTCGAAAGAACGAATCTGGTTTAGACCGCCGAGTTGAATGACAACCTCGTCGAACACAGGCACCCCACCTCCTACCAAGCCGGTGTTACCACCCTGGGGAACGACAGCGATGTTCTTGCTGTGGCAGTACTTGATGATCTCAGAAACCTCCTTTGTTGTCTTGGGTTTGAGCACGAGCTGTGACTTGCCGTGGTACTTGTTCATCCAGTCATTGTTGAACATATCAAGCTCGTCCGGGTCAACGGCCTGGTATGAGGCTGCACGGGACTCGGGTGCAATTGTGGTGAGGATCTGAGAAGGCGAGGGGAGAATCTTGGCGAATGCCTCGACATCTGCGGCGGTGATGTTGGCGAAGGCATCGGATCGAGCGATGGTGGCCATGCTGCGATGTGGTAAGCGTGGCTGAGTTGATAGCGGTGGCAGGGTCTGACGGGCAGTGCGAGTCGAGTAGAAAGCAGAAGAAGCGGAGGTGCCCATAGCTCGCGCAAGTGCCGGTCGAAGTGCTGGTGCTTCAGCAGCGGCAGGTCGAAGGAGCTTGGCAAGTGTTTGCCCGGTAGCGCGGGCTCTTGGCGTAGCGCTCATCGTTATGAATATGGAGCTCTACGGTTATTGAGGTGCGGTGGCAGGGAAGCGGCGATGGAGTGGAGAAGAGGTGGTCAAGAATGTAGATGGTGAGTTGTCAACGAAATCTAATCTGGCCACCGTGCGTGAGAAAAGCTGTCCGCTGTCCGCTGTCCGCTGTCCGCTGGCTGCTGCCTGATTATCAAGATTTGCAAAGAGAATTCGAGTTTTGTATAGCCAGTCGACACGTCCCTTTCCTCACGATCCTGCTCCACGAACCTCCATCTCTCAATCACCACCACCAACTAGGCGAGCTGACCTTGCTTCGCCATCATCCCCTATCTCCTTGCTCATAGTCCTTGCACCTTTTCCCCGACAACATTAGTGGCGTTTGGTTACTCTAGCTATCTTGCATCGCATCCTCATCTATCCCGGCAACTAGACCTCGACATCCGCGTCTTACGACTCAGCATCTTCCCGCATCCGCTTCATCAAAAGCATCAATAGAGTCGCGGCACATTCATCACACGCACGATAACCATCCACACAAGGGCTATCCCCTTTCACAATCGCAGCTCGCTTCGCCCCTGTGAAAGCATCAGCACAACCCCGTAACTTCCATCTGAAGCAGCACCCCAGCAAGGCTGCTATCTGGTAGCGCCACCCCCTCTCTCAGCCACTGCATTTCCGCTCGACCAGCATCTGGACAGCAAGGTGGCTCCCCAAAGCCCCCTCTGCCGTCCTGTACAATACCAAACATCGGACGGCATCATGGGCAGCGATCTAGATCTGCAAATTGAGCAGCTCAAGAAATGCCAACCTCTCTCCGAGACCCAAGTGAAAGAGCTCTGTCTCAAAGCACGCGAGATCCTCATCGAAGAAGGCAACGTTCAACACGTCGATGCTCCCGTTACCATATGCGGTGACATCCACGGTCAATTCTTCGACCTGATGGAGCTGTTCAAACATGGCGGCATGTGCCCCGAGACAAACTATCTCTTCATGGGTGACTTTGTCGATCGTGGCTTCTACTCCGTCGAGACCTTCCTCCTCCTGCTGGCGCTGAAAGTACGATACCCAGATCGGATCACTTTGATACGAGGCAACCACGAGTCACGGCAGATTACGCAGGTGTATGGCTTCTATGACGAGTGTGTACGCAAGTATGGCAGTGTCAATGTGTGGAGATATTGTTGCGAGGTGTTTGACTATTTAGCGTTGGGTGCCGTCGTTGATGGAAGGGTCTTTTGCGTTCACGGTGGACTGTCGCCGAACATTACAACGCTGGATCAGATCAGGAGTATTGATAGGAAGCAGGAGGTTCCACATGATGGTGCTATGTGCGATTTGCTTTGGTCTGATCCAGATGATATTAGCGGTTGGGGAATGAGTCCTAGAGGTGCAGGGTATCTATTCGGAGGCGATATCGTCCAGCAATTTGCCCATACGAATGATTTGGATCTTATCGCCAGGGCACATCAGTTGGTGTTGGAAGGGTACAAGTTGATGTTCGATCAGACCATCGTTACTGTCTGGTCAGCACCGAATTATTGTTATAGGTGCGGGAACGTTGCATCCATATTGAAGCTCGATGAGGCGTTGAATCAGAAGTACGAGACTTTTGATGCAGCCGCTCAGGAAGCTCATGGTGTACCGGCAAAGAGACCGGCTCCTGAGTACTTCTTGTAGTCTCCAACTCAAGCTCTCTTATTCTATCCTTCACTGTGATGGACTGCTCGAAAGAAAGAAAGAAAAAGCGCGATGGTCTTCGGGCTATTGCTGTTGTACTTGTAAGAATTCTCACTTTGTTGTATGCAATAGCGATTGTCGTATATTCACTGTGTATGAGTCTGTGTAACAACTGCATATCAGCTAGCATGTAATCGCAATTCGCTCGAACGGGGTTTTAGTAACCAGCAGCACCAGGCGCAGTCTCACCCTCCCTTCTCAACTTCAGATACAACTCCTTCATCCTTGTCAAATCCGAACTTCCGGGACCCGTCCTAGCGATCGTCTTGCTCTGGCTGTTCTTCAACTCCAGAATCTTTGTAACCCTATCCCAGGTGGTTCCCTCGGCGAGTTCTCGCGTGCGCTGTTCTTGGAACTTAGCTTCGTTCTCCTTATTAGCAGCGATGTTCTTTTCCTTCTTGGCGTTGTATTCGGCGTAAAAGTTGTCGATGTCTTGTTCGGCTTTCGAGATGGCTTCTGCCTTTTTGCGTTCTCCTTCGGCGTCACGTTTAGCGATGGCCTCTTTTTGCGATTCGCGCCATTGACGAACTGGTTCAGGTTCTTCAGTGGAATCTTCGTAGGAGTAGGAGGTTTGGGCGGGAGCGGTGTAGGATGAAGGAGCGGCGGCGCGGGTAGCGGAGGGTGCTGAGGGAGCACTCATCAGGTTGTCCTAAGAGAGTCGAAGCAAGGGGATGTAGCGAGGATAGATTGTAAGTATCGCACATCACGAAAAAAAAAAACAACAACAAAAGTTGGGCAGACTGCAGATCTGGATACTTACAGCATCATCATGGTAAGAAGCGCCATTGGTGTTGGTGGAAGGACCATCGTCCAACTCGGGGAAGTTCTGTTCGAACTTTCCCACCTCATCGTCAACAGGCTTGGCAGAAATTGCCGAAGTGGGCTCAGGTTCGTCGTCAAAGCCGAATGCACCGGTCGAGCTAGCGTTATTGTTGGTGTTGGATGTTGCAGGAGCAGGGATACCATCATCGTCTAGCGCAGGGAAAGCGGATGCAGAGCGTTCAAAGTCGTCTGCAGAGGCACCAGCAGCGCCGGCTCCTGAAGAGCCAAAGAGATTGGCATCGCCAGAGAGGACACCAGCAGCCTCACGCTCACGAGCGAGGAAGTCGGCGGTAGGGTCGGAGGGCTTGGATTCGCCAAAGTCGAATGCCATTGTGGGCTATGTGTGCGAGCAGTGATGAGCTGCGTGCGATCGAAGTGGATGCGCGGACAAGGTGAGGTCCGGTTTGACGAGGGTGTCGCAGGTGTCAGTGGATCGCTGGGTCCAAATGCGGCGATTGATGCCTTGTGGTGGTTGAAGCAATGTACGAGAGGGTGAAAGCGAAGGTGAAGGTGGATGGTGGAAGTGAATGGTGGTGGAAGTGAATGGATTGTTTGACGTTCTAGAGCTTCCAAGAATTGGCAGGTGCACGCAACAGCAAACAGGCAGGACAGCTGAAAAGCCTCGCGTTCTTGGCTGTGTTGGCTCTGCGTGTGTGTTGGCTGCCGATCATCTGTCCTCGCCTCCGTGTCTGTGCGCGTCTCAAGAGAAAGAGAGAGAGAGAGAGTTGAGCGAGCAGCCCTTCCGAACTCAATTCCAATTTCAGATCGGTCTGCCCGATCTAAGTTATGTTCGATTTGTTTGGCATTGTTAGAGCCCGTTGCCATGCACATCTTTCTACATTTTCGTTTTGCCAACGAGGTGCCAACAGTCTCTCAAGACAATTTAGCATGCAACCTACTGGAACAACCACAAAGCCAGCGACAGCTTCTTAGAGACATGTGCATTGATTGAGAATGCGAGGTGTTTGATCGGAATCACCTCGTATAGCGAGAGTGACTTGAAAATACATGATGATGTTGGGAGAGAGTTACGTGAGCGAAATGCATGTTGAGAGTACAACGGATCCTCGATACAGGCTCTCGCCCTCCTGCATTGAGACCCTTGATTTTGACTTTTGGGTTGGTGTGGAATATGTGGGCGGATCAAGGTGATCCAATCGAACAAAGCATGCTGTGATATTCTATCCGATTAGGCCCGTATGTGTGTATGAGATGGGAGAGGTAGCAAACAAGTACGAGAGGAAACGCTTAGAAACGACCGAACTGCTTGGCGGCCTTCTCGGCAGACTTGTTCTTGGCGACCTTGAGGACGTTGAAACGAACAGTCTTGGAGAGAGGTCGGCACTGGCCGATGGTGACAGTGTCACCGACCTGGACACGGAAAGCGGGAGAAACGTGGGCGGCAACGTTCTTGTGGCGCTTCTCGTATCGCGAGTACTTGGGGACGTAGTGAAGGTACTCTCGGCGAATGATGATGGTACGGGTCATCTTGGTGGAGATAACCTTGCCCGTCAAGATACGGCCGCGGATGGAAACAAGACCGGTCCAAGGGCACTTCTTGTCTGTTCAGTGTGCCGGGAAGCAATGTCAAAGAGAAGATGCAAAGGAGTCAGTAATCTGGCTCAGGGCGTGTTGGTTGTTGCATTCGCTTCGACCAATCAGCATTTGGTTGCTCATAATCCATCATCGGTGCAGGTCGAGCGCTTCCCTGTGGAAGATGACAACAGTAGCAGCAGTGAAAGCAGTTTGGTCGGGAGCATGGCAGTCAAAGGCGCTGCATAGGCGTGCAGTGGCGCTATCAGGATGTTGGCGATAGGTCCAGTCCGTTCTGATCAGAGTATGTGCCCTTCAGTCTCGCGTGATAGAGCGATGAGCTGCTAGTATCGATGAACATCCGATGTCGGCCACCCCATAGCTTCACCGGCTTGTCCGCACCATAACCAATGTACGTGACGCTTCTCCTGTTTTCGGAGTCGTCGTCAAACCAAAGGACAAACCTTCCATCAAACAACGAGCTGCGTCCGGTCAACGTGTTCAATTTAGTCTTGTCTCCATTGTAGCTCATTCAGAAGAATGCTATGCCTGATGTTGTGTAGCCAGACTCAACCCGCAGTGCAAAAGCATGCGTGACGATTGTTCCCCCGCATATCTCCTTCGAGGCTGGCATCGTCCTCCACGCATGTATTGACAATGTGAATGAACCCCTGGTGCTGACAGCAACATGGTTGCGTGAAGTGGCCTGATAGATGCAACTCAATGCTATTTGTTCCTACCGCATTGTGTATCCGTGTCATGCTAATAGCCCTCGTCTGCACTTTCCGCTGATGATGTCGCTTTCACTAAAGTCAAATAGCAGCGATACTGCTACTGCTACTGCTGTTGCTATTGTTGTCCGTGCCGGGTCCTGCTATTGCTTCTTCTGCGACTGCTTCTGCTGCTGCTGATGCTATGTCGGTATGCTCTGTGGGCGCGTTCGACGATGGAAATGATGTTGATGCTGATTGTCGATGCTGCAAGTGTGTGTCGGCTGCTTACCGATGTAGGTACCGTCAATGGCGGCACGCGGGGTCTTGAAGCCAAGACCGACATCCTTGTACCATCGGCGGTCGCGGGTGGTCTTGCGAGCAGCCTTGGAGTTCTGGAAGATGGGCTGCTTCTGGAAAGCCTTTTCGGTCTGGACACCGAGCTCAACGTTCGACATGATGGGCGATTGTTGTTGGGTAAGGTGAAGAAAGGGGGGGGGATCGGATAGGTCTTGAGGGAACGATGGTGGTGACGACAACGACGACAAAGCTTGGTTCACTCAGGTGAGTGCCAGGCTCAGCAGCCAGACCAGACACATTTCTGTCGCCGTCGCGGCCTGCAAGCACACAATTCTCGAATTCTAGGTTTTCTCGAGTTTCCTGAGATTCGAGATTTCCATCCAAACAAGGCAGCAGCTCCAGTATATCATGCCACTCTGCCTTCTGCTGGGTCTCCCAAGCTTTGCAAGCATCTGGACGGACTGGCCTGTGGGCTCATTTGAACGCTCAGTTGAGCCCCAACAGGCCAACACCGCGTTCTGCGGCCTGAAAGATGCAAACTTCTCGACCCGGAATAAAAAAATACGGTTGCAGAACGGCTCTTCGCCTATTTTTCAAGTTCTTTGTGCCGAGCACGAGACTCGGCCGAGCTCTCTGCCCCCGCCAAAAAATCAAAAATCAAAAAATCAAATCAGGGAATTCCGAAAAACAGACAAAGACTGAATCGGGAACCATGTCAATCATCCTGCTGCGACAGTGACAAGCGGTTGGCTGCAACAGCTTTCCCGATCTGGTAAAGGCTGCAATTTGGCAGTTTTCAGGACAAGTAACGATGGAGAAGCTTTGCAGCTTGCGAACCAGGGAGCACGACCAGTCCTGGGGCCGGTGCTGAGGCTCAGTGATAGCAGTCTGTCGTTGTCGCTGTTTGTAGCCTCCTCTCACGAACCACATCACCATACCTTTTCGTATTCCCATTCTTCACCCTTCGTGCTGAGTAGGAATCGTCACCTTTCTTTTGCGATCCCTTTCGAAGAAGCCACCCTTTTTCTTCCCTTTTTCCAATAACCGCAATCATGTCTGACGTCGAGGAGGTCCCCCAGCAGGTCGAGGAGGTCGAGGTGGCTGACGCTGCCCCCGCCGCCAAGGGTGCCATGTCCATCGAGGACGCTCTCCAGGAGGTTCTCAAGAAGGCTCTCGTCCACGACGGTCTCGCTCGTGGTCTGCGTGAGTGCGCCAAGGCTCTTGACCGTCGTCAGGCGCACCTTTGCGTTCTCGTCGAGACCTGCAACGAGCCCGAGTACCTCAAGCTCATCGAGGCTCTCTGCAACGAGCACAAGATCGACTTGCTCAAGGTTTCCGACCCCAAGACCCTCGGTACCTGGGCCGGTCTCTGCAAGATCGACCGTGAGGGTAATCCCCGTAAGGTCGTCGGCTGCTCATGCGTTGTCGTCAAGGACTACGGTGAGGATTCCGAGGGTCTTAACGTTCTCCTCGAGTACTTCAAGAGCCGTTAAATGTAGACATGCTTGATGTTCAGATCGATGTCGTAACAAGAATGTTGGCCAAGACAAGTCGATGCATCTTGCCCGGTTGAAGGTTAGTATTCAAACAACGACATTACAGAGAAAGGAAATTTGGGTGGAAGCGATGCAAGATCGCGGGACGGTGATGAGATTGGTTGAGCAAGTCGTGGCCTTTGCAATTTGAGGTGGAGGCAGAAGGTAGGAAGGCTGCTGCTCTTTGCTCTTACAACGATGATATACAGGACTCCCTCAACGGATAGTGCCCCGCCCTTTGCGGTTGGGTACAGAGAAGAAAACCGCCTATCCGGAATCATTATACTTGTCTGACATCGAGCCAGAGCATGGCCAAGGATACGGAAGGAGGACAAGGAGGCATATTCGCAACGGAGATTCTGTTTTTCTCACATCTGAGGAGCATCGAACTGACCCCTCTGCTACTTGTTTATCTGCCCTACCTGCTCTCGGCATTGCTATCGTTCAGTTTCTCGTCGAGTTGCATTCGAGCTCTCAACCTTTGAATCCAAAGTTAGGCCGTTTGTTGGCTGTCAGCCTCACATTCTTCTCGGAGTGTTTATTTGACTTTGCACGCCTGTGTCGTTGCGTGCTTTCTAATTGGGTTCTAATTGAGCCATTCGTTATGTATTCTGAACCGATGGCAAATCATGGATATGAAGGGTTTATGAGCATGAGTGCGGAGTCTGCTCGGGTACAAGTATATGCAAGAATGGTTGTGACGTTGGTTGCAGCGCTTCTCGTCAGCGCGGCGAATGGCTGAAACGATCTGGCGGAGGTTGCCTATCTCGGCCCATGGGTCTGGACGGCTTAGGTGCCAATGCCAGGGAAGGATCTGGTTTAATGACGCAGTCAAGCATGTCGCCGTCAACCAAGTTGAGCTCTGCTAGAGTGATGGCTGCTGCATTCTCATCGATCTCGTCTTGCAAAAGATCCAAAGCGAGCAGCTTCGATGTCGATACTCGATCGTGTGCCTTGTTTTGACGTTGCTCAGGTGTGTCAGTGTCCATGCGATCTTTGTCAGGGGTATCCAGATCTGACAAGAGGGCTGAAACACTGGCGAGCGGAACTCGAGTGATACCTACGCCTATCGGTGTAGCTTCAAAGTCGCCAGGGAGTCGTTCGCTGCGGTGGATGCGTCGGAAGGCGTGCAGTGCGAGGGGCGTCGAGATGCAAGTGTCGGCATCGTAGAGCATTTGAGCAACTTCTCTCAGTGTGTTTGTCTTCCTGCAAGTTGGTCGATGCAGACGGAAGAAGTTGGAGTTTGGTCAACTTGGACGGGTGAGACAGAATGGGCGCTTGTGAGGCAACGCCAGGTTGTGCTTTACTTACCAGACATGCAGCTTGAACTCGTCACGGGAGAGACGCCCTTCGGAGTGAAAGTCTTCAAGAGATCGAAAGGGTACCGGCTTGACAAAGACTCGAAGCAAGAATGGAGTGGCCTGGAAGCGAGGGGCAGCGGGCGACAGGGTGAAAGTTTGGTCAGTGAGGAGTAACTACAACGACAACGTTGATCGAGTGAGAAGACCTACATCGTCGCCTGGTGATGGTGGGCGCTCTTCCATGCTGCCTTTACTGACTCATGGAGAGCTGGGAATGTCGCTGCCGTCGAAAGAGGCTCACCTGCGGTGATGGAGAAAGGAGCATACATACCTGTGCGGTGACCGCAAGAAGATCTGATGCGCTCGCCCGCAAAAGTGGAGGAATCGAGTGCCAAAGCATTCGGCCACAGCATTCGGCCACAGCATTCGGCCAAAGCCGACGCGCCAAGCCTGGATCTGCGTCGTGTTGCTCTCTCTGTTTAAAAATAATAATAATAACAAATTTCAAGTCGCGGCGAACAAGAATTTGATGAGTGTTGTTCTCAAAAGGCTTGCTTGTCGCAGCAGCAATTGATTGACACCAACCAAAGTGGAATCGCAGCATTGCCGAGACCCAATGAATCATTTCCGGTAGCTGCCACTTATACGAGTCAGTGTGATATACGCCAAGAGCAAAGGAGCTTCTTTCACCAACATGAACAACACTGACACTCACCACGCTCATCGTCACACCTTGTCAAGCAGAGTATCCCAAGCACTCTTGCCGTCGATTCACAAGTCTCAGGCCATCTGCTCCTCCAGCCACTGGCGCGTATCCCACTCAAGCAAGCCTTGCTTCCTCAAGTCACACGACTCGGCTGCGACTTCTAAGCTGGTCTCGACTGCCCAGCTGCAAAAGGCCGAACTTGATCACAGACAGCAACACACAGCCGCCACGCTGGATAGTCGCCTCCTCGTCCATCGAAAAGCTAAACTCAGCCTCCTGTGGATCACAACTCGCAAATTCACGCCTCACAGCTGACCAGAGTTCACGCCTTCCGACGTCAGAATGTCGCGGTCCTGCTCGGCTCCCTTCTAGCACAAGCGGAACCACAGCATACATGCTCTTGTTCCAACTCTCGACGCATATACAAGCTGACCTAACTCCGACTGCTTAGGTGCCGCCACCTGAATTTGTGACGCATACAGCCTCCTCCTCACCTGCTTGGTCGTTCTGCACTGTATTAAAGCAACACTCTCGCTGCACTCTGCCACAATGACAGACCTTCACAATGGGGCTCTAAGCCCTTCTCGACAGATACAGGCACTGCAAGAGTCAGATCACAACATCGACCTAGGCTCCACCGAGATAGTCACTCCTCTCGAAACCGACTCAGCCGCCCTGCCCTCAGCTGCTACGCTCTCTCCGTCTCACCAAACTCAGCTTCATCAAACTCAGCCTTATCAAACTCAGCCTCAGCATTCCATACCCACGCAACAGACCGGAGACGTCGCACCACACGGTAACCGAGTCGCAACAACACCAATAGCGTCCGACATGAGACAGCCATCACCACAACCGCAGCATACAGTCCCCTCCGTCAGACAGTCGACAGCATATAACGACACCCTCAGAGCGAATCCCTCACACCGTTCCGCAATGCCACAAGAGAATCTGAAAGCGATTCCATTTCAGACCTCGTTGCAAGCGGAAGACGATGGGACTGGTGACGAGCTTGTTGATGCGACCGAAGATGCAGATGACGACCTCGCTGACGAAGAAGAAGAAGAAGACGATGGCGAGGAGGACACCGAACCTTCCATCAATACCTCAAGCGAAGATGCAAGGTATATGGAGGCCATAAAGCTTCAAGAGGAGATCGAAGATCTCGAAAACGCTATCCAAGGCTTGAGCGACTACTACAAGGTCGTCGACAGGCTCGGCGAGGGCACCTTCTCATCTGTCTACAAAGCCATTGATTTGCAGCACTTCGCCTTCGATAATGACGACTGGGTCGGCCGTGGGCCTCTGGATCCTTTCCGCAAGGGCGTATGCCATGTTGCTCTCAAGAAGATCTATGTCACATCGAGTCCACAGCGTATCTACAACGAGCTTTCCATCATGGAAGATCTCCGTCCTGCACAGTACGTCTCGTATCTCATTACTGCCTTCCGATCCGAGGACCAGATTGTAGCTGTCATGCCATACAGTCGCCATCGCGACTTTCGTGACTACTACAAAGAGATGCCGCTAGGAGACTTCAAGTACTACTTCCGCTGTCTCTTCTCAGCGCTGCAGAACGTTCACGAGGCAGGCATCATGCATCGCGACATCAAGCCAGCAAACTTCCTATACGACCCTGCAACAGGTCACGGCACCTTGTGTGACTTTGGCCTTGCCGAACGCTTCGAGGCAACAGAGTGGAGAGGCAAATGCCATCACTTCTGCCCGACACCGCTCCATCCGCACGGTACTAGAGAGATCAATCGAGCTGTCGACTCGATCTACTTTGAGCCAGGCAAGCCTCTATCGACGCAGCCAGCACCATCAAACAGCGCCGCATCGCCTGCAACTAGCGCTTTGAACGGCTCAGCGACAACAGGCGGTGCAGGTGACCGAGTCGTCGCTTCCTCCAAGTCAGGCGTGATGGACCCGCCTCCCGAGCGTGTAGGCTACCTCGTCTATGATGCACGCCAAGGTGTCCGTGCCAACCGTGCGGGCACGCGTGGATTCCGTGCTCCAGAGGTGCTGCTCAAGTGTCAAGATCAGACGGTCGCTATCGATATTTGGTCTGTCGGGGTCATCTTGCTGACACTATTGATCCGACGCTTCCCCGTCTTCAACTCAAATGACGATGTCGAAGCCCTGCTCGAGATTGCTGTCATTTTTGGCAAGTCACGCATGGAGACGTGTGCCATGCTGCACAACCGTATCTTCCACTGCAACGTCCCTACGGTCAGCAACTCGACTTCACTGACCGACTTCATTCACAGACTCAACCCAGATCTTCGGAACCCAGGCAACCATCCAAACCCAGAGCAGTACATGCAAGACGTTGCCGATGCGCTCGATATGGTCAAGTCGTGCTTGCACGTCGACTGTACCCGGCGCAAAACCGCCGCCGAGCTGCTGCAGCATCCATTCCTCCGCATCGATGCAGAAGAGGAAGCAGAGGAGATCATGGACGAAGATGCAGCCTACATTCAGCAGGAGCAAGACTTTGCTGACTATTACCAGATGGCTGATGAGCAGCTGGTCGATGCATACCGACAAGGTGAGATTCCAGTGGCGTACGAGTACGATGAACTGGAAGATGCGGACGAGGACGAGTACGTCCGCGGTGAGGAAGTGGTACAGTTGCGAAGCAGACGCGGGATGCAGGACGAAACGGGCGAGCCGGTTCAATCTGATCCGCAGCATGGCATTCAAGAACACGAGCAGCATCAGCAGCAACAACAACAACAACAACAACAACAACAACAACAACAACAACAACATCATCATCATCATCATCAGCCGGTGTTCATGCCGGTATCAGCATCGTATACTGCAGCAGCAACAGCACAGCACATGTAGCGCTGCATGCAACCAATCCGCAACGTGTGGTTATCATTCCAGTCCTCTCAGTCTCATTTCTTGCATTCAAGGTCACATTCTGTCGCAATCTAGGAACTCACAATCTTGACTCGCAGAAACTGCTTTTTATCTAGTGTCTGAAACCACTATCGATGTGACATTTTTGGAGTGAATGAATGAATATACAATAGAAGCTGAAAAGCCTATACAATGCAAGAGAGAGATCTCTTTGGCGCTTAGGCGTCATCCTGCTCATCAGCCTCGTCCTCCTCACCAATCTCATCGCCCTCCTCACCAAAGTTGGCAGGGACACGGTAGAAGCGAATCGTTTGCTTGTTGGGGTCTTTGAGCAAGACGTACTTACCCTCATCCGCCTTCCTAGCCAAATCGACAATAGTACGAACAATACCCCAACCGTTGCTAAGGTTGACAGCCATCTGACCGGCAAGCTCACGAGGCTTGAGCCACGAAGTGCCCAAGATGGTGTGACGAGAAGTGTCCTTAGGGTTCGCGCGCGAAATGTAACCGAGCTTCATGCTGTCAGCGCCTGCAAGCAAGGACTGAACTGCGAAACGGGCGAGCTTGAACGAGTTGTTCTTCATCTCGGTCGCAACGACGGCACCACGTTGCGAATCGAGCTTGGCACGCCAGTCCTGAGCACCACCTGCACCTTGTGCACGAGCGTCGAACTCGTTGAGTGACTTGATAGTGATAAGCTGCTTTTCCTTGTTGGAGCTGACGGTGTAGGCGTCGACTTCGGCACGAATGATGAGCTCGACGGGGTCCGACTCTTCGGAGGAGAGGTTGAACTTTCGGTATCGGTATGCGCACGAAGCGAGAGGGTCGGTCTCGTCGGAGGAGTAGAAGGGGTTTTCGTGCTCGAGCTTGTAGACGTTCTTCTCGTTGACGATCTGGAAGGCAAAGTTCTGGTTGACGTAGGTGGCTTCCAAGCTGAGAGCCGAGGGAGTGTTGAGTGCGTTGGCCTTGGCAGCTGCATCGTTCTCCTTGCCCTCAGGAGCCTCTGCGGGAGGATCAGCAGCGTTCTCGTTGACAGTGAGGTAGTCGAAGGGACCACCGTCGCGCTTGTCGAAGAAGACCTTGCCGTCGGCAGTCTTGGTGATAATGATGTCCCACGAGTAGATGGAACGGGTGGCGCACATGAGGAGGGCAAGGATAGAGTCTGTCATGTAGATCTTGGCATCCTGCTTGGCCGAGATTTCCTGGATGACAGGGTCGTCCGAAGTGGTGGGATTGTATCGGATGCGGTCGATCGACGAAAGAGGCTGCGAAGTCTTGACAGTGGCACGGTCGTAGGATCGGTCGTACTCGAACAAGGCACCGTAAGTGGAGATATCCTCGGGCTCCCCGACCTCGAGACGAAGCTTTCCAAGACGAACAAAATCGATCTCCTCCACCTGCTCCCAGTCCTGACCCACAGTAACGGAGGCTTCACGGATGCGCTGAGGCTTATCCCAGTCCTTCCAGCCGAATCGTCCACCACCACGTCCGCCACGAGCGCCACCACGTCCACCACGAGCACCACGTCCTGCACCCGCACCAAACTTGGAAGCGCCACGACCACCAGCAGCACCACCTCGTCCACCACGACCGCCACGCTGGCTCATCTGACCGAGACCACCACGTCGAGAAGCAGCGGTACGTGTGTTGTCAACAACGCTGAAAGATGCCTCGTCGTCACCGTGGAAGTAGGCGAAAGCGGAAGAAGCAGCCGAGGTACCGAAGTTCTGCTGGACGTCACGCGCACGGCCCTGTCGACCGCCACGAGCGTTGACAGCATCGTTGGAAGCGCCAGAAGCGTTGTTCCAGTCGGCGATGCGGCCCACCTTGTCGTTCTTAGCGTAAGGGGCGAAAGGGATGTCCTTGAGTTCTTCAGGAAGAGGATTGGAGCCAGAAGCGGGACCCCAAAGGTCGTTGTCCGGCTGGAGCTGAGGAAGCTTGAAGCTTGCCATGATGTCGGTGTTGTGTGTGTATGTGTGTGTATGTGTGTGTATGTGTGTGTATGTGTGTGTATGTGTGTGTATGTGTGTGTATGTGTGTGTATGTGTGTGTATGTGTGTGTATGTGTGTGTATGTGTGTGTATGTGTGTGTATGTGTGTGTATACGTCTGTAAGATCCGTCTTTGGTGGTTCAAAGGTCGGCTTGCAGGATAGAGATGGAGGAGAGGTCAAGAATGAAGAGGTGAGCAAAGCATCATCATCATCTCTACTGCTGTCCAAACGGCTCCTTCTCCAGACGCACTTCTTGCACGCTTGCTGGCTTTCCTTGCTGTCGCGGGCAAGTTTTTTCTTCTCGCTTTCCTCCCAAAGGGAAGCTCTTGTTTTAGGATGTTAGAGCGTCGTTTTTGTGAAGAAGAAAAATTCACGTGATGACTGACGCGCACTTTGCCCGTCTGCGCGGTCGCGATGCGGATAAGATGTTAGACTTTGTGTGATTTTGGCATTTCCCTACTTTCAAGGCGAAAAGAACTGTTGTACCTCGTTGCCTTCAACACACTCATTCGCCTCCAAAAGATCAAAAAACCACACTGGTCACGCTCCACAATCACAGGCTCATCCCATCCCAAGCAAAAGTGGTGTGGCGGAAATGGAAAGGAGAGGGTCCAAAGCTCTCTTTTTCAAAGTTGCCGATACAATTGCAAGCGCAAGCCGACTCAGCTCTTTCCACTCTACCACCACCACTACCACCATCATCTCGGTCATCCACATCTGCCACTTTATACCCACGCTGTCATACAGCATACCTGATCGACTCTCCCTCGCAACATCCGATCTCTCCGCGAACATGTTCATGCTCAAGAGCCTGTTCGGCAAGATTTGGGGCGACGCCAACAACCAGGAGCTGATTCAGATCCCCGCAGGTGCCCTCTACCTCGTACGGCCCAACGGTCCCCAAGGTTCGCGCGAGTGCATCTACGAGGATGCCGTACTCGCCATCCGCAGGACAACCACCCAGTACCACTACCAGCTCGTCGTCACCAAGGCATTCCAGGAATCTCAGACGGAGCTCGTGGATCAGGAGGAGGATGATTTGGAGGACGAACGGGCCTTCTTGATCGATCAAGCGCTCGACTTTCGCCTTTCCACCCATGGCAAGGAACGCACGATCGTATGGAGGGACTTTGAAGGTGACGAGAACGACATGTTGCAGTTCGTCATTGACAACAAGCAAGTCAACGAGGTGACGATCACGATCTTTGAAATCACCTACTTGCAATGCGTGTACGAACACGCTTTTCGCACCAGTCACGAGCGTGCTACGGAGGAGGATCTGGACGTTCTTCGCTACAACGACCAGGCTGACCAGCGCCTCAAGCGAGAGCAAAAGAGCGCTCTGGACAAGAAGCTCGAAAACGCCGGCATCGGCTCTGCCTCCACAACCTCAAAGCCTGCCGTTGCTACCAAGTCAGAGCCTGCAGCAACACCAGCACCCGCAACTCCCGAGATCGCTCCCACCATAGCACCTGCCGCTGATACTGCTGGACCCCAGGTGGACGAAAACAGTATCGTCTTTTCCGCCACCGCCGATCTCTACTTGTACGATCTCAAGTCGCAGTACTTCCTCGTGCAAGAGCGCAAGATTGATGTCAACGTAGTTGAGGCCGGCCGCTTCTTATATTGGCTCTCCATTCACGGTGCCGACAAGGTCTGGCTCGCTCAAAAGGTCGAGAGCGACATGAATATGAATTTCTCGCCAGAACAGACCTCCGCCGTGTGGAATTACTTCACCGAAGATCGACAATGCTTCTCTTGGCTCCTCCGTTTCGCTGATCAAGAAGCATACTCGCACTTTCAGAAGCGTTTCAGCAGGGTCATGTACGAAACACAAAACGAAGAGCCTTGGAGCAAGGCAAAAAGTAACGATCAAGCCTACGCAGAGACAGCATTCGAACAAGGAGAGCCCATGGACGTCGACGAGATCAGCGAGAGCGAGTTCGGCGACGAATCAGTTCGCACAGCTAGGCAAGAAGAGGAGGAGGATGACCAAGAGGAGGTTGCTGCGAACTTGCAGAGTGGTCGCGCAGGCTCCCAAGACCCGACTTGGCCGGAGGAGGCGTCGCATCTGTCAGGTAAACAGGACGCAAACTCACTGCTCGCCGTCGGCTACAAGTTCGACCGTTCCTTCGTCGCTCGAGGTGATAAGATCGGCGTCTTCCGTCACACCGATGACAACCGACTCGAGTTCGATACCACGATCAACAATGTCGGAACGCCAAGCGGAAAGGGCTTCAAGCCACTCAAGATGATGTTGCATGATCAGGACGCACAGATGGTTCTGATGGATCCTTCGAACAAGAACGCGATTTACAACATGGACCTCGAATACGGCAAGATCGTCGACGAGTGGAAAGTTCACGATGACGTACAAGTTAACAACGTCGTACCAAACAGCAAGTACGCACAGATGACTGCGGAGAAGGTCATGATCGGACACAGCCACAACGGTCTCTACCGAATCGACCCTCGTCTTTCGGGTAACAAGCTGGTCGACTCGCAATTCAAGCAGTACACCGCCAAGAACGACTTCTCCGTCGCAGCCACTGACGCAAAAGGTCGCCTCGCCGTCGCTTCAAACAAGGGCGACATTCGCCTGTTCGACTCGATCGGCAAGAACGCCAAGACCGCTCTACCCGCACTTGGTGATCCTATCATTGGTATCGACGTCTCCGCCGAAGGTCGATACATCATTGCCACGTGCAAGACGTACTTGCTCCTCATTGACACGCTTATCGGATCCGGTCGATACCAGGGACAACTCGGTTTCGACCGCGCATTCCCCGCCGACGCCAAACCGCAGCCGAAGCGTCTCACGCTCAAGCCCTCACATGTCGCCTACATGGGCTCAGCGATCTCTTTCACACCTGCTCGTTTCAACACCGGGTCCGATCAAGAGACGTCCATCGTCACCAGTACAGGCGCATACGTCGTCAGCTGGTCTTTCAACGAGGTTAAGAAGGGCAATCTGGGTTCATATGTGCTCAAGCGATACGGCGGTGATATCATCCAGGACGAGCACGCCTATGGCTCCGACCAGGCGATTGTAGTTGCATTCGAGCACGACGTCCAGATGGCCAAGAGGAGTCAGCTGTTGAAACCGTCCCGTAAGTCTTTGGCTCCGTCCGGGTTCGGGCGTCAGTCACGGGGATGATTGGCCCCCTTCTCGCATCGACCTGCTACCCTTCATCGACACCTGGATTTCCTGTTACCCCTTCTTGCAAGTCGACCAGGCTTTCCGCATCTGTAATCTAGCTGCCCATCACATGCGCGGCCTGGCTTAAAACCCGGCCCGACACTACCATAAAGATACCACCGATTTCAATCATCTTCGTTGCAAGAGGCGTAATCTTCGACGATCGCCATCGTTGAAGCAGAGCTTCGCATTTTGAGATTGTGACTAATGATGTTGAGACGAGCATGAGCTGAATTACTGAGCCTTCTTTTCCCACCAGAACATTAGTACAGGTACGACGTAGAGAGATCTTCTCCTACCTCTGTGTGCAAGATATTGTCGAAGCTCTTGAGGTCTGTGTCCTTAGTGACTGTGAACTTGCTATCTAAGTTGAGATGGATGGTTGACTCCTTGGCTTCTCGATAACTCTGCCTCCTCTGTGGCTGAATCGATCTGAAAAGCACATAGGAAGCTGCACCCTTCCTGGGAGACTACTGCCATACCCTGAGCGCAGGAGATATCCTTGATTTTGGGGTACTTACCTTTGACATGCCTTTATCTCCCCAATATAGAGACTTAAAGGCATGTCAAGGCAAAGTCTCCGATGATGCAAGATACAGCCAAAGGCAAAGTAGTACACTACTATTACCACCCCTGCACTGTGTTCTATGAGCCCAGATCCATCAGTGCTCCAGATCTGTACCTACTGCTACTTGATGTCTCACTATATATACTGTCATAGAAGATGGTCTGGTGCCAAAAATAAAGCTAGTATCAAGGCGCCTTCATAGGATTGTGCTCCCTACCATGGAGAACACACAACACCACTTTGCATAGAGGATATGCTGCCTTACAGGTCAGTTGACATTGACATGCTTTTATCTTCAGCATATGTAGAATAAAGGCATGTCAAAGCAAAGTCTTCAACAATGCTAGATATGAACCAAGACAGTGTAGTGCAGTACTGCTACACTCTCTGTGCTTTGTCCTGTACACTCAGCTCAGCTGTATCTCTTCATCTTCCCTGGCTGCTATTTTGCACCTCATACTATATACTGCAACTGAAGTTGCACTGAAGGCAAATGCCAAGCAGTCACTGTGAGAGCTTTATGGGAAGGTTCACACAGCAGAATAGGGTATGCAGCATCACTTTGGGTAGGAGAAACATTGCAGTAGAGGGTACCCAGCATTGACATGCCTTTATCTCCTGGAAGTTGCCATTTAAAGGCATGTCAAGGTAAAGTCTTCTCCAAGGCACTGTAGGTGAGCCAGATGAGCTGTGAAGCACTCTGGAGCCTCCCCTCCATCATTCTATCATCTCTCTTTTTAATTCAAGACATGTGTGGTTGCTTAGTCATCTCTGCAAAGTATATTGAGGCTGAGACAAGCAAATGAGCTATGTCTGCTGGAGCTCAACTTGAAAATGGAAACCTCCACATGTGCACTGGCCTCCAGATGAAAATTCCAACCTCCACATGCAAGTTGGAGATAATTTGCTTTTTCCACTTTGCATCTTCCTTCCCTTCTTCCACCATCCCTCTTCCAGCTTTTGACACACACTCAACTCAACTTTACAACACATTTGTCAGAGGTTGCACACCTGAAACCTGAAATCTGTAGTAGAAATACAACTACTACTGATCCTGTTGAGATCTATGGTAAAAGGACATTATTGTTATTCTTGCTGAGATCTGTCTTAGAAGCCTTCTATGACTTTTCTTGCTTGAATATGTGATAGCTTGAAAGTTATTGCAGGTTTTGACTAACCACTGTGGACACTCCATCCAGAGGCAGCTTGACACAATCAATAACTATAGATATGTTGTGGTGACACCAAGGTCTGGTGCTGATGATGTTGTTGGCACCAACACAAGTGTCCAGTGTGCCAACTGATTGACTGAGTGATCCTGGGACCACAGTGGACAACTGTCTTTGGTTCTAATGATCAAGAGAGCTGGACTGCAGTATGAACCACCTTTGGTGTTGATTGATATCTGGATCCCAGAATGAACTGCCTTTGGATGGCATCAAGTGGTGATACAACACATGCACTATGGTAATAGCAATGCTCTGCAATTGCTACTGCTGACAAATCTACTAAGTATACTTATTGTGAGGTTATAGCTAGTAATGTAAAGTGTAGAGTGGATGGAGATCCACTCAACTACTATGACGAGAAGGTATGGTTATATACAACATCCTTGCAGTGTCACCTGCGACTCTGCTCCAGCTCTCTCTCCAGAGAATACCCTCTTTGACAAGCACTGCTCCTCCTGTTCCTTTGTCATCGAGGAGGGCTACTGTTACTTCATCAATGACAGGGGTCACTCCACCTCATCCTAGTGGCAGTGTACCCCCCTTTTCATCTACCTCCTGACACCAGCACCCATCCCCTTATGCAGACTTCATCATTGTGTAGGGCCCCTAACTCATCCAGTGGTGAACTCTCCCTTTTCCATTGTCATCCTCCTGTCTAATGGGCAATAGAGGTATCTTTGAGCCAGTCCCTGTGAGATCTGTTGTACAAACATGGTACTACCGTTCCCACTGACTTCTGTAGTAGAGCCTTGTGTCATAGGAGCCGGATGCGCAAGAGACAGGAAGAAGTTGAAGTCATATGAAGGAGTGCAGGAATCGCAGGATCAGGCTAAACGAGAGCTTAAGGAAGAGTTCACTGAAATCAGTAGTAGGAATGGTCCTATGGCATAACTCAGCAGGATCTGTAGGAACACAGTCGCTACTACAGAGTTTGGCAAGAATCATAATATCATGCTGAGTACAACAGATCTCATGGGAATTGGTCAAGAAAGGCACCCCATTGCTGATAGGACAAGGGGAGGATACTGTATGAAGGAAGAACACCACTGGATGAAGCAGGGGCCTGGCACGATGATGAAGTCAGGGCCACCAGGTGGGTGCCAATGACAAGAGGGTGATGAGAGGGGGTGCAGGTTGCCACCCAGATGAAGTGGGACTAGCCCCTATAGGAGATAAGACAATGACAGACTGTCCATCTGCAGGAGGTGAGAGAAGTGGAGCCAGAGAGCAGCACCACGCAGTGGATGGGAAGGATAGGAAGGATGAGGAGGGGGAGCAGTGTCAACGAAGCCTCCAGAGTAGGAGCAGCGTTGCAGGCGATTGTCATGGGCCTGGATGCACAAGAAGAAGACCCGTCAACTCATATGAAGGGAGTGCAGGAATCAGGGAATCAGGCAGATCATAGGATTTGCAGCAGAATTCACTGAGATCTGCAATAGAATTGGCTCTATGACAGTTCTCAGTGAGTTTGGTATGAGTGAAGGTGGTATCACAAATTCCACCAGGATCTGTAGTAGACATGATCATGTGGCAGACTCCGTGGAGATCAGTGGCAAGGATGATAGTACAGTGAACTTCACATGCGAGGAGCAGGACCAAGCATTGCCAAGAAGAGGACCAAGCTCAGGAGCATGCAGCTGGTTACCACTCAGGGGCCACAAGATAAAGACCTGGAGAACCATCACTGGTTGAAGGAAGAAGAGCTGTGTCAAGGACACTGGCAAGCAGGTCATGAGGAGGAGGAGCAGTGTCAAAGGAGTTGACACACAGCTCAAGAAGGACAGGAGCGGTGCTACAAGGACCCCTGTATAGTACTTGATGAAGAGGGTACTCTATGGAGAGAGAGAGCCAGAGCAGTGTCACAGGTGACACTACAAAGGATGTATATAAGCATACCTTCTTGTCATAGGTGGACAAGTGGATCCTCATCCACTCTACACCATATAAACTAGTTATTACTTCAAGCATAAGTACTCATTAGTTTCAGTCAGCATAGTCACAATCAAGTAGATTGCCTCTCATTGTTGTGCATGTGTTGTATCACTGCTCACTGACATCCAAAGGTGGTTCATAGCAAACCAGCAGTCCAGATAAAGATAGAACCAAAGGCAGTAGTCCACTGCAGTCCGGGGATCACCTCAAGCAATAGTTGATACACTGGACACTTGTGTCGACATCACCAAACAATCACATCACTCACACCAGACCTTGGTGTCAGTACCAGTTCATATCAGTTATTGATCATGCTGAGCTACCTCTGGACAGAGTGTCCACAGTGGTCAGTCAAAACCTGCAATAACAAAACCATTACTACACTTCTGAGTGAGAAAAGTGATAGAGATGGCTCTACCACATATCTTGCCGAGAATCGTAATACCACAAGCATTGTTGCATAACTCAACAGGATTCGTAATAGACACGACTTTATTACAGATATCAGGTTTTGGGCATGTGACCTCTGACAGCCCACAACATGGGCTACACCAGACACAATCACCCCCCCCCCCCCAGCAACAAGTTCAGAATTGTTGGCAGTCCTATCCACATCCCTGCTTATGACAAAAAGATCATGACTAACCTCACTGTCATTGACTCTGACACCAACCAGCTCATCCTGCAGAGGTTCAAGCCCATGAGCTACAAGAAGCAGACTGCAGCCAACAAGTCAGCTCCCAAGGGTCTGGAACTCTTCATGAAAGCCCTGCAAAAGCATGACCAGATGAAATCCAGGGGAAACATCCACTTGGGCCTATGGGCTGAAAGGGGCAATGTCAAGATCAACTTCACCACCCACACTAGCAAAAATGAATTTGGTGTAAAGCTCCTGGAATGGGCTCAGGACCACTCCAATGAACACCTCAACCATCTTGTGCCACTTCTGCATCCTCAGTGGCAGCACAACCTCAAGAACAGACCCAAAGTGGTGGAATAGCTGGAGGGTCACTTCAAGGAACAGACAAAGCTCCTGCCTAATTACTGGACCTCCTGCTCCTTCTTCAACACATTCACTGGTGAGATCCACAACAATACTGGTGACTCTGTGCCCTCCTTCCTTTTCAACTTTGGCATCAGCACTATGGTCAGAATCATCCCCTATGGCATTGATGTTCAGGTGGATCACTTGGTTGTTTTGGTTTTAAACACTAGCTTCGATCACATGACTTGGGATGCAGAGGTGGATGCAGAGGGGATTGGAGTGAGATGGGCCTTCTCGGCCTTCATCAGGAAGGTGATTGATGAGCAGAGAGCTAGCCCTAGTGCACTGTCCGGCGCCAAAGGGGAGCGCAAGGAGGGAGGCCATGGTGAAGTTGACACCATGGCACCAAGATATATATACACCCCTCCATCATAGTGAATGAGTGGATCTGGCATCCACTCTATTCTTAACTAAACTATACTCTACTGTAACATATACTTAGTTGTTCCATCACATAGTGCAATCACAGGCCATTGCTACTAATCTGAGCAGGGGTGTTGTATCACCCCTCACTGATGCTGTCTGTAGGCAGTGGTTACTGTGGTCCAGATATCTATCTCACCAAAGGCAGTACTCATACTGTGGTCTGGGCTTTCCTCATTGATTTGCTGTCTGATTGTTGACACCTCAAACACTCATGTCAAGTCAACAATTATCATCATGTATACTAAGTGTTCTGCAGCAAGCAGGAGCTGACTGTGCCATGCTACCACTGAACTGAGTGTTCACAGTGGTTAGCCAAAACTTGTCAAACAAACAACCTTCCAAGCAGTCTCAGTGAAAGTGGCCAACAGGTGCATACCCAAGAGTGCTCACTGAAACTGGTTGAAATTGATCAAGCCAGTAGATTTCGGGTTCCAGGCACCGGACCGCTGACAACGTCCTCCTGCCGGTTTCCGTGAGATCTGTCATACAATCACGTTACTACTGATTCCGGCAGGTTTCGCTGTAAGCTCCCGCTCGTACTGATTCGAGCGAGATCTGTCGTAGGACCGCTCTTACTACCGATCTCAATGGATTCGACTTTGGCATCCTCGTTCGGCCCAATCCGACGATTCCTGCGCCACTTCTCATATGCTTCCAGATCTTCCTGCGCATTCGGTCCTATGACACCTATGACACTCCCTTCTATCTTTATGTTGATGTCAAGGTGTAAATAAAGTGCTCGATTCACCTAGTTTTGTTCCCGAAATATCATCCATTACTTTTACTTACTTGCCAATGTTGAGAACGTAATACAACTGTGCCCTACCATAAAATGTCTACCATCCTTTCAACATTAGTTACGGAAAGCAGCAGCGACCACAATGATGATCAAGAGGATCGTTAAGCTCAGCAGCATCTCTATTACCTGTGTCTTCCCGATCACAAAAGGGATGTGTTTCTTTGCAATTGTCAACTTGCCAATGTTGCAGGCCCACTTCTGCCTTGTATTGGCGGCATCCTACCAATATCACCAATAATGGGGTCCAGGTGCCGGGTCTTCTTGACCAATGCATCCGGGGTTGAGTAGCTTGAACCTCCTCGACCAGCGGGTTTCCACTTGGTCCCCTCCAGTTACTCTCACTTGCTCCCTGTAGATAGCTAGCCACATCTCACACGATCACCAATACACAGTCTTTACCGTTGTCGTCATCTAAAACCAGCCTGTCCTACCCTTCCTGCTGAAATTATGTGTTGGTGAAGAGGAGACTTGGAAAGAAACGGGCTGCTCATACCTCCCTGGACAGACCTAGGTTCTTTCCTCTGCCCTTAGCCTCTAATAACATGTATTTAGTCCCGCTCTTGGTCAGGAATGTACACACACTACTCTCACGCTAGCATCGCTATGTATCGTCTCCTTCTGAACTTGACTCTTTCAGATGGCCTGTGTGGCTATATGCTCCTCGCTTCCCCCTCTCGGCTGCCAAGGGTTAACCCCTAGCCACTTAGCCCATTGCAACCACGGTCAATGACTGAGTCTTTTTGATGAGAACAACGCCTGAGACAGGACAAGAAGGAAACGCATGGGCCAGAATCAACAAAAACTTGGCTGAGTTCTATCCAGCTCCGAAGGTGTATATACATGGATGGCATTTGCAAGCAGCGCATACCCCCCAACACCTCCTTATCCTGACTCTGCTACCACCTTTAGCAACCTCCCCCCACCTTGGACATCTACTTAGCCGGTATGCCGGTGCATTACCAAGCGATTGGTCTGGCTCGAGCCGATATACCCGTTACCCTTTAACATTATCATGGGGCCCTGGGCATAACCCCTTCTGGGATTAAAGCGCGGGGCAGACACGTTTGGCGTGTCTGATCAGAATCTCTGCGAAAATGCCATTCTCCACTCAGGGTCGAGAATTCCAGCCTTTCCCACTCCTCGAACCCTTTCTCTTCATCCATCCTTCCCTCCATCCTTCCCTCCATCCCATCTCTCAATACCCACCCACCACCACCCTACGTAAGCCGTCTGACGCTTTCCACTGTCAACACATTCGTCCATCCACACAACCCCTCGCATACCTCACCAGCTTCGAGGCTGAGACCCATCCCCCAAAATGGCGCGCAACCAAGAAAAAGCACAATCAATGCTCTACAGATTTCGCGAAGCTCAAGCCACCTCTCTCGGTCTTTCCCCCAAACCCAACGTACGTCGTCCACGTCTTGCATCCACTGTAACCTCTCTCAAAGAAGCCGAAAAGTGGCGTGGCGAAGTAATCCGCGAGATCTCGCGCAAAGTTAGTAAAATCCAGGACTTTGGACTCACAGATTACGAAGTTCGCGATCTCAACGATGAAATCAACAAACTTTTACGGGAGAAAGGACACTGGGAGAATCAAATTTTAGCTTTGGGTGGTGCAAATTATAAGAGAGGCGTACCGAGTATCTTAGGGGATGAAGGGAAGGTGGGTGGAAAGGGAGGATATAAGTATTTTGGTCGGGCGAAGGATTTACCTGGTGTCAAGGAACTTTTTGAGAGGAGGGGGACGGAGGGGGAGGAAGGGGGAAGGAGGGAAGATAGATGGGAGAGGTTTAGGAATTTGCCGCGTAGTTACTATGGGGATGAGGATGAAGATGACGGTGTGTTGTTGGAGGAGGAGAGAAAGGAAGAGGAAAGGGAGTGGAGGGAGAGGTATTTGGCCCTGATGATGGGGGTTAAGCGCGATTTGAGGCGAAGGGATGCAGGTGTGGGAGAGGAAGAGATGGATATAAGCGATAATGAAGAAGAGGGATCAAACGGAGGGATCCAAGTTCCGACAATACCCAGACGCTCACCAAAACCGTGGAAGGAAAGTATGCAAGCCCTTGCTCAATCCTACGACTCACAATACGCACAACCGGAAGATGCATCATCAACGCTAGAAAGCGGAAAACGCCCACAAGAGGAGGAAGTGGAAGAAGAGGGAGGAGGAAAACGTCAAAAAGGTCCCTCTGGTCAAGTTATCTCCACAACGCAAGCAGAAGCAGCGACAGTAGCGATGGTATACTCAATCTTCAGCGGAGAAGATCTCCAAGACCCCACCATCCCCGATCGGGAAGCGATCGAGAAGATGATCTTGCAAGCAAAGAAACGTCAGTTGAAACAGGAGTATGTCGGGTCCAGCTGATGGAAAGCAGCTCGGAACCAGGTGTTCTTGTAGCAATCGACGTTTGTTTTGCATCGCTCATTCCCATTTCTACTTGTATGCTTACTTTTACGGCAAGCAGGATCATTCTTCCATGTGCACTCTGTTGCGTTGTGCACGTTTGATTTGTCATGCACTGCGAGGCGGAAAAGTGCTCGAGGGCTGTTCGAACTTGGAGTGACAAGCACGACATGGGTACAACGGCAGTTGGTTCACCCAACCAGTGTCATCAAAACAGCGAGCAGGAGTTGGCTTCAAAGTGAGGAAATGACACAAACTGACAGGCTTGGAAGAGGATGGAGAAAAAGTACAGAATCTGCATGGATTGGATGCGGTGGATGAGTGTTGACTAGACAACTCCGGCAAGGTGATGTGTGATTGTATGAATGTCATGTAAGATGGCGTGTGTTTTGACCAACATTGACGAACCGAGTTCGGCCAACATCTGATTTTTTGGGGATGTAAGGTGAAACTTCCTCAAGGCAAACCCCTAAGCAAGGTATGCATATCGGAAGAAGAAGAACGAAACAGTGACAAGAAATGCAGCTAGAGATGTACGGCGATTTACACCTTGAAACCGCGCGAGGCACGACGACCACGAGCCTTTTCGAACTTGCGACCCTTGGATCGGATGTAAGGCTTCTTGTTTTTGTGAGGGCCGAAACCGAAGTGCTTGACAGCCTCACGTGCGGTCTTCTGACCACGGATCAAGACCGTGTTGCTACCGGTAGGAGCACGGGTAGCGAGCTGGTCCAAGGTGAGGCACTCACCGCCAGCAGCCTCGATACGGGCACGGGCAGTGTTGGTGAAACGAAGAGCAGCAACGGAAAGCTTGGGAAGCTCGAGAACTCGGTTGTCATCGGTGATGGTTCCAACAACAACAACGGTCTTCGGAGTCTCGGAAGCAGAAGCGGCAACACCACCCTGAGACTTGGTCAAGTAGATGACACGGGAGACCGAGACAGGGGGCTGGTTGATCTTGGACATGTAAAGGCGTCGGAGGATGGCCTTGTTGAATCGAGAGTCGGTTCGGCGGGCGAGGAAGCGGTAGAGCTGTTGGTTGTGATCGTTGAGCGGGTGTTGCAGGTGAGATGCGTGCGGTGATATGTAGTGGAAATGGTCAGCGTCATGATTTCGTTCAAGGTTGTTTGCAAGAAGAGGAGCGACGATTGCCAAGTGGTGGTTATCATCCTATCAACGTCCCGCACTGTCCCTTTGTCTACGCATGTGTCCCACTTGGAGTGACTTTGCCTGATCGCGTTTCTGTCGAGGCCTAGTCCTGCTCCTGTCCACTGTCTGCACAGCGCCTCCATGTTGGTGCTTTCCCTGCTTTGTGATCTCCACTGTCTCTGCATTACTCATGCCACGTACCTGCCACCATCTGTCCTCTTCTTTTAATGTCAGCGGAAACTTACCTTGACCAAGAGCAGGAGATAAGGGTCCTGGCTCTTAGGAGCAGTACGCTGACCGTTCTTGACGTGCTTCTTGGCGATATCAATACCCTAATGATGGTGAAGTGCAACATGAAATGGTGTGTTGGCGAATCAGTATGACTATTTTGGCGATGCGACGTGTGTCGGCATGACGAGGCTACGAAAGCATTCCAACGACGTATGCGGAGATGATGTGTTCGAGTGTAAGGCTATTATTGTTTTCGGTGCAGTTGTGTCGCTGCAAATATGTTGGTGCGGAACTGTGAATGTGTAGTTATGTAATGCGCAGGTGCGGTCGACGCAGTCGCTAATGAGCAGTGACCAGGCTGACATGTATGCTGTGTTGATGCGAGCCTGCCTCTCTGACTGCAACCTGAGCCAGCTTCACGAAACCTTGAGGTTTGACCGTTTTGTTCCGGCTTGCTACGTTGTAAATGCATTGCCATCCTACCAACCAAGCCCAGCTCTGACAGCAATCTCGCCGTGACAACACTGCTTTGGGCAGCATGATTGGATACGCGAATTCGTGTGGCTGTCATGATTCGGCGAAGTTCCCTGCCAAGTTGCAAAGTGTTACCGTGTCTACTCTTCCGTTATCAGACCGCCATGTAGAAACAATGATGTCGGTTGTTCCCTGCTTACGCTACGGCGGGCTGCTTGTGCATTATCTGATGGGTGCTGTTCTGACTGATGTGGCAACGGTTGGCATGCTGCGGGACCTTGAATGAAAATGCTGTCGGTCTGTGGCGCTGGAAGGTCAGACTGGGTGCTGATGCGTGCATGTCGGTGGTCGTCGTCGTTGGATGCTGTCGTAGTGTGTGCCTTGTCGATGCATAAGGTGGCACAACTTACCATTTTGATGTATGTCTTGAGGGGTGGAGATGGTGACGGTGGACGAGACGGTGATAGCGACGACGAGCCTTTCGATTAGGCCACACACACACACACACCGGCAGCGCTGGCTGAGATTTGGCTTGAGCTCTGAGAAGCCTAGCTGCAACCACACACTCAAAAAGCTCGAATTCTCAACTATTCTCATCTTCAACTATTCTCATCCTCAACTATTCTCATCCTCAACTACTCTTATCCTCAACTACTCTCTCATCCACTGAATGCCACACGTGCCCTCCTTCGCTGTCTCTGTGTCGAGTTCGAATTCTTCGGATTGAGCAGCAGCCTTGAAGGCTCAAAAGACTGGCGCCGCTAACCCTTTCGCAAAAGCAGGCTTGCCCGTCGCTTTCTTTGTTCGTTTGGCGGGGTTTTCTCCTGCGTTGGGCCAAAAGTCGAGGTCGGCCGAAGTAATTCTATCACATGATTTGATGCAAAATCTGAGAGAGAAAAAAAATAATAAGAAACAGGAGACGATCGGGCAAAATCCGAGCTCCTCGAAAAGACGCGCTATAAAATCGAAATCCGAAAAATTGCTTCGAAAAAAGTCAAGACGCGATCACACATAGACACAACAGAGATGAGGGGCGAGAACAACTCTCTCGTGGCTAACTTGCTTGTTCGTGCGCGTATCGTCAAAATCGGCAGAGTCGATCGGATCGGGCAAAGTGTTGGTTGCGTTGTGGTGCATGTGGTGCATGTGGTGCATGTGGTGCGTGTGTGTGGAGGCTCAGTTTTGGTCGACAGTATACCGCCACCATCACTGCCAGCACCGATTGCGCTCCTACCCTCCCTTCCAACAACTGCACCGCGCAATTTGATTCCAATGCTTCCTCCTACGCTCAACCCCGGTTCTTCTCCTGCCTCTCCCGCCGTGTCCACTACGCCACATGACACGCCGTCTTCACCGAGCCTGCCAGGCTTGCCCGCATCACCAAGAAAGAAGCTCCTTTATGATACACTCAAGAAGTCATTCGATGATCAGGATTCCTTCTCCAGATATTGGATTCAGACGCTCGAACTCGCAACCCTGCCCAATATTGGCCGCAAGAAACGTCTAGATATGCTCAACCTCTTTCTCGGTCTCGAACACTTTGAGCAGCTCATCGATAGGCTCAAATCCATAGCCGATCGGCTTCCGGAATCCTTTGTCGATAGCTTCTTGCACCATTCTGGCTCTGCATGTCTCAAAGAACAGTTCGACGCAGAAACTCTCTTGGAACGCATCGATCAATCCGCCCTCTTTCAACCTACCCTCGACCCTGTCGACCGCCTTGCACTTGTCTTGCAGCATGCTTTCGTCCCAGGTGCACCCCGAAGGGTCCGTATGCCTCTCAGCGACTTTACCTCCACCTTCAACGGTCAAGCTCTCGAAATGCTCGTCCACCACATCAAGGTATAGAACCAGCTCAATTCCCCTTCCAAGTTCAAGTACTTTACCAAGGTGCTCCCCATAATCCAGTCCTCAGGCTTTGGCAAAACCAGGCTCTGCGTCCAACTCAGTACCGTCTGTCCCGGTATGCTCGTTTCTCTCACACAAAACTATGATGACTCGGAGCCACCGCAGGACAAGCCAGTCTATGACTACTTTCAACGCGTCAAGGGACTCCTCCCTGGGTCATTAGAAACCAAGTATCAGCCCAACGAAGAAAAAATGAGGTTCAACGAAGCACACCTCTCCATCCTCGCTTGGCTTGCCATCTACTGCCAGACTACAGCCTATTACCTGATCCAGCTCCAACATGCCTCTGGTTGCTTTGACCCGCCTGCTCACCACCAAGATCCTGCCGCGTGCTGGCGTGCCGTCGTCTTCTACTATGCCCGAACTACTGGCTTGAAAGAGGGCTCGTTCTTCGAGACTCCCTCTAACCTCTGCCACCAGAGCCGCCTCCCACATCTCTGTTCCACAGACATACCTCCTAGCACCGACAATCCGCTCGCTCACGTCCACCCCGCCAATCAAGCCGCCGATCCTCCGCCTAGCCTTTTGGCAACCCCGCGAATTCGTGAAAAGATCCTCGATTACATCTGTGAAACGGCCACCACTCTCGCGTCAACCATGAAGGGACAGTACTCTTGCCAATTGTCCTATCATGAGTTGCTCACCCATTCCATTCGAGACCATCTCAAGCCAAGCCTCCAATTAGTGGAGCATCTCTTTCGCGACGCTGACCCTAACTCGTTCTTTTTCCTCGCATTGGACAAATGCAGTAGCATTGATACATTGCTGCCATACATACGTCTAGTGTGGTTCTTTGCCGTGCCAAAGATGACGTGGATCCTCCTCATCGACACCAACCCGAATCTGGCACCGCACGCCCCCGCCGGCGAATCTCGTCAAGCTTCGCGACGCCCGTCAGAATTCGACATGCAAAGTTTCCCCCAGCCGTTTTCGGCGATGCCGCTCGACCCCAACTTGACTAGTCAACATCTTCGCACGCTCTTCTCGGGTGGCGGCCAACTGACCATGCGAGACCTCGACGCATTCCTTCCTCGCTTTGGACGACCGCTGTGGATGGACTCACGCTATCACAGCGACGGATTCATCATGCCCAGGGCCATCATCAACAAACTAGTCTCGCGGGTGTGGATATGGCCTGACGAATTGAAAGACTACCAGTCTGATCCGCTCGGCGATACCATCCAGAATCTGATCGCACTTGCCTCCCGACGCCTTCACCTCGACCTGTCGAGCAAAGCTGGCCCACAGATTTGGTACCCCTTTGTTCGTAACCAGATTGCTTGCCGCCTGCGCTACTTCGGTCGAATCTATTCCACCTCGGATTCGATCAAGTCCGGTACACCTGGTGAACCACCTCTTAGCCTTGCCGTTGCTTGGAGCGTTCGATCCAAGCCCGAACTTGTAGCTGCCAAGTGATCCATGATGGTGCAGGCTATTGTCAATGTCAGTGAACCCGTTGGTCTTAAGGTGGGCGCTCAAGGCGAGCTCGGCATCGCTCTCCTATCCACCATGGCCATCGACCTGGCTATGAGCCAGAGGTACTCGGATGACCTGTGTGACTACATTTGCAATGGGCCTTCTACCTCGGCCGACACCAAGTATACCGCGCTCTACGGCCTCGTCAGTGTCCACGATTGGCTTTGCACTCTTACCGGCTCCAAGTATGTAGTGTGTGCACCAGCAGTCAGCGGGTCCAGCAGCGGCTTCTCTGGAAGCGAGGATGGCGAAGAAGTCATGGCGGATCGAGACCAAGCCGATCAAGGCTTGCCGTCACAACTGGCTTCGTGGGCCCGACGCGCATGGCTCAACTTTACGCATCCCACCATTCTGCCTGAGGAGATACCGCTCGACCGTCGCATTGGGACAGAATTGCTTCGCGAGCTCTGGATCCGTCACGCCACAGCGCAAGGCGTTAGCAATCAAGCTGGATGGACTTTGCTCATACCCGTTTATGAGTCTCACAGCGACCAGCCTCCGAATGGCGCTGACAAGTTTGACGAGACCAAGTTGTCGTACATTGCTATCCAAGTAATGAACTCGATCAACCGGCCCACCCGAGAGGTCAAAGAGGCGGCAGTAGGCCCTCATCTTGCTGTCGACCAAGAGAAGCAGTGCCTCGAGCTCTTCTTTGATGTCAAGGGCTTAGCATCTTGCCGCGGTCACGAGTACTCGCAGCGACGCCATCCAACCCCAGCATCCAACAAGCAGCGGGCGCCCAAGACGAAAGAGCAAGAGGAAGAAGATGCAAAGAGTCGTCTTCTGCTGCGACATCACATATTCATAAGTGGTCTCACACCTGAAGGCTTACCATTGCTGAAGCAGCTCGAGGGCCCCGCCGCTAAGCAGGCGAAATTGCTGTTTGGCGATGCGGATTCACTTGACACGCTCGAGTTCGACGAGGCGCATGCCCACTATGTCCGCCGCTTGCCATCGGAAGAGCATCGCAGAACTTGGGATGAAGCACAGACGTGCACGGAAGGCAGACTGGTGTTCTTTTCGTCATCTTTGTTGACGTGATTGATTTTGACACTGATCGAGTCAGAGCTGGACCAGTCAATAGCTTCTGCACTGTCATCTCATTGCTGGTGAATGATGGACGAGAAAGAAGATTGAAAGCAAATAAGATTGTGATGTATGCATGTCGTCACCAACGCTCAGCCATTCGCTGTCAACTCATCTTGAGAAAACACATATCAGCCAAAAGGAATGGTAGTTGGTTGAAGTCTTCCAACGTCATCGCTACTCCGATTCAGGCCCAGGCAATCGAAACAAAACAAAATACTAAAACAAGACTGTGATGGTGCAGATGACAGCGACCGACCGATGGCGATGCAACAAGGCATGCAAGAAAAGAAAATGGTGGTTCAATAACTGACCGTCCAACTTGACGTCCAACTAAAGCTACTCGCGCGAGAGAGGATTATCAAATCGGAAATTCGAATCATTTTCAAGAAATTGGAATCGCCAATTCGGATTCGGATATTTCTTGCAATTTTCCATTTTCGACCTGAAACGCAGTTCCCAAATCTTGTCCCATCCCTCTGGCAAAGTTTCTACGGGCTGCAGTATATTGCACATTTATATCCAATCACCTTCCGCAACCTCATCGTGCCTGTCTTATACCCACAGACAGCAGAGCTTTCCCTTTCCCAGTGGTAAGTGTCTTCGGCCGCATCTGTGCGCACACTTGACAAGCAAGAAAAAGAATATGAAAAAGAAAAAAAGAAAAAGAATATGAAAAAGAAAAAAAGAAAAAGAAAAAGAAAAAGAAAAAGAAAAAGAAAAAGAAAAAGAAAAAGAAAAAGAAAAAGAAAAAGAAAAAGGTGTTGATTTTTCTTGAGTGTTGTTCATGTTGATGTGCGAGTTCTGCTGACACGATCCTACAACTACACCTCCACCTTGCCTTACCTTCCCCATCCGCTTACCATCACTTCTACATCGATTGGGTCACCCTGCAACGATGGACGCGTACGACGAACCAATGGACGCCGCTTCTAGTGGACACCGCACCATTCCGGACTACAAGGATATCGACGAAGACCGACGACCCGAGTCACGTCCTCCTCGAGGTCGATCTTACTCTCGCTCCCCCTCCACCACTCCCGTCCCTGGTCGACGTGACCGCAGCCCCGCTCGTCGCGCTGACAGCCGCAGTCGCAGTCGTAGTCGTAGCCGTTCGCCTCTGCCTCATCGCCGCTCTCGATCCCCCGCTGCCCGACGATACGATCGAGACGACCGTGACCGACGCGATCGCAACCGTTCCCGCTCACCTCCTCCCCCTCGCTCCGATCGTCGTCGTTCCCCACCGCCCAAACCTCGTGGTGCACCCGCCCATGTCGACCCTACCACCGTCCTCGGAGTTTTTGGTCTCTCGATCCGCACCGTCGAAGCAGACCTCAAGGACGAATTCGAAGCCATCGCCCCTGTGGACAAGGTCGTTGTCGTCTACGATGCCCGTTCAGGTCGTTCGCGAGGCTTCGGTTTCGTCACCATGCGTGATGTCGACGGCGCCTCTGCTGCTATTGAAGCCTTGAACGGCAAGGATTTGCACGGTCGAAAGATTCGAGTCGATTTCTCGACTACCCACAAACCTCACGATCCCACTCCTGGTATTTACAAGGGTGAGATTCGACCGGATGATCGATACCGTGCTCCTGCTCGTGGAGGTGACCGAAGCAGTGGAGGTGGTAGGGATGGAGGCTCGAGATACACCGGTCGAGCATACGATAGGGCCGATCGAGCAGGAACTAGCTCATACCGAGGTGGAGATTCCTACAGGAGAGGCTTTGCCGATTCAAGGGATGACTGGAGAAGAAGACCCTCCCCTCCGAGAAGGCCGAGGAGATCACCCAGCCCTCCACCAAAGAGAAGCGGTGGAAGCAGGTACTCCCGATCGCCAAGCCCAAGACGCGGTGGTGGGGATAGGTACGACGCTGATAGGGAGGAAAGAGTTCCTCCTCCCTCCAGGGCTAGGTTGGGAAGTCACCTCGACAGCCCCCCTCGAGAGGACAATGTCGAGCCCAGTCGATACTACTAAGCATCCCCACCGACCGAGGGGTGCGAACAGCGCCTGCAATGGTCCTCAAATCACCTCTTCAAGCACATGCACAATATGCTATACCTAGCATCCGTCACGTTCTCTTCAACTTCAAATCAGACGCCGATCTGGTGTTCTCAACATTCACTGTCGCTTTGTTTCAAGCTTTGCCGAAGTCTGCTGTGTTCAAGTTTCCCAAGTTATGTTCTGCCTCAAAACGCTTCAAAAAAAACCTCATATATCAAGACCTTTCGTCCTCAACTCAACATCTCAATGTGTGAAGCCAAGATTCAACGTCGTCAACGTCCTTTGTGTGTGCAAGAGCAGCTGGTCAAGATGCAAGACAGGGTTGTGTCCGTCAAGACTGCAATATACGGGATGGACAAATGCAAGTACAAGAATTCATTCGCACTTGACCCAGAACATGAGATGCTTGAAGCAATGTCGCCTCAAGATGCCAGTGACACGCTGCCGAGCTGATGAGCTAGGTAAGAGCAAACACCCCCATTAAGCGCGCGCTAATACAGAGCTTCTTCTTTCTTCTGAGCGCAGCACGCCGACAAACTTTCGTCTACCTTGAGAGGTGAGTCACAGGGTGATTAAAAAGCTTGCTCTCATGCTCGGTACGCAAGGTCAGAACCAGCGAGGCGAACCAGTAGCATGCAAGACCTTGATTCGAGCAATGCGAAAGTATATCACTACCACCGAGTGAACCAATGGCTGAGTACATGCATTTGAGCTATCAAAGAGACTCGGCCAGCTCCTTCCGAATCCTAAGCATCCCCTCGACCAGCTCCTCCTTCTCATCCCACCTTTCATCTCTCTTCACCTCAATCGCACCATCCCTACCCAACACCCTAATCAATCTCGCAGCCGCTTCGGCTTTCCTTGCGCCATACCACGTTCCATGAACATCTTCACCCTTAACAAACGCCTTATAGGGCTCTAACCAAGCCCCCACCAACTCCTTCTCCTCCTTCTTAAGCGAGGAAAACCACCAAAGGTAATCATCAAACGAATGACTTACCCCCCTATACCCGGGCAGAACGTCATCAATCACCTTTGCTCGATACTCTATCCGATACCTCAAGATCCTCTCCGGCGGAAAGCCTCCTTTGATTAGATCCGTAATCAAGATCCGTTGAGCAATATATACCTGAGAATCAGAACAAACGTGTCCAAAGATCTCGGCAATCTCATCCGCTGTAGAGGGCGAGTGGTGGGAATTATCGTCGTCATCGTATCTGACACGAATATTGTCAGAACACCCATCGCAAGAGATGAGTTCGATTCGATCGTGGATCTGGTCTTCCGAGATGAAGTAGGATGAACCGCATCGACAGGGGTAGTCGAACGTCATTGGCCCCGCGAAAGCTTGCGGTTCGGTTGGTTGGAAAGATTCAAAGTCTATGGTTTGTGAGATACGTGGTTGGGTGGATGAAGAGGAAGCAGCTCGTAAAGCTACAAGTTTCTCATCGTAGAAAGAACGGGTTTGGTTGTCGATGAGGGTTTTGTAGGCATGGTTTAGTTGTCGGATGAATTGGTCGGATTGGGGGAGCGAGTCTGCGATTGCTGTGGGGTCGAGATGCTGTTGTTGCTGCTGAAGTTTGTCTGGATGATAAAGACGCACTTGTGCAAGGTAAGCGGACCTTATCTTGGTGGAGGTTGCTGAGGCTTTCACTCCAAGAATGTCGTACAAAGACTTGTCCTCTTCTTTCAGCCCTTGCGATGCTTCCTTGCTCCCCTTCGCTGAGCTTGGGGACCTTGTCGACATCTCCACCCCATACAAAGGCAGCATCTTCTCCACCAATGGGAGCGTGTAATAATTATTCACCTGCCTCACCAACCCCTCGGTATCCGCTGGAGTATTAATATACCTATACACCCACTCTTCATCCTCACATTCCCCCATCAAAAAGGTGAGCCCTTCTTTCTCGCACCACTTGGCAAACCTGCCATCCATCATCGCCTTTGTCCAATCCGCCTTAACAAAGGCCCGCTCCTCTCCATCCCTAGTCGCTCTAAAAGTATGCATCTTCATTCCCCCCACCGTCTTTGCAAGGGTACCAGCATGCACCTCTCTCAACTTTGCTATCTTGTCCTCCGCACTCAAGCTTATGTCGATGTTGAGAAGTGAACATAGCTCGTCCAGCTGTCCTGAAGTTTCTGCGACGGGTTTCGAAGGCCAGATTGCCGAATTGGACTGCAAGAAAACCCTGCTAATGATCGGCTTGTAGCTCGGATGGCGAGTGGATAGATCGAATTCGTGCATCAGTTGGGAATGTGTACTGTGTGCACCCGCTGACAGGCCTCCGACGGTGATGTTATCTGGGTCACCACCGAAGTGGGATATATTGTTGTGAATCCATTCGAGTGCTGCTCTTTGGTCCCAAAATCCATAGTTTCCTGTAAGACAATCTGGATCTTCTTTCCGCAACGCTTCGTGGGCGAAGAATCCGAATAGGTTCAACCTATATCCTGCTGTAACCACGACTGCTTCCAGTCGACCTGAATGGATAAGATCACTTGGATCTTTTTCTGGCGAAAAATGCGCATTGCCAATCTGCAACCATCCTCCATGAAGGAAGAACAACACTGGCAACTTGCGGTTCAATCGAGACCCATCGGTTTGAACAGGACACCAAATGTTTAGGTAGAGACAATCTTCGCTCTCGCCAAAAGTGGGGCAGTCGGGGATAGTAATGCCATTTGTGAGTGCATAGTTGGTTGGTTGTGGGCACTGTGCGGCGAAGGAAGAGTATTCAGTGTTGTTGCTGTCGTAGCGGAAGGTAGGGGAGAGTGGGAGGGGACGCTTCCAGCGGAGAGAGCCGATGGGGGGCTGGGCGAAGGGTATGCCGGTGAAACGTTGAGATTTGAGTTGAGCGGTGCAGGTGTCTTGAGCTATTCGGCCGATGATGTGACCTTGATTGGGGATGGTGACGGAAGCAGCATCGTGCTTGATGAAGGTGCTTGTTGATTGACCCATCGTGAGCGGTTACTGAGCTTGTCTCATGAGGCTGATCCGGATCGAAACGTGGCTGGGTCGTGCCAAGTGATGGCCGTGAGGCTGCGTAGCTCGAATGTGGTGTTGGCTCTATCTCAATATCCGAGTCGCAGTGAGATGATGTCGTACAGCAAACAAGAGACCTGACAGCGTCTGTGCCATGTCACAAGAAGCAGCGGCTATTATTTTTGTTTTCTACCGGCACCCTTTCTCGACTTTTTCTTTTTTCACCGGTTCAGGCCGGTTATATCGCCGTGTCAGTCATCGAAACGTACCATTCTTCTCGCCCTTGCTTGGCCTTGTTCATCAACAGAAAACTTCATGAGCTTGGTTTTGTCGACTCGAACCCATCCCCATCTATTCTACATCCATCATTCAAAGCATCTGGAAGTGGAAAAAATAAAAAAAAATAAAAAAAGAAAAAAAAAAGGGGGGGGGGCAAAAGAAACTGCAGCACCTAGGATTCCCGCGTGGTCCCCCACCGCAGTACTGACTAGGCGATACCTTGCTTAACTTCGCAGATCGGACGGGATGCGGTGCTTTCAAGGTTCTATGGCCGCAGATGGTTTGGGATGCTTAGTAAAAGTTGATATACCAAATCTGCACCACTCTTTGCAGCAACACGAGCTTGGATGGTTTGGATTCACCTATACCAATCAATACGCAATAACGATGCCCTTCGAGCCGGACGCAGGCCAAAGTGAAACCAAGCCCAAGCCTTTCGCAAACACACAAATGAAACGGGTGATTTGCATGAGGTCATATCAAAAGGAGGAAAGCGCTATATACAGGATGCAAGCGCAAAAAGCTCCAGCAGGGCTGAATAGAACAGGAAGGAATGCTAATCTTGCTCCCTCATAGTGTGATTGGTTGTTGTTGTTTTTTTGGTTGTTTTTTGTTGCTGCTTGGCTTACAAACGAGAGATGATCTTCTCGGTGAAAGCACGAGTTCCGAGCTTACCACCCAGATCACCGGTCCTCTCACCAGAAGCAATAGTCTTGAAGATAGCTTTCTCGATACGATCAGCCTTGTCAAAGAGGCTCATGTGTCGGAGCATCATGATCGACGAAAGCAGGAGAGCGGTAGGGTTGGCCTTGTCCAAACCAGCGATGTCAGGAGCGGAGCCGTGAACGGCCTCAAAGATCGAAGCGTCCTTACCGATGTTGCCGGAAGGAGTGAGACCGAGACCACCGATGAGACCGGCGCACATGTCGGAAAGAATATCACCGTACAAGTTGGGCATGACCATGACACGGTCAGCGTAAGGGGCGGGGTTCTGAACGATGCGAAGGCAGGCACGGTCGAGAAGGTCCTCGTCGTAAGCTATGTGGGGGTACTCCTTTGCGACCTGTCGGCAAGCGTGAAGGAACATGCCATCGGACATGCGCATGATGGGAGCCTTGTGAACAGCAGTGACCTTGTTACGACCGTTCTGCTCGGCGTGGTGGAAAGCGTAACGTGCGACACGTTCGGAAGCCTGGTAAGTGATCAGCTTGATCGACTGAACAACACCATCAACAATCTCGTGCTCGATACCAGAGTATTCGCCCTCGGTGTTCTCACGGATGAGGACAGTGTCGACGTTGTCGTAGGCAGTCTTGAAGCCTTGGATCGACTTGCATGGTCGAACGTTGGCGAAAAGGTGGAAGGTGCGTCGGAGGGTCAAGTTGAGCGAAACGTGTCCCTTGCCGATAGGCGTAGCAAGAGGACCTTTGAGAGCGACGGTGTTCTTCTTGATCGAGACGATCGATTCTTCGGGAATGGTCTGCTTGCCATCCTTGATGAAGGGAGCGACGGAAACCTCCTCCCACTTGATAGGGACATGAGCGGCACGGTAGATCTCCTTGACGGCTTCAGAGACTTCGGGACCGATACCGTCGCCAGGGATCAAGGTGACGGTGTACTTGCCGTCGGAACCCTTGTGCTTGTTGTAGGTCGAGGTGGGTGCATTGGTGACGGGCATGGCAAGGCCGCGAACGGACATCCTGTTGACTCTGAGAGCCGAAGAGGCGAGCGAAGGGCGCTTAGCCAGCGACGAGCTGGCCGATCTGAAGACGGGAGCGGACAACATTGTGCGATGAGGGAAGATAGAAGAGGAGCAAGGAGCAAGGAGCAAGGTGTGGAGAGAAGAACAAGATTTGATTTGATTTGATTTGATGATCGTGTCGACGACTTGCTTGATCGCAGCGGGAAAAATAGGGAAAAAAAGGAGAAAAAAAGGAGAAAAAAAGGAGAAAAAAAGGAGAAAAAAAGGGGAAGAAAAGGAGAAAAAAAGGGGAAGAAAAAGTTAAAGTTTTCGTGTGATTGATGATGATAATAATGGAGAGAGGGAGAGAGAGAGAGAGCGAGGAGAGAGAAGGAGTCTATATATATAAAAAGAAGAGCAGCAGAGAGCTGCATTGACTGCGGAGCATACCAAAGCATTTGTCTTGAGTAGGTTGTGACACATGTGGTCCATGCTCAGATGCTCAAGCCTTTTACTTGGCTGTAAGCACTGCCTTCACTGTCTCTACACTTTGTGTAGCTTTTATCTGCTTCAACTCCCCCCCTCAACAGCATATGTACCCCATTCATTATGCTGTTGTTTCAAGGTATACCCTCCATTCTTTAACATCATCGCATAGCTCGGGGACTCCATTTTGTATGCCGCTGCTGGTATTTGCAGGTGTAGCCCAGATCTTGCTTGCTGCATTGCCTGTCTCCCAATTGGCTTGGTGAGTACATCTGCCAAATTCCTTGTGGTGTCCATGTACTTGATTTGCACCCTTCCCTCTTGAACATTGTTACAGATGAAGTGATACTTGGTGTCGATGTGCTTAAGCTTCCAGTGCTGTGCTGGGTCTTTACTAACCTGTATGCAACCAGTGTTGTCTGAGTAGACCGTTGGGGTGCCAGTGGCAATGCCAATTGAGCATAGCAGCTGCTTGAGGAAGAGCACCTCATGTGTTGCTTCTGTGGCTGCAATGAACTCCACCTCAACAGTGGACAATGATATGCATTTTTGTGTTGCTGACTTCCAGGCTACCAGGTTCCCATACACTAATGCCACTGACCCCAATGTACTCCTTCTCTGAATGGTGGCATCACTTGCCCAGTTTGCATCACTATGCACAATCAGTGGCTCTTGTGACATATTTCCCCTATAAACTAATCCAACATTCTTTGTGCCTTCAAGGTAGCATAAGACCTGTTGTGCTGCCTGATAATGCTCTTGAGATGGTTCACACATGTGTCTAGTGAGGACACTCACAGTGAGGCTAAGGTCGGGCCGGGTGCTGTTGGCAACCCAGAGCAGCTTGCCAACAATCACCAGATACTCCTTCTGTTGTGCTGTGCTTGCAACAAGGGTTCCCTCTGGTATGCTCTGCATTGGAACCATGGTTGGCTTGGTGCATTTGTCCAGGTGCTTAGCCAGCACTTGGTCAATGTACCCTGACTGACCAATCATCATGGTGTGCATCATACGGTTTCGGCTGATTTTGATGCCGAGTGTCAGGGGTCTTGCGCCTGAAACCCAGGTCGGTCTGTCGAGATACTTGGTGACTATCAAACTGTGCAACAGCTATTGTCTTGGTATCGGTGACTTATCAAGTTGTGCAGTGACAGCAGGTGGCATTTGTTGTATATACTATTGTAGGTTTCGGCTGACCTCTGTGGACACTCCGTTCAGGGGTAGCTTGGCACAATCAATATCAATGCTTCAGTTATGATGACACCAAGGTCTGGTGTGGGTGTTGATGATGATGAGGTTGATGTCGTTGGTGATAAGGTTGGTGAGTGTTGATGATAAGGAGGTTGATGGTGTAGGTGATAAGGTTGGTGGCGTCAACACGAGTGTCCAGTGTGTTGACTTTGACACTTGAAGTGATCCCCAGACCGCAGTGGACTACTGCCTTCAGTTCTATCTATATCCGGACTGCTAACCTGCTATGGGGCACCTATGGACATCAGGTAGTGGTGATACAACACACACACTATGATGAGGAGCAACCTTGATAGATTGCTGCTATGCTGACTGTAACTAATATATACTTATGCTGAAGTGATAACTAGTTATGGTGAGTAGAGTGGATGAGGATCCACTTGACCTATGATGATGAGAAAGCATGGTTATATACCTCTTCACAGCATCGCCAGCGATGCTGCTCCTGCTCTCTCTCCAGAGAGTACCTTCTTCATCGAGTACTGCTCAGGGGCCTCTCCTGCTTGGGACCCCTGTGCCTCTTGAGTGGTGTCAACTCCTTCGACACTGCTCCTCCTCCTCATGACCTGGTGTCGACTCCTTCAACACTGCTCCTCCTCCTCATGACCTGCTTGCCGGTGTCCTATGACTCTTGTCTCTCAAGCCCCTGAGTGGTAACCATCTGAGCTTGGTCCTCTTTGTGGCTGTGCCTGCTCCTTGAGCTTGGTCCTCCTTGTGGCTGTGCCTGGCCCTCCTTGCATGTGGCTCGGTTCTCCTTTGCATGTGAGTCCATAGGAGTCCATGGTCTCCATGGAGACTGCACTATGACCATGCTCTCTACTGGTGTCAACTAGATCTTCGATACCTGTGCTCCTTCCATATGAACCAGCGACCCTCCTGCTTCCTGAGCATTTAGGCCCATGACACCATGCTTTCTCATCATCAAAGGTTGAGTGGATCCTCATCCACTCTACTCACCATAACTAGTTATCACTTCAGCATAATTATATATTAGTTACAGTCAGCATAGCAGCAATCTATCAAGGTTGCTCCTCATCATAGTGTGTGTGTTGTATCACCACTACCTGACATCCGTAGGCACCCCATAGCAGGTTAGCAGTCCAGATATAGATAGAACCAAAGGCAGTAGTCCACTGCAGTCTGGGGATCACTTCAAGTGTCAAAGTCAACACACTGGACACTCGTGTTGATGCCACCAACCTTATCACCAACACCATCAACCTCCTTATCATCAACACTCACCAACCTTATCACCAACGACATCAACCTCATCATCATCAACACTCACACCAGACCTTGGTGTCATCATAACCAAAGCATTGATATTGATCATGCCGAGCTACCCCTGAACAGAGTGTCCACAGAGGTCAGCTGAAACCTACAATAGTATATACAACGAATGCCACCTGCTGTCACTGCACAACTTGATAGTCACTGATACCGAGACAATAGCTGTTGCACAGTTTGATAGTCACCAAGTATCTCGACAGACCGACCTGGGTTTCAGGCGCAAGACCCCTGACACTCTGATTGCTCCGAGGGGTGCTACTGGAGAGAAGGTTTCCTGGTAGTCGATTCCCTCTCTCTGTGTGAAGCCCCTCGCCACCAGTTGCGCCTTGTGCTTTATGGGCACACCATCACCATCGAGCTTTAGCCAAAGCACGACCTTAGAGTCCACGAGTGGTACTCCTGGCAGGTGATTCACCACCTCCCAAGTCCCCATTGCCTCGAGTCCTTCCAGCTCTTTTCATATTGCCTCCTTCCAGAGCTGGGTGTCCTCACCATTCATTGCTTCCCCAAGCATTGGGTCCAGGTTCAGTACTGCTGTGTTGGTGGCACCTACTGTGCTGTCTACAGCTGGTAGGAGATCCTCCACTGCAGCTTCTGATCTGGTTTCCTCCTCCACTATGGCTGGCATGACACCCTCCTCCTTGACCTCTGTGGTCACCACAGGCTGGACTGCCTCCTGTTGGTGATCACTCCATCCTTTGTCCTCATGGAATGTTGCTGAGTTGCTCCATTGAATTGATGCAGGCTGGTCCAGGTTGCAAAACTTCCATGCTTTGTGCTCATTGTCATATCCAATCATGATGGCTGGCTTTGCTCTAGCCCTGTACTTGCCCTGCTGGTCCTTCTGTTGAACATGGACCCATGCCAAGCATCTGAAGACTCGCAGCTGCTGGGCCAGCTTGTGCACAGTAGTTCCATAAAAGGCCTCATGGGGAATGGTCTTGGTGGCTGATGGGGTGAGGTTCATCATGTGTGCTGCTGCTGTGATTGCATATGGCCACAACTCTCTGGGGCAAGCTCGACCAATGAGCATTGAGTGCATCTTTTCTTGGACTGATCTGATCGCTCTCTCTGCCTGTCCATTCTGGACACTGATCCCCAGGATGCTCTTTTGCCACTTGAAACCCTCTTGAGTTTGCCAGTCTTCAGCTCCTAAGCTGCACCACTCTCCTCCATTGTCACTGCAGAGTGTTTTGAGTTTCCTGTCTGTTGCTCGTTCCATCCTGGTGATCCACCTTCTCAGTGCCAGGAGTGCAGCACTCTTAGTGCAGAGTGGTTCCACATAGATCAGGGAGGAGAAGTCATCCACAGCAACTAGTGCATAGTGGTAGTTGGCATGGCCCTTAAGATCTGTCATCAAGTCTATGTGTACTAACTCTAGTGGCACCTCTGCTCTCTTCGACTCCGATTGGCTCATCTGTGCTCAGGTCTGTTTCCCTTGACTGCATGCATTGCAGTGCTTTGATTCATGCTCCATTCTCTCATCAGTGCCGAGGTAGTGTGCCTGGATTTGCCTTGTTTTATCTCATCCTGGGTGTCCAAACCTCTCATGCCAGAGGTAGCTATCTTTGTCTTCCTTCGAGTTGTTGTCTTGGTTTCCTGTGTTCTGGTTGTCCTCTGGGATGTCGTTGATTGTCTCCTCCAGCTCCAAAGCCAGTGCTTGTCCTTGCATGTCGAAGTGGCCTTGTCTCCTGTTCTTCCTGAATTGCACTTGGGTACCATCGTTCTGCTTTATGGTAGTCCCAGACTCATCAAAGATTACTCATGCACCATTCTCGATCAAGCCTTGTATGGACAATAAATTAGAATTGAGCTTCGGCACATAGAGCACATCCAATAGCTGGATGGTAGCCTCACCGACCTGAAGGGAGGCATCTCCTATGGCTTTTACCTGAAGCTTTTTGTCAGGGGTCTTGCGCCTGAAACCCAGGTCGGTCTGTCGAGATACTCGGTGACTATCAAACTGTGCGACAGCTATTGTCTCGGTATCGGTGACTATCAAGTTGCACAGTGACAGCAGGTGGCATTCATGGTATATACTATTGTAGGTTTCGGCTGACCTCTGTGGACACTCCATTCAGGGGTAGCTCGGCACGATCAATATCAATGTTATGATGACACCAAGGTCTGGTGTAAGTGTTGATGATGATGAGGTTGATGGTGTTGGTGATGAGATTGGTGATGTCGATGATAATGAGGTTGATGGTGTTGGTGATAAGGTTGGTGGTGTCAACACGAGTGTCCAGTGTGTTGACTTGATGCTTGAAGTGATCCCCAGACTGCAGTGGACTACTGCCTTTGGTTCTATCTTGATCTGGACTGCTAACCTACTATGGGCGCCTTTGGATGTCAGGTAGTGGTGATACAACACACACACTACGATGAGGAGCAACCTTGATAGATTGCTGCTATGCTGACTGAAACTAATATATACTTATGCTGAAGTGATAACTAGTTATGGTGAGTAGAGTGGATGAGGATCCACTCGACCTATGATGATGAGAAAGCATGGTTATATACCTCTTCACAGCATCGCCAGCGATGCTGCTCCTGCTCTCTCTCCAGAGAGTACCCTCTTCATCGAGTACTGCTCAGGGGCCTCTCCTGCTTGGCACCCCTGTGCCTCTTGAGTGGTGTCAACTCCTTCGACACTGCTCCTCCTCCTCATGACCTGGTGTCGACTCCTTCAACACTGCTCCTCCTCCTCATGACCTGCTTGCCGGTGTCCTATGACTCTTGTCTCTCAAGCCCCTGAGTGGTAACCATCTGAGCTTGGTCCTCTTTGTGGCTGTGCCTGCTCCTTGAGCTTGGTCCTCCTTGTGGCTGTGCCTGGCCCTCCTTGCATGTGGCTCGGTTCTCCTTTGCATGTGAGTCCATAGGAGTCCATGGTCTCCATGGAGACTGCACTACGACCATGCTCTCTACTGGTATCGACTAGATCTTCGATACCTGTGCTCCTTCCATATGAACCCGTGACCCTCCTGCTTCTTGAGCATCCAGGCCCATGACACTTTTCATCCCCTGCTGTACTGATCTGACCGTCCTTGCTTGTTGAGGTGAGCAGCATTCTCTCATCATTTACCATATGATGAGTTGCACCTGAATCAACAATCCAGGTGTTGTATGCTGATTGCTCCCCGCTTTCGATCACTAGGAAGGTGCACCCAAGTTCCTAGTGACTTGCTTCCTGTGCCACACAAGCAGCAGGTTCGCTCGTGTTTGGTGCAGGGTGGTTGTTGGTGTTTGTGCAATTATGAGCGATATGATTGGGTCCCCCACATGCATAGCATCTTGGAGGAGCTGAGGGATTATGCAGAATGTGCCTGCCCCTGGGCCCCTGCTCCACCTGACTGGTACCCCCTTGCTCTGTGCTTGTAGCAACCCTGGCTGCTCCTCTGATACAACCTGAAATCTCACCATCCTGCTGTTTCTTGGCAAGTGTGTGGTAGGCTTCATCATACTTACAGTCTGGTTTGGCCATCTTGAGTGCATCAACAGAGTTGGCATAGAACCAATCTTGTGCTGTGCAACAGTAGAGCGTGGATTTCTTTAGGTCCTCATCAAGGCGCTTCCCAAGATGTGCAGCATCGTTCCAAATGGAGTCAAGTTCCTTGCCTAGCCTGGCAACATCCTGATTGTACAGGCATATGGTGTGGATGCAGTCCTGCAGGCCCACTCACTTCACCATGTCATTCAATGTTAGTGCCTTCCTAAGCTTAGTGTAAAGTGTACTTCCAAGTTGGGCCTCCTCATCTGCACCCCTGATGGTGTATGTGTCGATGCAGCTTTCCAGGCTGTGATCACAGCAAGCATGGATAAGACCTACCAGCACCTTGTCCAGGTCCTCATCATATCCCTCGCTTCCAGGTGCTATTTCACCATATAAGATTTCCTTTGCATTGTGCACCCATTGCAGACAGTCGATAAAGGTGGGCTCCCAGGTGTGCCAGTTGTTATCACTAAGTTTCTTAATGTGTGCAATGGCACTCGAGATGTCCTTGGGAATCTTCTCTGCCTCCCCTCTTGGAGCTTGATTGCTAATGCTGACAAGACCCATCGCCCGTACAATTGCCTCCTCTGCTGTCAGCACCAGGTTTGCTAACTGTAGTATCCTGACCACCTGCATAAGCCAACCCTCCTCCTGACCATTGCCTGCAGTTGCAGCTGCTTGATCATCATCTCTCTCCTCCCTTCCTGTCTGTCCTGCTCATGTCGATGGCAGCATTATGCTTATTGTCGGACTCTTGATGACTGAATGTCGTGGGTTCGAGCCCCACGTTGGGAGCCAGTTAAAGTTTTCATGTGATTGATGATGATAATAATGGAGAGAGGGAGAGAGAGAGAGAGCGAGGAGAGAGAGAAGGAGTCTATATATATAAAAAGAAGAGCAGCAGAGAGCTGCATCGACTGCGGAGCATACCAAAGCATTTGTCTTGAGTAGGTTGTGACACATGTGGTCCGTGCTCAGATGCTCAAGCCTTTTACTCGGCCGTAAGCACTGCCTTCACCGTCTCTACGCTTTGTGTAGCTTTTATCTGCTTCAACTGAAAATGTTTTCGGCGATCTAAAAAAAAAAAAAAATTAGAATTTTTGCAATTTTTATCTCGCCGTGAGGATGAAATGATCGGACGATAAATGTTTGTGCGTTCGGCGCTGTTGGAGTTGTTGGCTCGCCAGTTGGACATGAGAGAGAGAAGAGTTGCGATCCGCACTGGATTGATTGTTGCTCCTGTTCTTGTCCATCTACCCTTGTGGCTCCACCATCTCGCCCATTCTCCTACACAGCTCTTCTTGTCTCGCCGTCTCGAACAGCATCATCACAGTCGATATGAACGCTCTCCGACAGCTCAACAGGGCCGCTGGCCTTGTCCTCCCTAACTTGCCTCAGGCTCTCCGACCTGCCACCACCCTCGCTGCTGGTACGCCCAAAATCTCCAAGGGCCCCACCAAGTATGGCGGCGTCTACACCGTCACTTTGATTCCCGGCGATGGCGTTGGTGTCGAGATCACCGACTCGGTCAAGGAGATCTTCGAGGTGACCAACGTGCCCGTCGAGTGGGAGCAGTTCAACGTTTCCGGCGAGACCCACGGTTCCGAGTCGCTCTTCAAGGAGGCTATGGAGTCGCTCAAGCGCAACAAGGTCGGCCTTAAGGGCATCCTTTTCACCCCTACCGAGACTGGCTCGCACAACTCCTGGAACGTCGCCATGCGCCAGCAGCTCGACATCTACGCCTCCCTCGTCATCTGCAAGTCGCTCCCCGGCTACCCCACTCGTCACAAGGACGTCGACTTTGCTATCATCCGAGAGAACACCGAGGGTGAATACTCGGGTCTCGAACACTCTTCCTACCCTGGTGTCGTCGAATCGCTCAAGGTCTCCACCCGTGCCAAGGCTGAGCGTATCTCTCGTTTCGCCTTCGACTTTGCCCTCAAAAACGGCCGCAACAAGGTCACCTGCGTTCACAAGGCCAACATCATGAAGCTCGGTGACGGTCTTTTCCTCAACACTTTCCGTCGTGTCGCTGAAGAGTACAAGTCGAGCGGTATCGAGTCGAACGACATGATCGTCGACAACACCTCCATGCAGCTCGTCTCGCGTCCACAGCAATTCGACGTCATGGTCATGCCCAACTTGTACGGTAACATCGTTTCCAACATCGGTGCTGCTCTTGTCGGTGGTCCCGGTATCGTTCCTGGTTGCAACATTGGCCGTGAGTTCGCACTTTACGAGCCTGGTTGCCGTCACGTCGCCAAGGACATTATGGGTACCAATGCTGCTAACCCCGCTGCTATGATCCTCAGTGCCACCATGATGCTTCGTCACCTCGGCCTCGACACCCAGGCCAACCAGATCGCCGAGTCGGTTTACAAGGTTATTCACGACGGCAAGGTCCGCACGGCTGACATGGGCGGCAAGAGCAAGACCCACGAGTTCACCCAGGCTGTTCTCTCCAACCTTTGAGCAGCACAAAGCTGACGAGAAAGCAAGTCTGCAACATGCCAAAAATCCAAGAGCTTCCATTCGACGTCGACACGGACCATCACAAGTTGTCCCTCATACACCCAACCTTGACCGCTGCAATCTTACCCGCATTAAACAAGCAAGCTCGGAAAGCTACAATGGAGGCGACTGTACGGATCCTTATCGACACTGTATATATCACACACACACACACACACACACTTACGATTCGATCCTCATTTTTGTGCAAGCATGCTTTGATTCCCAGATCAACGACAGACTTTTTGATTGCGTGACAGATGATCGCATGAACGGCGCTCAATGGGTAGAAGAGAGCTCAGGACCTATGCTGAGTCTGTCGTGACAATGGGGCGCAGGAAGCAAGCAAGGCCAAGCGACTGTGGTAGGGGTGAACGAAAGCAGCTTGGTTCAGCGTAGGCTGCTGAGAAGCAGTCTTGACACGAGCGGCTGATGAAGAACGAGCTTTCTTGGCCCTCGATTCGCTCGATACCCTGCTTTCGATGGCAGCGGTCATGTCTTGAGATTCGTCAGACACGCTTCGTCTCCTTGACTTGCGCTTTTGAAGCTCCGACAGAGCTTTTGCGACAACAATCTCGCCTTGGCTACTGATGCGCAGGACCGGTAGATCGGATGCGAGTGCTGTAGTGGATCAGCTTCGATGATGCGACATTGGCTTTTGCTGGCGCAGCAGATAGCCTTGTTGCCAAGTAAGATCGTCTTGAGCCGCTTCCTTGCGCTGTCTTTTTCATGGCTGTTCGGTTTGCTTTGAGCTTGATCGAGTGCTTGCTGAGTTGAGATCGCTTAGAGTCGGCCATGGAACCGCTTGACCATCTCCTTTCTCCGGACTGAGAAGCTTTCTACTGCAACTTGGCTTGCTGACGGTCGGCTATACAGACTTGACCGAGCCCTACCTGTCATGGCTCGTGGTCAACCTCCACCTTTCGATTCTGCTCTCACCAATTTCAACCGAGCTTTCTTCTTCTTCTTCTTCTTCTTCTTCTTCTTCTTCTTCTCTTCTTCTTCTCTTCTTCATCATCATCTTCTTCTTCCTTCTTCTTCTTCTTCTTCTTCAGGTCGCCGACAGAAACGCACCGTCACATTTGAATCTTCTCATCCTTTACTGCGCCCTTCTGTCCACACCACCATTGCCCACATCTTTCGTCCCACTGTAACCCAAACAGGCGATGCGCCGCTCCTACATCCCTTCGCTATGACCGACACACCGTCGAGCTCAGATAGGTCCTATCGACAGAGCTTGAACAAAGCCTTACACGTCTCACGCATCCTCACCGGCGCACTCGATGACGACCTAGGCATCAAGAAACCCACCACGACAACCAAGCTAGGGGCGAAACATCTAGCTGAAAACCAGGCCGCTCTACACGCAACTCTATCCGACCGCCTTCAACACGCCGTCTGCTCTTGGGATCACTTGGCATCTTTCCAACTCAACCAGAACGCAGAGATCGCGACTGGAGACTTGGCTCTGTTTCTACTCTCACGGATTCACAGCTGCTTGGTAGAGAAGAAGAAAGATGTCGCTTCTAGGGTGGCGGTTCACGATGAGCGAACGCCTGCGCTGAAGCACAAAGGTATTCAGCCGAAGGAGGAAGTAGGCTTAGGTATCAAGCATGTCAAGCTTGTCACTACGCTACAGTCGCTATCATCGAGATGGGCGCTTGCGAAGCGCATAAAGGCGTACGATGAGGCGCTTTTCAAGCTAGCACCGAAAGGGTTTGGCAAAGCACAGGACAAGACCGCCTCGACCTTCAAGCTCACTGAACAGAACCGATTCGAAGAGGTGGATGAAGAGAGAGAAGTTCAACAACGTGCGAACGCTAGATTGGCCTTCAATGCCGCACGACAAGATCTTGCGAGTGTAGTCGACAGATGGGCGTCCATCTTGGTGGCACAAGGCTCAGGTTCAGCTACTGCCCTTGGTGGACCAGTGTCAGCGTCGACGGATGTAGTCACGGTGATGCTTCGCGTTGGTATCGTCGACTACCTCTCTTCGCTCCTCCGCTTAGGTTTTGGACCAAACGTCAATCCAGCAGCATCACAACCCAACCGTACTGCACCGACCAAAGATAAGATCCAGAAACGTGCAGCAGCAGCAACCACTCAACTGCTGCGATTCCTTTCAACCCACTCTGCTATGTCAGCCCTCTCATCCGTCATTGCACACTCTGACGCCAAGCTCGCTGCTCCTTCCTTCGTCAAAGCTGTCTCATCCCGCTTGCTCAGTGCCCAGCTATTGCGGCCAGACGGTGTTCGATCGCTCTTCATCATCACTTTTGGCCGTGCTGATCTAGCAGACGCAGCTGCTGAGCTCCAAGATGCCGATGGTCAGCGCCAAACCCAGAACAGCACAGCAGAACCAGGCAGTAACTCGCTAAAACGATTCGAACAGTGTGCAAGGCTGCTTCTCACAACTCCACAGGGTATGCCGCTTGATGTGTATATGCCAATCATTCTGCCTAATATCCTCGACATTCTAGCGCCGAATCTTGATCCGAAGTCGAATATCACGCCTCCACCGCAGGAGCAGATGCGAGCAGCAGGCTTTGTTCTGACGAGGCTCTCAGAACGTCATCCTCAACTCTTCGCAAAAGCGATGCACGATCGGGTCTATTCCAACTTCCGTCCTTCTTTGCCGTCATTGGGCACAAACATGGGTACGGAACATGCTTCGGTGGTGGTGACATCCGTAGAAGAGCTAGATAGCGCAGTTTCGGTATTGTCCAGTTTCCTACTCTTTTCCGAGCCCTCTCCGACTTTCTTCACGGTCTTATTCGAGCCGATCTTGCCGCAGCTCTTGACGTTGTACAACTTGCTTCATTCGCCAAAGCAGGGAAATGGGAAAGGCAAAGTTCGATCTCACGAAGCAGGCACTCAGAGGGATAGGCTTAAGGTTGAAGTTGCAAACTTTCTCAAAACTTGGATCCGGCTTGTCGACGCTAAACACGGAGCAAAATCGCTCGTTGAAGGCGTCCAAGCTGCCGAAACCGGGATTGGTTACCACCCTGCTGCTTCCAACAGTGACGATGATGGATTCGCGTTGTTCTGGAGCGAACAAGATGACGGCATAACCATTCGATATGGTCAACCCCCCACTTCTAGCGAGCAAGATCTCTCCTCACTACTCAAGGATTTAAGCCTGGCCGCACTAGCAAAGCAAATCAGTGCCGGGAACGATGACCAAGTTGACCTCAGCAAAATCGCTCCTGATCTTTCGGCCAGGCTCGGGTTACAACCTGATCCGCGACTCGTAGCGACTCTGCTGAAGGGGGCAGATCGGAAGGATCTGGCTAGGTTGCTGTTGCCATCTGTGCTCAATATCTATATGGCGCAGAAGTCGGCTTCCAGGGTAAAGATAGTGAGTCAGGATGGTGGGGTCGGGAGCCAGACAAGGTCGGTGTTGTATTTGCAGTTGATCTTGCAGCTGTTCGATGCGTTCGGGCCGGATTTGCTGCAGGGTGATCTTCAGGCGATGCTTGCGTTTGTTGACTTTTCGCTCTCGAGCCCTAGTCAACGTCAGGCACCGCCACAGCACGATAGTGGAAGCAAAGAGAAGAAAGTGCAAGTCAAAGAGGAAATGCCTTTCATTTCAGCCAAAGGTTCCGCGGCGCAATCAAAGGCCTCGTCGTTGTTCAACATCGCAGCTGACAACGCACAGGAAACTGCACTCGCTGAAGCGAAACAAGAGGAGCCAATTGAGGAAGAAGAAGAAGAGGAGGAGGAGGAGGAGCTCCTCACAACCGCCCTCTCTCTCCTCCTCTGCCTGCTCGAATCGGACCCCACCCTTTCCGCAGAATCGCAACCAATGCTTCTCGTCATCTCGGACAAGATCGAATCCCTCCTCGACTCCACCTCGCCTGAAATCCGCAGTCTAGCAAAAGAAGCAAAACTCGTATTACTCGCTCGTCGTACTGCCCATCTTTCACCCACTCCCTCCACTCCCGCACCTAGCACCAGCACCACCACCGAAACCTCATCCCGATCCCTCCGCTATTCCCAAGCACAATCAACATACCAAGAAGCACTCAAACTCCTCCAAGACCCCATCCTACCCGTTCGTGCCCACGGCCTCGTCCTTCTCCGTCGTCTTGTTTCCGACGATCCCAAATCCGGCGGGCAAAACGTCGGAGAGCTCGACCCAGCATTGATGCCTGCGATATTGGATATCTTCTTGCATGCCGTACAGGATGAAGAGTCGTACCTCTACCTCAACGCTGTACAAGGTCTAGGGGTTCTAGCGGTGAGTGGAGGCGGGCAGACGATTGCCAGATTAGTTGGGATTTATATTGACAGAGATGACCGGCTCCTTTCGCAAGGTATGCCAGCCGGAGGAGTGGAGAAGAGGTTGAGGGTGGGAGAAGCGCTGCTGCAAGTTGTTCAAAGATGCGGGGAGGCAATGTCGGTACATTTGGATGGCGTTGTACCGCCTTTGTTGGCCAAGTTGGGGGATAGACGGTTGCCCAATGTGTTAAGGTCTAGTTTTGTTTCGATTTTGGGGACGATGGTTGAGGCTGTACCGTTGGCGATGGCGAGTAAAGGATATGCTGGGCGCTTGGCCGAGGTTTGTGTTGAGATTGTGGTGATTGAGATGGTTCGCAGCCCAAAATTGGGTGGGAAAGGGGTCAAGATGAAAGTCCAAGGCCAACGCATCACCGATGCTGACGAAGAGGAGAAGGTGGCAGAGCAACAGAAGAAATTGGATAGCGCAACAATCACAGATCCCAAAGTAGCACACCTGCGTCGAGCAGCAATGTTACTTCTAACTCTGCTGGTGAGGGGAACGCAGTTGCAATTGCAAGATCAACAGCATAACGAGGGTGGATTTGCCGAAAAACTGTCGGCGTTGAGGTTGCCGGGTGGTGGAATGCTGCCTTCTATCTCCACCGCGGATGAAAGTGCTGCCGTGGGGAATGGAGGAAAGAGGAGGTTGGAGAAGAAAGATCTTCTATTCCCGCCCAAAATGTTGCAGAGGTTGAAGCAAGTTGCGGCATACCTAGTCGCTAATGACAGCGATGCAATTCTTCGAACCCATGCATACGATTGTTTGCAACATGTAGAAGCACTTCTCCTCGAGCTTGTCTCGACCGATGTCGGACTTCTCTCCTAACTCTGCCTCGTGTGACATCACATACATCCGCATCGCACTCTAACCAAAAGAAAAGTCTGATTAACACAATCAATCCATAAATTAGCATGTATAAATACAACTTTGCCATCCATCGTTCTCTACAGCTTGGGCTTCCTAATTGCCCCCTTCCCCCCACCTCCCTTGCCTTGTTCTATGGGCGGCGCCAATGGGAAATCGGCCTTCTCATCCTGCGGCTGTTCCAACTCATCATTCGTGCTTTCATAACTTTTCGTAAAGCTAAACGCATCTGGCGTCTTTAAGAATTGCATCCTCGGCTTCACCCTAAACTTTTTCAGCGCAATAGGACTATCAAAAGCCAACTTGATCAAATCCGCTTGACTCGGTTGTCCCGGACTGTGCAATGAAAACTGTGGCTTTTCACCATAGGCTATGGCCGCAGCCATTATCAAGATATCACTCGTTAGGCCGCGGATTGGGTTTCGTTCATCCCAAAAAGTATGTCTTCTAATTCGATTTCCTGCTAACCAGACGATATCGCGGCAGGTATGCCAGTCGGAGATCGGGCTGACTTCGTTCGCTGGCATATGACGCAATGCTTCTGCATCTGGATTCGGTGGGAGGTGCAGTGATTTCCGCAGTGGACGTGGTGGGTTGTGGTAGAGGAAGGATACGAGCGGAAGGGAGAAGATGGAGTCTACCTCGCGTGGGTTTAGGTGCGGTTGGATTGTGTGATCAGTCAACAAGACCACATAAGGTGTAACAACCAATTCATTTGCAGATAGGAAGGGGGGAAGTTGGCAAAGTTTTACAGCTTTGGTGGAGTCGATTGGGAGACCGGTTTCTTCGTATGCTTCTCTTCGAGCTGTATATTCGAGGTCGGAATCGGTTGGTTCGAATCGACCGCCTGGTATGGCTGTATCTCCACCGTGTGATCGGAGTCGAGAAGAACGTTTGGAGAGGACTACGTAGAGTTCGCCATTACGACCAGCAAAGAGACCAAGAAGGACTGCTGCGCGACGGTAGGCAGGGACGGAGGCCGGACAGGGTTCCGAGCCAGGGCGGGGTATGAAGGAGGAAAGGTTTTGAAGGGCATGGATGGAGTGCGAAGTGAGATTGGCGAGTGCGCCAGGTGGGACTTTTAAAGACGCTGCAGCGGAGGTAAACTTTGACGTAGAGGAGGTCAGAGTGGTGGGGGAAGAGGAGGAAGAGCGGTCGGGGCCAAAGAGGATATTGTAGAGGCCCTCTTTGACCTTCATGGTCGCAGCGATACTGGTTCGGTAGATGGAAGCAGCTTGTCGTTGTCGCGTATCTAGTATGGGTGCAGGCTGTCAAGATCCCGTATGCTATGCGAATGGGAAAGAGAAGAGATGCTACCTGTCCTATGTTCGACTCGTGTGCCGTTAGAGGTGGGGAGATGATGGTAGCGGGTATAACTAGGGTATAGACTCTCGAAGAAGGTGGTGATAGTTATTTCGCTGTAATGACGGCTATCTAGCAAGAAACCGCAGCGTCGTTTTCCGGCAAGAAACCAGCGTAGTCGATGCTGAAGTTGTGTGTTTGTTTTCTGGGTTGAGTCTGATGACGTCTTGGGGACCCTAGTATGAATGGGGTAGAGTATGAAGGAGGTAGAGTATGAATGAGGTGAGAGAGTGTGTGTGAGAGGATGGAGTGAGTATATTTGCCCGAGAGTTGAAACTCAGAAAGTGCAAAGTTCAGGCACAAAATGGCACTTTTTCGTTTGCGACTCTTCTTGAGCCGGTTCTGTTTGCCGAACCGGATTGACTTTCAGGCCCTCCGCCAAAAATCACCAAAATGTTTCACATAGCACTCTAACAGGCAAGGCAATATTCCCACCCCAAGCCTCCACACGTCGCTCTCTCTCTCTGTCAGCCAAGGCACCGCACTGTCTTGCCATCATCCTCACTCTCCCCCTCTCCATCCTCTTCTTCCACCTAGCCGCATCCACATCTGTGCGGATCTCGACACGATGACAGAACCTCTCGCATCGACCTCCATCGAAACTCGCCTCACGGCCACCTTCCCCGAAACAGCGCATCTCACACGCCAAGACCTCCAAGCGCTCGCATCCGACGACTACATCCCACCTCCCCTCTCCCAGTCCCAAACCCAAACCCAAACCGCAGCCCTGGACCAGCCTCCATCCGAGTCGATAACCCCAGACCAAGCATTCTTCGAAGCATTCTTCCACTCCCTCCCTCAAACGCAACTCCTCTATCGCTCCCACGCCGACCTTCTCCGTCTGAACGAATCCAAAGCAAGCCGCAACCTCGAACGCCAACCCGAACTCGAATCCCTCCGTTCCGAAACCCTCACTCTCTTCAACCGTGCCAAGTCGTTCGAATCCGATTGGACCCGTCTCGAGCCACAACTCGTCGAAGCTCAAAAGCGATTCAATCCCTCAGCACTACATTTCAACCTCACTCAATCGGCGAGTAAACTCAACGATAGATCCGAAGAACTAGCAAACGCATTCGTCGAGGGACTGCCCTATCCCAAAGATGGTACCGGGACAGCAGAGGAAGCGGTCTTGGATGACGCGAGCTTCGTGAGAAGGTATAAACAGCAGAGATTACTGCATCATAAGAGAAGGTTGATTGCCGATAGATGGGCGAGGGGACAGGTACATTGGACTGATTAAGGCCGGCAGTCCCCCTTGCGAAAGTTTCCCGCCCATAGTAGCGGAGAAGGAGAGAAGGCTGTTTGTACTTGTATCTTGTCTTTGATTGGCAATTGAACACGTTGCCAGCGAGAACCATGCGGAATGTGTCGGAGAGAAGAGAGTGCGTGATTGGCAGAAAAGGATCATGTGGTGGGGGTCACTTGGAGATTTTCATTTCGGACGTTTTGGATAAACGATCCGATCAGGCCGTTGTGTGGGTGTATAACGTTATCTGATCCGCCGAACCCGCCTTTTTGTGCGTATGAACGGGTGCTTTTCGGTCTTGTGTCTCATTGCGGAACCAGCAAGGTTCTCGCCAATGAAGTATTCGCCGAGAATGGGAGGCGAGAGTTTTAGATTGGGTTCTGTGGGAAGCTGATCCGAATGGCGGTACGCAAGTAGCACGCCATCGATAGCGTGTAAGAGGCCGCACAAGCGCCTGCTTAAAGTGTGCGAGTGGACATATATGTGAGCGAAGCAAGAGGATTCCCAACTCTCTTCCTAGTCCGCTTCTCGTTCCTGTATCCAACTCTAACGTTTCCCTTGAAGCTAGGAGAAAAGTAACCAAGATGAGAAGTATATTACTCAACGTCATTTTCCTACTCACATTGACTCTTTGCGCTCGCACTTCACCCATCCCTCACCCCTCCTCTTTTCGATGCATCCCTCGCTCTCCACCACGCTCCGATCTTAGCAACACAAACCAACCGCAATCACCCCTCACAACTCGTTCGTCACACCCACCCTCATCACCATCTCTCTCAAAACGAACCCCGGACGAACACACAATGCTCAAACCGGCCACATCCGCCATAGAAGAAGCCTCCTCCAGCCTCAAAGGCTTGCTGAACGACAAACCAGAAACCGAAAAGGCGAAAGACTGGAAACGACGGATCGTAATCACAATTTCAGGTCTCGGTGTTCTGATGACCATCGGATGGAACTATATCTCTCTGCAATCTTTTCTTTCCAATCGCGCACGTTGGCGAAAAGAAAAAGCACGCTTGGAGGCAGAGAAGAATAAGCCTCCTCCTCAAGTCGGGGATGTGATGTGCACGGTGGAGACGTATAGTACAGAAGATCAGGTTGCGGAGAGAAAGCCGGGCATGTCCAAGGTTCCTTGTTATCGGTTGGGTGACGCTTCGTCGTTGGGGCAAGTCGGAGGAACAGATGTAGGGACAACGAGTGGTGGAGTGGTGCAGCAGCAGCAAACAACAGCGCAGATGGCTGGGTTAGCTGCTACAAGATACGCTGCTTCTACCGGTGCCAATCAGCAAGGCAACATTGTTGCAGGACCACTAACCAAGCGTAATCCACAAGGAGAGATCATCGAAGAAGCCTCCACCTCCGCCGCACATGCATTCGACCACGCCAAGCAAAGCTTTCACTCCCCCTTCTCCCCCTACTCACCTTACCCTCCCCTGCGCCCCTCTTCTTTCTACTTGCCAAGGACACCGGATCAAATCAAAGCCGCATGGATCCCTCTCCGTCCACTTGGGCAATCAAATCTGGAAGAGAAACAGACTTTATTGTCCGAGTTTGCACCTCGCCTTCCACAAAGTCCAAATCCTAGCGCCTCAAGCAGGCCTGCCAACACGGAAAAGGTGCAGATGGAGGTGGTGAAAGCAGAAGAGAAAAAACAAAAAGTGAAAGCAAAGGAGAAAGTGAAAAACTTACTCAAAGGCAAAAGACCAGGTGGAAAAGCAATTTCAACCGACGACATCACTTTTGGTCTCACCATTCTAAACACTATCGGCGGCATTCCAAGTTTGCTGTTCACCATGGCTAATGCTTATTACTATCGTGGCAATCCCAAGGTTGACTAGAAGGCTCTCACTTCTACTTTGTAGCCTCTATTGTTGTTGTTTTTTTCGTTTTGTAGATACTCTCCTGGGCTTTGTTTTGTTTTGTTTGCAATGCATATCGACAGATCTCTCACTGAGACATTTTTCTCGATCGCAAGTGATAGTTGCAAATCGAATGTTGGAGAGAATGTTGATGACTATGTACAGTACGAATCTCCTCTCGAGACAAGGGGGGCAAGGATTTAAAAGAAGATAACAATTAATATACGGCGTTATCGGGGTCACGATCAGACTCCCTTTACCACAGCCGTATGTTCTATGTAATGCTTAGTTTTCGTGGTGTGAGACTGAATGACAAACACATATATATACTCCATTCACTGCTCTGGTCCTATTCGAGGCAGGATGTGTCTCTTCATTTGTACTCCTGTGTTGCTATGATACCAAGTGCCACTGTGCTGTCACCATGACAACAATTACGTACCTCATTGTACTTCTCGCTTACGTGAGCCTCCCGTGTCTCAATGTCTCGGCTGTAACATGTGCATCTTACTTGAGATGCCGACGCATCTTCAACTCCCCCCTTCGGCAGGATCTCCAGTCCTATCATCCTAGCCAATCGTGAGGTGTTAAGACCCTGTAAGGGTTTTGTCAAGACATCTGCAACGTTGTTTGCCGTTCCGACATATTTGATTTCCACATCGCCCTCTTGCACGTGATCGCGAACGAAATGATACCGTGTGTCGATGTGCTTTAACTTCCAATGTTTGGCTGGATCTTTACTCACCTGTATGCACCCCTGGCTATCTGTGTATAGTACGGGCCGAACGTCCGTGGTCTCCAAATCCCGGAGCAAATATGAGAAGAATAAGGTTTCTTGCACCGCTTCGGAAGCGGCGACAAACTCTGCTTCGACTGCCGACAATGCCACACACTTCTGAACGTGTGATTTCCAACTCACTGGACACCCATATACATATGTTATCGACCCCGAGGTGCTTCTTCGTCCATTTGTGGGGTCGGATGCCCAGTTTGCGTCGGTATACGTCGTTACTGGTGTGTCCGAGTGCTCGTTTGTCTCCCCTCCTAGGTGCAACTGATATTCGTTCGTTTGGTTCAGGTACTTTACCACGTGGATGGCTGCCTTCCATGCACTGTCGATCGGGATCGACATATATCGCGCCAATACGCTGACGGCAAAGGCAATATCTGGTCGGGCTGTGTTGGAGACCCATAATAGTTGGCCGACCAATTCTTGATACTTCTTTGCTCGCTGAGGTTCACATCGCTCGCCTCCGGCGACGTTCGCTACACTCAGCATGGGTACCCAAGATTTCTCGTTTGCTCCTCCTAACCATTTGTTCACCATTTCCTTGATGTATGCCGTTAGACCCAGAGATATCCTCCTCCGTCTTCTATCACGTGTGATCTTGATACCCAGAAATTCTTTGACCCTTCCATTGTCTTGCGTCTCCCATTTGTCCATGATCTCTCGCTTTGCGCGATCTACTTCATCACGACTGGGTGATGTTATTAGCATGTCGTCCACGTATGCTGTGATGATCGTGATCTTGTCGCCTGTCCCTCTTGAGTATAGGCATGGTGTGCTCGGCATGCAATGGAATCCGATCGTCCGGAGATGTGAGTCTAACTCAATGTTCCATTCTCGGCCCGATTGTTTCAGACCGTACAGTCCTTTCACTACCTTCAACACTTTTCCAGGTGGTATTTCGATTCCTACTGGGGGCTTGAGGTATACATCATGGTGTATAGTGGAGTTCAGGTACGCTTGCTTTACGTCAATAGAATCCATTTCCCAATCTCGTACTGCTGCGACAGCGATCACCCCTCGAATGGATTGGATGGGTGCTACTGGTGCGAAGACCTCTGTATAGTCGATGCCCTCGCGTTGAGTGAAACCTCGTGCCACGAGCCGGGCTTTGAACTTTGTCGGCACGAGGTTTGCATCGGTTTTGATCTTGAGTACCCAGCATGTGTCGACAGTATTTGCACCCTTTGGGAGGTCGACTATCTCCCATGTGCCCATCGCCTCCAATCCATCCAGCTCCTTTCGCGTGGCCTCCTCCCAGTGCTTTCTGTCCTTTCCACTCATTGCTTCATGTATGGTTGGGTCCAGGTTCTTTCTCCATTCCGGTCGCGTCGCTACGAGTCCATAGAATTTGCTGTCAATTTGAGTTTCGGTGATTGGTCCTTGTTCCATCACCTCTGCTGTTCCTTCGCTTAATCTTTCTTCCGAGTCTGTCTCCATATCCATGTATTCTCGTAGTGGCTCTTCATCTGTTTCGTCGAATATATTTTCTTTATTGTATCCTAGATCTTCGAAATTTTCCTCTGTCATCATCATTGGGGGTGCCTTTGTGTCAACCGGTCGCCACTCTGTTCTGTCTGACCAGCACTTTGATTCCATGAATTTTGCTGAGTTGCTCCAGAAGATGTTCGGATTGTAGTCCGGGCTGTAGAAGAGCCAGCCCTTCCTTTCTAGACTGTACCCTAAGAAAATGGATGCGACGGCTTGCTGGTCCAGTTTCTTGTTGTCCCGTTTAACTTTGGGTACGTTTACCCATGCCAGACAACCAAACACTCGTAGGAGCTTTAAAGCTCGTTCTGGCGACTTGCCAAACATCGCTTGATAAGGGAATTCATTATCAACGCTCGGAGTGAGGTTTATTTTGAACACCGCAGCTCTGATCGCGTATGGCCAGAACTTCTTCGGTAGTCTCCTCTGCATTAGCAACGTTCTCATCTTCTCTCCAAGGGTCCTGTTCATTCTTTCTACCCGTCCATTTTGTTTGCTGTTGTACCCTACAGTGGTTTGCCACTCTATGCCCTTTTCTAACGACCATTCTAATGCATCATTGCTTTTCCATTCCGTTCCTTGATCGGATCGGATCGCTTTTAGCTTCCGATCCGTCTGTGTCTCCAGGAACGAAACAATCCTTTTAAGTTGCATAAAGGCATGACTCTTTCGTGTCAATGGCTGTGCATACACATACTTGCTATGATCGTCGACCAGCACCAACGTGCATGTGTACTCTGTCACGTGGGACGAGTCTATTATTAGATCGACGTGGATAAGATCCAGGGGCCCTACGGCTCTTTCGCCGCTACCTTTCCCCATCCGAGTGCTTGTGCTCTTGGATCGTACGCACTGCTCACATGTCAGAGCGGTGTTTGGATCCAATTTCATGGTATGCTTATCCTTTAACTTGGTTGTGATCGCCTTAGCTTTATCTCTTCCTGGGTGCCCGAGACGCTCATGCCATAGTTGTTGCTTTGAAACTTTCGGCTCATTCTCAATATGCTCGAACTCCTCATCAACACCTTCAAACAATGGTGCTGATGTGGCCATCGCGCTTTCTTGCCATGTGTCGCCTCGGAACTCCAGAAGTCCTCACTCGCGATTCTTTGCAATCTTAAGTGTCATGCCGTTTGTTAGAAAAATTTGGCCGCCGGTTGTGTCCAATATCACTCGTGCTCCTTCATCCGTTAATGAATTTGTTGACAGAAGGTTAACATTAAGGTGCTTTACATACAATACATTTTGCAGAGAGATTTCCCCGTAATCTGTTGATATGCTTGCATCTCCTATAGCTGCCGCTTCCAAGACCTCGCTTCCGGCGGTAATTATCCGCTTTCGGCAAGTTCTCGGGTGGATGAGCATGCTGTAGTCGTTCACCATATGGTAACTCGCCCCCGAGTCCAAGATCCAATGAGCTGTTTCTTTTGTGTTCGAGGGGTCCTGCCATTTCATTGGGAGGGTGAGGGAGCACCACGCTTCCTATTTAGGTTCAGCGAGGGGGGAGTCCTTGGGAATGGTAACCAAGGCGTCGCATTGACTGATACCATGTCCCGGTCGCTTGCAGACCCAGCATCGGATTCGGCGTGATTTGCTTGCATTCCTCGAGCTCGCATGGCTGTTGTCGGCTTCGGCTTCGGTCTCTCTGGCCCGTTCGTTTTGATCGTCGTTGCCGGCGGTTCTAGCACTGGCTTGTCGAGGGTCGATCCTTTGTGCGGGGACGCTCTCGACAGCGGTCTGCCGGATGCTTAGTGCAGTGGCAAGGGCGTTGAAATCGATTTGATGGACGGTGGCAACCGTCTCCTTGTACACCGGATGCCGGATCGTGCATTTCTGCAGAGCCGAGAACAATGTATCATCGGCGAATGGTTTGCCGAGGAGGCTGCTTTCGGTTTGTATGGACCGGATCTCTTGAATTAGCTTTCTGGCGTCCGAGTTAAACATCTTTGTATCATTGAGTTGCGAGATAAGCGCAAGTCTGTGAGACGTCTTGGTGGCTTCATTCGTGAGACCGTTTTCGATCTTTCTCCACACTTGGTTGAAAGTAAGGTACTCCTTGATTACATCTAGAACGAGGTAATTTACATTGTGTTCTCCGGTAGTATCGATTGTTCCACACAGGGCATTGATTAAAGCATCGTCGAGGGAGCGGCTCCATTTCGGGTGTTTCTTGTCGTACGTTCCCTCGAGATGTTTCATCGCATGAGGCACGGATCGGAGGAAAGATTTCACGTGAGCGCTCCAGCTATGATAGTTTCGTGACGTGAGCTTTGGCACGGGTTCGAGGAGCTTTGCTAGGGTGCGAAAGTTATATCGCTTGTTGCCATCATCAAAGTCGGAGTCGGAATCGGTGTCTTCGTTGGCTTCATCATTGATGGCCTCCGGCTCGTTCTCGCTCGTGGCATTATTGTCAACCCGAACCTGGGTGTTCTTGCCTTTTCTGCTTCCTTTGGTCCTCGTTTCGGTGTCTTCTACCATGGTTGTCGGCGAGTTTCGGTTAGCTCGGTGATAGCTTCTTCAGACTCTTAATCAAAAGAAGATAACAATTAATATACGGCGTTATCGGGGTCACGATCAGACTCCCTTTACCACAGCCGTATGTTCTATGTAATGCTTAGTTTTTGTGGTGTGAGACTGAATGACAAACACATATATATACTCCATTCACTGCTCTGGTCCTATTCGAGGCAGGATGTGTCTCTTCATTTGTACTCCTGTGTTGCTATGATACCAAGTGCCACTGTGCTGTCACCATGACAACAATTACGTACCTCATTGTACTTCTCGCTTACGTGAGCCTCCCGTGTCTCAATGTCTCGGCCGTAACATGTGCATCTTACTTGAGATGCCGACGCATCTTCAACTGATTTAGTTGGCAAAAGCCTGCAAACCAGTGATCCCCTTGCCCAAGATGAGCGTATGGATTCCATAACTACCCTCATAAGTATTCACCGTCTGCAGATTCTGAACATGTCTGCCCGTATGATACTCATCGCTGGTTGCATTCCCACCAAAGATATCCAACAGACTCCTCGACTGCTGTAGAGCTTTGTTACAGTTATTCCTCTTTGCCAAGCTCACCATCTCCGGGCTCCACTGACCGGCATCCTTCATCCTACCCAACTGCAGACTGCACAACAAACCCAGAGCGGCTTCCGTACTTGCATCTGCCAGCTTCTGCTGGATAAGCTGGAATCCGGCAATCGGTCTGCCAAACTGCGATCTGTCCAACGCATACTGTCTAGCTTCAGCAATACACGCTTCCAACGCACCCATTGCACCCCAAGAAATCCCATACCTCGCCGAGTTCAAGCATTCGAAAGGCGAACCCAACCCCGGTCGAGCATGCGGGAGGAGAGATTCGTCTCGTTTCACCCTCACATCTTGCAAAAAGATCGATCCAGTAACGGAAGCGCGGAGCTGAAGCTTGTTCTTGATGGCGGGTGCGCTGAGACCTTTGGTCCCCTTTTCGACGATAAACCCTCGGATCTTGTTATCCCATTTGCATTTGGCCCAGATAACGAATAGGTCTGCATGGGGAGAGTTGGAAATCCAAGTTTTGCTTCCATTCAGTACTATTTCTCCATCCCCCGTGTCCGTTGCGGTGGTCTGCATACTTGAAGGGTCTGAGCCATGGTTTGGTTCAGTCAAACCGAAACAACCCACCAATTCTCCCTTGGCCAACCTAGGCAGATATTTTTCCTTTTGCGCTTCACTTGCGAACTGGTGGATTGGACCCATGACCAGCGAAGATTGCACCGACATGATAGATCGATATCCCGAATCAACTTTCTCCACTTCCCTAGCGATCAGACCGTAAGAAACCGAGTTTACCCCAGCACAACCATATCCTTCGATAGTAGAGCCGAGCAAACCGAGTTCTCCGAGAGAAGGAAGGATGGTGGGGTCCCAGGATTCGTTGCGATACATTTCGGTGACTTTTGGTTTGAGAGTTTCTTGGCAGAAATCATGGGCGGTTTGGGAGATAGCTTTTTCGTCTTCGGAAAGTTGCGTTTCGAAGAGTTGCATGGGATCTTGCCAGTCGAACTTGGAGAACTTTGTCATGTTGTATGCCTCGGGGGCTGTGTCGGGGGTTGTGCCATAGTGACGGGTGGTGGCGGCGAGGCGGCGTCGTAGGATTGGGAGAGCGTTGCGGAGTACGTTGGACATTGTGACGTTGCAGGTGTGGATGTGTGTCTAAGGGGGGGGGGGGGACGGGTGTAGTGAGGGTGGGAGGCAGAGGTATATATGTAGCGCTGGAAGGGGTTGGATGAAGGTGCAGAAGCAAAGGAGGAAACTCAACAGCCGAGGATGCACTCGCACCCTTAAGGAGCAGTAAGTTGACTCTCTCTGTGTAACAGGATGTTAGCCGGTCGACGAGCAAATCCACAACCGGTCGTGGTGAGAGCTCAAACACTACGCTATTCTATGCGGGAAGACATCGGGGCTTTCGCATTGCACGGCCGAACGCCGCACTTCTCGCCCGCATTTTGAGCATGGTCTGACATCCTCTCCTTTCTCGGATCTTCAGTGGCATAGCCATGTCGAACAAGTGGGTGCAAGACCTTGCTTCGTGGGCCGATATAAGCAGCGAGCGCTGTTAGGCCACGTTCGACGAACAAGAAAGAAAATGCGAAAATGCGCATCCCAAGTGCGCTTTTTAGCAAAGCAGCGGCCGAAGCGAGCCGATTGTCTGAAATCTCACTCCAAAAAGCAAGCTTGGACAAAAAAAAGAAGCACACAAAATTGCAGGGTATATGTGTCGTTTATCGCGGCAAATCTCCCGATCACCTATCATCGGGACCCATTCTCACCTTCCCCCTTCCCTCTGCCTCCCGATGTAACCCCGCCACTCCGCAGCCGCAATCCTACCCAGCAACCTATACACAGGTATCGTCCACACACATAGCGCCAGTACCGCGCATACCTGCAAGTTGGTCATTTCGCCTGCTGTGGGTGGATCTGTGCTCTTAACGTCCCAGTCGAGTCGGCCACCGGGGAGTTTAGGTCGGTGGAGGGTGTCGTATCGATGTTGATGCCATGCGTGGAGGGTGAGTGTGTGATGTCGGACTACGTAAATGTGCGATGCTAGGGGTAGGAGGATTAGCGAGAGGAGGCTCATCCATGGCCAAGTTGTTCGTGAGGGGGTGCGGGTGAAAGAGAATGGCCAGTCGGGATGTGAGAGCGCCGTGTAGTGTAGCGGTGCAGAGATGAGGTTCGGAAGCAGTGGTAGGAATGGTACATTGTCGATGATGACGAGGAGGATCTGGATGACGGTGAGGAGGTAGAGCGCTCCAAGGCCGTATCGGCGAGCTCGGGCGGCGTGGCATTCGATGTATTGGGACAGGGAGAGCAGTCCTAGTGCCAAGCAGATTAGGAGGGTGGCTGCGGCAGCAGCGATGAAGAACGCTGTCAGGATGTTCAGTAGCATCGCAACTTGGCCAACCTGGGAGGTAGGGATAGCCTTTCATACGAGAAGCATTCAACGTCCAAGTTGGTGTGGAGGAGGAGGACAAGACTGACATCCGAGTCCCGAAATTTGTACGGTCGTCTTCGAGATTTTTTTCGCTGCAGCCAAAATGTGAAATGTGGAAATTTGGACAGCCTTTGGACCCTTCTTTCCTTCTCGAACCACCACTGCATCCTCCATACTCAGCCCGCCTTCACCCATCGACGACATCATTTCTCGCATCGCTTTCTACTTACAGTCGGTCTCTCCAGTCACAAAGCAGCTAGAACACAAGGCATACTATCCAAGCTAGAGCCATCGTCGCATCACATACCATGCCGCCCGTGGTATCTACAAGCGCTGCCGCCGCCGCCGCTTCCGAGGTGGCATCCACATCCAAAGGAAGCATCTCAGAAATAGCCAAATCAGCATCCGAACCACCCATACATGCCTCCTTCTCCTCCATCGGCATCTCCCCTATGCTCATACGCAGTCTTGCCTCCCTCCAGATCAAAGTCCCCACCCCGATCCAAAGTCTCACGATCCCCTCGGTCCTTGAAGGTCGCGACCTTGTCGGTGGTGCACAGACCGGTTCTGGTAAAACCCTCTGTTTTGCCCTACCCATTCTCAATCGACTCCTCAAAGACATGGTCGGCGGATTCGCAGTCGTCCTCACTCCGACTCGCGAACTCGGTGTACAGCTCCACGAGCAGTTTGTAGCTCTCGGAGAAGGCGCACGTATGGGTCTCCGATGCGCTTTGGTGCTAGGGGGGATGGATATGATGAAACAAGCTTCCGAACTCGCCAATATGCGACCTCACGTTATTGTCGCTACTCCCGGAAGATTGGTGGATCATTTACGAAGTGGTGGAGGAGAAGAATGGGCGTTGAGACGGTGTAGATTTTTAGTGCTGGATGAAGCGGACCGACTGCTTACAGATACGTTCAAACCTGAGCTGGATTATCTCTATTCCGTTCTACCATCAACGAAAACACTACAGACGCTGTTGTTCACCGCGACCTTAACCGAACAAGTTGTTGGATTCGCAGAGAAGAAACGACCCGAAGGCAAACCAGCTCCTATGGTATGCAAGATCGAAATGCATACTAAAACGCCAGAAACTCTCGAACAGAGATACGTCTTCGTCCCATCCCACGCACGAGAGCCGTATCTGTACCATATCATGCGTCACCCACCCATCAAACCGTCCAGCGAAAGGGACAGGAGGTTGAAAGCGAAACGAGAAGCAGAAAGAGAACGAAAAGCCGAGAATGAAAGGAAAAAGGGCAAACGTCCCCGTGCTCATCATGCGTTGGATGAGCAAAGTGATGATGAAGATTCAAACCTCTTTCTGCCCGCTACGATTATTTTCACGGCAAGATGCAAGACCGCAGCTACCCTGTCTCGGATGCTTAGCGAACTCAATATACCCAATGTCTCGCTGCATTCCCATCTGAAACAATCGGAAAGAAGCGAGAATCTTGAAAGCTTCCGAGCGCAACGCGTCCCAGTTCTCGTCGCAACCGATGTTGGTTCGAGAGGTTTAGACATTCCCGATGTCGAACTCGTCATCAACTGGGACCTCCCCATTGCGTGGCAGGATTATGTGCATAGAGTAGGCAGGACAGCAAGAAACGGCAAAAAAGGTTTCGCTGTCTCGTTCATCACAGAGCGCGACATCGATGTGATTCACACGATAGAAGAAAAGATCAATACCAAGCTGACTCAGTTGGAAGGCTTGGAGGATGAAGATAACATTTTGGAGAAACTGAATATGGTAGCGACGGCAAAGAGAATCGCGACGATGGCCTTGCACGATGCACAGTTTGGAGAGAGACAGCAGAGGAATAAGGAGAAACAGTTGGCCAGAATCAAGGCTGAGAAGAGGGCGATGAAGAAGGCGAAGAGGGCACAAACTCAGTCGGACGCCTGAGAAAGTCGTACAACTCTTTTCATTTGTATTTGTAGACAGACATCAACAGCACTGTTCAGCACTGTTCTAAACCATAGCAACAGCGTTCTTATAAGGACCTTGAGGTAAGAGTCGAGAAGCACAGAGCTAGGAGGACGAAGATGATTGAAGGCAAAAAAGAGCCAAACAGGCAGAAAAAAATAAAAAATAAAAAAGGAAGCGTCCGGACAGCCGGAATCGAACCGGCGACCTATGGTGCTTTTCCGTTAATACCGGATTAGGGTTTCCAATTACAAACCATCGCTACTTCCAACTGAGCTATGTCCGGTAGGTTGCCAAGTCGGGTTTGGTTTAGCATACATAAGTCATAAACCTGTCTCCGCTTGCATTTTTCCATTCTAATTCACAGCAGCGCCAACGACGACGACGACCAAAACCGTACCTTTGTTTTGGTCAAACATGTGCAACTCATGCGGTTATGCATTCCGGCGACTGGCACATCGGGAACAGGGTGTCATATCGCATAGAACAAAAGCGAAGGAAACTCGGTGTATCGGGGGTAAGCTTGTGTACGGTCGTAGCGGCTATCTTGGAGCAAGGGAGGGTGATTATTGACTCGAACGGAATTTGCGAAATATTTGGCAGCGGAGTGTCAAAGTGGAGATCGCGTTCCTGAACAGCAAGGACGCCTCTCGAGTCATCCTCTCCAACATTACTCCCCGGCCAGGAGGTGTGGCCTGGTTTGCGATCTTGCTCTCTGGCAGCTTTCATTTCATCATGATTGCACAGCCCTCCCCCGGCGGGTGAGTTGAGTTGCGGAGAGCAGTCGGATTGGCAAGCAATAATCTCGGCTATCAGAAAAGGCGTAGCCAGCTCCGCGGCTATCGACATGTGAACGCGTGCTTTGTTGTGTGCTGTGCTGCGGTTTTGACAGCTGCCATTCCGCCCCTTCTCTTAGTGCCAAGTGTGACTCGTGGGCGGTGCTATGCCTAGGCAACCCCGTTTTGCTATTCCGTCGTCGTCATCCCTGTGTGACTCGCTGAAAAGCCACAGATATGTGTTGTTTCAGGCGAGGCAGGCGGCTGTTTCCGTGCTTGGAGTCATTGCCTCTGTGTGTGTGTGACACGGCCCTCCTCACATACATCGCAGCAAGCTCTATCCGAGTCCACCGGAAAGCTATATAACGCCTCCCTTCTCCTCGTCATCCCACCCACCCTTTCTCCCCATCACAACACAAACAATTTCTTACCTCACTCAGAGCAATTTCCACCATAGCCGCCTTTACTCAAGCCAATACTACCACCACCACCACCGTAGCTCTCAAAATGCTTTCCTTCTTTCGCAAGTCCTCCTCCAAGTCCCCATCCATCATGACCGGACCCAACACATCCGAAACGACCCTAGTCTCCACCCCCCTCTCCACCACCAACTCTTCTTCCAAGTCCAACAACTCTTTTATGAGTGAACCGGGCAAGTTCACCCCAACACAACCTTTCCTCGGCTCGAACAACAAGTCTGTTGTTCAAGAACGTCTTGGCACTGCCCAGAGTATGTTTTCAGCTTCTCAGTCCCAACGTCTGTCAGCGTCGGAGAAACTGGAACAAGTGTTCACCCCAACCTCTCTAATGATGGGTGCGGGAGGATTCGTTGTTCGTTTTGGTAAACAGGAAATAGTTAGTCGATAGTCGCATCACCTCTCTCCTTACCCATGGATGCCGTCTTGATCTATGGGCTTCTATCCCTCGGTCACTCATAAAAAGAGATTGGCTTCTGTTGATTCGGTCATAAAAGACTTCATGTCGGATCGTTTTACTGAAACCTACACTTTTTTTCCCTACGATGCGTCATTTGTAGGGAGCTCGTTCGGATCGCCAGCATCAAACCAACCGACGACAAGCTGCTACGAAAGAAAATTGACAAAGCAACATAAGGCGTTCTTTAACAATGCCTTTGGCAACACCTAAACCCCATCCATGCTCCCCAATTGCGATGGGGTTTTTGTTTTGTTCAAGTTTTTATTGATTTTTATACGGAACGATACTTTGATCGATGGCGACGATTCGTCGATTCGGTAGCTCCAAACGATCGTAAGGATTCTTCCGGCGGATACGACGCCAAGCCGTGCGGGATTGTTTTTTTTCCCAGCTCCCTTCATCCCATCTCAAACACAGTAGGTGCAAGAGGCAGACTTGGAAAGGTTGACGTCTAGCGACGCACCCCTCTTGATGTTGGAGATATCGCCTTACGTAGCAATGGTCTTTCGTCTTGGTCTTGTTTTCCTCATTCGTCCATTCTTTGGCTGCATCTGGATTCCTCTCTTCCTCGTCAATTTGCGCCGGTCAGGATGCGTACGGGTCAAATCGAGACTTTGCCTCTCGATGTAACACAGAATTGCAAGCATATCTTAGACTTGCTCTCAGAGACAACACTTGTGTTCGTCTCAAGATACACATACAAATTCATCCCCTTCTCGTGTCATAGAGCTGACATTTCGCTCTCAATATCAATTCTCTACGCCTATCTTCTCCTAACGTCTGTGGTTGACTGAGGAAAGCAAATGCGTGCTTAATGCACAGAATCATCCATCTCAACATCCTCCCCCTCGACCATCGCACCGTCTCGCAACGGCAATCTCAACCCCTCCCGCTCCCGCTCCTCCACACTCGGTGGCTCTGGCGTATTCACTTGCCCGTCCCACCCATTCGCAGTCGGATCGACCTCGATCGCATCCTCCCTTGTAATCGTCCTATCCGCCTCCGCCTCCGCCTCCCCTCGCTCCTCCTCATGCATTTGGGGTGCGGGACTGGCAGCCGCATCCCTCGCTAAGGCAGCCGCATGTTTCTTCTTCGCCGCAGCATATTTATCCTTTGCCGCGTTACTCTTCTTTTCTTTCTCCTCCGCTTGTTGATCCGCGATGGCTTGCGCTTTTGCTTCATCTGCCAGGTCGTATCTCCACATCTCTGCCAAGTGATCTTCAAACCTCTCGCATAATGGTTTCCACCTTTTCCCCCCAACCCCCACCCCCACTCCTTCGGGCTCGCTGTAGGTAGATTCGGGCGTGGCCGCCTCCAGTGCCGCCTCGATATCATCGGGAGGAGGATACCTGAATCCCTCCTCACCATTAATCAACCTCGCCCTTGCTCCGCCGTAGCTGGAGACAAAGGGGAAATAGCCGAGCGCACCATCGTCGAAGACGTTTTCACGTGGTTTGATGTTGATGATGGGTTCCGAGATTTCGCCGCGTTTGGGTTCTGGTTGCTTGCCGCGGGATCTGGCGGGTTTGGGGATGGAAGAAGAAGAGGAGTAGGTGGGGTTGAGATTGGTAAAGCCTCGAACGCGGAGTGGACGATAGTCGAATAGATCGCGAAAAGCTATGCCTTGCGGTTGGCCATTTAGGAAGAATCCGATTTTACTGCCTTCGAGTTTGGGGATGGGTCGCAATGATGGAGTGGTGGGACCGGAGGGTTTGGTTGTAGCTCCGGGATTCTTCCTGTTTTTCACCTTTGCACTGCCACTGCTTCCTCCAACTCCACCAACAGCAGAAGTTGATGCTCCATTCCCGTTGCCATCCACTCCATCACCCAGTCCCGGATTAGCAGCAGGGTTATAAGGCTCAAACACACCCGTACCCTCCACCCCCTTATACGCCTCGTTCAAACTAGTTCCCTTGATGCTCCTCTCAAACAACTGCTCCATCTCTCTCGTCCTCGGATACTCTAAACTTTCAAAATAAACCTGTCCCTTCCATCTCAGTGGAATTCTCTCCCTCCTAATATTCGCCGGATCATCCTTATCCACCGCCTCCCTCTCTGGGGGGAGCTTAATATACATGCCCACCACATCTCCCTCCTTGTACGGCTTCCCATACGCCTGTGGTCTCGAAAGCGTAACTTTATCCCCCGTCTTACCTCTATAGCCATAAGCATAGCCATCGAACCCAACAGGAGCATTGAGTCCAGCCTCTCTTCTACCCCAACCGAGCCTGATCTGGTGTCCGTGTACCATAGATTTTGGTGGTGGCTCGAGATGGTCAGGCGGGAGGATTTCGATTTCAGCGTACCACTCTCCTTGTCTGACGCCAATGTTGGTACGTGAGCTGCGAAAGCCTTTTTCGTTCGACAAGATGGAAGCGTCTGCGCTGATGTGGGTGAATCGAGATCGGTCGGACCAACACCAGTGGACGTTGGCTGGTCTGGTTTCGAGCGTTTTGAATACGGTTAGGGGTAGGTGTTGGGTTGCGGGACCGGCGGCGGTGTAACGCCATCCGTTGCGGTTGAAGGCGAAGTTGACTGTGCTATACAATGCGTTGGTGTTAGGAACGTGAGCAAGGTGTGGGATGGGGACAAAGTCTTCTGCGTCGTTCGTGAGCGGTTTTGGCCCGGGGAAGTTTTTGGGAACGATATGGTGGGATTTGCTGGAGGAAGCGGGGATGGGTTTGAGGCCATCGGTAGTGGAATGGCCGTCGTCGGAGGATGAACTGGAATGGCCGGAGGGTGGGGCTGATGGAGTTGATGAGCCAGATGGGGTGGAGGATTGGCCGAGACCGAGAAGATGGGGTGCTGTGCGAGCAATGTAGACTCTCTGCGCTTCGGATGTGTATGGCGGTGCTGGGGTGGAGGATGCTGATCGGTCATCGTGGGGAGGGGGTGAGGATGGTTGGAGTGGCGTTGAGGCCGCTAAAACGCTAGCGACGGAACGAGTGTCGTCTCTGGCAAGTGTCAGGTCGTCATGCTTTCTCTTGTTAGGGACTGCGCTGCCGTTGAAATGAGCCATGGAGTCGTCATGATCAGCTAGGAGACCGTTCATGCTGATGGCATGAGATTTGCAGCGGCCGAAAGTGAGACGAGACGCTTGCTGTTGGTGGTTGGCGAATGGCAGCGAATGAGAAGGTGGAAGAAAGGTCGGAAGATGAGAATGTGCCAGAAAGCGAAAGGCACTATGAGAGAATTGGACCCTTTGTGCAGCAGTAAATAATTTAACATCTGTTGTTTGCAGAGCGCAGTCTTGGTTTCCGCGTCGCGCGTCCTGGCTTTTGAATTGCTGCGCACGTGATTTGGGCACCGCACAGCACAACGGTCTTGGCTTAGGGTGTGTTTGTGTTACTTTGAACCACCACCACAGCCACCACCACAGCCATCACCACAGCCACGATGGACTCATCAAGACTACCACCAGAAACACCACGCAGGCAACTGCTCAAACGAATCCATCGCAGAAGCTCCATCCTTCCCTCGATGGATCCTTGCTCGCATCTCGCTGCGCCATCCGCTTCATCATCAACAACCTCACGCTCTTCCTCACGACGTCAACCGCTCAACCCAGACAATGACTCACCGCTGCTAGGCAACACTGCACCCGAGAAGCACGACGAAGCCGAAGAAGATCATGGATATAGTCACGAGCATCAAGACGAACAACACACACAGAGCTACACTCCACCCCCTGCTGCAGACACGCACACCAACCGCGTTGAAACTTGTTACGATGGCCAACTTCAGGGAGACGAGAATGGAGAAGAGGCAGCCTGGGCCCAAGTCGATGAGCTCATGGACACTGTGCAGCTCAAAAACCAACGCATACTCGAACTCGAGAAACAAGTCTGCTCCCTCCAACGCGATCTCCAGTCGGAAAAGGAACGTTGGAAACCTTCCAACGGGCTCACACGCGCTGCAGCTGTCAAACTCGAACGCGAGTTTCTCTCGCAGGAAATGATCCTCAAAGGCTTACAGAGGGATAATGAGGATAAGACCTTGGAAGTGGAATCGTTGAGACGCAAGATCAAGGTCATGTCTGATTTCCTTGCTCGTCAGTATGGTGCTGATGATTGGGAGGCTGTTGTCCACGCTTCTTCCGGTCTAGCTCCTCCTGTCAAGACTACAGCGCAGGAACCAAAGGCGGCAAGTGCGGACAAGGAGACTCGCAGTGCAGTCGCGAGAGCGTTGGCAGCTAGTCCACGAGCAGGTAACAGAGCCAAATTCACCCCTGTACTCGGAAGCGAAGCGACCGGGAACCCTTTCTCACCACCAACAGCCAGTCGAACAAAAGCACTAGGTCTGGCGGCGATCAATAACGATGATGTACTGATCCCGACTATTGCTAGGATGCAAACTCCTGCTTCTAGTCCCAGTAAGATGTTTGTTTCTTCTTTTGCGCCACAACCCAGTCCGATGGATAAGGATCAGTTGGACATAGCAGAGCAAGTAGGAGGAGAGCCGTCGAAAACAGCTATGCCAGAGCAAGGGGAAAGCAGAACAGGCGCTAAACACGGTCTGCCGGCAGGACTGGATCCGAACATACTGCTGGCGTCTATCGAAAGTGTCAGGCTACTGATTCAAGGTTTCGAGAGGAAGAACGCTATGCGTAGGGCTCAGCTGGAAACTACGATTGATGATGCTATTCAGGCTGAACGGCGGGCGGAGAGGTTACAAGCAAGTGCCTCCACAGCGACGGCCCAAGATCCGGCGCCCACTGCTGCTGCTGCATAGTACTGCAACTTTCCAACTTCACCGCATCGTCTCTCCTGCACTCATTGCTTGCTTAATACATACCCTTGTTACAATTCAGACCTAGAGGTGTGTGTGTGTCAGAAGGCGAGCCCAACAGTAAGTGCAGCAAAAAATGTGTTTTACGTCTATGTGTGTGTCCGGGCCGCTTTTCAACGAAGGCAAGATGGCCGAGTGGTCTAAGGCGTAGCATTAAGGAAGATATCCTGGATTGATTCAGGAAGACCTGCTATCTTCGGGCGTGGGTTCGAATCCCACTCTTGTCAGATTTTCTAATTTTTGCCTTTTTTGGCCACCACGAAGGCGGAATTCTGAGGGAAACATTCTCTCCAAATTTCGAACAAGATTCATCAAACAATGGCCGAGTAATGGTGTTTAAACCCTTTTGAGATGATGGTTCTTGATGCCTGTCAAGCTCCGCCATCTGCAACATTGCAAACCCCTTACATACCAACCCTTCTGGCCTAATATAATTGTCCCAACAACACTCAGCGCAGGCCAACACAACAGATCTGGGGCTCCAACACCCCCTTTCTGCTACACACTGCCCATTTTGACATTCTCATCCAAGACCCGCCTAACATGACCAGATCTTGACCAAATTTGACCCCGTTTTTGGCTACACATGACTTTAGAGTGATGTAAACGGGGAGCCTCCGCTTCTTGCAGGGGCAAAACTGACACCATTATACTCCCTTCAACCACTCCCTTCAACCAAGTCAAAGGCCTTTTGGTGGCTCCTACACCAGCCCTAATTGCGATGAGCGAGCGCAGAGGCCATCCCCGCCAAAGGAACACATGCATGTCATCAGAGACACTGCCGTTAGCCGTCTGAACTTTTTTTGTTTTTTTTTTTTTTTTTTTTTTGTTTTGTTTTTTGTTTTCCTTTCCTTGACTAGCGGTCTGCTACTCTCGGATGGAGTTTGGATGGTGTAGTTTCCGGATTTCTCACTCACTTGACCAGGACGTCACCTCTTCTAGAGAACTCAACGCTGGAAGAGCGACATTTGCTAACGGTTTGGTCCTAGCCTAAGGTCCTTTTTCTTTCCCATTTGTATTGTTACATTTTCCTCAATTTTTGCAATGATAGCAAGGCCAATTTCGGCCTGGTATAAAAAATAATAATTGCGTCTTGTTTCTGATGGAGTTTGGTCCCAATAACTGGCGATTGTGTGGAGTCTAAGTATGATGTCACTGCTAATTTTAGACAGAAACAAATATACTCAATTGACTGAGTGAACATGGTGAGAGCCTGGTGCCCCCAGCTTGATATACAGCTCACATGTAAACTGTCCCATGAATTTACATGTCACCATACATCACTCTAATGCTCAATAGCCATAAGTTGTATTGCCACACTGTCTGATATTGTCTGAAAGCCCTGCTTCTTCTCTCCAAGACTGTGTAAATGATATTGAGCAAGTCTACTGTGAATCACATCAGCAAAAGTGCCTCTGCTGATGTTCCAAAGTCAAAGGGGGGCTGGCCAAGAAAACTCCAGCCTTGTCATGTTTGCTTCCTGGAACACTATTTTGAGCTCAATTCCACCTCCACAGTCAGGAAAGCATGTCATGCACTGCAGGAGACATTTCAAGTCAAAGCATGCCCAACCACAGTAAGAAAAGCACTTCATTACTGTTGTTACAAAGCATGGAGGTTAGTGAAAAAACCCAAGCTACTCAAGAGACATTACAAAGCCTGTTGCAAATTTGCTAATGAGCACAAGGACATGACTTTTGAGGATTGGAAGAATGTGGTATGGTCTGATGAGACAAAGATCAACTTCTTTGGACCAGATGGTAAGCAGTTCTGTTGGATTAAGAACACCAGCTTCAACAGCAAGCTTGTCAGGCCAATGGTCAAGTTCAGCAGCAGCTCCATCATGATCTGGGGCTGTATGACATGGGAAGGGGTGGGAGGCATGTGCTTGGTGCTGGGTACAATGAATTCAGACCAATACATTGATATCTTGAATGACAAGCTTGTGAAAACAATCTCAGATTTGCAGCTTCAGCATGCATACACCAACATCACCTTTCAGCAAGACAATGACCTGAAACACATGTCAAAGAAGACAACAATGTGGTTGGAAAGCAATAGTATTAAGGTTATGCAATGGCTGGCACAGTCACCAGACTTAAACCTGATTGAACACCTCTGGCACCATCTCAAAATGTGACTTTCACAGTATAGTACAATTGCAAAGTCCAGGGATGAACTGCTCAAGAGATGTGAAGCTGAATGGACAGCAATCACTCCAGAGACATGTAGGACCCTAATAGAGAGTATGCCAAACTGCATCAAGGCAGTTCTGAAGGCCAAAGGAGGGAATATGAAGTACTAAGGTGTTGTCAAGGAGTGCTCCATAAACTGTCCCACAATAAAAAAAATTGGCTCTTCTTCATAGCACAATTTTCTTAGTCAATGTCAATATCATTTACACAGTCTTGGAGAGAAGAAGCAGGGCTTTCAGATGATATCAGACAGTGTGGCAATACAACTTATGGCTATTGAGCAGTAGAGTGATGTATGGTGACATGTAAATTCATGGGACAGTTTATGTGCAAGCTGTATACATATGGGTGGCACATGCTGAATGTGGGAGTTGCTATACCTAATGATCCAGCCTGACAATGTGTGGGACTGTGTTGTACCCAATCTCAGATCAGATCGGTCCTCGCTCCATTTCCAGTCAGATCGGGTTTCCCCCAATCCCTTCCATAATGGCTTATGTCAACTCGCATAATCACATTGGATCGTTTCCCTCAGCAGTTTCATCTTGGTTTCTTTGTCTATGAAATGGGAAAAACTGCTTTTTGATTCAGATACAAATACAATGAGTGGAAAGGAGGATGTAGCGATGGGCTATGAGAGCGGTGCACGAGTTGAAGGGGACCCGAGCACCTTGCCAGATGAGAGATCGTGGAAGGAATGCTTGCTAGATGCAAAGCTATCCTTCTGCATCAGGCCTAGCTTCTCCACCATGCGAGAAGGATCAAACACGCCAGTAAGGCTACTTGGAGGGCTTAACTGCGAGGAGCAGCAGCCAACCTCCTATCCTCATCCTGCTGTTCCTTCATCTTCCTCTTCTGCAACATATCACCAATTACACTTCTATAGTAAGTCCCATCGAACCCGTTCGCACCCATTCTCGGATACTCTGGTAAACCAAATGTACGCTTTCTTGAAACACCTCCTTCGTTGCTTGCTCCAATATACACATATGGTCGCAACTACACATCCCAAACGTCCCATTAAAACGTGTTAGGCTTGTCAGCATTCTTATCGCGAAAAAACCAAGGTGGGGTGGGGTTGCGGTGGCTTACCTTGGTCTCAGCCAATCCGGGAGGGACGACGTAGTTTGGGATTCTAGCTTCATCGATCCTTGCTGTTTTAAGATGCCAGTATCGTTCTCTTCCGTCTTTGTCGTAGAGTTGAGTCCCGCGTGAGTTGGCAGTAGCTATACGTTTGCGACGCATGATGTTGCCGGTTCGTGTGCCTTTGTAGAAGTCGCGATTGGCTTTTTTGGATGTGAGCGGTAGTCGGCTCGCTTTGGAGCATGTCACTTGGGTTGGTTTGAACATCCTAGCGGCACCCCTATGGCTGTGTGGATCAGTGTCGGGTCGAGTGGCCTAGTGAGATTATGTGTGGTGTGGTCGCCGCGAGGTGAATGGCGTTGATGATGACGAGAACAAGTGTGGTGGAAACCAAAAGAAAGAAAGAAAAAGGTGAAAGAAAGAGCTGGGTGCGATTCGGAACCGAAAGAGAGCACTTTGTTCAGACATGTTAGGTCGAACCAACATCCACACGACTAAAATTGGATTGCGTGCCGCCTTTTCTGCTCAAACCAAGTTTTCAGAAATTCCTAAAAATTTTCGAGTTGGTGGCACGAGCCAAGAAGAAGAGTGAGAAACTTTCAAGGCAGCAGAGCACAGTGCTCTCACAGTTCCGCTTGCTAGCCAGTGAGGTGTGTCCAACGCAACACAACACACGCCCAACTGACATCAGATGCTTTCCTATCGTCTTGACCATCATCTCTCTTTACCCTGCAGCTGTGACCTTATCGTCCCGTGCTGCTCCGCCTTCTATCCCTCCATCGTCAAGTCGTTCTTTTGTTCCTCTCCCTACGGACAAGCAGGCTTGCCGATCTAGGACTCGCATCTTTTTGGCTGTGCAACCAACATTCACCTGCTGCGCATCACGAACAACCCAACACTTTCACTTGGACTCGTAAACAATCCGCAAAGATGCCTCCTGTCTCTGCTTCCAAGGCTAAACGCCAGGCGTAAGTATCGCATCTTTGTTGCTAGCAGGAGCACCACTGCAGGCTCGCAGGTGTTCCAAGTACCGCGTAGTAGCTATTGCAACAATGTCTGACTCTCTCTCTTCACCCTCCTTTCACTACGCAACAGCGAAAAGGCCGCAAAAGCCGCTGCCAAGGGCGAAAAGTCGTCCAAGTCTTCCTCCAAGTCTGGCACCACCAACGACACCTCGGAGACTCCCATGACCAACCTTTCGGCCAACTCTTCCGTCGAGCAACTCAACATGAAGAAGCTCGACCTCGCCACCGAACGTAACGCTTCCGGTGTTTTGACCTCGGACAAGCAGTCGCGTGATATCCACATTGACAACTTCACCATGTCCTTCCACGGTCGTCTTCTCATCGACACTGCCACCATCAACCTCAACTACGGTCAACGATACGGTTTGCTCGGTGAAAACGGTTCCGGTAAGACCACCTTCTTGGCCGCTCTCGGTGCACGTGATGTCGAGATCCCCGAGCATATCGACATTCACTTGGTCACTGGTGAAGCCGAACCTTCCGAGACCAACGCTATCGACTACATTGTCAAGTCGGCCAAGGAGAAGGTTGCTAGGCTCGAAAAGGAGATCGAGGACATGTCCATCGCTGACGAGATCGACGAGGTGGGTCTTGAGCTCAAGTATGAAGAACTCGAGGAACTTGATCCTAGCACTTTCGAGACCAAGGCTGGTATGATCCTCCACGGTCTTGGCTTCTCGCCCGAGATGATGAAGAAGCCTACCAAGGATATGTCCGGTGGTTGGAGAATGCGTGTCACCCTTGCCAAGGCGCTTTTCATCAAGCCTCATTTGCTTTTGCTCGATGAGCCCACCAACCATTTGGATTTGGAGGCTGTCGTTTGGCTTGAAGCTTATCTTTCGACCTACAACCACATCTTGGTCTTTACCTCGCACTCGGCCGATTTCATGGACTCGGTCTGCACCAACATTCTCGACCTTACCCCTCAGAAGAAATTCTTGACTTACGGTGGTAACTATTCCACCTACGTCCGAACTAAGGAAGAGAACGAGACCAACCAGATGAAGGCCTATGCTAAGCAACAGGAGGAGATCGCCCATATCAAAAAGTTCATCGCTTCCGCCGGTACTTATGCCAACCTGGTCAAACAGGCCAAGTCGAAGCAGAAGATCATCGATAAGATGGAAGCAGCAGGTTTGATCGAGCCTGTTTGGCAACCTAAGTCTTTACGATTCAACTTTGAGGATGTGCGTAAAATGCCCCCTCCCATTATTGCCTTTAGCGATGTGGCGTTTTCGTACAGTGGTAAGAAGGAGGACTATCTGTACAAGGATTTGAGCTTTGGTATCGATATGGATTCCCGAGTTGCAATTGTGGGGCAGAACGGTACGGGGAAATCGACGCTGTTGAACTTGATTACCGGTGCGCTTAACCCTGTGGAAGGTACTGTGCAGAGGCATGCAGGTTTGAAGTTGGGCAAGTATTCTCAGCATTCGGCCGATCAGTTGCCTTATGATAAGTCGCCGTTGGAGTACATGGAGAGCAAGTATAAGGAAAAGTTCCCGGATAAGGATCTTCAGTTTTGGCGTGGCCAGTTGGGAAGGTTCGGTTTGTCGGGTGCTCATCAGACGAGTCCGATTCGTACGCTTTCCGATGGTTTGCGTAACAGAGTCGTGTTTTCGCAATTGGCGATGGAACAACCTCATGTTTTGTTGCTCGATGAGCCGACTAACCATTTGGATATGACTTCGATCGATGCCCTGGCTATGGCGATTAAGGAGTTCGAGGGAGGTGTGGTGATCGTATCGCACGACTTTAGGCTCATCAGTCAGGTTGCAGAGGATCTGTGGGAGGTCAAGGATAGGAAGATCGTTAACCTTAGCAAACAGGAGGTTAGCATTCAGGATTACAAGAAGAAACTTGTCAAGGCTTCAGCAGAGGCTATCGAAAGGGCTAAACTTTTCGCTAAGGGTAAGGCGTAAAGGTACCCCAACCCCCCAACCCCCTAATCCCCTAATCCCCTAACCCCCTTCCGAGGTTTTCTTTTTGCTGAGGTTCGGTTGAAAAATGGATCGACATTCAGTCAAGTACCTTGCGTTTCTGTTTCTTTGATCTGTAAATCGTTTCTTTCTTCATACTTTGTGTTGCAAATGCATTTCTGTGTTCCGACCACACCGAGTGATGCGAATGTTCCAAGATGATCTCTGAAACTGGTGAGTTGAGGAATGTTGGAAGATGAGCTTGCGTGAACACAGTCCAAGGAGGACGAATAATCAAGCTCAGCATCAAAGACACCGAACGCAAGCAGACCAACTGAAGCATAATGTATGGATTGCACTCGAACCAATGCTTCGTGATAATGTACAAAGAACCTGGCTTGCCCCGTCCTATTCTGCTATCCCCTCTCCTTTTCGCATTCTTATCGCTGTCCGATGCACTCCGGACCCAAAACTCCCATCTCGACCCACTTTTCGATCAGATCGCAAACGCCTGGATACGCACTTCCCCCCAACCACCCTGTCGGACTCTGGCCGCCTCCTCCCGCCTGTGTACCTGAGTACTTAAACTCGCTCCAATCGAACAACCGATTCTCAGTGCCAAAAGCGACGAAATGGGCAAACAAACTATTAAAATGCCCTTCACAGCACAAATGAACCAAATACTGATACTGTGCATGATAGACATGCGCAAAGACCCTCAACAACTGCTTATAAATATGCTTGCAAGTCGTCAAGAACGTCGGTGGAAAGTCTCTACTCGCTTTTGTGGGAAAAGTAGCTTCATCACTCAACAACCCGCCGACCCAGGTCATAACATAATCGATATACTGCGGTGCCGGTAACTTGACCTGCTTTCTGTTTTGATCGATCCAGGTGTAATCGAGACCGGGACCAGCAGACATGGTGGGGTTGTTGGAAACGGTGCAGAATTCGGTAAGAACGCCGTAGAATTGGTTGAGGTTGTTGAAAAAATCGAAGAGATTGACTGCAACCCATTCTTTAGGATCGACGTATTTCGGGACCGAAGAGATGGTTTTGAGCGAGCCTTTGACGAGAGAGGCGGATACGAAAGGGTGGCAGAGATAGAGAGGCTTGTTGGTGGATCCGAAGCCGAGACGGGTGGTGGAGGATGGGGAGGTGGGGGAGCGAGGGTAACCTGAAGCGTTGGAGGAGGGCAGAGAGGACGGGTCGAAGGTTGGCATGTTAGGATGGGTGGGGGATTTTTTGGGCCGTGAGGAACGACCCATGGATCGACCGAGCGAGTTGAAGAATGACATGCTGGGCGACGAGGTTGATAGCTGGATCAGCTATTCAAGACGGAGGGTAATCTGAGGGAGGGAGAGATCGAGATGCGATCGCGTTCGTACTTGGAGATGATGCGATGCGATGCGATGCGATGCGATGCGATGCGATGCGATAGTTTGCAGTAAGGGATGCGAGAAGAGATGGTCCTGCGATTGCGGTAGTCGATATAGGGATGGAAGCAAGAGTCAAAAGGAAGGACAGCAATTTGCAAAGTGACAGGTGATCGTTCCAAGTATGGGGGTGAGTTGCGTGTGTAGATTGCAGTTGATGCGCTGTCGTTTCTCTCGATCGGGAAATGCCACACTCAATCGGCCCGATTTGATGAGATCGGAGAGACGCGTCAGTTTGCCGTTCCGGCTCCACATGGTTAAGTTGACGTCTCCCAACACCACCACAACTTCGACTCAGCCTTTTCTTTGCCGCATCAGATATAAGATCAACACTTTCCCCTCCACACCTTTCTCCCTCTCCCTCTTCTCCCGTAGACACGCACTACAACGATACTATAGAGCTCCAAGTAAAGGCGAGACAAAATGATCACAGTGATCACCGAAGACGGTCGCACATTCCCCATCGATGTCGATGCCTCGATCGAACTTGAAAACCTCAAAGCCCTCCTCGAAGTTGATTCCGCCATCCCCACCGACCAACAGCATCTTCTCCACTCCGGAAAGCCGCTTCACGATGATAAAGCCACCCTTTCCAGCCTGGGAGTCGCAAATGACGATCTTTTGATTCTTCGAGATCGACGTCAATCCCCCTCCTCCTCCTCTACCACCACCACCACCCGTACAACCGCTCTTGCAGCATCATCCGAAGAACAAGCAGCAGAAGAAATTCGCAACCGTATCCTCTCCGATCCTGCTGCTCTATCCATGCTCCGCTCCAACAACCCAACCCTGGCCGACTCGCTGGAATCCCCCGCTCGTTTCCTCTCGCTCCTCCGCGCACAACAGTCTCAGATGGAACAAGCAAACCCCAACCCAGGTCTGCAAGACATTACAGACGAATTTGACATTGATGCACAACGACGTATCGAAGAAAACATCCGTCAGCAGCGTGTTCTAGAAAACCTCGAACATGCGATTGAATACTCGCCCGAATCTTTCGGTCGCGTTACAATGCTCTATGTCGATGTGAAAGTAAACGGAACGCCAGTCAAAGCTTTCGTTGACTCAGGAGCTCAAGCTACCATCATGTCTCCTGAATGTGCGGAAAAGTGCGGAATTATGCGATTGCTCGATACCCGCTTTTCCGGCATAGCGAGGGGTGTAGGCACAGCTAAAATCCTAGGAAGAGTACATTCAACGCAGCTACAGCTGGGCAAAGGGTTGTTCTTGCCGTGCAGTTTTACAATCATGGAAGGCAAAGGAGTGGATATGCTTTTTGGACTGGATATGTTGAAGAGGTACCAAGCGAGTATCGATCTAGCAAAGGGAGTGCTGAGGGTGAATGAAGAGGAAATTAGGTTTTTGGACGAACATGAGTTGCCGGAGGAAGCGAGAATCGAGTATGAGGTTGATGACCAGGGAAAGCCAAAGTCGAAGCAGAAGGAGGCGGTGTTGGGTGCGGCTAGTGCAAATGCTAATGCGGCAGCGAGTGCGATTGCGAGTGCAAGTGCAAGTGCGAGTAAGGTGGGCAAGTTTCCCGGTTCGGGGCAGTCACTCAGCTCTAGCAATACGGGAGCAAACAACAGTGCTTCAGCTGGAGGCAGTGCAGATCAACAGCATTTTGATTCTTATGGATGGTCTTTCTCACATCCCCAATCGAGCCAGCAGCCTCAACCGGGTGCACAAGCAATAGCGAACGGAGCGCAAGGAGATGGAGCAAAGCAGTTCCCAGAAGCATCGCTAAAAGCTCTTACTGATCTCGGAGCCACTCAGGCCCAAGCTCGAAGTCTGTTGACTGCAGCACAAGGTAACGTTGAGGTTGCAGCTAGTTTGCTTTTCCAGCAGTAACCATTCACCGTCAGACGGACAATGCAATGCATTCTCACAATCAGCCTCCTTGTGCTCGACTCTGGCTGAGTATTGCATCCGAGTGGTGTCGTTTAAAGATGGTAGAGTATATGTTTTTGAGCCACGCCCGAGTGGTGTTTTGCGGTCTTACTTGGCAGCCTCACCCTGCTGGCCCTCCGCTCGGGCCGCCTGCGGTTTCATGCCACCGGTGAAGAAAGCCCAGGTATTCAACTTCATCTCTCTGATCTGTCTCTCCTGTTCTTCCTTTGCTTGTTTTCTTAGCGTTTCTCCGTTCTCTTTCCAGTACTTTTGGTCTTCTAGGTATGCTTGGACGTACCTCTCCCTTTCTAGTTCGTAAACTGTTTTATCTACTGGCATGTTTCCAGTCCGACTTACTCCGCCGAATACATTTCCGAACTTGCTCAATCTTTTAGCACGCGCTTTGTTCTCCGCGAGTTCCTTCTCCCTAATCTGTGCCGCCCTTCTCGCATGTTCGCTCGGGATATGCGTACCCGCATAAGCTTGGAGTGTCGTCCGAACATCTTCGATACCATAAATTGCAATGGCCTCAAAGAAAGGAATCAGCCCAATCAGTTCCCTATCCTCCCGATCTCCCTTCCACGGCTCAACCACAATCCCGTTCTGCGGGTGCAAGTAGAACGAGTCCGGATTCGTATCTACCACCACCACTTTGCTCAGATCTCTGTTCAGGTAGTTCAAATCCTTGACCAACTTTCCATCGACCGTTCTACAGGATTCTTTGAACAGCGTGTAGGCGATAAACCTCCTATCCGGATCCAATTTCTCAATAATAGGACCCGCCGTAAAGAATGGTTGAGTGGTGAACAAGACGATCTCGTAGAACTGGGATAGGTAGCCGATAAAGTAGTCGAGTCCGGGACGCTTAGCCGTTCTCCATCCATGTTCTCTACTCCATTCGCTATGAACCAAAAGATCGTCAAGGTCGAGGACCATAGTGAAAGGTCGAGAATAGGGGAAAGGTAAAGGGTCGGGTAGAAGCTGGTCGAAGACTGGTTTGTTGAAATCTTCGTACATCGCACCCAACCTCAGTTTGATACGACCCAGGAAAGAATCGGATCCAGGTTGAGAGGCGAAGCGGGTAGATTCCAGTTCGTTGTCCCAAGGACGACCAAGGTTGCATAGTGTGAGGGTAGATCCGCCTAGGATGAGGGCGGAGAGAAGCCGGACCGTGGTTTGTCGACGTCGTTCGATGGATGACATTGATCGGGCTCCCGTCTTTGCCTTTGCTCCGGTGGAGTCTTTGGTGTTGCCCGATTGTGGGGTTTCAGATGCGATAAGCTGGTTTGCGCGGGGGGCGGCGGAAGTGTCAATGTCGAAGATCGAAGATGTTTTGCCTGTTTTCAATTCTTCTTTTGCCTCCTCAGGAGTGGGAGTGGTGGTGGTGGTGGAGGAGGAGGAGGAGGAGGTTTTGGGGCCATATTTGGTAGTGTTGGTTTTGGGGCCTGGCTTTTGTGAAGATGGGGGTGTAGCAAGGAATCGGATTGAAGATGGGAAGGTGGTGGGACGAGGAAGCGAGGCGGCAAGACGAGGAGTGGTGGTGGTGGTGAGGGGTGGGCGGGAGATAGCTCGAAAAGCTTGCCTTGCAGCCATGTGAAATGCCATGGTTGGCAGCGGGGGGTTAGCCTTGAGCTAAGACTTTCGGTGCGTGGTTTGAAGATTGGTGGTGGTGGTGGTGATGGTGATGGTGAGCACAAAGCCAAGCAGAAAAGCGAAAGTGGAGAAATTCTTTAGTTTTGCAGTGGTCAGCAGAGCCCGATCCCATAGAAAAGGAAAAAGATTCCCGATTGCGATTCACCCGAGCAATCGCTCAACTTTCTTCTGAACCCTTCTCCGCACCAACCACCGCTTCCTCACCATCATCCTCAAACCCAACCCCCACCTGTACCCACTTGGATCTCAAGATGTCGGCACCGTACATCCCTCCATCATTCGGTCAACCAGGCGTAAGTATCACCTATCGACCCAAATCTCTTCTCACCCCCACCCGCTCCACCACTCCTCCTTCCACAATCCCGCCAATAACCCTCTCGATCCCCCCAGCATCAATCCATCACATCTTCGCCCATCGACAATGGCGTGCTGGGATGCTCCTCTCGGACGCCCTTCTCTCCTCCGCCTTTCCCACCACCTCCATATCCATCCTTGAACTTGGTGCTGGAACCGGTCTACCCTCCATTACCGCCGCCTTACTTCCTCCCGCTGCTGCCCCCTTGGTGGTGGTTGCAAGCGACTACGACGAACCGGCTCTCATATCCGAACTGCGTCTTAATGTGCGTCGTAACGTCGCATCTGCTCCAGATGAAGTTCGGAAGCGGATAAAAGTAGTCGGGCATATCTGGGGAAAGAACACGGAAGAGCTTCTAGATTGTCTACCCGCTTCTGCTGGGGGTGGATTCGATTCAGTGTTGTTAGCGGATTGCTTATGGGATCCATTGAGCCATGCGGATTTGCTCAAGACGGTAGTACGGGTGTTGAAGCGGGAGAAGGGAGCGAGGGTGAATGTGATTGCAGGCTTACATACGGGGAGGGAGAAAGTTACGAGTTTTATCAGGAGAGCATATAGGGCCGGGTTGCGCTTGGCGCCGGTACATAACCCAGACATTTGGCCTGCTCTGGAGGATGATGCGGAGAAACAAGATGCAGATGCGGCGAGGGTGGGGAATGAGGCGTTGGCGAAGGCGGGGGAGAGGATATTAGAGTTGGAAGTTTGCGGGAATACTCCCATTCAGTCCGATTCAACTACAGAAGAAAAGGAAGAGGCGGAAGGGAAAGAGGGGGAAGATGAGCCTAGACTAACGGCTAATAGGAGATTGTTCAAGATCGAAGGATATGGAGAGGAGACAGAAGGGGATGTTAAGCTAAGAAATCGTTGGCTGACTGTTTGGTCTTTGGAATGGGCTCAACCATAATCCTACCCCCCTTCCTCACCTCGCCATCTGGACCGACAACTAGACGATACAGAGCAATGGGACTACAGCAATACCACTAACCTTGGTCGTAGTGTCAAAGTCTAGAGAGAGTTTTTTTTTTTTTTGTTGACTGTGTGTTTTGCCTTTCGATCTTCTTTGTGTAGCTGAAACAGTGCGCAAGCTTAGCCGTCATGCCTCTACTTATGGTTGGTAGTGTACGCAATCCCATTGCGGCACGAAGGATCCTGTCTTCAGCACCTCGATTCCACACGGTATCAAGGATGGTACCAAGATCATCTCTGCTCTCAAAGTTGCGTCCATCATCATCCTCCATCCTTGGCGCTTCCCAACAGCTCCATTCCGTGGGCCTACGCACATTCACCGCCACCCCTGATAGCAAGCAACCTACATCTCCCAACGCTGCATCATCGGCGTGCAGCACCGAAGCACAGGGCAAGGCCCTCGCGACATACACCGGCCCGCTAGCCTCGACCTTCACCCGACTCAAACTTTTCTCCCTGGGCTCACTGGGTCTAGCCACAGTTCTGACTCCCATCCTCCTTCTTGCACCAGGCGAAATCTCTCTTGCTGGTAGGGTAGGGCTGTGCATTACAGCGCTAGCTACATCGGGAGTTAGTACTGCTCTGATTGCTTGGATTGGAACTCCTTATGTTGGGACCATGCGTCTTTTACAACCTTCCGGCACCCGCTCTCTGGGGGAAATGAGGAAGGAGGAGGAGGAGAAAGTGGTTATGGAGTTAAATACAGTCAGTTGGAGACTCAAACGGCAAAAAACTCTAGTATACGAGCCGCACTTTCTCCGCCCCACGAGTAGACCTTTTGCTTCTTGGGAGATCACAAATTCGCCACCTCCCCTAGCTCTATCGCAAGCCGAGGGGAAAGAGGTGGTGAAGAAAGTCGCGGAAACGTTCGATTGGAAAACAGGTGCTAGTTTGGGCGTGTGGAGTGTAAAATACACTCCCCAAGCACAACAGAAAGGCCAAGGGGAGGCGGAGCCTTACAAGATGGTTGCCAAGACAGAGGTTGCAGGCAAACCTAACCGATACTTTAATGTTCATGAGGAGCTCTTGGGTCAAGATTGGCAAGTGCTTGGCTAAGTAGCATACCGCTTGAAAGCAATCAAGAAACTCTTGTCACTTGACTTTTTACTGTCTGCAATGCGTGACAAGTAAGAAAACAGATTGAACAGCATATCCGGATACTGTTCATGTTTGTATTGAGCATACCAAGGAATGTGCGGTGGAAAGTATGTACAACGTCGATTCATAGCCCCCGCTATAAGCTTAAGTGTTAGGTCAAGCTCTTGCCCATGAACCGTCTCTTGGTAAAAGCCAACCACCATTTACTCGGCGTACCATCGGCAAACACCTTTTCCACCAATCTTGCTGCCGTCTCTTGCCTGAGCTGAGTGAGATAACCTCTCAACTGATCCGCCTCGGCCCTACCCGCAGGCGGGGCATAAAGGGAGTTGAGAGGGAAATTCGCGTCTCCTGGCAGAGCAAAAGCGTCCACTGCATAGGTTTGCAACTGTTTGTTCGCCTCGTTTGTAGTCCAAGGGATTTTGCTCGATGCGATTTTGGTGAGACAATCCGAAATGAAAAGGATGAGGTAGATAAGAAGACGATCGGCAGGACCTTTGATTTCGAAGTTACGAAAGAGAGAGTTGGCACGGAAAAGGTCGATGGATTCGTCGATAATGTCAGGACGAGATGGGTCGATGGGGGGAGGGGCAGGTCCACGCGTTCGGGAACGGATGGGAAGCATGGACATATTCCCGATTACACGTGGGTCTGGGTCTTCGTTGTAGGATGAATGGTAGGCCTGCAGAACGCAGATTCGGAGAAAGGGGAAAGTGAATGATGGGTCAGTTGAAGCTTGCTGAATGAGAATTTGGACGGCGTTCGGAGGTTACTTACGGGCATGATGATGGGTGATGGTTTTGCAATTGACGATGATGGTTTCCGAGTGTCATCCAAAAGTGCCTTCTGGCTGTGCTGTTTCTCTCTTTTGTGTTGGCCGATTGCGAGATGGCTCGACCGCCGAATCGCCACGTGCTTCTGCCCCTTTTTTTTCCGGAAAGTAATGTGTCAGATTATTCTTTTCCCACATCTTTTCCCATAGATTGGAAAGATTGGAAATACGGAACCGAAGAACTCATCATCCTTCCCGCGGAACCCTACGCGAATTTCGTTTCCCTCTCACCATCGTCCATCAACTCGTCTCGACACTACTACACTATCGCAGTAAGAGTCGAAAGTATGAGCGCAATCATAGCAGAAATCCATCTCGACACGTCCTTCTCGTCAGAAGACAAGCCTTTGCCCACCACACCGATCCCCTTGACAAACACATCAGGAACAGCGCTTGCACCAAGCACAGAACTCCACATACCCCTCACAACCCAGAGCGACGCGAACAAGCCGCAACGGCTAGTCGACTTGGCAGATGTAATGGACGAAGCAAGAGCAAGATTGAATCAGGTGCTAACAAGTTGGAAGGATTGGGCTGGGAAGGAAGAGGTGCCTGGGACAGCGGCGAAGAAGGACGGAGAAGATGAGGAGGAGCAAGATGATGAGGAGCAAGAAGATGAGGAGCAAGAAGAGAAAGAGTAACGATTAGCATCGAAGATGTAGAGCCACGGCAGAGAGTGAAAAGCGGACATTGTATACCCTAAGAACAGCTGAAATATTTGTATTACCATCTCAGATCATTGATGAGCTCATTCTGGTAATGATCTCTCTTTTCTCGCACACCGCATTCTGCACCTCAGCTTGAGCACACAATAACAGGCAGAACAGATTTGAGAGAGGAATCACGGATACATTACATAGAAGTACACAGAAAAGATAACATTGACACTCCACCTTTTAGGTAGAAGCAGCGGCAGGCTCGGCAACAGGTGCATCAGCACTACCCGAAAGAGCCGGGTCGATGACAGCAGAAGCACTCGAATCAGCCTCGGTGTCAAAGGCAGCCTCAGCCTCTTGATCCACATCAGCACCATCCTTCTTGTCCTCACCCTCATCATCAATCTCCTTTTTAGTACGACGGGTCCTAATCGTCCTAATAATCTTGTCCAGCGTCTCCTGCCATCCACCAATCCAAGGTTCAGGCAAGTACCTCGACTTGATCTGTTGAAACTGCTGTTTGAGCGTCTCCTCTGGCCATTGCCAGGATTCGAAGGAAAGTTGATCCCATTGGACTGAGTTATGGGCTAAAGCGTCTTGGAAGTTCAATCGCTGCAAGAGGATCAGATCATCCTCGCCGGGAATCCAAACACTGTTATCGAGGTCAGCGCGAGTCGGGTGACGGTTGATACCTCGAACAGCCTGCTGAGATGGGTCGAGGCTGCTGTCATCACCCATAGTGCCGTAATCCTTACGAGGACCGGGACCGGTTCGATCAACACGGGAACGAATGTTGGAGAAAAGGTTCGAGTAGACCTTGTAACTTCGCTTGTTGCCCATCATGTTTGCAATCGCCTTCCAAGAGATGACCTCTCCAGGATGCTCCTGTTTGAACTTGTCGAGGGCAGCAAGGACAGCCTTGTCCTCCTCAGCATTCCAAGGGGGACCGTCGGCCATCTCGTGCTTGACCTGCAATTTGACGAAACGCGAAAGTACATCCTGGTTGAGACGACCCAAACGCTTAGCAACCGAGGCGGCATCTTCGCGAAGCACACCCATGCGTTGCTTGATCTCGTAATCCTCAGCCAAGGTGTAACGACCTTGCCTGCGGAACTGCGACTTGTTGGTCCTGACATGCAAGCGAACAGCAATGTTGGGACGACCGTCAAGACGACCAGCGAGATCCTTCCAGAGCTCGGTGTACATCTTCTCCCAACCCTTTTCGCGGTAGTTGTAGAGGAGCTCCTGGAAGTCTTCCTCGGAGAGACCTTTGAGCTTCATGAATTCGGCAATACCGTTCTTGATCGTGTCCTGCTCCTGCTTGGAGAAGCGACCCTTCTGGTACTTGAGACCAATGGTGCGCTCGAGCTTGGCAAGCATGTCGGAAGAGTAGACGCGCTCGACAAGGAGCTCGCGTGGGGGCAGACCTCTGAGCTCTTCGAGGGCAGCCTCCTCGGACATCTTGGCGCGTCGGCCACGACGTTGGCCGCCCTCGCTTGGGTCTTTCTTGACCTTCTTGACCGAGGGAGCGTTGGGGTCCTTCTTGGGGCGACCGCGCTTGCGTTTCTGTTCACCAGTGGCGGGGTTGATTTCACCTCCAGTAGAGGTGCCAGCAGCAGCGGCGGCGGAGAGGGGTTGAGCAAGGGCTGCGACATGGTTGGTGGTGGGCTGAGTGACGGCCTGAGTGGCAGCAGAGGCATCGATAGCGGTGGCCTCGGCAGCTCCGAGACTGGCAGGAGGCTGCTGAACAGCAGGAGCGACGGCGGAGAAGGAATCAAGGCAAGGGTCGATAGGAAGACGCGTAGCCGACGCGACGGCGTTGACGGCCTGAGCAGCTGAGGCGGCGGCAACGGTAGCGGCGTCCTTCTCGGCTTGCTCGCGTTCGAGCCGTTCGCGTTCCTTGCGCTCCTTCTTCTGGCGCTTGCGTTCCTTCCTGGCGGCCTTAGATTCGGGTGAGTCGTCGAGCTCGTCGGCTACGGCGTCGGCATCATCGTCGCTAGTGACGGCGTCTTTCGACTTTTTGTCTTTTTTATCCTTCCTATCCTTCTTGTGCTTCTTGTTCTTTTTACCGGCCTGAACAGCGTCGGCGGGGAGGTCGGCGACAGGCTCAGTAGTAGCAATAGTGGGAGGAGCCATAATCGCGTCGTCGACTTGCTGCTTCTGAGGTGACTGTGCGCGTCGGGAGAGGATAGGCAAGGGAGAGCAACAGTTTCCCTAATGGACAACGAGAGAAAGATGGTCCCAAGAGATGTGAGTTCCGCCGCGTCTGACAACGAGAAGGAGTGAGAAAAAGGGGGGAAAAAAAGAGAAAGGGGAAAAAGTGGAAAGATTGGGATGTGAGGTCTTTAATTGCTTTCTGATTCGCGACCCAAACCAAGGTGATTTGTGAGATTGCAGCAGTCTAGCACGGAGTTTTCGAGAATCAAATCGACAGAGACCCGTAGACACTTGTCTTCTGCCTCCAACAAGGGACAATGGAAAAGGCGAAAATTTGGGGGCGCGGGTTGATTGTGCAGATGTAACAATTTGGGGGGCATTTGTGCATTTGGTCGGTGTGGATTGTTAAGCTGAGTCGAACGACAAAAGAAGTTGGGCGGTGCGGCTATTGTGAAGAATTGAAATGGCTGAGTTGCGCGCGTTGTCAAGGTGTTAGACCTTTGTTGAAATGCCATTTTGCAAATCTGCCCAGATGAAATGAGAGAAATTAGAAATTAGAAATTAGAAATTAGAAATCAGAAATTAGAAATTAGAAATCAGAAATTAGAAATTAGAAATTAGGGATCAGAAATTAGAAATTAGAAATTAGAAATTAGAAATCAGAAATTAGAAATTAGAAATTAGAAATTAGGGATCAGAAATTAGAAATCAGAAATTAGAAATCAGAAATTTGAAATTTGAAATGAAAATGGTAACAGAGGCCATCACGCTCACTCTCAAGCTCTCATCACTGAGCAGTATCGACGGTCGAGTGTCTCGTGCGAATGACGTGCCAGGCGGCCGGTGACGCCAAGACCCATCTCGATGAGTACGGCTTGCTATCCGGCGCTCACCGGAAACACTTGGAGGATTGGAGGATGGCCGATGATGGTGATCAATGAACTTGGGACAAACAGCTTGTAAGCGGATGGAAGCTCTCCTGTCTCTGTCGAGTCGCTTTGTTCTCCTCTGCCTTTGTGATTCAAGTGTTGTGCTGCCTTGTGTTTTTGTTTCGCTCCAGGCTTGTTCTGTTGGCAGTTGAGTTGGTGCAAGTGCACTGGAAATGAGAGGAATTGCTCTTGCTTGATTCTTTCGCTCTTTCGCCTCCACGCCAATCTCGAACACTGCCCTCTTTGCTCATCATCACGACGCCTCCCCCCTCCCCTCCTCCTCCTTCTTCCGCCTGATATCTTTCCGATCACTTTCACCCTCCGCTTGTTCCGCTTTTGCTCCTATCGGCCGATCTCAAGCTCCCGCCCACGATCAAGATCCCCTTCCAGCCCTGTCGAAAGTTGGATCGTCGACTTCGAATCCGCACATCTCAACAGCAGTTTTCCCCCAGCATCGCATACATCGTTCAAGATACCCCATGTACTTGCTCAGCTATCGTTCATAGCCGTTCATCTCGCTTCCGCAGCTGCACCATCCCGCAGCCGCTCTGTTTGATACCCAAGAAACCGGCCGAGACATGCTTCAGCTTTCGCATCGACTACAATCATCAAACAGCAAGCTACTAGAATGATGTCAAACACAGCAGACTCCTCACCACGAGGCTCCAACTCGCCCTCACCCTACCCGTATCAAGGCCGCCCCATTGACAACGGTCTTGGTCCATCCTCACGCCGCAGCCTCATCGACGCCGAAATGAATGACCAAGATGAAAACCGTTCCGCCTCCCCCGCCGACTTCCTCTCCCGCACCCATCACCACCATCACCACCATCACCATCATCACCACACCACCATCCCTCGCCCACCCGCTTCCCCCTCCAGCACATCCCAATCCGACGACGGTGGTCCACCAGAAGACTTTGCCGATCTCGCCTCCGTCGAAGACTCCGACACCAAAACCAACCCTGGTCGCAATTTCGACCCCGCTGCAGTCCGCCTCTCCCGTCGTGGCACCCTCATCCCCGCCTCCCCTACCTCTTCCAACGGCACTTGGATATTGCAAGCCAACGCTCCTCTCAGCACCGCTTCCAACCTCCCGCATGAGATCCTGTTGCACATCTTCAAATACCTCGTCCTCTATCCACCGGATCTGCTCAACTGCTTGCTCGTATGCAAGTCATGGTGCTTGAACGGCGTCGAGTTGTTATGGCATCGTCCAGCACTCTTCAAGATCTCGTCGCTGTTCAAGTTGGTAGGTGTGATTAGGAAGCCAGAACAACTTTTTCCTTATCCCCACTTTGTCAGAAGGCTCAACTTTACACTCTTGGCGAACCAGTTGGAGGATCAACTCTTTCTCATCATGTCGGCCTGTACCCGACTCGAGAGGCTCACCTTGGCCGGATGTGCTAACATCACAGATGCGACCCTCGTCAAGGTCTTCCAAAACACCCCGCAATTGGTCGCAATAGACTTGACCGACGTAGTCGACCTTTCTGACGCTACACTCATCACCCTCGCCCGAAACTGCCCAAAGGCGCAAGGCATCAACCTCACCGGATGCAAGAAGATCACCAGCAAAGGTGTAGCAGAACTCGCGAGGAGCTGCAAGTTGTTAAGGCGCGTAAAGCTTTGTGGATGTGACAATGTCGACGATGAAGCATTGATCAGTCTAACGCAAAACTGCCCGGCTCTCTTGGAGGTCGATCTGATCCATTGTCCCAAGATCAGCGATAAAAGTGTTGGCGAGATTTGGCAAAGAAGCTATCAGATGAGGGAATTCAGGTTGGCTCATTGTACAGAGTTGACCGATAACGCTTTTCCTTCCGCTAGGCGTACTACCGCGCTTCCCATGTTAGCAACCAGTCATAGTGCCAGGCTTGCAGGTGCGAGTGGCGATGGTGCCGAGACCAGTAATCGTGCTAGTCCTGGTGCGCAGGTGTTCATCGGTGCCAGGGATAACGGCTTGACAAGAACACTTAGTGTGCCGAGTGAATTGGGTCACAGTAGAATGTTTGATCATTTGAGAATATTGGATTTGACCAGCTGTACTTCCATTAGTGACGACGCAGTGGAAGGCATTATCGCCAATGTTCCCCGACTCAAGAATCTCGCTCTAACCAAATGCACCCGGTTGACGGACGAATCGTTGTATTCGATCGCTAAGTTGGGTAAAAACTTGCACTACCTTCATCTTGGTCACGTATCCAACATCACCGATCGGGCAGTCACCCATCTCGCCCGCTCTTGCACTCGTCTTCGCTACATCGACGTAGCTTGCTGTCCAAACCTTACCGATCTCTCCGTCACGGAAATTGCCCACAACATGCCCAAACTTCGCCGCATTGGTCTAGTCAAAGTGATCAACCTCACAGATCAAGCCATCTACGGCCTGGTGGATCGCTATAACTCGCTGGAACGAATCCATCTCTCCTACTGCGAAAACGTCTCAGTGCCCGCAATCTTCTGCGTTTTACAACGATTACCGCGATTGACCCACTTGAGTTTGACAGGAGTACCAGCATTCAGACGGGCCGAGTTGCAGGCCTTCTGCAGACAGCCTCCGAAGGATTTCAACGACCATCAGAGGCAAGCCTTTTGTGTCTATTCAGGAAAAGGCGTTGCAGATTTAAGAAAGTTTTTGCAAAGAGTGTACAGTGATGAACACTTGGCGGTACAGTTTGGACAACTCGAACCTCGAGCTAGAACTGCCTTGGAAGAGTTGGCTGGTGTCAATGCCAATGGCAATGCGGAGGCGATGAATGCGGGTGGTAGAGTTCAGGTTGTGATTCCAGCACCTCCAGGAACAGGGCCGCAGCGAAGACAGCTAACCAGGGCGGAACAACTCTACTATGACCAGCAGCGACATTTGGTTCACCATGCCAATGCCAGACGAGCCGCACACGATACGGCCTTGTTGAATGGGCCTCTTTTGACAGATGCAGCCAGGAGGCAAGCTTTGGTCGATGCTCAGGAGCACAGGAATCCCGGTCTACCGTTGGTAGGGCAAGAAAGGATCCCTTGGAATGCAGGCGCAAGAGACGCAGGAATAGCAATGATGCAAGACGTTCCCCATGCAGACCAAGGGGTAGAGATGTATGGTACTCCAGATGCAAGTCAGGATTTATCTGCACCTCGACACGAACAGCAACCTGCCCTTTGGCCACCAGAAGCGCAGCAGTGAATCCTCGAAAGGGAAGGTTGAAAGTCTTACGTAATGCCAGGTTTGGTACTGCTATTGGTGCGTAGGTCTGCTAGGGTTGTGTAGTAACCTTGTTGTGTCTTTTGCATCAGCATTGTCATCAGTTGTTTTTTTTTTTTTTTTTTTTTTTTTTTTTTTTTTTTTTTATATAGTTTTTTTTTCTTTTTTCTTTTTTTTTTTTTTTTTTTTTTTTTTTTCGAATCGTGCAATCAGTTCACATCGCAAATCAAGCGCTATAGTTCCGTGAAGCTCTCTTTAATTGTCAATCGCACTGAGGTATCATAGTTGAAGAACTTCATGCTCAGCAATCTTCTGGGTAGCGTCTAAAGACGTGTTGGGCAAGCGACTGTGTTATCCACTCCTGCATCTGCTGCCATTCCTGATGTTGCGCTAGTTCGAGCAACCGTGCTTCCCCCTCCCGGCGCCGGTGTATGCACATCTTAATGACTAGGAGCACTACTAGCTACACTTGTCCGCCTACTCCTTATACCCGCACCCGCCCCAACTCCATCCTTCCCTTGATCAGCACTTGCACCAATCACATACCTCAAGATATCACTCAAACAGACAATTCCCACCAATCTTCCCCTTGTCTTGCGCACCGGATCGCCCTTCTCGAGCCTTTGCTCAAGTTCTACTTTGGGGTCATTGAGCCATGTTTCCCTATCCTCCTGGCCCCTCTTCTTCTCTTGCTCGACCAGATCATCCATGTAGCTGTCGAGTTCTTCCAACGGTGCAGTCTTATCAGCCTTGAACGAGTCTCTGCGTAGCGGCAAGGGTTCGGGTTCGAGGACGAGCAAACGATGAACACGTCTCTTACGCAAAAGCGCAAAGATAGACGCAAGGCTATCATCCGGCGAACATGTCCAAACTCCAGAGAAATCAGGCGCTCTTCTTTCCAAAGCCTGACGAATAGTCAAATCCAGCGAAGTGTAGGCACCTGTACGAACTAGAGTAATAACATCCACCGTCTCGTACAGGTCGACTACATTACCATCTTCGTCCAGGATGGGGACTGCTGAAATGCCGCGTTCGGAGAACATGTGGACTACGTCGAACACTGTTGTGTCCAGTGTAGCTGTAGCGATGGGAGCGTAACGGTTTTCAGCCTCTCCAGGGGCGCAAGGTAGAGTGGTAGCAGCGGTACGGGAAGCAGATAAAGATGCGTTCGATGCCTTAGATGCATCTGACTGCCTTCTCCCAGCTTCACCTTCTTCCTCCGTAGTTGTGACGGATTCAGAAGCAAATTGGCTCATATTAAGCGTCTGGCCATGCTCTGATTTGAGAATACCAGGCTCGCTTGCATCTGACCCACGATGAGAAGTGTTGGCCGATGCACTGCCTCTTGCCGCCTTGTAGTGCGCACAATAGGTACCGATATTCAGCTGTCGTAGACTCCTCCAAAGTGCCGACGTTTCCCTACAATTCATCGCAATGAACTTGAGCACACGGTACTGTGTCAACACCGACACCACCGTCTCCATACCCGTCTGTTCATCGTAATCCAACAAAGGCAAACGTCGGGCATGTGTCTTAATGAGTAACCGACACGCATCGAACAACGGTCGAAGCGGATGTACGGATAGCAAGGGTGGTGGTGGAACGTTGAGTGCCTGTTCGATATCGCGCAACCTTTCCAGTCGGAACTTCTCAACATCTTGCGCAGCTGAGTCGTAACTCGAATAACGGTAGTAGTACTGAATGAGATGGATGATGTCGTTGACGGTGAGCATGCCTGCGAAGCCTGAAAACTGATGTGCTTTCGCCTTCTCTTGGGTTTTGGTGGGTGCTCCTGAGATCGGATCTGTTTTTTGGCTTGTTGGACTGACACGTCCTTCAGCTGGTGCTGCCTCTCCTTCTGCCGGTGGTTGCAATTGTGATGATGATTTTGACTCTGAAGCTTGGGCTGACTCCTCGGTCTTGGCTGGTGTATCTCCAGTTGAGGAGTTTCCCAGCAGCTCTGGTGGAGTCGACTGCCAAAGAGGAGCAGACACCACACCAGCTTGCCACATCACATCGAGAGCGGGCTTGACGACCAACTTGGTGTCGATCACGATCAAACGAAAACTGACAGGAAGCACGTCATAGCTACTTCGTCCACGGAGAAAGTCACGTATCGATCGCAAAGCGAGGATGTGCTTATCTTTGGGACGACCACTCTTCTCTCGTTCTCGACGTGCACGAGATCCTGGACCCATATGAGACGAGCTGCTGTGAGATGTCGATGCTCCTGGATTGCCGACGCCGCCAACTGAAGGTGTAGCTGAGCTGCCAGAGGCTGCTCTTGATCTTGGCACGTCCATTTTGGAGGAACGCAAGCACGGGTTCCCAGAGACGAGATGCTACTGTCTCCTACCTCGTACACAGCAAGTTCTGTTTGGCCAGAAGAGACTGAGATTTCATGCAAATGCTCGAGAGTAGCTTCGATGATGGTGGTGAGGTTCCGGTGGTTGAACAACGGAATGCCAGAGTCCGGCTCGTCTGCTACCTCTTGCAGATCAGAGACGCAGGGCAAACGATATCGAGTCTGTCCCAAGCGGGCGGCTGGATTTATCTCGAAGAAGGTGGTGACAAAAGGCTTTAGGGCTAAGTCGAGTGCAAGAACTGGCTAGCCATCGCTTTGTCGATAAGGAATGTCGTATCGTTGCAACGGCTGTTGCTGTAGCGATGGCTTCGCGCCTGTCCAGTAGCAACACCGTCTGCGTGCTGGGGAGGCTGCAGCGATAGGCGTTGGCAGCGAGGGACAATGGTTGGTGATGATATCGACGAGGCAGGGTCAGTGGCAAAAAGTGTTGAAAGATGATGGTCAAGCTGAACCGAACTTGGGTGGTGAATCAGACACACTTCACTGAACGACGATTGGTTCGTGCGCGAGCAGCGATTGTCACGATTGGCTGCTGCGATAAGTTAGCTCTCTGCTCTGCATAATTGCGGAGACGCCAATTTTCAAAGCTTCTTGTCTTTGTGTTAGATCGTATTCTGTTCACAAATCTGTCTTCGAAATGTTGCAGGTGGCAGTTCTGAGCAGCGCTTTTCACGTGAGACGTATGATGACGTTCTTCTTTGCACAACATCATTGCAACCACTTTATGCCGCTTCCTTTCCTCTATCTTTTCGGTCTCTTGCTTCTTAGGACAAGTACGTGCTGCTGTTCCACCGCCCCGTCTGTGGGTCAACGTAGTGTAATTTCAAGTATCCCAGGGCTTGAGAGGCAGGATGGACGTCAAGAGCTAACCCGAAGCTTTCCAAGGTGTACGACGGACCTAGGTTCTTTCCTCTGCCCTTAGCCTCTTATAACATGTATTTAGTACCGCTCTTGGACTGGAATGTACACACTTGACTATCAAAGGTTGCGGTCTGTGTATGCGAGACACAAGCATGCATTGTATCAAAGGGATGTCTTTCTTGCTTCCCAGCTGGAAAGAAAGGATGTCTCGACTGCAGCTCGGATAGCGCAGCGTGCCTTGAGCTCGGTTACGGTTGTCCCTCTTCTCTAACCCTCGGTTGGGAAGAAAGGGAGGAGCCGAAGTTTTGGTAAGACCAAAAGTGCGACTCTAGGCGAGCGCGGGCGTTAGGGTGGCCTTTCTGTTCTCGCTTGTAGCTGCTTCTGACGTTCAAGGTTGAGGGGAAGGCGTTGAGATATGACGAGCACTTCTTCCCACAGTAGAGATAAGCTGTACATACACCGCCACCCTTCCGCAGCACTTGGGTGTATGATCGCAACCTTTTTGAAAGAAGAGTGGATGTGTCTTTGCGATACTCTTTCCATCCTCACTACCACCGACATTAGAATCTTGGGAAGAGATATCAGTAAGATGTCCGAGAACACAGCATACACCACAGCTCCAAAAGCTTCAGCACTTGTGACGACCATCGTAGCTGAAGCTACCGGGTTTGCGGCTTTCACCGAGAGCTATGGTCAACAACCAGCATCGCAACCAACTAAGCAGGAACATGTCGACTTGGAAGCAACGGAACAGCTTGCTTCTGCAACCTCTGCATTACGGCTCAATGGCGACCAGGCAAGAACGGAAGAGTCCGCAGCACCCGAAGAAGATAGTGTAGGAAAAGAGGGTAGGAAAGAAGAGCCAGAACCAAGAACACAGAAGAAACTCGGAACGCAATCTGATATAGAGATCCCCGCCGGGCTAGGAACAACCGTTTCTGCAGATAACAATGTTCAAGCGGCCCTGGCGAAGGAGCGTGGTCAAACACTATCGCCTCTTTCGCAAGGTGATGCACAAGAGAGGGATGAGGACCAGGATTCTGAGCCGGCTCGCCCACCACAGCCTCAACAAGAGAATCTCACAGGATCCACCATCCAAACATGCGCAGGAATCGGCACCACCACTTCTCCAGACGACGACAATCAAGCAGCCATTGCTAAAGAGAGGTCGAACCGAGGCCAAGCGCCATCAACAACCAAATCTGGCACCGTTGACTCCGATTCGACCTCAAAAGGACAAGGAAACCCCGGGTGGCAGCAAGGATCAGGCATCCCAACAGCAGCAGGTGACGGAACCACCCTATCTCCCGACGATGATGTACAAGCAGCAACCAAGAACAAACACTCTTCAGCCACTACAAACTCGACTTCATCATCATCTAACAGCGAGAACTGTAGCGAAAGCAGCGGCGATACACCAGCAACAGAACATAGCGCTACCAACCATGAGCCATCCTCGGACGGCAGAGTAGGGTGGAAGGACAAATTGAAAGGTCAAGCAAAGATTGTTGCGGGTAAGATAAGTAGGAACGAGGAGAAAGTTGAGTTGGGGAGGGAGATCAAAGCTGGTCATCACTAGGGTTTCGATTATGTTGGGAATAGATACCATTGCTCTCTTGTTGTACTTCTTGTGCGTGTGGTGTGCATGTGTCTTCCCGTCCGGTCCAGTATAGTATCGAGGTTGACTGTCGTCCGTATGAATGCTGGTGTAAGCTCACGCATAGAGTGTGTGCGGAGAAGTAGAACGCCGCTGCCGAGAGAGTTAACCGCGTTATCCGTTGCTCCAGCTGTATGCTTCCACAGCTATTTCTTCCCAACGCTTCAAACACCCTCGACCTTTCTCTCTCTCGACCTCTCTCTCTCATATCCATCTTACTCATAACCATCAATCCCTTGCATCACTGTCGACCATGCCAGAGTGGACACCGCCAATTCCCCGCCTAGAGCCGATCTTCCGACTCTCTTGTCCAGTCGAACAACCCCATGTCGTGGGTGACTCTGGAGAAGGTCTACGAAAGATCGTCCCCATCACTGCCGGTGGAAGGATCAACTCCACCACTATCCCAGCACTCGATGGCGCAGTAGGTATGTCTGGTGGAAGTGACTACTTCCGCATCGACCAATTCGGAAAGACTCGTCTTGACGCAAGATACTTTTTTAGGTTAAGATCTGGCCGTAAGTCATCTCTCCGCTCCGCTCGGCTCTCTTCTCATTGAAGCAGTACTGACGAAATCTTCTGTTGTGGGATGGGTTTGGTGTAGATAACCTCTACATCCAGTCGAATGGTGTACGTTTTGTGCCGAAGAGCTACCCAGATCAATCAGCACAAGACAGATTGTTGGCGGGAGAAGACATTGATCCCAACCTATACTATTTCCGACTCAAACTGACTTTGGAAAGTGATGATCCAGATGAGAAGGTGCAAGATGTAGTAAACAAAGTTGTCATTGCGTCTGCTGTTAGGCATCCGGATAGAGTTGTGTATCAGGCTTATGTTGTAGAGTGAAATCCGCAAACACAAAAACAGGTTTCAGTGAATGGGAACTGCTTCAAATAAGAGATCAAGTGCAAGAGTGAAGAAACTACTCGAGACCGCCAGGCATCTTTGTCCTTCTACCACCAGCTCCACCTCTCCTCTTTGCTAGAGAATTAACTTCACTCATCTCTGGGACCCCACCACCGCTCTCGGGTTCGACACTACTTATCCTACTCGATCTCCTAACACTTCCCTTCCCACCCGCTGCAGTCCTCCTCGTCCTCCTCTTGACAGGAGACTTGGTCGGTACATCATCATCTCCACCGACCTCACTAATAGTATAGATAGTACTAGCACCACCACCCTGCGCCTGTGATCCAGCAACGCTTCCTTGTTCCGCCGTAGCCGCTCTAGTTCGTCTTGCGATCGGAGCAGCATCCGATCCAACATCCTCTTTCGAATGCTGTTCAAGGTTCGAAAGCGTCAAAGGCTTGCGATTAGCAGCGCTCGTGGAACGAGTTGCGCGCTTGCCAGAGAGTGAAACTTCGGATCTGCTCTTGGTCAGACCTGAACCTTGGTCGGCGTTGTCGTTAGTGGAGGAAGAGGCGAGATTGACACCAGTGCGCGATCGAGTCATTTTCTTTGTTGGGCTTGCCGCTTTTCGCGTACGACGCTTGGTCTGCGGTTCGTTGAGAACTTCCTGCATCTCGCTTTCGCCTTCTTCTTGGGTCTCTTTCCACCCACGACGGCCGGGAACAAGACGGCCGATGGACACATCGCCATTTTTGCTCTTTGATTGGGTTTGGACGAAGGTGTCATCTCCCAAATCTTCTGCGTCGTCACGGGTTTGTTCTTCGGCGTCGGAATTTTCCATCGCGTCAAAGCTCTGTTCTTCCCGACCGAGGCGACTCTTTCTGCCGTGTTGAGAGACAAGTCCGATCGCACCGGAAAGCTTTCTGCCACGGGCACTAGTGCTACTGCTGAGTGAGGGCGAGCTGCGCATGGAGCTCGAGGCAAAGGGTGATGTGATTGCTGGTTGGAATGCGCCCCTTGGACTAGATGCGTAAGGCGAACGAGATCCGGATGCAATGGATGCAGCCCCTCCGGCAGTGGCACTGGAGGGGAAGGCAGGACGTGTGAGCTTAGGCAAACCAGAGAAGGGACTGCTGGATGTCAAGCTGGGTTGGTTCCTCCATGGTGAAGCTGGTGCAGAAGGCTTGGCTGCTTCGGAGCGTTTGGAAACGAGTACGGTTGAGCCGTCCATCTCTTCGAGGTCGTCTTGCATGCTCTCGTCCTGTGCAACAGCGTGGGTGGAATCTGTTTGAGATTCAGCGTCAGGGGTGGAGCGCTGGCCACTGAGTGCATTCTTAGCAAGGAAACCGATCATTGCAGCTGGGTTGTTCTGTGGAGTCAAACCAGCTCGGACAGGTGTACCGCTGCCTGATCGCACACTTGCTGGAGAAGCGGTGCCCAAAACAGCTGCTTTGCTGGGCGTGCTAGGTGCAGAAGGCGAAGCAGAAGCGCGCACAACCGCTGACAAGATCGCTGCTTGGGTAGTGGGAGTCTGATGATTAATCCTCCTAGCCGCAGGTGAGGCACTGAGCGGAGTATGAACCAATCCAGAGCGATCTGAAAAGTCATTCACCGCGACCTTGCCATTCACACCTCCACCATTCGCACCTTGCTCCTTGCCAACACTATCAGCATCAACACCACCGCTGATCTCAGCAGACTCCTCAATCCTCAACAACTCCTTCTGCACTTCTGGCAAAATTCCCCTTGCACCAGCAATCATCCTCTTTCTCTGCTCCATCATCTTACTCCTCTGTTGAGCATCCTTTGCCGTCGAATGACCTTGACTGACATCAGGCCCCAATCTGCGATCCAATCCCACCGCATCCATGTACCTTCCCTGACTGATATAACGAATGATGAGGACATCGGCAGCGACATAACTCCAAGTAGCGGTCATTGCTGCTGGTGGGGAAAGAACGAAACTTTCGAGGGTCACCTCTTCTTCCGGGTCAAGACTGCATGCGAGAAGATTCTGAATAGCAGCTGAGCGTGGTGGAGCAAAACAGTGTTCGAGAACCTTAAAGATGAGTCTGGCTCGGATGGAGACGCGTCGTTGCTCGTCATCCTGGATGGAGGATGTGAGAGCACGGATTTCGGAGAATGCGCGGGCCGGGCCAGAAACAAAGCAGAGCGCTTGTATTTGCATCTCGACTTCTTGCAAGAAAGGTTCGGAGCCGGATGGAGAGGATGTGACTTGGTTCGAAGTGCGAAGGAAACGGAGAAGGAGCTTGGCTCGTGCGACATCGGATCGCTTCTCGTTCGCCGAAGGGAGATAGAGCGTGCGTACGATCTTAGGAATGAAGTCAGCGACAGCGAGCAAAGGAAGAGCCTGTTCGTACTGATCGTTGTCGAGAAGCCAGTAACCTTGCATTGCATCGGTGAATTGAGGTAGGACTACGAAGTTGTCGGCGAACTGCTCAGCCGCGGACGCAGAAGGCGCAGCACCACCGCTACCTTGATCGTTGGCAATGTGCTGAGTATATGCGTCGAGATCGAGCAAGAGGTAATAGACGAGCGAGAGCTGTTTGAGATAGTCGAGCGTCGTAGCACCAAAGATGGCTTTCAGCAGAGAAGAAAGCTGTCCTTCTGAGCGTGGAGGGTACATGGAAGCATCGACGGATGCGAATGTGAGCAGCTCATCGAAGAAAATCTTTTGACCGTGGACGATGGATCGTCGCTCGTTGATGAAAGCGATGCGTTCGGACGACCAGATTGACTCGATGGATGCTTCTGACGTGAAGAAGGGAAGGATGTCGGAAGCGAGAGCCGCCGCCTCTTGTTCGAGATGTTGCGACTGTTGCGCCGCAACTGCTGCCTCTGTCTCTTGCGCCGACATGATGCACTTTGTCGGCCTGCTGTAGAAACACAAAGAAGTGGTTGGTGGAGATGATGATGATCTTCTTGGGCAACAGTGCACGATCCAGCCAAGAAGATGAAATGCCAAAGTGTCGATTTCAGCGTGCAACTTTTTTGGCGATTCCTGATCGGGAGATTCCTGATCGGGAGATTCCTGATCGGGAGATTCCTGATCGGGCGATCCAAACACCACAATCGCGATTGCGTTTAGAAGCAGAGACGGATTGAGAATTGGCAGTAACAGGTCCAGGGTCTCGATTCATCCACCTTCTTCCACTCCATCAACCATCCGCACCACTGTCCTATCCAAACAATCATAGTTGGGCAGGCTCGTAACACCCTCTCCTGAGCTGCTGTCCACTCCAAGCCTTGAAAGGCTCGAAAGGCTCGAAACCAGCTGACGCCCATCACCAACAACCAAATAGCACGCTAAGCGCACCAAGTCAAAACCACCACCGCCATGGAGCCGGCTCCCGTCTTTCGCACCCCCCGCAAAAGGGTCGCATACTATTACGACCACGATGTCGGCAACTTCAGCTACGGACTTGGCCACCCCATGAAGCCCCATCGTATGCGCATGACCCATAACCTCGTCACCAACTACGGCTTACACAAAAAGATGGACATTCTTCGACCCAAACGTGCCACTCGCAACCAAATGACCCGGTTCCACACCGACGAGTACGTCGACTTTCTCCACCGTGTCACGCCGGAAACTGTCCACGAGCTCACCAACGAAGGCACACGCTATCTCATCGGCGAAGATTGTCCTGCGTTTGACGGGCTCTATGAGTTCTGCTCTATCTCGGCAGGAGGCTCGCTGGCTGCTGCGACGAGGTTGAACTCGGGAGAATCGGATGTAGCAATCAACTGGGCGGGTGGTTTGCATCACGCCAAAAAGAGGGAGGCGAGTGGTTTCTGTTACGTCAACGATATTGTTCTTGCCATCCTCGAGCTGCTCCGCGTGCACCTCCGTGTGCTGTACATCGATATCGACATTCATCATGGTGATGGAGTCGAAGAGGCGTTTTATACAACGGATAGGGTGATGACAGCGAGCTTCCACAAGTTCGGTGACTTTTTCCCCGGAACAGGCGATGTGAGGGATATCGGTATGAAGAAGGGCAAGAACTACTGTGTCAATGTACCGCTTCGTGACGGCATTGGTGATTTGGAGTTCGGGAATATCTTCCGACCTGTTATCTCGCATATCATGGGATGGTATCGACCGGGAGCAGTGGTGTTGCAGTGTGGTGCGGATTCGCTGGCGGGGGACAAGTTGGGTTGTTTCAACCTTTCGATGCGTGGACATGCGGATTGTGTTGCGTTTATGCAGACATTCGATGTTCCGCTCATCACACTAGGTGGTGGGGGTTATACAGTGCGCAATGTTGCACGCACTTGGACTTACGAGACGGGTCTTCTGGTTGGAGAGAAGCTAGACGAGGATTTGCCGTTCAACGATTACATCCAGTATTTTGGACCAGAGTATAAGCTCGAAGTGCCACGTACCTCGATGGAGAATCTCAACACCCGCGAGTATCTGGAGAATCTTCGTATCAAGGTCATCGATAATCTGCGTCAATTACCATCCGCACCAGGTGTGCAGATGCAAGAGACACCGAGGACGACACTCAATCCAGCAGATGTCGAAGTGTCGGATGACGGAGATTCGGATTTGGACGAAAGGATTTCGCAGCGATTGAGAGATTCGCATGTTCAGCATTGGGATGATGAGTTATCCGGTGACGAGGACGAGGGGGAGTCTGCATGGGCTATGGCTACAAGTAGAAGGTCGAACGATGCATCTGTGAATGAGAAGAGAAGACCGGGGATTATGGATCCGATTAGGCCGTTCGAGCATGATTTAGGACTCAAGTATTTGGCGCAGAACGGTTCGGGTGCGGCAAAGGGGAAAGGAAGGCCAAAGAGGACATTCTTTGCTTCGAGAGCTGCTAAGCCGGTGTTGGCTGATTTGCATCTGGACGAGGACGAGGAAGATGAGGAGGAGGAGGAGGAGGAGGAGGAGGATGATCATCACGGTCATCATCTTAGGAAAAGTGTGAGGGTCAGACCCGTTTTGTCGAGCGATACCGGTAGTGGGTTGCCAGGGGATGCGACACCGATGAGCGATGTAGAGATGGGAAGCCCTGCGCTTTCGGCTGCTGCTATTGCGTCGTCCAATGGAAACGGTCATATGAATGGGAGGGCTGCTGCGAATGGCCGCAGGTAGACCGACGCCTGGAAGCATAATCCGGTTACAGTGTAGCTTCGCTTTCCTCTCCTTTTGTTGTATTTGTACCTTTTCACTGTTTTTGCACCTGTCAACGCAGCTCGCTGTTCGTCTCGCATGTCTTCTGTACGAATGCATGTCGCTCACCAATCACTCGAGCTGCGAGAAAGTGACAGTATCTTGGATTCATCATGCATGTATGGACTGTACACTGTACAAAGCGTCTGGGCCTGGTAGGTAGAAGCCCTTGCAAACCGCCATTACGGTCTTCTATGCCTCGACAGTAGCTGCCAACGAAAACTTGCTTGCACTCTGTTCAAAGGCACTCTCCAAGCCTTCATACTCCACCAGGAGGGGATGCTTTGCATCCGCCTTCCTCAACTGGGCCAACAACTCTTCCACCATCTCACCCTTATGCGCCGCTAAAGCAGCCTTGTTCGCCAAAACCTCGGCATTCTCACGATCCAACTTCAGCGCCTCATCCAGTTGCTTCTCTGCTCCCTCAACATCTCCATTCGCAGCCAACGCAGTTGCCTTCCCGATCATACTCGGAACAGCATTCTTCGTCCGCGCAGCAGAAGGGTTCTGCGCGAGCTCATCGTATACGTAGAAAGCTTGCTGTGTTGAACGACCACCTTTAGCGAGGCCAATCCAGGCTTCGATGAGTTGGATGAGGAGAGAGTCGTCTGCCCATGTCCGAGCTGCCAAGTATTCCTTCTCTGCCAAGTCTAGACGGTGGATGGAGAGGAGGATGTGGACTCCAAGAGCAACGCATTCGAGTTCTTGAGATCCACCGGCACCAGTGACGGACAGAGTGGAGAGAGCTTCCTCGGGGTCTCGGTCGAGGAAGAGGGCGGTAGCGGCTGCACAGCGGATGGTTTGACCGGAGGGTTGACCGACAACGGCGTGATCGAGGAGTTCGGTGAGGTTGATGATTTCGCGTGACATTGCGTCCGTGTCGGATTGCATGTGGGCTTTAATGAAGCGTGCGAGGGAGATGATGGATTGAACGTGAGGTTCGGAGGTGGGGAGAGATTGGAGAAGCGAGAGGGCGGATGCTGGATCCACAGGTGAGCGGGCGAGGTGAGAACGTGCGGCATAGAGGAGAGTGGAGACTGTGGTTGGGTCGGATGAGCGTGCGTTGGAGGTCGAGGAGAGGGCCAAGTCGATGCAGCCCTGGTAGGCGCATTGGTAAAAGAGCGATTGGACTTGGAATAGTGTCGACTCCATCTTGAGTTTGATATGCGGGTTGATGTGGTGATGAGAAGAAGAACAAGTGTGCACTGAGTTCTCGCAGTGTTGTGTGTGCTTTGCGCACGGTTGCAAGTCGCGTTCTGCTGTGTCTGAGTTTCTGCCCGCTTCCGAAAGTAACAGCGTGGAAATGTAACAGCGTGAAAATGTAACAGAGTATGGAAATTTAACAGCGTGAAAATGTAACAGAATATGGAAATTTAACAGCGTGCAAGCAAGGAGTGTCAGTCTCGTGCGAGAATACGGTGCAACGCTTTTAGGTTGTGTAAGCTCGACTGCAATACTGTCGATATCTCTTCCCCACACTCTGTCTTACACGCTCGACGCTATCAACGATGGCAGCTGCATCACCTAGCACCGAAGAGCTAAGGTCAGACATGACTCTGGCAAGCAAACTCGCACGCTCAGCCACAACCTCCTCTGCAGCTTCAGGCTGGGGAGTACGACTAGTCTACTCCACCACCCCAAGCTGGCCCTTCTCCTCCACCTCTTCCTCACGGCAAACAACCCACAGGAAAGAGGACATGGACAAGACAATAGACATTGCACTTCTCGACTCGTCCTTCAACCCCCCCTCTCGAGCACATCTCGCATTACTCCTTTCTCCACCAATCCTCGCGCAGAACAAACCTAGCTACGATGGTCACCTACTCCTCTTCTCCACGCAAAATGCAGATAAAGGCACAGGCAAGCCAGGTGATGCATCCCCATCACAGCGTATAGAGATGATGACGCTCATGGCGAAAGACGTCGAGCGTATACAGACCGCAGAGGGCCATTCGGCCAACGTCGCAGTCGGGCTAGTGGATAAGCCGCTCATCTTTGCCAAGTCCACGCTCACTTGGGACCTTCTTAAAGCCCAACAGCAAGAGGGCCAGGATAAAGCAAAGGCGAGACTGCATTGTCTGGTGGGTTTCGATACGCTGTATCGTGTGTTTCAGCTCAAGTACTACCCCTCGCTGGAGGAGTTTCAACAGCAATGTTCGCAGTTCTTCGAGAGGGAAGGGACGACGTTCGTTTGTGCTAGGCGCCATCCGTCTTCTTATCCTCAACTCGCTTCTCAACAGAAGGGTGAAGAGGGAAAGAGTGTGGAAGAAGTGGCTAGGGAGCAAGAAGTGGCTAGGGAGCAAGAAGATAGGCTTTTGCAGTCGGAGAACGTCGCTCCTTGGGTTCAAAAGGGGTCCGTAGGCATGTTTGATCTTGATCCGGATCAGGCTAAGCTCAGTTCCACCAAGATTCGGACCTTGCTCAAGGATAGAGGCATGCATGTAGACAAGAAGAGGAAGCAGCTCGAATCACTGGTGCCGCCATCGCTGGTAAAGTATCTGTTGGAGTCGAGAGTGTATCAGGATGACCTCAAGAGCTGAAGCGAGCAGGTGTTAGATTGTCTGTTGCTCCACTGTTCGTCGCGTAAATTCACGTGACGCTCAGCAGTGACAGTCAGTCGCTATTCTTTGCGCTTTCCGTTGGGACCCTTTCCTTTGCGTCTGTCAATCACTCCATCATCCAATTCCGCACTTGGCTTCGCCACAATGATCATGCTCAGCGGCGTTCTCCCTACTCTATAGCTTCTATCTACTATATCACTTGGGCTATTAGGCCACGATGACGGGAATCTTTGTCCCGCAGCAGCAACAGCACAATCCTCCCTTCCCGCCGAGCTTCTACCCCGTCGGTGGCCCATCGAACTTGACCTTGCCGTCAGCAACCTCAACATCACAATTCACCATGGATCCGCAGGACCCTCATCATCCAGTCCAATTCTCGCAATCATCGCTAATCGCAGGACCCAGCAACTTGCACCCATCTTGGGATCCACCAGTTAACATGCCTAATACTCCCTCAACAACCACCTCCTACCTCCCTCGACAAGTCTTCTCCTCCCCCAACGAACCCCGATACCCAGCCTCGACCGTAGCAGCGGTGGAAGAAAGCCGTTCGCGATTTTTCGCTCGTCAACAATCCGCTACTGCTCCGCGCACCCGCCACACGCCATTCGGCTCAACCACGCTACCCCCTTCCACAACCACAACGCGCCGTACGCACAAATCGCATCCGCTCTCCTCGGCCTCATCCGCCTCTTACCGGCAGAGCTTCTTCGAACGATGCCAGCGAGCGATGGACGACTCTCGCGCTTCGCAGCGAAATACTAAGATCATGACGTTCAGGAAGGGTGTGGATGGTGCGACGCCAGGTTTGTTCTCGGATGAAATGGATCAAGATGATCCTCCCTCCTCCCCACCCTCCATGCTCGGGGCTGATCGGGGTGACGGAGGGGGAGAATGCGGAGAAGGGGAGAGGGAAGAAGATGATGAAATGACAAGGAGGAGGATTATAGCGGAATATTCCAGGTTGAAGAGGATATACGAGCTGAAGGGTCATTTGGAAATTGGCTGGATCGATCCTGATCAGCTTTCCTGGCTAGAGCAAGTGTCGAAGCGAGAAGGGGAACAAGAGGCGCGGTGCGGAGAAGAAGACGGGATGGTAGATCCCTATCATAATGCCAACGATGAAGAGTTGGAACAGTTGTGGTTGGAAAGTCAACAACCCTCGCAAGGAGAAGGGCGGGATGTAGAGATGCAGGATGACCGAGAGGATTGGGATGATAGAGACTTTGAGGAGGCGCTTGCTCGGCTTCCTGTGTAAGAAGCTACTTTACCAAATGGCGCAGTGAACCACTCGATGCTTATCAAGATACCCTTTCAGCGTTGAAACCTCGTCGGTTTGAAACATCATTCACCATTCGCATTGCCCAAATGCATCAGAATCTAAGCTATGACATGGCAGGGATGAATGAGAATACATCACGTTGGCACAAAGAATCATGGACAAGAAACCCAACCCCCCCCCCCCCCCGAGCTGATTGCTATTGCAGCTCGATGGACAAAGTGGTTGCAAACTGACACGTTTGCTTTTGTTTATGCCTGAACAGTCTGCCCAGCAGCATCATGCAACTTTCCACCCCTGGTAGCAGCTACACTCTCCAAGATCGCAGCGATAGATTTCTGCCATTCGACGAGTCTCTTCTCTAAACCTTGCCATTCTTTCTTGCCAAACTGTCGATGGGTGCTCTTGTACACTCGGAATGCCTGTTTAACCTGGCTGAGCTTGCCGCTAACCAGACCGGCACGGATGACGTCGATGACCCAAGTCTCTACGTCGTCTTCGCTGATGTTGAGAGTTTTGGCGATGCTCGAGTAGGAGACGTCGGAGGAGACGCTGAGAGCGCAGAGATCTGCGAGGTCCAAAAGTCGGATCTTGTGAGCGAGTTGCTCGCTGTTGAGACCGAGACGGGAGATTTCGCTAGGGTTAGAAGAAGCGAAAGCGGTGTAGTCTGCCGTTGAACCACGGACAAAGATCTTCAACAGCTCAAAGACGGGCGAAGGGTTGAGTTGGAGTACAGCAGGGATCTGCATCAAGTCCTCAAACTCGTAGAGCTTAGGCAAGCGCAGAGCAGCAGCAAGGGTACGTTCAGCAGCCTCCTTGGTCGAACCTTGACTCGGATTAGTCGAGATGTATCGCAGGTGCAGAAGCAAGAATTGATAAGCTTTAGACGTTTGACCGTGTTCCTTCTCTGCTCCCTCCAATGCCTTTGCCACTGACTGCAAACAGGCAGCCTTGTCCGCCTCACTCACTTGCCACTGCGCCAACCACTGCGGCAATGCCTTCAAGGAGCTAGTAAGATAATCCAAATCGTCGTTGGCAGCAGCAAGACTCAACAGCGCATCAAAAGTCTGCAATCGCAAAGGCGAGCTAGCGGGGAGAGAGTTGTAAAGGTTGGAAAGGATACGGTAGCGGACGTTGTTCTTCTCCACTGCACCTTGGCGCGATACAGCAGAGATGAGTGTGGGGAGAAGAGTGGATTCTTGGCAAGTGGAAGAGACGAGAGAGAAAAGGAGGTTGTAGACTCCTTCGAGCTCGCGGTCGGTTCCTTGGCCGAGAGACTTTACTTCCGAGACGAGGGAAGAGACAGTGGATGCTTTTTTGGCAGAGTCCGAGGTAGGAGCGGCGGTGTCATCGGTGGAGGCGGGTGCGGAGGGCTCAGCTTCGAGAGCGAGTTGCTGGAAACGAGAGATGAAATCCTTACGGGAAGCTTCGGCTTGAGAACGGGAGAGGAAGGCGGAGACTTCGACAATCTGCTCTTCAAACGTGCCCTCGGCGAGGACGGTGACTAGTTCGGTGGACATGATGAGAAAGCTACTTTTCTGCTCGCTGGGCGGATCAAGGGCGATGCGTTTTGAAGATCGGGTCGGTGTCAAGATGCGGGTGAAAGCTGTGCAGTCGGAAAAGCGAAAGTGTGAGCAGGGAGTGTGCAATGAAGGATGGTGGTAGTGAGATCAACGGCTAGAGATTGCTTTCGTCTTTGTCGATGGTCCTGAGCAGCGTGCAAGAACTCTAACAGTAACAAACAGCAGAGAGGTACTTTGCAATTTTTTCTTCCACAGAAGCGACGCGTGCGCGCTCGCTGCCAATTCAAATTTGTCAAAGCTTTCTTCCACCCGGCCGATACATTTCTCACTCCACCCGGCCGGCTTTTTAAAAACAAAATGAAGCGTTCAGGGTTCAACGCATAGACCACCATCCTCTCTCTCTCCTCCTTCCTCTCTCTCTCCTCCCTCCTCTCTCTCTCTCCTCCCTCCTCTCTCTCTCTCCTCCCTCCTCTCTCTCTTGCAACTCTATTCAGCAAGGCTAAGCGGATCAGTGGCAGCAATGTCATCGCTGTGGATCATCAACAAAGCCGGAGGCCTAATCTATCAAGCCGAGCATTTCTCCTACCCTTCCTCCCCCGGTCGTCTTTCCTCCAACGAGTACCTAGTCCTAGCCGGAACACTGCATGGCATTCACGCAATCACAGCCAAACTCAACCCGCTTCCCTCGCGGAAATGTAGCGGAATGGAATCGCTCGATTCGGATCACTTTACTATCCGAGTTATGGTCACTAGCACTGGTAAGCATCCGCTTCCCTTCCCCTTTCCCCTACATGGTGTAAAATAGAAAGCTGACCATTCCTAACCCTCTCGTGGGGGACGAACAGGAACAAAATTCGTACTGGTGGCAAACCCAGCACATCCCAATCCGACAGGAGTACTTGCCAAGTGTTACGAAGCATATGCAGATCAAGTGATGAAGAATCCTTTCTACACACCAGAGATGCCGGTTAGGATAGAGAGTTTTGATAAAACTATTGAAGCGTTGGTCAAGACATAAACCCCTCCTCGTCTCTCGTGGCTGCATCTATACCCAAATCGCTCCTTCCCATCCGCTTTTTAGAGAGGCAAGCAACCCATTCGGCACTCATAAACCCACATCTTTGTATCGCTCGCACAGTCTCGCAATCTTTTTTTATGCTTTCTTTCTCCATGCATCGATTGAAGGAGAGGTAGATTAGTCCTTGAGCAGCGTGCAGCTTCGTAAGATCTTCTTTAGTGCAGCAGGCTTTCTATTGGGCGCTATCGCTAAACAGGTTGCAGTGTTTTCCGGCTGTTCGATCCATAGATAGTGCTGCGGAAACTCTTGCTTGCCCTCCTCACCTCCTTTTGCTTCAGCGCTCGCCTTAGCTTTCTCCCATGCCATTCTCTCGGCGCTAAGCTTCTCCGAGAGCTCATTCAAAGTCATTTTCGCTTTTCCCTCCTTGGCGGTCGCCAGCACTACCTTGTGCATCGAACTTAGGTTCGCAACCGAGATGTAATCTTGTGTGCTGCGGGAGCTGGAGGAGATAGTGATGGCTGCAGTTGCTGCGTGGGCCGCTTGGACCATCCATGGGCCTTTTGGCCAGGAGGAGGCGGAGGGGTGGGAGGGGTCGATGATGAGTTGCATAACTAGTGGTGGAGGAGGTTGCGTGGTTGACATGGTGCGCCTCCTTGTTGCTCGTAGGGTGGATGTGAGGTAGTGGGATGTGAGGTAGTGGGATGTGAGATAGTGGGATGTGAGATAGTGGGATGTGTGAGCAGAGTATGGTGGCCTGACTGGACGCAGCATCCGAAGGGGACGTTGTAGGAAAGGATGATAGTGTACTGAGGCGAGGTTGTGGTGGAAGCAAGTTCAAGAAAGAGCATGAGGAGTAGCACAAGCTCTCCTCCACTTTCCAACTTGCTGCACGTGACTTGGCTGTTTCTTTTTTTGGCATCAGCTGAAACGATAAGGGTTCAATTTCTTCTCCTCGACTCCCTAATGCTCTTCCTCTGACCTTCCATTCACCATCGCAACATTCAGTCTTGATCGGCAGATGGTCGCCAAGAGCTCGGGCAACTTGACTGCGGGCCTACACCCGATCGCAGCCCAATGTATTCCTTCGATAAGGCTGCAAGTGCCAACCTTCCTCGCTCCTTTTCTCATTCGCAACGTTGGCACCACTACATCGCGTTCACCTCTGGACAAGAAACTTGGTACCTCCTCAATAGACTCTCAAAGCCCGCTTGGCGCACCGCTGACAGCAAGGTCGGATACTAGACGTCATATCTCATTGCCAAGCACATCCGCTCATCTAAACGACACGTCTTCGCCTAAGCATCCGGCTCAGGCATTGCAGGAGTAGCGATAATCCGCATCTCCGGCCCTCGAACCTCCGAACTCTACTTCTCCCTATGTCTCACCTCACGTCTCACTCGATATCGTCGTCTCCCATCCTCTCACAAACTCGTCCTCCGCAACATACATGATCCTATCTCTGGCGAGCTTCTAGACGTAGGAGCAGGAATTATCTACTTTCCGGCTGGGAGAAGTTACACTGGCGAACAAGTGTTAGAACTGCACATCCACGGAGGCAGTGCTACTGTGCGGGATGTCATGGATGCAATTTGGGCTTGCAGCAATGTTGCATCAAACAACGTTGGAAAAGGAGAGCGGCTATGCGGTAGGGTTCGACCAGCAGATCCAGGAGAATTCACAAGAAGAGCATATACAAATAATCGCCTCGACCTGGCTTCAGCTGAAGCACTCCATTCCCTCATCACTAGCGAGACTTCTAGACAGCGTCAAGTAGCATTATTCGGCGCGTCAGGCTTACAAACCCAACTATACGAAGAGATTCGAGCGCGACTGTTGGGATTCATGGCAATGATGGAAGCCTTGATTGATTTTGGCGATCAAGATGGAGTTGAAGACGGCACTCTTCACGCTGCCCTGTCCTCTGTTGAATCGCTTGCTACGATGCTCAGATCTGAACTTGGTCTGAGGCCCAGCAAGGAAGAAGAAAAGGGGAGCAGGATACAAAGGCAGAAGAGGCACGTGGGCGAGATACTAACAAATGGCATCAGACTGGCAATATATGGACCACCCAATGCAGGTAAATCTAGCTTGTTGAACAGGTTGGCGGATAGAAAAGCGGCTATAGTATCCGATCTTCCGGGCACAACCAGGGATGTGTTACAGGTCAATTTGGATTTGGCTGGCTACAAGGTGCTAGTCTACGACACCGCGGGGATTCGCGACGATCCAGAGAGGAGTAGTGATGTAGAGGGATGGGACAGAAAGGTGGATGAAATAGAAGCAATAGGAATAGAAAGAGCAATAGAAGCTGTACGAGAAGCCGACCTCTCACTCCTCGTTCTACCTGCGACCACCGAGGGCTCAACCAAGTTCGAAGTGCTTCGACCAAACAGCTACACAGAAAACGATCCGGATCTTGTCTTTTATAACAAAGTCGATCTTCTTCCGCACACCTGCAACACTTCAGACCCGGTCCCAAGGAGGAGAGTTTGGAAGGGCAGCGTTCTCACCGGCTCTCAACTCCCCGATCTTATTGACGGTCTAGCAGAGCTGATAGCTAAGAAATACGTAATCACGCAAACAGAGGCTCCGTTGATCACGCAATCACGACACAGTTTCTTGCTCAGCGAGTGCTTGGATCACGTAGATCAGTTCCTAGCGCTTGCAGGAGGAGAAGAAATGCATCCCGTCCTTGCAGTGGAAGAGTTAAGATATGCTGCGAAAGCGGTGGGAAAGCTCACGGGAAGAGATGTCAGTCCCGATGAGATTTTGGGTAGTATCTTTTCTACTTTTTGTATTGGCAAGTAGAGGTGCAGATTCAGGGTATACAAGATGTACTGATATCTATCGTAACAATCTCACGGCAAATGGTAGACGGCAAATGGTAGACATGATGAAAGCGTGACGTCATCCCTAGTCGCTGGGTGGGTCGTGTGATTCGTGAGCTAATGGCGAGGGGCCGAGATGAGAGTGGTGAGTGCGGGGCATAGCTGAAATTGCGCGAGTGTTTTTTGATGCGAATGCTGTGTCGAGTGGCGATTCGACTGGGATGATTGGAGCAAGTTTATCAACCTGTGTAGCAGCATGCGCTTCAACCTCGCTGGCATACGCCGTGTGGACCGCTGGAGTAGCTTCACCAGGCGTCCTCAACTCTTCCAATGCATTCGCCAAATTCGGCACAAACTCTGTCCGTAAGAAGCTTGCTTCACCCACCATACTCCTGCACAGCTCGAGCAGATGCTCCAAGGAAGTCACAATCTCCTCGAGCAATGCATGCTCTGCAAGGATGAAAAACATGGCGTAGTCCAGCGACTTCTTGCCTCCCGTGGTAGCTTGGGTAGCCGGAGTATTGAGTCCAGACAAGGCAGGCAATGCTGCTGCTTTACCGCGTAATGATTCTCTTGCAGGTGTACTTGCTCCGCCCCGTGACGCAAGTCCGATAGGACTGCTTGTCTGGATGGAGTGCAACCCGTGTCGTTTGCGAGTACGACGTCGAACATTGGTAAAGATGTTGCTCTGGTTAAGACTGTCAAGAGCATGAAAGGCGTCTGGCACGTTATGACCGTGGTGACCATGTGGAGTCTGTAAGTGGGGTGAGGCTTCGATGCCTTGGACCATCATTTGAAGCTGCTCTGCAACTGCTTCGGTGAGCTCTGCAAGTGCCAGACGAGGGCTGGGCAAACATTGTGGCAATGGTGCCTTGGTCTGCAGTGCTTGGCCTGTGGTCCACAGGACCAACAGCACCGATGCGATCAGGCTCTGCCTCAGCTCGAGCACGTTGACAACGGCATGCTGCCGGACAGACCGCAGGCCATGCTCTCGACATCTTCTCAAGCCCATAAGCAGCTCGAGAATGGTCTCGAGATGATCGAGAAGCTGGGACAGTAGCTTTGTGCGCTTCGGCTTGAGACTGATTTCAATCGTCATGATGTCGACGAGACCACGTGCTTGACCGATACGTTTGCCGATACTCGCCTCAAGCTTCTCGAATGCAGCATTAGACTTGTGCGACGAAGTGAGACCACCAGAGAGCATCTGACGCGACAGACTGAGGTAGAGAGACTGCAATTGCGAAGTGATGGAAGAGACCCTCTTCACAAGCTCGAGACGAGCATGTGTCGGCCAGAAGAAGAGGTTAACTATCAGAGCGGCAATGATACCAAAGAAGATCATGTAGCCACGGTTCCAGGCAACATACTCTGTACTCTGTCCTTCATCTTGCGTCGGGATGAGAGACACAATAGGAAGCGTAAGACCCATGACGGTGCCGACACCTTGAAAGCGAGTGAAGAGCACGAGGTACGAAGGGGGCAATGTCGCTACGGTGAGCAAGAAAGCTAGCGCGTAGGAATTGTCTCGACTGACTTTGCTGATGACGAGACCGAGCAAGCTTCCTGAAATAGTACCGAGGATACGAAAGAGCGATGTGCGGATACTGGCGCCAGTGAAAGTTTCGAGACAAAAGAGATAGGAGATGGTCATCCATTGACCACGTTTCTCAAGCCACCATCGTTTGCTCTCTCCAGGTGCCAACCAGGCAGGCAAGGTCAAAAGCACGATACCGGCCGATAGCTTGGTGCCGAACTGGATGTGCCGACTGTGTCGAAGTGTACGTATAGCATCTGAGAGAGCAAAGCGGAAACGCAGAGCACGGTGTGTTCGAAACGCGTTGTGTAAAGCTCGCAACCTGGCTGTGAGCCAAGACTGTGCCGACTTGATGCTGTTGCTCGCTCTTGACGGTGTCCTCTGGAGCGACTGTGTGTCCATTGAGCTACCAAGGGCTTGCTCAGACCGGTGATCAAAGTAGTCGACCTCTTCTCTATGCAGTTCGGATATTGGCGTGGGTGGTTCGCCTTCGTGCAGCAAAGCATCGATGGGTTGGTCTGTAAGCGAGGTTTGTTCACTGAAAGCGATGCCTGTGCGGCTGAGCCAGTAAGACCACTTTGCTGCTGGCATGTGAAGCGATCTGTGCGGATTATCTTTCCACGTCTTGGCCATGTTCAAAGCGCCATTGAGGCACGAGTCGACAAGCAGGGCAACCTCGAGAAGCGAGATCATGAGGAACGAGATTTGGTATGATTCGTTGCGGAAAAGCTGAGACAAAGCTATAGTTTGGACAGCTGCAAGTGGACGGGGACTTGAGCTTGCTGGCTCTGAAGAGGGAACGTCGACGCCCAAAGCCGAGGAAGAAAGGTGATCAGCTGGTGCCGTGCTTGCATTGGTGGACTTGGCGATGACTTCGGAACGAGAGCCTCGGATGGCATCGTTGAGCGCTGTTTTGAAGGTTCGGATTGAATCGCGCAGTCTCTGCTTGTGCAAAGATAATAGCGAAAGAGGATCGTCACTGTTCTGCATTGCTTCAAGCTGCTTATCGATAGGCTGTGGTTGCTTTGGGGGCGCATCTACTCCTGTGCACTTTGTCACGCTTTGGCGCAGACAGACGAGTGATCGTGTGATCTCTTCGCTCAAGGTTCGGATGGAATGCTCGAAATCGAGTCCAGGGCGAGTGTGGGAATCGACGTTTGTGATCGAGGGAAGATGTGATGGTTCGAAGGTCTCGTCGGCCATCCTTGTCTCGGTATGGGTCAAGCATGATAAGGTACAAGAGAGCCAGGCTCGGATATCACGAAGGACTGGCATCAACACTGGCAGGTTGCCGAGGGGCACTCTGGTGAAGGACAACTCGTACTTTGCAGCATCCAAGTTGGATTCGAGACGATTCTGTAATGACTCGAGCTGATCTTTGAGCTTGTTGAAGCTTGAGTTCTGGGTGGGAATAGTCGTACTAGGCTTCTGATCGTGTCCATCTTGGCCGTTGAGCGATGTGCGATCAGCAAAGAGGTCCTCGACTGCTTTTACCATGAGCTGTTGTGTGCCATCAAGCAAGTCGCAAAGCTGACCGATCGAAGTACGTCGTGCTGTTCGTGGAAAGATGGACAAGTTGCAAAAGATGCCAACAATCATGGCGACGAGCGCGGGATAGAAGTTGTCGAGCAAGATGCGTGCGCTGATGAGGTCGTACTGGTTGGTGAGCTGCCAGACGGTGCTGAAGACGAGTGCTCGGCATGGACCTTTGAGAGCAGGTGCATAGCTTGCTAGTGAGCCAGAGGTGAAGCAAAAGAGCATGAGCACGCATACACCAACGGCTCTTGCTTTCTGCGAGCTGTAGGCGGGTGCGTCGGCGCCATCGATCCAGATGCAGCCGCAAACCGCCAGAAAGCCGAGACCGAGGCCTACAGCCACGAAGAAGAGCGTGATGAGCGAGTATTCCAGGAAAGCTCCTGCGGCGAGTGGGGATGGAAAGAAGAAGAGGAAGAAGTGGATGTATGCGAAGAAGGGATCGCGCGATATCCATGTCCGCAATCGATGCTCAAGCACGAATGGGCTGAGCAGCAGAGCTCCGACGAGCGGAGGTGCTAGAAGCTGGATGCGTGGCCATGATTGCTTGAGCCATCTGAAGAGATGGTCGAGCGTATGATTCTTGCCGTCGCTGCCATTGGTGGCCTTGCTTGCCTTGCCGAACGTAGCGTCCGGCATGAGCTTGGTGTAGGTCTAGTTGATCGCTAGGTATAACGGTGATAAGTGCTTGAACGCCGCATGTTGGAGCAGGCTTTGCCCTCTTGTAGGTGACTCGGACGAGTTAGCTGAACTAGGTCTTGTCATCATCGTTGCTCACAGGCAGGGTGAGGTTGACAAGGTGTTGCTCAGCATTCACAGATTAGCAGCTTCAATAGTCGCTTGCGAGACACAAATGCTGAGAGTAACAATCCAATATGATGATGTAAGCTGGCACGAGACGATACGGGAGGGATCGGGCCGATTCGATCTCATCAGAGATCGGGCAGAGTCAATCTCATTAGAAATCGGACAGAGCCGATCTGACCATGGATCGGGTACAACTTGGACCCGCTCGTTGTCATACTTGGTCATTAGATAGGATGCACCCACATTCGGCATGTGTCACGAAAATGTATACATATCAAGCTGAGAGCTCTAGGCCCTCACCATGTTCCCGCGATGTCAATATAGTATAGTGTTTAGCCCAGCAGCTTGAACACCGTACTTGGACTGATATCTCCCGATCATCGTCGCTAAGAGTCCGACCTTTTCACAACAAACAACTCGAAAACCACACTGCAGCTGACAAGTCAAAATAAAAAAATAAAAAAAATGAAAAATAAAAAAAAAGTGGAGGAAAAAGGGCGCCGAATTGCGGCTTGTTGGGACCAAGGGTCTAACAATGCACGTGGCTTTCTTCAGCAGCCAGCCTGCTCGAGAGTTGAAAGACAGAGCCAAGGCGGGCGATTTGTCGATCTTTTCAAGGACGACCTTGTCCTGCTCAGGCTGGAGCAGAGGGCAGAAGCACACAGCAGAAGCACATAGCAGAACAGGATGCATGGGAAGGATGCATGGGAAGGATGCATGGGAAGGATGCATGGGAAGGATGCATGGGAAGGATGCATGGGAAGGATGCATAGGAAGAATGCATGGGAAGGATGCAGAACCACTCAGCAGTGCAGTCTAAGCATAGTACGAGCGGGGAGCTCTGGATTGACAAGCAGTGCTACAGTCCTTCACCGTCATCATGGCCAGAAAGGAAAGATGCTGTCGGTCCAAATTGGACTTTGACCTGGTGTGAACAGGGCCGCAAATGTCGCTTGCGCTTCGAACACAAGCGTTTGCGGTGTTCTCTGCGTTCGAAGGCTGTTCTCCTTCTCTTACGATCCTGACTGGCATGCTCGACTATGGATAGGAGCAAGCTTTGTCAAGGTGGCGTTCGCATGTCTGTAGTGTTTGCACGGAGCTGTCAAAGTTTCGATATGAAGGTAAGCGAGTGATGCAGGAGACTGCGGGATGCAAGAGGGTCACCGAAACGCAAGGAAATGAAGGTATGAATGAATCATGGCCGTCTCTTATTCAGCTGCGGCCGTACAACGATAGGCAGGCAAGCATATCCGGGGCTCGTATAGGAGACCAAAGACCGTAGCTATAAAGAGCAGGATGACCAGCATTCCGAAGGAATAGCTTCGAGCAGCAAAGATGAAAGAAGCAAGGCAAAGAAGCAAGGCAAAGTCGGCACAAGAGTCGCACCAAGAGAGACGCAGGAAGCGTTGGTTACAGCTTGGCTTGTGGCAAAGTCGAATTGATCTCGTCTATCCTTCCTTGCGTTTGTGTGGTTCTCGCAAATATGAGGCGAGGTGCATGTGATTATACAAAAGCAAGGGTTCTCGATCGAACGGTACACTGAAACTCGGCCAGCTGTGACAGGCGGTGCTATTGAACAGCTTCCCAGCTGGACTCGCACGGCCGCACAAGTGAGGATGAGTTGGGAGGATAGAGAAGCCATGTTAGATTGCGGATCGGCGAGGTGGCTCGCTGGCTCAAAGGCTCCCTTACGCGGTTGAGCGCAGAGAAGAAGCAGGTCGTACAGGCGCAAGGTAAGGGAGGCGACTGGGAGGGAAAAGAAAGGTTGGCAAGGTCGATGTTGAAGCGACACTTGCCGAAATGCAAAGATGATGGTGGCAAGGTGAGAGGAGTGAGGAGCAGGACAAAGCAGACAAAGCCGATTGGGCAGGTTGCGACGCGTGTGGTCGAGCTCAGAGACAGGCCATGTCACGTGCATCAAAGAGTTGGTCTCGCTTAACTCGCTTGACAGCCGATCTCTTCTTGCCGATCTCTTCTTGCCGATCTCTTCTTGCCGATCTCTTCTCGCCGATCTCTTCTCGCCGATCTCTTACCGCCAAAATCAGAGGCGCAATCTTGTTTGGCCCAAGTCTTTCCGTTCTGCTCCTTTTGCTTTCAGAGGAATCAGCTCGGCTTGTGTTCTCCTTACACAGGGCCTATGTGTCACTTGATGCGAGTATACACCAGTACATACACAGCCAAGGCAGAGCGAAAAGCGTTGCGTTGAGCGGTTCCGAGCGCTTTTCAACGCCGCAGTCCTCGCTCGCTGTCTTGTCCAAAGTGACGCATGCAGTCCGAGTTTGCGGTCGCTGTAACATGTTGCCTTGCTGCATGCTGTCGTGTTCAGCTGATGCTCTCTTGGATCCGTCTGGCCTCCTAGGAGAATTGTGAATGCAGTCCGGATCGCTGTTTCGCCCATTGTTCCCATGTGCAGCATGAACTGCATACCGATGAACGAATTTCACAGCCCTGTTGTCAAGCAGAATGAGTCCTTGAGATCTTCGGCTATTTACTCTTTGCTTGTCTGCGGTTCAAAAGAACAATCGAGCCTTGCTGCCTGCCCAAGAGACACAGACAGAACTGCGCCCGTTCATGCGATCTATTGTGGCGAGAGGTTGCGAGCTTCCTCTTCTGCACGTCAAGTATGAATTGCTAGAACAGAGATGGTGTTGTTCTCCCATCCTGAGCGGTTTTTTTTTCTTTTTCTTTGCCAGTGCCCAAGTGCTACGAGCACGGCATCAAGCGAGATCGCCATCAGCACCAAGAGAGATAGAGAGAGAGAGAGAGGGGGAGGGAGAGAGGAAGATGCAGCTTCATATGCAGTTGACCACATGTGCTTCGAGCATACATACTCTAAGCGTTGGGTGTGATTGTGAGAGGGCAAAACAGAATAGGCAGCTCCAATCCACCTTGCTTTGTCAAGCGGCTCCTCTTCCGCATCCCTTCTGCCTTGCAATACTTGCCCTTCTCCTCGTTGCGATGCACAGGCACAGCAATGACATTCTCTCTCTCACTCGCACTAGAACAGTGGATCTTGCTCTTGCTCTCAACAGCAGACAGAGAATGTGAGAGCAAGCCAAGAGATGCCGTCTTTGCCATCACACAAACCATCTGTGCGTCGGACATGTCAAAATGCATACCTCTGCCTCCGCCAGTGAGCCAAGTGTATGCTATGCGTTGACTAGTTGTATGCCTTTCCGCAGCAGTTGCTGCCCTCTGGACTTGATCACACTGCTTCTGCCTTCCATCTACTACTATTGCCTTGAGAACGAGGAGCAACGTCGGAGAGTGCCACCAAATCTTCTGGACCCTGTCAATTCTTGTCTCATGAGCCCTTCTTCCTCCCTCCCTTTCTCTCCCATGAGCAGCATGAGCAGCAACAGCAACCCTTCCCCTCTTCTCTCCCCCCCCCCCCTCTCTCTCCCCCACTCTCTCTCTCCATCCGTCATCGGACACAAACCTATCCAAGGCTCCTCCATCCCAGTCCGCACACCCTTAGTCGTTCAACAGTCGACTGTCTTCTTTCCGGACGATTATCATCACCACCGCCGCCACTTGACTGCACCATTGCCTTGGCTCCTTGTCTTACCTCTGAGGAGCTCACAATAACCTTTACGTCTTTGCAACGACCGACCATCGCGCATTTCTGTTCCCCCCAACCCCAACCCCAACCCCAACCCCCCCCACACACACTCCACTTCATCTCGAACACAAAAGCCAATACACCCGGAGCGCATATCGATCAAAGACGGACCCGCCTTGACCACTTTCTCCGGCCGACATTGACTTTGTTGCTGTTTATTGTCCTTGTCGCTCTTGTTGCTCTCCCCTCTCTGCAGTCACAACAGAGCGTCGTCACATGCTACAATCACATTGTTGCTGCATCTCTTTCCCACCAACTGCGTAAAGCCGCGGCACTCGTCTTGTGAAGGGGAAAAAGTAAGCTTTTAACTCTCACCTCCCTCATCACTGCCTTCCACTTTCTTCTCAAGATCACATTGTCCTTCCATCACATCTCATCTCCTCCGCTCGACTCCGGAATTCGGCGCCTGTCACCTGTCATCACCCTCATCAACAATCCATCTTGGCCTCAGAGGCGCTTGATTGCACACTGTCTCCAACATTGAATGGCCTTTCTTTCCCAACTTGCCCCTCCCTCTTTGCCCCTCTCTCTTTGCCCCTCTCTCTTTGCCCCTCTCTCTTTGCCCCTCTCTCTTTGCCTCTCCACCAGAGTCTCCTCCTCTACATTCCCTTGCCCTTCCAAGCCTTCCTTTTTCGATACGATTCCGACATAGACAGGAGCCTCCGACCACGGTCCAAACTCAAGCTTGCCTCCTCCTTTCTGCTCCATTAGGCCATCCTCAAGCCGTCTTCTGCCTAGATTCTCCCTCGATCCGGTCTTGTCCTTTCCCCATGAACCGCAGACCACTCGCCGCTGCACCTTCCTCCGTCACCAATGTCGCTCAGGCAACTTTGCGATCCCATTCCCGTGCCTCTCATGGCGGCTCGGGAACCTACACCGAGATGAGAGCTCAGATTCGAAAAGAGCGAGAAAACGAGAAACTCTACCGTCAGAACAACAACAGCTCTGTTGCTTCCATCCGTGACGTCGATCAGCTCTCGAGGAAGCAGGCTCAGCCTATGACCCACTCCAATTCTCAGCTCGCTTCCAACATGTCCGACCAAAAGTTTAGCCAGTTTCCTGCCAATGACGAGGAAGCATCCGAACACCCTTCAGCCGACAAGAAGGGCTACCTCCGTGTTCTGCCTCCATCTAGCTTTGCTATGAGCTCCGACAACATATCCAACATGTCAACTGCCTCAAGTCAAATATCTTCCTCTTCCTCTACTGGCCTCATCAGGAAGCGCAGTCAGACCGTCAACACCAACGATCAGCCCCTTTCTCATCCACAGCAACAGCAGCGTCATCATCATCATCACGAGCAAATGCAGCACCAGCATCAGCACCTCCATCAGCATCAGCACCAGCACCAGCACCAGCATCAGCACCAGCATCAGCACCAGCACCAGCAGCTACAGCTACAGCTACAGCAACTCCGTGCTCAGCAGCAAGTGCCTCAGCAGCAACAGCTCTCGCATGCCTCTCACCATCATCATCATCAGCAGCAACAGCAGCAGCAGCAGCAGCAGCAACAGAGGCAAACTTCTCGTCAAGAGTCTGTTTTCCCGACAAAGCAAGATGATGTCACCGGAATCCATTCCCCATTTGAAGCCCCCGAGCAGGCCTTCAGCGTCGACGCTCTCCAAGCAGCCTTCTCGGCCAAATACTACGAGCTAGCCACCAAGTGCAAGGAGTGGGAAAAGTTTGCCGCAAGGCTCAGAGCGCATGTTGGTGTCCTCGAGGCAGAGAACCGCGTCCTCAAAGGCGAAAACAACAAGCTTGAAGGTGACAATGCCCAGCTACGCGCTGTCCTTCGTCAGGAAGAGCAGACTCGAACTCAACTGCAAGGTCGTATGAGCTCTCTGGAAGACTGCTTGTCACAACCAAGCCTGTCTGGTGGCAATCTCAACGTTCAGTATCGAGCCATCGACACGCTCGACTTTGACCATCTTTCCATCCCTTCAGCGCCCTCGTCGGCGGAAAAGAACAGCGACGGTGCTTCTGGCCCTCGCCATACTCCTTACTGTTCGTCTAATCTGCAGATAGAAGATCGCACCGAGCTTCGCCCACAGCCCATGCCCATCCAGCATAATGCTGTTTCGCTCCTTCAAAGCACGAATGTCTCTCGATACTTGGCGGCTGATCAGATGCGCCAACCTGCCATCCCTACCCGTGAGGCATCCCTCGAGGCCTCACATAGCAAGTGGGAGATGATACAGCCGCTCGAGGCGATGCAGAGTCCTCAGCTGCCTCTGTCGGCAACCGAGCCCATGATGAGCCCTGAAGGCAGAAGCTCGCGTCTTGGCAACCGACACAATGTCCCTGAAAAGCACGTTGCCCATCAGCGATCCGGAACGGTTGGTGCTTTTGGCATGATCGCGCCTCGCTCTGGCTCAGTGATGGGTGCTCACCACAATGCTCACGCATTGACCTCGCACGCTTTGGCGAGACAAGACGCTATCGAGACTATTGCACGCCCAGCATCTGCCCAGCGCTTCCACGGTACTTGTCTCGAGAGCAACGTCTCGACCACAGCCGCAAGCATTGTCGCTAGCATTGGTGTCACAAAAGCAGCTTTGCAGAGCAAGCGTCGTAGCACCTTTTCTGGCGATCGCGCTCCCAGCCTCAGCCTCGCTCAGATTGTCAAAGGTGCACTGACCGCATCGGGTGTCGTGGCAGCGCCCTCTGTTCAGTCGCTCAGCCGCCAAAACAGTCCCAGCGACAAGCCTTTCAACAGTAGCGAGTATCTTCAGGAGTGTGTCGAAAAACGACGCGAGGCGATGCGTTCCTCCTTCCAAGCTCAGCAGAAGGGAATGACACCTGCCAGTGGCCAAGGCGGCCCATCGCGACCCGTCTCCCGCACAGCATCACGACTAAGCACTCAGTCCGCCACTCGCAGCCGCAGCAGAGCCGGTAGCGTCCACGATGCGATCCCCGTCGCAGTCGAAGACGTCTTTTGCAACCCCAAAACCGTGCAAGCTCACTCGGCGGACACCTCTCCCGAGTTTCTCACCCAGCAACTCGCAGCTTCGCACCTCGACAACCACTCGGACATCACCACCGCCTCACAGCGTCTCATGGCAGTGGCCGATAGCCAGAATTCCTCTTGCTCTTCTGTCAAACTCATGACCCGCAAAGAACTCTCCTCGGTCTCCAGTCCCACCTCTCATTTCTCCACTTCCCCCGCTGAGGAGAAGGAAGAGAAGATCACCTTTGAACGCAAGCTCTACATCCGATTCCAGCAAGAGCTCAACACGGACGAGTTCTCCAAGTTTGAACGCTGCATTCAGCGATACGACTTCCTCGACATCCCCTTGGAGGGCAATAAGGGTCTCATCACCAGGGTCAAGAGGCTCTTGCTCGTTTCTGACCCCGACTTGAGGTCCAAGCCGGAGAAGCTGCGAGTCAGACAGCAACTGGCAAGGGACTTTGAGAAAATGGCAAAAAACTTTGGCCAGGCCCAGACCCAGACCCAGCCTCAGTCTTGATCATTTCTTTCCCATAATAAAAAAAATAAAAAATAAAATAAAAAATAAAAATAAAAAGCCCGATGGGCTGGCGAATCTTTGCATCGCCACCTGACTTGATACCTAACGACGGCTTTCTTCTTGTAGCAGTAACGTTGCTGTATATCCCCACCATGATGATGCCTTTGCCGGGCCCATGCTTATTGCTGTATACCGTGCGCAGACGTATCTCCCATGTCGTCACTCTGCTCCATCTTCATGTCTCAATGTCGTCCTTTCGCTTTTTTTTTTTTTTTTTTTTTTTCTTCTTTTTGCTTTTTTTTTTTTTTCTTCAATTTAGCTTACTAACCACAGCATCGTCATGCCTCTCGTAATCACAATCATTTCTTCACCCTTTTTTTCTTTTCTTTTTCTTTTTCTTTTTCTATAGACCTCTCATTGATTGATCAGCGGTACGAGTGGCGACTATGCCTGCTTTCTTCGCTTCTTCTCAGGTTTAGGACTATCAATGGAAACTTGTGCATCGTCAGGCGTACTACCTGATGTTGATTTCCTCTTGCTATTCTCCTTCTTGCTTGATTTGATCTTCACCACAGTAGCAGGAGTGTCGAATCTTGTTACATCTTCTTGGTCCTCTTCGGTATTACTATCTTGCGCTCCAGCTAGGTCAATAGCGTTTGTGGCGTCTGTATCTTGGTCTTGATCCTGCCATCTTACTCTTCTGGGGGTGGGAGTGGGTGAAATTTGTGTTGAATCAGCTGGATCTTTTCCTAAGGGATTTGTTGTTCCCAATCCGAACGTGGAAGGGAGAAGGCTCTTTTTCAAATAAGAGCGATCGAGGGTGGGAGGCGGACCACTGAATGGATGTTTGAGTAAAGACCCGTGTAAGGAAAGCATATGGTTGGCGATGGTGAGGCTAATCACAGTAAACTTTAACTTTCCATCACTTGCACCTAGTCGAGAATGGTCGAGTTTGTTTCGCCAATAACCCATACCTCTATCCTGAGCCGCATCGATTCCACCTTGCTCGCCGTTAAGTAGGAATTCCCATTCATCTCCTGGTAAATGCGATGCGGGAATGGAGGCATTGAACAATCCATACAGCAACAACGAGACGTGAGATGGGGAGGAAAGCGCAATTGTTCCTTCCAACATCTGACCTATCTTCGGTCGCCAAACAATACACTCGAACCCAAGTGAAGCGGTTGCGAATGCAGAATCAGCTGAGAAGAGGGCCGTGTCCTGGAGGAACCGTGTGGGAGAATGGGTGATAAGGACTCCCGAAAGTGGTGGGATATAGCGCATGACGAGCGTATCCATCAGATCCGAGAATGCAGAGTAGGGGTCGGTGGAAAAGACGGGCGGAATGGGAAGGTCGAGGATTGGATACAGGGTTTCGAACGCTGATGTGACCGAGGGGGATGTGGATGCAGATAAGGAGGAGGAGGAGGAGGAGGAGGAGGAGGTTTCGATGGGGAGGGTGAGGCCGGTCGTGTCGATGGAAGAGGATGACTTGCGACTCTTCTTAGGGGAGCAAGAGGAGGAGGAGTCTCGTCGCTTGGAGGACTTGTCCTTTGATTTGGGTTTGTCTTTCGACATTGTGAGGTAGCGTCGTCGGTGAAGGGAAGTAAAGATGGAGCGGATGCTTGAAGAATTCGAGATGGAGGGCGTGCTTGCTTGCTTTGATGGTGAAGACCTTAGCTATCATCGAACAAGAAGGCTGTTTGTTGTGCTGTTGAACCCTTGCTCTTCAGTGTAGCAACTCGAGGAAATTTTTTCTTGGCAGTAGCCAAAGCTGTGAAAAAGTCGTCCACAATCTCGGAATTCGGCTTGCAACTTGGCGCGCAGATCGCAATCTCAAAGCCTCTCAGGATATCGGCGATCCAGTGGAGCTGAATCATTCAAATCGATCAAAAGCTGATCCGAGCCAACTCTTGACTGAGAAAAATTCTTCGCGTCCAATTTGGCGCTGAGAGGTGCGCGCGTGGAATGTCATTCATTCTATTCGATCACTTGAATTTCGTCGCACAGCCATTCGCTTCCATCTTGGCTCGACAAAAAATTTGATTGAGCTGCATTTTTGGGCCACAGTAAAGGCTGTGGTGGCCTCTCGGTGTTGCATTTCTCTTGTGCCTCACCTCACCGAAAGAAAAACAAAAAAAACAAAAAAACAAAAAAACAAAAAACAAAAAAAAACAAAAAAACAAAAAAAGGTTCTACAGCAACAGAGAGGCTGCAGCAGCCGCTTTGTCCGAGTTTGGACTCAGTTTGGACTCGCTCGGACAGGAAGTTTGCTCGAAAGTAAGATAGATAGCCTTGTAGGCATGTCACCTTGGTTCTTTCCACTCCACCACACACACACACACAAACACACAAACACACAAACACACAAACACACACATCCCTCATAGCTCACATTCAAAATGTCTGCCGAGAACTCCGAAATCCCCCAGTTCAAGCTCGTTCTCGTCGGTGACGGTGGTACGGGCAAGACCACGTTCGTCAAGCGTCACTTGACCGGAGAGTTTGAGAAGAAGTACATTGCCACCCTCGGTGTCGAAGTCCACCCTCTGCAATTCCACACCAACTTTGGTACGATCTGCTTCAACGTTTGGGACACTGCGGGACAAGAGAAGTTCGGTGGTCTCCGCGACGGTTACTACATCCAGGGTCAATGCGGTATTATCATGTTCGACGTCACTTCTCGAATCACTTACAAGAACGTTCCCAACTGGCACCGCGACTTGGAACGCGTCTGTGAGAACATCCCCATCGTTCTCTGCGGTAACAAGGTGGATGTTAAGGAACGCAAGGTCAAGACGGGTGCGGTTACGTTCCACCGTAAGAAGAACTTGCAGTACTTTGAAATCTCGGCCAAGTCGAACTACAACTTCGAAAAGCCTTTCCTCTGGTTGGCACGTAAGCTGGTCGGTAACCCCACGCTGGAGTTCGCCGCTGCTCCGGCTCTTGCTCCTCCTGAGGTTCAGGTGGACGAGCAGCTCATGGCTCAGTACAACGCAGAACTCCAGGCTGCTGCTGCTGCTCCTTTGCCTGATGAGGACGATGGTGACCTCTAAGCGCAGCCCGTTTGATTCGCCAGTCATATCAAAACCAGCTCCTGAACAGTACTCTACTGTCGTTGGAATCTCGTATAATGACATCGAGCAGCTTCAGGTTTGCATCACTCTTCAATTCTTTCAGCGCACGTTAGCATTTTCTTCTTTCTCGCCATAATACCTGCACTCTCTCTGCTTTCCTTCTGCAGTAGTGCACAAATGCCAATGCTCACCGGTTTCTAGCTTTCTATCACTCTAGCTTTCTATCACTCTTGCTTGTGTGTTGATGTGCATCCCTTGTGACTTCTGACTTGCCCTCTACGTTTCTGTGAGACACTTTGTACTTTTGTTGTGCTCACTCTTGCCCCTTCTACAGATCAGCTCAGAGTGCACATCTGAGGTGGTGAGAGCAAGTATGGTTTAGATTCTTGCAAAACTAAAACCATGTTACACCTCAGCTAAGCACATGAGAAAATTGGTATGGTATGAGCCGTGCGAGAGCTGGGCAGAGGGGTTTTTTTTTGTTTTTTGTTTTTTGTTTTTTTTTTTTTTGGGGGGTGAACCCTCTCTGTCGTCTCTGGCAGTCTGCCAATGGACCTTCTTGATCGGAAAAAGAGACGCGTCTCGGTGCGCACGGAACACAATTCACCAGGGAAAGTGTCAGCAAAAAAGCACTCGAGAATGGGCATGACCGACGCACCTCGAGCTACTTTGTCGCATCGATTGGCGATGTTCAGCATCTGCGCCCAAGTCGGAGCGGCTCAGCGAGTTAGGAAGGCGGAGAAGACGTCGGCTGCGCATTCACAAGGCATGATTGCAAACGGGCAACACAGTCCGAAAGATTCCTCGACCAAGACAGGAAGAAGAAGAGGATCGACATGAACACTCAAGAACACTACAGAGAGCATGTGCGCAAGGGTGTGGTGTGATCAGGGGCTCTCTCAAGACCGAGGGGGCTCCTTTCTGTCGCACTCTTACCAGCAAGGAAAGATGCACCAAAGATGCTGCGTAGAAGTGAGACTTTGTCGAAATGAAAAGCGTCAGGTCAAGAGGGCAGGATAAGCAAGACAAGCTCAGGTTGGCAGGCCGAGGAATACAAACCTCTCCTCCGAGCAATTGTGATTGACGTGGCTTCTGGGTTCGGGAAAAAAGGGATTTTCCTAGTCGAGATTTGGCGAATGTGCTCTCTTGGCGAATGGTTCTATTGTGATTCAGCAATCTCTGAAACTTTGTCTGCGCAGCGGCCCAGGGGTGAGAGCGACTTGCGCGTACGATGGCTCTCGCACCCCCGATTCGAATACAAATTCAGGGACTGTAGCTTTGAAATGATCATCCGTCGTTCATTTCAAGCTCCCTGCCTTTCTTTTTTTTCTTTTTCTTTTTTTCTTTTTTTCTTTTTTTTTCTTTTTTTTTTTCTTTTTTTTTTTTTTCGTCGCGCTGTCTGTCTGGTCGAACACTGCCACCTCTCTTTTTTGAATTTCTCTGCGCTTCTTTTTCTCTGATTCAAATTGCGCGTTCAAGCCAAGAGGAGACTCGATTTGTATTCGACTTGTTGAAAAGTGGGCAGAAGCCAATTTGTATTGAGAGTTCTCGTCGCGCTTCTGCGTGTATCCGCTCCTTTCTCTCTCGCGTCCTCTGCTGCTGAGCCTGATTTTGGATTGGATTCCGCTCTTCCTCTGGTCTTCTGGCCAGTTCTCTGCGTGTGAATTGCAACTCTCTCTCGGTCTGCCAGTGTTTCCTCAGCTCCAACGCACACCACACACGCCGCCGACACACAAACACACACACACACACACATACACATACCACGCATCTCGCCCGCCAACCCGTCCGTCCGTTTGGTCTGCCTTTCAGTGAGAGTGAGAGTGTCAGTGTGAGTGCCAACAAGGCTCACACTTTCCTTCCGCCTCAGCCTCGTTATCATCGTCTCTGTTCCCCCCCACCATCACTACCTTCCGTGTCGCTTTTCGATCACAATCATCATCATCTCTCCATCCCCCTGTTCACCTCAGGGTAAGTAAACCCCTCCGTACACTAGCCTATCATCGACGTCCAGAACGCGCATCCGCTCCTCCCGCCATCCGATATGCTCGCTATCATCAGCCTCGGCGCTTTCCGTCGTCCTACCCGCCACGCTGTCTCGACGCCACCACATCCTCCATCCTCCTATATCGTCCGCACTCTTTCCAGCACGCCATCAGCATAGACAAAAGCTTCATCATATGTGCCTTATCCACCTGATAGCCTTCGTCGGTGGCGCAGATCCATGATCTGTCGTTGCAACTACGTGTCATTGCCATCATCGCCTGATGATATCAATATCAACCTTCATAGTGAATCGCCTCTACAACCCCGGTGCTACCGCAGCTATGGTGTCGTACAACGTCGCTGTCGTTCTTGATCACCAGGGATCTGGCTAGATCGTCATCTGTCTTGCTCTTTGCCGACCCTCGCACTTTGGCACTCTTCAAACTCCGTTCGCGTTTGGCTTGGTGTGGAAGCGAAGAGCAGAATTCCACGACACAGCTCCGCCTAAGTCAATAATGCACTCAACGCTTTCGTCTGGCTCTCGCCAACACCATCACTTATGATCACCAGTTTGATCCCCTCTTGCCCTTCTGGATCTCGCTTCTCTGCTTTGTTCACCCAACTTCTGCCTTGGTGCAGCTGCTGACTCGATCCTTTCCATCTTGATACTACTCTCACTTCCTATTTCCATTTCTACAGCTTCAACCCTTTCGTTCCTACAACTTTTGCTCTTCACAACAAACTTTCACAATGCCTGAATCTCGAGAGGACTCTGTCTACCTCGCCAAGCTCGCTGAGCAAGCTGAGCGTTATGAGGGTAAGTAAATTTGACCGCAGAACCTTCCATTTCTGCGCTTTGTGGTGCTCGATTGGCAGACAGAAAAAGGTTTGGCTGGTTTGGCTATCAAATGGCTGATCCAAGAGCGAACTCGAGCGCAGAAAGGAGGCTTTGGCGCAAATTGCAGCAGTAGAAGCTCTCGAAATTGACTTCTGTCCCACTATCCCTTTTTTTTTACTCTCTTTTTTTCGCGCTCCTGCACCTACAGAGATGGTCGAGAACATGAAGCGCGTCGCTTCCTCCGACCAGGAGCTTACCGTTGAGGAGCGCAACCTTCTTTCCGTCGCCTACAAGAACGTCATTGGTGCCCGCCGTGCCTCGTGGCGTATCGTCTCCTCCATCGAGCAGAAGGAGGAGTCCAAGGGTAACGAGGCCCAGGTTTCAATGATCAAGACCTACCGTGAGAAGATCGAGGCCGAGCTCGCTCAAATCTGCGAGGACATCCTCGATGTTTTGGACAAGCACCTTATCCCCTCTGCCGCTTCCGGTGAGAGCAAGGTCTTCTACCACAAGATGTATGTATTCAAACCCAAGGGAAACCAAATTCCCCCCCTCCCCCCAAGCGCAGTCATCTGCCTCTTGGAAGAACGAGGAAAAGATGATGTGCTGACTTTTCTTTGTTTTGCCTCTCACTCGTGCGCCTCTTTTCTCATCTTACAGGAAGGGTGACTACCACCGATACCTCGCCGAGTTCGCTACCGGCGACAAGCGCAAGGACTCCGCCGACAAGTCGCTCGAGGCTTACAAGGCTGCTTCGGACGTCGCCGTTACCGAGCTCCCCCCCACTCACCCCATTCGTCTCGGTCTCGCCCTCAACTTCTCGGTGTTCTACTACGAGATCTTGAACTCGCCCGACCGCGCTTGCCACCTCGCCAAACAGGCCTTCGACGACGCTATTGCCGAGCTCGACACCCTCTCGGAAGAGTCTTACAAGGACTCGACCCTCATCATGCAGCTCCTTCGTGACAACCTTACCCTCTGGACCTCGGACATGCAAGATTCCGAGAAGCCCGCCGAGACTGCCACTGCTGACGCTCCGGCTGCTGAGGCCAAGGGTGAGGAGGCTGCCTAAACGAGCAGGTTTACAGAATGAAAGAAGAAAAAGCTCCCCTCCTCCTTCCACGCTCACACTCTCTTCCCCTCGATTCCCCTCCTCCCACTCTTCGTTTCCTCATGTTCCTTACGTCATTTGGAGGCCGTCGCTTTCATCTCTCGCATCCCCGCCGTCTCGTCGCGTTCCGACTGATGGGCACCTTGGCGAGCGAAAGGGGGCGTCTCTGGTGCATCATCATTTTCTCGAACTCTGCGCGATGTGGACTCGACCGATCTTGATGTAGGCGCTGGAGGCCTCTCTTTCTCAAGTCTCTCTCTTGGTTTTCGTCGCATCGACTGGTCTCGATGGAGACCTGACGGGGGAAGGGAATGTGCTAGACCTGTACTTTTGCATCAGGTCGTGTTACCGAATAGTTTCCATTCGACGTCGTGCTATATCCAGAACAACTTTCAAAGTCCAAGTCTTGTACCATGTGTCGTTCTGTTTGTTGCTATGTGTGCGGTTCAGTTCAGTCCCGAGAAATGACTGGATCGAGAGCTGCGCTGACTAAGACAAAAGCACTTGAGAGATCTTCCGATCCAAGCTGCAGCCAAAGACACGAGGCTGCGCTGGTCTAGGCGCTAAGCAGCAGCCAAGCAGCCAAGCAGCCAAGCAGCCAAGCAGAAACCAGAGCATAAAGGGTACTCAGGAGGAGGTAACCCTTTGTTCCTCGGGTGGTGAGGAGAACGAGGCAATGCTGGAAGGAATGTAACATAGGGAAAAAGAAGAAAGAAAAAAGAAAAGCACGGACCACGCATAGCGTCCAGGGTCGGCCAATCCAATCCGAAAGTCAGGCAACTGTGTGCTGTTATGTGTTTGTGTATGTGTGTCTCTTGCTGTTGCTATGCTTTGCTCGGCAGGAGGTCCTTTCCCTTTGTTCCACCATCCTACACTCGAATCCTTCTCGGCATCTTGACCCTTTTTCGAGACTTGCCTTGTTACTACTTGCCTTGTTACTACTTGTTACTACAAGCACGCCAACGAGACCGTTCGTCTTTGCTCTTGCCCACTTCGCCAGCACCAGGTTCGGACAGTGCACAGCAACCTCCACCTCAACGGCCAGGTTGGCAGCGACTCTCCTTCCCTCTCTCGACGCACAGTGGCAACAAGGAGGGAAGTCCGTCAGCGACTAGAGCATCGGATCGCACCGCTAAGATGACGTCCAACTCCTCCTCCTCCATGCGAGGATTGACGCAGTATATTGCCGACCTCCGAGCATGTCGCGTTCGCGAGCTTGAAGAGCGCCGTATCAACAAAGAGATGGCGCACATACGAGCAAGGTTCAAAGAAGGCCAGCTCGACGGCTATCAGAAGAAAAAGTACCTATCCAAGATCGTCTTTACCTACATCCTTGGCTACCAAGTTGACATTGGTCACATGGAGGCAGTCAACCTGATCTCCAGCAACAAGTACTCAGAGAAGCAGATTGGCTACCTCGCAATCACCCTGCTGATGCACGAGAATTCGGACATTGTCCGTCTCGTAGTCAACTCGATTCGCAAGGACTTGGACGAGATCAACGAGGTCAGCAACTGTTTGGCACTTCATGCTATTGCAAATATCGGAGGAAAGGAGATGGCAGAAGCGCTCTCCGGGGATGTGCATAGACTCTTGATATCGCCAACTTCCAGGAGCTTCGTCAAGAAGAAGGCTGCCTTGACGCTGCTTAGGCTCTATAGGAAACACCCGGAGGTCATTCCTGCTCAAGATTGGGCGCTGCGTATTATTGCTATTATCGACGATGACAATCTTGGCGTCGCGCTCGCTGTGACGAGCTTGGTCATGGCTATGGCGCAAGACCATCCCGAAGCTTTTGCAACCTCGTATCAGAAAGCAGTGTATCGAATGCACAGGATCGTGGTGGAGAACGATTTCACTGCCGAATACGTCTACTACAAGGTTCCCATCCCATGGTTGCAGGTCAAGCTCCTGCGTCTGCTGCAGTACTACCCAAGTCCCGAGGATCCGACGCTGCGAAGAACGATCGAAACGGTATTAGATACGATCATCAACAACTCACAAGACAGTCCCAAGAATGTGCAGCACAACAATGCGCAGAACGCTATCCTGTTCGAGGCGATCAACCTTGCTATCCAGCTCGATACCCAATCCGCCCTCGTCGCCAAAGCAGCAGTGCTGTTGGGCCGCTTCATTCTATCCCGGGAGACCAACGTGCGGTACTTGGGTCTGGATACTATGGCCCATCTCGCAGCGTGCGCCGAGAGTCTGGAGCCAATCAAGATGCATCAGAACACCATCATTCTTTCCTTACGGGATAAAGATATCTCGGTGCGAAGAAGGGGTGTCGATTTGCTGTACAGCATGTGCGATCTGACGAATGCCAAGGTGATTGTTTCGGAGCTGCTAAAGTATATGCAGATTGCAGACTATGCGTTGCGGGAGGAGATGGTGTTGAAGATCGCTATCTTGACCGAGAAGTTTGCGACCGAGTATACTTGGTATGTTGATACAATCTTGCAGCTGATTAGCTCTGCGGGCGATCATGTTAGCGAGGAAGTATGGTACCGAGTGATTCAGATTGTCGTCAACAACGAAGGTGTCCAGGAGTATGCAGCGACCAAAGTGCTCGAGCATCTAAAGTCCTCGACTTGTCACGAGAACATGATCAAAGTCGGCGGGTATATTCTCGGCGAGTTCGGCCATCTGATTGCAAATGATCAGGGAGCTAGCCCGATCGAGCAGTTCCACACGCTTCATTCCAGGTCGCATCTCTGTTCGCAGTCGACGAGAGCTTTGTTGCTTTCGACATATGTCAAGTGGTTGAATCTGTTCCCTGAGATTAGGGAGCAGATTCTCTACGTGCTCAACAGGTACAGACATGTGTTGGATGCCGAGTTACAACAGCGGGCGTGCGAGTATGTAGCGTTGGCGGAGATGCCAGATGATGATCTGTTGCAGGCCGTGTGTGACGAGATGCCGCCGTTTGCGGAGAGGTCCTCGTTGTTGCTCAGTCGACTGCACAAGAAGCATACCGATACCGAGGATAAGAGGACGTGGATTATTGGTGGGAAGGATACAAACCGTGGCAGAGAGCAGGCGAGATTGGAGAGTTTCAAGAAGGGAAAGGCGAATGGAGGGGCGATGCCGACCGGTGCTGCTGGGTCGGTGATCCCTGCTGGGCATAGAATTGAGGCGGTTACTGCTGATTCGATGAGGAATGGCGTTGATGGCGATGCGGATAACGTGCTTGCTGGACTGGAGGGGTTGGATATGAATGCGACCACGCCGTCGGGCATGGAGAACACAGGGTTGCTGTCAGAGCAGCCCTTGATCGGGGATGCCTCCACGCCTGCCTCTTCTACGGCGACTACACCCTCGACACCGCTCAACAACCAACCTCTTTCGGCAGGAGCAGACAAGTTCTTCCAACGCTTGTGCTTTGCACCCGAAGGAGTGCTTTACGAAGACAGTCAGATCCAAATCGGACTCAAGACGGAGTATCACGCTCATCAAGGCAGACTGGCGCTGTATTTTGGAAACAAGATCGCGGTCAACTTCAACTCATTCACTGTCAACGTACGCTCCCGGGAACCAGAAGCTCTCAGCGTTACAGTTGCCAAGATCCCGACAAACTCTCTCGGTGCTATGACTCAAGCTCAGACGGTCGTCCTCGTCGAATGCATAGACCTCTTCACGGAGCCACCGATTCTCGAAGTAACCTATCTCGCCGGCTCCTTGCAAGAAATCCGCCTACGCCTGCCTATACTGATGACAAAATTCATCGAACCGGTCCAACTCGGCACAACCGACTTCTTCGAACGTTGGCGACAGATCGGCGGGGCACCACGTGAAGCTCAGAAGATCTTTGCGTTCAAACTCTCCCCCAATGGAGAAGTGGATGTGGTTAGGCAAAGGAGATTAGTGGAGGGAGCAAGATTGCAAGTGTTGGATCGAGTGGATCCGAACCTGAGCAACTGTGTTGCTGCTGGTGTACTGCACATGCGGCAAGGAGGCAAAGTAGGATGTTTGTTGAGGTTGGAGCCTAATAAGGATGCCAAGTTGGCAAGATTGACTGTTAGGACGACAAATGATTTGGCCAGTGCCGAGTTACTGAGGATCCTTTTGACCGTGCTTGCGGTTGATCAGGGCAGATTGTAGAGTAGGAAGCAGGCAGTTGAAACGATCATGTTTATGTCTGAGGCAGTGCCTGCCGTGTTTGAGTTGACGCTTCGGAGGTCCTTCGATGGATGAACGAGCAAGAAGGTGATCATTCCAGAAGGCTTGAGGGTGGTGAGCTTGAGCATGACTTTCAAGATATGTCTGCCTTTCAGTGTTAGTTTCAGCGAGTCTGACAGTTTTGGGAAATCCAAAAAACCAGACACACGACACACTCTTTCGAAGCTGAGCATTTCAACGTCACTCGACAGCCCCAACCGCGCCACCTTTCTTCCTTCTCTCTCTCTTTCTCTCTCTCTCTTTCATCATCTCCATTCTTTTACTTTCATTCGTTGATATTTGAAGTCGACGTCGAAAGCAGATTTGCTGTCGTTTTAGTTGTAAGTGTTCAAAACGCCCGAAGAGTGCAAGCATGATGGAAGCAAGCGCAAGTTCGACTGACGTTGGTTTCGATTCAACTTGACAGGTAGCGGATCGTAGTTGTCAAGCAAAGCAGCAGAAGTAGCTTTCAAAATGTTCCGTCGTCGAGGTTGTTACGTGTAAGTGTCGATGATGACATCGGCTATGTCGGATCTTATGGAGCCTCAGTACTGACATTCGCCTCCGCTGTTGCATATGCTCCATCAATGTATGCTTGGACCAACGCAGGTGTGGTCAATGTAAGTTTCCTTCCTCCTTCCTACTGTACTCTTTTTCATCTTACTGCAGCTGCTGAGGGATGTTCTCGTTCTTCAACTTGCGATATTCTAGTGGGTCACCTGGCCGAAAACTGCTCCTTTACCGAGCGTCGATGCTTTAACTGTCTCGAACCTGGTCACGAGTCCTCTGCCTGTGAGGCTCCCCGAACGACCGAGACTAAACAATGCTACGGCTGTGGTGGAAAGGGCCACATCAAGGCTGATTGCCCCGCCCTTGCTGCCAACGGTGGTGCTGGTGCCGCTGTTGGAAAAGCTTGCTACACTTGTGGTAAGCCCGGTCACATGGCCAGGGATTGCGGTAAGCCTGCTGCTGCCCGCGGTGGTCCTGCTGGCGGTGTTCGTTGCAGAAGGTGCAACGGTCCTAACCAGTAAGTCCAACTCCTACCCTCTCTGCGATGCAATAGATTAGAAGAGAGAGAAAGAGAGAGAGAGAAGAATGCTGACAAAAAGAAAATATATATTGTTTGGTGTGCTTTGTACGCGAAAACAGCTTGGCTAAGGACTGTCTCGCCCCAGCCCCTGCTTCTGCTGGTGGTGCTGCTGCCAGTGGAGGTGCTAAGGCTTGCTACGGTTGCGGTGGTAAGGGACACCTCAAGGCTGATTGCCCTACCTTGAACGCCAACGCTGGTCCTAAGACTTGTTACTCTTGCCAGCAGGTCGGACACGTAAGTCGCAACAACACCCGTCGCATTTTGCTGAGAGACAGAATATGGATAGTTGACTTGACGCTTGTATTGTTGTCGCTGTTGTGTTTTCGGGGTATACAGATCGCTCGTGACTGCTCTCAAGCTCAGGTAGAGCCAGGTACCATGGCTGAAGCTCCTGGTACTAACGCTACTGCTGCTCTGACTGCCTAAGCTGTCTTTTCTCTCTAGTCGTTTTCCTGCTTGTTTTTCGAAAGTGTAATGCCTTTGATACCATACCATCCCGACTCGAGTTTGTGGTTCGATGAAACAGCCGTCTTTCTTCCTCTCGCTCTAGAGTGTTGTGATTGTGAAGAGATTGTCGAGAAGCAATAAAGAATCCCACTTGAGTCTCATGGTTTCAACAAGCTCGCAATTGGACCTTGTCGAGAGAGGGAGATGAACAAGCATATTTGCTGCTGGATTCCGAGTCTCCTGGACGTGTATTTCGAATGCAAAGAGGATGTGTGTAGAGAGAGACTTGTGTTTGTTATAGCTACACACACACACACACACAGAGAGAGAGAGAGAGAGAGAGAGAGAGAGAGAGAGAAGAGGAAGCGCAGATTGGAAGTGTACTGGATCTGATTCAAGGCTACAAAGTTGCCCTTCCGAAGCGGCATCGTTGGTGGCGGTGTGGGGGTATAAAGGCCAGAAACTCGTACTAATACACGGAGGCCAAATGAGAAGAGTTGTTGCACAATGCATAAGCGTTGGAACTGGTAGGGTGTTTGATCCTTGTACGGTTATTGGCGCCAACAAGACGAATGCATTGTGGAGAAGGAGGTTGCACTACAAGTCTTGGAGGACTTGTGCATTGTCCACCACTATCAGCAGGAGATATTGGGGAAGAAGGCGGCGTACCAATGCTTCCCAAAGCCGAACAAGCTCTTGCATTCCTGATTGCAGGCGAAGAAAGTTCGAACCGCATACCTGATCTCTGAGAAGAGTTTGCACTTGAAAAGTCTTGGTATCCCTCAAACCCTGCAAATCCTGCACTGCTTGCACTATGGCTAAAACAACTATCCGGCAAGGCTGATTGTGTAGGAAGGTATAGGGCAGCAAGAAGAGCTTCTCTCTCACGCCTACGGGCTAGACGTTTGCGCTTTTCTTGTGACATTCTAGCACGACCTTTTCTCCTTCCATCTGTTTCGCTTCCCGAGAAGCATGATTCAACGGAAGAAACAGGAGAAGCTGGCGAAGCTGGCGAAGCTGGCGAAAGAGGGGAAGTTAAACATGCTCTACCCATGCCAGCATCGAGGTTGTTGCTGGTTGAAATTCGAGGTCCACAAGAAAGAGTAGGTTCTTGCAAGACGTCAAGTGCAGCTCTGACTGCGGTTTGTGCGGTATGCATTTCAAGATGGTCGGGTTGGTTCAAGTAGTCCATTGATTTACAACGCTGCATCGTGGGTTCCAAGAGGCTACTGCAACTGCGACTCATCGAAAAGCCAGCAGATGCAGCAGTAAAAGCCCATGGTGAGGATCGACTTGGGAGCGATACAGGACACATAACGAGATCCTTCTCATCAAGTGAGGCAAGAGGTACATCGAGAAGAAGCGAGAGAATGTTGAGTTCTACTTCACTCTCACTCGTAGCCACTGATTTGGTCATCATACGACGGGCCCAAATCGAACAAGCGCCAGAGTTCGTTGCAACTGGCAGAGGGCCTGGTGCGAAAGACATTCTTGCAGAGATTGCAGCCTGCCAAAGAGATAGTTGTAGCCAAAACCTGTTCGCCAAGACAGTGTGTTTGTGGGGTTGATGCTGAAGTTGATCCTAAGTGCGCAAAGAGCTTGTTGGGGGTCTTGTTGGCCGAGAAGGGAAAGAGAGCGTTTATATGTTTTTGTTGCTGATGCTGCTGTTCGCTCGACGATCAACGGTGAGTAAGTAGCAAGTAAAAGAGACGCGAGAGTTTGGAAGGAAAGTGAGCCGTTACAACAAGAGCAGTTCGGGAAGGGGGGGGGGGGATTGGGAAAGGGGGAAGATAGTGCTGAGTGGAGAAGAGGGGCAAGAGTGATGTTGGGATAGGAAAAAGGTGTAAGAGAGGATGGGGGAAGTGATGCTCGTTCTCGTGGGTGAAGGATACATATATGTTCTGACAGACGAGAGACGCCAGCAGAGACACAAGGAGGGAGTGAGAGCTAAGCGAAGCATCTGACAGGGCAAAGGAAGCTATCGTGGCAAAGCGAGTATGAGCACATGTGGAATGGTGCCAAGCTGTCACTGTTGCTTCTCGCACAGGATCAGCAGTAGTTACAACCAAGGCGAGCGTGCATGATGGCCAGTCCGAAGACCGAACAGGCAAGTGTGCAGAGCTGAGCTATGGTATGCATTCTGTTTTGCAGATCATTCAAAGCAATGAGAATCCGATCCTTACCGACCGAGACGGCGGCTCCTTACCACTGTCTATGGCTACACTGACCGAATCGCAGAGGGAAGACACCAACACACACACAGAACAGCGGCAAGGCGACACACTTATGGTGGCGATGGCTGGAGGCGATGTGGTCGTCTTTGTTAGCACACAGAGAGGAGCGCAGCTGGGCAGGCATAGTGAACGAGAAGACGGAGAGAGCAGCTCATACATGCCAAACCTCTCGGACACTCGGACGTGGAGTGCATCGGCTTGCAAATCCCTCTCTTTGACCTTGAACGCCATCGAGGAGAGCTATGCAGAGACATCTATTGCACAAGTGGACCTTGCAGCTGACAGCCGCTCCCTTTCTCCTCTCTTCCACTCTCCTCTACAAAACAAAACAAAAGGTGTTGGTCTCAGGAGCCTTTGCCACCTGGAGCGCGTCCCTCGATTGACTCTGTCAAGCCTTCTCTCCTCGGGTCTTGCGAAATGACGATGCGAACTCACTTCTGATCAGGCTTGATAGTGCTGTCAAGCTAGTTCGAAGCAGCTTCAACGAGGCTCGAGCGAGTGAGAAAATGATCAACTGCTAGAAAAGGCCGTTGAAAAGGCAGTTGAAAAGGCAGCTCGACTCGATCAAAGCACTTCGGCATTTTTGCTGCATCTCGGGCGACGCTTTCTTGTTAGTTCTCGCTACCAAGCTCAGCTTTTGTCGTTGCTGTTTGCATTCTCCGCTCATGCCTCTTGACACACTCGCTCGCTGCTGTCGTATGGTTGCTCTTCTTCGCTCACTTCAAGCGCCAGTAAGACCTTCTGGCTGCCTCTTCCGATCCCTACTCTTGACCACCACCGCAGACCCCCCCCCCCTTCACTGACCAATGACTGAGCTAGAAGGCATAGTTTGCGCCGCGACTGTAGAAAGCAATACTCATCCTGTCGGTCGGTGACAGTCTGCGCTTCGGTCGAGCAAAGTGACTGATGAACACCGTATCATCCGCTCATTGAGCAATCGTCTTGACACCATTTCGCTGCCACCTTATAAAGTTGCCTCAAAATTGTCTGCCAAAAATGTCTGCCAAAAATGTCTGCCAAAAAAGAGTTCCGAAAATCACCAACTCCTTGTTCGTATCGGGCCGATCTTTGGTCAGGGTTGAGATTACATAATCATTACCAACCCTACCCTTTCAACTCTCGACTCCACATTCTTCTTATATCCGTGCACTCACTTGTTGCTCGCCTCTCCCTCCTCACCACAACCTCACACCCATCGCACAAGATGTTGACCAGAACACTAGCACCAATCCTCGTCACTCGCCAGTCACTCTCCATTGGCACCAGTCGCACGTTCACCTCCACTCGTCGAGCCCTGAAAGTATACGAAAACGTCGATGCCTCCCAATTCCAATCCCGTGTAGTCTCCCCCTCAGGCGCAGAGGCAGAGACACCAGTACTGGTAGATTTCTTCGCAGTCTGGTGTCAACCATGCAAACTTCTCTCCCCCACTCTCAAAAAAGTCGCTTCTCAACCTGAGGTGGTAGGTGGGAAAGTGGTGGATCTGGTAACCATCGATGTTGATCAACATCAACAGATTGCTAAGCACTTTAATGTTTCCGCCATGCCCACTGTTGTCGCTATGAAGAACGGAAAGGTGAGTACAGCGATGCACATCTAATCTATGCGCTGATGCAGCAAAGTGCAAGTGCTGACCAAACTGTTTTTTCATCCCACTGGCGCCGGTTGTAGGTCCTCGACAAATTCGTTGGCATGCTGCCAGAGAACAAGCTTATTGAATTCGTACAGAACCTCAAGTAATACACCACTTTCCTGCATCCTCTATCATGCCTTCCACAGGCTTGCAAATAGAATGTAAGAAACAAGGATGAATGAATGAATATTGCAAGAAACAAGTCTGCCTACGATTACAGCCGATTCAAATGTTGTGCAAGAGAGAGAGAGAGAGAGAGGGAGATGCAGATGCGAATGCGAGACAAGATGCTTTATAGCAAATAAAACAACCCACGACAGAGTTCCAAGGGCAGATGAAAAGGCAGAGTAATGTTAAAGATAGGGACTGATACTCATGGCCTCAACCTGAGAGACGAAGGATGAGCTGTTCCCTTGCTCTTCTTCCTCTTGCTCATCCTCATCATCATCCTCTTGATCTCCGCTGCTCCTCTTTTGACCCTTTGAACCCGGAATATCCACTCCTTCAGCACCAGGCTCGTTCCGTCTGAGATCATCCGCCTCGTCATCGTCTTGCTCCGAATCCTCTGATGAGTCATCTCCATCTTTCTCTGGTGCCACTTGCGACCACTCGCGGTAGAGAGGCTCGATGAACGATGCCGACGATTCAAGTTTGTAAGGATCGAAGGGGAAGAATGATTCCAGCACTGAAGCTGTGGTGACTGCTGAAGCTCTCTTTGACTCTGGCTCGGGTTGGTTGTCGGGTCGAGGTGTTTCCCGATCGCTTCCCTCTTGACTCATCGGTGTTCCTGATCCTGCGTTTTCCAGTTGAATCCGACCGAGTGATGTAGACCTTGGGACTGGGTTGCTTCGGTTCCCTCTGACCGAGCGGTTATTCGCTTCGATGATCGAATAGCAGTACAGAAAGCCAGTGTGTTGAGCGATTCTAGCGAATTGCTTAACCACGTTCGCTGAGCAATACTTGAGTGGGTTCAACCTACAAGTCACTGCCCTCTGCAAAGATGTCAACCCATCGCACCATGCTTCTGCACCAAACTGTCCTAGACTACCAACACTGTCGTGCATCCCTCCTCCGATCTCATCCGCTTCTTGGTAATCCAGATCCCCCACACCTCCGTCCGCATCTTCGTTGGTGATCTTTAGATCCCTCCATCGAAAGCAAAAGATATAGAACGCTGCCTGAACCACCGAATAGAACACCGAATGGGCATTCGAGCCAGGCGCTGCTGAACCAGCCTCGGTATCTGGACGAGTGCTTTCATCGATATGCGCATCCAAATAGGCACACAGGTTGTGCAGCACAACACGCGTGGTTGCTCCATCGACATAGCTCGCCCGGCTAACGAAGCTTGCTACGTACCCTGCTGCTGCCGACCGAATTACTGCGGGTTCTTCTTTCTCTCCATACTCTACCCTTCGGCTGTACAAGCTCTTCTCGAGGAGTACGCCGAGGAAGTAGTCTGAGAACTCTGGATCTAAAGAGTTGAACCAGAAGAGCAAGAATTGCACGTGTCGAGATCGGAAGGTCGGCAGAATGTTGCGTGCAAAGATAGACAGTAGGGTATGGAAGAGATTGCGTCGGTTCGTGTCGGCGTTCATTGGGCTGTTGCTCGTTGCGATAAAAGTGAGACTGTTGGAGCCAGCGACGTACTGCGCATCGAGCTTGCCAAGGTGCTCAAAGAGGGCAATCATGATAGCGTCGAGCTTGGCGACAGATTCGCGGATGCGTCGCATTGATCGCTCTAGGTCTTCCTGCGTCTGCTTTTGCTCGGTCATTGCTACGTTTTGATCGTAGTTCTCGTCAGAAAGGTCAGAGAGATTGTCTGCAAAGTCGCCATCATCACTCTCGTCGTCGTCATCATCAGAGCTGTCTGCGTCATCGACATCGTCGAGTGCCTGCTCGAACGGGTCGTCGAAATCCAGACCCAGCTCTTCTGCTTCGTCGTCATCGAACTCATCAAGCTCGACCTGAATCTCGACGTCGAGTTGAATGGCTCGGTCAATGACAGCTCCAAGAATGGCTTCTGAAAGCTCAGCACAGTACTCGCTGACATGCAAGATGTTTCGCATGTAGACCAGCTGATCCGAGCGATGCACCATCTTGTGTGGCAGAAACTGGACGAGCAGAGGACCGAGCACGCCTGGTAGGGTGGGTACGACACTAAGAAGCGAACGAATGAGCAAATGCACTCTCTCGTAGACCTGCTTGCGCTTGAGTGTCGACATGGACCTCTTGCCGGTCTCGTCGGCAAAGTGGTACGGTAACCATTCTAGGCGATATGACAACGCCTTGGTGGCTTTGGTGAGGATGACTGAGAGCCACTCGCTTCGAGCACTGACAAGACTGCAGACGAACTTGATCCACATCTGCGCAAAGCTGTCGTCCATTGATGTCCATGGCAGAGCAAAGATGCTTTCGACCAGCTTTGAATGTGATCTGTCGAGATCCGATACGACATGGGATAGTGCAGCCAGCAAAGACCGTAAAGACGAGACCGAGGCTCCTGATCTACCGGTTGATGGCTCGGCGAACTGTACGAGCAGCTCGTAGTAGGGACCTGTGTTGCCCTTTTCCTTTTCTGATAGCGCATTGACGACGAAGCTGAGGTACATGCCCTGGTAGTTGGTAGAGCTGCTGCCCATCGAATTGATGGCTGCCATGCTGCCTGGTGGTGGTGTCTTCTTTGACAGGCTGGAACGCAGTGGTTTTATGGGTATTGTGGGTGATGGTGATGAAAAGTTAGAGTCGTCTGACTGTGGGCTTCTCCTCTTGGAGGGTGAGGGTGGCGGAGACATGTCGCCTTCGAGGCTGTATGCGACAGAGCGCAAGGTTCGCTTCATGGTGCTAGCAATGGTACCAGGTTTCGATGTGGTTGCTGTAGAGAGACTACTGGTGCGGTGCTGTGACGACGTCTTGGGGGAGAGTGGCGCGATGTTTCGAGCTCGAACGGGCTCGACGGACGGCATCACAGCAGCAGCTCGTGCAATGTCTCGAGCTTCCTTCTCAGCCGTCTAGAAATGTGGTGGTGTTGCTGTAGCGGGTGAGGAAAGGCTAGAGCTGATGGCCTTGGTGGCTTTTGTTGAGGTACGTGAGGCGAGCGCCGAGGGCAACGTTCGCTTGTGCTTCACAGAAGCCTCTGCATGCTGCGATTCCCAGGTACAGGCTTGGGTGAAAGTATTGGCGGCAGGTCCTATGAAGGCTGCGAGATTGTCAGACGAGACACCTCGGATCGATGCAGTTGATGGGCAGTGAGGACATTCGAGGGCGAAAGGTGGTCGCTGATGTCCGGGTATAGCGTGGGGGCCCTCGAGAGAAGGAGAAGATGATGAAGAAGAGCTTGTGCAAGCTTCAGTAGTAGCGTCAACTGTCTCTGCTGAGCGCAGCTTGTCCTTAACTTACGCCCACGGCTTCTTGAGATTCGTGATTTTTTGATTTTTTGATTTTTTGAATTTTTTTTTTGACTTTTTTTGACCTTCGAATTTGAATTCCTGGTTCAGGCGAACCCGCCGCCAAGTGCCGAAGGAAAAAAGAAAAAAGAAAAAAGGAAAAAAAAGTCACGAGTGGAGAGGTGCTGCTCACCTCCGCATTTTCCACATTTTTAACCCCCTTTTTTTGTCCCTTTTTTTCTTCGATTTTTCTTAATAACGCCTTCGTCTAGACAGCGCGTCGATGCTTGTCATGGTCCATGGCTGTTGAGCCATGACTAATCATGACTAGCTGCAGTGAGGAGGGTCTTTGTAATTTTCGAAAATTTCAAGAAAGTCGTGCGTTTTAAGGGAAACCTTTTTTCTTCTTCTTGCAGCTGCTTCGAACCCTGAGAAGCAAGAAGAAATTCTGTAGTAGTTGAGCGCCTCCTTCGTTCGCCTCGATTCCTTACTCCACCATTCGCACCGCTTGCTTCCAACTTCCAGAAGCATCGGTTCGTCGATACCTACAGTACTCTACAAGCAACAATGGTCAAGGTCAAGAAGCGCGCTTCCAAGCGTCTCAAGTTAGCGCAGAGAGAGAAGGTCAAGAAGAAGGTCAAGGAGCATCGCCGCAAAACTCGCCGAGACGAAAGAAGGAGCACACAATGGAAGAGCAAAGCAAAAAAGGACCCAGGCATCCCCAACTCATTCCCTTACAAAGAGCAGCTGCTCAACGAAATCGAGCAGAAGCGTCGAATCCAAGAGGAGGAGAAGCTCGCTAGAAAGGCCGAGAAGCTCGCTGAGCGCAATGGAAAAAACACCGCCGAGCAGGAGGGCGGCTCTGACGTAGAAGGTGTTGCGGAGGACGAGGAAGTGGATGCAGACGATGTTTTGGACAATATGCCTTTGACAGCGCCTCTCTTCCGTGGCACGCTTGCCGATGTGCTCGAATCGACAGATATCAAGACTGTCGTTTTGACGCTTGACGCTCGTGACCCCCAGAGTTTCCGTAGCCCATGGCTCGAGGCCAAGATCAGCAGTCGTAAGGACAAGGAGTTTGCATTTGCTCTCAGTCGTTCCGACATGGTGCCGCTCGAGATGGTTGCTGCATGGTCCGCCTACCTTTCCAACACCACCGGATTCCCAGTCTTCCCCATCAGCTCGCCTTCCGACCAGCTCGCCGAGAACACCGGCGCCGAGGCTCTTGTCGAGCAGCTCGATCTGAAGGGAGTCAAGAAAGGAGATGTTGCCGTTGTCGGCCTTACACACTCCGGCAGGAGTACCGTAGCTGATGCTATCCTCAACGCTATCGGCGTGCCGAAGGACGAAGATGTCGAAGACGAGGACAACGAAACCAGTGATTGGCCTGCTGTGCTTGACACACCCGCCCTCATTCCACTTAAGAGCTCTGAGGCTGCCGAAGACTCGGATGTCGAGGAAGAAGATGAAGATGACGAGGATGAGTCCGAGAAGGAGGAGAAGGACGAGCACAAGTACATGGCACGAATGGAGCTCAAGTCCATGCAGACCTTGATGCGCAACCAGGGACACGTCCAGAGGATCAAGGAGCCTCTTGCGCTCACATGGGCATTGCTATCACGAGTCTCGCACCCCGAGGACCTCATGCTGATCTACAATGTGCCCGCATTCGGCTCGTTCCAGCCGGGCAAGGCATCATTGGCTGACGAAGAGTTGGACGCCGAGGAGAAGGAAAAGATCAAGGCAGCTTCTAGACGTCGGAAGGTGCACGCCGATACACAAGAGTTCCTCATTGCACTTGCACGAGCAACAGGCCGCATGAAGAAGCGCAACATCCCCGACGAGATCGGTGCTTCGCGTGTCTTGCTGCGAGACTGGTCAGATCAGATGCTAGGCTACTACACACAAGCGCCCAAGCTGGCAGCTGAAGCGCAGAAGCTATCAGACGAGATCAAGCAGCGAGTCTCGTCGACCATGCCCCTTGTGCTGCCAAGGAAGGAGTGGCGTAAGAAGTTCCAGGCTCGTGAGCTCCGACTCAAGCCGATCTCGCTGGTTCTGGGACGTGAGGCTTTGGTTCAGGACCAAGTCGAAATGATGCCTCCTCCGCCCGAGGATGACGACAGCGAGGAGGATGACAGCGAGGAGGATGAAGACGAGATCGACGAAGCATTGCTCGAGGACGGCGACGACGAAGAGGAAGAAGATGAGGAAGCCGAGATCGCACCTAAGAAGCAGCTCAAATCCATCCTCAAGAAGGGCGGATCGAAGAAGCGCGACCAAGCTGAGGATGACGACGAGGATGATGTTGACGTGGATGACGACGAGGAAGCTCAGCAACTCTCGCGAAAGGAGCGAAGGGTGCAAAAGAAGGCACGAGTCGTTGTTCCTTCCAAGTCCAAGCCAGCTGCTAAGCGCAATGGCACCAAGGCAACTCCCAAGTCTGTCGCCGCCGCCACCGCCACTGCCACCGCTGCTGCTGCTGCCAAAGTGGCATCGGCTGCTTCCGGACCTGCTCCAGGCGAAAAGTTTGATTTCGGCATGCTCTGAAGTGAAGCTCACTTGCTTCATGTCACTCCATGTCTCTATTGTCTCTGTCAATGTACTTGTATACCTTTTGCATTCTCTACAATCACACCATCCTTCGAGATAACTTTGACTCTTTGCGAATTGCCTGTGGCTGTGCCGAAGATGACACAAGCCTACGGAAGAGCCGATACAAGCATTTGGCGTGAATGTCAATCGTTTTGCTATCATGTTGTAACTTCTCGGCAACAACTTTTCGGCAACAACTTTTCGGCAACAACTTTTCGGCAAGATCTTGCTCCTTTGCCCTTGGCTGAACATCTGTGACGGAGGAGTCGAAGGAAAATCAGGCAGCAGATGGCCTTGTCGGACTGAACCCTGACTCTTCTGATTGCTACCTAATTTTCCGATTTTTTAGAACTCAGCCTGGCTTTGACTGCTTGCACAGACCGCTGTTGGCGTTGATTCTTGCCTTGTAACTTGATCACGATCATACCCTTCGCCCTCTCATAACTGCTGCGAAAGAACAAGGGAGTCGACGAGGTCACACCACAACCATGAGTGCCTCCGACGCAGGCATGTTGCGTGTAGCTGGCATACTGCCGGGTACACTGCCGCCAACGGCGACGGTGTCGGGTGATCCGATGCTGACTCCCACGCCAACACCAATCATCGGAGCACCCGAAGTCGACTCGGACAACTGCAAACTTATGGGTCCTTTCGCTCTTTTCGTTCAGGCCATCATGGGCATCCTCGTCATCGCTTCTCTCGTATATAAGCGACAAAGAGAAAAGCCAAAACGCAAATGGAAGATCTGGGCACTGGACGTCTCCAAGCAGCTTCTTGGTCAGCTCTTCGTGCACATACTCAACATCATCCTTTCTGACTTTGTCGCAAGTGGCGGAGGAGAGAATCCTTGCTCGCTCTATTTCCTCAACATTCTCGTCGACACTACACTAGGCGTCTTCTTCATCTACATTGCTCTCAAATTTGTCACCTGGTTCCTTACACAACGCCTTGGACTGCAAGGTTTCGTTTCGGGACAGTATACGCCACCACTTCCCACTGCCGAGCCTGCAACCGGATCTTCAACAACTTGGTCACAACAGTCGCGCGCATCTCATACATCCTATCCAAGAGGCAGGCCAAGGGTGCGCTACTGGCTCAAGCAACTCGGATCGTACCTCTTCGTCCTCTTCCTCATGAAGATGGCCGTTCTCGTCATACTCGCTGTTTTCCCATTCCTCTACGATGTCGGATCATGGATTCTCGGTCTCTTCGGCAGTCACAAGGACTTCCAAGTGCTTTTCTCCATGGCTTTGTTCCCGCTCGCCATGAACATTCTCCAGTTCTGGCTCATCGATTCCCTTCTCAGACATAACCCATACACTTCGGCATATAGCAAGATGAACCCTGATGACGAGCAGTTCTTCAATAGCTCAGATCGCTTCTCCGAGTCCAGACCCTCTCTCGATGGCAATGATCGTAAACATTCAATAGGTGAGGCAAACGACGACGAAGCTGATGATCACAAGAAGCGTCACATTCAGCCACATGCTTCAGGCTCGAACGATTCGAGGAGGAGACCGTCTCCACAACCTTTGTCGCCTCCGCAAGCAGATCAGCCGTACGACTATCCTCCACCGAACGACCTCTACGGGTCTGTCCAAAAGTCTCCTCCCTTACGGCCCACCGGTTTACCCGACGAGATGCGTCGTCAAGCCAGTATGTCACTCTCTGATCATGGCTCTGACGAGGAACGGGGATCGCAGAGTATTCACCAAGCTCTGACTTCCAGCGAGGCATCATTACAGCGCTCCGAGTCACACCATCTCAAGCAAGTCAGCAACGACAGCAAAGAGTAATCTCGACCTCACTAGCCAGCATTTAGAGGTCATACCATCCATGTTCGTTTACTCATATAATAGCACCGTCTAATCCAATCTGCATGCCTTCCCTCTCAGGCAGCCCTCACTCCCATCTCAGCTCGACTGAACAGCCGTCTAAGGCGCTTTGAATGAAAGTGTCTACATTGCACTGGAAAGAATGAAGGAAAGCAGTACAACATACAGAAGCACAAGAAGAAGAGGAAGAAAGCCAGGTCAGCAAAGGAAAGGAGAGAAAAGGAAGAGACAAGGACAAGCATTTGTCCCATAGCCGCTCTACTGGAAGGGACCATCCGGAGCAACGTTTGTGGCGCCTGACTGAGGTGGCACCGGAGACATGTCGATCGACACTTGGACCTCTTGCTTCATGTTTACAGTGGATTTGGGAGGGAGCTGCGGTGCCAGCTCGTCCGTGGGACTGCTCTTGACGTATGCAGGCACTGAACTGATTGAAGAGAATGTACCCTTACGGCCGCGGTATTCGCTCGAAGTAACATCTGTCCCCGTGTTGGCCGTTCCGGGACGCTTGACGTACGACAATGCATGGTTGGGACTAGAGAAGGAAGCATTGCTCGAAGTAGCGTTGTGGTGTGGTTTGCTGTACGAGCCATTGTTTGACGAGAAGCCACCAGTGGAATAGGTCACACGCGAACAGCTTGGACTGTAGACTGCTTCTTGCTCTCCGATCAGCATCTGAAGGCCCACGACGATCTGAATAGCGATCGAAGTGCTGTGCACAGGCGGCAACTTGGATGCCCAACCCATCAGCATCACTACTGTGAGCAAGTTGCATGTTTCCACAGCCACTATGTAGTGCACGTTGTTGATGAAGAGCACTTTGGCGATTTGTGTCAGTCCGTTCGGTCCACTGGATGTCTTCTTCAATCGTAGGCAGCACGCAATCAGGATGGCCAAGTCGAAGATCGTGTTGTAGAAAAGGAACCAAAATGTTGAGGAGCCCCAGAAGTGGATGTGTAGCGACTCGTTGTCATCGGGCGATCCATGAACCTGAGCACTGGGTGCGCATGTTCCCGCCGGCGAAAGCGCATCTGCCTTGCTGATACGAGTGTTTGCCCACATGGCGATAGCCAACTGCCCGACCAGACCAGCTGTAATCAAGTAAGTGGCCAGCTTGCGTGTTCGGAAGATGATGCGCGCTCGCCATCCGATCACACAGAACACAAGCGTAGAGCACAAGAAGTAGAAGGTCGATGAAGTCCACGCCCACCATCGACACGCCAAGTCTGACTTGGCCGCTAACGTCTCGGTCACGAGAATGTCGCAGATGACAGCGATCAGCGTGAGGTACTTGATCAGCACAAAGAAGATCTCTGCCATGTTTGGCTTCTTCCTCTGGTACACCCGCATCAACATACGAATCTCAGCAGGATAGGTCCGGATGATCTCGGCTACCAGCAGGGTCTGCGCGATCATGAGAGGGAGGTTCCACGTGGTCGCCTCCTGCGAAAACCGCATCAAGGCAATGACTTGGCTACCGTGTGGCTCGCTGCCAAAGATGTACGGAAGGTACTCGGACCCATCGTGTCGCTCCATGTTGATGAATGGATGAGATCCTAGATGCCTGACCCTGGCGAAAAGGGTCGATCCTAGTCGACGGAGAAATTAAAAGAGCGATGGAAGCTAAAGAAGGATATTCTTGCCAGAGTGGAATGAGAACTTCGACCAGCGAAAGACGAAGGCAAAAGGATGGAGACAAAAGGATGGAGGCAAAAGGATGAAGGCAAAGAATGGAGGATGGGCAGTAAGGCTCAAAGAATGAGGGACAAGTTTGTTATCGCACAGCGAAAGGAGAGCCGATCTCTGGTGGTGGGTCAAGGTGGGAAGAGGAGCAAAGGGTGCAGAAGGTCTCGCTCGCTCAGAGCAAACGGATTCACGACACTACTTATACCGGATCAGACCCACACGGTAGCTTCCACCGGTGTGAAGCTGCGAGCTGCGTGGGCTAAAGCTATCCAGTTCGATGTATCGACTGAGTGGCGCCACAGGAGATTGATGAAGTCGACCCACTTCAGTAGCACGGCGGACAAGGCAGAAGGCAGACCTTAGTAGCAACAGAGCCACCCTCGAATAACTGGACGTTCCGCTCCTGCCAGTGAGACTTCGTCGTTAGTCCTCGCCTAACCTCCAGCAAGGGCGTTGTACTCCTGCGGAACCATGGGACGGCCCACTACTCCGATCGTGCCTATGTCCGACAAAATCGACTTCGACTTACGACTCATTCGCCACCGAAACATTTCTAGCTTCTAACTGATCTTATGCTATCGCAGGAGAGGCCCCAGCGTCCCACGTACGAGATGAAACGAGGACATGTAGTCAACCTTGGAAAGATACAGCTCTGTCCTGGCGTGCTTACTTGTCCGTTGTCCCACGATCGGACTGCCGATGATACTGTAGCTTGCATGTCGTGCACGTACAAGGTCAATACGGATGCCGAGGGACTACCTGCTGTCGCCCTGTTTGTGCGCGGGCTTCAACGCACATCGTCGCACGGTCGTTGCCATAACCTTTTCCAAGGAGCAAAATGATGCTCAGGTACGGTAGGCGCAATGGAACAAGCGCCACATCGCTGTCAGATACCTCATCAAGCAGTTATCTGGCGAGCAAGGTTTCTAGCCATTTGGCACGCGGCTCAGCGCCATATCGTCTTCCCGATCAACAAAGTGGGGTAGACCCGCCGGAGAGGTCTGATCGCGATGAAGGCAGGACTGTCTCCACCCACCCAACGGTATCTACTCTGCCGTCTTGAGCTGCTTGAACAGATCCAATGACTTCTCAGCAATCCGACAGACGCCGGCCTGGCTTCGGAAACAAACTCAGAACACCACAATAGTCTTCAGCATTTCTACGCATGTCGCAAAGTCTAGACACCGTCGTCCAGTTGTCGATGATGCATGCAACGATGTTCCAAAAGGTGGCGTTACTCGCTCGGTGGTGGCAGCGCCTTCCATGAAGGTCAACAGAGTGCTCTGCATCGTTGTCATCGTTAAACTTGGCCGTGGGAACCGTCCCTGCTTCACCGAAACTGTGCCCCCTGTACCCTTGATCACGTTGCCTCCCCTGACGGTGGGCTTCCGCCACTGTTCGAGAGGGAGACTTCATCTGCTGACTCGCATCCACAAGCTCATTCCTCTCTTTCCAACCTTTCTGTCGGGGGGTTGATTGAGGTGTGACACAGTGACTGTTAGCTTACCGCTCCCGCACCCCTAGGTTGGCACCCACATCACAGCAGTCAATTTGCTTAAAAGGATAGCTGGTCTTGGTTTACCGCCCCGCCAAAAGTCTCGTTCACGGCGAGTCTCAGATCCACCGTCAGAATATCAAGTGTATCCTTTTCGATCAAACGATCTCCAACTCCCCTCTTTTCTTGCTCGTCGACATACTATACACGGACGATGTTGCACTATCTTGGACGTCTTTTTCTCGTAGCAGCCCTTGCTGTAGCTTGCCTCCGGCCCGCGGTCCAAGCTGTAAGTCTTTCTCCCTCTGCCTGCTCACACAATATCCCCTAGCTGGTCTTTCTGACAATCTCGACACCGCTCTTCCACACCACCATTGTACAGACCCAGAACAGACCTTTACGCAGAGCCATCGTCGGCGACAACAACGACAATTACATCACCAAGCTCCACCGACGATGGTACTTTCTCTGGCCCGGCTCACTTGCTCCCAAACCTCCACGTGAAGGAGAAGAGCACAAGATCATCTACGCTGACTGGATCGTTCATCACGATCCTGCTTATAACAGCAACGTTCAGAAAGAAATCGAACTCGCTCGCCTTCAGAATCCGACGTTCATTCAGGTCTCGGTCGGCGAAAGCAGCAGCAGCAGCAGCAGCAGCAGCAGCAAGAAGTCTTAGCGCGTTTCAACTGCTTGATCCCTTTCATTCTCCTCTTATTCTGGGTTTGATCTTTGTGCTCTTTGGGTCATCACTCTCATTTTGTAGTAGAGTCCGGTTGCTCTAGTGATGTGGCAAAGCGGTATATTTTCATGAATGATGGCTTTTTGTTGTCTGTGTCAAGTGTTCAAGACTCGATGACAAGAACAAGCCGATCTCCAGAGCTCACCTCGTACCAATGCAGACTTCTTGACATGTCGTCAATCTCCAGCACAATCCCTTGCTCATCCTCTTTCACCTCGTCAGCGCTTGAGCTTCTCAACAGCGCCCATATTCCTGCAATCTGAGCTGGCTTAACTCCCACAGCATTCGCCAATTTGATCTTGGCCAACCTCAACGGCGTTGAAGCCAAAATCTGAACCTTTGCCTCTCCTTCCTTTTTCAAATACGGTCTCTGCTTACCTGGAGCGGTATCAGAAGCTATCACGCTAAGCGAGAGCATCCTTGACCTTAAAGTGTTCTTGCTCTTCTTCTTCTCCTCTTCTCTTGCCTTTGGTGCTGCGGAAAGGCTTTCGTCACCATCGAACAACTTTGCTAGTTCCAAGTAGCGTGGGAAACGAGCCACTTTTTCCTCGTTTGACAAGTCAAGCTTGTTCTCCTGTGATGCAGAGCCACCATCAATGATGTAGGCGTCGCCATCACGGAACCGTGTGTAGACGAAGAGTTCGGCATCTTTGCGTTCTTTGGCTGTGATTTCGGTCTTGTCGAGTACTTTGAGGGTGGGTAGACGCGCGATCGCGATGGCTCGCAAGTCGCGGTATTCGTAATTTCCTATCAAGCCGACTTGCTTTGTAGTTCGAGCTTCGTCTATGGAGGAGGTTCTTTCTTCATCCCGAAGGGTTGAGATGTGCAGCGCATCTAGCCCTTGCGAGTGACTAAGCCATGAGGAAATGTTTTTGAGCGAAGACCAGGACTCGAGATGGTTGTCTCGCATGTGCAGTTCTGTCAGTGCCTGTAGCTTAGATGCGGATGGAGGGGCGCCTGGAATGTCGGCGAGCTGGTTGTGGTTGAGGTTCAGATTTTGCAGAGCTGGAAGGCGGGAAAGAGCAGCAACCAGGTCTGGCCAAGAGGTGATGAGGTTGTCTTCTAGGCTGAGCGAAGTCAGTGATGGTAGCACCACTCCTTGCACAGGGCTTGAGGCTTTCGCTAGATGCAAGGTTTTGATCTCGTTGCTTCCAAGCGACAAGTGCTTCAGGCTCGCCAATGCAGGTGCTAGCCTCAAAACCTCTTCCCACTGCATCAATGTCCCATCCAGCCGCAAGTCCTGTATGTGACCGAGTCTCTGCTGCCAAGTCTTGGGTATTGGCTCAGGAGGTGACTGGAGTCGATTGAAGTGCAGCAAGAGCGTCCTGAGATGCTCCAGCTCCCCCGCTATCAACGAAACCTCCTCCCATTCTGGCAAAAGCGACCGCGACAGATCCAACCATCGAATATTTGGACAGGTCCCTCGTATCGAGCCCTCCTCAAATTCTTTCGCTGCACCGAACGCTCGTGCCACCTCGTACCCCCCATCATGCACTGCACCAACATCTACATCAGGTATCGAGCTATGCTGCCAACCACCCAGACCGACTTCCTTCAGCCTGTCAAGCCTTGCGGCTTTCTTAGCGATGCGGTCGAGGTTAGGCGCTTCGATTTCAATATCGGCGATGTTCTTGCGTGAGTACTGCTGTTGATCTCTTTGCTTGACTTCGACCGCTGTGCTTGGAGGGAGGTACTTGTTCCGCAGAGCTTCGAGGAAGCAGCAGCCGCTGGAGAGCTTTCTCGCTGTAGGCCGGATGAACGACCCGCTTCCAGCAACTCGGACATGGAAATAGCGAGTTCCGTCAGCGCTGATTCCGTCATGCTTGCCGCGGGCGGGGTCATCCCATTCCACACCCAGCCATTCGCCGCTCGATGGTGGGACCGCGCCTCGATAGCCGATTGTCCCGCGGTGTGGACCGAGTGCGATGCGGTGTCCCACTTTCAGGTCCATTGTGCGTTGTTCTGTTAGGGAAAAGGTGTGGAAAGGGTTGGTCTCGAAAGACGAAGAAGGAACAAGAAGGAACACGGTGGCCTCTGCGCGTTTTTGCCTCCACTTGGGTAATTCTGCGGATCTCGGATCTTTAACAGGATGTGATGGTGAGGTCGCCATTCATCAACATATTTGAATCTCGTACGGGATGGTTAGAGCTAGACTAAAGCAACGGACCGACGACGTCCGTCAGAGCTCATCTGTCGTATGAGTTGTTTCATAGCTACGATGGTGGGTGAACGCTGAGCGACAACGACCATCGAACCACACAACCAATAGGTCGGCGCGCAGGACTTCATCTGCAATTCTCAGCCTGAGCTGCACTATTGGTGGCAACATCTTACCAGCCAGAATGGAGGTGGTCTCATGTTGCTTTCCATTTAATGAGGGACAATAGCGTCGTTGACAGCAGGCAATGGCACCACCCTTGTAAACGAGATGAAGCTGAAAAGATTTGCTCTTGCTCCCTAACGATTTTCAATCTTGCGACTCGCTGTCAGAGAGCCTGAGGATGAGTATGTGCACCAATATAAAGCCTGCTCGCGATCCAAGCCCCGGTCCCATATCTACCTCTTCTCTTCATCCGTTTCAATCTCTTTCTGCATTCAACTTTGGGCCGGCCCCTCACACACATTCATTTACTTAACACTTTTTCGTTCATATCGAGCCTTGACGGTCAGATCTCCCAATTATACATTCCAGATCAAGATGCGTCTGACTCCAGCTCTCGCCCTTTTGGCTTATTTCCTCGCTGCTTCCGCCGTCGGTGTTGTAGCTTCACACCATCACGGAGGACATGGTCACAGGCATGGACATGCTCCCGCCCATATCCACCGCAGGTCTTGCCAGCTTCATCAGAAGCGAGATGGAGGCGACACTACGACTCCTGCTCCTCAGCCTTTGTTTGCTCCAGCTGGTCCTGGAGATGACTCTGCGGTGAAGAAGGACAAGAAGAAAGGCAAATGCGCATTGAAGAAGCAGAAGCAAAAGGATCAGGGTCAGGAAGTTGCAGACGAGGGCTTGAAGGGAAGTGGTGGACCTCCCGTCACCGGCGTGCCTTCTTTGGAAGGTGGGGACGATGGCACTAAGCCTCCCGTCACCGGCGTGCCTTCTTTGGGCGGTAAGGACGATGGCACTAAGCCTCCCGTCACGGGCGTGCCTTCTTTGGAAGGTGGGGACGATGGCACTAAGCCTCCCGTCACGGGCGTGCCTTCTTTGGAAGGTGAGGGCGATGGCACTAAGCCTCCCGTCACCGGCGTGCCTTCTTTGGGCGGTAAGGACGATGGCACTAAGCCTCCCGTTACGGGCGTGCCTTCTTTGGAAGGTGGGGACGATGGCACTAAGCCTCCCGTCACGGGCGTGCCTTCTTTGGAAGGTGAGGGCGATGGCGCTCAGCCCTCCACGGATGGTAGCTCTGGAGTGAAGAAGGACAAGAAAGGCAAATGCGCATTGAAGAAGCAGAAGCAAAAGGATCAGGGTCAGGAAGCTGCAGACGAGGGCTTGAAGGGAAGTGGTGGACCTCCCGTCACCGGCGTGCCTTCTTTGGAAGGTGAGGACGATGGCACTAAGCCTCCCGTCACGGGCGTGCCTTCTTTGGGCGGTAAGGACGATGGCACTAAGCCTCCCGTCACCGGCATGCCTTCTTTGGGTGGCGAGGGCGATGGCACTAAGCCTTTCACGGATGGTAGCTCCTCGGCTGCTCCACAGCCTTCTCGAGACTCTGTTTCTGGAGATTATTCAACTGGTGGTCAATCTGGCGGTAACGGTAGCAGTGATACCGGTGCGGGTGCCAACCGTGGATCGAACCCTGGCGGCAGTTCCAGCACCGACGACAATGTTGGTTTTCCTGGTCAGACCGGCACTGAAGGCTCTGAAGGTCAGAACCCCGAAAGTTACGGTACCCCACCCTCGGGCTACGCCTCCACTCCTACCCCTAACACCCCCCACATCACACCTTCGACCGGCGGCGTCACTAGAAACCATGTCAAGTGCAAAGGCATCAGAGGCTCCACCTTCCTCTCCTCCACTCGCACCTTCAAGCCGCACCAGTTCTCTCCCGAATTCATCTACCACGGACCCGGCACCACTTTTGGCAGTGAAACCGGCTTCTGGAAAGGAGGAGCCTGCATGTTCGATGACCTTCCGCATGCCAACTTACCTTCGGTCGCCATGGATCAGACCTTTTTCCAAGACGGTCTTGCCTGTGGCACCTGCGTCGAAATTGCTTCTACTTCAGCTTCGCTCTTTAGCAATGATGCGGTTTGGACTGTCGAGACTCCCAAAGTGGGCAAACTTCGCCCTGGCAAGAAGACGGTTGCTATCGTCAGCGATCTTTGCCCTGGTGTCGAACAATGCTTTTCTGGTCTGGACATGCACCTCGACGCTTGGAACTCAGTTACTAGCCATGCGAATGGAAGTAAGCTTCCGATCAACTGGAAATTTGTCAACTGCAAACAAGCTTTCCAGAAGAGCGGCAGCGGTGGTAAGAACCTTGAGATTCACTGGAGACCCGGTGCTAATGCTGGCTACTTCCAAGTTCAAGTTCGAGGCAGCCATGAAGCTGTGGTAAGGATGGAGATGAAGGTGAGCGGTAAAGGTTGGAGTGTGGCGAAGCATGTGGATAACTCTTGGTGGATGTGGGACGGCGATGCGACTTCGGCGGTTAAGGACCACACTGCAGTGTTGTTCAGGGTAACGGATTGGCAGGGTCAGACGATCACCAGTGAGGTGGGTACGGTGATAGGCAAGGATCTCGTGTTTGAGGCTAACTTCGATCGTGTTGGTGGTGAGTCCCAGCCGGAGGGATATGAGGCTTAATCCGATGCCTCTAGTGACTAGTTTATCGCCAGATATCAGTCAAAGTTTCTTGTCGCCCCTGATCCTGTCGTCATCAAGACCTTGCCCTGCTTTTTTCCCCCCCTCAGATTCTTAAACTTTGCACCTCATCTACTGGTTCAATCTCAACCCCCTTCACCCGTCCTCATCCATCTGGTTTCACTCGTTCACAGAGAGTCTATCGAGTCGAGCCCATTCAGCTCGGGTGTGTGGTATGCAACGACAAGAGCTCAACCTGAGATACGATTGCAGCAACAGCTCACCTTGTCAGAGGTGGGATGAGCCCCAACACACGAGGCCTGCTTTTGCGAAACGCGACTTTTGACAGCTCATGACAGCTCAACTAAGCTCATCTAGGCTTTGGGCGCGTTCAGAAGGACAAAACGACTTGGCTCCCAGCTTGAGAGGCACTGTTTTAGGCTCACACTTGTGCGCCTTTCAAGAGCTCCGAACTTAGAGTGTTTCATGGTGTTTGAGCTTGTAGCTGCTAGCTCAATCAGGAGGTAAGGTCGGTGAGTTGCAGAAGATGTCGGAAATGCGAGGGGCGATGCAATGTCTTGTTTTAGACTGCTTCTCCTGCAGTCTTGAGCTTGAGCCTCTGCAACCATTTCGTTTGGCTTCTGTTCGGAATTGAGCTTAAGGCTAGGTTCAGGGATAAGCTTGGTGCGGAGGGATGTAGGGTTGGGATCTCGACTCGAGCCTTTGATGCGTTCTGGCAAGAAGCAAAGGCTGAGGAGTAAGCGGTCAATCCGCCGCCCTCGCGCTCGACCCAACGCCCTTCCGCAGCTGCTGCAGGGTCCATTCGCCCCCGCTCCTGTTCGTGCGACCTTTCTTGTCATCGTCCTCAATCAGCCAAAGGCCACCTCTCAATGTCGCTAGACAGAGAGCGTGGGTAATGGCGGGAAGCACTCATCAAGAAGCGGAAGCCGAAAACATATGTTCATTTGACGCGCGGGCCTTGGCATTTGGCATCAGGACTCTTCCCGACGGGTAGGGGCGTCTTTCATTCAAGATCTGGGTGTAACAAGTTGGCTTGCTTCGAGATTCGAACGCCACTCGAGATAGGACGGTGTTAGGAAAAAGCACTCTGAGCGGGCAAAGATAGGAAAGAAGAGCACCTGACGCTTTTCTCTTATGAGCAAGTTTTTCAGTTGCGGTTTTGAGAGCTCCGGTCATGGTTTGCTACCCTCAAGACCATTCGAGCACAGAGGAGCGAGATACGAGATGTGGTCGCCGTCCAGCTGAGCATCTGCATAAGGTCCAGCGAGTGTATGAAGAGTGGTTCTGTTAGTCTTGCATGTCAAAAGGTTCAAGGCGGCAATAGAGAACTGTTTTTATCCGATCTTGGACCCTTGCTTTTGATATCGAGGCCGACGTGAGACGATTCAGGAAGGAAATTCAAAACAAAAAGTGTTAGGTCGCGCATTTATACAGCTCAAAATTTCGCGCTGCAGCGTGGCATCATCTCATCTCACCAACAGCAGCTCCCGTCCGTTGAATGGCCGCTGTTGCTACTGCTACTGCTAATGATGTACTGCTTCCGCCTTGTCTCTGAAAGAGCTCTCCTTCCATTTGACCCTGTTGATCACTAAGCGAGATCGTGCAACTCGGTAATCAAACCCCCCTCTCTCGTTTCTCTGCTCTGATACTGTGATACTCTGGCTGCTTTACAGAGAGAGAGAGAGAGAGAGAGAGAGAGAGAGAGAAAGAGCGAGGGTAATGCCTCTCTCTTGTGTGGCTTTACGGCAGTGATTTCTTAGAAGGGGGCTGAACTGCTCTTGCTTGTCAAAACGCAGAATCTTGCAGATCATCCAGAGTCACTTTCTGCCGGACTTGCGGATTTACTGGTAAAAATTCAACAGAAGCAGCCGTGTTATCATCAAAGGGCAAACAAAAGTGCCAGCCAATCGTTGACCACCGCTTCTTCTCACCCAGAAGATGGAGCTCTCTCTCTCTCTCTCTCCCCCTCTCTGTTGCCACCGCTACACTTTGGAATGCGACACCACATTTCATTCGCTTTTGTGAGAAAGCGTCATCGAATACATCAGTAGCCAAGACGTTGATCAGCTGACAAATACTCTAAAGGTCGGCCACTCACTCTTGTAGCAAAGACGACTACTGTTGATGGGCGATACCATGCGGTCAAAGGTAGAGAAGCGCGCGAGGGCTCGATTGCCTTTCATACGGTATATAGTTGTGATGCCGCTCTTGGCTTTCCTAGGCCTTGTGTGGTTCGCTGAAGACCCACGAAATGGTTTCTAGATCGTGATGCCCGCCCGTATCGATGGTTTCTATTTATTTATTTATTTATTTATTTCGACATGGAGAGGAGAGGAAAGAGAGAGAAACACGCGCTGCTGTCATTGTGGACGCGAACAAGCAAGCGGGTTCAGCGAGGTTCCAACTCTGGGCGTGATTTCTACTCAGGAGTTGAAGAAGGGGTCTCAGGGTGGGCACAGCAACTCTACAAAGATTGCGATATTTTGCCTCCTTTTGCCGCATTGCTGCGTTTTTCTGAGTTCAGATCTCGCCTATCCCAGCCATGAACAAGCCAAGGCCCTTGGCCAAGAACAAGTCAGAAGGTGGGCATTCGCCGTCGTCCCGCTCCTCTCGCAATAGAGTAGACAACAGGCAGGACTTGTTGGACTGCGACTCCACTTCCTGGCGTCGCCCATTCGTCTAAACGATGATATCCTTGTCTGGCAGGCGACCTCGCGGTCAAGCTCTCTAATCAGGTCAGCGGTGCCGCTTATTTCTCACACGGCACCTCATGCCTGTCAAGATCAAAGCGACTAGTGAAGACGATGTCGGCAATCCCGAAGAGTCAGCAGCTGCCTTTTTCTCTTTTATCACTTGTCGGAATATCCGCTCTGTTGTCAGCCTTTGTGTTGACCAGAAAGATGACTGACCAAACTCATCTGACCGTGAGAAAAGGCGCCAAAGTGTTACAGTAACGGGAAAGCCGATGAACTTTCCTCGTCAGCATCCCGCTCAACTTGATGAGCGAGGTTTTATGGAAACATTGAGAGCAGCAGAGAAGCAATCAGAAACTGGAACAGGATTGTGATTGCATAGCATTAGATGGCCAAGACGTAGACTAGAGATCGGAATTCCGTTTTGCATGCTTTTCTAACACTAAGCCTGCGGGAAAGTCTAGCCGGAATGCCGAGCTGTTTCCCTGCATCTGAGGTAGAGAGGATCTGGGCAGGTCAGCGGTGTTTCTTTTTATCCCTTTTTGTTTCACCATTTATTTATTTATTTATTTTTTGGTCTTTTTTTTCTTTTCTTTTTTCCTGGACCTGGGTCTGTCGACATGCTGCTTCTGATGCTGATGTTGCTGATTTCCACTGCAACAAGCCATGACCGTGAACAAGAGAAAGAAGCAAGTCAGGCAGTCAGGCAGTCAGGCAGGCATGCTACACAATTTCAACACCAACCAAACTCTGGGTCTCGCTCCTCCTCTCATCCTCTCATCCTCTCATCCTCGATTGCTTGTCTGCCTGCCTGTCATCGCTCGGTCGGCGGCATCTTCGCCCTTGTTGTTGTGCCTGTCCCTTGTCCTCTCTTTCTGGTTCAGATCGACAAAAGGACAGGTTCGTTCTCGGATGGCCGTATTAGATAGGTCAACGTTCTTTGCTCTTTTGGCAGCTGCACTCACTGCACCAACCGCACAGCTCGACTCGGGAGTTCCGGATGCTTTTCTGCTGCTGCTCCAACCCTGACGCTTACTTAGCCTGACTTTGGTTCGCTACTGGCATTGCCTCCATCCCTTGCTCACCTTGATGCCATCAGCCCTTTCATCTGCTCAGCCATCATCATCACCTTGAGCACCTTTACCCTGCTTCGACTCGCTATAGCGTCTGTAGCATCACTGCGCTTCGTCTCTCGACCATATCAACGGCGCACTCCAAAACCCATCTAGCAGACCAGTCCTTGCGTCAGGCAGTGCTGGAGAGGTTCAGCCAGCACTTCCGACTGCTCTACCGATCCGTTCGCTGTCCTTGAGCTACTTGATCGGCACATTCGACGGTCAGGATTACAATCTAGGCTCGCAACTGCCGACTCTGGTCTCATACCCACAGCCTTGCTCCCTCTTCAAGGGCAGCAGACATACCGGAGTGCTTCCTCCCTTGCTGGGCTCAAGCCTCGAGCCAGCAGCATCGAGGCCTACCATCACACTCTCAGCGCCAATTCTGGGTGACATGGCTCTCTCGACCTAAAAACGCTCTTTTCGTGCGTCACTGTTTTTACTACGCCTTGCGACCTCGGTGCCTGTGCGGAAGAGCGGCTCTCCCTTTGCCGCCGCCTTGAATCGCCCAAGGGATTGAGCGAATCCTTCCCACCCGCCAAACTCTATTTCTCGTGGAGCTTAGCTAGCAGAGAGAACAAAGCCAAACGCTTGCGCATCCGGCTGAGTTCTCTTGGCGCTACAAGCACTGCGCAAACTTGCAAGAATCTTGTTTCCTCCCGACGGCTTGATCCGATAGGTGCAAGAGCTACTCTTCTGCCATCCACCACCATCAAATACGCCCCTAGCGCACACCGCCATATGCCTCGAGACACAGCAAGCACAGCTGGCCCGCACTACGATGCCGGGCAAGCGTCAAGCTCTTCGGAACCGAGCGCTTCTTGCTCACGTCTTCCGAAAGTGGAGAAAATCTCAACTTCAGTCGGTTTGTCTTGTTCCTCCCGCAGCTCAGCTGACGAGCGGCCAAGCAGGTCCAGCGGATCTTCACCAATCGCATCACCCGCAGTTTCGACACCAAGAGCCACATCACCGGATCACCACGCTTGCCCACATATTCGCAACAGGCCACCTTTCGAACGCTCATCTCGCGATAGCTTGCAATCCTCGCCATCCACCGTGCCTGCTCACATGGCCGGTCTTGCGCTACAAGTGCAATCTGCAGTCTCTCGCAACGTCACTGGTCCTCTGGTGCAAGTGCTGACCGATGCAGAAGAGGCTTCCGCGCTCCATCAGGCTGAAAGCTCAGAAGCACCTGCATCCAACTTGAAAGCATCGCCAATGCACCGATTAAGGTCAGCAAGCTCCGATTATCAGACCGCACGCAGCTCACCTGACATGGTGCCAAGAGATTTGTCAACACGCTCACCAGAACCTGCCATGCTGAGCAGCAGCTCTACTAGCGAAGAGGCTATCCAGGCGGCGCTCACTGCCACTTCCACCAGCCACATTCCCGAAGCTGGATCGCGATCACTTACCGCTCCAGCCTTGCAAGAGCAAGACAGTGCAAGCAGCAGCCTTGGCGGTGATGATGGCGGTGATGATGGCGGTGATGATGGCGGTGATGGCACTGAAACAACAGCTGCTCAAACCGACATTAGCCGCACTCCCTCCACATCAACTACAGGCTCTAGCCACGCAGGCAGTCTGGACACCGCCATCAGCTCTGTTCCATCAGGCACTGAATTCGAAAACAACTACAAGTCGCATGTTGGCGAGCAATCGGCGGATACCCTCCGAGTGGAAGTAACTGGCTACGACCCGAGTCTCCCGCCAAGTCAAGCATCTCCAGGCTCTTTGAACTTGCAGCTCGACAACGGTCTTCTTGACTACTCGGACGCAGCGGATGCAAGCGTTGCCGAGGCCAAATACGCTACCGCAAAAGTTCGTCGCTATGCGGCACTCCTCGAGCTTATCGACACGGAACGCAACTATGCCGATGACCTTGCAACCCTCGTCCTGGTCTTCTTCGATAACCTTTGCATGATGCCCTTCTTCAACGATCAGCCAGCTCGTCAGGCTTTGGTCATGAGGAACTCGGAGGACCTGCTGAGAACGCATCAGAAGCTGTCTGCTAAGCTCGTCGGCATCCTCATCGACCTTGGATTGCGAAAGGCTGGACAGAGCGGACAGGTCGATGACCAGCAGACCGAGCTCGAGAAGGCGTTGAGCCCGCAGGCTGACGAAGCTGTTGTTCGCGTTGCCAACCTCTTCAACCAGATGATGCCTTCACTGCAGAGCTACAAGGCTTTCTGCTCTCGTCACGGCGAAGCCTTGGCCTTGATTCGTGAAGCCGAGAAGCGACACGCTGATTGGGATGCTTTCGAGAGGCACTGCGCTGATGTTCTCAAGTTGACCAGATTGGCGCAGAAGGGCAGCTCTCGACCGGCCTCGGGTGCCAATACCCCTAGCGTGTGGGGCAACAGCCCTGCTTCCTACTTTACACCCGTAATGCCTTCAAGTCCTCCCACTATCGCTTCGACTTCCACCTCGACCCTGACTGCAGGCACCAACTCGAACCCTGCCAGCGCTTCAACCACACCTTACCTCGGTCCCAGCACGATGCGACAGAACTCGTCTCGCCTCCTCTTCCGCGACTTTCTCATCAAGCCTATCCAGCGACTCTGCTTATACCCTCTTGTTCTGCAGACACTGCAGAAACACAGCTCAGCCACTGGTGACTCGGTCGAAGAACTCGCACTGGCCATCTCGCTCATGCGTGAGGTCGCCGATCAGGTCGACGAGGCAGGCAAGCGACGCGAGTCGGAGCTTCGTGCCGATCTCATCTCTTCCCGTATCGAGCCGCAGCAAGGCATGACTATGGGCTTCCTCAAGTCGCTTGGAGATTGCCAGCTGTCTGGCACACTGGATGTTTTGCACCACCACCGTGTGCTTAACCCTCTCGTGGCTCCATTGCGCTTCAAATACTTTGGTCTGCTCATCTACCACAGCTTCTTGCTCATGGTCAAGGTGCGCAAGAACTCGACCTATGAGTGTCGACACTGGTTCCCGCTCTGGGCTGCCCGTCTATCGAATGTGGAGGAAGAGAGGAACCTCATTCCTCACTCTTTCCGTCTTTCCGTCAAGGATCACCACTTTGAGCTTGCTGCTAGCAACGCCAAGGAGAGGCAGCTCTGGATTGATATGCTCTCGCTCGCCATCTCGAGGGCAACTTTCTTGCCTCCTGGTTCGGAGGCTGCTTTCCCTTGCAGTCTGCTCTTTGGCGATGCCCTGGATGGTGAGTCTCTCGAGGCGTCCGAGGCACCGACTCCTAACGCGAGCCGACCTTCAGAATTCCAAGGCTACTTTGACGCTGCCAAGTCTGGCACTGTTGACCCATTGATGCAGTTTCTTGCCATGCATGCGGCTGGTGCAGCTCAGGCAACCAGCTCAAACCAGAAGAGTCAGCGCTCGTCTTCGGGTCCCTGGATGCCGACAGAGATCTTGCTGCGACATGCCTCGTCCAACTCAAGAGCGATTGTGGATCGCGGTATGATTCTCTCGGACTCGGTCATATCTGCTCGTATCGCACGCGATGGAGGTGCTCTCTCGACCTTGTACGCGGCCTCCGGATCCGGTATCGGATCCGCTGTTGGCTCGTCGCTTGGTCTCAGCCGTCTTTCAGCTAAGGAGACCTCAACTGTCAAGATTCAGCGTCGCAAGAGCTGCGCAGGATTGCTCGAGAACGCTGATGCGAACGAGGATCCCAACAACTTGGTCTTCACCGCAACATTCGTGCAACCGAGCTCGCGATCGCGTTCGTCCACGAGGGTGCAACTTGACGACCGCGAGGGCTGGAAGTCGTCTCTCCTCAAGAAAGCCAACAGGGTGCGACCAGCCAGCATCTTTGCGCCCCAGGGACTCAATGTCAACACCGAGCTCGGCAGCCCTATCTGGGGTCCAGGGTCTGCTTCGACGCCTACTTCGCCCGTCACCGCCAGCCGCGATCTCCCTATGCACGAGTTTGGAAGCTTGAGCGTCGCGCCTCTCAGCCCGACCACGCGACCCATTTCGTTGGGACAGGAGGCAGGATCATACTCGAACACATCTTCTCCGATGTCTGGGTACAACTCGGCCGCTACCTCGACTTCGAACTTGCGGACTCAAATGTCTTCTGGACCCACACGATCGCGCACAAGCCTGTATGGTATGAAGGACTCGTTGACCATGACGTTTGGCAGGAGGACGCGAACGAGGTCGGCTCAAGCTGGTCTGGGTGACAGTGACCCGGTGTCTGAGTTTGGGACCGGTTCGGCTTTGTCCTCTGCGGCGCCATCGCCTCATGCTAGCAACGTGAACCTGCCGCATGGTGGAGTTCTGGACAGCAACGCAAGCCGACCTGCGGTGGAGGAGCTGTACCCACAACAACAGAAGGGTCTACCTGGCAGTCGATCTCGCACCAACTCGATCTCTTCGGTGACTGACTCGCTTCGTCGGGTGTTTACGAACAATTCGTTGGCTTCCCTCAGCCACAAGCGGGCGCAGAGCGATGCAGCTAAGGCGCTTGGTGGATCGGTGCAAAGGGACAGGCAGTTAGCGACGAGCGCTGGGCTTGCGACGCCGCTCACTGAGGCTGCGTCCGCCGTCTGTGGCGGCGGTACAGAGTCGCCACGCAAGACCGGCTTCGGTACATTGCGCAGGTCGAGAACGATGCTGAACTATCCACGAAACTGGCTTCGTGCTTCGGTGGCTTCGAATGGAGTCGAGCGCGTCAATGCCGAAGCTGTGGCTTCTACTCAAAGCTTCCAGATTCAGAGACAGTCGTCGTTCGTCAGCGACACCAGCACTTCTCCTGGCACGGAGTTCGAAACGCACAAGGAAGCACACAAGCCTTTACGCACCAGCAGCGAACCTGTTACCCGTCAGATTCCCAAGCTTTCGGAAGGCTTCAGAAGAGCCTCGGATACTCATCTCACCACTATTGCTGAACAGCAGCGCGATGGTGCAAGTGACATGGCAGGGATCAGGCGCACATCGAAGGGTTTCAACCCGCTCAAGTTCTTGCAGAACAACCGACTCTCTCCGCTTCCTTCGAAGGGAGTTTAAAGTCACAAGCAAACATCACAAACTTTTAGCATTGTATCTTGCCATAGCACATTTGTATTCCTGCTCAATCATAATTCTCAGCCAAGCAGTCTTGGTTCAATCGCATTGATTCTACTTTTCATTCTTGATGTTGTGTGTGAGTGTGGGTTGATGTTGAGGATGAGTCAACAGTCGTTGAGAAGAGTGATGTTGAAGTTGGATTATGTCAGCAATCACTGAGACGCGGAACTCGGCCCTTGTTCTTTCTCCACATCAGTGATCTGCGACTCTCCTTTTTTTTTTTCTTCTTGTTGCTCAACCTCAACGTCGAAAATAGCTGCACTATCATCTAGCGACGATCACGCAGCAGGAGCCAGCACTGTAGACGCCGCAACCACCGCGGTCAAGGCTGTGGGCACCGCTGGAACCCATCTTTCACTTCACCCTCGGCAGGGGTTAGGAAGCCTTGAAGCAGCAGTCCAAGATGTCACGTTTCTTTCAACGCTTCCGACCTTGGGTTTTAAAAGCAGCGTACACATCCGTAGCAACGCTTCAGATAGCATGTGGGACCTTCTTGATCGGCGAGCATGTCTTCCAAGTCCGTAACTCAACAGGCGCTTCGATGCTGCCTACATTAGCACCCGAAGGTGATTGGTTACTGCACCTTCGATTGCCGTTCTTACACTTTCTCTCCTCAATACGCACCACTTTCTCACTAACACCAGAAGAGAAAGAAGGATTGGATCATCCATATCACACAAGAGGAAAGAGGATAGGCGGACCAAGCTTCTCCAAAGCAGATCAAGCGCAGGGGATAGAAATCAAAGTTGGCGACTTGGTCGTAGCCCTATCACCATTCGATCCGGAAAAATTCGTGTGCAAAAGAGTAATAGGTTTACCTGGAGACACAATCTGCCTCGATCCTCGTAAGCGACCCCTGCCAATACATGCTTGGAGAGGAAGAGGAAAACAGGAATCGCCATCAACAGGCATTCAGAGAGATGGAAGAGGAGAGGAGAGGGATAGTGATGCGTTGGACAGCAAACTTGTCAAGATTCAAGACTTTCTTTCCTCTGTCGGACATGCATCCAGCCCCATCAGGAATTCAAGAAGGTCTCCGTTAGAAGTAGAAGGAGATGTAGACCTACTGAAAAGTATGGACACCAATTCACCTTCCCCCCACTCCTCACCAAAAGGCAAGAAAGAACGACACAACACTTCAGAAGCAAAGGAACTACAAGAAAACACCTACGTTTGTTCAAAAGGCGATGTTCAATATATCACTGTTCCCCTAGGACACGTTTGGTTGATGGGAGAAAACATGACCAACTCCACGGATAGCAGACATTACGGTCCAGTACCGTTGGGTATGGTGAAAGGTAAAGTTCTGGCGAGGGTGTTTCCTAATCCTATTTGGTTGACCAACAATCTTACGTTTGTTGATTGAGATGCAATCCAATCGATCCAAAACAAATTCTTTGGTGGACTGAGTACAAGTCAGGTCTGAAAGTGAAAGTTTCCGCGAATGACAATGAGATTGCAGATGCTATTGATACAGTGTAAGGGGCGATGAGGCGGTGGGGCGGCGATTGCGCTCAGGGTATATAGTATGAATATGCAGGTTATCAAATGCAAGAAGCGAAGACAACAAGTTGGACAAGTCAAGAAACTGCTAATAAAACATCACTGCCATCCACAAGACCTGCTTAAAGCCTCAGACCACTTGTGCCTTTGCCATTGCAAAATGATGGGAATCATATCTTGCAAACCGAATTGGGGCCAAAATTTGTCCACGAAATGCATATGCGTCTGTTCTGTGCACTGCCAAAGCATAAAGTCGCTCAATCGTGAGACGCCGGATGTTCGAACAAGGATATCAAGTGGTGGAGAATGAGCTAGCTGCATACCTTGGCTGAGATCTTGCGGTGTGACTTGAAAGTCGACCCTATCCAGCACCTCGCTTAGATCACTATGCTTATATGAATCCTGAGTTGGTGCAAGCTGTGCAGCCTTTTCTGCAACTGCCAAGCGCTCCACATCTCTAAGCTTGCAATCTAGACAACGTCGTACAGCACCCGTGATCTCGTCTCGACTGGCGTAGGGCATGCAAATGTTAAGTGTCGCTTTTGTGTTATGCCTTGTCATATTCTCCACTCTTCCCACTGCTTCTCTTACGTCTTTTGGCAAAAGTTCCTTTCGTCCTACTATTCGAACTCGTACAGAATATCGTGCGATCAACTCTCCATGTCCAGCCAACTCTATCAAGCGCGTCTTGGCGATTTCCATGAGAGCATTGACTTCGCTTTCGCTGCGCGCGAAGTTGTCGATTGCAAATGCATAGACGGTAACAGTGTTGAGTCCTCGAAGGTTGAGACAGACTTCGAGAACGGATTTGAGCGTTGCAAAGCCGGTAAGATGACCTTGTTGAATGGTGTGGTGGGAGGTGCGAGCCCAGCGTCGGTTGCCGTCCATTACGAATGCTATGTGACGGGGGATGGGGCCGAGAGAGAGGGTATGAAGCAGAAGTTGTTGGGGCGAAGGTATCGGGAGGAAAGAGAAGAGGGAGAGTGGGGAGAGAGCCGCTTGTTTCAGGATCTGAGTCTTGCTAGGCATGGCGGAGGTGCGTTTGCTTTCTGGTGAGCATGAGGCAACTGCGGTGGGATCTGTAGTGGCCGCTTTGGTGGTGGCGCTTGATGGTGCAGCTTCATTTGCTGCTGGAAGTGGATCAGCAATCGACATCGTGCTTTCAGCTCGACTCCACTCGAGACGTTGGTATGGGTTGAGAAGAGGAGAGTCAAGCGTCTTGATCTTCCACGTCGCAATCCAAGAAAGTGTCGCTATTCTTCTTAAACAGCACAGCCGACTTCCGGATTTTTCTCCCCCGATAAAGTTCCAATCGGGTGTACTTTTCCCGATCTTCTCGGGACGCGGTCAAGCCAACACTTGCTGCACACACCTCGTCATCTGTGTCACTGCAACTCGACACCCTCTCGTTCTGTACACGCAGTTATCACCATTCCAGCTCGACTTGAACTAGAAACCGTATACGACGAGTCGAGAGATTCATCTCCATCATGGACTCAAACCCTTTCGCTGTATGGGACGAACGCACACCTGGATCAGCAAAAGCGTCGATTGCACCAGCAAAATCGCAACGCACAGAAAGCCAGGATGACTCAAAGGATATCGCACGCCTCTCAATAGAGTACCAAGAAGATGACCCTGGTTGGGGCGCGGCGTCGGTGTCGATATCGACATCGAGAGCAAACAGTCCGGAGAAGACAAGGAAGCTGTCACCCACGGCGGCTGAAGCCATTGTCTCGGCTACAACGGAGCCTGAGACTACAATCGAGCCTGGAGCGCCTGCCTTGATAGCGGAGAAGGACATGAACTTGGGGCTTGCAGAAGAACCCGTAACGGAAGAGCCTATGACGACCCTCACAATCAAACAACACGCAGAGCCGGAGGAGGCGACACATGTAGAACTTGCGACCAAAGCAAACGATGACAAGGTAGACGAGGAGGAGGAGGAGGAGGCATTCGAAGGTTCACGGCAGGAGCAACAGACTGAACAGCCAGAGGGTAGCCTAGAAGCGGAATCGGAAGAGTTTGCACAAAAGGCAACACTCAAATCACCACCGAAGGAAGGAGAGATGCAAGAGGACGACGAATTCGACGAACTAGCACCACCACACAAAGAGAATATGCAAGAGGATGATGGGTTTGATGACTTTGGAGAGCCTGCAGAGGGAGTTGAAGGAGGTGCGGGAAACGATGACTTTGGCGACTTTGACGACTTTGAGACGGGCGATGCGCAGAACGACGTCGGCTTGGGCGACGATGGCTTTGGCGATGATGGCTTTGGCGATGATGGCTTTGGCGATGATGGATTCGACGAGCCGGCCGAAAGAGCACCAGTAGCGATTCCAGCACAGCTAATCCCTGCACCTGCACCTGTATCAACACGGACATGGCAACCACTCGAGGTCACGTCGAGATCAACTCGATACGATTTGGCGGAATTGGTGCAAGCACTGCTTCCGCATTCATCCGCAGCAGAGCGGGAGCTCACGAATGTCGCACTTCGTCAAGTAGAAGGTCCATCACAAGTGCTGGTGAGCGAAGGCTCGCGTCAATTATGGGAAGATCTATCCTCATTCCCCTCGGTAAAGCCAATGGATTGGGTAAGAAGCAAGACAAGACGAGACTATCTAATTTCTATGGGCATTCCCGTCAATCTAGACGAAATCCATTCCTGCTTCGCATCAGGTTCTAGGGGCTCAAAGCAACTGCCACCGTTGCAGCTTAAATATGATTCGTTTGCCAATCGTCTCAGCTCCTCGCATGATTCGAACGGAAGCGTTCCACAGCGTAGCTCGAGCTTGAAGGTATCCGGAACATGCTCAGGCTCATCAAGTGCAGCACAACGGTCAGCATCAGCATCCAACAGTCCACGCAACGGCAACTCGAGTCCAGCGCTTGGATCAAGCACGAATCGGGAACGCATCGCCGAACGTCGTAGAGAGGAGCTTGGATTGGGACCTGCACCGCAAGTCGATCTCGGCCGTGCTGAAGAGCTGGTCAAGAAGACGGAAGATCAACTGACCCTCCTCTCACTACCAGCACTGAAAACGTTGTTGAGAGAGCTAAACACGTTGACGACATCAACTTCTAGCTTGTTGACACACCACTTGACGTTGCGAGAGAGCTACCAGGCGGATTCGGAAATGTACAACTCGATGATTAAGGAGCTAGTGACTGGCGCAGCGAATAGGTTTAGTGGTGGAAGTGGTGGTAGTGGTGGTAGCAACTCGGTGGCAGGAGGTAGAGGTGATAGCAGGAGATCGACGACGATGGGGATGAGTGCTTCAAGTACGGGAAAGGCGAGGGTGAGTAGTATGCCAGCAGCGTCTACGGCCATGTTGGGCTCAAGGTCGATAAGTCCTTCGCTAAGGGGCGGGGCGGCGTCCAGCGTGAGTCCGAAACGTTGAGACTTGAAGCATAGTCATACAAGGTGATCACTGATTGCAGATACGACTCGGCCGTGTGTTGAATTGGTGTGTTAACAAAACAGCCGAAGGAGGGAAAGAAATTTGTTCCAGAAAAGAAAAAGAGAAACAAAACAAAACAAAAACAAAACAAAAAAAAAAAAAAAAAAAACAAAACAAGAAAATGTCTAAAATTCCAATCCCCGCTCGTTTCACTCTGTTGTCCTTCAGGGTTGGCAGGGTTGGCAGGGTCGGCAGGGTCGGCAGGGTCGGGATCAACGATGCAGCTTCGCGTGAACAATCAGAGCTTGGGTGAGCGCGCACAAGGCGGCCTTCAGTGTCTTATTCTAGAAGCGCCTGGATTTGCTCTTGGCAATCATCGGCCCAGCCGACGACTTTAACGCCAAACGCACAGCAACATGACACGCGAGATATCCGTCGGTAGCTCCCGATCGTGATTTGGTGCGGGTGGATGAGCAGAGAGGGGAAGCTTTCCCACGCCTATCCATCACCTCACTCACTCGTGTCGGAAGAGCCGAGACAGAACAGAGAGCTGCGTCAGTGAAAGTGACAGTGAAAGTGAAAGTGAAAACTCGGCTACAGCACGCACTTCCTGGCAGGGCCTTGCGGGGACTCGGCATGGCATGCCAACTTGGGCTGTCTCTTGATCGTCGCTAGGCGCTTCATCAGTCTGCTGTCGTTCACACCAGAAGGAGCGGAGATGCGGGCTCTCCTCTCTTGCCGATACAGTGAGACAGGTTGTGGTAATGATTGATTGAATTGAATGGCGCTTTGAACCATAAGAAAGTCATTGTACTGTAGAGTACTTACTGTATAAGGAATTCCGACGGCTTTCAAACTCAGGATCGACTTGCTGTCCCTCTCGCTTTCTCAGCAGCAGCCACGCTGGCTTCTGCTTTCTGCCACCCTTTGTTTTGCCCGCTCCTCCTTCTCTTTCCTCTTTCCTCTCCTCGTCTGTCTGTCTGCCTCTCTCTCTCTCTCTCTCTGTGCTCCTGTTCCTTGCTCCCATCCCCACACGATTGGCTGCAGACTTGTCCCTGCTTCGCAATGCTTTTTTCCCTTGCTTTCCCGCTACTTTCCCTCCTCTCTTTCCCTTCACCATCTTCCCCCACCACCACCACCACAGTCCCTTTTCTTTCTTATTCGGATCTATGTACCCTTTGTCGCATTCCGAATCCACTCGGTCATATACCCCAGCCTGAACGGCTCAGACTCCCATTGCGGGACAGTACATGTATACTCACACGGACGACAACATTGCTAAGTTTAGAGGCCCACTAGATACCCACACCGTCACCTTGCAATATGCCTACCGCTACACGAAGGAACGAGGCTGCCGCATCGCCATCCAAGCGCAGGCCATCCGCAGCTGCTCGCTCCGAATCCGGCTACTCGCGCCGATCCTCCGTCGGCTCTTTCAAGACTGCTACCGGCACATCTGATTACACTCCTGCCATGTCTGCATCCCAAATCGATTACGACGACGAGCAAGATGAAGAACAAGCCGAGAACGAGAACGAAGCAGCTATCATTCCTTCTCGCAGCGACCCAGATATTCTTTCAGATGACACCGACGAGGCCGAGACCATTTCTCGTCACCGTGACTCTCCCAAGGGCCTTGTTGCAGCTGTTAGAGACCATCACGACGCCGCTTCCAGTAGCGAGTCCGAAGAAGCCCCGGCTATCTTCAGCAAGAATCCTGTCAGCGACTCCAGTACTATCCACAAATCTCCTCCCACCTCCCATGATGATGCCCCCTCTCACGACGACCTGATTGAGAAGCGTAGGCCATCGCACACGTACAGCTCCAAGTCGAAACCTTCCCGTCACGAGCTCCTCACACCTGATGCTGCCCTCACTCCAAAGGGTCGCGCCGATAGAAAGGGCGTCCGTGCTTCGCATGCCAGCCACCTCACTCTTCCCTATCAGCACTCTGACGCAGGCGACTACATGGATGCTTCCAGGCGCCTCAGCAAAATGACCATGTCCAATTACAACCCTCGTAGCAGAGCTCCTTCTCGAGCTGCCAGCTTCATGGACGCTGACCTTCCCGACATGGAGATGCGCGATGCTCGATACCGCTCTGTCTCCGAACGAGGCCGAGCAAGCAGGTCCAGCCGTCTCATGGCTCCTGCATCCCTACTCGACTTTGGTGGATCTCAGCGTGGTGCATCTCAGAGGGGACCTGGTTCGCGTTACGCTTCCAGCTACATCGAGCCTTCTTCCCTCAGGTCTCCCTCCAAGCGCGACACCCTCGGCTCGCCCGCAGCTGGTATCCACCATCGCGACTCAGACCGCATGAGCATAACCTCGCGTGGAACCGCCAGGAAGCCTGCCTCTGTCTTGTCCAAGATGCTTGACGCCGATACTCAGGTCTATCCCGGAACGCGCATCCGCAAGTACATCGAGCCTCAACTCAACGAGGCCATGCGTCGTGTCATGAAGCAATTCACAGGTCACAACATGCACGATCATCGTTGCAATGGGTATCCCATCGCTGTCTTTGTCGGTGCTACTGCCATTGACACAGGAAGCATCATTCAGCCTCACGTCTCGGGTGCAGTCTCGCTCTACTTTGCACCTGGCCACCCCAAGAACATGGCTTCCCTCCTGCCCGAACAAGATAGGACACCTCACCACATCCCTAACCCCAAAGCACCCACTCCCGCCTCTCTCTCCCGCCGTGCCGAGCTGAGATCCGCCATCACTGCTCTTCACACCATCTACGAGCTTTACCGCGGCCGTGCTTGCGCCCATGTCTGCATTGACTCCGCCTACGTTGCCAAAGCCTGGGGAACTTGGATCCCAACTTGGGAGCTCAAGGGTTGGCCTGGAGAGGATGAAGAAGGTGAGGGTGACCGCGAACGATGGGAGGATGAGTACTACGAGCGTCGAAGGAGCCAGCGAAGGGCTTACGACAGGAGTGGAACCCGATACATAGATCTACCTGATCCACGTGATCGCGAGCGCAGCCGGGATGGCTATGCAAGCGACGGAGGGCGTTACAGGGGATCGCGTGTTCCACCCTCGCCTAGGAGGTATGACGACCGTGACGACTGGCTCGCCAGCGATCCTTACGCCGATGGACGCAGACGTCGCGGTGGTGGAGGACAGCCTTCTCCTCGCCGTCAAGGTGGTCGTCGTGGCGAAGAGGACTATTCTTCTGATGAGGATGACTACCATCGTCGAGGCGGAAGCAGGCGATACCGGGACGATGACCGTGACTACCGCTACTCTTCCGCCGACCGTTCTCCTCCCCGCCGTCGTACCATGCGTCGTGCTCCCGGTCGTCGTCTCGTCGACGAAGACTTGCTTCGCGAGCTCGCCGATATCCGCTACGAGTTTGCGCGGGTCGAACGTGATCGTCAGGGATCTGCACACCTCTACCTCATTGACCGCACCAACAACCCCGCTGACCGCATGGCTCGTGCCGTCGCCAAGTCGGAGGGAAGCCTCCTCAGCCAGCAAGAAGACTTTGACACGCGCTCCGAGATCGGCTTGCATGTCGACGATGCTCGCCTCTCCGACGAGGACGAGGAGAGGCTTGATCCTGAAGAGGACGATGAATGGCTCGAGACGCGCAACCGCTTCTCGACCGCTTCGAAGAGTACCAAGGGTCGCTGTGACGGTGACCGAACAAGGATCAGCAGCAGAGACAGTAACAGGGGAAGCATCATCTCCAACGCCACTGGCAGGTTGAGGCAGAGTGCTTCGCTTCCCTCCGGCCATCTCCGCGGCGGACCCAGGCGTCAACTTGATACCTTCGCTGAAGAGGACGAAGACGATCTTGCTGAGGACGCTCGTTCAGTTCGATCGGTTCGAACGCATCGTTCAGAGCGATCTCGCAAATCGACCCGCGCCGAGAAGGAACGAGACGACTACCTGGCACGCCAAGAGCTTATCAATGCTGAAGCAGATCCTCTTGCAAGGCGATCTACTATGACTTCCACTACCAAGCGTTCTGCTTCGCGTGCAAGTCACCTTGCTCCACTTTCTGCTTCTTCTGAACACCGCGGCGTCGTATCCTCCACCAGACGTTCGATCGACTCTCGTAATGGCGCAGCACAAATGTCGACAGATCTTGTTTCACCTGCCGACGAGGCATCTTTGCGAGGCTCGATGGACGCTCGACGCAACAATAGGATCAGCAGCATGCGTTCACAGCCTGACATGCGTTCTAACGGCAACGGTCGATCCAACGTTGGCAGTGCTCTGGCTTCCGCTGCTGTTTTCGACGGGCCTGAAGAGGAAGAATACTGTCCCCGTCGCTCCATTCAAATCCACCAGGCAAGCTCAGGCGGTCCTAGACACCCTCGCAGTCGAATGCATTCCAAACGACCATCCGACTATCCCGAAATAGATGACCTCGTCCCTCCTTCCCGCATGTGGGATTCTGGATCAGTTAACTCGCGTAACAGCATCGATTCTGGTCGTAATGCCTCGGTCGCACCTGGTTCAGCTGGTTCAGCTGGTTCAGTGGGTAAAGGTTTTTTCAGTAAGAAATCTCGCACTGCTCAAGCTCGTCCTCAATCTCCTGCTTCAGAAGGTAAAACTGCAGGAGGAGTAGGAGTAGGATTGTTCTCTAACCGATCTACGCCTTCCTTGCACCGCTCGCCTGCGCCAGAAGATGCCGATTACGAATGGAGCAAATCTTCAAGAAAAAGCATAAACAGATATCCCAAAGCTCGTCATCAGAGACAGTGGCATTCAACCACTGCGCATGACTACATCGATCCTACAGCTCAGAGGTGTGCATGGGATTCAGAGCATGTGGCCGTCAAGAAAGGCGGCTTCTTGAGCCGTATGTTTGCTCGCAAGAAGTGAGTTTTCCTGCAAAGATTCGCATCCGTCTTTGTGCAAATCACACTGTTTTTTACAAGCTGAATGGAATTCTTAGAAGCGTTTGATTGATTCAATGTATCTTTTGCATGCAATGGTATCATTGAAGGCAATTTCAAATGCAATGTCAAATGCGATGATGCATGTGTGCCTGAGTGAATTAGGTTAGCCGGCAATGCCGAGGGTAAAGAGGCGGAAGTCGTCGGCGCCACGCCAGTCGAAGGCAATGACACCAGCATCTCCACCGAGCTCTGGGAAAAGTGCATGAACAGCCGATTCCGTGCCTGTGCCACCCTGCGCACCTTGCTGCCGAGTGGCTTGGGATAGCGGAAGGACCAACGACTGGGCACCACAACTACTTTCAGCCAGATCGATAGGATTCAGTGTCAGCAGCGGCGCACAGAGATACTCGAGCTCCAGGCTGAGTGCGCTAACCTCGCTGTGGCTGCGATCTGCGAGGCGGTCGGAAGAGAAAGTTTGAACACAAGGGTAAGCAAAAGGCTGGCTCTTTGAAGGATCCGCTCGCCATCCATCGCCGACGCTCGTCGTATCCTCATCGCTGAGTCGACGACATGTTTCGGTGTCCGGCATCGACTTCTGCACTGTGCCGCCGTTTGCCCTCTTGTATCCTGCTTCGTTGTATGTGGGAATAAGCTCGAGCTCGTGCTCGGATGACACGTCGAAATCGACGTTCACTGGCACCCTAAAGGACACCTTCCTGGCCTCTATGCGACTGGCCAAAAATGCTGCACATGTGACACCCACATGTAGTATCAATCGATGACTCTTGCGTCCAGGGTTAAGAGATGGCGCGCCTTGTTTTGGCTGAGCTGCCAGAGTCTGTCCGAGCGAGCTTAAAAGAGTTGCTGAAGCCGACGACACCGCGGTCGATTGCCTGAGATGACTGAGAGGTGTTGGGCCCCTAGAGCTTGCGCGTTCGACGCCCAACACTCTGGCCCAGCCAGACACGGCGTTGGGAACGTCGGTCCATTGCATCACTGCCAGAGGAGGTGTTTCCATGAGATTCGATGCCAGAGGAAGCTGTAGAACATGAGTCAAACTGCCTCGAGACGCAAGGGCTACCTTCACCGAGATTGATTGCGAAGGCGGAAGTGACGAGGAACGCTTCGGAGTCCTATTAGTGTCTATCCGGGCTTTGCCCGTCATTGGCGGCTGATTGCGAATGTCTGCTTGAGGCAATGGCCCAAGGTCTCTGAGCTGATATTTTGCCGCTCGCTCTCGCGCATCGACTGTGCTGATGCCATCGTCACTATCACTACTGCTGTCGGCTTGCACTTTGTCATGGTATAGCGAGCTTTGCTCGGAAAGATGCAGGCGTGACATACGTCGGTCGAAAGAAGCATTTTGGGGAGCTGGGACCCTCGGAAGATCTTTGTCCAACACCTGAGGCGATAAGGCAGGCTGTCCGGGAGATGCCTTCGTTATGGACATGCCCATTGGTGACAGTCCAGAGCCTTCCATCCTCGGCCACTGATCTATATCCGAGACGTCATGAGGAGGATCTACTTGGTTGTCAGACCACTGGCGAACGAGGACCTGCGCCTCGATGGTGGAGAAGCCGATCCAGTTGTGCTTGTTTGATCTTTTGTCGAGAATAGCCTCTCTGAGCTTGTGCTCCACTGAGCCAGAGCGAGAATGGGTGGGAGCGCCTGTTGGCAGAGCGTCTGATAGTGGATCACTTTCGCTGAGCATGCTCGCTGGCCTGCTGCGATTGATTCTGGATTGAGGGTCGGCAAAACTCCTGCGAGACTGAGGTTGAAGCGACAATTGGGTGGTGGATCCGCTATCTGATGCATCTGAAGCGGCGATCAGTTGAGCAAGGGGTTTCAAGTGCAGCTCCCGTACGTCAGAGTCCCTTAAGCGTACAAGCACGGCACGACGCCCGAAGTTGAGAAGCAAGCAAAGGTCTGCTTTATGCCAGGAGGTCGGGGCAGCGCTTACAAGTGTTGTCTTTGTAGGGCTAGAAGCACCGATCATGCGAGCAGAGCCGTTCATAGAGCTAGTTTCGCGATTGGAAGGAGCCTTCTTAGATATCGACAAAGGACCGTCGGCCGTTGCAACCCTCAACTTTGTCGGTCCAGCGTTGAGAGGCAGGGAGCTGAGACTGGCGAATGGATGTAGTTGATCATCGACTGCTGCAGGAGCAAAAGTGACAGCCTTAATGAGGAAGGGAGCATAGAGTTCTTTCACGAAGGACCAAGCGCGAGTGGTACCGTGTCGGGGCACGGCAGCTTCGTAAACCATGACGGTCCGAGCATAAGTGATGGCAAGATACCATGTTCCAGAGGCTTTGGTGTCGGTCGCCGCCTCATGGACGGAGAAGAAGAGGACACCTTTGGAAGCCGCTTGTGAGCTCGCTTCACGCTCCTTGCCCTTTGTGCCGCCATTTCTGCTTCCTGAGAAGGATTGAACAAGATCATCGGCAAAGAGCGAGGTGAAGGAGGCAGTACTGTTATGAGATGCAGCTGATGAGTGCGCTGGTGGCTGTATGGGCACTGAGCTCGTGGCCAAGGAGACGGCAGCTGCATGTGCAGGGTCAATTTGCCGTTTTGTTGCCGGTGGAGACGTTCGAGGGGAGCCAGAAGCACGAGGGTCATGGCGGAAGGTGGCACCGCGAGAGAGTTGTGGAAGTACACCGAATCCTGTTGAGGAATGTTGCGAAGAAGATGAGGACATGGTAGTCCCGGAAAGTCTCGGCATCGGATCGATCGTGGCAGAAAGCGAAGATTCTGACTGAGTGCATTCGTGTGCAGGCTTTCTGGGCTGCGATCTTGCTTTCTGCCGGGAGAACGTCTTTCTGAACATAGTGCCAAGGCCTCCACGCCTATCTTCCGAGCTTTCTGATGAGGAGGCGAGATCGATGGGGAGCTGGGCGTCGTTCCTGTCGAGCGCGTAAAGCAAGAGCTCTCGAATGGACTGCAAGTGCCACATTCGGACGACGCCAGATCCACCAGGGGGTACAGCGCGCCTTGGTCCGCCGCCAGCTGTGGGCCCAAAGTTGGCAGCGGCGATGCCTTCATTGGGATTGGAGATACGATGGCCATTGTGACTCAAGTTGGATGAGCTGGGAGTAAAGGAGCCAGAGGCTGCGACGTTCTCCAGTACGGAACCGGCATGAGCGCTGAGTTGCATGAGGGAAGAAGCGAACAAGCCATCTCGTGCTGAAGATGGACAAGTGAGGGCAAGTAAGACGCCAGAGATGGCTGTGCTGTTTGGCTGTGACATGCGGCTTTTGGCTGCGGCAGCGTCGGCCTTGGATGCTAGCAGACACATCTGATAGACGGCTATACCGGAAAGGACGTGGATGCAGCGGATGTTGTCGTTCCACTGTTTGCAAGTTGTCGAGGGACTGGGAGGAGCGTCTTGTGTCTGACGAGAATAGGAGTGATCCTGAGGCTGTCGGATTTGGACTGCAAAGAGGCCAAGAGCGGTGCCTACGAGAAGCACTTGTCTCGGTGCCAGGCTAGATTTGTCTCGGTGATGAACGGAGGGTGGCAATTGGACAAGTAGGCTGCACAGGGGCTGAGCAGGGAGATGTGGAATGAAGCGAGAGCCATAGTGGTGAACATGCAGCGGAGGCAAAGATGATGGGTCCATGATGGATGCTATGTTTTGAGGAGGAGGAGCTGAGTTGGCATCGTCATTGATGGCGTCAGGACCATCGACCCATGCGCCCCAACTCTTCTTCCTGTTAGGTGGCTCTACTCTGCTGGAAGGTGCGAGATGCTGTGAACTGGCTTGGCTGTCAAGTTGGGCGTAATGGCGCTCGAGGGCACGCTTCTCTAGCCAAGATCCCCATCGTGGAAAGCGTGAGGCAAACACGCGAGGCATCGGTTGTTCGGAGGGAGACCAAGGGGCATCGGAAAGGGCAAGCTGATCTGCTGCAGCGCCGTGTTGGTATTCAAAGTAGGAGGCTGACACTGGGTCAGAGGTGTGCAATGCTGGAGGCGTGGGCGGAAACTGATGCGAGTCGTATCGAGGGGGAAGATGGTTGAGTGAGGATGAAAGAGTTGACTCTGCGGGCGATGAGAAGGCAGGGAGAGGATTGGAAGATGGAGGTAGATGATTAGATGAGATGCTGTCATCATGCTGGAAGGGGGAGGCCGTCGCTATCAGGATGTCTGGGCGCTCGTGAGGATGGTGAGCACCTGGAGGCAGCACCGTCTGCTGGCCTGGTTGATGGCTTGTGGTCGGCTGCCGCCTGTGGTTGTCCATGTTTGGCTATGGACCAGATCGGAGTCTCTGCGAGGCGGTTTCCATTGTTCTTCAAGGTTCGCAAACCAAGGTGTGTTGGGCCGCAAGTCGTGTCGCTATTGCCTGACAGCTTGCGAGTGAAGCGGCTAAGGGGGCAGAGATGGTGGTGTGGCAAACAACTGCGCTCCTTGCTGAACAGTGTCTCTAGACTTGATTGAAGGAGATGGCCAAGCTGATTCAGACGATCGGAGGAGCCGAAGGCATTCGGTTGCTTACAGTCAAGAAGCCAAGAGCAGGCAAATGATAGATAGCTTCACATGAACCGTGCACTGCTGCCTGATATTTTAGCAAGCCACCAAGGCCTCGGCAGCTTTTTGGCAAGTCACAATTTATGGTTTGGTGGATTTGCTTTTCTTGTATGGCTCTTCTAGAATCACACTTGAAAAGCAGCACATCAATGTGAGCAATACAGAAGCACACTCTACACAGTCGGAATGCAAGCGCTTCAGCAGTCCAAGTGGAAGAGAGCAGCTCAAACAGTCAAGCAGCTCAAACGATCAAGCAGCTGGCCAGTCGGTTGCGCTGCGCTAGAATCCATAAAGATACAAATACAAGGTGATATGGGACATCTCAAGGAAAGCCCTTTGAGCGCTCTCGGTAAATCAGAGGTCGAGTCGCATGTGAAGAGCATCCTCTCCGTCGGCGTAGTAAGCCTTTTCCACGCCGTGAACCTGGAAGCCGAGCGTATCGCGATACAGTCCGATCGCAGCACGGTTCGTCTGTCGGACATGTAAAGAGACAAACTTGGCGCCGAATACATCTCGCATCGCCTCCTCTGAATGGTAGAGTAGAGTAGAGTAGAGTACAGTAGAGTAGAGAATTACGCCAGGCAATAAAGAAGAGTGTGTCAGTCAGATCGCCTCACTATGCCAAAGATAGCTGCACTTACGACTCTGCTTCATGAGCTTGTTGGCCAAACCAAGTCGACGATATGATCGAAGCACACTGATGCTTGTCACGTGTCCGTGAGGGATGCCCTCCGCTGGTTCTTCCTCCATCTTGCCGAGAATGTATCCGACGACCCTTCCCTTTTCGTCCTCGGCAACGTAGGAGAGCTGAGGCCAGGTCAAAGCATGGTAGAGATAGTATCGTAGTGTGTAGTTCTCCGGCAGATTGTGCAGGTTGCAGTTCTGCATGCCCAGCAGGTCATCGATCTGTCGCCGACGGCAATGGTCGAAAGCAAGAAGAATAGTTGGTCAGTAAGCTCTATCCCTTCCTCGACGGCATCATCTTCCAAAGGCTTCCAGGATACGCACTGTTGCTTCGCGAATGTTCATGATGAATTGCAAGCCAGCGAGTTTGCTCAAGTTGGAGGTCTCGTTGTTATAGAGTTGCTTTGAAAGGTAGAGAGAGCGGCAAGGTAGGATAACGCCAACAGCTCCTTCTCAAGGTGGAGCCTTCGCAGTCACGTGTGGATTTTTGGCCCGATTACGATTTGACAACCGATGTGGCCGATGGCCCCGACGCAAGCAGGTCATGTGCAGAATAATGCATTCATTCCAAAGGGTCGAGCGTTGCATTCTGTTGCGTGTGTGTGTAGAGATTTCTAACGTATTTTCGCTCAACTGCCCACTTTCTCGCCCCCTTTTCGGTTCATTTGGCGGGCCCTTGCGGGAGGAGAGACGCAGACACACAACACACACACCTCTTTCTCTCTCCCCCTGACGTGTTTGCTTGTAAGGGTGACTGTCTGACTGTTTGAATTGTGTCAATTTGGTTTTTTTTTGTTTTTTGTTTTTTGTTTTTTGTTTTTTGTTTTTTGTTTTTTTTTTTTTTGGCGCTGCTCACCCCCACGACATGCTCTCTCTGTCTGGTGGCTCCTCCACGCAACGCAGGCAACACACGCTTACGCTTCACCAAATTCCAACAGAGGAGACCAGCGCAATCCGCGACAGACAAACCACACCCCCCCCCCCAACCCCCACTTTTGACTTTCTTGCGTCACGCTTCTTCTTGGTTTGCCGACGAAGCCTTTGTGTAGCCTCCCATACCATCTTGGCTCATCGCACCACAGCATCACAGCATCGTCAAAAGTCGGCATCTTTGCTTTTCATCTTGATTTCGTCAACTACCAAGTCTCTTGATCGCATCAGATAGTCATCTCTCTCTTTCGCCTACCCATCTTTGCCTCCATTACGGCCGACCCTTACAATTAGAAACGAATGTTTCGCAGACACGACAAGGACACCTCTAAGGGAAGCAAGAAGGATACTAACAAGTCTCATCCAATGACCGACGCAGCAAAGAGTGGTCGTCCAGGCAACCTCGACGCCTCCCAACAGGAGGCGCTCGACCAGTTCCGCTCCATCATCCAGCAGAAGGGCCTCTTCAACCCAGAGCGTCACGACGATGCCTGCTTGTGTCGATTCCTTCGTGCTCGAAAGTGGGACTTGCCAGCCACAGAGGCCATGTTCACCGAGGCCGAAAAGTGGAGGGCCGAGTTCAAGGTCGAGCAGCTTTACCACTCTTTCGAGTACCCCGAAAAGGAGAAGGTCGATCAGTACTATCCCCAGTACTACCACAAGACTGACAAAGACGGTCGTCCGATCTACATTGAGCAGCTCGGCAAGCTCGATCTCAAGGCTCTTTACCAAGTCACCACTCCAGAACGTCAGATCCAGAAGCTCGTCGTCGAGTACGAAAAGTTCCAGCGAGAACGTCTTCCCGTCTGCTCCGCTCACAAGCGAGAGCTCGTCGAGACTTCCTGCACCATCATGGACCTTAAGAACGTCGGTATCTCTCAATTCTGGAAGGTCTCCGGATACGTTCAGCAGGCCTCCAACATCGGTCAGCACTACTACCCTGAGACGATGGGCAAGTTCTACATCATCAACTCGCCCTACATCTTCACCACTGTCTGGTCCGTCATCAAGGGCTGGCTCGACCCCGTCACCGTCGACAAGATCAAGATTCTCGGTCACAAGTACCAAGACGAGCTCCTCCAGCAGATCCCTGCCGAAAACTTGCCCGCCAGCCTTGGAGGCAAGTGCGACTGTCAACGTGGATGCTCTCTTTCCGACGCAGGGCCGTGGAACACTGAGGAAGGTCGTCAGATCATCGACAAGGTCAGGGTAGAGGAGAAGCACAAGAGGGAACAGCACGAGCGCAATGCCTCCCTTGTTGCTACCGATGCTTCCACCCACGATGCTTCTACCCACGATGCTTCTACCCCCGCTGCTCCCGTTGCCCAAAACGGCTCGGCACCTGCTTAAAAAAAAAAAAAAAAAGTGTCGCCGCTTCAACAACTACGGCATTTACCATTCCTGGCCTGTCTATTCTTCTCTCGGAACGGTTGCACACATCAGCGCTTTCATCCGCCTGGCTGCCCGTCATAACCTTCATGTACTTAGTTTATTTATTTATTTTTTTCTTCTTTTTTTGGTTCTTTTCCCTTCCAACTTAGCTTTCGTCACCAACCGCACTTTTCGTGAAATAGATCCATCGCACATCTTCAAAACTGCTCTTCCATCACAGAAAGCACAGAAAACTGCATGTGGCTCAGGGTTACTACCAACAGTCGAGGTGAGCTGCAAGATACGCTTAAGTCCGACAAGTCTGTTGCCGATTCAAGGCTGTGTAGCTTCACAATATTCCTAACAATATTCGGTAATTGGAATATAGGTGTTCGTGTAGAAGGGAAATGCAACAATGGCTCCTTAGCTCAGTTGGTTAGAGCGTAGCACTGTTAATGCTGAGGTCGGCGGTTCGAGCCCGCCAGGGGTCGGTGATTGCGATTTATTTTATCCGATTTCTCCTTTTTTTTTTTTCCTTTCTTTTTGACATTCCTCCCAGATTCTGCCATGCGTATATCTCCTCGTTTTCATGACACCCAAGCAGAACAGAAGAGACTAGGCTTGCTTAAAACATACCTGGAATGCAATACCCAACATCGCCCTATTCAAAGCCATCAACATGACAGAAATAGTGCAGATACAAGAAAGCAGAAGCACACCTTCTATCCTCTCATGATTCTGCAAGCGTTCTTCAAGACAGCAAAGACAGGTTCGTACAGTTCTGTTCGAGTCGGAATACAAATGCACTCGCTAAGGCCGACTGAAACTTGATTGCCATGCAATGATAACGATGATGATGCAAAGTCTATTTGGCGAGATGGCCTGTGTCAGCACGAGAAGAAACAGAGGGCGGCGTAAGGCCCTCGCCTGTGCTTGGTGGGCTGGAATGATGTACAAAAGGACTGAGGATCGGAGAAACGTCCGAGTCAGAGGGATTGCTGTTACCATCCGAATGCAATCGCTTGTGCGGTGGAGGCTGTGCTTGACCAGCGTTGCTTTGTAACCTTTGAAGCGGACTGTCCTTGGCGCTGAGCAATTGTGGATTGATAATGCAAGCTTTGCTTTCAAGGCATGTGACACTCTCAGCGCTCGATTGACGCGATCCTGATTGAGTTGCTTCGTGGAAAAGGCCATCACCTTCGGATGGAGGGTTCAGTTGAGCTGTCTGTCTTACGGGACTGCTCGACGCCGAGGGCACCAGACTCGGCGCCTCGCTGGTACGTGTGCACACGGGACCTCCCACGGGATACCTTTGCCTCTCCTGGTTAGTCAGCTGTGATTGATGAGAGTTGCGAGGGCGGTTGTTCTGATCTGATGCTTGAGTCCAGACCAAGCCACTTGTGAAATCTTCGGATGCGCCGATACCGCTGTTGCTCCTGAAGGCGGGCGTGCGCTGATCTGTGGTCATTGCCATCTTGCCACCAAATCCGAGCGGCTGGGGAGGAATGATCTGAATCGAGTCTCTGTTGAGAGGCGAGTGTGGTAGATATGAGTCGCGCCGACCGGAATTCGACATGTATGATAGCTGTGAAGCAGGAGGAGATTTGAGATACGACCTTTTGAGAGTCATGGTAGACGACGAGCTGGAAATGGTGGAAGCACCTCGATAATGCGGATCGTAGATGTCTGAAGGGGCGCAAAGGACTACCGATTCCAGACGGCCGACAGATGGTGAAGGCATTTCGTTTGTGCAAGTAGATGCAAGGCCATCGTTTTGTGGCTGCCAGTTGGCTGTGCAAGATGAGGAGGCGGCGAGGTAATGTGATGAGCCTGCGCCTCTGTGTTTAGAATCGAGGGTAGGAAGATGGGATACATTTGACATGACAACACCGCCATGATAAGCTGTTGGTGGTTGGCTGACAGGAGGCAGTTGCTCTGGACGATACATGCAATTCCAGACTTTGCGATAGGTTTTGTAGGCAACGAAGACGAGTGCGATGCCTCCAAAGATCGAGGCAACTACGATCGCAGCTGTGTTGGGCTGTGACATGCTGGGCAAGAGTCGAGTTGGGATCAGAGCTTATTGCCGCAGCCTCTTCGTGCTTCGATGGACGCACTGCTGAAGATTCAAGGGACCTATGCGATTCGTGTCGTCGTGATCATGCTGGAGTCGATTGAGCTTTTGGCCGAGGCTGCGAGTCGAATGTGCGAATTTCTATCGATGTAGCGCAGTGAGTCGTGCCTTGACTGTGCGCTGTCTTATCCTTGGGTCAGCAGAGGCGGGGGAAAGCTTGCAAGGATAAAGGGACCTGCGTGCCTGGAAGGCAAGGAGGTTGAGGCGACGGAAGCCTACGAAAGCGACTATGGATGTACGAGAAGAAAGGTCAAAGATGATGTACCTGAATGAAAAGAGGATGCAGCGTCTGGCAGCAAGGAGGAAGGTTTTGCTTGATCACAACCGAACGATCCTTGACAGGATCAATGAGGCACAGTGCAGTTCAGCAGAGTTGCACTGCTGGGGCAAAGGGTGGTCGTGGCAAAAAATGATGAGCGTGATGAGAGTGATGAAAGTGATAAAAGTGATAAAAGTGATAAAAGTGATAAAAGTGATGAGAGTGATGAGAGTGCCGAACTGGTCGTCGGAGTTACAAAGCCCAAAGTAAGAAAGATTCGAGAGAACAACCTTGGCCAAGGAAGGCTGAGCATGACGGGGCAGACCCAGAGAGGCGTGCGTGTAGGAAGCGAGGTCAAGGTAGGATTGATACAGATTCACATTTTTGCTTGCCGAAAGGCAGTTGCTGCAGCGTGTAGTCACAAAGAACAAGCCTCGATTTCCTCTTTTTCTCTTGTCATCTTCCTCCCAACCGCTTGTTTTGTTTTGTTTTGTTTTGTTTTTGTTTTGTTTTTCTTTTCTTTTGGTTTGTTTTTGTTTTGTTTTGTTTTGTTTTGTTTTTCTTTTCTTTTCTTGTTGTTCTGATTGGACTTGATGATCTGCAAGGCACTCACGCACCTCTCCTGACGTAGACAATCGCACAGCAAACATGTTTCCGAGTCGGCTCATCTTCCGATGGATGCCCCCTCCACCTCCCGATCCAACGACTTGACCCGATCTACCTCCTTTCCATCTTGACCAGACGCCGTGTCTCCACGGAGGCAAGCCTCAGGCAAGCCTCAGGCAAGCCTCAGGCAAGCTCGAGCCTGTTAGAGCACCTCCTCTTTTTCTGTTTTCTGTTCTGTTTCTTTCTCCACATCAGGCTTCTTTGAAAGTCAGTCCTCCAACACACTCATCCTTTCATCGTGACCAGCATCAACGAACAACGAACAAGTATTTCCTTGCCTACAATCCTCAGCGCAGATTAACCACATTGGAGCTTGCTCTCGCTTGTCAGTAGGGGTGGGGTGCTGCATGTCGCAACTCCCACCTTTCCTTCCAAGTCGAGATCTTCGAGACTTGCGGGCGCTCGACCTGACCTCGCCCGAATGTCTCGATGCTGTTCGGAGCAATCTTGATAGCCTAGCTATCCTACTTGGTGCGAGCGGTGGTCAAATCATCCACGCACCACCGAAACTTGAGCAAGTCTACGAGCAGGACAGCTGCTTACACGAGCCAGCTGTGGAGCATCCGCCAAGGGAGGTCGACTCATTTGAAAAGAGCTATCTTACACGATGGCTCACCAGGCTTATTTCCGAGCTCTTGTCCATCTCGACCGACGATGACGCGACCACCGCTAGCTTGCAACGCCTCTCAGAGCGATGTGCCGAGCTGCTTGCCCTCTCCGCCGGTAGGATGGCCGCAGGTGCATCGGTGCAGGACCACATCTTCCAGCTTGACGACCAGACCCTGAGTGTCAAGTTAAGAGATGGTGCGCTTGTGCATGATTCGCTTGGCACACATACATGGGGAGCTGCTCCTATCCTCTCGCAGCTCCTTCTCCCTCTGAAAGCAGATACTTGTCAAGACCTAAACATTCTCGAGCTTGGTGCTGGCACCGGCCTGGTCGGCTTGGCGATAGCATTGTGGTCTCGCCAACATCGAACCGAGAGCGCGACCCGCTTAGTCTGCTCTGACTACCATCCCACAGTCCTCGAAAATCTTGCACACAATCTTGCACTCAATGGCTGGCCATCTTCAGGCAAGACAGCCTCTTCATCCGCGTCTGTTGAAGTGATTGTACGCTCTCTCGACTGGCAGAGCGTCCACGGAGCACAGTATGGAGATGCATCGGATCAAGTGCAGAAGCTAACCTCCCAAACATTGCCTAGTCACCTTGCTCAGCTCAAGAATTGCCACTGGGCCGCACCTTTGGACGCAGAGACGTACTCTGGCTCTTTCGACCTCCTTGTTGCAGCAGATTGCATCTACGATCCTCTCCATCCCTTCTGGATCCGCTCAGTGGCACAAAAGCTCCTAAGGATGCCAGACAGCGCAGCTAGAGCGAAGCCGTTGCTGCATGTCATGGTTCCGCTCCGACCAACGCATCAGCAAGAGATGGAAGCCGTCTATCAAGCCTTCCAGCCAGAGCTAGATGAAGATTGTCCTCAGCTCGTCATCTTGTCCGAACAGGACTACCAAGGGTACGAGAACTTTGGAGCATGGAACTCTGTTGTCAGAGGCGGCGACGATACATCCCAAAGCCAACCCGAGGGTGGTCTACCAAGAACGTATCGTTGGTTCCAGATAGGCTGGCAGAGCTGAAAATGTTCGACTGCACAGAGCATCAAATCGAAATCAAAGAGAGTCGGATGATCGGGACTAGCCCACACCCGATGAGTATATCTGCCGATGCAAGCCATCTACAGGGCTCGTGCGTGTGAGCTGCTCTAATTCAATTCGTCGGTGCCCACGAAAATGGTGGTGACCGAAAAAGAGAGAGAGAGAGAGAGAGAGAGAGAGAGAGAGAGAGAGAGAGACCCAATCAGAATTGAACGTCGACCAGAATTGAACGTCGACTCTATGCGGCTCCTGACCGAGATTTCAGTTCTGCAGAGGCTTTGCGGCGCAACATTTCAAGGCTCGTCAAGACACAGCAGCCAAGCCTATATGTTCTCTCGTCAAGTTGGAGGCTCAAGCTCTCTTTCCGTAAGCTGCCCTCGGCTCAATCCACAATGAAACGCGCCAAAATGGTGCAGACAGCAGAAAACAAGTGCGAGAAAGTGAGGTGGCTTTGCTCCGCCTCGACTCGCCTGCCCTATTCTTTTTCTGACCTTGGGCATCTGAGTTTGGCTATCCTGCGTTTGGCGATCCCGCGTTTGGCCTGCTGCTTGCCTCTCACTCTCTCGCTCGAGGCAAGAGGCTTTTGGTCGTCTCATTTCGGGAGCTGCGATATTTTGCCCCTGCCGCTTGCTCATCTCACGACACACACAAACTCGAGGAGCGGCGTCAGCATTTCCCTTGCCTTCGCTCCCCACCACCACCCTCTCACTGCACAGCGTCCCTCATTCGTCGTCTTTTCACTGCGTAAGTGTCCACTGCCTCCCTCTTCAATCGGCCTCTCTCCTCTTAGCCTGCTCGTCGTCATCCGCTCTTCCCTTGTCTGGCACCCTTGTCTGGCCACCCTTGTTGTGCCCCACTCGCCTCACCTGCCCCACACTTGCTGTCCGTTCCTTTTCCCCTGCCCGTGTACGTTTTGTTTCTCTGTGTATGCTCTGGCTTTCGCCCTTGCTCCGCCCACTCTCGCTCTTGCTGCGTGTCGTCGTCGTCGCTGCTTGGCCCCCCTTCGCCCTCGCTCCCCCTCTGCCTCTGGGTTCAACTTGCTCTGGGTTCAACCGGGTTCAACCTGCACGCTGGTGGCTGCCAGTCTCGCAGCTCTCGAAACTTCATTTCACCTTTTCCCTTTCCCTGTTCCCCCCTTTTTCTTTTTTTTTCTCTTTTTTTTTTTTTTTTTTTTCTCTTCTTTTTTTCTTTTTGGCTCGCTGTGACCAGGTGCATCCTCATCGCACTTTGTCCGTCGTTTCGTCTTGCCCTTCATCTCGCCCTTCAACAGCAGTTGTGCTCACCACTTGCATTCTGCCTCAGTACTATCACTAGCTCCTCTCTACAGTCACATGCTGAGAGCAAAGCAGCTTCTTGACCCACCAAAGCCCTCTTTTCCCTTTCATCGTCGTTCTCGTTGTCGGTAAGTGCCTCCTCTTTCCCTCCCCTCCCTCCCTCCCTCCCTTGCTTGCTTGCTTGCTTGGTAGCTCTCTTTTTCCCTTGCTGCTGCCGATCCTCTTCCCGAGCCTGCTTCCTCGTCGTCTAGTGCTGCTCTTGGCCATCCTGCCACAGTCCTTGTCGTTGCCGCCGCCGCCTTTCATGTGTAGTGTAGTTTGTTTTGTCAGTGACCTAGCTCCTCTTGAACCCTGTCGGCTCGTCATGCCTCTGCTCGTGCCCTTGGCGACTTGCATGCTGCAATCATGTCGCTCTCGTCGCTCCTCGTTGACTTCACTTGGGCTGCACAGGTGACAATGGCTCGATGCATCAAGGTCTGAGAGGCGACGTCCACATGCTTCTTTCATCAGAGACAGAGACAGTTAGAAGACATCCAAGCCATGATTGCTGCCGTCGAAGCGCTTGGCTCTATCCCTTTCCCTCTATCTCTTTCCCTCTATCTCTTTCCCTCTATCCCCTTTCCCTCTGCACCTGTCGAGAGCTTCGAGGCGATCTTGATGATCCCGCCTATGTCCGAAACACCCACAGATCCAACACCTCGGATGGCAGCTCTCCCCGTTTGACATCCATTCACCGTCGTTGCCAAGATCCAGCTTCTGGCATGGATGGCTCAGTCGCGATGTGGCCGATTTGCCACCTCTCCTAGTGGATCTAACAATGATCTTAATTCTCTCTGATCTGGCGCTTCGATCTTCAGTCGGCCGATTCCGATTTCGATTCCGATTTCGATTCCGATTTCGATCCCGATTTCGATCCCGATTTTGCAACTGCCAAGGGATATTCCGTTGGTCGCGCTTAGACTCTCTGCTCAGCTGCCTCTTGCTCGACGCGTTGCTGTTTTTGCCATTCCCGCTCCTCATTTCGCGTTGCAAACAACCCACACAACGCGCTACGCGCTACAGTACCGCCGCCATCTCATCCATCCATCCAACCTCTCCTCCACCTCCCTCTCCTTCTCACCTCCCTTGCCTTGGCCTCCATTTCAGCTTCTTCATATCTTGATTTTTTTTTTTTCCAACCTTGTTTCTGACTTGGCTTGCTCCTCTCCTCGCCTTGCCACATACTATCAGCGACCTTCTTCGCTAGTCTCTTTTCACTTGTCAACCCGCTACGCATTGTCCTCGTCGCTGCATTCACTTCTGACGCGTGGTATGTTACCATCCCCCCATTTGACGCGTCTGTTGCGCACATATGACGCGTCTACGCTCATCTGCTGACATCCGCCAACGAACCGCCCCCCCGCGCCCCCGCCCCCGCCCCTTCATCTCGCATCTTGACACGTGCCCATCTCGCTGCCACCATCTCACGCTCGCCTTTCTTCGCGACGGGATCGTAGTGGCGGATTGAAGTGATTCGCGTCGTTTCGCGACGAGTACACCTTTACTGACGAGCTGCTCTTCCATGGACTCGCAGCAACTCGTTTCGCCGCAAGAAGCGGCCGCTCAAGCCCAGGCCCGAAGAATGCAACCATCTGACGCACTTGGCCACCACAGTCATCACCATCACTCTCACGGAAGCGACGACGACGTTTCTTCAGGTCAATACTTTAACCCAGCAGCCATGGTATGTATCCCTATTCTAACCCATCCCCCTTTCTCACCTCCACTCTGCGCAATGCCTCTTATGTCTCACGACACTGACAGCTGACTCTCTCTCCCGCCTTCTTGTTACAACAGCACTCACGAAACATCGGAATCAACGACGGCAACGCGCCGTCCCACTACGGCGGCATGCAGCTGCCCCCTCTCGGCGCCGGCCAGAGCAACGGAAGCCATGGGAGCATGGGCCACCACGCCTATGGCTACGGCGGTCAGTCGCATGCCATGCCTTCGCAGCTGTCCTATCCTCAGCACTCGCCTAATCCCTCGCACGCCCACATCTCGGCTGGTCAGAACCCCGGTCCCATGTCCATGTACGGTTATGGCGTCCACCACTCCTCTCCCCAGCAGCACTACTCGCATGTACCCGGACAAGCTGCCCACGGCGGAATGGGTGGTTTGGTCGGCGGAGCTGGCTCGAACCCCATGATGGGTGCCCCCGGTGGAGCCTCTTCTGGCAACGACTTCAACCACGGTTTCGGTCACCAATCGCACTACCAACAGTACTTCCAGCCTCAAAACCTTCAGAGCATCTCTCCTAGCCAGGCTGGCGCCCCTCCTTCCTCCGCCAACGCTGCTGCCACCGCTGCCGCCAACACCGCCGGCACCGCTGCTGCTGCTAAGGGCTCGGGCAAGACCGCCAAGGCTCCCAAGGCTCCCAAAGCCCCTAAGGTGGATAAGAAGGCTGCTGCTGCTGCCACCTCCGCCGCTGTACCCGTCAAGACTGCCCCCGAGCCCAAGGCCAAGGGTTCCAAGAAGGGTGCCAGCGCTGACGCACCAAAGGCCAAGTCCAAGGCACATCCTTATGCCCAGCCCGAGCCTGCCAGCGAGGCTAAGCCTGCTAAAAAGTCCAAGAAGAGCGAGGACCCTCCCAAGCCTTTGACGCTCAAGTCGCGTTTGAAGCCCCCGAAACAGGCTCCCTCGGCTTGGCAAATCTTCTTCACGGAAGAGCTTCAAAAGATCAAGGCTCAGAGCCCCGACGAGCGCCTCAACGTTGCTCACGTCGCCAAGGATGCCGGTCAGCGCTATGCCGCCCTGCCCGAGTCCAAGAAGCAAGAGTTCCACCGTCGCAGCCTCGAGGCCAAGGAGCAGTGGGAGCGTGAGATGGCTGAGTGGAAGTCCAAGCTGACCCCCGAGGACATTCGTCAAGAGAACCTTTACCGTTCTGCTCAGAGGAAGGCCGGCAAATCGAGAAAGGGTAATCTCAAGGACCCCAATGCTCCGAAGAAGCCCCTCTCGGCCTACTTCTTGTTCCTTCGAGCCATCCGAGCCGACCCCAACATGACACAAGCCGTCTTCGAGGGTGAGCAAGAGACCACCAAGCAAAGTGTTCTTGCTGCCGCCAAGTGGCGAAGTTTGAGCGAGCCTGAGAAGCAGCCCTACTTGGATCGCGCCGAGGCCGACAAGGCTCGATACGAGCGTCTGCGACGCGAATACGAAGCCAACAACGGCCTTGAATCCTGATCTTGGAGTATCGCGTGCTGTCCTTTGTAGTCTGTTCTCGTTGCTACCTATACCACCCGTTCTTCCGTCCTCCCCTTCTCGTAATGTTGTAGTCTTATCGCACCCTTGATCTCCAGCCGCGTCGTTCGGTCAACTCGTGTCGTGCCCTTTTCCCTGACTTCTTTCTCCCCCTTTTTTTCCCGCCAAGTCATCTTGGTTGCCGAGCACATTCATCCCCGCAAGGCAAGCAGATCGCTCGTCCATGTATTTTTGCACCCCCTTTTTTTTTTATAACTTTCCTCGCCCATCTCGGAGACTCTCATGTGTCGTCTGTAAACCAAGTGGGAGTAAGTGCGAAGGATGTATGTCCGTGTGTCCGTGTGTCGGCGTGTCGGCGTGTCGGCGTGTGCGTGCGCCGCTCAACAAGCTGCGGTGTTCAACTCATCACAAGCCTTGCACAATGCCAAGGATTGGAAGCGGAATGCAGTTTTTGCGTCTTGCTCTCAAGTGATCATTGTCATGTTTGCATGATCGATGCTATAGACGACATTAGCGACGACATATGATACTGATTGCAAGCAGCGACAGTGTCAAGAGGCATGTACAAAGCGAATGACCATGATCGAGGTGTTATCCGTGCTGAATTCTGACAAGGCATGCTCGAGCAATCGTTGCGAGGCCTCTTGAGGATCCTGAAGGTCCTTGATGAGATCCACCGCTTCTTGATCCTCAATAACGTCCCAAAGCTGTCCAAACAATGGATGGTCAGCCTGGCACGAAAGCGGGAGCAACTCGATCTGGACTGTGAAAGACTTACCCCATCGCAGGCAATAATAAGGAAGCTATCTTCGCTCCCAAGAACGGTCTCGGTCGTGTATGGAGAACCGACGACGAACTCTTTCATCGCAGAATCTCCTAATGAGCGAGTCACGGCAAGTACACCGTTGACGCGAGAGTTCATCACGAAACCTCCTGCATCGGTGATCCGCTTAGCTTCTTGTGCATCAGAGCCCTTGTGATCGTAGCTGAGGCGAACTGCTTTACCGTCGCGGCTGTCATGGTCGTCAGATTGATTTGCAAGAAAGTTGTTGCTGTCAGCGATCGTATGGTCGTGCGTCGGAATGTCCACATACTTGTCCACTTACCAGAGCACGGCCCGCGCGTCACCGACGTTGGCGGTGTACAACACTCTTCTGGGTGTTGCGGACGATATCTCTGTACGCTTACCATCCGCTGATTCGAAGCGCTTTGAGATCCTGCCCCAGAGACCATCGCCCGTCGCCGCCTCCTTGCTTGTCTCGGAGGCTGTTGTGTCGCTGTTCCCCTTTCCACCCACGTTCGGGTTTGCATTCGCTTTCAGTGGGCGGCTAGACTCGTCTTCGAGCCGTAAGAAAGCAACGGCGGCAGTGCATCCGCTGGAGGAGCCCTTCTGACTGGCGAGGCTGGCAAGCTCCTTGTCGACGATATGGAAGGTGGCATTAAGCAGGTCGGGGACTGGCTTGTCAGAGTCGAACTCTAACGTCTTGAGGAGATACTGTATCAATCACAGGTGGCCCAATCGCATCAGTGATACGTCAAAGTTTGGAAAGAGCGAGAAGGGCAGGTTCTTACCTGATGAAAGTTCTGACCGCACCATTCGGCAGCGTCCTTGCCGGCATGTCCATCGAAAATACCGAAGAAGCCTTGGCCATGGACGTCTCCAAAGTCGTACACAAAGGCGTGTGCATCCTCCATTGCCCTTCGCCAACGTTTGTTCGAGTCCTCTGATATGCCGACGCGGAATGACATGCCTTGGGTGGCACCCGAACCTGAGCCCTGTGCGCTTGCGCCATCCTCCTTCGACTGAGATAGATTAGGATGCTGGTTCAAGACCTATTACAGAGTGCAGCACCGGAGGAACAGTCAGTATGATGGAGCCAGTGAATGAACTTGCGAGGACGCTGTCCGTCTGTTTGTGGACTCACACCATGTGTGTGAATGCCGTCAGCTACGGTGACCGGCGCTGATTCGGCATCTCCTGATTTCCTGTTGTAGCATATCAAAAACCCAGCGGCCAGGTTAGCAGGTTTTACTCTTCAAACAGTTACACCATCTTGCGTCACTCACTTCTCGCGAGCAGCCATCGCTGCTGCTAGTTAGTCGGTGGAATGGCACCTCCTTCTACAGCGTGCAATCAATCGCGCTTGTCCCTGGGTCGTCGTTCGTTTTGCTTTGTGAAGGAAAGCTACGCTTAAACGCAGCAGCAGTGGCTTGATACGGATCAATCGCGACTATCAGTGTTGATGGTTTCGGCTTCGAGGCTTCGTTGGTGGTTGAGAAAGGAGGCTGGGTTGCTGCTGAGCAAGAATATGGCGGATTGGATGTCGATCTCCAGGCCAACTGCGGGCTGTCCGGCTGACTGTGCCTTTTCTTTTTCCGTTAAATTTACCGTTAGTGTTGCTGAACAGGCGAAATTCGCATGTGACGTGCATACTTTCGCGACCGCTGTGGAATCAGTTGAGAATATAGACACCACTTCCTCAACCTGCCACCAAACCCTGCGCACGCATTGGAGGCGCAAGTGCGCACGAAATGTGAAAGAATTCCACCGAGTCACGGCCTTCTGGCCGATTTCAGCGAAATCGGTCAGACCGAATCGGAGATACCTCGGAAAATCTCCAGAGTTTATCCCGGATGCCAACGGGGTGAAGCTTGTGAAAGCATACACCGCTTATTCACAAAGCTGACTCAGGCATGAGAAACATGCAAAGGATGACATAGCAACCGCTTGGGAGCCCTGAAGGATAGGTGGCTCAAGAGCTCTGTAGGAGAGATACTCATCCAAGCTAGCCTGACATCCACAGAGACAGTGTTAATGCATATATATACTCATGCCTGTAGTCTCAATTTGTTCAAATATGATAATGATTCCAGTTACCATACACCTGTACAAAGGGAGCCTGATTGTGGCCCTGACAAAGTGGTGTTTTCTACCTTTAACTTCAACTGATTCAAAGTCTGATGCTCTACCGACTGAGCTGGCCCTTTACCTTGACAACAGAATAAAGGAAATTTATTGTCAGGGGTCTCGCACCTGAAACCTGATATCTGTAGTAGAAATGCATCTATTACAGATCCTGTCAAGATATGTGGTAATGTGCTGTGTATTATTATTCTTGTCGAGTTATGTCATAGAAGGGCCTCTATGACTTTCCTTGCCCAAATCTGTGATAGATTGATTGATATTGCAGGTTTTGACTGACCACTGTGGACACTCCATCCAGAGGTAGCTTGGCACAATCAATAACAATGAATGTATTACAATGACACCAAGGTCTGGTGTGAATAATGTTGTTGTCACTGACATGAGTGTCCAGTGTGTCAACTGAGTGTTTGAAGTGATCCCTGGACCACAGTGGATGACTGCCTTCAGTTCTATGACCACAAGCTGGACTGCAGGTTACTATGAACTGCCTTTGGTGTTGATTGTTATCTGGACTGCTGGTTCTATGAACTGCCTTCGGATGTCAGTGAGTGGTGATACAACACACATGCTACAATTGGAGCAATCTATTATGATTGCAACTTGCTGACAGAAAACTAATGTATACTTTATGTCGAAGTGATAACTAGTTTTATGGTGTAGAGTGGATGGATCTCCACTTGGCTACCATGACAAGGAGGTATGACTATATATAGCATCTTCACAGTGTCGCCTGTGACTCTGTTCCAACCCCCTCTCCAGGGAGTACCTTCTTTGTCAAGCACTATACCAGAGTCGCTGCCATTGTGTCTCGTCCTTGGCAGCCCTTGCTCCTCCTGTGTCAGTGTCAATGAGGACCAGCACCATCTCATCATTGATAGGGGTCTCCCCACTTCATCCTAATGACAGTGCATGCCCCCCCACCCCCTCTTTCACCTACTTCCTGACTTTGGCACCCATCTTCTTATGCCGACTTCATCATAGTGTAGGGCCCCTCCCTCATCCAGTGGTGACCTCAAGTGTCCTTGCCACTAGTCTCCACTGGATCTGTCATACAATCATCCTTGCCACTAATCTCTGCAGGATATGTAATACAATCCTGTTTACTACAGATCCTGGCAAGGTTTGTGATACCATTATTGCTTGTGCCAATCTAGGTCAGATCTGCCATAGAGCTGTTTCTTCTACAGATCTCAGTGAACTCTCCTGCAAGTCCCACAATCTGCCCAATCCCTCATTTCCCATGCTCCCTTCATATGAATTGACAGATCTTCCTGCTTCCTGCACATCCAGGCCCATGACAAGCGGTTGGAAAAGACGACCCAAAAGTCTTGGATACCAATGTTGAGTGTAGCGGCAATTGCAGATAGTGACACATGTGACACAGAGCAAGCAAAACAGTATCAGGAACTTGTGGGACAACTACTCTGGGTATCAAATATGGTAAGGCCCAACATCTCAATTGACATAGGGATTCTGGCATGCTACATGTCAACCCTGACAATTGGAGCATGGAGTGCAGCAATACATTTATTGAAGTACCTTCACCAAACAAATGAGTACCAACTACAATTGGGAGGGGAAGCAACCAAACTTGCAAGTGGTCTGGTGGTCATGTATACTGACACCAACTGGGTGTCAGACCCCACAAATGGGCATAGAAGCACATCTGGTGCAGTTACATACATTTACAGATGTCCAGTGAGTTGGAAATCACATGTCCAGAAGTGCATAGCACTATCAGCAGTAGAGGCAGAGTTTGTTGCTGCATTGGAAGCTGCACAAGAGGCTCTTTTCTTTTCATACTTGCTTAGGGACTTAGGAGTGTTGAATGTCAAGCTGGTACTTCACACAGATAGTCAGGGGTGCATACAGGTTAGCAGGGACCCAGCAAAGCACTGGAAGCTAAAACATATCAACACCAGATACTATTTTGTTAGGGATCACATACAGGACATGGACATAATGATAGAGTACATTTGGACAGCCAAGAACATCATGGACATGCTAACAAAGCCACTCAAAAGGTTAGATACATCATGATTAGCAAACCTAATAGGCCTGGGAACACCATCAAAGGTGGAGTTAAAGATGCAACAGAATTACCAAGAGCTTAGCTGAGATGTGAGAGAGCTGAGACACCAAGAGGCCAAGGGACATGCATGCATAGTCAGCACATGGCAACCAATCAGGAGATGCTTGTGGGAGACAACACTGAGACATGAAGAAGACAATGCTGAGACAACATGTGGTGCACACAGTTAGTGAGGCAGCAATAGGGTATCTCATGGACACTTGACATTGTATATAAACAAGCATCTTCATAGCTATAGTTCACAAGAAATCTCAGAGAGTTGCATCTACCATACACCTGTGTGAAAGAAGCTAGAACGTAGCCCGGACGAAGTGGTGTATTGCATAACTTCAACTGAAGGATGCAGCATCGTAACATCAGATAAGAGCCCAACATTTGACCTCGCTAGCGCCGCACAGTCGGCGGCGGCGGCCTCGACCGGTTAGATCCAGGCAAGGTCATCAGCCGCCTTGTTTCAACCCCTTGGTTGCAACAACCTCGATACATCGAAAGCATCGGTCCGGTGGCTTCACCAGCCTGTACCGCGGTTCGCTACTGTTCAATTCATGCAACCGACGTTGCACAACGGCGTTGGCTTGAGCTTCAAGATGATGTTGCTGGCCTGAAGGCAGCTGCTTGGGACCTTACTAGCATGGGATTGCTGAACGTGATGATCCAGCACGACTCTGAAAGGTCGGGTGGAACAGATCTAATCGGGGATCGGGCAGGGCCGATCTGAGTAAGGGTTCAGATACTACTGGGTCCCGCTCGTTGTCATACTTTATATATGTCAAGCGGAGAGCTCGAGGCTCTCGCCATGTTCTTTTCGTATGTCAATATAGTATAGTGCTTTGCTCTTTAGCTCGAACACCGTACTTAGACTGATATCTCCCGATAAGCTCTGTCGCTAAGTGTCACTTTTCTTTCATCAGGAATGGATATGCGGCAGTTGTCTGATTGTATGCTGATAGATAAGCTAAGAATGACGGGCGCGACGATCAACAAGCGGTATAAGTCAAAGCACAGTACTGCTGCTATTGGGGCAGAAACACTATAATGAGAAAAATGACACTTAGCGACGCTTATCGGGCGATATCAGTCAGAGCACAGTATTCCAGCTATTGAGCAGTCACACTATACTATATTGACCTGAGGAGAACATGGTAGCAGCCTCGAGCTCTCTGCTTGATAAATATATATACAGTGGTGGCACATACCCAAAGGTGGGAGTGTGCCCCTTAATAACGAAGTGCGGCAACGAGTGAGGCCCAGTAGTATCCAATCCCTTACCGTAATGGCTCTGCCCGACCTCATCCATATCGGCTTATATTCCCATCATTATCTTGCTGGGTCGTATTCTTCAGCACACTATACTCGATTGACTAAGAAAAGAATGTGGTGGCAGCCTGGAGCTCTCCACTTGATATACAGTATGCATGTAAACTGTCCCAAGATTTTACATGTCACCATACATCACTCTAATGCTCAATAGCTATAAGTTGTATTGCCACACTGTCTGATATCATCTGAAAGTGCTGCTTCTTCTCTCCAAGACTATGGAATTGATATTGACATTGACTATAAAAAATTGTGCTATGAAGAAGAGCCGATTTTTTTTTTATTGTGGGACAGTTTATGGAGCATGCTCCCAAATAGTGACACCACTCCATTCCTGACCTTGTGGGCTTTTGACTACAATGAAACTTGTAATGTAACTTGGTGGGCACCTTCATACACATTGAAAGTAGTGATGTGGAAAGTTTCAGCTCAATCAGATGACTGTGAGTGATCTGGCAGCACTTCCAGTCTGACACTATCATATCTATACCATCATGACAAAAACCACTCTCGAGAAGCACCAATTGGCACTCTTTCACCTCCAAAATGGAGAATCTACCTGTTCAGTTGCTGAGAAACTCGGTCTGAGCAAGTCTACAGTGTCTTGCATCAGCAAAAGTGCCTCTGCCAATGCTCCAAAGTCAAAGGGGGGCCAGCCAAGAAAACTCCAGCCTCGTCATGTTCACTTCCTGGACCACTATTTCAAGCTCAATTCAACCTCCATGGTCAGGAAAGCATGTCATGCACTG